GAGGGCTATCGGTTTGGAAGAGCAGCACACCCTTTGTGCTGTCCGGTGCACCTCCTTCGGCCCTTGAAAATTTGAGGGAAATCTTATCGCTCGCCTGGCCGTACCCATAACCGCATCAGGTCTCCAAGGTTAGCAGCCTCTAGTACGTAGAACAATGTAGATAAGGGAATTCGGCAAATTAGATCTGTAACTTTGGGAAAAAGATTGGCTCTGAGGGCCAGGTCTTGGGCCTTTTGACCTCTTCATAGCTTCGCAGGAAGGGGCGACCTGACCAGCGTTAGCGACTGTTGAGCCAGGAGTAACCCAGGACAGCGAATGGCTAACTCAGAACTGGAGCAGCGAGGGGAATCCGACTGTTTAATTAAAACAAAGCATTGTGAAGGCCTCAAAAGGTGTTGACACAATGTGATTTCTGCCCAGTGCTCTGAATGTCAACGTGAAGAAATTCAATCAAGCGCGGGTAAACGGCGGGAGTAACTATGACTCTCTTTGGGTTAAAAAAAATCCATAAATATTTACTAGTAAATTTACTATAAAAATAATTTATTTTTTCTCCCTCTCTTAAGGTAGCCAAATGCCTCGTCATCTAATTAGTGACGTGCATGAATGGATTAACGAGATTCCTACTGTCCCTATCTACTATCTAGCGAACCCACAGCCAAGGGAACGGGCTTGGCAGAATCAGCGGGGAAAGAAGACCCTGTTGAGTTTGACTCTAGTCTGGCTTTGTGAAATGGCGTAGGAGGTGTAGACAAGTGGGAGCCCTGCGACCTTGAAAAACCACTACTCTTGATGTCATTTTACTTACCTCGTGAGGTAGCGACCATTCGTGGTTCTAGCTTTGCTTGCTAAGCGAGAGACAGAGCCAGGTAGGGAGTTCGGCTGGGGCGGCACATCTGTTAAACAGTAACACAGGTGTCCTATGGCAAGCTCAAAGAGAACAGAAATCTCTTGTAGACCAAAAGGGGAAAAGCTTGCTTGATTTTGATTCTCAGTACGAATACAAACCGCGAAAGCGTGGCCTATCGATCCTTTGCTTTTTAAAAGTCTTAAACCAGAGGTGTCAGAAAAATTACCACAGGGATAACTGGCTTGTGGCAGCCAAGCTGGCTCCTAATATTTAATAAAAATTCTTATAGGAAATTATATATAGAAAAATAATAAATAATTTACAGCCAAGCGTTCATAGCGACGTTGCTTTTTGATTCTTCGATGTCGGCTCTTCCTATCATTGTGAAGCAGAATTCACCAAGTGTCGGATTGTTCACCCGCTAATAGGGAACGTGAGCTGGGTTTAGACCGTCGTGAGACAGGTTAGTTTTACCCTACTGATGAACTGATGTCGCTACAGTAATCCAACTCAGTACGAGAGGAACCGTTGGGTCAGATCACTGGTTCATGCGATTTCCTGACAAGGAAGTGTCGCGATGCTACCATCTGTTTGATTATGGCTGAACGCCTCTAAGTCAGAATCAATGCTGGAACGCGACGTCCGCCAGTCACCTATGGAAACCATAATCCCACTCCCAACTGAGATCCTTGTCCAGGCGAAATGCTGAAGACGGCTTCTCAATGTACCAAATAGTGACTGGGACAAATCTTTTGCAGACCACTTACATGGAACGAGGGATTGTACGTACGAGAGTAAGCTTGTCTTACGATCTACTGAGATCCAGCCTCCTTCCTTCGATTTGTCACCCCCTGTATATTATTCTCTGCTGGGGTATGAGGGTTGACTTTATTGCCCAAAGATTTTATGAGTTGATAGTTTTAGCTGCTTATATAGATATTTAACTATGTACTTTAATAGTATTTTCATATTTATAAATAATTTGGACTGGATATACTGAAAATAATTATTAATAAATAATTTTTAATTTAGCAAATTTATGTCAAGATGAAATTGGTCTTTATGTAAAGTGCGAATAGAAATAATTAAGTATACACATAATTATCTAATTTCAAACTTATTTTAAGTAATTATCACTTTAAGCTTACAAAGAATTAAATATTAAAATAAAATAGTTAATTCTTTTATTTTCAATATGCTATTATTAAAACTATAAGTTTTAATCATAATTCACACTATCTCTATGAAAGCTCTATAATCTATGGATTCTAAAATCAAAAAATGCTTAACTAGAAATTTATATTATAGCTAAACTTATTAATTAAAATAATTAAATTGGCATGATTATTATGATATAATATAAAGCTGTTTTTAATTCACAAAGAAATTAATGCAAATCAATAGTATTTTTATAATATTAAAATTTATGATATTTCTAAAAAGCTAAATCATATCATAGATTAAAAATATCAATTAAATGCTTATAAAAATAGTTTTCAAAAGAGAAATAGTAATTTAGATTTAAAAGGCCGAATATACAAATAAAATTATCTTTTAATAATTTAATCTTTTACATCCTATATTGTTAACTTAAAAGCTAAGATATCTTCTAAATTTTAATAATCCTATCTCATCCTTACTAATTTTATTAAAACCATAAAATATTTTATTTTAATTAATATTTTATAACATTTTTATAAGACAAAATTAAGTAAATATGCACTCTTTGATTAAAAAGAAGAAGAGATTTTCTTTAGTTTTTCTCGAAGAGGGTGAAATATACACAAGGGATTGTATGGGCTTCCGGCAGCATCCTGGCAGATACCCGGAGAAGCGTCAAGAGAAAGGAAGAATCCATCTCTGTTCCCGATCACTCATCTTTGAACCTCAAGATCGCGAAACTCCGCTAGTTCGCTATTCCTACCGTGACATGTCAGGCCCACCAGAAGAAATAATGGCTCCCAGATCCTTATACGCCCACACAAGTAATGCAACACGAGTCTCATTTTACATCACAAAAATCACAGAGCTCCCAGATCTCCGCAGTCCTCTGCCATACAAAACCATTCAACTTCAGCAGCCTCAGAATGTTCTTCTTGATTTCGAATATGAATCAGTGACGTCAATGAACGAATGGATCAATAATCTTTACGAAAGGAATGCAGGGCACAATGCAGGCTTTGACCAAGACTCTGAACTGGCTGATTTGGTGACTCAGAGGGAAAGAGGGATCAGGTTTGACATGAGCAGGATTGAAAGCATCACGGAACGGCCAACTATTCAAGCTCCGATGCTGGTCAAAAGAGTGCATCCTTTTATGAGTGTCCCAGGACTTTTGTATATTACTGATATAAGGCTTTATTTTCAGCCTGTTTATCAAGTTTCGGCAAACCCGGTGAAAAGTATCAGACATGCTGATGTGTGTAAAATTCATATGCATAACTGTAATAAATATGAGGAATATTATAAATTATAAAAAAATGGGTGTGATTATATAGGTTTTTTTTTAAATAAATAAGTATAAAAGAAGATGGAAATTAAGAAATGTTGGCTTTGAAATTTTTACTCGGGATGATAAAACGTTATTTTTATCGTTTTATACAGAAAGAGAGAGAGACCAAATTCTAGGACTTTTATTAGGGCTTGCTGGGCCAGAGTGTGAAACTGAAAATTCAGTAGAAAATACAACGCTTAAATGGCAGCTTAGACAGATTAGCAATTATGATTATTTACTGTACTTAAATTCCGCAGCTTATCGCACGTTTTCTGATTTTACTCAATATCCTGTATTCCCATGGGTTCTATCTAATTACGATAGCCCAGAGCTTGATTTAAATGACCCTGCAAATTTCAGAAACCTCAGCTTGCCGATAGGTGCACTTAACCCCAATCGTCTAGCTACTTTTAAAAAGAGATACACAGATATGCCAGAGCCAAAGTTCTTATATGGAACTCACTATTCAGCTCCTGGCTATGTAATAGGCTTTTTATTCAGAAGATTCCCTTTATTCATGCTAAGACTTCACGTAATTTATAATTAGAGTGGAAAATTTGACTCCCCAGACAGATTATTTAATGACATAGCCCAGGACTGGAGAAGTGTCCAGGACAACCCTGCAGATGTAAAAGAATTAATCCCAGAATTTTATTCTGATGACCCTAGTTTCTTACAAAATGATCTTGCCTTAGATTTAGGTATCAAAATGAATGGAGAAAAAGTATGGGATGTAAAACTTCCATCTTGGGCGTCAGATTCTCGGGATTTTTTAAAAAAAATGAGGGAAGCGTTGGAAAGCCCTTATGTTAGCGAAAACTTGCATCATTGGATTGATTTGATTTTTGGGTATAAGCAAAGAGGAGAGCATGCATTTAATGCAAATAACAGTAAAATATAAGTAGTTTTCCATCCATTGACGTATGAAGGAAGCGTCGATATAGATAGTGTCAGTGATCCAATTCAAAAAAGAGCTATTGAGCTACAAATTCATGAATTTGGTCAAACCCCTAACTTCCCTATCCTGCGAATGACACCATTGAACTGGAAAATTAATCTCTCAAATCTAACTTCCTATGTTTGGTAGCAAGAATATTAGAGATTAAGTCGAATAATTGCTTTCATGCAATTATAATATGATTTCTACGATTTTACTAACATTTTCCATACTCTATCTCTTGCATCTATCGCATAAATTATTTTTTATAAAAAAATTTAAATATGTAGCTTTTTCACAAAAAATTTATTTAGCCCCGTCCTTGATAGAAAGGAGGCGATCCGTTTGATCAAAACAGGGAAGTAAGCAGCTGTTTAAAATTCCTCACCCACCAAGACATATGATCCAAGAAGAGGAAAAAGAAATAGTAAAGCCACTAAAAACCGCAAGAATGACATGGAATATCGAAAGCGTCGCAAGAAAAAGCTCAAGTCAAGTCACCGAAATAACTCTTCACAAAAAGCGTGTCAGCTCAATCCACAAAATTGGTGACAGAGCCATTACCACTGCCCATGATGGCTGCCTCAAAGTAACAGCTCTTGAAAGGGTCCAAAAAAGGTCTTTCCCTATATGTGAATTAGCTATATCTTGCAGTGCTTTAATAAACGACAAAACAATAGCAGCAGGCTCCTATGATAACAGAATTTATATTTTTAACCTTTCTACAGGCCGAGTTATTAACAATTTTCAAGCTCATGATGATGCAATTACTTCCTGCGAGTACATTGAATCATTAAATGCAATAGCATCAGGCTCTTGGGATGGCTTTGTGAAGCTATGAGATGTCAGGGAAAAACCAAAAATGGTCCATACATATGAAGATCATGAAGAACAAGTTACTGCTATGTGTATAGACTCAACGAAGACGAATCCTTATTTATTAGCATCGTGCGATTTGGATGGAAAAGTTGTAATAAGAGATCTGAGGGAAGGGGTGATTTCAAGGTTTGATATAATTAAAATATGGCGTCGAAAGAATTTCTGGTCTCCGGCTGAAATTTTATCTCTTGCATGTTTTAATTATGAGTTTGGTTTTCCCCTGGTGAAATTATCCCAGCTATGTCAGGTAAGTAGAATCGGGTGATTTTTTCTATTGGACTCCAAATCTTAGGGAATGGAATTTTCAAGAAGGTACCACTTATCCCAGGTGGCGGAGACTGAGCTTTTAAGGTGCCATTCGGACCCAAGTAAGTGCTTGGACTAAAAGAAGAGCCGTCAAAGCCCAAACTTCAAGACTAGCGTCCTCTTTTGGTGATCAAAATCAGAGGTTGCTACACCTTTGGCGGGCCCTAGCAAAATGATGCGAAATTCTCCCAAGAGTGGTGTTTGAGGTAGCATCTTGGTAGTGGACGTTAAACGTGTATAGATTAATTAAGATTACAATTTCAAGGTTCGATAGTGGAGCACAAGTTATAGCGTCAAAGCATAGTTTGCATAGCTCTCATTTAATATGATTTTTTGGCTGTATTTTATAGTAAAATTGGTAATGGTACCATTATGTTTTTTTATATTAAAGAAATTAGTCTAGATAATAGCGTTATTTAAGTATAAAATTTGGTATACTGGCGCAGCATGAAAGAATAGGAGTTTTTGAAACTGATGGGTCACGTGTAAGTACTTTAGAAATAGAAGGCGTTAATACTTTAGCAACTGATGGTGTTTTTGTACTAAATCCCCCTCTGTAAGCAGACTAAAAAATTTTGTTCGCTCACAGAGGGGTTAAATTTTTTTTGAAATATAGAAAATCCCAATTCGCAAAAATCCGAAAGCAAATATTAATTTAACCTGTAAAATATAGAAAATTCCTGGGGATAGCGCGGAATACGCTATCCCCAGGACAACCGGGATCGGATCCCACATGGAACGAGGGTTCCATGTGTGTGGATCCATTTTTCACACGTGAAAGTAAATATCTCACATGTAAAAAATGGATCGACACATGGAACTCCCGTTCCATGTGTGAATCCGATCCCGGTTGGTCCTGGGGATAGCGTATTCCGCGCTATCCCCAGGAATTATCTATATATGTTTTAAAATGCAAACTGTTTAAAATTAAACAGAGTCAGCTAGAGATTTCATTATAATAATTATCACTTATATATCAAAATTTTTGTTTGCTCACGGAGGGTAGGTTTTACCCAAAAAATAGGGATTTTTCAAATGTTTTTTGTTCGCTCACTGATGGGGAGTAAGTGGCAAAGAAGACGGAGCAATGGAGCTGTGGGAACTAATGAAAGGAGATTGTGTATACAGGTGGCAGGGCATTAATAAAGTTACTGCTGTCTATGTAGATGCAACAGCAGAAAACTTTTTGGCTGGAAATATTGAAGGAAATCTTTATCTAATCAATTAGCTGAAATAATAAATAATAAAGCCAAATATTGATGGAAAAAAGGAATTCTGTCTCTAATGTAAAATCAATGCAACTTACAAGATCAGATTTTACGCTTCCGTTGTTTAAAAGAAAAGTTTTCAGCAAAGAAAATAAGCCAGCTCAAGTCTATAATTGGAAAAGCAGCATCCCTGAGCGTTGAATAGAAATTAAAGGACTAGATCATTTTAAGCACGTTTCTGAGGCTTCTAATATAAAGAATACGTTGGACTTTTTGATAGCATCTCAAAAATACATCAATAAAATATCGCAGCCTGCTTTAGAAAAATATCATTCCCCAAAAGAGCATAAATCTAAAAAGTCTTTGAAGCCAAAAACGTCAAAAGATCAAGGAAAACAAGTTTTTGAGTTTAATACACCAATATCGAAACATCTAGACCCTGAAAGAATTCCAATTAAGCCTCTTAAAAGTAAATCATCATTTACTGCTAGACAATGACCAAAAAAACGATTTACAAATAGTTTAAAAACAAAATATAGGGCTTTTGGTAAATGTTACAATATAAATATAAAGCCATGAATAATAGCAACTTAATTTAAAATAATATACCTTATAAAATCCAAATTTTTCCAATTTGAAGATTACTTAATTCATGAAAATGAAAGTCTTCCATATATCCAGCCGGTTGCAGATAAATATACAATAACAAAATTTGCTCTTCCAAATGGTTTAGTCTCAGCTCATAAAGAAAATGGTGAACCCGACATAAAAAACATTTCTACTCAAAGTAACCCGAGGCTTGAGGAGTTTTTAAAGCGTTTTGAAAAGAAAAGCAGCACAATAAATACACCAAAAGAAAGAAAAGGAGTCAATGGATGGAAGCTTACAAGAGGCTCTTTAAAATCTTTTCTAAAGAAGAAAATGCCACCACAAAGGTCAAACTCCGACGGGCCGCTTATGATCGCTCCGAAAGAAGAAAATCCTCAGCCATCAAGCATCGACGAAATATAAATAGATAATAAAATTGTAATTAATAATGGCACAATTGCTTAAGGCTGAAAAGAAGATAAGAAATAAAGAAAATCGAGAAAGCACCAGACCACACACAGTAATGGAGTTTGAAAAGGCTCTTTTAACTTCTCCTAGATCTTCGTTTTTATGAATCCATTATGCAGCAATGCTAATAGAAACCCAAGGCCCTGATTCTGGTCGAGAGCTTCTTAAAAGAGCCATTTCCAAGCTAGACCCAACTGAAGAAAGAGAAAAGCTTAATCTTCATCTTGCCTTGATAAATCTAGAGTCACATTATGGTGACTCAGACTCATTTGACGACTCCATAGAGCAAGCATTATTAACTAATAACCCAGAATTAATTTACAGACACAAAGCAAAAAAGCAGATCGATAAAGGAAATTTCGAAGAAGCTGAAGAAACTTTGAATTATATTTGTAAAAAATTCAACAAAAGTATCGAAAATTGGGCACTTTTGTGCAAGTTTTTTTTAAAAGACAAAAAAGATGAAGACGGGTTCAAAGAAGCTATGAGGCGAGGCTTACAATCAACAGATAACTCTATTGAGCTTAAAAAGAGGATTGCAGTGATGGAATACGAATATGGGTCACAAGAAAGAGGAAGGACCATTTTCGAAACACTTATTGCAGACAAGCCAAATAGAGCTGACCTCTGAAGAGTTTATATAGGCATGGAAATAAAATACAACACACACGAACAAGTAAACGAATTATTTGAAAAAGTTTTAACAGTCAAATTGAGCAGATCCAATCTCGAAAATTTTGAAAAAATGCATCAAGATTACCAAAGTAAGATTAAAAATAAAAATTAATCTTATATATTTAATTGTTTTTAGCAGCTGTGTAAGCTTGACTTATCATCGCAAAGCGATTATTTACCTTCAGTTTTTTTTTAATTCGGTAAGAACTATTTCATTCTTGCACTGAAAATTGTTTAAGCTTCCCTTCACAAAGATAAGGTGAGAGGATTCCTGCTGATTTTTTAGATTTTTCAATGTGATTGAAAGATGTTTGTTTAGAACTTGACTGGATTAAACTGCCGAATTTTAGTTTTGATAAAATTAGTGGGAGTCTGTATTGCCGCTCTACATCATCATATTTGTGCTCAGGTTCTGTTGATTTAGATCGGATTATATTTTCTTCGACTTTGATAACTGATGGGACTTCAACAATTAGCTTAAATGTTGGCTCTTTTCTTAAGGCAACAGATTTTGGTCGAAGCTTGGGCTTCTTGAGAGAAGAATGTCTGTGGCTCATTAGATCTTCAAATCTCATTTTTTAGAGAATTATAGATTTTCCTCAAATTTTTGCAATAAATGTTGAATGAGTTGAGCTTCATTTTCGCTCTCTGGACAAATATGAAATATTTGCCTTATAGATTTTTAAAAATTTTAACTCCATCTTCACAGCTTATGCAAAAGTTTAATGCTAATTTAGCTAAATATCACATATTAATTTTGTTATTATTAGGAAAAGTTAATTAATGCTAAGATTTACAAACTAACCACGTTTGTTTGCCAAATCATCGAAGTGTTATTCAGTTCGACTTCGCACTAATCCAATTAATTATAAAAAAAAATTAAATGAAGAATTTAGAGATCCTGAAATACTAATAAATCTGGTTCTAAGTGACATACCGAATTATAAAAATAATGTTTTACAACAATCTTAAGGTGTATATTTTATAAATAAATATAAATATTTTTAAAAGTTATTATTTTGAATTAATTACACGCTAAATTTCTTCTTTCTTTGTCTGTTCGATCATTGCAGAAATAATTATTCCTTAATTCATTGTAAATTAAATGGTTTTATTTTGAAAAAATATAAAAGATATCTCAATAAAAAACCTCAAAAAATTATTAACTAAATTTGAAAAGAGTTAATAAATAAAATTGAATTCTTATTTATCATAATTAAATGATGGTGATTAATTAATTTTACATCTTTAAAATAATTGTACGATATTTTTTACATTACGATGATGCATTTGAAGGATCATCGCATAAGTATGTGGATTCATCATTATGCTTTTTAGTATCAATTAATAGTGCATCTTTAATCTCTTCCTCATCAGAGTCATCACAAATCACTTGCACGCTCGCTTTCCTTTCACGTCTGTATGGTGTTTTCGGTTCATCCTTCTTTTTATAATCATAAATCTTCTTCTGTAATTTAAGATTTTCAGGAAATTGCTCTTCAGGCTCCCTCATTAACCCCACTCTATTGATTTTATTGAATTTGTATTTAAAATTTCTAATTTTTCTCTTTGGCCCAGTCCCCATATGAGGATTTATCATCCTATGCCTTGCTCTGTACTGCTCAATAGTCTTCATATCCACTCTCGAGCTAACAACCATATTTGTGCATTTTTTTGCGACATGGCCTTTTTCATTGCAAAAATAGCATTTTATACCCAAAATTTTATAATTGCTATCCTCACATGATGATTTGAAGTAACGAAAAAGTTCAAAAATTTCCGGCTGTTTTTGAAGCTTTTCGATAACCATGACCCATTCAAGAGTCAAGACTTCAGTAAAATTTTCACACTGAGCTGAAGCAGTTCTTCTATGACCTGCAAAAAACCCGATTTCTCCAAAAATATTGTTTTTATTAAGGATAATGTAAGTGCAGCCTGTATTTTGATGAAAAATATTTACAGATCCTGAGGTAATGAAATAAAGTTTGCGGCTTCTTTCACCTTCCTCTAAGATTTCATCTCCAGGTGCAAAGGTTTCGAGCCTTAAAAGTTTTGTTATAGAAGTGATTGAGCTGACTCCCCCCCCCTTTTAAATTGAAACAAAATATAGGTAAAATTCCTACTTTTTTGGGAATTTACCCCCCCTTTAAATTGAAACAAAATTTTTATTATAATAGAAAATTTTATAGGTAAAAATCATTATTTTATATGTAAATACGTTAATACCCTATTTAATATGCTTCAAACATATAAGATTTAGAAATTAAACTCTATTTTGTCCAATTGTTCAATTTATTGTCTCTTTAAATTTATATAATTTATTTTCTATAAAATTTTATCTCTGAAAAAATTTTATATATATAATTTTTTTTATAAAAAAATTTTCTTAACCCCCCTTTAAATTGAAACAAAAATTTTTTGTTTCAATTTAAAGGGGGAGTGAGTGAAAAAAATTTGGGAAAAGTTTTGCATAAGAGTAAGACTTTTCCATGCGTCCTTGAAGAAATTTCATCTCTTAAGTTATCACTTAAAAGCTTTAGAACGTCATCTTCACATATAGAAGATTCCTGGGAGTATCCTACAAAATCAATATATCTTTTAACCTTATTTTGTAATTCTAATGGCAGCCTTAGCTTTTTCATATATCTTTTGACACCAATTATAAGGTCCCTTTTTTTTTGGTCAGCCTGATGGGAAGTCATTACAATGCTACTAATTTTTCCTAAAAGATAGGCATAATACCCACATGTGATCGCCATACAAATGATAGAAATAAATCTTTCATAAGGATTCAAAGCGTGCAAATCTCCGTATCCGACTGTATACATAGTGGTAAAAGCTCAATAAAGAGCCGTTATGTATTTTTCTTGTAAAGAAATCTGCATTTCTTCTTCTAATTCTATATTGTATATAAAAGAATTATATGATAAATGTTTTGCATAATTGCTGAACGTATAAAATGTGCATGCCGATCAGTGAGCAATAAACAATATTGCTAAGCCTGTTCAGGTTGTCATAATAAGCACTGAAAATAATTCGCTTGATATGATTTCTTCAATCTTAACAAAAATTGATCTCAATTTCAATATTCTAGCTAGCTTGAAGATCCTCACAAATCTTATCAATTTCAGCATTTTAAAAGTATTTGTTGATCCAGATATAATAGCCTCATAAGGAAACGAAGATGCCATGTCTAGTGCAAACCAGCTTTTTATATAATTAATTGCAATAGTTTTTCTGCTGCTTATCATAACTCCGCTCCTGAAAAAAGTTGTATTAAAATTCATAGCAATATCAATAAAAAATATCAGTGAAAGCGATATTTCTAACTCACCCACTCTATGAGCGAACAAAAAAGTTCTGTTCGCTCACGGTGAGGGGTTATATAAATTTTATAGTCTTTTTGTTCGAAATTTAAAAAAACCCAATTTGCAAAATTTATGTTTTAAAATGCAATTAAGTAGAATTAGCTCAACTTTTCATCATTTATATATCAATTTATTTTTTCAGAAAAAAATTAATATTAAAAAACTTTTTGTTCGCAAACAGAGGGTGGGCTTTCGGGCAAAAAATAGTGATTTTTCCAATGGTTTAGTCCGCTCAAGGAGGGTTTGGAGTAAGTACATAAATGAGCCTTCAAGTGTGTAATTAAAAGCAATTGAAAAGGGGATAATAAAGCCTTCATATAAAACAGATATAATAATTAATAAATCTCATAAAACTCGTCATTGGCTTTCGGATTTAAATAAATACTTTTCATTACATGATTTTTCTTCGTGTATATTATTGAGCTGTATTATTTCAGTATTTTTGCGTTTAAGTATTCTTGATTCTCCAGGAGTTGATGGAGTGTTACTTTCTTTTATTTTATTTATTTGTTCTTGGATATCTAATAAATAATCTTCTGAACCCGCAATAACAGTTGGTTTTCTGCCAATTATATCCATGATGTATTTAATTTAGATTTATTTAAAGTCCTTTTAGACACACCACAGTTATTATGAGAGTTTCAATATGGAAAAAAGTGGCCAGAATCCTTATTAAGTAAATTAGATGAAATGGCTGATTCATATATTAATATCTGATTATTTTATGTATTTTCATTATTATTTTTAATAAATGAATATTAGAGCTGCAAAATATCCTCAAAATATAAGGATTATTTATGTCATTTTAAATAAATTATTTTAGTCATAAAGAATCAAATATTTATTTCAAGTTAGCAATATACAAAATAATAAATGTCTAAAATCAATAAAGAGATTTGGGAACTTTTGGAGAATTAAAATCTTTAGCGCGATTTTTATAAATTATCTTTGGCTTGATCTTTAAATTATTTGAATTTATATTTCTAGGAAATTTAAAAATTTGTATTGATAATGAAAAGAGAGAATTTAAGATATAAAATGAGGAGGTAAATAGAATAAGTAGATACTTCATATCTTAGGCATACTTATATTTTAAGATTTGTCTGTTTCATATTTTAAGCGTGTCTAGTTTTTTTTCCGGTTACATTTTTTATCAAAAGAAACCAATTAGTATCTCCCATATATAAAAATTCTAACTCAATGCATTTAACTTAACTTAAATTATTATCGAGTAACTTTTAGCCCGTCACCCCATTTTTATGCATGCTGAATCAGTGTCAAAGCCATTTATCTTATGATTAATCCTAGAACTCTGCTTCCCATATTAATAGCATTTAGCCATAGATTTAATTTAATCAAAATCACAAAGAGAATTTCTAAAATGGATGAAAATGAATACGATAGTAGCATTGAAGATTTACCTCAAGAAGAGTCAATTGACGAATGCTATGAAAGCGATTTTGAAAAAGAAGCTGACTCACTTGTCAAAAACTCCAGCATTACTACGCCAATTGGGGCTCAAAAATCCTTTATCACCCAACAAAATTGGCCAGGAGTATCTCTTAACTCCAAGATCTCTTCAACCAAAGTAAATTATCAAACTGTGTCCTCAAGCGCAACTTCTCTAGAAAACCCTCAAAAAGTGATAGCCAGACTTCAAAAAGAAAACGCAAGCTTAAGAAACCAATTAAAAGAATTAAATCTAAGATTAAATGAAGTTTTAGACATCTCAAAGAAGAAAATTCTTAAAGCCCCTGATACAGCTACACGGGAAGAAGGAATCCGAAAGCAAGCAGACACAAAAGATAAGCAAGTTCGCGTTTATGAAAACGAATACAATCGATTGAAGGCTCGTTTAGAACAGTTACATGACACCAACTATGCAGTGCAGCTTAAATACTCAATTAAAGAAAAAGAAGAAAAAGTCAAGGACTTTGAGAAGCAGTTTAAAATATTGTCGGCTGAACAAAAAAATAGAGCAAAACTGCTGAATAAAGTGTATGGAGATGGATTGCCTGACGACATGAAAGAGTTAAATGAAGTGATGGAGGAGTCTAACCATTTGAGAGAACAAGTAAATGAGCTGGAAGCAAAGCTTGAAAAGAGTCATGAAGGATATGAGCAGCAATATGAGCTAGAATTGAATTTGACTGAAAAACTGGAGAAGCTTCAAGAAATTTCGGAAAGTTATAATATTGAACTGGGAAAGCAGAAGTCTCCTTCGAAGATAAATACAACTTATGAAAATCTACTAAAAAGCTACCAAAACACAGTAAAAATCAATGAAAACTCTATCAACCATTTGAAATCTCAAGAAAAAGATTTAAAAAAGCTTTTCGATTCAAATGTTATAGAAATCAATACAATAAAAAAAGAAATTAAAGAAAAAGAAGAGATCTCAATGAGAGTCAAAGAGGAGCTAAAAAATATAATGAAAATAGCAGAAAGCAAGAACTTAGGCAATTTAGTAACTTTGCTTGAGTCAAAGCCTAAAGTATCGTCTCATTCAAGCTCTCCTCAGCCTAGGGCTTCTCAAGACTCCAACAGAGAAATCCACACAATTGCTGAAGTAGAAGAATCCTTAGCTGAAAGCAAATCTCTTGTCATGGCAATTTCTTCAAAAGATCTCAAAAAGCCAAGTCCGTTCAAATTCAATAAAAAAGTAATCAATGATGAAATTGATGAAGAAATTCCTGGAGAAAATATGCTTGTTGATGTTCCGCTTGTTAAATCAGTTCTTGAAACTCAAAAAAGCTATGAAAGTGAAAATTTGAAATCAACTCCAAATATTAGTTCTACTAAAGCGAATAAGCCAAAGCTTGATTTTCGATCAATTTTAAATCAAAATCCGGTAGCATCTCCATCTATGGAAGAAATTAAACCTGAAAATAAGCCGGTTAACCGTGGCCAAAACTCTTTAGAGTCTTTAGATGCTTTATTAGGGATTAAAAAAGCGGAGACTGAAGTAAAAGGTTTAGAAGATTTTACTGAGCATAGAAAAAGTTCAGCTAAAGAAGAGTCAAAGACAGTTATTCCTTCGAAACCATCAATTTTTCAAGAATTAGAGCCAACACCAAATACTAAATCAATATTCGAAGAGTTAAGGTCCACAAATAAACCATTTCAGGAAGACCTAAGATCTTCAAAAAGCAAGCCAATCTTAGATGAACTGAAGCCAGCAAGCAGTAAATCAATCTTCGATGAATTGAAGCCCACAAACAAAAAATCAATATTTGACGAGCTCAAGCCTACAAACAATAAATCTATTTTTGACGATTTAAAGCCAGCTACAGAAAATAAACCATTTTTTGAAGAACCAAAGCCAACTTCAAATAAATCAATTTTTGAAGAACTTAAGCCAAATAATAAATCAATATTTGATGAGCTGAAGCCATCTGAAAAGTCAATTTTTGACGAGCTTAATTCAAACAATAAAGCTGAGTCTAATTTGCCATCATTTTTAAAGGATGAGCCTTTTTCATCAAAACCCCAGGAAAAGCCTGTAAAATCTACTCGAGATCGATCTCATCTGTTTCAAGAGAAAAAATCTGATGATCTCTTTAGTAATAAAAGTCTATTTAATATAGACGAAATTAAACATACAGTTTCACAAAATTCAGAAGCAACTCTTATATCACCTCCAACTCAAGCAGGAACTGAGAGTGTAAATCAGTCTAATTATGCATATTTAAAATGATTAGCATCGTTTTTGATTACAGTCAGTAGATATATATTTTTATTCATGATAAATGGAAATATCTTTTTTCAGAGCCTAGCATTCCTAAATCAAAAAACACAAGAGAAAGACCTAATATGTTCCAATCAGAACAGTTCATGCCAGAAAGCTTTAACTCCATTCAGCAGAATAATGATAAATTTGAGCTTAATTTAAATCAAAATAAATGAAGCTCATTCAATGAGCACGAAATCAACCGTCCCAGCTTAAAAGAGCCGCGTAAATCAGTTCTCCAACAAGACAAAGGGGACAAACTAAAAAATTTAGCTGAAAAAGCTGAAAAAAATGAATTTTTCCAAGATTTATTTGGAAGCCCAGATGATAAAAAAATAGAATTCACAAACATTAAAAGCAAACTTTTACCTACAACTCTTGAAAAAAACCAAAAAGCAATTCCAAAGCCTGTCGAGCCTATTATCGATAACACCCCAAGTGATATTTTCAGGTTCAGTGAGCCTGCAAGTTTTGCTCAAAAAATTCAGCCACCAAGTACTGATACCTCATCATTCATAAAATCCGAAGCTTCAAAGAAGCCGACATTTGATTTAATTGAAGAAGATTTGATACTTTAGTTTCTAGAAAACTTAATTTTTAATAAAATTGTATAAAAATTGTTAATTAGGTATACAGTGTATATTTTGCTGGTATTTTATTTTTAGGAAGAGAAGGAGATCCTATAATCCCATACATGATAAGTTTTTCAAACTCAGGGAGCTGCGAAATAGCTGCACAAATATCAGTTGCTCCTCGGTTTCCGATAGGGTTTCAGGATGCATTAAGAAGGGATAAAGCTTGCAAATTTTGAAGTGATTGACCAATTCGTGATGCTCCTACATCACATATTTCGTTGTCTTGAATTTCTAAAATTTTTAAATTTGGGACTAGCTGGAGACCAAGGGAAAGCTCAATGGCTCCAGCGTCTTCCATTGCGTTGGAATTTAATGATAACTCTTCTAGTTTGGGGAGCTCTGGAATTACTTTGGAGACTTCAGCGATGCCTTCTTTTAAAAGCATGTTTGACGATAATTTGAGCGACCGTAAATTTGTTAATTTAAGTAGCACTTCACTAACTCCCCCCCCTCCGTGAGTGAACACAAACCATTAGAAAAATCCCTATTTTTTGCCCAAAAACCCACCCTCGTCAGTGAACAAAAATTTTTTTAATAGAAAGAATTTTTATCGAAAAAAATTTTGATATATAAATGATAATTAGTATAATGAAATCTAGAGCTAATTCTGTTTAATTTCAAACTAATTGCTTTTTTAAAACATAATTTTATAAATTAAATTAATATTTGCTTTCAAATTTTTGCGAATTAGAGATTTTTTAATTTCGAAAAACAATATTTTTTATAAAATTTATATATAAATTTTGTAAAATTAACCCCCCTCCGTGAGTGAACAAAATTTTTTTTGTTCACACTCACGGAGGGGGGGGTAGTAAGGATTTTTGCACCTCCAGACCCAATACAATTTCCGCTTAAGTCTAAATTATGCTATAATAATTAAATTTAAAATCAATAATAATAGGGCTAGAAAGGTATCAATTTAACTCAGAATAAATAGAAAGTAAGCTTAAGCACTCCAGCCCATAACTAATTCTAATCATTCCACCTTCTGATAAAAGCCCTCCAATTAAAGTAAGATTTCTAAGCTGTGGGGCAAAAGATAAAGCAATGCCGACATCTTCGGCCTCTTTCTCAAGGAATGTCCCACAATTCAAATAGAGGTCTAGCATGTTATTGAGCCTTGGAAGCACCCTAATTATAGCCACAATCCCTTCTTTCATCTTATCATTATTAATACTCAGCTTAGCCAGCTTTTTTAAATGTCCAATTCCTAGCGCTAAAAACTTAGCTCCTCTTATACCAATGCAATTAGAATTAAAACATAAAGTCGTTAAATTTGCAAAAAAAGGCAAAATTTGTGACAAATCTCTTGCTCCATCATCTCCTAATTTCCTATTTAACATCATCTGTTGACACTCCACCTTTAAATGGAACCAAAAATCCTGCTCCAATTTAAAGGGAGGTTATTTTTTTTTTTAAATAAACTTTATATTAAATTTTAAATATTTTTTTTTGAATCTAACAAATTATAAATTGAAACCAATCTTTTTGAATTTTTATTTATTTTTATTCTAAAAATAAACTTTTCAGTCTTTAACTATTTAAATAATATTTCTGCTTGAACTTTTTCCGTTAAGTTAGGTCAAACTAATTTTATCAAAATTGGTATTTTGCGTATAAATTTCCTATTGAAAAATATTTTATTCCAATTTAAGGGATTAAAGAACTATGTTTTGTTCAAATTTAATTTGGGGGGTGAGTAAATTGAGATTCCTGTGACAAAATATTTTGATAATAATTTTCAATAACTTTTTGATTTATGACCTTAGATTCCAAAAGGGTTCCTAACCCTTCAATAGTCCACAAAATGGAAATAGTATTCAAGTTAATTCAATTGTTTTTAATAAATTGTACATCTTTATGGAACTCGATTAAGGACAGCTGAGGAGGCGCTCTCATTATTTTCGAGCTCCTTCTGCTTTTGGTAGGCTCAATGTGATTGCCTTGCATGGCTTCAATTAGTGCTTTTAATTCTAATACTTTACTAATGCATTCTTCTTTAGTGTGCTGGATCAGCTGATTCCTTTGTCAAGTCAACTCTTTTATCATTTTTTCTGCGTTTTTTTCAATCTCGCTTATCACTTGCTTTTGGAATTTAGCGATTTTTTTCATTTCTTCTTTTAGTCGGATCCCAATTGGATCCAAAGACATTCTTTCAACATTTTCAATAAGGCTTTTTATATCTGGCAGAGGGACATCTACTATCATACTCATAGTCCTAGTTGGTGATCTTATCCGAAGCTTTTCCATGCAGCTTCTACAAAGTACTGCAGTTGAGCCATCTTCATTGGTTGCTGGCTCATTGGTTTTGCAATTTTCACATAGAGAATTCATTATTTAATATAATTTCAGAAGTATCATTACTTATTTTTTATGTGATTAAAATTGCGCATAATAAGTTAACGAAATAATGGAGCATCTTTCTCTTCCAGAAGCACAACTACTTTATGCAATTTATAAGCTGGAGCATGATGGTAGGCTAAAGCTAGACGACAAAAAGAAATTATATTATTTTTAGCTGAAAAGTAATTAGAATTTTTCATTAATTATAATAAAGGCTATTTTTTTAATAATGAATTCAGATAAGTAAAATATAAAACAAATGGTTATCTCACAGGATGAAAAAATCTTTTCCTTACTTGACCAATATAAAGAAGACCAAAATGAAGCTAGTTTATTACAAGACATGCTTAAGATTGTCAAACCTATAAGACATAAACCTGAAACTGTAGCCATTCCTCCCAGAGTTCAAACAACTGAAGACAGCAGTCCGCTCGGCAAATTTTTATGTGAACAGAAAAAGAGACAAAGTGCAGAGCATGGATTAACATTATCACTATACAAAATGGCTGACGAAGTTGAAGAAATGCCGCCTGTGGAGGAGATGCCAGAGATGCCTATGCAAGAAATGCGGCTTAATTTTTAGGTGACACTTATTAATATTAATTACTTTCAAAACCAATTTATAGGGTTGTATCAACGCTTTGACATTTTATTTTCCTGCTTATTTTGTGGGATTTCTTTTTCGAAGTCAGTTTGGCAGCAGTTTGAATTAGAGGCTTCGTTGCCATGAGTGGAGCATGTGGTGAGGTCAGAAGATTCTGAATTTTCAAGGGGAGGGTCTGAGCAAGAAATTAAAATTTCCATGTCTTTTAGGATTTGGTCATTTTCAGTTAATATGGTCAAAACTTGTCTGTTTTGGCTTTCCCGGCACTCCTCTCTTAGAATGAAGAGCTCTTGCATCCTTTTTTGTATTTCGTCTTCGATGTTGTTTATATCGTGTTTTAGGGCAAGATTTGTGTATTCGACTGATTGAGTTTTTGCTCTGATTTCGCAATTTTTTTTGTTTATCTCATGTTGTTGTGATTTTGTAGTATCAATTAATTTTTCTAATTCCTTGATTTCTAAATCGAGTGTTGGTAAATAATTTTTGATTGATTGTGACTCATCTTTTGAGGAATCTGTCTGTTTTTCGAGATCATCAATTATTGAATCAATATTTTTTATTTCATTTTTAAGCTTTTCATGAATATTCTGGTATTCTTCTATGTCTTTCTCGTAATTTTCAATTTTCCTTTCATATCGTTTTATTTGTCGTTCTTTTTCTGGTATGCATTTTCCCTTAGATTACCTTATTGTAGTTATTTGAATTTCTTATATATAAAGCAAGGGTAAACATAATAATTCTCTTAACCTTTTATGTACAAAGTTACTTTTCATTAAATTCGCCTTGTCCACACTTTTCGATATTTTTATGAATTTATCCTCTTCTAATTTATAATTAATATAGTGATGGCAGCAACATGTCTTTGACGATGACGCACCACTTTGGCACCAAAATCGCTTTATAACCTATTCCAAGGTTCAGTCCCTTTAACCCTTCGCTTGCCTCGAGCGGCTGTAGGGGTGGGCAAGTCTTAGGAGCCAGCTGGAGGTTATTCCAGTCTAGATATAGATATCCGGATGGTTTTTAGTCTCGTGGTCTTTTTTTTCCTGGATGTTGCCCTTCATCAAGGGGTCGACTGGAGCAATCGGGCTGACCTTTGGCTCCATAGGATGGAATGATGTGGAGCAAGAGGAGTCTTAATAACCCGTCGAGACTCAGGGAAATCGATGCAAGCCCCAGTCCCGAGAGTAGACCATTGTTGAGACAGGGTTCATGCGACTGAATTCCTCCTTGTAAGCAGGCTCCGGCGATCTCATGCGTGTGGAGGCATCAAAACTGGAAGACTTTAAGCTCTTTAATCTAAATCTTCTAATTTTTTAATAATCTTCACTTTTTCAAGCTTAAAACTTTTTAATTCTTCCTCACTTTTTTTATATTTAGAAACCTCCTCTTTAAGTTTTGCTTTGGATTTCATAAATCGGCTTTTAGAAATTGCTAGTCTAGGGTCTGTTATTCTTGCAAAAGCTGTGCTTCTTTTTTTATTGACTGGGGATAGGCTTTTAGAATTTGATTTCAGATTATTTTTTTGTTGCTCTTCTAAATCCCTCAGATTAAAAGTCGATAATCTGAATGGATTTTTTTTGTTGTTACTATACCTCGGGGTATAAGTCCATGCGAATTTTTCCGTTAAATCATTTTCATTCTCTTCAGTCTGCAAATTTGTGTTAATTGATACTCTAAAATTATGCATTTATGTTGGAGATTATAATACTTTATGATTCTGATTAATAAATTCAACAAAATAATTACTAATAAGAATCAGGATTAGCATGGTGTTATGATAAATTATTTTAAACCGATATCTATTAATTTATGTGTCCTTCTTGGAACTCTCCTGCTTCGTTAGCTTCTGCCACAACTTCCCACTCTTCATCTTCATTTTCCCTAATTAGTCTTGTAATAAAATCAGTTGAGCAAACCCCTAACTCCCCCCCTCCGCGAGTGAACAAAACCATTGGAAAAATCTCTATTTTTTGCCTAAAAAGCCCTCCCTTCGTGAGTGAAGAAAAATATTTTTAATAGAAAAAAAATTTATGAAAAAAAAAATTGATATATAAGTGATAATTATTATAATGAAATCTCGAGCTAATTCTGTTTAATTTTAAACAAATTGCGTTTTTAAAACATAAATTTTTATAAATTAAATTAATATTTGCTTCCAATTTTTGCAAATTAGGATTTTTTTAAAATTCCGAAAACATTTTTTTCTAGTGAGTGAACAAAATTTTTTTGTTCGCTCACGGAGGGGGGAGTAAGAGATTTCCTTCATTCAATGAAATTTTCAAAGCTGCAACCTTCAAGCTTAAAATTACCTTAAAAACCCAGCTTCCATCTACAGTAGTCCATAGGATTACATCTCCATCATCCCCAGCACTTACAATCCTATGACCATAAAACGGCTTCATGCCAAATCACAGTGTATTTTTGAAAGTTTATATTTCATCAAAGCACATTTGGTCGAAATTTAACTTTTTTTTCGGTCAAATGTCTCTATCAAAAAGCTTCAACTAATTTTCGACCAAATGTACTCCGGTGGAATGCACACTATCAAAAGTGCACGATAATTGGACCTGCACCCCCATAAAACGGCTTATAAGGAAGCCAGGCCACATCTCTTACCCATCCCTTATGTTTTTCAAGCACATCAAATGCTAAATCTTCTTCTTCCCACCTTCATACTTTTACAAGCCCATCAGCACCTCCAGTCACAAAGCTTTTATGAATTTCAGTGATATCAAGAATGCTTCTTGAGGATGAAGGAGACCAAAATACTGAAGAAACCCCTCCTTCATGTGCCATTAATTTAGATGCCTCCCACCTGTCGTCAGATACCCGAGTAAGGAGAGAAATGCACCCATCTGCAGATCCTGCTAGCAAAATAAGTCCAAACTCGTGAGGAGACCAGCTTAAAGAAGTAATCGGAGCAAGATGTTCTTCATATTCATATATAAGGGTCCATTTATTTTGTGCTGTTTCTTTTCATATTGCCACTTTTCTATCCCCACTTCCTGTGGCTAATAGAGAGCCAAACTGGGGATGTGACCAGGAAAGCGAAATGACGGCAGCTTGATGATAGTTAATTTCAGAAATCTGAGCTGGCTGGTCTTCTGTGAGCATAAAAACTTTGACTTTTCCATCAGAGCCACACGTAGCGAAGCGTTTTCCATAATAATCAAATTGCGTATCGAAAATCGTGCCTTCATGTGATGTCACTACAGATGTTTTAGGAAAAGCCATTTCTAAAATTATCTTAATTTACCTTATTTTATATAAAAATTTCTAGTTGTTGGAGCATTCTTATATCTCATGCCTTTTATTATCATTTTTTAAATCTTATAGAGCTATATTAATCAATCATGTAAAAATTATGTTTGTCGAAATACTGCTTAAAGTATTCATACAAATTTATGTAAATGTTCACACCTAATACAAGTCTTCCAAGTCTAGGCCAAATTCCATGTGTCAATGTCTGAAGCCCTTCACGCTTCACAATAAGTTTTATTCCGCTAAATGGAATTTTTTCTAAATGACTATAGCAGCAATTTCTTGTTTGTAGCTTTGTTTTTATTACATCAAATGGATGAGTTATTAATGTAGCTAGAATAGCACCTGTTGTGCAGCTTAAAGTTCTGGAAATATTTGGGTGCTTATCTTTGTGTTTTTTATGGAGATTTTCCATTGTAAGGAAAAAAGTTCCGGAGAATAATACATCACGGACTAGGGTTACTCTGAGTCCTGAAAAGCCAATATTACTAAAAGAGAGTTGTCCTGACCCAGTGCCCATTAAAGATGTCTTGAATCTCTCGATTGGAGAAGATACAATTACAGCTGTAAGTTTGGCCACCATAGCTGAAAGTCCAGAGCCTAGTGACCCGAACCAATCATCAAGAGGCGGCCGAAGTATTTCATAAAGAGAGTAGTGAACTAAATTAACGCCTAAAATAGATACTAGTGAAGGCGATATACCTCTTCATAAGTTAGGTAGTCCTTTATGAGAGATTATTTGCTCAATTGAGTGCTTAACAGATAGCCGATTTAAGGATCCGATTTGAGTATTTTTTATAACATCAAGTGGGTTGAGAACAATCGCGTAAACAGCAGAGGAGATACAGGTTGAAGCAAGCACAGACAGTTTGCTTTCACTCCTTTCAGTCATTTAAAAATTATGTTATTTTGATTACTGGATACTATAAGATGGACTTGTGAAGCTACAAGATAAAAAAGTTTATTTAGTTAAAAGTAAATGCATTTTTACCCTTTCTTAATTATTTTATTGAGTTTATCTTATAAACATAAATATTAAGCTGCGATAAATATTGACACTCTTTGCTTTTGAAGCTAATAAAATAATTTCAATTAACATGATAATTATCTCTTCTTGAATTTTACTATGATTAGACTGAATCCTGATACATTGGAATTTGAGAGTATTGAGTGCAATTTGATTTGAATTAATAGTTGCTTGCCTTATAATGTTTAAATTTTAAATGATAGATTTTGAAAATAGAATTTTATTGTGGATTTTATATTATTATAACATATTCAACTTTTTAACGTTTCCTGAAGCTATAAGATATCATATTGCATACAATACACAACAAAATTTATTTAAAATGGCTTTGCAATTATAATTTTTTCAAATTAAAGCATTTTCCTATCCCTCTCCTTTCAATTTTCTTTATTTATTCAATTTCTGAAGATTCCATTTCAATCTCTTTTTTATACTCAATTTCATAATAAACCATAAATGGACCCATCACCAAGTAAACTCCGTATCAAGCAGCTCTCAGAGCGACTTCTAAACCTTCAAAGCGGCTTAGAAGAAGAAAAGCAAAGCAGAGTAGAATCATTCCAGTCCAAGCTCAAAGGTCTTGAATCAAAAGTCGAAAACAGCCAGCTTAACTTCGAAAGTAAATTTAAACTCCTCAAAGATCAAGTCAACAAGCTCGGAGAAAGCATTGCAGAAGAGCGCATGGCCAGAGAGCTTCTTGATGAGCGAAAATCAAAAGAACTGAAACTCGTTGAAAACAATTTAAACATCGATTTAAACTTGCTTAAACAAAGCCGCAGAGATAATGAAGCCAAAGTAAACAAGTTGCTAGATGAAAAACTGTTCAGCTTAAGACTTGACCTTGCCAAAGAAAAAAAAGTTAGAGAAGAGGTCAGTGAGCAGCAGCATCAACAATTGGAAGAAAATATCAATAGACTTAATAGTATTGTGGAAGGAGAAGCTGCAGCAAGAGAAGAGGGCATAGAAAAACTAAATCAACACATCCATGATGAGTTTCATAATTTTGAAGAAGAGCTGGGGACTGAGAAAAAAGACAGAGAAGAAGCGAATTCGACGATGCTTAAAATGCTTGAAGAAATGCAGGAAAGACTGCTGCAAGAACTTTTAGCAGAGAGAAAAGAAAGACAAGGGACAGAAGAAACCTTGTTAAAGCTATTGGAGGAGACTTGCTTAAGAGTAGAAACTTCACTGAGAACGTCTGCTATTTAGTCTTAGCTTAAGGGATATATTTAATAAAAAATATTGGAAAATGCTTAAGAATTATTGGAAAGTTTTTATAAATTCTTTTTAAAAGAACTAGTGCTAAAATCTGTAAAGGCGATCTAATGAGAAGAAATTAGAGCTTCAGTAACTTTCTTATTGTCCCATAGAGCTTCATTTACCTATTAGTTAGTTAGTAAGAAAACAAAAATTAACTTGGACTTCTGTTTTCCGAAGCTTTTACGTGAGATTCGACTTCCGCTCTGAGCAACGAATCAGAAGTTACTCGACCGTTAGAACTTCTACTCAGCTCCAGCTTAAAAGAACACTCTTCTGCTATCCAGTTCCAGTAGATAGTATCTCAATAGGGAACCTCAGAAGAACTAAGTTCCCCTTCGCCAAAAGTAAGGGAACCACCATTGCCAGGAAACCTCTGATTTACCTATTAAATATCCTAATAAAATCTAAATTAAATGTTCGAAGACACTCCGCTTTGGGTTTTAATTCTAGCTGGTGTTGGAATTTTGTTAGTTCTTGTGCTAATTATACTATTGATTATATGGTGCTATCGAAGAAAAAAGAGCCAGTCATTATCTTACGAATTGATACATGGGCACGAAAAAGGACGGGTAGAAGAAAAAACTGTTCAAGTCTCGGCTTATACCCCTCCTGAATATAAGCCATACACTGGTGATCTTTATAAGAAATATTCTCCTACTTTAGGTCCTTAATTGCACTTTAAAATAATCGTTAGACTCTTTCTTTTTCTTAAATGTTAAATATCCCAAATATCAAGCAATATGCACGTTTAATTTAAAATTAACGTTAATAATGCAGTTCGAAGCAATCAATACCAGTATCCAGAAATCCCCTTTACGATCTCAAAGTCCAGCTAAATTTTTTCAATTTGCTCCATCTTTTACACCTAAAGGAAACTCAGGCTCCTCCAATAGAAAAAGACGGGCTCAAACTCCAAATAGCCGAAAAGCGCAGTCTGTGCAGCTTCAATCTTTCAATATAAATATCCCAGGAGCCACTCCTAAGTCTCATAAGCTTAGATTTGTAGATTATGTTTCCAGTTACCTTGATAGAAAAACCAACGAAATTTCTGACAATAAATTACCGACAATTTTTACATCCCTAGATATGAATAATTTTATCCATCCGAAATCTTTGCCAAGAAGCCACTCGTCACTGCACTCTTCAAAAATCTTGAAAATTGAAATAAATGGCTATGAGAAATTTCTTCAAAATACTGGATTTTCTGATAAACCGACCCCATATGCGAGATCATATACACCTAAAGAGATAAGTAATGTGACTCCACAGTCAAGGCCAATGACAGGGCATGCTAAAAAAGTCACGACTTCGAGGAAATCTATTAAAAGAAGAATGAAAGAAAACTTGCCTGTAAACGAATCCCCAAGAAAGAAATACAAAAAACTGATTCAGGATACTTCATTTGCATTGGAAAAAGAAAGTCTAATGGGCTGGCAATAATTTGTGTAATTAAATATTTATAAACTAAAAATGCTGCTTAGGGCATCATCCAAAGTTTCATGCCTGATGACTTTTCCAGTAAGGTGGGCTACAAAGTTATCAGGAGGTGTTACCAAAAACACAAAGGACTCTCCTGGTAATTATTTAGGCATAAAAAAGTTTGGAGGCGAAGCTGTGGGCTATAATAAAATCATTGTCCGTCAAAGAGGGTTTAAATGGAGACCTGGTGCCAATGTGATTATTGGAAAAGACCATACTATACATAGTGGTGTTGAAGGATATGTGCATCATGAATTTAATCCTGAACGAAAACAAACCGTCGTAAGTGTAGTCCCTTGGAAGCTCCCTGAAAAGAAAAAGCTAGCTCCTGTGTTTTGCTACCACCCAGAACTTTATCCTGAACTTGCTGCCAATAATCCAGCACCTACGAATTATGTTATAAAGACAAAGCCAAAGGTAGAAAAAGTTAAAAAAGATGTTGGAAAGCCACTAGATGAGCCGAAATACTTGGATAAAATAGAGATTGACTGGAGTAAAGCTGATGAAAAAACTGAAGTGAAGCTTGAAGTAAAGGAGAAGTCAAAGAAAAAGAAGAAAAAAGAGAAAGAATAGTCTTAAACTAATAGATTTATATTTTAAGGATATTTATAAATAAGCAAGGATACTAGGATTATATACATTTATTTGATATTTGTAATTTATGGATTCAGAACTGCTTGAATGGCTTTCTTATGAAGAACTACAACAATTAGCGAGCGAAAATTTGGTGGAATCTTTGGAAAATAAACTCCAGAAAACAGAAAAACAAAATATCGACCAAATTCTTCAAAATCAGACCCAGACTCAAGATTTAATTAACCAAATTGACCTAGCTGACACTTATCTGCAAGAGCTGCAAGAAAAGATGGAAGGATTCCTCAAGAAAATCCAAGAGACCAGAAACAAAACAATTCCATTAGAACAGCAGAATATGCAGTTTGCAATCCAACAAAACAATACTGCAGCACTTATCCAGACTTTATCAAATGCGTTAAACAAGCATGGATAACTAATGCTTTATTATGAATCCTTTAACTAAAACACTTTCCAATTTAAATAATCATATTTATATTAAGCGCTTTTTATATTTAATTTTAATATTGCTTGCTAAATCTTTATTTCATAGCAATTGAAAACCTTAAGCTATTACACCATTTTTCTGTCCACGTGGTTATATAAAATGAGTGAAAAAGTTCGATTCCTAACTCTGATCCGTCCTCTTATGTGTGTGCTTCCTGAAGTCAGCAACCCAATGAGAAGAGTTCAATTTAGAGACAAACTTGTATGGACTGCTATTACATTATTTATATATCTAGTTTGTTGCCAAATCCCTCTGTTCGGTATCTCAACCTCAAGCAACGCCGACCCTCTCTACTGGGTCAGAGTCATCATGGCAAGTAACAGAGGCACCTTAATGGAGCTCGGCATTTCACCCATCGTTACCTCTAGCATGATCATGCAACTTCTTGCAGGCTCCAAAATCATTGACGTCGACCAAAGCTTAAAAGAAGACCGAGCACTCTTCCAAGGCGCCCAAAAACTCTTTGGGATGCTCATCACAATTGGAGAAGCAGTGGCTTACGTTGTCAGCGGAATGTATGGAAATATCTCAGACATTGGAGCTGTTACCGCAATTTTGATTATTATTCAGCTGTTTTTGGCAGGAGTCATCGTGATTATTCTTGATGAATTTTTGCAAAAAGGTTATGGACTGGGCTCAGGAATTTCTTTATTTATCGCTACAAATATTTGTGAAAATATTGTGTGGAGAGCGTTCAGTCCGACCACAATAACTACTTCTAGAGGAATGGAATTTGAAGGAGCAATAATTGCTTTATTCCATCTACTTATCACTAGAACTAACAAAATCCAAGCACTGAAAGAAGCTTTTTATAGGTCCAATGCTCCAAATATCATGAGTTTGTTAGCGACGGTCTTTATTTTCTTGGTCGTTATTTATTTCCAAGGCTTCAAAGTAGATTTAAGCATCCGCTCTTCAAAAGTTAGAGGACACCAAGGCACTTATCCAATCAAGCTTTTCTATACCTCCAATATCCCTATTATTCTACAGACTGCACTTGTATCTAACCTTTATTTCTTTTCACAGATTCTATATCGTAGATATAGAACTTACACACTAGTCTGGCTACTTGGGCAGTGGCAAGATCTAGACCAAGGGTATTCAATACCTGTAGGTGGACTTGCGTATTATATTTCACCACCAAGGGAGTTTGGAGATATTGCTGCAGACCCAATACATGCACTAGTTTATGTAGCCTTTGTGCTGTCTTCGTGTGCGTTGTTTTCAAAGACGTGGATTGAGGTAAGTGGAAGCTCTGCAAGAGACGTGGCGAAACAGCTGAGAGACCAACAGATGTTTTTGGAAGGACACAGATATGAAAGTATGGTAAAAACACTTAACAGATATATTCCAAATGCTGCTGCCTTTGGAGGGATGTGCATTGGAGCCCTTACCATTGTGGCAGACTTGCTAGGAGCAATTGGATCTGGAACAGGGATTTTACTTGCAGTCACCATTATTTACCAATATTTCGAAGCTTTCTATAAGGAAAAACAAGAGTCAGGTGGAGTTTTCCTATTTTAAATAAAAGTGTTAGCCAGCTAATATTAAATCCCTAATATTACATAAGCGGCCTAATGGCTCTTACCTTTCCATAGGCCCCTGAGGCAATCTTAGTTATCATAAGTAATTCAGCTTATGCCAAGAGATATAATTAAGCAGTCTTTAATATGTTTAGCTATAGCGCCTTTCTTAAGATGGCGCGCAATGCGCCATCACCGGGCCATGTCGGGAAAGGGTTCTCCACGAGGAATGATTCCACATGTGGAACCCTCTTTTTCCACGAGCCAAAAAGAGGGTTCCACACGTGGAACCATTCCTCGTGGAGAACCCTCTCCCGAAATGGCCCGGTGATGGCGCATTGCGCGCCATCTTAAGAAAAGCGCTATATAAGTTGACACATATAAATGGAAGAACTCAAGAAATGGATTCGTTCTCGATACGCTCCCAAAGTGCTTATCATTTCTAGTTTCGAAGCTAGAGCTATCATTCAGAAATCAAACTTATCCCCAGCAGAGCTTCTTCAGCCTTTCACCTACATTTCTCACTCATTCACTGTAAAAACCCTTACAAGCACTATAAATTGCCCAAGCGTGAAGATTGATGTGGTGGATACATTGGAATGCCGTATGAATGACCGTATATTGACTGATAACCCGCCCCAAATCTCATGAGATGGGTGCTATGTGCATGGACCTAAAGATATCAAACAATTTTTAAGCAAAGATACCACCCCATGGTTTACTGCTTGGCAGCAGGCGTTCTTGAAATCGCTGAACCATTCTCCTCATGAGCTAATTGATATGCCATTGGCTATTGTTTATATGGCTTCTACAACGGATTTAGACCCTTTGGCTACTTTTCAGACTTTATCAAGATCACAAGCTCTGCCTCAGCTGTATCATCAGAAAATTTATGATGGGACTTGTCCGAAAGTTTTTCTTTTATTTCATGACGTGGGGACAAGCTCACTGAAAAATGCTGAAGTATTACAAATTTTCGAAAAAATGCAAAAATCACTGGCGCCAAGCTTGTGCCACTGGCAGTGCATAAATTCAGTGACAGAGCCAAGCCTAAACCACTGGGGACCTGAGAAAGGACAGTCAATTTCTTCATCTGACTGCTTTCAGTTACAGATGTTTATAGATGAGCTTCTAATGCGTGAAATTGTGCCATATATAGAAAGAGCGTTAAAAACCCTTGATAATATTTTAGAACAAAAACGAAGAGGCTTAAAAAATTCCATAAAAAGTATTTTTGGTAAGAAAAACGTTGAATTTTCATTTCAGTATGGAGGGGTTGAACATGTGACTCGGTTAATTGCAGATTTGGCATTTTTATGTGGGGATTATGATCTTGCTGTGAATAATTATAGGTCTGCTTGCAATGAGTTTAAAAATTTGAAGGCGTGGCCACATGCAGCTTCTGCAAGTGAAATGCAAGCCTTGTGTGTGGTTATGCTAGGAGGGGATAATAGAGAAGTGGAATATGCGCTGGATACTGCTTATACATTATACCAAAGAGCAGGAGAGCAGGCTTTGCTTTTGAGATGTGCGATTATTACAAAATATGTATTCCAAGGAATGGAAAACTATAGAAAACTAGCCCAAAAATTAATGAACGCTGGAAATGATGCAAGAGAAATCCAGGTAGCCTATCCTTTATTTATGGAACAAACTGCTTTGGCTTATTTAAAAATCCGTCCAGCTTATTTCAGAAAATATGCGTTTTATCAAGTATTGGCAGGAGATGAGTACCGTAAAATTCAGCTTGTAAAGCATGCTCTTAACTGTTATTACTCTGCTTCTCACATATATAAAGACAAAAAATATGATTTTGTTATGATGCATTTAGAGCATATGCTTGGCCGATTTTGTTATTATTTAGAAATGTATGCAGAAGCTGTACATTTCTTTTTAAGCTTATCCAGCTCTCCTAAATTGCTTATCCATAATGATCAGCATCAGAAAAAAATTATTAATGAGTTAATTTCTACAGTCGCCAAGTGGACTTCTTTGCCAATCCCTCAGGACTATGACCCAATCAATAAAAACTCAATTCCTTTTCATCCTGATGGAAAACCTTTATTGAATTTTTTGCTGCCCAAAATCAAGCAATACTCAGTCAGATTGCCACAAGATAAGGTGGTCACTTCTGGAAAAGATAACTCCTCAGGGATTTCAGTAACTTGGGGGTCTTTATTAAGCCAGGTTTCAGGCTCAAGTCATCTAACTTAACTTAACTTATTAGGTTCTGTATTTAACGCCATTCACGGGGTGACCCCTCCCAGAGCTTCCCGCTGCTTCTTCGCCGCATAGGGCCCGCCGACCGTCTGGGGCCAGTCAGCCTCGATCTCCAGTACGCGCCTCCGGAGCAGTGTTGCCGACTAAGGCGGCTCATGCCTGAGCTACTTCGCTTGAGGACATGGGTTGCCATTCCGAAAATCCATAAAAAATGGACTTTCTGGTAGGCTTTCGGCAAAAAGGAAACACGAAGCCTGGGACGTAACGCCCAGTTTCACGCTAGGGAGTTGCCCGATTGGTCCTAACGGACTTGGCTGAGCTTCCCCTTTCCAACTTGCGTGCCTCCTTTCCCATGAGGAAAAAACATTCCCGAAAGTAGACTTGGGCTAGGCTCTGAGCACAACCAGAATTGCTTACCTAGCATTGCCGTCCGTTTCTGAAATGCAAAACCTTGCCGGATATAATTAAAATATGAGTCGAGTATGCATGGCCGGGAGGCCATGCCCAGACGAAGACGCCATATTTTAATTATTCAGGCTCAGTCATCTAACAGAGGAATTTGACGTATTTGATAGCAATAAAGAAATGAAAGGGATTAGAAGCTTCCATATAGGAGAAACTGTAGAAGTCAGCATATTGACTCATAATCCACTAGATCTGATGCTTATTATAGAAGACGTCCAAGTTATTGTGGAGTATGAAGATGAGTCTGGGATTGTAAACATGACCAGCTTGGATAAACTTGAATTGTCACCTAAAATTGATAAAACTGTGACGCTAGAATTCAGCCCTCAGAAGCCTGGAAAATTAAAAATCAGAGGGGTAAAATGGAACTATAGTGGCGTCTTTTATGGTGTTTATAACTTTTCTGAGCTGATTTATGAAATAATTCCAGAGTCATCATCAGTTTCTGCTTCTTTTTTGCAGTTCCCTGACTCTTTGTTGCATGGACAAATACAGGAAGTCCAGATAAAAGTTACAAATCAAGTTATAAATCCTATTAATGACCTTTGCATTACTTTTTCTCATCCCTTTATGTTTGGAAAGTCCCAAATTAAACTAGGAGATTTAAATGAAGGAGAAGAAAAAGTGGTGGATATATGACTTAGAGGCGAGTTCATATACCTTTTAACTGATTTTATAGCTTTTAAATTAAAAGGTCAATAAAAATGTAAATTCAAAAGAAATTGCATGTAGGATTTCATACAATTAAATTCCTTATCACATATCTTTCTCAAGGAATCCTTAGATATACTCGTGTTCAGAGCGTTTTTGAAGTAAAACCGTCAGTCAAAATCCAAACCCGATATGAATCAAGCTGAAAAAATCCTAATGAAAATATCTTACAACTGTTTGTTCAGCCAGCTTTTAATGCAGAGCTTTCTCTAAAGCAGTTGTCTTCTCTCACAAATCATTCTTTGAGAATAATAAAAACTCTTGGAAAAGAAATTTTTTATTTAGCAGTGAAAACTGGGGATGAAGCACAAAATATATCAATATCTCCTAATCGAAACACAAAAAATAACTAGTTTTTAAATTAAATTATTCACCAAAATTATTATGAAATCTAATGAAGGATTAGTTGATCAATATAATTAAATATATCATTTTTGAGCAGGATTGGCTGGAACCTGTCGACGTTAAATCAGGATTCTGCTGGGAAGTCAAAGAAGCCTTGAAAAAATTCACAAATAGCGACCCAGGCCTCGATTTACTTATATCATGAGAACTCATAATTAACCAAACCAGAGTCCAAGGCCATCATTATTTACTCAATTTATCCTTATACCAAGACAAACAAGCTATACCTCTTCGTATGGTTATCGACGCTCCTTCAGAAATTTCTCACGATTTTTCAGCAACCCCAGTCTTATTGATCCCAGTTAAATTATCCCTGAAAAGTTTAAATGAGAAATCTCAGAGCTTTAACCTCGAAGCCTATGATAGTAACGTCCAGATCAATGAAAAAGACATACAAAAGCCTCCTCACTTATGATGGAGTGGAAATACCTGCACGAGATTTGAAAAAATGGACTCTGGAGAAATCAAAATAATTGAATTCACTGCATTAGTCACCGAGCCGGGCTGCTACAATTTAAATAGGTTTTGCTTTACTTTTGATTCAGAAATCACAAAGAAATGTGTATTTCCATATCAGCATCAAATATTGATTAACTAAATTCTTTATATAAATAATAATTTTAAATATTTATAAAGCAACTTTAAATTAAATTTTGATAGAACCATTTCATAGAATCCCTGAATTCTTCGCTGTATCCTTTAAGATTTTATAAATAAAATGGAATCATGCTTGAGAGAAATTAGCTTCACCAATTTTTCCTCTCATAGAATTTTATTTATGGGGTTTGATTTTCTCTCGAAAACTTCTACATAGCAAGAGGTTTAAATTTGGGGATAACCGAGGGAACTGCTCCTCAGTGCAACCAAGAGGCTATGTGTTGCACGCTCAGTACATCTGAGGAGAAGTATGGCCCTTAGACGCAGGAGTTGAGTCAGGCAAGGGCAAAGGCAAAGGCATCGACAGGGAGATAAGATCTTTTCAGGATGGGAGGCGGTTTATTTGGGATATTCTAACCTTTTTGATAAGAAATGCTCGTGACGTCACTTTTTGGCTCTGTCCCTTTAACGAGAGGCAGGCGTTAGACACCTTAAATACTCTAATTAATATACAGAGGTATGGCATTACACACTTTAAGCACTCTAATTAATATATAATATAATGTACCCTTTAAGATTCAACTCTACACAGCGAATTTTAATAGATCGATGAATTTCTTCAAGTGAACAGATTTTGAATAAGTCTCCAGGCTTTCTCTTCTCTTTATTAGATTTCGTATTAAAAATAACTGACTCTTCTACCCCTCCGTGAGCTAAAAAAAAAATTTTGTTCTCTTACGGAGGGTTTTAATTTTTTTTTTAAAAAAGTTTATATATAATTTTTATTGTTAAATTTTAATTATTAAATTAATTTGCAAAATTTATGTTTTAGAGTGCAAGTTCTTTAAAATTAAACAGAATTAGCTAGATATTTCTTATAATAATTATTACTTATATATCAAAATATTATTTTATAAAAAAAATTATTTTAAAAAAATTGCTTGCTCACTCACGGAGGGTGTGTTTTACCAAAAGAATAAGATTTCTCCCAATGCTTTTGCTCGCTCACGGAGGGGGGAGTAAAAAAATTGCATCCCTGAGCTCTTCTTCATTTGTCAAGTGGTGAAGTTTTCCCAAGGCTTGTTCAAGCTTTTGCTCATTAGAGTCTGAATCTATTACAAAAATAACCCCTGAAAACAAAATATTCTTATAAAAGGATGACCATAAAGGCAAAAGAGCTTCTTTTCCAGACACATCTCAGATCCCTATGTCTTTGCCTTCTCCGTCTTCCAAGAAATTTCTGACTTCATAGTTATACCCTTGTGTGGATTCTAATGAATCTGCAATCTCAGCATAAAGAAGAGTTGATTTTCCTGCACCTTGAAGGCCAACTAAAAGTATTTGAGGAATAGTGCTTCTTCTGTTTAAATTTCCCATAAAAATTAATTATTTTTAAATGAAAATAATTTTAAAAGAAAAATTTATTGTAAAATCTATTTATAGATAATGAATTATCTTTTAGTTTTGGTGGACTGCTGAGCCGACAGGTGCATAGGAAGCAAATTGTCCTGAACCCATTGGCATCGCATTGTAAGGCTGAATTTGGGGAGATAGGCCTTCGAATTTCTTGGCATTCTTGTAGAGCTTTTTCGCACATATAATGCAAAACGCAAAAACTGCGAAAATGCAGAGAGTTGTCATGGCAAGGCCTGGAATCATGTGGGATTTGAATTCTCTTTCGTCTATTTCACCGTCTTCATCTCCTTCACCACTTTCTTCATGTCTATCCCTTTTTTGTTTTTCATGATCTCCATTTTTATTATGCTCAGCATTTTCAGGTCTCTCTGAAGAGTCTTGGCCACCGTTATGGTTTCCATTGTGTTTGCCTTGTAAGCTTCCGTTGCTTTCTCTGTAGTGGCTACCATCCCTATCATTTCTTTCTTCTCCTTCTCCTCTGTTAGGGTGATTTCTTTCTTCATTATGGCTACCTCTTCTGTCATTTTGGTCTCTATTTGTGTGAGATCTTTCATTTTCTTCTACTTCGTCTTCAGGATATTGGCCTTTATTATGATATAATTAAATAATGTGTCTTGGTTTGGGTATTGCATCCCGGCAATGCAGCCTCGAGCACATATTTATTTAAATCGGCAAGTTTTTTCCAACCCAGAAATGGGTAGCTATGCTAAGTAAGCAGCTCTGGCAATGCATACAGCCAAACTTAGACTACTTTCAGAATTGGATTTTATCTCAAGGGAAAAGATGGGTTCAGAGTTTGGAAATGGAATCCCAGCATCATCTACAGGCAATGTCTAGACCAATCGAAACTTTCTAAAGTGAACTAAGAATTACGCCTCAGGTTTTGAATTTTTCCTTTTTACCATTTTTTGGGATTTTTGTATAGGCAGCTTCGTCTAGCCCAGCAAAGTCACAGAAGTCCTAGCTTTACCACTCACCACTGGAGCCGAAAAGGCAAGGAGTATACGGAACCACCGAACCTTAATATATAGGATTTGCCCTAGGATGGCGCTATATGGCGCCATCCTAGGGCAAGCGAAAATTGGCTCCACACGGGAGCCGTATTCCATGTGTGGAGCCATTTTTTCCACGTGTGGAATCCACATTTTTCCACGTGTGGAATCCACATTTTCCCACGTGGAACACAAATTCCCGTGTGGAGCCGTGTCTCCAATTGCCCGAGGATGGCGCAATATAGCGCCATCCTCGGGCAATTTCTATAGCTGATCATGGCAGCGTCCGCTTAGAACAAATTTTCCCTAGGAAATGTGACACTATCAAAAATACGCGTCATTTTAGCATGCAGCCTCTCTGGCGATGTCCCAAAGAGACTGAATCTACTAGGAGATCCCTGGTGATTGCGTAGCCAACAGGCAAGCCACCACACCTATAATAAGTTTAAGGCCTTTATTAGGATGATTTCTTCCTCTATTTCCTTGTCTTTCATCTCTTTCTCCATCGAAATCACGATCTCTTTCATTTTCATCTTCACGACCTCTTTCCCTTCTTTCTCCACCAAAAATATTTTCTCTTTCATCCTCAGGGCGATCTCGGTGGCCTCTTTGACCTCTTTCGCTTCTTTCTCCTTCAAATTCATTTTCTCTTTCATCTTCAGGGCGATCTCGGTGGTCTCTTTGACCTCTTCTGTTTCTTTCTCCTTCAAATTCACGATCTCCTTCTTCTTCAGGACGATCTCTGTGATCTCTTTGAAGTCTTTCATTTTCTTCTCCTTCGAATTCATGACCTCTTTCACCTTCTTCCTCAAGACGATCTCTATGACCTCTTTGGCCCCTTCCATTTTCTTCTCCTTCGAATTCGTGACCTCTTTCACCTTCTTCCTCAGGACGATCTCTATGGCTTCTTCCATTTTCTTTTTCATCGAATTCGCGATCCTCTTCCTCAGGGTGATCTCTATGACCTCTTTGATCTCTTTCATTTCTTTCTCCTTCAAATTCATTTTCCCTTTCTTCATAATGATCTCTGTGACCTCTTTGATCTCTTCTGTTTTCTTCTCTTTCAAATTCACCATCCTCTTCTCTTTCTTCATCAGGATGATGGTTCCTTTGATGTCTTCTATTTCTTTTTCCTTCAAATTTTCCATCTCTTTCTCTTTCTTCATCAGGATGGTCTCTGTGGCCTCTTTGACGTCTTCCATTTCTTTTTTCATCAAAGTCTCTATCTCTTTCTTCTTGAGGGGCTTGATCTCTTTCTTCTTCAAAGCTACCTTCTCTTTCATCTTCACGTGGAGGCTGTTGATGATGTCTCCTTGAGCGTCCTTCTTGGTCTTCCTCTAATGGCTTATGGGATTTTTTGCCTTTGCATCCTGATTTTTTACCTTTGTGGTGAGGTGGTTGGGGAAATTCACCATTTTCTTCTGATTCTATTTCATTTTCTTGTGGTCTATTAGCTTCTGAAGATGAATTATTAAGCTTTTCTTCTTCCTCCTTCTCTTCTTCATCTTCTGGTGGTGGAGGTGGGAAATCTTCTTCCTCTTCATCTTCTGGAGGTGGATGTGGGAAATCTTCATCTTCATCCTCTGGATGTGGATGTGGGAAATCTTCATCTTCATCCTCTGGAGGTGGAGGAGGATGCCTGGAGCCTTTTCCTCTATGTCTATTTCCATGATGAGGTGGAGGTGGAGGCGGGAAATCTTCATCTTCATCTTCTTGCTCATCATGCATTGGTGGACGAGACTTTTCTCCTCTATGTCCAGACTTCTTTTCTCTATGGTGTGATTGTGACTCAGCCTCTCCCTCAGGTGTTTCTCTATCTTCAGCTGGGTCAAATTCTTCTTCCTCTTCATGTTCTTCTGGAGGATTAAATTCTTCTTCCTCTTCATTGTCTTCAGGAGGTGGAGGAGGATGCCTAGAGCCTTTGCCTTTATGTCCATGTCTATTGCCATGATGAGGTGGAGGCGGGTTAGAGTCTTCTTCTTGTTCATCATGTGGGGGGTGAGAGTCATTTTCTTCACCATCTTCTGGAGGACGTGGGAAATCTTCTTCTTCATCTTGTTCTGCATTAGGAGGATTATTGTGGTTTGGTGCATTATCATTTCTTTGGCCTGATTTATTGTCTTGTTCCCTTTCAGGTGGAGTTGGTCTGTTATCTTTATTGTCTTTTGGGTATAAGTTTTGACTCTCCTGAATCTTAGTTTCATAGTCTTCATTAGGGTTTTTACCTTGATAGCCTCTATGGCCTTCTTTATCTCTTGGCTCTCTATTTTCTGACTCTCTTGAAGACTCATGACTATCATAAGGCTTCTTGCCTTCTGGTCCTTCTTTGTCCTCATCTGCATAGTTTTCTTCATTTCTTCTGCTTACATTTCCTAAGAAGCAAAAGCTATATAATAATGTAGCAACAATTAAAAATATGGCTAAAATCGTAACAGCCTTTAAGTACTTTTTAGCAGACAAAGAGTCTCTTTTTTTGCCAGCTCTCAAGCCAAATATTGAAGTCCCCATAAGCGAGAAGTCAACAATAGCTTTGAAAATGAGAATAGAAGTAGTTGGCTGAAATTGGTGATGAGCTCCATTTAGATCGTCACTAGGAGTTACAAATTTGAATAAAGTCAAACTGATGTCAAAGACAGCTATGCCTAGCATTAGGAATGAGGTTATTCTTACCCACTTTGCCCATTTGTCCCTTAGCTTCTTGACTTTGTGGAATTTTGGGTTAGGGATTGGAGCAAGAACTTGAGGAGCCTGAATAGGTTGAGACTGTATAGGAGGAGGAGCACTTGGTAGAGGCCCTAAGGATGCGTATTGTAATCGCCCATCAGATCCTTGCTGGATATAGTTTTGGGGTTGTGGTCTTGCAAAGTATTGCCTTTCTTGATTTTCCATATACAATATATTATTATTAAAGGATTTTTTTTATGGTTTCATATCAATGTTGAAAGAAAATTTAAATCGAAAAACGAAAAATTGCATTGATTATTGCTTTCAGAGGATGTTTTTCAACTTTTTTTTGAATAATTTTTAAGCAAAAAAATTTGTAACGTCTTCGGAGATTGATAAAATGGTCCTGTTTTATTCAGTAAGGAACATAATGGAATTAGCACACACTTTTTACGAAGAAACAGCTTATATAAATATATCCCAATATTATGATTTAAAAAAAGTGAACTCCTATAAAATAAAGCACTCATTAGAGCAATAAAACTACTCAAACTTAAGCTATAGCAATTAAAAATATTTTTAAAATAATTTTTCAAAAAATTAACCAGCATTCACACTTAAATTCTTTATTTAATAATTTATTTTGATAGCTCCCCCCATCCTTGATCGAACGATTGACTGTAAAAATTCCTAAAGATTAGGAAAAATTAACCCCTATCCTTGATTGAACGATTTTCATATCATGCAAATTTTTATATATATAAAAATATATTAGTTATCAAAAGCTTTGGAAGATGTGCCTAATTAGGTTGTTTTCAGAGGCCTTGAGATGACATGAAGCTACGGAATAAGCCATCCGAAGTACTTTAGTCATCAATCTGGGCTTAAAAACTCAATAATCTAAAAAATAGAGATTCTTTAAATTTAAAAATTTTTAATCCCAATAACGAACAATTAAAATTTATATAGTTTAAAAAGGGTAATCAAAAATTTCAAAATATTAAAAATTGGTATTTTTAAGAAATTAATTCAATTTTTTGCTGTAAAAATAATTATTAAATGCTCTTAACCCTCTTATTTAAAAGTATATAAAAAGAAACATATATTTTTTATTTTTATATATAAATTGTTTCCCAAAAAAAAATTTTTTTTTTAACGATATCCTTGATCGAATGATGGCGAGCCGTTAGATCGAGGATGGGGAGAGTAAGAAAGAATAGAGAGTCAAAAACATTATTTAAGATTATTTACTCCCCCCCCCCCCCCCTCCGTGAGCGAACAAAAAAATTTTGTTCGCTCACGGAGGGGGGTTTAATTTTTTTTTTAAAAAAAATTTATATATAAATTTTATAAAAAATATTTTTTTCGAAATTTAAAAAAATCCTAATTTGCAAAAATTGGGAAGCAAATATTAATTTAATTTGCAAAATTTATGTTTTAAAACGCAATTTGTTTAAAATTAAACAGAATTAGCTCTAGATTTCATTATACTAATTATCACTTATATATCAAAATTTTTTTTCCATTAAAATTTTTTCTATTAAAAAAATTTTTGTTCACTCACGGAGGGTGGGTTTTTGGTCAAAAAATGGCGATTTTTTCTAATGGTTTTGTTCGCTCACGGAGGGGGGGGGAGTTAGAATAATTATTTAGCTAAAAAACGAATTTTTAGAGTAGATTTTTAATATATATATTCTCATTGTGTTCTATATTAGATATTTATTCAATTTAAACTCTATTTAGATAAATTAAAAATCGATCTAAATGCTTAGCATTAAAAATTTTGTCATATAGTTAATATTAGGCTAATTGAATAAACTTCTAATTGGTAGTTCTTGTTAAAGTTTTGGTAGGCCAATTTCGATTTTAAAGTACTGCAAAACTGTTTGAGATTTCAATAGGCATCAAAAATAAATATTAAAATTGAAAATTTATACTTATATGAAAATTGAACATTTTAATCAAAAATTTATGCAATAATAGTTATTATTAGTGCTGATTCATTATTGATCCAACTGGAGCAAATACAGGATACTGTGCTTGAGCGCTCATAGGAACTGAACTGAATGATTGCATTACATATGGCTGACCTATCATAGGCTGAATAAAATCTTGGGGAGCAGGCACTTGCTGTGATGTTAAAACTTCATATTTCTTAGAAGATTTGTAAAGATTTCTGGCACATACAATGTTACATGCACAAAGACCTGCTGTGCACAAAACATTTATCAGCATGCATATAATGATGATTGATTTAAAACTGACATCGTGATGATTCCTATTACCGCCATACATAGCATCGGTATCTTCGCTGTCGTAGTATGTATTCCCATCATAAATTTTCCCACCCATCCCTTCGTTTATTTCTTTATTGTGTTTTCTTCTATGATTTTTTCTTTTTTTAGCCTCGTCTCTATCATCTCTATCATCTTTGTCATCTTTGTCATCTTTGTCATCTTTGTCTCTATGATATCGTGCTCTTTTTTCATGCTTATTATGCTTTTTTTCTTCTTTGGAATGCAAAAATCTGTTTCCATTCTTATTTTCATTGTTTTCTTCTTCAGGATCGGCTTGATGGCCTTCAGCATGTCCTCCTCCTATAAAAGAAAGTTGTCTGTTTTTATTTTGATTTTTCTTATCCTCTTCTTCCGAAACTTCTTTTTCCTTTTCTTCTTTATCAATTGAGCCGTTTTCATTATAATCTTCACTCTTCGGAGAAGCAGAAAATTGGTCTTGCTTAACCTCCATGGGTTTATTCTCACTAATTGAATGAGCTTCAGTATCTCTTGAAGTAGGTTCATTACTTTGATTAACCTTATTATAATAAATCGAGTTTTGAGTACCATAATCTGTTGGGTTTTTCTTTTGTTCTGTTTCATTAACTTCGTATGCATCTGAGGAGTCATCAATTTCAGGCCCTCCAAATTCCCAATCTTGAAAAGGTGCTGGCTCAAATCTATCTCTGCTTTCTTTTTCTACTTTATTTGCCATTACAAAGCTACAAATGATTGTTGAAGCAATTAAGAAAATAGCTAGCAATGTCAAAGCTCTTAAATATTTTTTTGCTGATAGTGAGTCTTTTTTCTTGCTTGCTTTAAAACCGAGCATAGATGTGCCAATCAGAGCTAAATCAGCGACTGCTTTAATTATAATGTCACAAGCTGACAGTCTTAATTGATTCTGATTTGGGTCATGAAATTGATTTGAGTTAGCATATGTAAGTAGTGCCATTGAAAAATCAAGGATTGCTAAGAAAAGCATTAAATATGAGGCTACTGGGTTCAGATTATTTTTCGACCAAATGCCACACTATTTAAAATTTTCAGCCAAATGTATTTCGATGTAATGCACACTATCAAAAATCCACCGTCATTTGGCAAAGCCGAGGCTACTTCGACCCATTTAGCCCACTTGTCTCGGCGTTTTTTGACTTCATAGAGTTCTGGATGCATAATTGGTGCGGAAAGCTGAAATCGCTGCCCAGGGTGCATCATCTGATGGGGTAGGTATGCTCCATTTGAATAAGATCCTAACGGAGCATACCGTGGTCTCTCATCAGAACCTGATCGAATGAAATGCTGAGGTTGTGGCTGAGCAAAAAATTGCTGATTGTCCATAATAGAAATTTTATTATAACAGATTCTTTTTAGTGAGGAATATGAATATTATTTTAAAAGCGTAGTGAAATATGCAGAAGATAATGCAAAATAATTAAGCTCTGAAACTTTTAAAGTATCTCTCCTATCCATTTTAAATACTTTGTTGATTTTAAAAAATGAAACCCCACCTTTCCAAAAATGACGATATATTTCCAGTATGAGTCACTCTTAACTATGGAAAAAGATAATCCTTTAACTCAAGAATAATCAGTCAAATATTTCCATCAATACGATTTTTTCATGTTTTTACAAAGAGATTGTGAATATTAAAAGCATTTATGTTTATTTAAAGCATAATTCTTATTTAATGGGCTTTATGCTCTTTATGATACATCTCTAGCACACAAAGATTCCATACAAACAGAAAATGGCAAACAATGAATTTTCTAGGGGTCTTACTGAAAAAAGGCACCTCTACACCCCAATTCATAGAAGGACGCATTCCACTAATATAGAAAGCGTTAAAGGAATAATATCATTACAAAACCATCGTCGCACCCTTTCAAATACCCCTCAAGAGTTCAGTCCCATTCAAAATCCTCAGCAAATCCAAAATTCTTTAAGAAAACCTTTAAATGTTGAGCCTTACAGAGAGCCTCTAACCCCTGACTCCTTAAATTCTCCAGCTTCCTCTTGCTCATAATAATTATTAATATGGTGGAGAGACAAAATATGCCATTAACGATGACGCACCACAGTGGGCGCCAAAATGGCTTTATAGCCTAATCAAAGGCTCAGACCCTTTGATTCTAACCCTAAGCTAGCTGTATGGGCTCCGTATGAGGTGGGTGGCCTTGGGAGTCAGCTAGTGGTCATTCCAGTCCAGTATTAGTTATCCGGATGGTTTTTGGACCATGGATTCCTTCTCTGCCGGTTTCAGAAGGCTATGACTCTTTTTTCCTGGGTGCCGTCTCTCCCAAAGGTGGCCGACAGGAGGTATTAGGCTACGTTTACCTCCATAGCACCCGATGGTGCACTAACAGGACGTCTTTCTAACCAGTCGAGATTCTTTGAGATCACAGTGCAAGCCCATCTCCTAGAGAATATCACCATTCAAATTAGCGGCTGAGTATCCGCCCATCAAGCAGGTTGGCGCTGGCCGAAAGCATGCTGAGGCATCAAATCTGGAAGGAATTAAAACTCTTAATTTAATTTATTTTGTTCATCTCAGCCTAAAAAGATTAACAAAAAAGGATTTATCGGCTTATTAGATGCAGCAATCACTTACTTCAACCAAGAGCCTCAGATTCAAATCCCAGCTCCCAACAATGAGATTATAGAAATGAAAAAAGAAATAAGAAGACTTACAGAAAGACAATTAGAAATAGAAAAAGCTAATGAGCAATTGCTAAAAGATTACTCAATGATGAAGGCAGCCTTAGAAGAGCAGAAATCTAAAAAAGAAAATTACGAAAAGCATATCCAGTCTCTACAAAACTACACACAAGAACTAGAAAACGGTGTAAAAAAAATCCAAATTGAGCTGAAAAATGAACAGAAAAAAAACGAGCAGATGAGAATGGCAATAAATGTAAATGAAAGCCAAGCCAATGAAAGGAGGCTGCTAGGGAGAGTGCCTGTATGGGAAGACGAAGGAAAAAAGAGGGGAAAAGAAGAAAGCTTGAGGGTGGATAAACCTTCACCAACACCTATTATGTACAAGCCGATTTCCCAAAGAGGAATGAAGGAAGAAAAAAGAAGATCAATGGGGTTTACTTAATACTTTAGTTTAACATGTATTCTTATGAAAGAAATAGAATATTGTCAAAAATGCTACAGTTAATTAACAACAGCTAGAATAATTTGAAATCCTTCGGCTATAATCTGCAAGCATAAGCTTTATTTCTCGGTTGCATGTTAATTTCCTTGCTTTCGATATATCTTGCTTTTTTCACTTCCCAAAATTCAATAAAACTTCGACAGCTTTTATATTCCCCCACCTGCATGCAACCTCCAAGCAAGATTCCATTTCATTATCGCCTACTTCACTTTTTATCAGTGGATTCGCCCCAAATTCGATTAAACACCTAATTACATTTGGATACCCGTTCAAAGCCGCTTCATAAAGCGGCGTCCTTCCTACCACGTTTCTTTTATTTAAAAAAGATAATTCACTTGTCGGGTTTACAAGAAACTTTTTAGGGTCATTATAAACAAGTTTTTCAATAGCATCAAGATCAGATTTACTGCCGCGTCTGATGTGCTCGAATAAACTTTCTCTTCGCTTGTGTTCTAAAATTGCTTCATATGAAGGATTTCCAGATATAAAAGTAGATGACGCATTGCTCTCAGGGCAATGCACTATTTCGTCGATTAATTCATCAATATTAGAAACCACGTTTGCGATGCCTGATTCTTTGAATAAATGAACTGCTTCAATTGCATTTCCTATAGATTTCCATCGCCGCTTGGCACTGTATTCCATTTCTTATGATTTAATTAATTCTTAAAAAAATAGACTCTGATCTTATTGTAAAATAGTTTTATATATTCTTTTTGAATTGGTAGTATTTAAACTCTCACTCAAAATATTATTCTTTTTAAAAATTTTGGCTATTAAAATCTATTATTTTTTATATATAATAAATCGATCATTTCCAGTTATGAAGTTTTGGGATATAATTTGGAATAATTTAATTTCATTTTTATTTATTATCAATAATTAAATAAGATCGGATATGTATCAGTTATGCTTTTTTTATGAAGCCTTAGTAAATCTTTAAATGTCATTATTTTTTCTATACGTTAAATTAGCATTTTATAAATAACGCTATTGATAAAGTTGGCAGTTGATAAAATAATTAAGATAATGCAAAAATCAAAAGACAAATCATTTTCCCGATCTTCAATAAATTCAGCAGCTCACCAAGTTTTAGTTGCATCTCCCATACTAACCCCCCCTCCGTGAGCGAACAAAACCATTGGAAAAATCCCTATTTTTTGCCCAAAGACCCACCTTCCTTGAGCGAGCAATAATTTTTTATGGACTAAAAAATTGATATATAAGTGATGAATATTATAACGAAATCTCGAGCTAATTCTGTTTAATTTTAAAAAATTTGCGTTTTAAAAATAAATTTTACAAATTAAATTAATATTTGCCTTCCAATTTCCCGAGAAGTGAGATTTTTTTAAATTCCGAAAAAAAATTGACCTCTCCGTGAGCGAACAAGATTTTTTGTTCACTCACGGAGGGGGGAGTAAGAGATTTCACGCCAGATAAAATCTCAAGAGCTAATGGGAACACTTTGCAACAGCAAATAGAAAAATTAATAAAAGAAAACCAAGAAAAAGATCAGATCATTATATCTCTACAAAGGAATTATGAAGGGGTCAGCAAGATTTTTAAAGAAGAAAAAGGGAAAACATATGAAAGCAATGACAAAATAATTATTTTGGAAGGCGAAAATTCAATGCTACAAGCCAAAGTTCAGATTTTAGAAACACAGAAATTCAGCATTACGAGAGAGCTTGATAAAGCCTTAGAAGACCTTGATAAGCTAAACAAATGCTATGAAGAAATAAGAATAATAAAAATTGAAAACCAGACTCTAAAAGGGCTAATTGAGAATAGAGTAATATTGATATAGAAAAATGATATCGAAGAAGTTCAAAGAAAATGCGACATAGCTAAAGGAGAGGCTGATGCTTTGAAAAAGGTGAAAACTGATTTAGAGTCTTCTTTAAAGAAAACTAAATCAGATTTTGATGAACTTCTACAGGAAAAAAACAAAATATTAGAAGAGTTAAATAGCCTAAAACAAATCAATGAAGATTTAACACACAGCAGCAAAACAAAATATGAGACTATTGAAAGACTAAAAACAGAAAACGCAACCTATAAAGCTAGAGAGCATCAGCTATTGATTCAAATTTCAAATCTTAAAGAAAAGATTAATGAAGAAAAAGAATCACATATAACAGCAAGAGGAAAAATTTCAGAATTAAGCTCAGCATATCGTGAGCTTCAGGAGCAATTACTTATTAAAGAAACTTTATTTAAAGCTCAGAAAAATTCAGCAGAAAAAATTTCTGAATTGGAAGAGATTATAGCCAAAAAAGATTCTGAAATAGAAAATTTATTGAAAGAAAATGAAAACCTTCAATATTTGCACCAAAAAGGCGCAAACGATTCAAGCAGGATTAGTAGAGAATCTTTGGATATTAAAATGGAATATGAAAATTATAAAGCAAATATTGAAAGTCAAAATCAATTAAGCAGTGAAAAAGTCAATAGCATTATTACAATTAAAATAGAGGAGCTCTGGTAATGGTAGTTCCGTTACTTTGGACTCAGTGAAGGGGAAATTAGGTTCTTCTGAGAATTTGCATAAAAGAGACGCTATCCACTGGCACTGGGTAGCGAAAGATGAGTGCTCTTTGATGCTAGGGGCGAATGAAGCTCTAATGGTCGTGTAACTGCCAATCCGTTGCTCAGAGCGAAACTCGAATCTCACGTAAAAGGCTTCAGAAAATAGAAGAGCAAGCTGTTTTTTAAGGGTTTTCTTACTAACTAACTAATAGCATTATCAAAATATTTATGAAAACTGAAATTCAATGCAGAGACCTAGAAATGGAAATAGATATTCTGCCAAAAGATGAGGAAAGAAGATACATGGACATTGGAATTTTGAATGGAGAATTAGGAAATAGGCTAAATTATTTGCATAATCAAGCAGATGAGCTGTGCAAAGACAAAATTTTGCTTCTTAATGAATTAAAAAATTCACCAAAAGGAAATTTCATATCTCAGGATTTATATGATCTAACAAATAAGCATAAAAATGAAATAGAAACAAAGCTTAAAGATGCGGAGGAAAAGATTGAAAGCTTAAATCACGAGCTTTTATTTGCAAAAAGAAAAGCAAAACAAGCTGAGCATTTTATTGAAAAGAAAGACAGCATGATTGCGTCTTTAAAAGAGACAAATGAAAAACTTGAATTGGATCTCAATGAATACCGTAACAAAATTGAAGAGTTAAATAAGGAATTAAATCAAAAAAATAAAGACTTTGAGCCGCTTGTTAGAAAACTAAAGAAAAAAGTCGAAAAAATGGCAAATTTAAAAGCTGAGCTGAGCGTGTTAAACCCAAGACTTCCTAGTCTTAATGAAGAACTTGCTAAAATAAAGGCAGTTTTAAGCAGCCGCAATGCTGATATATTAAGCCTAAATTCAAAAATCAAATCTCTAAATGAACAGATTTTCGAAGAGCAAAAAGCTCAAGCTCAGTTACAGAGGGATCTTGCAGCTAAATCTGCAGAAATCGCATTATATTATCGTAAGAGCAGAAAAAAGCCTAGTGGAGTAGTTGAAAGCACAACAGAAATTTTAGATAGAATAGAGTACTTAAAAGATGAATTAGACAAATACAAGCCTTCCAAAACTGAAGAAAATAAAACTAGAAGCCCTTAAAGTGTCTTCTTAAAAATTAATGTAAATTATATCAATAATATTTACCTACTAATAATTGAATTCATGATGAATTGTTTAATTTGGCAAATATGAACTTATTAATATTTCCCTGAAATAATTGTAGAGGTTAAGATTATTATATTTAAAATATAAAACATTTTTAACAATAAATTTAATCAAATGTCATTATTATTTATTATAAATGGAAAACTCAAAAAACTCTTTAAATAACCACAATCTCTTAATCCCCCCTCCGTGAGCGAACACAATCATTAGAAAAATCCCTATTTTTTGCCCAAAAACCCACCTTCCATGAGCGAACAAAATTTTTAATAGAAAAATTTTTTAAGGAAAAAAATTTAGATATATAAGTGATAACTAGTATAATGAAATCACGAGCTAATTCTGTTTAATTTTAAACAAATTGCGTTCTAAAACATAAATTTTACAAATTAAATTAATATTTGCTTTTCAATTTTTATAGAAGTGAGATTTTTTTAAATTTCAAAAAGAAATTTTCTATAAAATTTATATAAATTTTTTTAAAAAAAAAAATAACCTTCTCCGTGAGTGAACAAAATTTTTTGGTTCGCTCACGGAGGGGGGAGTTAGAATCTAGCAATGAAGAAGTAAAAATAGGCAACGGATCCAGCCACAACCATATATTTCACTCCAATGGATTTCATAGCCATCTTGAACCTACTTCAAGAGAAGAGCTAAAAGTTACAATTCCTTCTAGATCACAACAAAATAATGCAAAATCATCTAAATGCAAAAAATTTGACATTTCTGATTTAAAAAAAGACCCAGAATTGTATAAAAGAATACTAGAAGAAGCAATACGTATTGAAAAAAATAATAACAAATCATGGATTTATGAGCTGAATTTTCAAATCCAATATCCGACTGCGTTTGGTGAAAAGTTGTTAATCGTTGGAAGTCAAGAGTTTTTAGGAAATTGGGATATAGCGAATGGACTAGAGCTTAAATGAAATCCAGGAAGTATTTGGGAAGCGTCTATTCCTATCGCAAAAGGACAAATGTCTGACTTTGAATATAAATATGTACACATGAAAGGAGATGATATAGTTTGGGAAGGAGGAGACAATAGAGTTTTGAAGGTTTCCGATGGAAAGCCAAAAGGATCTAGCATGATTTATAATCTGCAAGACAAATGGCAAAAATAATTTAAATTTTAATTTTGTGAAAATGAAATGTCTAAATAATAATATTTATAAGCACATAATTCAAAGACTCAAAGAGTAAAAACGATTTATTATATACATTAATTTAAGTGAATTAAATATAATCTAATATATAATGCATGATTATCAGAATGGTTTTCATGCCAAATTTCACAAGCCTAATCATACTTGAACCAAAGTATAAAAATATGTATTTTTAAATAATTAGAACGTAATTTTAATAAATAAAAGCATCCATACTATCCTATTTTATATATGAAAAAAGGAAAGGATACTAGAAGGTATGTTTTATTTATTATAATTAGTTATAATTATATAATCATCTGCAGTTAACATAGAATAATTATTTTTGTAAATGTTAATATTAATTAACGCCGTTCGCCTAGCAGGGCCAGGGATTTCCACCCCTACACACTCATCGCACCTGCGGTGCCCCGGTGGACACCTTCCTTGTTGCCGCAAACAAGGGTTTCGCACTGACTAGTCTTGACTTCCATGGCTCCTGGAGCCTAAGGGCCAACCACCTGGGTCGAAACTCCCAGTTTCTGATTAGACAAATGCCACCTCTTGAGTCCTGTTCGAGGGAATTAGCTTCCACTCGGGACTATCGCCAATCTTGCCCTTTCCAATGGTTGTTCTGGAGGTAAAAGCCTGAGTTCCATGGATTAGCTCCATAGGGCTCAAGTAAAACCTAGACCGATATACACAAAGGGTTACCAACCCCTTTCCACCTAAATCTCCACCACTGGGCAGTTGCCTACAGGCGCTGAGGAAATAGGGTTGAGAGGTCGGGTGACACGCTGTCGCAATTTTTATGTATATATTTCTGTAATTATTTCAAACTTTCAAGCTCAACATTCTCTTATAAAATTATAAATCAAATTGTCATTTTGCTTTTATACATTCTGATTTTAAGCTAATTATAAATATGAGCGGAGCTGGCACTGGATACGATTTATCATCAACAACGTATAATCCTGAAGGAAAGGTCTACCAAGTAGAATACGCAATGAAGGCTGCCGAAAACGGAGGATCAATTATAGGACTAAAATGCAAAGATGGAATTGTCATCGGTGGCGAGCGGAACGTATTATCAAAAATGCTAGTCCAGAACAGCAATAAATGCATATTTGGAATTACCAAAAACATCGGTGCAGTAGTGACAGGAGTTATTCCTGATGGAAAAGCTGTGATTTCAAGGGCAAGACAAGAAGCAACCCAATATGCTGAATTCTATGGAAAAGACATTGGTGCAACAGTTCTTGCAGAAAGGGTAGCTCAGTATATGTATCTTTTCACTCTTTATGGAGGACTGAGGCCTTTTGGATGCTCAATTATTATGTCAGGAATTGATGATGGAATCCCAAAATTGTTCTTGATTGAGCCTTCAGGAGCTTTCTTTGAATATTATGCTTGTGCTTCAGGAAAAGGTAACCAGGTATGCAAAACAGAAATAGACAAACTGAATCTTGCAGATTTAACATGTAGAGACGCAGTTTATCATATCCATAAAATGCTTGTTAAAAGTAGAGAAGAAGGGCAAGAAAAAAGATATGAAGTTGATCTTTCGTGGTTAAGTCAGGATGCGAATAATTTCTTAGTCCCAGTGCCTCTAGATTTCAAAGATGAAATGGAAAGAAAAGCAAAAGATGATATTGAAAGAGAGGAAAGAGGAGATTAATAGTAAATTTGCTTAGAGTGAATATGAATTAGTGTTAATTTTTTTTATTTTCGCCAAAAATAAGAGTTGGAGGCTTTAATTAAATGGCATTTACAGTAGATCAGCATAAGAATTAGGAATAATTATTTATCTTGACTCCCCCCCATCCTTGATCGAACGGCTCGCCATCGTTCGATCAAGGATGGGGGTTAAAAAAATTTTTTTTGGGAATAACATTTTATATTATTTTTTTATTTACTTTTAAATAAGAGGGTTAGAGTAATTAATAATTATTTTTACACCAAAAAATTGAAAATAATTTCATAAAAATACCAATTTTTAATATTTTGATTTATTAGTTATCCTTTTAAACGGTATAAATTTTAATTTGTTCCTCATTAAATAAAAATTTTTTTTTTTAAAAATTTTAAAGAATCTCTATTTTTTAGATTATTGAGTTTTTTAAGCCTAGGTTGATGACTAAATCACTTCGGATGGTTGATTCCATAGCTTTCTGTCGTCTCAAAGTCTCTTAAAACAACTTCATTAGGTGCATCTTCCAAGCTTTTGGTAACTAATATATTTTTATATATATATAAAAATTGTCATGATATGAAAATCGTTCGATCAAGGATGGGGGTTAATTTCCCAATTTTTAGGAATTTTTACAGTCAATCGTTCGATCAAGGATGGGGAGTGAGAACATAATAATAGTTTAAGTAAAAAATCTAAAGGAAAGAAGTTTACATGGTTTATATCACTCCTCCTGATGGAAATTGTTGATATCTTGGGACATGAGGAGGTATTTGTGGGTTTACTTCGCTTTGCCCTATGTTATTTTGAGGAACAGGTAGATTTTCTTGCTGTCCAGCTTGATTAGGCTGTCCTTGAGGCTGCAGCTGTGGAGGTTGATAAGGCTGCACCGGCACCCCTTCAGCAGCTTGAAATCCTACCTGCGCTTGTGCTTCAAATCCCCTATAATTAATCGAATAAAAATTTAATCAATGGCAATAATCCCCTGCAGTAACTCTAACGCCAGTATCCCTCAAGCATTGATCCGCCGCTTCTTGCAATTCCCTATTCATAATCAATTCATTCTTTTTCATTCTTATCATAAACTGTCTCCCAACCTCTCTCATCGCAAAAGCAGATATAATAATAATGCAAATATCAACAAGTGCAAGAATATCAAAAAAAATCAAGCTCAATAGCAAATCAAGAGAAAATAAAAATAATACGATCAAAATAATAATTTTGAAAAACATGTATTTGATTCAAGAACTTTTGACACAACGATTTGCTGTTTGTATGATAATAAGGTAAGTTTGAGGATCAATTCTTCCAAAAAGGAGAGGATTATGATTTATTATTGGGTCAAAATAAAACCTTGCACAATTTGATCTTGAATGAATGATTGTGTGGCCTTCAGAAGGCTCAGGAGGAGTTGGGATGATTTTTGGCTCCCAAAAAATGTACCATGGGTTTCTTCGTGTGTTGGGATTTAATTGATCTACCATTTATTATATATGAACTATTAATATTTCTCTCAGCTAATAAAAGCCTGATATTTTGTTTATTATAAAGAAAATAATAACTTAAATTATTTAATTTGTAACAATTTTATGGTTTCGACCACAATCACTTCTAGAACCATATCTGCAAGATCAAGCTTTACTTGAACTTCTTCTTCCTCATAGTCAAGCCAACTATTTTCTTCTTCATGTACATCTTGGCATAATAATCCACTCATTTTTTCTTCTCTGAAAACTTGTAGCCTATTTTCGTCAATTCCCCCATTCGGCATGATCATTTCTATAGTAGGGTATATTCCTCCTCTTAAGCAAGCCCATTTATACATGGTTTCTTTGACTTTTTCGAATACATTTATAAGATGAGACTCCCCAAATAATGTCCTCTGATGAGTACTCCATGGATCAGGGATTCCTTTGGTGTCATATGGCCGAATATAATTAAGTGCTTCATTTACACAGTCAAAAAGCATTTGAAGATAAATCTGTCTTGATGGGGCATCTAATGAGTTAAACCCAGATTTCAGCTCGGTGCACAGCTCTGGAGGCAAAATTAAGTCTAAAGTGGGGTATTTCACTAATGAGCCAATTTCTGCGTTTTGGAGGAGAGATAGCCTGCTTAATGGATCATGGTATGCAGGAGTGTTTATGGAGTCTAGAATTTCATTTTCTATAGGGAAAAGCTGGCTCAGCATAACATCAAGATATTCATCTATAAAAGTCAAGCTTGGGTCAATCTGAGGGCTAATGTCTTGGAATGGGACTTTTTGCAAATACAGCCAAACTTCTTTATGAATCACTTGATTTATAAATTCTTCTGTAAAATCATCAGACTCTGTCGTATTTATTGATGTCAGAACAATATCTTTTGGACTTTCCAATGAGTTAGTGTCATGCTCATAGTCAATTAAAGAATTTTCTGATTCACCATGGGGTGATTCGAGCGGAAAAATGTCTTTTTTAGAAAATGGAGAAAACTTGCGGTCTGACTCTGAAGAATCTTCTTCGATGTGGCTTCTAATTCTTTTCATAATATCAAGATCTGAGTCGTCAGAGCTTTCATCTTTATCAAATGTGTCAGTTTCTAAATTTAAAGGCGAAGCATTTCCTTCATGTAAATTTTCTAAGCTTGGAACTGATTGGTATTCTCTGTCTGAGCTTGATACAGAGTATTTATCTGATTCGGATAGTCCAGGAATTTTCTTTTGTAAAATAAAATCTTTATTTAGCCCTTCTTTTGAAGGGTCAGGCTTTTCACAGAAAAGTTCTTTGTGGTCAGTTAATAATATGCCTTTTGTGATGCTTTCCTGAGAAGGCTTTTTATTTTCAGGTTCTTGAGGTAGCTTGCATGGTAGTTCTTCTTGGGGATGTGGAGATGGATTTAAAAATAGCTTGTTTCCATTCGAAATATTTGGTATTACTTTTTGATTTTCTATTCTTGGAGATTTTATAAGTGCTGCTCCTCTTATGTTTTCTAATGGAAGTTTAGGGATATCTGGGATTTTTTGAGGATTTTCGTAGAAAATTGTAGATGGAATGTTTAAAGGAGATTTAAGAGCGCTCGATGGGGAATTTTGGATTTGTGCTGAGCTTTCTGCCAGAGATTTGACTTTATTTAAAAATTTATTCGAGTCTTGTAGAAAGCCTATAGAATTCAATTGTTTTGGACTTTCTTGTGGGGGTGGAACAATATTTGGTTTTATATTTTGTGGGATTTTAACATTACTCACAAAAGGCCTTGGAGATTTTGAAGAGCTTGAAATTGATGAAGGGCTTTCTTGAGGGACTTTATAAGAAGATGATCCAGCAATCCACAAATCTTCTTCAGATTCATCTGAATGAGCATCTGTGTGCTTTTGGTTTGTTGGGAATTCAGTATCTTTTACTTTTACGAAATTATCATATCGGTTTGCTGAATTCTTTTTAGGCTCTGTATCTCCCTTCTGTTTTTCTTGAAAAGTTCTCATAATTCTGTCCTCATATATATTTTGCACAATCTCAGGCTTATAAGGTTTCATTTTCTCCTCTGTTTGAAGTGGAAGCTTATCAGCTGTCACTTTTTCACTGACAAATTTTCTAATTTCAGAGTCTATTTTGCCTTTTTGGAGTTCTCTTTCAGGCCCATTCAAAATTAATTCGACTGCACTTTCTTTTTCATTATTTTTCAAAATTGGTTGCTCATTTATTTCTTTCGAAGATTTCTCTAGATTTCAATTATTCTCATGCTTGCCAAGCATAGCTCTTAAGTCTAAAGTTTTAGGCTTATAAGTGCAAACTTCTTCTGCCTTTTTATTAACTTTATACTCAAAACTGTTTTCTAATGAATCTATTTGAGATTGCTCAGATTTATCAGGCTCTGGGGCTTCATCGGCAGTAAAATCTTTTAATCTATGGCTAGAAGGCTTTTCCGCTGAAATCCATTCAATTCGTGGAGAAAATATTTCTCTATCACTGGAATCTGCATGATCTCTTTCTTCTAGACTGCTTTCTTCGTCTGAAATTTCATTTTCAATCGTAGAGTTTTCTTTTCTTGACGAACTTCCTTCTTCATATATAGGCTCCTCATATTCTTCGTGTACATTGATATTAATTAATTATCAATGTTCGTCATCACAGCATGGACCGAGGATTTGCACCTCTGCAGTCCCTCCCCCACAGAAGATTCGGATCGGAAATTCTGACTAAGGGGTGATTCTCCCGGGACACAACTTCCAGTATTGTGATAGGCACATACCGTCTTGTGGTTTGTGCAGAGTCTTATCGCTATACCCAGCCAGATCGTTTCTGACCGCGCCTTCTCAAAAACCACCGAGGCTAACCCCATGTCCAAGGGTTAGCTCCCTGAAGCACAAGGAAAGCCCACCCAATATATATCAATGATGCCAAACCTGTTTCTCAGCTCGCTCCTCCCTGCAGGTGTTGAGAAAATTGCGCCAAGAGGATTAATGTACAGTGTACATTTATATAAGGCTCATTTGAGGCTTCTGATTCCTCATATTTTTGTATTTTAAATGCAATTTTTCCTATAGGTAAAGGAGGAATTTTCACAGGCTGCCTTTCACGATCAGAAACCTCAGGTGTTGACTGAACTTCACAAGGAGTTCGGAGGCTGCTTGATGACTCTGTACCGCCAGTCTTTATTATCGAATTTTCTCCAACACTTCCAAGCTCATCAAGCTGAGCTTGTACCATTATTTCATTATCTAAAAATTTTTGTTCAATCTCATTAAATCTATTTTGCAATGTCAGCCTAAATTGATCCACAAGCTCACTTTTGCTATTTTTCAGGCTTTCTGGTGGAGGGTCTTTAATATCAATCCATTCTTCATCTCTTTCTGTTTCTTGCCTTTTTAAAGAAAAATTCGAAGAGTTTGAGCTTTGGTCTTGTAACGTTAATTCTTCATGATGAGGAAAAGACTCAATTTCAATCGGCTCAATGTTTTTTTTGGTAAATAAAGAATTCAAAAGAGAGCTGCTGAACGCTAGATCTTCAGACGAATGAGATTGGTATGATTCTTCAATTTCTTCAATTATCTTATTTTTTAATACACTTCTAAACCATCTTTGAATAATAATTGCTGCTTTATCAGGGCTATATTTATCATGCATTAATTGTTTGGCTTCTAGTACTCTTTCCTGAAGATTTTTTAATTTTTCTTTTAATAATCCTTGGCTATCTCGGATACTATCTGAGACTTTGAGATCTTCCAAAGACTCATGGCCATAAGGATGCACAGCTATATCTGAAAGGTCAGAATCAGTTTGGATTTTTCAGGCACTCAGATTATTTATTTTATGGTTTGGGGACTTTTTCGGGTCACTTTCATGTCTGTAAAGGCTCATTGGATTTATGTATTCACTTTGTGATAAAGGCTCGGATAGTAAGCGCTTTTTCGTATATTCTTGAATATTGTTATAAAGAATCTTTTTTTTCTTTTTCTTTTTGGTTTTTTTCACTGCTGATTTTCGCTGCTTGTCTATCATTTCAAGTGCTCTTTCTCTTTCTTTTTCTTTTACTAATTCTTCAAGCCTACTTTGAAGCTCTGCGATTTTGACTTCTTTTCTTTTAAGTTTCATATATTTTTGGATGTTTGGGTCAGGGCTTCAATGCGTTTCTTTTGGTTTTTCGATTTTGGGGCTTTTTCGTCTTGGTCTAATATTTGGGTATAAATCTAATCCAATATGAGCTCTTCTTTCGTTAAGTGACCGTTCTCTCTCAGCTCTTTTCTTTTCTTTGAGTTCTATTTCTTCAGCATTTCTTTCATATTCTTTATTTTCAAATTTACTTTGATCTACACCTCAAGCCAATTTATGAAGTTTTTTCTCTTTTGTAATTTTTTTCGCATTTTGTTTTCTAATGGCTTCATTTGCTTTTTTCAATTTATTTTTCTTTTCTTCTTCTTTTTTCTTGATTTCTTCTTCTTTTTTGATGTTTAAACTCTTTTCTAAGTGAGTGAACAAAACAATTTTGTTCACACTCACGGAGGGGGGGTTAATTTTTTTTTTAAAAAAATTTATATATAAATTTTATAAAAAAATATTTTTTTTCGCAATTTAAAAAAATCCTAATTCACAAAAATTGGAAAGCAAATATTAATTTAATTTATAAAATTTATGTTTTAAAAAGCAATTTGTTTAAAATTAAACAGAATTAGCTCTAGATTTCATTATACTAATTATCATTTATATATCAAAATTTTTTTATAAAAAAATTTTTGTTCACTCAGGAAGGGTGGGTTTTTGGCAAAAGATAGGGATTTTTCTAATGGTTTTGTTCACTCACGGGGGGAGTAAGTGATTTTTTTTGTGAGTGTTTCGTTGATAATCTTCTTTATTTTTCCGCTGGCTGGCTTTTCTTTTACAGCTTCAATTTCTATTTGTTTTGGCTGAGACAGTTGGATTTTTCTGTCTCGTTTAGATGATTTAGATCGTCAAGGCTTAGGACTTATTTCGTGTTCAATTTTCGGCTCAGGAGGACTCTTAAATCTTTTTGGAATTGATTTTACAGCTGGTGCAATTTTTGCAGGAGAAGTTTCTTTGCTTATTGATATTTTATCTTTTAAGATTATATTTGTTTCTGATTTCTTTAATTGAGGTTTTGTTTTTAAAAGATTTTCTGGCTTTTTAGATAAAGATTTTTTAGTTGGGAGGGCTTGGCATGATTTTATTTTCTTTCCTGTTACTAGGGAAGAATTATTTTGGTTACCATTTGTGTTTAAGTTCAGGATGAATTTTGGCGATGATGGTTTTTGGCTTTCAATTGCAAATAATACGTCTTCCTGATTTTTCATATATAAATTCATGTTAATAAATAAAACTCGTACTTGATAATTTTAAAATTTATAATAAAAATTATTTATATCAACAATCAATTAATCTATTAATTGCCTCTTTAATTCTCAACTATTTAATCAATTATCGACTATTCTTCTTTAATTCATGCAAAAAAAATAATTTTGCTTTTACTAGAACAATTTACATTTAATAAAATATGATCCAAATGAATATATCGCACTTATCCTTCCCACTCGAATCATCTCTGAAAGATACTAGAATCCCATTGCTTGATCCAAATGACCAAGGCTATTCTGACTCTCAAAGCTTAAGTATTATTTCTCGTGAATTTAGTAAAGAAGGCCAAATCTGTCCTGTATGTAACGATTATTCATCTGAAATCATAATTTTTAACATATGCAAGCATTCGTTCTGTAGCCGATGCATAAAGCTATATAGAAGTTTCCTATGTTTGGCGCTGTAAGGCCGATAAATTCTGATCGGAATTTATCGGTAGGTTGCACCAAATCAATGCCTTGGTCGGACCAAAAAGCGATTTGGTCCGACGAACTTGGAAAGCTCCTGGGAAAATGTTTGCGCTTTTAGCGCTATATAGAGGAAACCTCTATACCTTTCGACTCAGATTACACAGTCATCTGTGCTATGAATAAAATGCCTTCAATATGGTTGCCCAGAGCCTGTTCCTATAGAAGTGATCTATAGCCATCTAACTCCAAACCTGAAAACCCTTTATGAAAAACTTAAAACGCGGTCAGAAATTTATAAAAATGAGCATTTTAGATGATGCCCAGCACCTAATTGTGAAGGCTATGACAATGGAACAATAAAAAAGCACAAATTAACATGCAATCAATGCGGATTTCTGTTTTGCTATTACTGCAACCAAGCCTGACATGGATCAAAAAAATGCAATAATGGCAATGATTATCAGTTCGAAAAATGAGCAAATGGAAATAAAGTTAAATATTGCCCCAACTGCAGGCTAAAAATAGAAAAAGATGGCGGCTGTCCAGAGATGATATGCCCAAATTGCAACTATGCTTGATGCTGGATATGTGGAAAAGAAAGAAATGCTAATTACCATGATGAAATGTTTTGCTTAATTGGATTAAGCAAGTGAGAGTTTTATTGATATATAATATTTGCTGGGAATAAAGCATTATTTTTAACTAATAATTATCATAATTTCATATATATAAAATAGGATGAAGATTATCTATTAATAGCTTTCTATTATTGAGAATAAAGTTAAGGTTATGCTAATCATAAGTAGGTAAACCCAATAGCCGTCGCTCACCTTGACTTCAAAGGGAAAAATAAGTTTCCCTCTTCGGCTGGGCTTCCCAAAACCTGTGAGCCTTCTTCAAGAATTGGAGTATGTCCATTTTTCAGCTTCACCAGGATATGTCCTACCTGCTCCATAAGGAGTGCGCCTCGGAGTCCTTCTTCAATCAACGTTACTATTATTTCTATATTGAGAATAGACATGTCATTTTTGGTATGATTTTTGCACCTGCTCTATTACCTTTTAGTGTATTGGTGTTTTTTGTGATTATGATTGAAATATTCGGAGAGAGATTTGATGACGCAGATGAAATGGTAAAATATTTGGCTAGCTTTCCCTTAAGAGCGTGCAAAAAGATTACTTTTTTGGCTTGTAAACATATTTTTATATAGATTAATTTTATATAAATTAACATTGTCATAATATTGAGCTTAATTCTAAAACATAAATTTATAGTTAATCTGTATGCCCTTAATCAAGTTTTTAAATATAAAAATTTTAAAAAAAAATTACCCTATTATAAGCCAAAGAAAAAAATTTTCGCTCTTTAAGGGGGTTACTTCACACGACGACTATTTCATAACGATTATTTTTTTGTTGGCCTGGCCTATTTTTTTTTTCATCTATTTTTTTTTGGCCTATTTTTTTTTGGCCTATTTTTTTTTTTAGCCTATTTTTTTGGGCCTATTTTTTTTCACCTTTTTTTTCTTTGGCCTATTTTTTTTTAACATATTTTTTTTTGGTCTATTTTTTTTGGCCTATTTTTTTTTGGCCTATTTTTTTTTACCTATTTTTTTTTGGCCTATTTTTTTTTGGCCTATTTTTTTTTGGCCTATTTTTTTTTGGCCTATTATTTTTTGCCTTTTTTTTTTGCCTTGCCTCATTCATGAAGCTGCTGAGCGGACTAAAACCTTATTGAGAAACAGAAACTTTTCCTTGCGCGATTAATATTGAGTAAAGTAAGTGGAAAACTCCTAATTAAATCTAAAATTCTCGAAATTTTAAAAGCAAATAATTGGTATTCATTGAGTAAGAAATCTGTTAAGGGTGCATTTTTTATTGGCTAAATCGTTTAAAACACATTAAAAATTATATATTAAAATGATTAGTATAGAATTATGGGCAAATATTAGTAAAAAATAGCTAAAAAATTGTCAAAAAAAGGCCCAAAAAAAAAATAGGTGAAAAAAAAAATAGGTGAAAAAAAAATAGGTGAAAAAAAAATAGGCCAACAAAAAAATAGTCGTTACGAAATAGTCGTCGTGTGAAGATACGCTTAAAGGGAGGGACATGCAAGAAAAAATGGCTACTTTATTCTATAGCTTTTGTATTTTCGCCTATTATTGTTGTATTGATGATGGTATCATTTGCTTTTATAATTGGCTTACGTATATCAAAGCTTGGGCATAGAAATGGATACTATGCGTGATGGCTGTCAGTATTTTTTGGATTTCTTAATCCCCCTTTAAATTTGAACAAATATCGGTATGATTCAATTGTTTTGGATACATTAAAACCCTTTAAATTGGAGCAAATTTATTTTGCAAAAGGAAATTTTATAAGTAAAAAATAGTAAACTAATTTTGACTTGATTTAATACAAAAGTGTAAGTAAAATGCTATTAAAACAATTTTTTCTTTGTATCGATTATTCTTTATAAAATAAATTAAAATCTATAAAATATCGCACTCAATTTTTGATTGTTTAAAAATTTTTTATATAGGAAAAATTTATTATAATTTTTTTAAAAAAAAGAAAATTAACTCCCTTTTGATTTTTATTCCAATTTAAAGGGAAAGTTATAGGAGTTGTATTGTTTATAGCATTTGTTTTCATATTAATTGCGCTTAGTATTGCTGCACCGTTATGCGGATTTTTCTTTTTCTTATTGAAGCTATATTTTATTTTTAAAAGACTAACTAGCAATGAAATTAAAGTTGAAGAATACCCTAGGAGTTTAGTCTAATATCAAGAATAATAGTTATATTACACTCATATTAAGGCTAATTCAAATTGCAAAAATAATAATTAAAAATTTAAAAATATATTAACAATATTTTATGCGCTCACATTCTCATCTCGAAGCATGCTGAATCCCAAGGAAAACTCGTTTTTAAAATTAATCCCTTCAACCCATTGCTTATATTTTTTATTTTCAGTTGGGGGAGGAAGCAATGGATCAATTGCAATCCTAAAAGCATTCTCTAACATTGCAGGAATTAATTTAGCTAAATATGAACATCCTAATTCTAGGCATGGATTTGTGTTCACCTCTATCAGCCAAACCTTAAAATCTCTGTCTATCATAAAATCATATCCAAATACCTCAAAAGCATGCATTTTTTTTTGATCATTTAAAATTCCTTTAACTGCCTTTACACTATCAAACACAAATTTTTTAATTTGTGGCAAAATATTATCATAAAAATTGATTTCCGGATAATTAGCTGTAAGGTATTTTTGGAAATCTGAATATGAAAGCTTATTTCCAGACTCGAATTTCCCATACTCTTCGCATTTATTTTGGACTGCATCATTGGTTAAATGGATAAATTTATCGTTTGATTTTAATGAAAATTCTTTTGAAGCTGTCCTTAGATATCCTTCTTCATAAAAATATGCTTGGAGATACCCATTTATGCTGGTAACTAATGCATAACATCTGATATCAAATTTTCTTTTATTTATAAGAAGTGGCTTATCAATATATTTTTGAATTATATAGGTCCGCTCTTTTGAGCCCGCAAGAGAAACTATTTCGTTTATTTCTTGAAGAGAATTGCTGACTCGGATCCCATTTCCTCGATTTGTATTTTCTCCTGGTTTGATGATCCAGGTTGAATTCGGAGTATAAGCTGAGTTAAAATCATTTCAGCTTTGAGAATTTAAGCTGTCAATGTGAAAAGTAGTGGGAACAACTCGGAATATATCTTGATTTAAAGATTCGTAGAGAGAGAGATAAATTATAGGGGGTCCCAGGGGATTATTCCAGCCCCTACCCTTACACGGATTAGCTTCGCGCTTCAGTGGCGTTAAGCACTAATCCCAGCTAACGCCCTTTTCTGATGACGTCATCAAAAATGGTGACGTCGACATCTTTCGGGGAGACTCACCCAACCTGCTTGGACCAAAAAACTTCAGCAAAGGACTCTCTTAACCCCTGGTAGTGCTCAGGGTATGAGGGAGCCGTCCGTTGCCTCCTTCTGGAACTACCTCTGCCATTTTACAGGCAACATAATGCTCCTCCAGAAGTACCTGCTTGGTATTGCGCCGTCGGTCTTTCGTCTGTGGGTCGAGGAGAGGTCCAGTTAGCCCAAACCTGCTCCCACCCCGGGAAACCACACCTCCATCCGACCCCGTGGCCCTTCGGGGCCGCCATTTTGTTAAGTGACCCGAATTTCGGAACTTCCTGTTTTTCTGTCGGACTGCGGCCTTCGCCATCATGGAAGGCGTAATTTAAGATTCGTAGAAGGCTTTTAAGTTGATGAATAATTTCTTTTTGCTACAAAGACTGCTATTATTAGGTAATCTATTATGAATCTTGACAACTTCTGACATATTTTGAATTGGCTTTAGCTTGGCATAGCTTGGAGAGCTTTTAATTAGTAAAGTTCCTTCAACCTCACTCTGGACAAATTTTGATGGAGTTTCTTGAACTAATTGCTCTTCTATAACTCCAGTAAAACCAGGCAAACTCTCAATAGTAGATCTATGCTTAAGCTGAGTCCATATCAAATTCGCTTGAGATGGATTCTCAATTCTGCTTCACCACCACCTTGATTTCATAATATGATTCACTAAAGGCGAATTATTTCCTTTCCCTATATAATATTTAAAAGTTGTAGTTTTATTCTGAAAATCAATTGCATTGCTTGATTGTATCACTTTAATTCATTTGTTCCAAATAACTTCTTTTGGGCATATTTTCAATTTTTCAATTTTTTGAGCCTTTTTTGGAGTCTTATGAGTTTTCTTAGGAAGCTCTAGCTTTGGCAATTCTGCGAGTTGGGGTTTTAAAGATGGCTTCTTTTGAGCTCTGAAATGTGGATGTGAGGATATTCCTTCAATTGAAATATCAAGAGCTGGACAAATTACTGTTTTGTTAAGCTTTTTCGACTCTCTTGATTGCTCTCTTCCAACTCTGTTGAAAACTCCTAAAATGCTCCGATTGACTGAATCGTCGATGTGCTGCATAATAGCATCAAGACTTGTCTCTGCTGTTTCAGTTTCAATTGGTGGCAGATCTGGCACATTTTGAGGAAGAGGCTCAAGAACGACGCAGTCAGAGTTATTGCGCCTGGATTTTTGTCTTTGGCAATCATTCGTGCTTTTAGGCTTTTCTTCATTCAATATAAGACTCTCTTTTGACATGCTTTTGTAATCTTTTCAATGTTTTCCTAGCCTTGAAATTGATGGGACTTTAAAATGTTCTTGTTCTTTTAAATCTTGTGCTCTTGATTTAACTTTTTCTACCACAAGCTGTGAAAGGAGTTCAAAGTCTCTTTCCATGATTTTAACTGAATATTAGAAATAGATCAGGATTTATTTAAATTTTGTTTCGTTTCGAATGAGTTGTAATAGAAAATTAAGATATAAATAATTTAAATTCATATAAGATCGATGAATTATATATTTTATCAAAAATCATTAACTATAGTTAAATATATAAATGTAAAATTTAAAAGCGTTAAAACAATGCTACAATGAAAAATATTTTATAAAGTAAATTTAGAATTGATAAATATATATAATTCTGTACCAAAAACTGATTTAAATAGTATATTACTTATGAGGTGAAAAAATTATTTGTATATATATTCTTATTTTTGCTATTTCTTTAAATAATTTTTTATAGGATTTTAAACTTACTTTAGCTCAAGTCTTAAGCTATAAAATCGGTTTTAATCTTTATTGGCCTTAGTATTTATATTAAAACAGCATTATCGTAATCATTGCATTATTGTTTAAAATTATTAAGAGGTACAGACTCTGTCATAATTTCCCAAGGATACATCATAAATGGTGACCAACTTCCTTCAGGCTTTTTCAAAATCTGCTTTACATCTCCTTTCTTCCTTAGCTTTAAGAACTGTGTTGGCTTTCTTATTTTCGGCAAAGGCAAATCATTTATAGAAGATGAATTATCCAAAGTCCTCTTTCCAATTCTCATTGCATCATTAAGTTTTTTCAAAAGCTTAATTATTTCTGCTTTTTTTCTTTTTTCATTGCTTTCACTAATATACTTATCATAAATCGCTCTTCCTAAGGCTTTTATTAATAGCTCATCTCTACTTGATGATGAAGAATCTTCAATCTCTCTTTGCACATAATATTTTATAGCATCATAAAAATCCCCTTCTTTTTCATAATTGTTTTCGTTCTCTTTGACATTTCATATTTTCAGAATATTCCCGAATAATAAAGCAAATCTTTCTAATAGTCAGAGGAGAAGAACAATCAATGGAACGGAAAAAAGGGCAACTACATCCTTAAAAGGGTTATAGCTCCATAAGACTCAGAAATCTACGGCGTAAATTTGAAAAACCATTCCAATTGTGGAAAGTGTCATAACGAAGTAGTATTGAGGACTAAAACCAAACCGCAAAAGATTTTCGGTTGACTTTAATAAGGTGCGGCCTGAGTGAGGGGTGCGATCTGATAAAACCCATCTGCAGCGCCTTCCTTCATATATTCCTTTGAGATCCATTAGCTTCTCAGAAAGGAGCCTGCCTGTTCTACATTCAATAGCATTATTTAAAAACACGTCATACCCAATTTCTGCAAAAGCCTGCATAAAGGTGAAAACGATAAAATATTTCAAGAAATCTTTAGGAATTGATATTTTTAATTCCTGGTAAAAAATATAATTAAATACAATGGAGCATGGGAAAATCCAAGCCGAAATAAAGCCCATAGAATTGATTGCCAAATCATTAATCTGCTCAATATAAACTCTATCTTTGAACCCTAGCCCAAAAGAGGGGTCATCCCCTCCTCCAAGCTTAAATCTCTGTTTGATTTTCATAACTTTATTTTTAATTTCAATTCGATATGGCTCCAGAAAAGCTCTTGTTCCAATTTTTATAAAAATTTGCGTTAAATATCCAGTCAAGAAACTTGTGAAAGCGCCGACTTTGACCGTAATAAGCATAATCGTTAGACTAGTAGCACCAAAAAATGGAAGAGCATAAACATCGTCATCAAATTTTATCCTGGATTTTTCTACTATTTTGCTACTCATAAACCGGAAAACAGCAATGAAAAGTGTGCTGAGAGACCCATATACTGAAGATTGTGAGAACTGATAGATGGCTAAACAAAGGATAAGCACAGGAATGCTTTGCCAGAAAAAAAGACCTTTAAGTCTTTTATTTTCTTCATCAAGATCGCGAAGTTCATCAGGGTTTTCACATTTTTCGACTTTTGGAAACAGAAGTGTGGATGCTCGGTAAATCATATACCAGCCTAAAATACACATAGAAGCTCCTAGTCTTCCATTTTGATATGTCTGTATCCTTTGTGAGTCTGTAGCTAGCCCAGGAGTTATTGGCTCTGTATCATCCCAATCTCCAGGTATTGTTTGAAGATATTCTATATTACTATAAATTTCCATTAATCCTAAGCAAAGCCCAAAACAAGGAAGAGCTCCCATTGAAATCCCTTTTAGTGAGCTAAATGAATATTTCAAATAAAGAGTGATTTTCAGCTTTGGCCTTGGAAGAATCGATGAAAAAGTATAGTTCAAAGCCCAGAAAACTATTACACAAGTAAAAATAAATAGACATAGAAGCATCACAAATAAATAATATAAATATTCTTGAAACGCAAATAAATCCAAACACTCTTTCCAATGCAGCGGATAAAGATAAAAAGTGAACTCATATTCCCTATTTGTAGTATTTTTATCAAACTCGGAAAAATAGATAATAGCTTGCAGGATCTCTTTGTCAATTAATGACTTTTGGTAGTATCCTACTTCCAGCCGGACTTTTCGGGGAATCATTCCTGTTGAATAATCTGCGTTTCCTCTACTGGCTTGTACAGAAATTAAATTTCCTGATCCATAATATGAGGAACTGAATTCATTTCCACTAGTAGTTGAATTTGGGATATTTTTTTCATAATAGCTTTGCTCCAACTGAGGTCTTGTTAGGTAAAAAATGTATGACTTGCTAAGTTCATAAGCAGCTATTCAGTTATCTTTTGTGCTTGAAGCTAATACATTTTCTGCAATTCTGCATGTAAGACTTATATCACATACATCACCATGGGGTACTTTAAAGGGACTTAAAATGTCTACCCATGTAGTATCTTTGGTGTCTACAAGATCACAACTAGGATGAGTGACTATTTTATAGATTGGAATATTAGCTCCATATTCATCACAATCAGTAATATATGGAATATAGTCAATAGGATACAAGTTTTGGCTGAGCATAAGCCAATCCCACAGTTTTAGTGTGTCTTGATTATATACTGATTCACTTTGATCATTATCCCCTAGACTTGATGTCATTGTAGCTGAAATATCATTTATTATCTCAGGATCATAAGTATCATACGAGTCCACTTGTGAGCTATTCGGAAGAATGCTGAATATCCCTAAATTGTTGGGCTGGTTGAAATCATCATTACTTAGCCTATTTAAAACAGCTAAAAAGCTTGTGCCTGAATTTCTAGTAGGATAAGTCAGACTAGAAAGAGTAATACAGTTTTCGAACAAACTATAAAGAGATGAGTCCACAAAAAGTCCATAAAGAAGCTCTATCTTAAACTCAAGTTTTAATGATGTATGAGATAAAACAGCGAAATCCCAAACTTTACCTTGCTCAGAAATTGTTGATGAATAAACATAAGCAAGTGGAATCCTATATAGAGGAGAAAAGCTTTCGTATTGCACAAATGGGATCTTTTTGACAGTACCATAGTCTAATTTAATTATTATGCTTAATGGCTGAATTGCTAATAAGCCAAAATAATTCCAAAAAGGTGAAAAGCATTGAGGACTTGCATGCAGGTGCAAAAGCTAAAAGCTCCAAAACCTTATCTTCTTGAATTCACTAGAGAAATCCGCCGGACCAATCGATTAGTTCCGGATCAAAGCTGCTCTCTGCCAAAATTCCAGTTGATCTCACCTCTTCGGTAGGTATCCCCAAACCCCAGGGTCTGCTGCAAGCGCAAATAATTCCTAAAGTTAGTTGCATAAAGATAGATTCTATATGCCCTATAGGAAGTGTGTCTAAGAGTCTATCTTTCAGTTAAACTCTCCATTTTACTCTACAGTTCCATAAGAATCTGTATACTGGATTGATGATAATAATCGTAAATGGGATCATTGGAATTATTTCTCTCTAGAAAATCATTCCATCTCAGTAAATTTTATTATTATAGGTTTAAGTTTCCCACTTAAGAAGAGGAATATCCTTAAATGGATCACATCCTGGAGATGGCTATAAAAGGGCAACGAGTTCTCGTGAGATTCTTTGGCTCTATTGATTGGTCTGGGTAGAATGCCTTGTGGTTTAGCCTAATGTAAAGGAAGTGAAGGAGATGGCTCAGGACGCCACTAGCTTATGTGTTAAAGGGTGGGCACAAGCATACCTAAATAACCCTGATGAACATTAAAATTTAAATGAATAAGCTAATAAGTAACCAAATCTGATTGATAAAATGTATTGGTCTGGCATTGAGCTAGGTGGAAATTTTGTAGTATTAAACACAAAAGTTGCATAGCCCATAGAATCCATATATAAGAATGATTGATCATCATTAATTGAAGCATTAAAATAGCTAAATGGTGATATCGTTCCATAGATAGCTGCATCCTTCGAAGGATCTTTAATGCATCCGTATAGTGACTTACTCCTCTCGTTGAGCAAACAAAAATTGTTTAAAAATTTATATTGTGAAATACACTATGTAGCATGGGGCTTTTTTGGCTCAAGTTCCAGCCAAAAAGCCCGTGCTACACAGTGCATTTCACTATTTATAAATTGTATAATTTTTTTTTCGAAATAATTTTAAAGCAAATATTAAATAATTCGCAAATTTTGTGTTATATATAATGCAAGCTGCTTAGAATAAACAGAATTATCGAGAGGTTTCATTATAATAATTATTACTTATAATATTTTTACCTAAATAATAGGGATTTTGCTCGTGCATGGAGGGGGAGTTAGCTCCTTCTTCACTTATTGTTCCACTAGGACATGGAATTCCTGCACCACTTCCTTGTGGGCAATACGAATTTCTAGGACATTTATACCCAACAACGCAGTCATCTGGGGTGCTTTGACAAATCTCTAGCATGTCATTTGTAATCCCAGTTCCTTCAGGACAATAATAGCCAGCAGGACATGTATAATTCACTAATTGAGCGTTATCGCTGATTCCTTCAGGGCAATAATATTTCGCATCTGATAGTATATAAGCTGCACTTGTGCCTTCAGGACATATAAAGCCTGCAGGGCACAGAGACATTTCTGACATATAAGAAATTCCTGTAATGCCACATACATATTTGGCTGGGCACAATTTGCAATTTAAATATGATTTAAGGCCTATATTTCCTCCACTTCATCTACCTTGAGGGCAATCCTGACAATTAGGTGTCACACCAGACCTATACTTCCCAAGGGGGCATGGCAAAGGCTTTACAGTTCCTGCAGTTGGGCAATAGTAGCCATCTGGGCAGTTTGAGCAACGAGATGCCATACATCGGTCGTTATAACTACCAACCGCACAAATTTGTGGGCCATTTGAGTCATTTGGATCAGCAGAGCCTGTTCCTGAAGGACAGGCATAGCCAGGCTGGCATGGAACAGGAGTTTTATCATAAGGAGGATTTACTTTGCAACTTGTTACATAGCTAGACTCAAGCAGTCTTCCTGATGTAAAAGAAGAAACTTTAGTATTGGTGCCTTCTAGACAAAAATATCCAGGTGGGCAAGGACCAGTTGTATCAAATAACCCTTCAAGATCACAATAATAGCCTGCTGGGCATAGAGTGGGCTCAGTTGAATTTGTCTTTGGACAAATATACCCTAGTGGGCATGTGTAGCAATCTCCTTTCCCTTTCTCATTTTGATAAAATCCTACTGGGCAAATAGTATTCTTGCTCGACCCTTCAGGGCACATGGAGCCTGCAGGGCACAAAATTGGGCACTTATATAAGGTTTCATCGCAATAGCCAGTATCTGACACTGTTGAATTTACCCCAGATTCGCAGTAATAGCCTTCTGGACATGCGTCACCGTCAGATAGCCCAACTCGATTGCAAATATACCCTGACTTGCAAGGCCAATGCTCGGTCATAGCTTGATTAGGACAATAATACCCAATTTCGCATTGTATGCAAGCTCCTTTTGCCCAGTACGGGTTATATGTTGATGGTGCGCAAGCTACAGGTAAGGTAGAGGCTGTATCACAGTAATATCCAGGTTGGCATATTTTGGAAAAAACAGTTCTATTTTCAGTTTTCGCTGAGTCACAGTAATAGCCTACATCGCAAGGCGTGCAGGAAGATTTTCCACATTCTTTCTGATAATATCCAGGAGAGCATTCCATAGGATCTGATAGCCCTTCGACAGGACAATAATATCCATATGGGCATGAACATGTCATGCATTGTGTACCAGGGTTGCAGATATCGTCTGTTTGCTTTCCAGGGCAGTATTTTCCAACTTCGCATGTACTGTCGTTATCCCACATTTCTCCACTACCTGGCTCACAGACAAAACCTAACATGCAAGATCGTGGCGCCCATCAGTCAGTTTTTGTAGTAGAAAGAGTGCTTGTATTCACAGCCATTGAACAGTATGCATTTTCAGGGCACAGTTTTGGGGCAACCGCAGTTATACCATTAAGAGGTTCAGCTCCATTTCTTGCTGAATTTATGCAATCAGGGATAAAATGTGGGCTTGTATAATAATCAGCAGAGTCACCCATAGCACTACCTCTCTTCCATCAATGATCTGTATTATTAATTAGACTGTGAAGTTTGAGATTCCAATAGTCATAATTATTTGATATTATTTGAGTATTTGTTCCTTCATTACAATAATGCCCAGGAGGACAAGCTGCAAATGGGAGCTGAATTCCACTCCTATCACAGATGAACCCAGCTTGGCAAATTTCTTGAGCTGGCATACCATCGTCTGGACACATATAACCTCTTTGGCATGTTTTGCATGATGATTTGGCAGTCTGATCTTGATAAGTTCCTGCTTTACAAGGAGTAGGCTGATATACAACACTTTGCCCAGGAGCGCACTTAGATCCAGTAGGACAATCCTTTATTTGGCCTGTATTATCTAACTTCTTCCTCCGTGATCTAATTCCTTTTTTAAATAACTTATATAAAATTTTACAGTAAAATTTGTTTTTTCAAAATTTTAAAAATTCCAATTGAGAAGAAAAATTAATTTAATTACTCCCCCCCCCTCCGTGAGTGAACAAAACCATTAGAAAAATCCCTATTTTTTGCCCAAAAACCCACCTTCCGTGAGTGAACAAAAATTTTTTTTTAATAGAAAAATTTTTTATGGAAAAAATTTTTATATATAAATGATAATTAGTATAATGAAATCTAGAGCTAATTCTGTTTAATTTTAAACGAATTGCTTTTAAAACATAAATTTTATAAATTAAATTAATATTTGCTTTCAAAATTTTGCGAATTAGGATTTTTTTAAATTTCGAAAAAAAAAATTTTTATAAAATTTATATATAAATTTTTTTAAAAAAAAAAAAATTAACCCCCCTCCGTGAGTGAACAAAATTTTTTTGTTCACTCACGGAGGGGGGGGGAGTTAGTAAAATTTATGATTTAAATGCAAGCTGTTAAAAATTAAACAGATTAGCTTGAGATAATTATTATGTAGTTATCGCTTATATGTCAAAATTTCAATCACGGAGGGTGGGTTTTTACCGAAAATAAAGATCTTTCTAATGGTTTCGATCGCTAGTGGAAACTGGAGTAAGTATTGTCCTGAATTAAAAACATCTGAACTATATGTAAATGTCGCAGTCTTTGAGCTTCATTGATAAGGATCACTAATAGGAGACAAATAAACAACTACATTTGCAGTGTCAAGCTCAGGAGGAACTATAACTGTGACAGAGTTTGAGGTGCAAGAAGAAGCTGTTACTATTTTATAGCCTCCAAAATTAAGATAGCTAGTTGGGCAAGGAGACCAGTACTTTCAATCTACGCTGAATGTAAAACTATATCCTCCTAAGCTATGTCCTGACCCATCAGACAATAAAGCAGGCTCTCCATAAACAGTTAAATTCGAGTATCCACAATCATCGCTATATTTATCTCTTGGACAAACATAAATTTTGCATGCAGCAGGGTTGCTATTACTGTTTCATGATGGGTCAGGCTGAGCAATTGCACAATATCCTTTCTTATTGTTATTGCTATCAACATAGAACACGCCTTCTACTGGAGTGCCGCTATTATAGGATGTAAAACAGGTGAAGTCAGAAAGAAAATTTCCACATCCTGATTCTAATACTATAATGCTCCCTGTAGCTCCAGTATTGCTGCTTGGGCTAGTGGCTCAACATCCTGCTGGGATATATCCTGTGCATGTTGTATATCCCCAGTAACTAGTTGTGCATGTGCTTGGATCAACTATTCACTGTCTAGGAACTGTAGTAGTATTATGATTAAAATTTTGTGGATATATTGTTGAAATTCCCATATAATTCTCTAAAAATATTGGAAAATTCATGATATTGTAGTTACTATCGATATTGCAAGTTGTGATATCTAAATCTTGGCTTATAAACGTACATACCCTTGTACCTACATAAATAGTAATATCGCCTTCATAGCCGTATATAGAAATATAAGGACTATTAAAGTCAATTCAATCTCCATAGTTTAATAAGTCCCCATAAAGCAGGGATGTACAATTAAAACCTTGGCAAAAAGCAATATAAGCTGAAGAATAGGATGCTAGAGAATTGCAGGCTATACTTTGGTCCTGATCAGTTATTCTGACTTCAAAAATGTCGCTCCAAAACATAGTAACTGATATAGAACTTCATACTAGATTGTTATTTCCATTAATACTAATCACTCCGTTGGTAGCTTCATTTGTCCTTGGCATCACGCAAAACCTATAGCCATCAAGCTCATAGTCAGCTCCTTGTAGAGCCCACCCGGCTATCTGAGTGCTTCTATATATTTCAAATCCAGTATTTTGCCAATATGTAAAATAAGGAGGATGGTTTACAATGTTTACATTGATATTAAATCTTGTCTCCCCACAAATATTGTCATTATCACACACTGTCACGATTACAGTTTTACTAATACTATAGCTCATAATATATGGTGACTTTAAAATCGTTCCTTTTCCTTTTAGAGCTAAACCTGGAACTGTATCTCCTCCTAACGTGACTGTAAGTTGGTCTAGTGATTTATAAGGGTTGAAATAGGTAAGGTCAATTAATAAAGAATCGTCTTCAGATACAGTTTGGGTTGGAATTGTTGTAAAAGTAGTTTGGAACTGTGTTCATTCAACATTATATATGATGATTTCAGCAATATCATAGTTGGTAGGGTTTGCTGTTTCATATACTTTAACTGTAATAATGCCTGAAGAAGTGTGATAATACATAGGTGTCCATGAGACTTCATAAGTATCTGAGCCAGTCGATATAGGGGCTACAGTGATTCCATAAGGATTAGTTCCGACTACAGTTAAAGAAAGGTCAGAAATAGGGTTATCTGAATCATATATTTTAAAATATCTTGTATCTATTCTTCCTTGTTTAAAACCTGTAAACAAAAATTGTTTTATTGGGTTTGTACTATAAAAAGGATTCGAGCTATCATAGATTAGTATTTGAGGAGGATCATTGATTGGAGTAATAACCATATCAAAGTCTTGGCAGGCTTGTTTTGGATATCTTTTGTGGTCGTCTACACATAAACTAAACTTCGCATATTCAATAGAGCCAGTATTTATACTTCCTACAGAAATTTGCACAAGCCCAAAATCACCAGGAGTAAACGCAGGCATAAAGGATGAATCGTATGTAAGTGTGGTAAAAAGGTCTTCAATATAAGTATATTTCTCTGAATAAGCGATTCTATAATATGCAAAATCATGTTCATTAAGACTCCAAGTCCCAGTCATAGGAGTAATAATTGGCTCATAATATGGATAAAGAATGAATGAGCAATATCCTGTCACAAGAGTTAATGAATTTTGTGCATAAACTGTGAGTGTAGGAGTAGGTGTTGAGTTTGGTGGAATTCACGTTAAAGTCCCACTGCTGCTATATGATATTGTTGAATAAGATGGGCTCAAAGTATAATCAATTGTACCATCTGTTGCATCAGTTTCAGAAACTGATGTGTCTCATGTAAAAAGTATCTCAGCCGGAATTGAGAGCTGATCTACACTAGGACATCTTGGAGCTGGTATTTCATTAGCTCCCACAATATTTAATGTTGCAGTAATGCAGCCCATTAAAGGATAATATTGATGATCATCTTGTGCACAAACTGTCAGGCTTAGTTGATAAGGATAAGTTTTGCCATCTGGCAAAGAGTCTGGCGTTGTTCATTGGACAAGCCCAGTTGTGCTATCTATTGTCGGTCCTGAGAAATCTGTAGTAATGCTATATGAAACAGTTTGGCTATCAGTGGCAGTGAATCATTGTGACCAAGGTGTCCGTCCTAATTTTAAATCATATGTTGTACTTATTCCAGGGAAGGTTGGTCTTTCATTGGGATGCAAAGAAAATGTTTTGTCTATAATTCGACCAAGGGCGTCTTTTGCTTCCATTGTCAAAATATAGCCATTGTCGCTAGATGATAAATCATTGTACCCATTCAATGCGTTTCAAGTCACAGTGCAGTATTTTGAAGATCCGGTTTGAACAACAGTCTGATAAACATCACAACTTCCTATATTAGCATTTTTAAATGTGCATGAAGTGATATCTGGGCCAACTTCCACATTGCAAGTCCAGACTGTTCCTTCACCAATGACAGGAGGAGGATAGCAGATATCGCCAATTGAAGGATCTGAAATATCTTGTATAGTGAGAGTTGACTGCGTTGTAGTTATTTGAGGGAGTATTTTTGAGTCTTTAAAAGTTGTCTGACAAAGGATATTAAAAGTATAAGTACCAGCAGTCTGGGGAATCCATGTTAAATTATAAGAGCTCACTCCAGTGGTAGCATTAGTTGTTTTTGAAAGCGGAACAGCACCCATAGTGGTAGGCGAATTTTCTAATAAAATTGAAAGGTCTGCTACATCAGCATTAGAACTTACAGCTTCTGATGTATACTGCCAGAAATAATTTGTATATCACGTCTGACTAAATGTAGAAGCTGTACAATTATTTCTGAAGGTAAGTGAAATAGTATTAGACCGTGACATTGAGTGCATAGCTTGCAAATAGCAAGTAAAAGTTATGCTTACAGTTGACGGATATGTTTTATAGCCCAAAGACGATTATTGATCGTCCTTGGCTGGGGTTTAGCCAACCAACTCTTCTAGTTGTTTCTCCAGCTCAAACTGCCAAAACAATCAGCAGTTGACAAAAAAAGCCCAATAAGAAATTTTTCAATAGTTTCGCCAACTAAGTTAGAAAACCAACTCGAGAAAATACCTAGCAAAAAACTCACCCTATTACGATCAATAGCCCTTGCTATAACTCCATTTTGAGTTACAGCATTATCAACTCCATCTCAAGTTAAAGTGCGGCTAGATCATGTCGGAGGACTATCAAAATTGGAAGAAATTGACTTTGTACAAGCTACTGACTCTCCATTCAAATAGCTTAAATATTCAAGTTTATATGACCAATAACCGCCTATAAACAGCTGATAAGCTTGAAGTGGAGGGGTTTTTATTAAAGGAGGTCTATGTACAATTAAGATAAAAGTGCTCGATACTGTTATTCCTTTAAAGACACCAGTAAATGTTATATATCCTGAATTTCCAAATGAAGACGTAGGGGTTCATGTTAAACTGTTATCTGAGCCAGCTGCTCCTGAAGGCAAAGCTGTGTAAGAGTAGCTATCTAGAGTAATAGATGCCATGTCAGTGCTAAAATAGTCTGTAATAGGCACAGTGCATAGCAAGTCAACATAGCAGTCATAATTTCAATTATTAGTCATAGAAAATGTCTGAGAATCCGCTAAGACTTGGAGTTTAAAGGTTTGACTGAAGCTGGTCGCAGTTACAGAATCACCTATTGTAACTGTTATTAGCTCGGATTCTTTATAACCAGAGCCAGCCAGGTATGAGCTCATATCTGATTGTGCCAATGTAAAGATACCTCCACTTGTAAGACTATAGACTAAAGAAGTTTGAGAATGATCAGAGCTGAATGTAAGTAATGATGAAATTGAATAAGTTACATAGTATTTTACATCAAGTGTAAAAGATTGAGACGCATAAGCCACTAAATTTGAATCTGGAATCGTGACAATCTGAGGGTTACTGTAGCTCCTCAAATTAATTTTGAATTGCATAGAAGCTACTATTGGAGATCCAAAATAGCTCGGCGTACTGGCTTGCACTACATAATAGTCAGTCCCTGTTGGGGCATCTTCTCCTTCTCCGAATGATCCTTTACTAACAGTTGTCCATATTAAAGAGATAGAAGAAGAAGTGCGTGAGACTGTTGGAGAAAAGTTATTAAATGACAGAGTTAGTTCATCAAGGTTGTAATAAGTTATCGTTAAAGGAACTGTAATTTGGTAGCCAAAAAAATAATAAATAGGGCTAGGAGGCAAAATTATAGGAGGATATTGGATTTCCAATGTCAAAGAAGCTTCTGAAGTAAGAGCACAGCAAGCACAGTTATCAAAACTTATCTCATAATAGATCACTATCTGTGTATTATCAGCATATCTATCAATTGCACCTTCTATTATTCTGATTAGGCCACTTTGGTTATCTATAAGATCAACTTGAAAATCATTGATAGATTTTGTTGAATCGATGGATAATCGATATACATAAGAGGAAAGTGAATAACTAGGATCGTAAAACCATTCTCCACTGTATCTATATATCGTTTTAGTCATAGCAGTTCCAATAACTGCACTATAAGCAGGATTTTGAAGATAGCTGTATGTGATCGTTATTGAAGTGCTCATTTTATTATTCCCACCTGAAGTAATTCCAGAGTCTATAGCAGTGATCTTTAAATAATAAGTGCCATAAGCTAGTGTGCTTATAGGAGTGACAGTAATTGTTTTAGTGGATCCATTAATTACCGTTGATATCGGAAATGAGCTTGTATTGTTTATAGAAACAGTTACGTCACTTATATCATGATTTTGATCCGTAACACTAAAATCCAATGGAGAAGGACTGCAATAAAAAGAATATGTGAGTCCACTTGAAGGAAAAATCACTGGAGCAATATTTGGATAATAAGGGCCTAACGTCAAAGTTTCATAGCAAGTTGTTGCTTTATCATAAACCTATATAAATGTCACCTGTATAGATCAGCTTACAGAATCAGTTGTGCACACAATTGGTTCATAATAAAATATACTAATTGACCAAGAATAGCCCACTATGGAGCCATTCTTGGTCTGCCAGAAAAAATTTTGACAAAAGATCCTAATCTGCCATTACCACTGAGTTTTGGTGTTTCCAAATTTTTTGGGCAAGCCAAATGCAATAAAAAAAATTGTTCTTTTGCGATGATGCATTTGGCTTGTCAAAAAAATTTGGCAACATCAAAACTCAGTGGTAATGGCAGAAAAGATCCTAATCTGCCATTACCACTGAGTTTTGGTGTTTCCAAATTTTTTTGACAAGCCAAATGCATCATCGCAAAAGAACAATTTTTTTTTATTGCACTTGGCTTGCCCAAAAAATTTGGAAACACCAAAGCTCAGTGGTAATGGCAGATTAGGATCTTTTTGTCAAAATTTTTTCTGGCAGACCAAGAATGGCTCCATAGTGGGCTATTCTTGGTCAATTAGTATACTCCGTTTTTGAGCACAGTGATGTGAACAATATTGCTTGAGCCCAAAGAAAATTCAAATTGGTTAGTATCTCCACTAGTTATTGAAAATTTCCCTATGTATGGAACGTTGCATGCAGGAGTTATACAGCTGGAACAATAATTATTTGATGAGGTGCAAGCTGATGTACAAGAAGAGCTTGAAGTAAGCTTAATAGATGGGAAATTAGGGTCTCTAACATCAAATATAAGGGGTAAAGCATTAGATAAGGAAGAGTCATCGGTACCTGCAGTACCTGACGATATCATAGAGCTATCATCTCAGACGAGAGCATAAAATGTTTTAGATCCTGATGATGTTGGTGTATATTTCAATAATCCAGATGTAGTTATAGTGATATTTTCAGTTCCAAGAGATAATAAATCAAAATAGCAGGCTGTTGGTGACGTTGTTGGGCTGCAAGATCCTGCTGGGGTGGGGGAGTTTGAAGAATCAACAGCTTTTAATTGCAAAGTCAGTTGAGAATTTGTGCAGACAATCAAATTATCAGGAGCAGGATGGCATAGTGCTGGATAAGTTGTTGTTGTCGAAGCGCAAAGAGCGCTTGTGATTAAAATTAATAATTCTTCAATCATCTTATTAATTATTTGCAATCTTTTGATGATGAAGACTCTTTTAAGTGAAATAAGCAAAAAATATTTTTAAATCAATTAGAATTATTTATATACAATTTTTGAGATATTAATGTATGATAGGAAAAATTAAAAGGTTTTGAGTCCAAATTGCTAATTCTCATCTCATGAAAAAGGGCCAAATTTTAATTCTCTCATAGAAAGGATTTAAATATTTTTAAAGCAATGAAGTATACTCAAAAAACTTAAAAAATTGAAAGCAAGATTAATTTAATTCATGAAATTTATTTTTCATAACAAGCTATTTAAAATCAATAGAATTAGCTAAAGATTTTAATGTAATAGTTATCGCTTAAATAATATTTTTCAAATGTTTAATCATTAAAAAGTAAGTATATACTATTAAAATGTTTTATTAATTATAGAATATTTTTACAATTTTAAATCAGAATTTAAGACTAATTTCAAATGCTTTTTCGCTTTTAAAATATTATAAAAATCACTTTTATCTAAATTAAATTATTTCTCATAGATTAACGAAATCGTGTTAAAAAATTATTGTACAGAAATTGATTAATTATATGTTCCACTTAAAATAACTCGCAATGACAAGACGGTTGCTGAGTATTTTCGATAAAGTGAGCTGTGGTGTTTCTTGTAGAATACAGAGAAATATCTACAGTTGTTTCGTCTGATTTATCAGATTGTGTGTCTATATAATCATCTTCCAGCCCTTGAGCACAAGAGAGCATTGTTTGTGAATAGCTGATTATACTTGGTAGAGAGCAGATTGTTTCTGTGTTTTCTTTGGGCTGCATTGGCAATTTAATTAAATTTATTAATGGCATATAAAATTATTTAATATTTTCAAATTCGTGAGAAATAAGCTGATTTTTATTATTTGCATAAGTGTCAATATAAGCATCTCAGAGAAGCAAGAGAATTGTATGAGAGTATTAGAATTATTATACATATTTTGAGCAGTTTTTTAATAATATTTCATAATTAACTTTAATGACTTAAGGATTAATCATAAAAATTTACAAAAATTCAGCTTTGATGCAATCAAAATTTCCAACACTTTATTTAATACAGCAAGAAACATAATTTCCTAATATTTATGGCCTAACAGAAAATACTTTTTTAATAATTTTTAAATATAAAGTTCTATTATCATATATAAAAATTTAAAAAAATGCAAATATTTATCATGACTAACTCTATTAGTTTAACTACTTAGCTTATAGCTTTGGTCCTGCAGCCTTAGTTTCTTTAGAAGCTCCAGACTCGTATTTCTTGAAGTTATCAATGAATTCATGAGCGAGTTTGGTCAAAGTCCTGTCATATTCTTCCTTGTTTGCCCAAGTATTCTTTGGCATCAGAATTTGAGGGTCAACTCCAGGACAAGATGTAGGGACATGAAGTCCGAAGATTGGAAGGTCTTTAGTAGGGACGTTGTCGAGTTCTCCAGCATGGATGGCATCAAGAATCTTTCTTGTAACCTTAAGGTCCATTCTTTTACCAACGCCGAATTTTCCACCAGACCATCCAGTGTTAAGAAGCCAAGTGGTGGCTCCGTGCTTTCTCAACTTAGCTGCAAGCATTTCTGCGTATACAGAAGGATGCAGAGGCAAAAAGGCTTCACCAAAGCAAGCAGAGAAGGTAGATTCAGGGTCTTTAATTCCTACTTCAGTTCCTGCTACTTTTGCAGTGTACCCACTGATAAAGTGATACATGGATTGTTCAGGAGTGAGTTTAGAAACAGGTATTTATTTTTTGTAAAAAAAAATTATTAAAAATAAATATGAAATTACATAAAAATTTTAAGAAAACAGGTGGAAGAACTCCAGAGGCATCACAAGTAAGGAAAATAACATTCTTAGGATGTCCTCCTACAGCTGGGATTTTGACGTTTGGAATATACTCAAGTGGGTATGAAAGTCTTGTATTTTCTGTAAGTGAAATATTGCTAAAGTCAACTTCTCTTGTACCTGGTTTGAAGCATACATTTTCAAGTACTGACCCAAACCTTACAGCATCATAAATTTCTGGCTCCTTTTCTCTGCTTAAGTTGATGCATTTTGCATAGCAGCCACCTTCAATGTTGAAGATACCTTCATCAGTCCAACAGTGCTCGTCATCTCCTATCAATTTTCTATGAGGATCAGCACTTAAGGTAGTTTTTCCAGTCCCTGAAAGTCCAAAAAGCAAAGTTGTATCACCTTTAGGTCCTTCATTAGCTGAAGCATGAAGAGAGACAACTCCATGCTTCTTTGGCATGACGTAGTGCATGACTCCGAAGATGCCTTTTTTCATTTCTCCTGCGTATTGGCTTCCTAAGATCACAAGTTTTTGATCTTTGAAATTGACGTTTACAGATGTCTGTGAGGTGACGCCGTCTACGTGAGTGTCTGCTGGGAATTCTCCTGCGTTAAGGACGTGGAAATCTATGTGATTGAAGTCAGTTGCGAGCTGTTCTTCTGTTGGGCGAATTAGCATATTGTGCATAAAAAGAGCATGATAAGCTCTTGTGCAAATTATTCGGACTTTAAGTCTGTATTTTGGATCCCAACCTACGTAGCCGTCTACAACGTAGAGATATGGCCTGTTGTTTAAGTAATCAATAGCTCTTTGCTTATTGATGTCATAGGATGCTTCAGAAAGAGGGATATTAACCTTTCCCCACCAAATGTCTTTTTCTGTAGTTTCCTCTTTGACAACTCTCTTTTCCTTTGGTGAGCGGCCAGTAGCAGAGGCTGAGTATGCGCACAAAGCTCCTGTGCTGGAGACTGTAGTTACCTTAGTGTATGGATTAGCTGGCTCTTTATCTAACTCCCCCCCCTCCGTGAGTGAACAAAAAAATTTTGTTCACACTCACGGAGGGGCGTTAATTTTTTTTTTTTAAAAAAAATTTATATATAAATTTTATAGAAAAATGTTTTTCGAAATTAAAAAAATCTTAATTTGCAAAAATTGGGAAGTAAATATTAATTTAATTTATAAAATTTATGTTTTAAAACGCAATTTGTTTAAAATTAAACAGAATTAGCTCTAGATTTCATTATACTAATTATCACTTATATATCAAAATTTTTTTCCATTAAAAATTTTTCTATTAAAAAAATTTCTGTTCACTCACGGAGGGTGGGTTTTTGGTCAAAAAATAGGGATTTTTCTAATGGTTTTATTCACTCACGGAGGGGGGGGAGTAAGCATCTCTCATAGTATTCAGGAACCATGAGGTTGCGGTAGATGTGTCTGTTAACTATTCCAAGTTTCTTTAAGTCTGGATGACCTGTCATGTCATGGGTTTTTGAAATAAAAGACCTGCTTAAGATATTTAAGCGACCCAGCATAATTATTATTGGTTGTGGGCACAGATAATATGGGTGGCTGATATTAAAGATGATATTATTTAGACCTAGATTCTAAGACAGCTATAGTTTTCAAGCATAAATAAGATTATAATCCTATCAAAGCTTCGAAAAATGGATTATAGAATAAGTAGAAGAAGTCTTTTTTTAAAAAAGGTCTTTTGGCAACAAAATTATAATTAATAGCAATTAAGTATTTTTATAGCTATTTATTTGCTTAATTTTATTATATTTTAATATCAATAGTTTTTGGGAGAATCGAACTCCCCCCTCCGTGATGAACAAAACCATTAGAAAAATCGCTATTTTTTGCCCAAATACCCACCCTCCGTGAGTGAACAAAAATTTTTTTAATAGAAACATTTTTTTATAGGAAATTTTGGTATATAGGTAATAACTAGTATCATGAAATCTCGAGCTAATTCTGTGTAATTTTAAACAAATTGTGTTTTAAAATATAAACTTTACAAATTAAATTAATATTTACCTTCCAATTTTCGAGAAATGGGATTTTTTTAAATTCCGAAATTTTTTTTTTTAAATTTATATATAAATTTTTTTAAAAAAAAAATTAAACCCCCTCCGTGAGCAAACAAGATTTTTTTGTTCGCTTACGGAGGGGGGGAGTAAGAATAAGATCTGAATTTTACATTATAAAGTAATATAAGACCATTATTTAACATTATGTACAAAAGTATTTGAGAGAACGGGAATTAAGAAGTTTTATACTTATTATAAGAAAAAAGGATAATTTTTTAGTCGCAAACTGATTTTGTTATTTCTGTAAAATAGATAGCATCATATAATACTAAAATATGCATAAACATAAGACAGACTATTTTTATTTAATATAATTTAGCTTACTTTTCTATGTATTGTGATACCACAACAAGTCCTTAAATTATTTTCTGGCTGGAGATGCTACTTTACGTTCAAGCCTTTTTTTAATATGTGAAGGTGTAAGCATTCTATAGTGCTTTACGCTGAAAATTGGGGAATTTCCACTACCCTGAGACATCCTAAGTGAAGAGTCTGCAGTCAATGGAGATTTGGAGCTTCCTTTATTAAAAGGTGTCCAATCCCTTCCAGGTAAAGGTGTTTGATGTCTTGCAGTCTTATAAATTTTTGGGTGATTTAATGGTGGCAGCACAGGAAATTTTCTCTTGCTTTCTTTTGGCTTATCCTGACTTGCCATAAGTCTTTTAAGCTCGTATTCTTCCTTAAGCAAATTCAATCGATTTTTTAAAACCTCAGGAGTTTTTGCTTCAGATTTTTTGTCTTCTGCTTTATGTGTAATGGCTTCTTCATGGTTTTTGTTGCTTACTATACACGAGAATAGAATAGAGTATATAATTCCTTTTAATTTTAATTCTTCTCCATACCGCTTGAAGATTTCGAAAGAAGTCAAAGGTATTTCTTTCCCAGAACGGAGGATTCATGGGTGATTTAAAGCTTGAGAAGCTGTATAGCGTTCTAGTGGGACCATTTCTGTTAGTTTTAAGAATAATGACTTAGCTTCTTTTGAAAAGTTTTGGTGGAAATGCCATTTTGGCCTTTTTAATTTTTCTAAATATGTTGAGACTTTTTCGTTTGGTTTTGCTAAGGGGTGAGAATTATTGCTTAAAATCATATAAAGCAAAATTCCACAGCTCCAAATATCAACTGTTTTGCTATACGATTGCGAAGAAGCCTGCTCTGGAGCCATAAACAGCAAAGTCCCGCACTTTTCGTTTTCCATAAAATGCTTATAGCGAGAGTCATATAGAGTGCTTAGTCCAAAATCAATAATTTTAACAGCACTTAAGTCTTGGTTTTCTGGGACCAAAATATTTTCTGGCTTTATATCCCTATGGATTAAATTTTTGTCGTGTATATATACAACAGCTTGTAAAATCCCTTTCATAATTTGAGATGCCTGAAGATCACTAATTTGATTTTTTTGTATATATTGCTTGAGGTTTCCGCCGTATATCATTTCCATTACTATAAATAGTCGTAAATCAGTCTCTTTTATACTATTATTAATGAACTCGACGCCTTTGAGGGCTTTAGTTTGACCAATATACCTATTAAGATTTTAAGAAATTTCAGTGATTTTTAAGGCAAAAACTCGTTATTTATGCGAAGGCTCTACTAGGTTCGAAAGGTTGATCTTGCAAAGAATTATTTTGGTATGACCGGGACATTTTTTATGAATCAAACATTTTGGTATGTCAGAAATGAATTTAATTTGTCCAAACTAATTTTACAAAGTGAAGTTTGTTTTTTCTGCAGGAAATTTTTGAGTGTTAATCTCATATATTGTTAAGGCCAATTAATAAACCTAGAACTTTTCTGAATCTTCCATTTGATTATTATTATGAGATATCTAAATATGAATATGCAATAGGAGATCATCTTCGAATAAAGGATAAATTAGATTTCGATTTTAAATTATTTTAGATTTTCAAGCTTTTTTATTATGCGGATTCATAAATTAAATAATTAAGTTAATTTCTTCACTTAAAAATATGATTCTTTAAGAGATAATCAGGAGTTTTTCAAATTTTTGAATTTTGATCAGTTTGGAAGCTTCGAATGAAATAAAATATTTGACAATCTATCTGAATTTTTGCTATTTGAATTTAATTAGAAGCCTTTTATATAAATTTAATTTTTAATCTTTAATAAAATTAGATCTGAAATAGAGAAAGTGCTAAAATCTATCCTCCGCGTTGGGATTCTCTTTTGCATAAGAGTATTGTATTTTAATTTCAGCCTTTTATCTCATCAAGGCTTTGATATAATTCTTGAACAATTTTTCCTCAGATTTTTCTAAATATGTTCAATTTCAATGAAATGTAAAATGTGATAATATATTCAATTTTGAATAAGTGCTAAAATCTATACTAAGCATCTGATTTCTCTATTAAATAAGAGCATTGCTATTTAATGTTAGCTCTTTATCGCATCAAGGCCTTGAGATACATCTTTGTCAATTTTTTCCTTATTTTTTAATGAAAATGACATTTTTTTGCTTATCAGTTTTAATTTTCTATTAATCTTCAAAAATTTTAGGAAAGCAGCGTTTTAAATTCAATCATATGTAAGAGTCATAAAATTTTATCTGTTAAGCGAAATAGGATATTGTTTCCTTCATAAAGATTGATCTAGACCTTGATTCTGTCAAAACAAAATATCCCCCAATAAATATGGAAAATCAGCATTTTAACGAAGACTCTGCACTTGAGATCTTTCACAGCATTGAAACAGAAGAATTAAAGCCAAAGAAACTCAGGAACAGCTTCAAATGAGAAATAACTTACAGAAATCCTGGTGGAGTTATATTATTGAGCACTCACCTAGTCCCCTCAAAAGAATTCACAGCATTCAAGATGATCCAGCTCCTAGATAAAATTATTATACAGCCATCTTATCAGAAATTTAATTAGTTTATTTCTGACATACCAAAATGTTTGATTCATAAAAAATGTCCCGGTCATACCAAAATAATTCTTTGCAAGATCAACCTTTCGAACCTAGTAGAGCCTTCGCATAAATAACGAGTTTTTTGCCTTAAAAATCACTGAAATTTCTTAAAATCTTAATAGGTATATTGGTCAAACTAAAGCCCTCAAAGGCGTCGAGTTCATTAATAATAGTATAAGTGCTTGAATTTTATGATATTTGGGTGATTTAAGGAAGATAAAATTTCTGCCTCCTGTTTTAATTCAGAGACCCTGCCTTGTTTAACGTTATGTTTTTCAATTATTTTTATCGCTACTTCTTCTCCTGTACTTTTATCAATCGCGTGGACCACTTTCCCGAAACTTCCACTACCTATTGTGTCAATATAAACATAAAAATCTGAGAATTTGTCGTGGTATTCTCCTTTGTCGAATTCTTCCATTTTGGCAATTTAGTAAAAATTATGTCAATAGGAGAGCAATTTCGATGATTATTCATTATTTTTGTAGGCTTGATTTATTTTTTTTTTAAGTTTAGTTGAATATTTGTTGGGAGAAATATTAATTTTTTATTTATTTAATAAAATAAATGTGAATTTTAGAGAATTTGAAGCATTTTGAGAGAAGTATTGAAATCTAGCACTAAATTTGTGTATTCATTAATTATTTATTTACAATTAATTGCTATGGCGCTTTGAAAGCTTAGGATCTGTTAAATTATGCGTCTAGATAACTAAAACTAAAAGAAAATTGTAAGATCAATTTAGAGCACTAAAAAATAATTATATCCCCCTCATACTTTTACACCTGTTATCTTTAAAGGTTTGGAGAATGATTCTAATTGATCTTCTCAACCATTCTAAATTGTTTTATAACGCATTTATAAAAATCAAAAGAAACACAAAATTAAGTATTCTTATACACAATTAAAAGCAGGAGCATCATGTCTTATAATATAAATCAATTTAAAAGCCACAACTTTTCTCCAAAGAAAAATAAATATAATATGATTTCTTTTCCTTAAGGCTTACGCAATTACAAGGCTAATCTTTTCTTAAAAGATATCAATTAGTATCTTCATTTATATTGCATCACATAAATGATCCGTTCATATTGAAAGTGGGTAGGAGCTCTTGCTGCTGGATCAGGATTAAGATTTTTAATTTATGGCACAGAACCAAAAACCACCCGAGAATATACCCTTCCAACGTTAAGTACCAGACAAGAAAATATCAAAGCCTTGAAATACAAAGAATATGATATATTAGTTATAGGAGGAGGTGCCACAGGTGCAGGAATTGCTTTAGAAGCTGCCTCACGAGGTCTATCTTGTGGTCTCATTGAAAGGGGTGATTTTGCTTCCCAGACATCCAGCAAGTCTACCAAACTTTTGCACGGTGGAGTCAGATATCTTGAAAAAGCAGTAAAAGGGGAAAATATCTACGAAAACCTTTTATTAGTATCAGAAGCGTTAAAAGAAAGGGACATCTTGATCAACTCAGCTCCACACATGAATAAGTGGCTTGCTATCTCAGTACCTACAGATAGCTATTTTTGGCTACTTTATTACTGGGTTGGCTTATGGGTATATCATTTCATAGCATATATTCAAAATTGTTATACAGGGAATGCAAGTACTGAGCTACCAAGGCCAGGAATTTCTTTTGAGTCACAAACATTAATACCAAGGCTGAAGTCAAAATTTAAAGGGAGTACAATTTATTATGATGGACAAATGAACGACACGAGACTCTGTTTAGAAGTATTGCTAACAGCAAGCAGCAAGGGCTATATAAAAGGAATGGTCCAAGCTAATATAGCAAATTATTGTAAGGCTGTATCTTTTATTAAAAAACAAGGACTGATAGTTGGGGTAAGAGCAGAAGATTTAATAACTGGGGAGCAGTTTGATATTAAGGCAAAAGTAGTTATGAACTGCACAGGCGTTTTTTCAGACTCCATACGGAAAAGTGCTGGTCAAAGAGACTCCGATAGGATTGTCCCAGCTAAGGGCTCTCATTTTCTACTGCCATCCTCTTATACTCCTAATGGCTATGGTCTTTTGATCCCTAAAACTACAGATGGAAGAGTTTTGTTTTTACTTCCATGGGAAGGCTATACAATTGCAGGCACAACGGACGAAAAAGGCACAGCAACAGTCCATTCGTTTATGCTTTCTCACGAAAAGCAGTTCCTAGCTCAAGAGTTATCAAGATTTCTCAATAAAACTCCTGAAGAAATCAGTAACGATATAAAAGGAAGCTTTAGTGGAGAGCGACCACTAGTAAAATCAAAAGACGAAAAAACTTCTTCAATACTCAGGACTCATTCTGTTGAAGTCTCTTTAAATGGGCTTATCTCAGTTATGGGTGGGAAATGGACGACCTTCAGAGCCATGGCTGAAAATGCAGTTGACGTCGCTGTAGAAAGATTTGGTTTGCCAGCTAAATATATATCACGGACCAGAGATATGAAATTAATAGGAAGTCAAATAAATATTGAAGAACTTCAAAGTAAACTTATAAAAGAATACAAAATTAGTGAAGAGCAGGCTAAATATCTTGTCAAAGAGTACGGAAGAAGAAGTGAAGATGTACTTAAGGTTGGCAGAAATGAGCAGCTAATAGAAGGGCATCCATTTACAATTGGAGAAATCGTATATAGCACTAGGTCTGAATATGCTGAAAAACCAATTGATATAATTGCGAGAAGGATGAGACTTGCGCTGCTTGATGTAAAATCGGCCATAAAAGCTTTAGATATTGTGATTAATGAAATGGGAAATGAGCTCAAATGGAGCAAGTCTTAGGAATCTTAGGTTATTAAGTATTTAAGGTGTCTAGTGCACCCTCCCTATATCGGGACTTGACCCAACTAGTGACGTCACGGGCCATCCTGTCACTTAAAATGGCGCACCATATGGGCAGGCATTTCCGACTTTGCCACCACCAGCCAAGGCCGCACTTCTCACCCGGCGCGATGCCGTCGCCCTTGTCAGACTTAGCTCCTGCGCGTGTTCCGCCTGAGGGTCACCCTCCTCGGGTGTGCTAAGTGGAAAAAATCTTCGTCGCTTGAGTGCACTGAGGAGCAGCAGTTCCTCTGGTTATCCCCAAAGTTAAACTGCTATTGCTGTGCAGAAGTTCTCGAGATTAAAACCAAACCCCATAAATAAAATTCCATGAGGGAGAGAAAATTAGCAAAGCTAATTTCTCTCGAAACCGAATGCCATTTTATTTATCCAAATGGAGCAAGTCAAAAAGAGAGCAAGAATATAAAACAGCTGTTATGGAACTCACACAGTTTTTTAGCTAATTCATGAAAAAAAATTAAATAAACTCTTAGATATTTATCTAATTATAGTAACGCATGCAGTTGATGTGAAGGGCCATCTGTTTCTCCTCTGTACCTAAAAATTTTAACAAAATCGGTCCTCGGCTTCTCTGGAAGCTCATCAACTTTGACCTCTTCTACAGGTTTTTCTCTTTTATCAAGTATTCCTTGCAGTCTTAAAGCTTGAAACGCAAACTCTTTTGCTCCATCCATCCTGCCATACATTTCTTCTTTTTTCGCTTTCGCATATAGCGATTTAATTTCGTTTTTTATGGCTTCTTCTTCAGCATTTTCCCATTCAGGTGCTCGACTCACTTGAGAATTTCAGAATTTCTTTGCGTTTTCTAGAACTTTTTTGGCAATAGGTGCAGGCTTTCCTTGGTATTTGTCCCATCCGAAAACGGTGATGGAATTTTTTTCCTCTTCTGCTTCTTTTTGTTCGTTTTTAATTTTTATTTCTTTTACTTCATGGGCTAGAGCTCGCTCTCCTGTACTTATGGTGGATGCTTTCGGCTTTGACTGCTTAGGCTTTGACTGTGTAGGGCCTTCACTTAGTTTGATAAGGAGCTTTTGAGCTCTGATTCTTTCTTGAACAGTTATATCTTACTCTCCCCGCTCCGTGAGTGAACAAAAAATTTTTTTCGCTCACTGAGGGGGTTAAATTTTGTTTTTAAAAAAATTGTATAGTTAGTGACGCTGACTATATATAAATTTTATAGAAAAACTATTTTTTTTCGAAATTTAAAAAAAAATCCTAATTTGCAAAAAATGGGGATCAAATATTAATTTAATCTATAAAATTTTATGTTTAAAACGCAATTTGTTTAAAATTAAACAGAATTAGCTCGAGATTTCATTATAATAAATTATCATCATTTATATATCAAATTTTTTTTTCATAAAAAATTTTTGTTCACTCATGGAGGGTGTTAGGGTGGGCAAAAATAAGGGATTTTTCAATGGTTTGTTCACTCACTGGGGAGTTAGTAAAAATTACCATGTCTATCAAGAATTTTCAGAGATGGGATTGTGGCAATTACTTTCATGCGATAATAAGGCTCTTCTGCGCATGGATTTCCATAAAGATCTATTTAAAAAATACTTAGATGCTCCAAGCATGAAAACTTGCATAAGATTTTAAGGACATTATCTAATCCTCTCAAGTTATTATTTCCCGCAAGGAATTTTTGAAGGAATTTGAAGTATTTGATTGAGCCATCTAATGTGATTAAGCAGTTGTTTTCTATATAAAGTTCTTTTATTCGAAAATTTTCATCTAAATTTTCTATTCTTCGAATTTTGTTATTATTTAACCATAGAACTTCTAAATTGGTGAACGATGAAAAATTATCGATTTTCTCAATTCCTCTATCTGAAAGGTGGATTTCACTGCAGCTTTTTGCATATTTTGCATTTTTAATTGGCAATACACCCCAGGGATTGCTAACTGTTGGATCCATTTTTGTTTCCTCAATCATTTTATAATCAAAATTTGAACTTTCACGTATCTGAGCATGAATAATTATTAAAATGAATCTCTTGGAAATATGTGGCACCCTAAAAGGAATATGTTAAGGAGTGATAACTTATCTGAAGATTTTTTACAGTTTTATCTATTTATTTTTCGAAAAAATATTGTACAATTTTAAAAATCTTTAATTATTTATTAAAAAGTGTTCTTAAGTGCTAACGCATGAGGCTAATTTATCTTAATATGACTTTTATCTATTGCTTATTAAACCAAGAAAGCTGGGAGAATTAGAGATGAAAACGCATAAAAATATTTTTGGCCTAAAATAAAATCTTTTACTGTTGTTCAATACATCTTTTTAAGATTATTGAGAAATGCAATTTATAAATTTTCCATCGCCTATATGCATAAACAGCTATTTTTTAACTGTAAAATTAAAGCTATTTCATTGATTTGTGTTTAACTAAATCAAATAGTGTCAACTTTGGAGGATCCTCATTTCCATTTTCCTCTTCTTTTTCTTTAGACTCTGTTTGTCTCTGACTCCTAACAACCTGTCTCGGAGGTTTTTTTAAAACATCTGTAAATGAGCTCCAAATGCTTTTGCCAGCTTCCTCACTTTCCTTTTTTTCTTCAATTTTTTTTACTTCTTCAATCTTTTTTGGCGGAGTTACTCTCCTAACAGGTACTGCAACTTGAGGATTCTCAAAATAAGCCATTAGTAGATTGTTAGCCTCTTCTTCAGCCTTGCTTCTTTTCGCTATTTCTTGTTGGCATCTTTCTTCTTTGACTTTTAATCTGCGTCTTTTGTTTGCTCTTTGATGAAGTTCATTATCGAACATTCTAGTCGTTTCGTATGAGCATATGCCCCTCATATCAATTTCGACTTGGCTTACCGTTGCGCCTCTTGCGATATGGTTAAAAATTCTATATAGAACTTACTTACCCTAGCTTTTTGATTTCAAATTCTGTAATAAAAGTATCTTCTATTTCTAGCACCTTACCTGTGATTTTTACTGGAAAATTTTCAAAGTTGCCATACTCTTTCAGCATCATTTTGACATTTAATGGATGCAAAAAGTAAGGCTGACCATCTGAAATTTGATAAAGGTAGTAATATTTTGATGGATTTCTCAAGGGCTCTTCAGTATTTCTGGTATCGTTTGTATTTGCATGAGAGCTTTCAATTTCTTTCCCTACGTATTCTAACTCCCCCCTCCGTGAGTGAACAAAAATTTTTTTTGTTCACTCACTGAGGGGGGGTAATTTTTTCTTTAACAAAAATTTATATATAAATTTTATAGAAATTTTTTTTTTTCGAATTTTAAAAAAATCCTAATTTGCAAAAATTTGGAAATCAAATATTAATTTAATTTGTAAAATTTATGTTTTAAAACGCAATTGTTTAAAATTAAACAGAATTAGCTCGAGATTTCATTATATTAATTATCACTTATATATCAAATTTTTTTTCATAAAAAATTTTTGTTCACTCACGGAGAGTGGGTTTTTGGGCAAAAAAATAGGGATTTTTCCCAATGGTTTTGTTCACTCACGGAGGGGGGAGTAAAGCTTTTTCAATTGCTGATCTTTCAAAAGAGTCTTCTGTTTTTACAAGGCAGGCTTCAAGCTGACTCTTTTGGTCTTCCAATATGCTTCTTTCATCCAATTGTAATGTAATCCTATTAAAAACTGCGTGGCTGGATTTATAATCTATAAAAGATTGCATAACTTTTTCTTGAATTGGCTCTCCACATTTGAATAATGAAATTTTTCCTTTTTCTCTCATAAGTAGCTGCATTTCTATTGTATTGCCTTCTTGCACAGCTTCTACACGTTTAATGATCATTGGTCGGAGGTTTGATCCTTTTACAGGGTCAAAACATATTGGGCAGCGTTTAGCTTGATTTTCTGTAGCCCATAAATATCTGATAACACAAGGCCAGCAAAAGAGATGCCCACATCTATTTACTCTGCATGCTGTGAACTCATGGTCAAGGCAAATTGGGCATGTGAATTGATGTGTAGTAAGTCTGGTCACCATTCCAATTGTTTCCCATTCTAAAGGAATATTTGGATCTGTGTGATATTGGATAATTTCTGCTGGGAGGCGGATTGCAAAAGAGCAATATGGAGATAATGTTATATCTTGTAAGCCTTTTTGCTGAACTTTTTTAATTCGTACTGGAGGTGGTTCTTTTTTGGCTGCGATTTTAAATCCTAGGTACTCTTCCAAGTGGACTTTCTGATTTTTCTTTTCTTTCTTATTATGCCTGCCCTGACTGGGTTTATTATCCATACTAATAATTTAATTTACACAAATCAAACCTTTAACCTTGCATTAATATTTGTTGTAAGAATTTAGTATATTACATGTGATTCATCAACCCAAAAGGTTTAGGGTAAATATAGGCAATTAATTATAAATTATTGCGTAGAATTCCATCACCACAGGTACTCTGAACTCATAACACTTTTCTATTTTTCCAATTTCTTGTTAAATATTTTAATATAAACAATTATTGAGTAATTGCAATGAATCAAGCATTTTTATACATATTGCCTAAAACTACGAAAAAAGATTAATATTTTTTTTAAAGCACCAGCAAAATAATAAGTTTTACTTAGTACTCATTTTTGGATATAATTTTTGAGATACACATAAAACCTGCAAGGTTATCAATATTTTATTGCTTTAATTTTTCTATAATATCAAAATCAAGAAAGATCTGTTGAAGAATACTATATCCTTAGAAATAGCATATTTAAAGTTGAAGTTTAATCTTGAAACAGTAGAGTTAATTAAATATGGTAAGAAAATCACATGTTTTATCAAGAAATTAGGAAATTTTTGATTAATCTTAAAAAGCTTTCTTTATTTTACAAAAATATGAAGGCAATAGGTTAAGTATTGAATGGTAAAATTCTAAAAATTTTTCTAACATTAAAAACTAAATTTATAATTGACCAGAAATGGGTAGCAGAAACTCTCTTGGCCAAGCAAGAATTATTAGAGTTAATGAAGACAATAACTGGAATCGAGGACATTACCAGCGAATAGGTCGAAATAATACTCAAAATACGAGCATTAATGTAATTAGAAGCTCATCAACTCATAATGCATTTTCTTATCAATTCCGGGACAATTTTTCAAGCTTAAGAACTCAGCCGAGTTATGAATAGATTGCCTGAGTCTTTATGCTAAAATAATAATTTAACAATAAATACTGGAAGCTCACAGTAATTTTTGAAAAACCTTAAATTTTTATGTTTTGGAATTTTGGTTTTATGAGAGTTTTCCAAAGAAGTTATATCCAATATAAATATTAATGACACTTAAAAGCGAATAAGTTGTTAAATCGGATTTATTCTTCAAAATAAAAGCAGATTTTTAAAATAACTAGAAGCTTAGCATACTTGCATTTAAATAGAAATTGAGAATTATAAAACACCATTGGAAAAATTTCTAATTTTTATGTAAAAACTAAGAGATATTAATTTAAAAGTCAAAAGTCTAAACAAAGTGCAAGATAGGTCAAAAGACTATTATAAGGAAGGGCAATTAAGTAGAACACTAAGTCAATATCCAAATAGAAATACCAAGAAAAATAACTTTTAAATCCAAAAGTATTAATTTAATTTTCAAAATCATTAGAATAAGCATCACTATCACTCATTTCTTCAGTTTCACTATGCTTGTTACTTATTTTCTCTATTGGTGTTTTTTGACGATCAGATTCTTCTGGTTCATAATCAGATACATATTCTTCATTTCCCTCAGAAAATTTTGATTTATCTGTATTTTCAGGATCCAAGCTTGCTTTATCCTGGCTTGATAATTTAAATTTGTCCCCTTTCCCGCTTTTTATTGTAGAATTTTTCTGGCCATCAAGCTCAAATGCGCTTCCAAATGGAGAACCCTCAGATCCATAATGAAGGGATTTATAAGGCCCTGATTTCTCAGGGGAATCTTCACTATACTCTAAGAAATTTGAAGACTCCCTGTAATGTTTCTCATTTTTCGCCTCACTAGAAGATCTTGAATTCGATTCACTATTTGATTTATAATTTTCTAGCTCTCTTTTAGTAGCAATGCCATAATGATATAAAATTTCTTCAAGTTCATCTATGCTTATGCATGGGATTGTTTCTTTTTCATATTGAAGTGCATCTAAAATTAGCTTGATATTTTCTTCACTGATATTTTTTATGTTTAACTTGCTCAAGCCTTTTATAAATTTTTTAGGAGAAATGAGCCCGTTTTTATCATTTTTAAAAGCATCTCGAACGGTTAAGCTTCGCTTTTTAAGCTTTTCAGCCATAAATCCTAGGAACTCTCGGGTGATTTCAGCCCTTTCTTCATCTGAATTAGTCACGCTTTCTTCTTCAACAGAATTTTTTTCTTTTACATTCCCATAAGCTTTTATTAGAAACTTATAAGGCACAGTATCTAATTGGTAGCTATGAGAATAAAATAAAACTACGAGATAACTGAGAACTTTTGGCGAAAATTGTATCTCAACATCCTCCAAAGCCTTTTTAAACTGTTCAATTGTAATTATTCCTGAATTTTCAGTATCATAAAGTTTGCATGCTGTTTTTAAAGTAACTTTATTGCTTTGTATTAAAGCAGAGATTTCTTGATCCATTTTTTCTTCAGCTTCCTGTGAATACACCTCTCACTCATCTATTAATTCTAATAATTTTTTAGTAATTTGCTCTGGGGTTTTAGTAACTTTTTCAATTTGCTCTAATGATGTAAATTTGTCACTTTCAGACTGAAATAAAAACCTTGATAGGTTTTCTGAATCATTTTTATCTTTAATATCAAATGGTTCTTGGGAAAATAAATTGCTTAACTCAACATAATTAATATGAATAGGATTGCTGAAAACGAATTTATTGTCAAATAGTACTTTTTGTAAGTCAGATTTTGAGAATCGGTTAAGCTGCATTTTTAGTTTAATATGATTTAGAGAACTCTGAATTTGTTCTAATTTTACAGGGGAAATATATTCAGGAAAAGCTTTTGGAGATGTTTCTTGCAAATTTTGGGGTGGAGCTTGTATGGCTAGATTTTCATGGGATTCTTCGATAGAAGAAGATAAGTTATAGTCTTTATCATTATATTCATACGACTCATATAATGAAATAAGGCAAAAACTAGGTATATATTGATCTAAACTATCTTTTATTTGCTCTTTTAATTTTTTCATATATTTTTCCTCAACATTTTTATTTTCTTTTTTCATAATTTCCAAAAAATCACTAATTTTAATAATCCGATAGTTATTCTCGATACTCGCCAAAAAATCATCAATTGAAATTTGTTTTTCAGTCAAAACTTGATGCAGCTGCCATAATACTTTTATTGGATTTTGTAATTTTGGCTGATTTTTTATTTTTTCAACATTAACTACATTTGAGTTTATTGGTCTAGCTATAAAATTTTTAAGCGATGCTTGAAGATCTCTAACTTCTTTTTCTAATGCATCAACTTTAGACTGCTTTGCAAATAACTCTTGCTTATAATTTTCAATAGATCTCTTTAAACTATTTTCTTTTTCTACAAATTCTTTTCTATCAAATTCTAGCTGTTCCTTGGTTTTTTTTAATTCTTTTTCCTGGCTGTGGTTCTTTTTCTTTTTATGAGGTTTTTTTTTAGGTTTTGGAATTTCCTGTTTTACTTGTTTTAATTTTTCTAACTCTGCTTTTTCAATATCAAGTGCATAGGTTAAATCATGAATATCTTTTTTAAACTGGTTATTTAATGATATCAATGCGTTTTTCTCTTCAAGCAATGCCTGAATTCTTTCATTTTGCAAGATATCTTTTTGTTTTAAAATCTCAGAAAGATGATGTCTTAGCCTTGTACTTTCGTCGCTAAATGCTTTTATTTCTGTTTCCATTTCAAGAAAGTTAGTGTATTTTAGGCTTCTTTTTAATTTTTCAGTTTCTTCAATTCGAGTCTTAATTTCATGTCTCAATTCTTTAATGGTTTCTTTAAGAGAAGGCACAAGGTGAACTTTCTTAGACTCCATAAAAGGAAGAATTTCATTTTTTTGTTTCATATTTTTTGCTCTCTCATTGACTCTGTTCAGTTCTTTTTCAAGCATGCTAACTTTAGTGGTCGCCCTTATGAGATCTTCTTTAAGTTTATTTGTTTCAAGCTTTAATGACATATTCTCCTCATAAAGCGTTTCTTTATCAATATTTACAACTACAGGGCGAAGCCTATATAAAAGACTATCATCTGATTTATATGTGCTAAGACCTTTTGGCCTGGTTGCTGAATGGTATGTAGCAGAAATAGGCCGTGAAGAGGATTTTTGGTTTAAGATTTTTTCACTTAGATACAAAAGAAAATGCAAATTTTGGATCTATCCAATAAAGTTTACCATTTTAAAAAAAATTGATAAAATCCCAACAAATAAGCAAGAATTTGCTTATTACTGGGGGAATTTAGGGTCTACTTTGAAATGTAGATTTGCTGCTGGGAGCTGCATCTTCTTTCTTGTTAGAGTCTTCTGCATTCAGAAGATCTATAGATCTATAGTCTAATTTCCTTTTTATTTCTTACAGTTGAGGATATGACATTATATTTTATAAACAAATAAAAAATGAAGGCAAGTTACAAGCTGCTTTCTATTTATATAAAGGGTACGTTTATCTTGAAATAACTTAAATCGATTCAATTAATTCCATCTTAAAATTCATTATTTTTCTCCATAAATGTAATAATAAATAAAAAAGCTCTAATCTGCAATTTATTCAAACTATATTAAGAGGGAAAATATATACTCAACCTCTGTTATGAGAGATCATTTGAATCATTTATATCATTAAAACAATTTGTTAAATTAGTAATAAAAATCTAAATAAATCATAATAATACAATTAAGTTTTATAAGGGAAGAGCTTATATAGGGGTTTTTAAATGGAAATCACTAGATATATTTCAAACTGCCAAAAGATTGTCTCACACAAAATCAAGAATAAAATTTATCTCAAAGGAATATAAAAATTATTAGCTAATTTAGCGTGAAGATTAAGACTAATAAATGGAAGAGAAATTAAAAGAATGTCTTCTTCATTGGAATAGAGTTGGAAGCCCAGATACTTTTCGAGACAATACGCTTAAAAGCTTCTGCAACCAAACAGCATCTATACCTTTTCAGAACCCAGAATATTTGATTGCAAGACTTTCAGGTTTAACTATAGCTGAAGCATCTGATGCTTTAATGCTGGCTGAAGAGATAAGGCACTCGGGAATAGAGAGGGTATTAGCCAAACTAGAAGCACTCGGCCAGAAAATCCCTTCAGTTTCAGTAGCAAAAAGACCTAGAAAGAATAAAAAATCCAAAAATCAGGAACCAAAACTCAAAAAGATGCAAAAATTATAACTCTGTAAGTAGATAGTTAACAGAAACTTATGGCGATACCCTTATTTCGATTTCCCTTAAGATATTCTGATCTTTATTTACTCGTTAGTATGTGTGAATAATAAAGAATGAGTCTCATTTTAATTTTATGATATTTATGTGTAGCCAGTTAGCTATTTTTGTTGCCTCTTGGTGAGGCAATGATGGTTATAAAATAGAAAATTGCTGAGTGTACCCAAATTTATTTCATTTTTAAACATTAGAGTTCATATTTATAAGGTCATTTGATAAAAATTATCAAAGCTCTATTATTCTTATGGAACTTATATTGATATAAATCCAGTATTATTATAGTAATTTTTCTGAATAAAATCATAGCAAATCAATATTTGAGATACATTTAAATTATTTTGTTGATAAAATGAGAAGCTCCTACAATAATAATGAAGATCATCATAAGATATCAAAATAAAAGCAAAGATCTTCACGTGGATCCCAAAGTCAAAATTAAGGACATGCAAATAGAAATCGCCAGAATCACAAACCTGCCACCTGATCACCAACAATTAAGCTATTTAAATTCAGGGCATAAAGTAATCCTTACTCAGGTTCTTTTGCCGATTTCTTCAAAACTCTATTTATATAATATAAAGGATGGGTCAATTATATACGTTGAAGAAGTATTTATAATATAGAAATCAATAGACAACCCACAAACTCCGTCCCAAAACTCATTATTGGGGATGGGCAGAAGCTCGATGGTGTTTGACGAAGAGGAGCTGACAAGATACGATTCTGATACTATTGTAAGCGTTAAAAGAAGACATAGGGCATCATTAGGTGCTGAAAATTTCACTAGCTATCAAAATCAGTGAATTGCCCAATTAATCATTCCTTGTAGAGAAGGAAATGTTGAAGGTCTTGTTGGTGTCTTACAGGGCTATCAAGCATACAAAGGAGTCCTCTTAAGAGAAGAAGATGTTGGAGAGCTCCTAAATAGTAAATATGATGAACAATGAAGCTGCATTCATTATGCATGCTATATGGGACATTCAGGAGTACTGAAAGAGCTGATTGATCTAGGAGCAGACTGTAACAATGTTACGAGTGACCAATGGACGCCTTTACAAATATCTGCTTACCAAGGCAATGTCAAATGTGTGGAGCTTTTGCTTGCCCATCCTCTTATTGATATAAACAAAATGACCCAAAATAGAGGCTCAGCTTTGCATCTTGCAGTACTGAAAGGGCATATTGAAATAGTAAAAATCTTGATGGAACATAGAGCAAAGCTAACCCTAGAAGATCCTGATGGTAAAACACCTCTTGAATTAGTTACAAGAAAAGACATAGCAGAGCTAATACCAAAATACTTAGGAGCTGAAATGCTTGAAAAGTTTGGAAAACCTGCCATTGAAGAACCATTAAGCTTTAGTGGAGAAGTTTTCTACGAAAACGCTGATGAGCTAAGTCAAACTGTTTATTTAGTCCTTAGCACACAAAATGGAAAATTGCACCATTTTACAAGCCGACAATGGTTTTCTGAGGAGAAAAACCCTGAGTTTTCTATCCCATTCCAAGAAATGAAGCTTATAAGATTTGAAAGCAAAAATGATAAATTCTATTTTGGGATTCGAAGAGATTCTATGAAAATGAAGTATTATACAACTTATGAAGACATGAGCAATGAATGAATTAAGAAATTAAAGCATTTTATTCAATACTATAACCCAAATGAACAGAATAGCTGGAAACATTTGCTTGTGGATGGAGATGAATCTGATGGCCTTTTTGATACACTGGAAAATTCAGCAGCAAATAAATCACAGTTTGCTGTAATGGCTGAGCTTGGGTCTGGTAGCTTTGGAAATGTGTATAAGGTGAAGCATAAAGAAACAGGATATTTATACGCAATGAAGGCTCTTAATAAAGACATGCTAAGTGTCAGAGGACAACTAAAATATGCGATCTCTGAATGTAAAATAATGAAAGCAATTAAGCATCCTTTCATCCTTACTCTTTACTGGGCATTCCAAAGCAGAAATTACCTTTATATGATTCTTGAGCTCTGCATAATGGATTTTTCTAAAATGATTAAATTTTATCACAAATTTAATGTTGCTGTCTCAAAAAGATGCATCGCTGAAGTTATTCTTGCAATTGAATATCTGCATAATTTGGACATTGTTTATAGAGACCTTAAGCCTCAAAACATTCTAATTGGAACTGATGGGCATATTAGATTAGCTGACTTCGGTCTGGCTAAAGAAAAAATTGGTGATCAGAATATAGCGACGTCTTTTTGTGGATCGCCTGCATATATGCCTCCTGAAATTATAAGAAATCAAGGTTGCAATAAATCTGCTGATATCTACACTATTGGGGCTAATCTTTATGAAATGTTAATAGGAATACCTCCATTTTATACAGAAAATATAGCCGAGCTTTATGCTCGAATTGACAGTGCTCCCTTAGAATTTCCTTATGGATTTGACCCTGAGGCAGAAAGTCTCATAGAAATGGCTATGAAGCGCAATCCAGAACAAAGACCTACAATTCAACAGCTTAAAATTCACCCCTTTTTCGATGAAATTGACTGGCATGAAGTATTATTAGGCCATTACCTTCCTATGAATATGGATGATATAAAGAGAGTTTCATAGTCAATTAAATAGAAATTGAGATAAATAGTTCACTTTCAAAAAAATTAATTGAATTAAGGCTTGTTTGCTAAAGCACTTTTTTGAGATCTAGCAATTATGTCGGGAGTTTCATTATTTTGTGCCAAACTTTGCATGAGTTTACCTTCATCTTCTTCAGTTTGATTTAAATCGCTGCTTAGTAGACGAATTCGATAGAGATTTTTCTCTGGAAGCAAATCAGTTAGATTTTTTGGATAAGCCACATTAGGGCTTATTATAGTTTGGTTCTAAATATGGCTTACATTTTCTTTTATGCGCTTGAGTGCTTCTTTTACCTTGTCTTTAATTGTAATAACTTGATCAATCAGCTTGGAATCAGGATTTACAGGCTTCCGTCCTGGCTCCATGTCAAATGGCCGTGAATTTTTGATAGTGTGCATTTCATCTGTTTAAATTTGGCATTTGGTCGAAATTTATAAGTTTTTTTCGGTCAAATATCTCTCTTTTTTAAAAATTTTTCAGCTATCTTCGACCAGATATATTTCGGTGAAATTTAAACTATCAAAAGTGCACGATCATTGGACCTTCACCTTCCCTCCTAGCTTTCTCAGGTTTTTTCCTGCCCAGATTTTGATATTTTCATAAACACTTCGAATTCTTCTTAATCTATCTTTTTCAACTGAGATTTCTTGAAAAGACTTTGTAGCTTCCTGAGACATTTGCTTTGCAGGATTATTTCCTTCTAGTTTTGTCATTTCTAAAGAATTTATTTTTTCTAATATTTCGTCATTTCTCTGGATATAATCTGCGATTTTTTGTTTTGAATCATTGATTGTTTCCATAAGATCACCATAAATTTGTTCTCTTGTCAGATATTTTTCTACCATTTCTTGTGCATCGTTTAGCCCCGTTATGCTTCTTACCTGCTGAAAAGCTTCTTCTATTGAGGAAGAACGCTCCATTTCATATTTCAGCTTTTTTTGTAAATAAATGAACCATAGCCGATGGCATAAAAGCCCTTCCCTCATCTGTAGAGCCCTCATATTTCTATCTTCATTCGCAGCAGCCTCAGCTATTTCTAGCTGGCGATAAAATCTTTCTTCTCTTTTTCTTGACGTTTCTTGTTTCTGTTTAACGTCTTTTTCAATTATATCAAGTTTTTCTTGTTTTTCACTTTTTTCGCGACTAGCATATGCTTCAAGATTTTTAAGGGCTTCTTTATTCCACTATTTTGTGACTGATCAAATTTGTTTGCTTGCTCAGAATGATTAATTTTTTCATAAAAAAATTATATTTAAATTTTATATTAAATGTATTTTAAACATTTCCAATTTTCATAATTTTATAAACTAATAGTAATTTTAATTTTAAATTTTTATATTTATAAAGCAAGATAGAGATTTCATTATAATAATCATTCTATATAAAATAATGATATTAAAGCATTTTAGCTTTCAAATTGGAGATTTTATTTCCCACAAAGTAGGATTTGTCCAATGGTTTGCTCAGTTAAGGAGCTGCGGGGATTTAGTTTGTATTTTTGCCTCTCGTGTTCTTCTTTGCTTGTCTAGCTCTTCTCTTAAAGTCTGTTGTCCATTTTTGAGAGACTTATTCAGACTTAAGCTTCTTTTTTCTAGGTTTATTTTGGTCATTTTCATTCGTTCTATGATATGCTCATAAGCCTTTCTAGTCATTTCTGCATCATCTTGTTTCTTCTTAAACTCTCTCAGCCTATCTTCCATTTCTTTTGCTTTTTCCTTCATTGTATCTAATTTTAAGCCTGTCCTTGCTTCCATCTTCTCAGTCTGCTCTAATTCTTTTTTCAGTTTTTCAAGAACGTTATCATAAACTCCATTGTCTGCTTTATAGCCCGATCCGTGTTTTGGATCGGGCTTGACTGATCTCGGGAGACGTCAGATGAGAAGTTTAAGAACCAACTTCTGTTGGCAAATCCTCTTGCTATTGGAGATTTGTCATCTGGCAGCAAAAGTTTGTTTTTATATGACGTCTCCCAGTATCAGTCAAGCTCGATCCAAAGCAGGGATTGGGCTATATTCCTATCATGCCTTTTCCTTACTCACCTGTGAGCGATAATGTTTTTTATAAAAGTATTTTGATATATGGATGGTGGTGATTCTAAAATCTCTGACAAATCCTAAAAATATTTACAACTTGCATTAAAAGAATAAATTTTCGATTGTTTAAATAATATATAATTTATATATAGAATTTTATAAAGAATAACTCTCCCTAGGGGAATAAAAAATTTTAATCGCTCACAGAAGAATGGAGTTAGAAAAACAAGTTGTGATGACACTTCTTTCAACTCTTCAATTTTAGAAACTCTTTGAGTTTCATCACCTTGCGTAACTGAGCTATTAAGAAATTTTGATGCATCCTGAGTTGAGACCATTTGGCGAATTATTCGGTGATTAGCGAGGTTAAATGAAATATGCGTTGCATTTATTGAGTCCTTTTTCCACCTGGCAGTTGCTGGAGCTGTTAAGTTAAATATTTCAGAGTTATCCATTGATATTTTATTTATTCACAGATTATTATCAATAATCTCAGTCAGAAGTAAATTAATTTCTATCATAAGCGATGCAAAAAAATTATTTGTTAATTTTAGGCTATAAGTTATTATAAAGGCAATTTTAATTAAATTTATATGTGTCTAATTAATAAATGTAAAATAATAAACATGAAAGAAAGCCTCAAAGAACTGGGAGCGAACCATTCAACCTCGAATGCTAACCCATTTTGCTGCCTTTGTCCGCCAGTATATGCTGCGTATACAAATAGCCCTATGAAAAGAGTGTCGAGCAGCAAATGAGCTCATGTGGAATGTAAAATTTACTTACTCCGCCCCTACGTGAGTGAACAAAACCATTGAAAAAATCCCTATTTTTTGCCAAAAACAACCACTCTCCGTGATCGAACAAAAATTTTTTAATAGAAAATTTTTTTATGAAAAAAAAATTTGGTATAGCCCAGGGCGATCAATAATCGCTCCTGGGCTATATATAAATGATAATTAGTATAATGAAATTTATAGCTAATTCTGCTGAATTTTAAACAAATTACGCTTTAAAACATAAATTTTTTATAAAATAAATTAATAGTTGCTTCCCAATTTTTGTGAATTAGGATTTTTTTAAAATTTCGAAAAAAAAATTTTCTCTAAAATTTATATATAATTGTGTTTTTTTTAAAAAGAAAAATTAACCCCCTTCGTGAGCATCAAGATTTTTTTGTTCGCTCACGGAGGGGGGGGGGTTAGGCACTCAATATATTTTAGAAACATACATAGACGAGTCCGATTCCGATTTTCCTATCAAAGGAGTAGAAGATATTGATCCTTCTGCTTACATATTAAAATGCATCATTTGCGAAAAAAAGTCTTGCGGAGTTTGTGTAAATTGTGCTGATCAGTCCTGTTCTTATACATTTCATCCACAATGTGCGCTCAGAAGAGGCTTGAGAGCAGAGCCTCCTCATATTTACTGTCCTGACCATTCAAATGCTCCAAAACAGACAAAGCCTTCTCCTCTTCCTGCACATATGGTAAAATCAGAAAAGCCAACTAAAACCAAGACCCCCAAAACAGTTTTACTTAATCACCGTTTTACGTCCTCACCCTCATTAAAGCATTTAAGAAGAATTAAAAGCTCAGAAGACTCCAACCAATTTGCGATAATTGAAGACAACTTCAAAAAATTTCCTCACGAGTCACTATCGAAATCATCACTTCCTTATGAGAAAAAAGCAATATCAGGAACTTCAAAGCCGCCTCAGTGCCTTAATAAGTGCAGTGTGCTGGTACATGGGACTGAATTAGATGCGCTTGCACAATTTAATTTGGTTTCAAGAGAAAGAAAAAAGGCACTTTCAGATGCCTTTATTGTGCAGCCTTATCAAGGAGAAGTATCGCAGCTAAAATCTGATATGTTTCTGAAATACTATAAACTCTTCAATAGAGAATTCGGCTCAGATTTAGAAATCAATGGCAGATGCCTAAGTGAAAGTGAATGCGGCTTTGATGAAGTATCAAGAGAACTTCTGTACTGTCTTGAATATTTATCAAGAAAAGTCCTTCCTTCAGTAAACCACCTCAAAGGGCTTTTATCACTATTAGTCGAAAAGCAACCAGTAAGGCTTGACATGTCAAAAATCTACGAGATAAATCGTGAAGCCTGACTTGTAACTCAATGGGGCTTTATCTATAGATGCCTAAAGGATGGATTGAGCGAAAAAGATCCCTCAGACTATGAGTTGAGATTTCATTGCATAGAAGAATGTGATTGCAGCATTTGCTACCATTGCAATGAAGAAGAAGCTATTTTAAACCCTCTTATTAGCTGCAGAGGATGCAAACTGCTTATGCATAGAGCCTGTCTTGGTTTCCAAACTTATATAGACGATTATTATTGTGATCTGTGCAGAGAAAGAGCTGATCCAAGATGCATAATCTGCCAAAAAAAGAATGGGCCAATGAAAAAAGCTGGACCAGAGTGATTCCATATATCATGCGCACTGTGGGATCCAAAACGTGTGGAGTTTGAAGATACAAAATGTCTAGAAGGGCTAAGGATTTGTGGAGAAAATATGGTAGGCCAATGCATTGTGTGCCATAAATCAGATGGGTTGCTTTCTCAGTGCAAAGATTGTGGACAACTTGCCCATTTGTTTTGTGCTTGAAAAAATGGTATGATGTTTGAAACAGAGGATTATATAAGTTCAGGCATCAGAAAGCTTCTCATCAAATTTGTTTGCCACTCACATACACCAAATCGAAATGCTGATGAGCAAAAAGAATTGAGAAGCCGGCCATTCAGATATTATGAAACGCCAAGAGCTAAGCGAAAAAGACTTGAAAATTTCTCCCATCTAAAAATATAGTCCCAATATGCTACTATAAATAAATTATAAATATATTTTATCATTAATTTTAGACCATCTCCCTATATCCTCTTAATCAAATGATATAACAAATGGAAGAATTCTCAGCGCTCTTAGAACTACAGCAGCTCTCCCTAGTCGCACAAGTTACACAAAAAATTGAACAAAACATCGGAATAAATAGTAAACCCTTAGCTGAATTTGTATTACATTTAGCAAAATCTTCTGCAGACCTACAAGATTTCACCAAAAAATTAGAATCAAATGGGGCAGATTTTCCTCAGGAGTTTATAAGGCAGCTTTTTTTGTTTATTCAGACGAACTCATCTGAATCCAAAAAACTCAGAAAAAGGAGCCGGAGTAGGGAGCGCTTGTACGCTGGAAAATTATATGAAGGAAAAGTAAGCAAAGTGATGACTTATGGGGTTATAGTGCAAGGAGATGGATGGGAAGGGATAATTAAAGGATCTAAAGATCTCGATAGAAACCAAAAAGTGCAAGTAAGGGTTATAGAAGAAGGGGAAAACCCAGAATTAGAGCTAGTTAGAGCTGAAAATCTAGCATCCAATCCATATTATGAAGGGCAATCAGAATATGGAACACTAACTGGAATTAAGCTAGATATAACCAACCGAGTTGCAAAGCCTAGGATTTCTTCACCAGAACTCTGAGAATCCAAAATAATGCAGGCTGCAGGAATCCATGACCCAAGCATCCACCCTGATATCAGCACAATTGACCAAGAAGACGAACAAGACATAGAAGTTGAGCTTGTCCAGGACGAACCTCATTTTCTCAAAGGGTTTTCTGCAAAGTCTGGAGGAAGCCTCGCACCTGTTAAAATTGTTAGAAATCCTGATGGGAGCTTAGCAAGAAGCGCAATGAATCAAGGAATTATGGCAAAGGAAAGAAGAGAAGAACGAGAGTTTCAGCAAAAAGAAGCTCTGCAAAGCATGCCAAGAGATATTATGAAAGCCTGGGAAGACCCGACTGCAGCTCCAGAATCCCGCACATTAATAAGTGCCCTAAAAACTTCAAGTGCTCCTGATAGCAGTGACTGAAGGAGCAAAAGACCTATAAATTCTTCAAGAAACTCTGCCATGATAAAAGAACAAAGAGAGCATCTGCCGATTTATCAGCTAAAAAATGATCTGCTTGGTGCAATAAGCCAGCATCGCGTTTTAATTGTGATAGGAGAAACAGGCAGCGGGAAAACTACACAAATCACTCAATATTTGGTGGAAAAAGGATATACACAAAAAGGGAAGATTGGCTGCACACAGCCAAGAAGAATGGCAGCCATGAGTGTAGCGAAAAGAGTTGCTGAAGAATATGGCTGCAAGCTTGGCACTCAAGTAGGTTACAGCATCCGTTTTGAAGACTGCACATCTCCAGAGACTATCATTAAATATATGACAGATGGCACACTTCTAAGAGAAGCTTTAGTTGACCGCAATTTGTCAGCGTATTCGGTAATCATGCTTGATGAGGCCCATGAGCGAAATATTAATACAGATGTACTGTTTGGGATTCTTAAGTCTACGTTAGAAAGAAGGAAAGACTTAAGACTCATTGTGACGAGTGCCACCTTAGAAGCTGAAAAGTTCAGTGCTTATTTTAATGACTGCCCAATCTTTACTATTGCTGGGAGAAATTTTCCTGTGGAGATTTACTATACTCAAGAGCCTGAGCATGACTATTTAGAAGCCTCACTTGACACTGTGATGCAGATTCATCTCACTGAGCCGCCTGGAGATGTATTGCTGTTTTTAACTGGCCAAGAGGAAATCGATACTGCTTGCCAAATTTTGCACGAAAGAATGTCACAGTTAGGGAACTCAGCTCCTCCACTTATAATTTTGCCTGTTTATTCAGCTCAGCCTACAGAAATACAAGGAAGAATATTTGAGCCTGCCCCTGAAGGCTCCAGAAAATGCGTCATTGCGACGAATATAGCTGAAGCATCGCTTACTATTGATGGCATTTATTATGTGGTTGATCCTGGATTTGCCAAAATTAAAGCGTTTAACCCAAAGCTTGGCATGGACACATTAATTGTATCTCCCATAAGTCAAAGCTCAGCCAAACAGCGAGCAGGAAGAGCAGGCAGAACAGGCCCTGGAAAGTGTTTTAGGCTTTATACAGAAAGTGCGTTTAAAAATGAAATGCTTCCTTCAACTGTACCAGAAATCCAAAGGACTAACTTAGCTATGACGGTTCTAACACTTAAAGCAATGGGGATAAATGACTTATTCCACTTTGATTTTATGGACCCTCCCCCTGTGCAAACTCTTGTGTCTGCTATGGAAACATTATATGCATTAGGAGCTTTAGATGATGAAGGACTTCTCACAAGACTCGGACGAAGAATGGCTGAGTTTCCACTAGAGCCTCAGCCTGCCAAAATGCTCCTGACTGCAGTTGATTTAGGCTGCGCTGACGAAGTAATCACTATAGTCGCCATGCTTTCAGTTCCTAATGTCTTTTATAGACCACGTGACAAGCAGGCCATTGCAGACCAAAAACGTGCAAAGTTTCATCAGCCTGAAGGCGACCATTTAACTCTGCTCACTGTATATGAGTCCTGAAAGTCTCACAAGTTTTCAAACCCTTGGTGCTTCGAAAACTTTATCCAAGCCAGAGCTATGAAAAGAGCTCAAGACATTCGAAACCAGCTCCTAGGCATTATGGAAAGATACAACCTCCCTGTTCAGAGTGCTAAAAGTGACTATAGCAAAGTAAGAAAAGCTATAGCATCAGGCTTTTTCTCTCATGCAGCCCGAAAAGACCCAAAAGAAGGCTACAGAACTCTAATCGACAATCATCAAATTTATATTCACCCGTCCAGCTCATTATTCAATAGAGCTCCTGAGTGGGTAGTTTATCACGAGTTAGTGCTCACTACGAAGGAGTATATGAGAGAAGTATGCTCAATAGACCCGAAGTGGCTTGCAGACGTAGCGCCCCATTTCTTTAAAAAAGTTGACCCTTCAGCATTGACAAGCAGAAAGCGGGAAGAGAAGATTGACCCTCTGTTTAATAGATATGAAGAAAAGAACGCATGGAGACTGACAAGGCGTAAAGGCTAATATGATAATTTTATATTAAATTGAAGTTAGTTAGGATTAATCGAGCCCATATCATATCCTGCTTCTCCAGAAATCAAGCTCTTTGGGTTCTTCACGATTTCTTTAAACATGTAAACTAGTGCTCCAATGATGGCAGCTCTGATTAGCCAATTGATCCAGGAAAAAAATAATGCGAAGGAATGGATCCCGGATAGCTCATCCCATAAATCTTGATTTTTTTCAGGGGTGCTTGACCATACACTTCCCATTGTAATTAGCCATATTAAGTCTAGCACTGCGAGCGCTGCATTGAGAAGGATCAATTTTTTGCCGATGCTTTCTCTATCCTCTTCTTTAGCATTGGCATTGTGCCACAAGTAGTAGCAAAGTAGTGCAAAGGCAAAGTTGAAATCAGTTCTTACTAGCTCAGCAACTAAGGTAAAAATAATTATTATGTAGATTGATACAAGATTTATAATTAATATTTATTTTAGAATAATTATATTAAATTTTGTTTGCGATTAATAAAAAAAGCTGCAGATCTTATAATAGCTGGGTAAGCAAGTGAAGCTGGAAATTACCTAAATAATGCATACTGCCATTCCTAAAAAGCCGTACTCAATGCCTGAAGAAAGCTTTTCTTCCATTTATAAACTATTCAAATTATTCTTTAAATTAAAATTAGTATTGGTAAAAGCTGGAATTGTTTAATTTCAAGAAAGGTGGAGAAGAAGTAAAATCAGTCGCTGTATTTATGCTTTCTACATAATATACATTTTTATGATTTTCCAATGTACCTATTATTGTGTCAAGCTTTGAAGAAATATAAGCAAGTGCATGGTTCAAGTTTTTTGCTGTCACATCAAAGCGGGAACTTTCATCAGAGAGCTGGAAAACAATTCTACTGATAACATTTACAGCTGAAAACACTAAATTTTGTAAGCTATTCAACGAAGACTCATCTTTTTCGATCGTGCTTATCCTCAGCTCAAACGCAGCTTTTATTTCTTCAATTTTCTGTGCGTTCAGTTCATATGATCCATCTTGAAATTTATATCGATTAAGCTCATAAGAAAGCTCCTTTATTTCTTTATTCAAACTGTCTATCAAGCTTTGATATTGGCTTGCTGTGCTACTTAAATTTTCTGTTTTTTCTTTAAGATACTTATAATAAGGTAGCATATCCTGTATAGTCGATATATTTGTGACTCGCTGGATCGCTTTGAATTTACTGTCTTGCTTTTCTTGGTCTTTTTCAAGCTTTATAGTTTCATTGTGGACTACATGAAACTCTTTTAGCTCAGAAATTTTTTTTTCCAGTCTGATTAATTGTAATGAGTTCTCTTTTTGTTTTTCAATTGTGAGGTTTCTTTTGTGTTCTGCAGAAATACATTTAAGGACTTTTTGATAGTCCTGGTATACTTTAAGCTCGTTTTCTATTTTCTGATGGTTGAGAATTCTGGATCTGGCCAATTCATTTTTCGCTATTTCAATTTCCTGGTTTATATTTGTGATATCAGCAGATATTTTTTCAACTGAATGTCTCCTATTAGCTAATTGGCTTGTTATAAGTTTAAGCTTCGAGCTAATTGTGTTTACAGGTAATATAGAGCGGTTGACGTTTTCTTGCCTTTGGAAAAGCATTTGTTTTAACGTTTCTTGATAATATAGCTCATTATTTAAGCCTTGTGTAAAATCATGGTGTTCTTCTTTCCGAACCTTAAATAAATCTTCAATGTGGTTCGGCTGCGAAATTTGATCCTCCATTTCTGTATAAGTCTTTTTAAGCTCAAAAAGCTTTTGCTGCTTTTGTAAAACTTCATTATGTATTTCATTGTATTCTTTTTTCTTAGATATCATGTATTTGCTGAGTTCATATATATGCTCTTTCAAATTTTTTGACCTTTCAAGCGCACTTGTATTGCAGGCTCCAAAATTATCTCTATCGTTTTGAAATTCTCTGAATTTTTCTTACTTTTCTACTTTTTCTTTAACACTACTAATAAGATTTTGTATTCGCTGTGAAGGAAACATATTTGTCGGGGTGCAATTCCCTTATTAAAAAACTTACTTTTCAAGAACTTTTTTCATGAAGTCTGCGGCTTTAAGATATCTTTGTCAGAAAATGTAAAATTCAGCACTTTACTTGGCTTTTGAGTGATTGAGAAACTGGAATTCAGCCTTTTTACATTTGGGAGACTTGGCGTAGATTCTCGATTTTCAGTTTCAGTAGTAGTCGTCACTTCAGTAAAGTTAAATATCCTTTTTGGGGTTGGCTTTCTAATTGAGTCGTTGGGTGAACTAATATCAATCAAGCTTGAGCTTATATAAGCATTACGACATACAGATTTTATTTTTTATCGAAATTAAAAGCAATTTGAAAATTAAAGACTGAATTAATGGATTATTTCCTTCACTTTGAGAGCAATTTTAGCAGCGCTAAGTCCATATAAATCCAAAAGCTCATGTGGTTTCCCACTTCTAGGTATTTCATTTACGAAAATTCCCCAGATATTGAAGTGCTCTTGAGCAAGTGCAGATGTCACAGCTTCGAAAATCCCTCCTGCTTGGTAATGGTCTTCAACAGTCAGTATTTTTCCTTCAGTAGCTCTGGCAGCTTCAGTTAGATGAGCTACATCAATCGGTTTTACGCTGAACAAGTCCACAACTCTAATATGAATTCCCTCACTTGCTAATAAATCGTGTGCTTTAACAGCCTCTGCCAGTGTTACTCCAGCTCCAATTACGGTGATTTTGTCTTGGTCACTGTGCTTTATTGTGTATGATTTTCCTGCCTCGAAAACCTTGTCATTTTCGTACAAGACTGGGAATGCTGGTCTAGAGGTTCTGATAAAAGCGATTCCTTTATGATTTGCAAGAAAGAAAATGATGTCGTTGATAAAAAGTGGACTCATTATGAAGAAGGTAGATCCATCCTGATGAAGCTAAAAGTAGGCACTCTGTCCATTTTTAGCAGGCCTTCAGGCTTGGGAATGCATTGCCGAAGAGGAAAGTTTTTGTTTTTCTCCTGTAGGGTAGACAGTATTGCCTCTATATAATCTTCATCTATCAGGACTATCGGAGAACCATACATATGGTGGCTCTAACCTAAAAAATTAATTCTAAGGTAGGGCGAGTTTCGCCATAAATTCAAGAGGTTGTGATTTTGCCAGCCTTACACCATTTGCACTCTGGTGTATACGCACCCAGTGTAGGTCACCTTTACAGGAGTTAAGATAGTCCGGCTAGTAGTTTGCCACTTATGTCCATGAAATTCTAATCTTTAATCTATCTTTATGGTTTGCGGCGAGTTCGACAGCTCTCCAAGCACTTACTGCATCAGATGGATATAATACAATAGACCCTGGAATTGATCTGAACAAGGCTAAGTCTTCAAGAGCCATTTGGCTAGGTCCATCTTCTCCAATGCTGACTCCACAGTGAGACCCTGCGAATTTCATGTTCCCTAAGCTTACTGCAGACATCCTAATTTGATCATAAGTTCTTGAGAAAAATGCCCCGAATGTGGAGGAAAATGGAATTTTGCCTCTGCAGCTAAGACCAAGAGAAACGCCGACCATGTTTTGTTCAGCTATATAACATTCAATGAATCTTTGAGGGTACTGCTGCTGGAAGTAGCAAGCAGGATTATGATTAGGATTATTAAAGTCAGGCGTTAGCCATATAGTGGCGGAATCACCAAAGATCTCCCGTAAGGGAGGCTTATCTGCTTTTTCGACTCCAGCCTAGAGGTCTATCTCTCATACGAGTGCTCTTCCGTTACCTTCTGTCTCCTCCTTGCCTTGCTTTGCCTTGCGGCCTCAGTCTTGAGTGCTTATGGCTTTCTGCTGCTGCAAGCGATTGGAATAGCTTGATGCCATTGATCCTTGGAGTCTGTCGGATGTCGAAATGCCTTCCTTCTACAGCTACAGCAAAAAGACTACCCCCTGTGGCCGGTCGAAAGCCCCATTTTCCGGTAGAGGAATGCCCATTGGTCCTCGGATGCAAAGGACTTTGCTGAGCTCCTCCATTTCCAACCACAGAAAAGAGCCAAAACCTACCCGGATACATATGCAATTGATTTTCGGCTCGGAGTCCGTTGCAATTCGCCGTGGCCATAAGGTCTTATCTGCTGCGCCAAAAGAGCAGGTTGACACGTGTCGCCATTTTAATGTATTTAAGTAGCAAGCATAAGTGGAGTTTTTAGTGTCTCCATCGAGGCCAACAATTCTTTCGTCAACACCTCCTAAAGCTCTTAAAGCTTCACCATATGCATTCCTGGTTGCTAGCTGTGCGCCAATAGTATAGTTAGGAGCTGGAATTGTAATATGTTTAGCTTCAATTGCAGGATGAGTTTCGGTAGGATGGACTGGCTCGCTGGTTTCTTGTGTATCTTGAATAAGACTCGTCAAGTGTTTTACAATTTCTTCAGTCTGATTTCCTATAGGTTTTCCATGCCAGTTTTCTTGGTCTTCAATAGTGGCGGTAAAGTCTTTCCCTTTATAGGTCTTTGCAATAATAGCGGTTGGCTTGTTTTTGGTTTTTCTGGCTTCTTCAAAAGCGTAGACTATGTGCATGTAGTCGTGTCCATCAATAGCCAATGCGTTCCATCCAAAAGCTTCGAATTTAGCTTTATAGGAATCAATGTCGTGCTGGAACATTGTTGGGTCACTTTGGCCAAGTCTATTGACATCGACGATAGCTACTAAATTGTCAAGCTGGTAATGCGAGGCAAAATTGATCGCTTCCCAAACTGACCCTTCGGCGCACTCTCCATCTCCCATAATGCAGTAAACTCTTGCAGAGTTTCCTTCTAAATATTTCATAGAGTAAGCCATCCCGTTAGCTGCTGACAGGCCTTGTCCAAGTGATCCTGAAGCGACATCGACAAATTCTAGTCTTGGGGTTGGGTGGCCTTCGAGGTTTGAGGTGATTTGTCTGAGGGTTATTAAATCTGCTACAGGGATAAAGCCAGCCTCAGCCCAAGCAGCGTATAATATAGGTGCAGCATGCCCTTTATAGCCCTATTCGTGCTTTGGATTGGGCTTGCCTGACATCTCTCAGCGTCAGATGGGAGCTGACAAAACAATTTTTGTTTGCAAAGTCAACTCTTCAGATGACAAATCCTATTGCTATTGGGCATTTGTCATCTGGAGAGTTAACTATTCCAACAAGAATTGTTTCGCCAGATCTCCATCTAACACCGGAGACTTCGGTCAAGCCGATCCAGAGCAGTTATCTGGTATACTTAATCCCCCTTTGAATTAGGTAACTTTTTGATAAATTAATCGTTTTTTAAAATTGAATAATATATATTTTCAGTTGGAATTTTTATATATAAAATAATTATTCCTATTTAAATAGTTTAGGCAAAAGTTAATAGAAAGAAGCAAAGAGAATTTATTTAAATAGCTGGCACTTTAAATCGATTAATTTTATATTTAGCTTTTCTTGAAAAATAAATTCACTTTATGTTGTTGCTTTATAAATAATTTTTTCTTAATCTTATATTTTGAAAAAATATTAAAGATATTTGTTTAGCAAATTGAGGGGATACTTAGCACAAGCTTGTCATTATTGCAATTTCTGGGATCCTTTGGGTAATAATGCATCCCAGAGGGGTCAAAGAACAATACAGCCATCAGATCAGCCAAAGAACTGCATGATGTAGGGTGTCCTGAGCCGGCAGCTGTGGTTGATTCGACACTATGAATTCTCATGCGAGTTGCATAGTTTCTTAAAGCCACGTAGCCATGCCCAGATTCCAGAGCACGCTTCTTTGTAGTGGTTAGGTTGAGTAAGTGCTGGCTCTTCTGGCTTTTTTGCTTTTTGACCATTTAAATATTATAAGAAAGGTGAATTCTTGCTCCCCTTCTAAAATACAAATTAAAAAATTCTGTGAATGGCAACATATAAATTATAATTTAAGATTTAATAAAAATAAATATAATAAAAGCATCCCATATAAAAGAGAATTAGTGATTAAACTTATGGATAATTCTTAAATTCATATCGATCATTCGTTTTATTTATGGGCTGAGGTGTATGCTTTTGTAAAACCTTTTCATTTTTCTACGTGGACTTCTCTAGAATAGCTTTTTTTAGAATCTAATGTTTTCTGAACTTTTATTTTTGGCATAAATTTTGCTTTAGCTCATCACCTTAGCTTAAAATAAGTTGTTCTCTTGGGTTAAATTTCTAAAAAACTGAAATTTATATAAAAATTGACTTCACTGACTATTGAGTAGAAAATTGATTTTCCATAAGTCTTTTATTTTAGCAATCACACATTAATTTCTGAGCTCCACTTATTGTAAAGACTGGGAAGCCTTTAAAGTTTTAAGTTTGCATTTTCTATTGATATATAGTGGAAAAATTCTAATAAAATTGCATATGAAGCAATTGTCTTCTTTTAAAGTTGTATGCATTTTTATCACACTTAGCCTATTTTAGTTAAGAATTCTTCCAATATTTTGGTTGAATATCTTGCAAATTAGGTTTTTAATCAATGATACCACAAGCATAACTAATAAAACAATTCATGAAAGCGAATTGCTTTGTATCGCAATTTTCGTGTCATTCCAAATAATATAGAAATTCTCGAGAGTTTCGATTGAAAGTTAACTTCTTCCAAAGTGTTTATGAGGTGGATAAGCAGCTACCTGCCATATTTATTTGGGAATGGGAAGAAAATAATGAATGAACCTTGAATGAAATCTAATAAGCAATTGTTTGATTAATAATCATTATTAAAAATTCAAAAATTAGGTTTAGCTATTATCGTTTTTATTTATGATTGCATTTTTATATTAATTACTGTAATCTAGTCTAATAAAAAGAAAAATATCCACTACGAAATGTCTGTCAAGTCATTATTTTTCAAAAACAAAAGATCTTTTACTTTTCACTTACTTCCCTCTTTAAAATAAAAAATTATAAATTGAACCCAATATTGTTGAATTTTAATTTATTTTATGAAAAATTAATTCAAAAAATTTATCGATTTAGTGTGAAAATTGTTTACATAATATTTGCTTAAACTTTTTCCATTAAATTAAGTCCAAAATAATTTTATAAAAGCTATTTTTTACCTATAAATTTTCCTATGGAAAAAAAATTGTTCCAATTTAAAAGGGTTTAAATCCTCTAAAATGAAAACTGTCTATGTTTGTTCCAATTTATAAGTGTTAGGAGTTATATATTTTTCCTGTTTGAATTTTTATTACAAGACATATTATATATTATCACTTAAATTATTTGCATATTTCCAGCAATTGTTGTGTATACATTTCATTTATTTCAAGCCTCTGCTTTATACTGTTTATCTCTTCTTGAAGTTTTTGAAGATAGTCCTGCTCCTCAGATTTGTATCCTTTTATAATTTCTTTGAGCCTTTTATTCTCTTCTTGCAAAGAAAGGTGGCTGAAATCTTCGTTAAATTCAGACTGGCTTTGCCTAGCAATTTTTTGCTTTAGCGTTTGCACCTTTTCTTCTCATTTTTTCTAGCTTTCCTTTCTTTAAATTCTAGAAAAGATAATTAAATTGACTATAGCCTGCTTACACATTAATAAGTGTATTTTTTCATATATAATTAATTGAAATTCTAATTAAGCTAAATTTTGGTAAATGAAATACTAAAATAATTATTTTTTCAACATAAAATTAATGCTTTGAATATTTTTTTAAAAAAATGAACGGTTAATTGTGACAAAAAAAAACAGGAAGAACTAAATAGTCCTACTCAGAAAGTAAGTAAAAATTACTTTGTCCTCTTCATAACTAGTAAGCTCTTTGCTAAACATTTCTTGGTATCTGTAAATTTCATTTTCTATAAGATTTTTCCTAGAATTAAACTCAATTTCTGCCGCCTTTTGCCTATGAGATAATTGAACAATTTGATCCTCAAGAGATTTATTCGGAGATTTTGACAGGAAATCGTTCCCAGGAGTTGATCACTGACTCTTTGAAGCAGCTGTACTCATTATTCCATCCATATCAGATTTTCTTGAAGACTTTTGCTCTTTTAATAGCCCTTGAGATCTATTTGTGTTGGACTCAATTCTCGTAACTTTTTCCGCTTTTTTAACAGTAATTTGTTTTTTTAAACCTTCCATTTCTTCAAGAAGCTTATCAAGATCAGCTGATTCAGTCTTTTTTCCCGGCTTCTTTTCAGGTTTTGGGATTTCAGAGCTTTTTCTAGGAGATCGTGGGGACTGACTACGAGATCGATTGGGAGAGTGATTTGGGGAGTGATTTAGTATTCTATATGCAGACAAACTTATTATTTCAGATAATATAGCATCCTATTTATTAAAATATCAATTAGTTTTCGATTTATATGAAAAAGTATAAATAGTGGTAGGAAAATTTGAACTCAGGAGATTTTTTGCGAAGCGAATCACTTCATTGTGTTTCTGGGGCTGGAAAAGTTTCCCTTTTAGGAGAATGCTGGATTGACTTCTGCAATAACGTTTTCAGGATATGGTCTGACATTTTTGCAGTTAAAATTGCAATATTTATGTTTTTTACTAGAGCCAAACAATTATATTAATTGATAAAGTACTGTATTTAAGCTTGAAAATTTTTGGAAATTCGATAAAATATTATTTATGCACAGCAAGCTGCTATTGCAAATATTAATTCAATACCAATACTCAATTATAATAATTATCGATAAAGCTATTTATGGAGCCAAGTATTTTTGAAATTTCCGTTATATATTAACTTTATTAATTATTTCATAAGACTGCTGTGGCTTCAGCAATTATTTTACACATATTTTTATAAAAATTCGCTTATTAACATTTATTGTTCACCCATCCTTTCTTGAATTCCTTTAGCTGAATCAGTAATAATTTTAAACCCTGAAACTGTCAATTCAGCGTACTTTTTCATCATTCTTTCATAAGTTTTTATTTTATTTGCCTTAAAAATCGGCAGTTCATATTCGCAAAGCCTTATCATGATAATCCTCAAAATTGTTTCTAAATCTTTGATTTCATCTTCAATGTCCTTAATCTGAACCTCTGCAGAAGCCAGCTGCTCAGTTTTTGTGGTTGAAGAAAATATTTGAGTAAAGGTTGATTTTCCTTGCTGAATTTTTTTTAAGCTCTTGCTTTCTTTTTCCATCCTCTTTTCTGCTTTAAGTTTTTGAGCTTCGATACCAGTTCTAGAAGCTAGTGCTTCAAGTATAGATTTTATATCTTGAGCTTCTTGTTTGGCCCAATCATAAAGTTCAAGGAATGGATTTTCAAGGCTTCTTTTTTCAATTGGCACGTATAAAACATTTTCATATTCTCGGAGTTCTTTTATATATCCTTTTTCTAGTTCTTTTAGTTTTGTATTTAAGTCACAAAACTGTGACTGAAACACATGAAATTGAATTCCGACACTTTTCACACTTTTTTTAAAAGTAGACAAAACATTGTGGCTATTTTTGAAAAATTCATCATAATCATCTAATTTTCGCTTCATTTCTAGAGTCACTTGACTTCTTGTAAAATCCATAAACAAGTTTTGGTAAGTTTGCGAAATTTCTCTATTGGATATTCTGAATGAATCACTTGCTCTTTCAAATTCAGTTTGATTTCTTATAAATAATTGGAATTCTTCAGTTACGTATACTGATTTGATTAAACTAGATTCAAGTGAGGCTTGATATTGCAAAGCGAGTGCTATATATTTGATAGGATTCTATTTGCTGACTAAAATTATATTAATTTAATTAAAAAGTTTAAATATAAATAAAATTTATTGCTGATGTGGTTTGCAAAAAATATTCCAGCTGTTTTCTACGTGCCTCTATAAATTTTGAAGATAAATTGCCAATCAGCTGTTTTGGAGGAACAGGAGGAATATAACAGCCAGGTCATTTTTGAATTAACTGAGTTCGTAAAGCAAGAAAGTCAGAATACCTTCGATAAACTTGGAAATTTCCTGAAGAGTCATGCCCTTGAATTCAATATGAAATGTATTTGCTGAATGTGTCATCTTTGAGCGTTGAGTTAGTTATATATATTTCAATGCCTTGGTTTGAAGCAGATGTTCGGCCAGAAGAGGAATTATATGTCTCATATCCACCATGTAATGGTATATCAACTATATCATCAACTGCTTCCATTTTATATACTGGAATAGCATTTAAGGCATGCTTATTTAATATTAACAACTAAATCAGCCAGCAAAGTTATTTATTGACGCATCCTATTATTTTTTTTATTTCAGATTCAAAAACATTTAAAGGCAAAAGGGTCTAAGAATTAGTTAAAATAAATAATTTTTTCAGAAAGAAGCACATATTAGAAAATCATTAAAAACAAGATTTTAGGGACTAGAGTCCTTTAGTCTTCATTTATTTATTTTCTAATCAGAATGTACATATAAAATGATTCTTAAACCCATTGATGCTATTTTCAATTACAAATAATTTTTATTAATCACAATGTTTATTTTTTGCAATTAAATTATAATATTTCTCTTCATCCTTCTCATCTCCATATTTTTAGCCACTAGCAAGGATTTAAGATTTATAAACTATGGGTGTTTGCTGTGTTAAATCTCAAGGATGCGATGATTGCTTGCGTTCTCAAGCAATCATGCATTCCACAAGAATAGAAAACGTTAAGAAATTATACAAATTCGGGAAAACAATAGGCCATGGGAGCTTTGGAGAAGTTAGGACAGCTGTTAGAAAAGGTTGCCCTCGCTTAACAGTTGCTATTAAAAGCATCTCAAAAGAAATAATCAAAGGCCAAATTAATTTGCTAACTCCCCCCCTTTATGAGCGAGCAAAGGAATTGGGAAAAATCCCTAAATTTTGAGTAAAAACCATCCTCCATAGTGAACAAAAAATTGTTTTAATATGCAATTTTTTATGAAAAAATATATTGATATATAAGTGATAATTGTATAATGCACACTATAGCTAATTAATATTTGCTAATTTTTGCGAATTGGGATTTATTTAAATTTATAAAAAAAAAATTGATGTAAAAAATTTATATAAATATAAAAAAATATTAACTCCCTCTTAAACGAACAAAATTTTTAGTTCGGTCAGTGAGGGGGAGTAAGAACAGAAGTCGAAAGTCTGCTTACAGTTGATCATCCAAATATTATTAGGCTTTATAATGTATATGAAGATGGCAATTCTATTCATTTAATTCTAGAGTATTGCAAAGGTGGTGATCTATTCACAAAAATAACACAGCAAGGCCATTTATCTGAATGCGAAGCTAGAAGACTAATGAAAAAGATGCTGATGTCGGTGGCTCATCTCCACAGTAATAATATTGTGCATCGAGATCTGAAACCCCAACATTTTTTGTTTGAAAATCCTGATGATCTTTCTGAGCTAAAACTAATCGATTTTGGCTTATCACACAAATTTGTAAAGTATGCAGACCAAATGCATAGCTCAGTCGGGACGCTTTATTATACCGCTCCTGAAGTGCTATCTGGGAGTTATTCTAATAAATGCGATTTATGAAGCTTAGGAGTGATTTTATATGCTATGCTCTCTGGAGATCTCCCTTTTTATGGAAGTATTTCATGCATTATGAAAAATATTAACAGCGGAATCTTCAGCATGGATGGAGAAATTTGGAGTAAAGTGTCACAAAATGCAAAAGATCTTATAAGAGGCTTAATTTGTAAAGACGAAAATCAAAGGCTTAATGCAGAAGATGCGCTAAAACAGCCATGATTTGAAATGATACCGAAAGAATCGCCAAAGTTTGATAAGTGTTTATTGAATTCTTTGAAAGAATATAGAAAATCAAATTTATTTCAAAAAGAAGCTATGAATATTTTGGCAAAACATTTACCGGAAAAAGAGATATGGACTTTGAAAAATGCGTTTTTTTATCTTTAGATACTGATACACATAAAATGGCGTGTGGCGATTACTTATTTATATCCGGAAATGGGTTTTTGGAACTAGAAGCTGCCTGTTGAGGACCTTGGAGTAAGGGATTTAAGCACGGACCTGCTATTTCGTGATTAATCAAATGCAAAGTTGCTTGTGACTTCTTTTTGACAACACAGCACCCAAACCAGTGATCAAATGAGATGGAGAGGGTGAATAACCTGCCCAATCTGTTATGGTGGTTTGCCCCGAATTGTTGAAACAGTTGAGTATTTTAAGGGATGACCTCAAAAGGGGGTCTCTCCAGTTAAAGGGTTCATGGCTAGAGGAGAGATTCTTGTAAGGAGTGATGGGTGGGGTAAAATACTTCTGGTGAAAAAATAGCAGTTCTTAACAAAGGTCTTAACCCAAAAAGTAAATGCCACTACCAAGAAATCAGGTGCATGCTTCAGCTTAGAGTTGCCAGAGGTGGAAGCATCTAATTCACTTGTGCCACTGGTAGGCTACTTCAAAGCCTAACAGAATGCCACTTGTGGAAGACATCATCTAAAGATCCGCACTCAACTAACTGACTATCTTTAGATGCTGAAGGGATTGGATCAATTGCAGCTGAAAATTTGACAAGGCGGTTGAGTTCAATTGAAAATGATCTCTCAAAGCCAGAAGCAGCTGAAATTACAATAGCGATAGACAGAAGAAACAGTGGAAGAATTTTCTATTCAGATTTCTTAGCAGCAGCTTTATTTACAAGCAAAATCTACGAAGAGCAATTCATAGAAATCGCGTTTAAATTTTTCGATACAGAGCAAAATGGATATCTAACCAGGGACAATTTTGAGCAAACCTTGATGAACTTAGGAAAAGACATAAATCTTGATGAGCATCAAGAATTAACAAAAATTTTTAAAAATTCGAATGAAAAAATGGGTGCAGGTTCAATGATAGTGTACACTTCACCGAAGTACTTTTGATCGAAAATTGTTTGAAACTTTTTGATAGCGAAACTTTTGACCAGAAAACGTTAAATTTAGGCCAAATGTCACACTATTTAAAAATTTTCAACAAAAATGTATTTCGATGAAATGTACATTATCAAAAATCCACTGCGATTTGGCATGGAGCCGAAAAAATTACTTTCCAAGAATTCAGAAATATGCTACTAAGTCCAATATATAAAGAATAATAAATTAATAGATATATTAATGGCGATTTATGAATCTAACATCAGAAATAATATACAAAGAATCCATATATATCATTAAAATATTAATTATTAATAGTTCAATTTGGCTTTTAACTCTGTCATTGTTTTAACAAGTTTTAGCCTTTCCCTTTGGTTAAACTGATGTGAATTAGCAAAATCATAAGCCATCTGTACAGGGTCGTCTCCTGGGCGCACCTCAAATTTTTCGACTTTTCCTGGTCCGAGATTCATTTGAATGACAACTGGTTTTTTCTCTTTTTGGGGTTTGCCGCTATCTGCTAGCTTGGCAACTTCTTGAACATTTTTTGGAGCCTCAGACATGGAGGATTGATGATGTTCTGATATGTTTTCTTCACTTTTGGTCAGGCTTAAATATTGATATGGAAATAGAGATACTCTCTCTTTATCTTCCTCCATACCTATACTTCCCCTACTTGGTGAGCTTTCTAATTTTGCTTGATTCGTCATATCTGATTCGAAATTATTTACTATTTTCGGACTTTCTATAATTGAGGATGTATTTTCTAGCATCATCGAAACACTGACATCTTTTGCAAAAGCTTTTTCTGCTGAAAGGTAATTTTCTTGAATGACTTTAGTCTCAGGTTCATGAACTATTGTAGAAGGAGCTATTTTGTTGGCTGTTTCACTATTTTCATATGGCTTAGTGGTGTTTTTATCAGTTGTTTTTATTATTGCGCTAGAAGAGCCAGTTTTGAAATTTTTTGCTTCATATTCTTTAGATTCGTCATTGGTTGATTGCACTGGAATTTCGGATTCAATTTTAAGAATAATTTCTGACTGTGGAACTTTATCTTTCTCCACTGCAGATGAATTAGTATTCCTATCTAACTGCAGTGAAATGCCATTATATGAGGTATTACTTGATTCCTTCTCTGTATTAATAATATTAGAGCTCTCATTTTCCTTTTGTATTGCTTCTGTCTCAGGATTATTTTCCAAAAATGGAGCAGACGAGCCAATAATGGTCCCTTCTTTAGAATTTTGAAACTCAGGATTCAGAGAAATTGCGACAGGCTCGACTTGAATTTCTACAGCAGTTTCTTGCCCTTCCCTACCCAAAGCTTCAACCTTATTTTCTTCGAGATCTTTTTTATATAAGTTTTGCTCCATATCTTCTTTTCTCCTGTAATCAATGCTAATTTTCCCCTCTTCTTCAAAGCTTTTGATACTTTCATGCTTTGATTCAATGCTCTGAGTAAGCTTGGCTTGCTCATTATCTTCTTCAATCTCTAGATTTGCTACATTAGCTATTCTTGATTCAATGCTAGCATCTAGCTCTGAAGTTTTGTGATCCAGACTCTTGTCTCTTATATTTATTTCCTCAATGTTTTTGCTGTCAGCCTGCTTAATGGTCTCTTGATTATTTTCATCTATTCTTAAGCTGCTAATTTCTTCGATATTTGTCTTTTCTTCTAAATTAGAATTATTTGATTTAGAGCCTAAAGCATATTGAGTTTCAGCAACCTCTTTTGCAATTATTTCGCCCTCTATATCAGTACCTTCGATTTGTGGGAAAAGCTTAGGAATATTTTGTGATTCCAAGCTCATCTTTGCATGTTCTTCAGTATTTTTAATGTCACGTTGATGAATTTCTGGATTCTGCTCTGATTTTTCTTTTTCCTTGATATTTTTATTATCACTTTCGCTCTCACTTTGTCTAATACCAGAGGAAATTAGAATTTGGCTGCTATCTTCAGTGACACCCATTTTCACATCTTCGTTAGCATTAGGGTTTGCTTCTTCAATGACACCATAATTCACATCTTCATTAGCGTTAGCGTTCTCACCTTCAATAATACGGATTTTCACTTCTTCAGCAGCATTAGTTTTTCCTTCTTCATTCATGTTCGTTTTCCCTTCTTCATTAATGTCAATTTTCCCTTCTTCAGTAGCGTTAGTTTTTCCTTCTTCATTAGTATAGGTTTTCCCTTCTTCAATAGCGTTAGTTTTCCCTTCTTCGATATCACCCTCTTTAACTTCTTTAGTAAAGTCCAATTCTGCTTCTTCATTATCGCTCTTTTTAACTTCTTTAGTAGAGTCCAATTCTGCTTCTTCAATATCGCTCTTTTTCACTTCAATAGTTTTGGTTTTACCTTCTTCATTATTGCCAGTTTTTCCTTCTTCATTAGTGTCATTTTTTCCTTCTTCAATAGCCTCAGTCTTTATTTCTTCGATAACATTAGTTTTCCCTTCTTCAATAGCAATGGCTTTCCCTTCTTCAATAGCACGGGTTTTCCCTTCTTCAATAGCATCAGTTTTCAATTCGTCAAAATCACTCTTTTTCACTTCATCATTAGCACCAATTTTCACTTCGTCAATATCACTTTTTATCACTTCAATATTAGAGCCGATTTTCACTTCGTCAATATCACCCTTTTTAACTTCTTCAGTAGCATCGATTTTCACTTCGTCAATATCACCCTTTTTAATTTCTTTAGTAGCACCGATTTCTATTTTATCAATATCGCCTGTTTTCACTTCTTCAGTAGCATCGATTTTCACTTCTTCAAGAACTTCAGCAGCACCTATTTTCACTCCGTCAATATCACCCGTTTTAACTTCTTCAGTAGCATCGATTTTCAATTCGTCAATATCACCCTTTTTAATTTCTTCCGCAGCACCAATTTCCATTTCGTCAATATCACCCGTTTTCACTTCTTGAGTATCATCGATTTTCACTTCTTCAATAACTTCAGTTTTTATTTCTTCAATATCACTAACTTTCAATTTTTCAATAGCATCAGTTTTAAGCTCAATAATGTCATTTTCACCTTTTTCCATAACATTTGTTTTAACTTTTTCAATAAAATCAGTTTTAGCTCTTTCAATAGTATCAGATTTAGCTTCATGAATGGTATCAATTTTTACTTCTTCAATGGCATTAGCTTTTAATTTTTCAATAGCATCTTTTTCCCCTTCTCCAGCATCTCCAGTCTCCCCTTCTTCATACACTCCCGTTTTTATTTTTTCAATAAAGCCAGCCTTGACTCCACTAGTGTCATTTTCCACTTTTTGAATGGTTTCAGTTTTTACTTCTTCACTAGCATCAATTTTCACTTCTTCAATAGCTTGAGTATCGCCTTCTTCAATAACACTCATTTTCCCTTCTTCAATAGTCTCACTTTCACGTATTTCAATAGGGTTAGTTTTACCTTCTACAATACTGTATTTATTCTTCTCTTCAATTATATCGATATAATCTATTTTTGAATCAATTTCTGATCTGAGTGTAGATGAGTCTCGAACTTTGCTATCTTTGCCGACATATTGATTTTCTTTTTCAGTATTCCTAATATCTTTACTTTTGGGATCAGGGCTCGCATTGAAAGCAGGATCATTATGCACTCCTAGAATCTCTTTGGCTAGATCTTTTTTCTCTTCTTCAATATTCTTAATATCGATATCTGAATCAATCCCCAAGCTGAGTTCAGAAGTGCTTTTCACTTCGGAATGGATCTCTTCCATTTCATCTTTTTTCCCTTCTTCTATATTCTTGAAATCGCTTTTTACTGAGTCAACACTTGAGCTGAGTCCAAAGACTTTTTTAGTTTCGTCAATATCTTTAGTGTCCTCCTCCCTGGTGAGATTTAAGCTACCTTTTTCTAAATTTTCAATATCCTGGATGCCACATCTTCTTGAATCAGCAACTGAGCTGGAAGCATTTTGTAATTCTAGAATTTCATCAATATCTGCTTTTTTCTCTTCTTCAATATTTCTTATTTCATCTCTTATTGTTTCCAAACCTTTATTAAATTCAGAATCATTTTTCACTCTAACAATCAGCTTATTATCTATTATTTTCTCTTCAGATATTTGCGAATCATCATCTATTTTGAGTGCAGAATTATTTTCTGTGATAGCAATATCTTCATTGACATCTTTTTTCTCTTCTTCAAGGCTCTTTTTAATGCTTAGCTCTAGATCTGTGCTTAAATTATGTTTATCGCTCAAAACATTTTCTTCATTGGTATTTTTAATATGTCCACTTATGATATTTTTTTCTTCCTCAGAATTTTTGATAATGTTTTGTCTTAAATCAATAGTAGTTTGGGAAATATTTTCTGGGTCACTGATGTCTTCACTATCTTTTTTTTCTATCCCCGCAATATGGCTTTGCTTAACTTCTAAACTATGAGGTGAAATTAGTTGAGCTTCATTGTTGCTTGGTCTAAGAATCACATCCTCTGCCTGTTGATTTTTGATATCATTTTGTTCAGAAGCAATGATAGAAATATTTTGGGTGCCACTGATGCTTTCATTATTCATTTTTTCCTCATTCTTAACATTTCTTCCAGTATCTGAGCCAGATGTGAAATAATTTTGCGAATCTTTACTGCTTTGTGCAGCTAGTATTTCTTCTCCAGCAACATTTTTTAAGTAATCTTGTTTGGGAATGCTACGATTTTCAATAATTTCAGTGTTTAGTCTTTTATCTTCGTTAATATGCTTACTAAAAACCATTGGAAAAATCCCTATTTTTTGAACAGAAACCCAAATTTTTTAATATGCAATTTTTTTTATGAAAAAATATTAATATATATAGCGATAATTAGTATAATGAACACTATAGCTAATTCTATTTAATTTTAAGCAATTTGCATTTTAAGACATAAATTTTACAAATTAAAATTAATATCTGCTTTCTAATTCTTGCGAATTTGGATTTTTAGATTTTGGAAAAAGAAATAGTTAAAAATTTATATATAAATTTTTTAAATAAAAAAATTAACCCCCTTCAGTGAGAGAACAAAATTTTTTACTCGCTCAATGAGGGGGAGAGTTAATATCCCCTTCTTTTGGTTCAATGCTAAAATCCATAGAATTTTGAATTTGAGCACCATTACTCTCCAGATCAAAAGTTTTTATTTCATGTACTTTTAACTCAGTTTTTAAATCACTATTTGCAAAATGTTGCGCTTCCTTGATACTTTCCTTATCTCCTTCTTTTATTTCTTCAACAATCACAGCATCGTCCTTTTTTGACTCAATTTTTGAGCCAAATCCATGAGCACTTTGTGCTTCACTAGAACTTTGAACACTAATTTTTTGCACTTCTTCAATACCTTTTAAATAATTATTTTGTAAATTACTTTCAGAATCAATAGCAGAGATATTTTGACCTCCAAAATCTTGAATAAATGTACTATTTTCTTTTTCAATAATTTCAGAATCAACTTTTCTTTCTTCATTTATAATTCCAGTTCTAATGATTATTTCATCAGAAGCTTTAAAATTACCTTCAGAGCTAAGCCCAGAAATATTTTGCTTTTCGAAATCTTTATTAGACAATTTTTTCTCTTTTTCAATGTTTTCAGTGTCAGCCTTTCTTCCCTCCTTAGCGATGTCAGAACTATTAAGTGCCTCATCAGAAGTTTGACTTTCTATAAGGAGAGGCGCTTTTATTTCTAGAGAAACATTGTGAGTCTTTCTATTATCCTTGGCAGCTATTTTTGGATTGTAATCAATTTTTATATCATTGCTGCTTTCCTCTTCCTCTTCTTCTTCATAATTATCTAAAATTGGAGATAGCTTACTCCCCTTCAGTGAGCGAGTAAAAATTTTACTTTCTCACAGAAGATGTTTTAGTTGTTTTTATATAAATTTTAATGCACAAATTTAAAAATTTAATAGAATTAGCTATGCATTTTTATTATAGCCAGAGCTTCATTTTGGATCTGGCTATATAACAATTATTATTTATACATGGAAATATTTTCATAATAGAATTTTTGCGGCATAATCTTCCAAAAAATGAGATTTTCCAATGATTTACACTCTCGAAAGGGGAGTTAAGATCAACAATCTTTATATCAGTCAACGATTTCTCAGTTATTTCACTTTCCGTTCGGGGACTTCTTTCCCCTAGATTCCTATAAGTATCATTAATAATTTTGAACTCTTTTTCTCTCTCTGATTTCTCTTGATCTTTCTGATGGTGCTTTTCAATGACTATTTTACTTTTATCGGTCTTCTCCAAACTTTGGGTAGTAGAAGTTTGTTTATAATCTTCTTCTTCTCTTTTAGATTCTATAGCTTCTTTATCTCTTTTCAGGCTTGAATTTTCTTCTTTTCTTTGAGTTTCCAGCTTAGAAGGCTGAACAGAATCCTTATTTTCTATCAAAGATTTCTTTTCATGTTTCCCTGCAGTCTGTTCTTCAACAATCTCACTTTCAAAGTTAAAATGAGCACTTCTTGCACTTAGACTTATTTCGCTTGACTTATTATTTGTTCGATTTGTATCAAGTGTTGTATTCTCTATTATTTTTTCTTCTTCAAGCTCTGGGTTGCCTTTTGTTGTGTAGGGCTCCTGCAAAGATTTTTTAGCTTTCGAAAAGTCAAAGCTGCTTTTCACTTCATCTCTTACAGAGATAACTCTGGCATTTTCGTCTCGAAGCATTGATCTTATGCCTGTTGTTGTCAAGAGCTGCTGTAGATCTTCGTTTTTGAAAAATTTATACTATACTGACTTAAGTTTTAGGACTAGCATATATTGCAAATTTAGTGTAATATAAGATCAATATCAATAATTGTGATATCAGAAATGGTTCTATGCCAAGTGACAAAGGATTTTTGACAGTGCGCATTTCGCCGAAATGCATTTGGTCAAAATTTTACGGCTTTATCTGTCAAATGTATAACTATCAAAAAGTTTCAACCCATTTTTTAGACCAAAAGTACTTCAGTGAAATGCACACTATCAAAAAAGGCACTATCATTGGGCCTGCACCCTCAGAAATATTCTAATACAATATATCTATAAATTGTTTAGTATCTATGTGCTCCTCTGACCCCATAATTTTGGCTGCCAATTTTTTGACTAAACCTGATTTATTTTTGTTTAATTCTTGAGAAAACCTTTTGATTTCATCTTCAGTTAATTTTCCTTCACCTTCTGCTAAATGTGGAGATATGACCACTGCAACTTCAATTAGATCTTCAATTAACTTTTGGGCATTATTTTCAGTGATTGAGCCGTTTTCACCACCTAATTCAAAATATTTCGAAAGTAGTTTAATTTTTTCAGTCAAGCTGCCTTGTCCTATAAGCAGAGAAGACAAATACAGCTTTTTTGTGATAAAATTCCCATTATCATCCAGCAGCTCATTTGAAAAAGAAGCAAATTGGGACTCTGAGCTTGTTAATAAATCGACCTGGATGCCTATATTTCTACATGCAATTTCTAGCTGGGTAAAGGTTAGCCTTCCTGATTTGCCTTGAAGTAAAAACTCATTTGTGAGGGTCTGGGCAGATTTATCGGAAAAAGGATTGTCATTTTCTTGCTGATGAATTACAATTTCTTCTTCAGGAAGTTCTTGGGCTGGAGTAAGCTCAGCACCTCCAGTTCGGCCGTTGCAGCATCCCATTTACAAAATTATAAAAATAATAAAGATTATTTGCTTATTAATTACATTTTTGTGCCATTATTTAAGGATCAGTTTTGTAGCAAACATCAAAACATTTAAATTTTTTATTGTGCCCTAAAATAATTATTAATAAAAAAATTGCTTACTCCCCTCCGTGAGCAAGCAAAACCATTGGAAAAATCCCTATTTTTTGACCAAATCCCACCCAGCGAACAAAAAATTTTTTAGGAAAATAAAAAATTATAAATAAGTGATAATTAATATAATGAAATCTCAAGCTAATTCTGTTTAATTTCAAACGGCTTGCGTTGTAAAACACAAATTTTACAAATTAAATTAATATTTGCTTTCCAATTTTTACAAATTAGAATTTTTTTAAATTTTGAAGAAAAAAAAAACTATAAAATTTATATATAAATTTTTTAAAAAAATTAACCCCCTCCTTGAGCGAACAAAACTTTTTTGCTCGCTCACGGAGGGTAGGGAGTTGTGAAATGCAAAATTTATTATAGCCATAATATTTCTGATTATAATCCATAAAATGCAATTTTATCATTAATAAGCCAAATTCCAAAAAGATTTGATATAGTTTATATCCCTTTATAGATTTCTTTATCGAGCAAAATATACTGGATTATTGAACGACCAAGAGAGACTCTATTAAAGGAACGGCTGGATATCTATATCAGGAAGTGCTAAAAAGTGACATGTCAAAAAATGGTGGCAAGTCTGAAAAAAGTTGACAAGTAAACGCGCCATTTTTAAAATGGATTTATTATTAAAATAATTTAAAACTTAAGATACCCAATTAGACAGAAGATATAATTACACATTATATATTGGCTTTAAATATTTTGATTTAGATATATCTAAATTTAATATTTAAATTTAATAATAGCTGTAAAAATCAAAAACTTGCAACTCAATGTGCATTTTTCCGGCTCGATAGAATTTCTTTATTTTAATGCTAATTTTTTTATGAAGACTAGAGCTATAATTTGCAAAGTGCGTGGCTTGTAATTTTAAATATATACAAAGTTCTTATCGACTCATATGAGAAGTACTTAGCAAAAAATTCAATATGGCTTGTAAGTGAAAATCAAAAACTTGCAACTCAATGTGCATTTTTCCGGCTCGATAGAATTTCTTTACTTTAATGCTAATTTATTTATGAAGACTAAAGCTATAAATTTGCAAAGTGCGTGGCTTGTGATTCTCAATATATAAGAAGTTCTTATCGACTCATATGAGAAGTACTTAGCATAATTAAATATTGATTAAAATTAAAATATCTTAAGTTTTAAATTATTTTAATAATAAATCCATTTTAAAAATTGGCGCGTTTACTTGTCAACTTTTTTCAGACTTGCCACCATTTTTTGACATGTCACTTTCTAGCACTTCCTGATATAGATATCCAGCCCGTTCCTTTAATAGAGTCTCTCTTGGTCGTTCAATAATCCAGTACATTTTGCTCGATAAAGAAATCTATAAAGGGGTATGAGCTATATAATGAAATGGTATATGATCTGATATTGTTTTTTCATCACCTAGAAATAGTAAAAACTAATTTATCAAATAAATAGACCAATTAATTTAGTTTTCATTAGGCACCTAAAAAAAGCCAGTCAGTACAGTCATAATATCATAATAGTAATAAATATGATTTCAATCTTTGATGAAATTGACACCAAAGTGAATAACTGCACGCAGTTTTGACACTCATTAGACGAGTACGCATTGGAAGATATCAAAGAGAATAAAATATTTGAAGGAGTTTTAAGGCTTCTGAGCGCAAATAAACTGGGAAAAGAGAGACTATTTGTTTTAACTAAAACATCAATATACTCGTTTAACAAAAGGAATGACCGGATTCCTCAATTAATGTCTAAAATCAACTGAAAACTTGTTGAAGCTTTCATTGAACACAATCTAGAAGAAGAACGTTACGGATTTAAGATATTCCAAAATACTATATCTCAAGATTTTTTTGTTAAAAGTTCTGAGGATCTAGATATATGGATCAACCATCTTTCTTCCATATCAATTATGACTGATTTAGAAGACGATTATTCATTTATAAAACAAATCGGAAAAGGCAGCTTTGCAGATGTTTATCTTGCTCAAGATTTAGATAATGATGATAAATACGCCATTAAGCGGATCTCGAAAAATAAAAGTCAGATGAATGCGATTGGTAGCAAAGGGATGATAAATGAAATTGAAATCATGAGAAAACTTAAGCATCCTTATATACTTACATTGCACAAAATTTATGAAACTGAGCATCATATAAATTTAATTTTGGACTATGTAGATTAGATTAGATTAAATTATAGCGGGCCTCTGGGAATTATTGCAGCCTCTCTCTGTCCTAAGGACAGTTTCGTGTTGGCGCTAAGCGCTATCCTCGCACCACCTTTTTTGCCTCTGATGTCACTAAAAAATGGTGACGTCAAAGGTCTAACTGAGAGACAACCTAACCGATCGGCACCACCTTTCTTGGTCCCAACAATCAGCTGAAAGGCTCCTTAACCTTTGACAGGGCTCAAGAGTATAGGTGAATCGCCTTTGCCTATTCCATGGCCTGTCAGAGCCGTATCGCAGGCTCGAGATAGCTCCTATGGAGTAGCATGGGACTTTGCGCCGGTAGGGTTATCCTCAGGTAAGGAAAAAAGACTTAGGGTCAGCCCCTAGTCCAAAAACCTACCCCGGAGAACTATCTCCATGTGCTCGCTTTCCTGGGTCGGATCAACTCACGGGTCACCATTATTCCACATCAGACCACACATTTTAATAATTCTGAACTATGTAGAAGGGGGTGAGCTTTTCCAAAGAATAATGCAAAATGGCAAAATCCTTGAGTCTTATGCAGCTAAATTCTGTGCTAATTTATTAGATGCTCTTGAATATCTTCATTCACAGAATATAATGCATAGAGATCTGAAGCCAGAAAACATACTAATGGTATCCAAATTTAATGATTATGAGTTTAAAATCTCTGATTTCGGCTTAGCAGTGCAAACACAAGAAAAACAAGAATTAAGATGTGGATCCCCAGGGTATGTTGCGCCTGAAATATTAAGAAAAGAGCCTTATGGGAAAGAAATTGATCTTTTCAGCACTGGGATTTTGATGTATGTCATTTTATCCGGGAGGGCTCCATTCCCAGGAAAAGACACAAAAGAGATTTTATATAGAAATAAAGAGTGTAGAATTTATTTCCAAGATAAATATTGAAATGAAATTTCTCAAAAAGCAATTGACATGGTCCAGAGGCTTACTGATCCTAATCCGGAGTTCAGGATATCAATTAATGATGCCAAAGAGCACCCTTGAATTTCTTTTTTGACAAAAAAAACTCATAGAAAAATATATGTCATAATGGATCATTTCACTATAATGTGATTAAGATTAAGTCTTATAATATTATCGAATTCATTTATAATACTTAGAATACATCCCAAAGCAATTAGAAGAATCAAAAGACAAAATTGTATCTCCAAGAAGTGGCAATGCAAGTATGATTAAAATCAGTTATCGAGCACATAATGAAAAAAGAGGAGAGCATGGTTTTGCAACAGAAAGGGTTGGAAAAGACAAGCATAGCTGGGTAGGTGTATTATTGAAAAAACATCACAAAATAGTTACTCCTACCCATAGGGCTAAAATAATGGCATCAGGTGACGAATAAATATAATAGTTAATTCATGTATATAGCTTGCTACTATATTGCTGCATAAAAATTTAAATTTTATATATCCATAAAAAGTATAAGATATAGAAGCGCATAAGGTAGAATCTAAAATAATTAGTCGATTGAAGCTGGCATTTTATTAAAGAATTATTTGATAATTTGGAGTTAAAGAGTCGTTATTTACAATTATGGCTTCAGTTTTTTCTGAAATAGACAGGAGAACCAACAAATCTTCACTTTTTTGGCATCACTCTGAATCCAACCCAATGCTTGATATTGATCAAAATAAACTATATGAAGGTGTTCTGAAGATCCCAATTCCAAACTCTTTATGGAAAGAAAGAAAATTTGTCCTTACAAAGTCCTCGATTTATTACTATGAAGAAGGGGGTAACTTATCCCAACTAAGATCTTGCATTTCTTGGAAGCATGCTGAGTCGTTTTATGAAAAATGCTCACTCCCCCCCTTTTAAATTGGAACAAAAAATTTTGTTCCAATTTAAACGAGGATTAAGAAAAATTTTTTTTATAAAAAAACTTATCTAAAAATTTCATAAAGGAACTACTGTTGGAGGATGCACTAGATTTTAGCTTAACAGAGATCGTGCTCTGTAGTTGGAGATTTGAAGAGTTGATTGGAAAAAAAATACAAGCATTGTGCTGGAATAATTAGTGATGGAATCAAAAGGGTTTGTAAGTGAAGTTGTTAAAATAAGAGGCAAATTGACCCCTTTGTGGGGTGATAACCATTAATTAAATCTTAAATCTAAAAATTTCAAAAATTTAGCGAATTAGATTAATAAACTTATTTAATAAAATGCTATTTACTCTTTATCCTTTAAAGCAAAGCAAGATATAACTAAATTTTTCATTATTAGTTAATATGCCTCAATTAGTTGGTATCAAAACTATCGATAAAAAAAAATTAAAAAAAATTTTTAGAAAATTTATCGTTGAATTTTGGAAATTTTACCCACATTTTGTTCCAATTTTAAAAGGGGGGGAGTCAGACGAAATGAGATATGGCTTTAGAATTTCCCAAAACAGATCCTCTCAGGATTTTTATACAAAAAATACTGACGAGCTGGACATTTGAATGGGATTTTTATCAAAAGTCTGTATAATGAGCGATTTAGATGACAACTATGAAATTATTAAAGAGTTAGGGAAAGGGAAATACGCAGAAGTTTCTTTAGCTAAGGATTTAGATACAAATGAAGAGGTTGCAATCAAATCTATTTCAAAAGAATTGATAAAAGAAAGCTCTCGAGGAGTTTCTGGAGTTGTTAATGAAATCGATATTATGAGGAAAATAAAGCATCCTAATGTTATTGGCCTACAGAAAGTTTTTGAAAGTGAGTCTCATGTGCATTTAATAGTGGATTACATCCCTGGAGGTGACCTTTTTCAAAGGATACTTGAAAAAGGCCCTTTTTCTTTAAAAATGGCTGAGAAATTTATAAAGAATTTGCTGTCAGTTTTGGATTATATTCACTCGATGAATATAATACATCGAGATATCAAACCTGAAAACATATTCCTCTATAATATAAGCTGAATATGAATTGTATAATATTCTGTAAAAATGATAGAAATTTTGTATTTAATACTCACTTGCAGTTTATTTATATTTAGTATAATTATGAAAACCCACGAAAATGACTTTGATTTCAAGCTATCTGACTTCGGTTTAGCATCTGATTCTACAGAACCTCAAACCTTAAGATGTGGATCACTCGGATACGTAGCTCCAGAGATCTTAAGAAAAGAACCATACACTAAAAAAGTCGATGTTTTCTCAGCAGGAATAATTCTTTTCATTATTTTGACAGGCCAAGATCCTTTTCCAAGCAAAGACGCCAACGATAAGCTAAAACGAAACAAAAAAGGGGTTTTGTATTTCCAAGAAAAATATTGGAAAACGATCCCAAAAATTGCCATCGATTTATTAAGAAAATTAACCGAAAATGATCCTGAAGCAAGATATAATGCTAACTCCCCCCCTCCGTGAGTGAACAAAAAAATTTTGTTCACTCACGGAGGGGATTCATTTTTTTTGTTTTTAAAAAATTTATATATAAAAATTTTATTTTTTTTCGAAATTTGAAAAATCCTAATTCGAAAAAAAATTGGAAAGCAAATATTAATTTAAATTATAAAATTTATGTTTTAAAAAGTAATTTGTTTAAAATTAAACAGAATTAGCTATAGATTTCATTATAATAATTATCACTTATATATCAAAATTTTTTTCCATAAAAAAGTTTTGTATTAAAAAATTTTTGTTCACTCACAGAGGTGGGTTTTTTTGGGCAAAAAATAGCGATTTTTCTAATGGTTTTGTTCACTCACGGAGGGGGGGAGTAAGCAAGCTTTGCAGCATCCTTGGCTTAACCCAGGTAGGAATTTATTCGAAAATGACGAAATTAATTGCTCAAAAAAAGTGGCAGAGCGACTAAGCTTTGGGGATTCAAGTAAAAAAGAAATGAAAAGGCCGTCATCTGTAGCACCAGATCTGAAAAGTGAGTATTTTAAAATAAGAATCAAACAAGGAAAACACTTCACAGTGCAGCAGCCTCATTGTATCAGTAGAAGGAATAGTCCTAAAAAGCTGAGGGAGGCGATTTTAGCAAATCCAGGATATGATCATGTGGCTTCTAAAAAGCAGATTGGAAACTCTAATGGCTTATTATAATTCTGATAATTAATCCTATAATATTGTTATTATAAATCTTTTCTCCAAACAAAATTTTTTATTATCATCGTATTAACCTTGCCTAATAATTTGAATAAAATTTTGATACTCCTAAAATTTAAGAATGATTTATATAAAGAAAATCTCGTTATTTGCCTTTCTGAAATTATATTTCATAAATTAATCCATTTATTCAATGAGTTGATAAATATGAATTGGTACTCAATCTTTTGGAAATATTGGAGCTGGGTTGCCTTTCTTCCAATGCTTGCCTGCTGTCTTTATCGAATGTTCACACAAAAAGACCTAAGAAATCTTAAAAAGCAGCCTGATAGAGAATTTTACGTTGACTGAGCATTTGAGTTTCTTTTATCACCTGGACTCTTCTATTACACAATTGATTCACTATATATAATACTCCAATATGAAAATTACAGCTGGTGCAATCTTGGGTACCTTTCACATCATGTACTTACATTGGCAGGTGCAAGAGCAACTTTAACTGTTCCATACTATCCATGGACACTGATAGCACCATTTGTAATTCATTGCATGCTGATCATGTTTCCTTATATTTCAATACTCAATTATATATACTTAGGAATAATTTTCAATAACTTTAGGATATTGCTGTCAGACCCCTGGCGTAACTTCGCTCAATATCGATGGGTACTTTACATTGGAATTAGCCTTGTCCTTATTCCATTTCCAATTTTATGGCTAAATTCATGCAAGAACGATATGCAAAACGTTAATTAGCTTAAACATTCAGGAATTAAATCTTTTTAATTTAATCTTAAATAATGATGCAAAAGATAATAAAGATATTGCCTCTTCTTTCAAGAAAAAATATAGCCTAGCCTATAGCCACTTATATCAAATTGATATTATTTGCAAGTTTGAGTGTAAGCATTACAATTTTCTTTTAAATTTCTCCTGCGACAGATATCAATTGAGAAGAAGACGATTTCTGCTATGCCCCCTATTTGAGCATATCTCAAACGCTTAAACTGTTTTATAAGCTGAGCTGATTATCAATTGATATGAAATTGATTTTTTAATAAGATCATCACTTACAGTTTCTGATATGCTTGGATCTTTTTCTAGCTCCCGCTTTATTACATTTCTGATGCTGATCCTTCTTTGTTCAAATATACAATTTTTTTGACTTGAACCCATTAAATTTTCATTAAGCTGTAAAAATTATTTAATCTTTAAACTTTTATAATAAATAATTATAAATTATGGGATCCTAAAGCTATTGCAATTTGTATATTAGAATCTGTTCGAAAAATTTTTAAAAAATACAATTATATGAAAGACTAATTAATTATTATTTAAGAGTAGCTTGAAAAACGCTTATGCTTAGGCGTTTCCTCTTCTCATGAGGATAAATCTTGGTCTACTAAATATTCTTTGATTTCATCATCTTTCTTATATTTATAAGTTGAAATCATATTCATAGGTGTGTAAGGAGAATAACTTCTATCATTTTGCTTTGATACGCTTCTAGCTGATATTGGAGTTAGAGATGATCTCTTGAACCCATAGCGAATATTTTCTTGTGCTGTTCTTTTTGAACTATCTGGGGAAATAGATGCCCTATGCTTCTGAAATTGTTCTTGTTTAAAAAACGAGTCAAATCCTCCAATATGAATATTCAAATTTTTAATGAATAGATTAATTCTTTATAACCAAAATATTTGGAAAATATTTTATAGACAATCGATATAACCTTTGATGGATGTCTGATTTTCCAGCCTCTCATATATCATTTCCCATTTGTTCCAATTTTAGGTGTTTGCTGGGAAGTTCCAATTCTTGGAATATTTTTAAAATCAACGTCAAAGGGATTCAATTTTTTAGCAGGTTCTCGCTTCAGCTGATTTTTTTGAAAACTTGAATTTCATTTGAAGTCTACAATATTAATTTTCGTAACAGCATTAACTTGGAAGCATTTTTTGTGACTGATTTCAATTGAAACCATATTTCTCTAAAAACTCAAACGCCTTAAATTACACAAAAATGAGTTAAAATATAGTTAGGTCTAATTAAAAAGGTTAAAAAAATATAATGAGCATACAACGGCTTTCCTGAATATTTTAAACCAAATATTTAAAAACTGCAAGAGGGATCAAAATAGCTATAAATACCAAAACACATATCAATGTGCATTTCAGAATTCTGATTTTAGTTCCTTGGCTTTCCCTTGCCTGGCTAAGCTCCTGCATGCCTTCATTGACATTATTATTTGCGACATCTATATTAGAAGCAACTACATTTAACGAGTGGTCTTGCAAGCTAGCAAGTCCAGAGGCTTCTTTCATTAGTTCGCTAACTGCCATCATTTTAAGCTCAATAGCACTAACCTGTTTATTCCTTTCTTCTAGTATTGGCCTATTAAAATCATCTCTTACTAGAGCATCTTGGTATTGGAAAGGTTGTGTCCTTCGTGATAATTCTTGATATTCTTTTGTAAGTTCTAAATAATTTTGTTCTTTTCGCTTGAATTCTAGATTTGATGAAACATTTATGTAATTTAATTTTTCCAGCTTTGATCTGATTGTTTCCATCATTTCTTTTTGCGATTTTTGTGTCATTTTGGCTGAGCCAAAATTAAGGACCGAGAGATCTTCTTTAATTTCAGCGCTTAATTGGTCAACAGAACTACCCAGCAAAGGCTCTTTATATGATGATTCTTTCATTTTCTTATAAATTATGATTATTTATTAACTTTTCTAATGTAGTAGTCCTTTATGAGGAATATATCGAAAAGAAATAACAGCAAATATAAAGATAGCAAGGAATAAAACTGATCCAAAAGAATTCTTTGGCATGAAAGTCCCAAGCATAATATATCCAAGCATAAGAGAAAACAGAATAAAAGGAGTATACCATCCCCAGATAGGCCAAAATGCAATATGTGCACACAAGTAGCAGAATCCTCCTATGGCAGATGCAAGTGGGATAAGTCTTGGAGCAGTAACTTCAATATCTTCATGAGAAGGTAAGATAAAGGAGACATATAATGTCATAGCAGTCATAATCCCAAAAGTCATCATAGTTAAAGAAAAAAACAGCTGATTCACTTTTGTGCTTTCCCAAATGACGAGAAAGAAGTTCGAATAATAAAGCACGACGACTGCTAATACAATTCATGCAGCTGCATGCAATCTATTTGTAAGGTAATTAAATCTGTCCACCCACATTCGCTTCCTTGCTTCTCTTGCGTCCCACCATTCTTGACTTTTCATAATTAATTTATCTAAAAACACACATGTTTCAGTAATTTTTAAAAACATAAAAAATGCAATAATAAAAATAATAATTATTATTACGCAACCTATATATTTTATATTAAGATTAAGTTATTAAATGACTTCAACTGTGTCTTCAGTTCGGGTTTCTTGAGACCAGATTTGCATTCATCAAGGTCCAATACTCTCCAGTCAAGTTCCGGCATTAAGGGGATTTAGCTTCGCCATCAGTGGCTACCCAGTATCGAGTTCCGCTTTCGCCTGGTGGGACAAAAACATTGAAAACCCAGCGGCTGATGGCTGTCTACGGAGTTTAACGTGGGCTTCTCTTTCCCCTCCCACGGACAATTAGGTGACCTTTCTTGGACCCACAACCTGACCCATTGCTCTTCTAGCTTGCTAGGCTCTCGACAGTCTGCTCTAAGGCACACTTTCCCTTCTCTGACATTTCCTCAGCAGCTCTGTCCTACGTCACCCTCTTCGCCATTTTAATTGTGATATTTATATTAAATTATCATGAATCGATATCTTGGATTTATTTTATTTTGTCAAAGCATATATTTTCCTAATAAGAATTTTATTTATCTCAAGCTGCAAAAAATATATTAAATATTTATAAGTGTGAGCCCAAACATTAATTAATTATTTCATTGAATAATTCCTATGAGCCAAATTTACAAAGATGGAGCTAAGGTACTCAAGCTAATTAAAACAAAGAACATCGGATTAAAAGGAGCTTGCTTTAAATTAAAAAGAAACGTTAGGCCAATCTATGCACTCATAAACAAAATTTTACCTGTACGCAAAAAGCTTGAAAATGAAATTCAAAAGAAGTGAAAAGATTGTGAAGATATTGAACTCGCAAGTCTTATGCTTTTTGATTATTGGAAATCAGGGAAAATTAGTGGTGGAGGAGCAGTTAAACACAAAATCATGGAAAAATTTAAGCCCTCGAAATTTTTAGCGAAAAATCTGAAGAAGCAAAAGAGATGAGTTATCATAAACCAATTTAAAAAGCCAAAAAACACAAAAATCCTAGGAAAACAAGACGAAATCATTCCTGATTTGTATTGCATAGAAGACTCAGCAGAAATAGCTAAAATGATTAAAAATTCAGAGATAATTTCACAAGAAAAAGCCAGCTGCATGCCAGTCGCAAGTCTTCGCTTAAAGAAAGGAAATTGAAATGCCATAGACGCTTGTGCAGCTCCTGGCAATAAAACTCTACAATTGGCTGGAAGAATGAAAAAATTATCGACTGGGAAAATTTATGCTTATGAGTTGAATCCAAACCGCTTCGGTCTTCTTAGAAGAAGGATAAAAGAGTATAGGGCTGATAACGTAAAAGCTATAAATGGGGATTATCTAAAAGCAGAAATCCCCAAAAACGTAAAAGTTGCAATAGTAGATCCATCCTGCTCTGGGTCTGGCATTATTTCTCACCAATTAATCGACAATGGAAAAATAACAGTGCAGCCTGATTTAGTGACAGAGCGTCTAAAAAGTTTATCATATTTCCAAGAAAAAGTCCTCACCAAAACTCTTAACATTCCAGGGATCCAACAAGTTCTATACTCGACTTGTTCAGTACACAAAATTGAAGATGAAAATGTTGTCCATAACGTTTTATCATCATTTTGAAGGAAGTTTAAGCTTGTCAAAGCTCTTCCAAAATGAAAAAGAAGAGGATTTGGAGACTATGGTGAATTAATGGTAAGAGTTAACCCTTTAGAGGACAAAACCCAAGGGTTTTTTGTTGCGCTTATCAAGAGAAGAAGTCTGAGACTCGGCCATCACATTATCAAAAGAACTCACAGATATTGGTCCAAGAAAAAACACATAAAGTTTAATTAGAAATTTATTAATTTCAAACCAAAATATGTCTGTTATAGAAATTGATTTCCATGCAGCATGGACAAATAGATGGAAGAGTCGTCAGGACCGTTAGAAACCTCAAAAGGATGAACACTGGTAGCTCATTATCAGATTCCCCATCCACAAGAACAAGCACTCCAGGCCCCGATACACAGATTTTAGACGTCATTTCGAACCGTGAAGAAATTAAACAGTTCCTCCTTTCCTATGAACTTTCCCCAGAAACATTTTACAATATAACCCGAAATGATGAAAAAATCATAAGGGACATCTTAATGGAGCCTGTATTAAGTGATACTATCATGATCCGCATACAGGAAAAAGTTGAAGAGTACCAATCCCTTCAGCAGATTGAACAAGCTAAAATTAGCATGTCGGCGAAAATAAAAGAGCGCATTGAAAGTCTCCAGAGGCGACTGAATGAATAAAATTTTATTATGTGATTAACAATTAATTGTCTTGCTTTTTCTTGAAGTCTGTTATCGCTGCCTTCACAGCGTCCTCCGCTAGCATAGAACAATGGAGCTTGATGGGAGGCAAGTGCAAGTATGAAGCGATGTCAGAATTTTTCAATTGCATGGCATCGTTCAGGTCTAGGCCTTTAATGTACTCTGTGGCGTAGGAACTACTGGCTATGGCAGAAGCACATCCAAAGGTCTTGAACACTGCTTCTTTGATCTTCCCGTCTTCAACTTTTATTTGCAACTTCATCACATCTCCGCAGGCAGGTGCTCCGACAACACCTGTCCCGACAGATTTGTCACCTTTGTCAAGAGAGCCAACGTTTTTAGGCTGCTCGTAGTATTCAATCACTTTTGGGTGGTATGCGCGCTTGATCAAGCTAAGTGCCTTCAGCATATTTAATGTAAACTAACAAAGAATAATGGCGAAATTCTAATACTAGTGATAGCCATTCATTATACAATTAAAGTTATATTAAATTTGATCATGAACATTTGAAAGAGCGAGAAGGTGGGGAATATTTTTGGATTATTGTGAAAGTCCACCTATTGAAAGCCCTTACTCCCCCCCCCCTCCGTGAGCGAACAAAAAATTTTTGTTCGCTCACGGAGGGGGGTTAATTTTTTTTTTTAAAAAAAAAATTTATATATAAATTTTATAAAAAATATATTTTTTCGAAATTTAAAAAAATCCTAATTTGCAAAAATTGGGAAGCAAATATTAATTTAATTTGCAAAATTTATGTTTTTAAAAACGCAATTTGTTTAAAATTAAACAGAATTAGCTCTAGATTTCATTATACTAATTATCACTTATATATCAAATTTTTTTTCCATTAAAATTTTTTCTATTAAAAAAATTTTTGTTCACTCACGGAGGGTGGGTTTTTGGTCAAAAAATGGCGATTTTTCTAATGGTTTTGTTCGCTCACGGAGGGGGGGGGGGGGAGGAGTTAGAGAATTTTTTATTTTGAAAATTAAGAGGAAGACTGAAATTATATATAAAAACTCTTAATAATACATTATTTGTATTTTTTAGTCAAATTGATATCTGAATGATAGCTGAATGCAGACAGCGGCATAGGATCATATGGGTTTTCTTTTCGGATGTCCAAAGGTCTCATCCCATTTTTAAATTTTTGCACTTGGATTTCTTCCCTTCTTGACAAACTTCTTACCCCTTTTCTGGATGGTGGTTTTTTGAAAAAATTTGCTGATGTAATTTTAAAATAATCATTTGGCGAGTCTGGAAGTTTTGCCTTTGTACTTACTCCCTCCTTTAAATTGGGACAAAATTCTTTTCCAAATTAAGGGGTTGGAATTTGTTTTTAAAAATAAAATTTATATTCAATATTTTCTCTATAAATGTTTTTTTTAAAATTTAAAAAAATATATAAATTGAGCACAATAATTTTAATTTATTTTGATAAAAAATTAATCGATTCAGCGAGAGAACAATTAAAAGTAGCATTCTACTAGCATTTTTATCTATTAAATTAGGTCAAAGCTAATTTTTAAAAAATTAGTACTTTCATCAATAAATTTTCCTATCGAAAAACAAATTTAATTCCATTTTTAAAGGAGGGTTAAAGTCCCTAAAAATGCAAATTTTACTGATGTTTTGTTCCAATTTAAAACTGGGGAGTTAGCGTTTTAAGATAATCAAAATCCCTGTCATCACTAATTTCATGCAAATTTCTCTTCGGCTGCCTGAAGAAATCATTTGCTTTCATAGTCTGCTTGTCCCAAGATTGCACTATATAAAAATTACATAAATTGTAAATGCTGTCTAAGTTATGCTCCAAAACTTCTTGTATTGGCTTTCTCTCTATAATAGTAACTGGTCTTAAAGGATTAATTCTGGGCAGATGAGAACATTGCTTTGGTCTCGGCACAGAACTAGTTTGATGCTTTTTAGGAGATCTTGAAGTTCTTTTGGTGTTTTTCCTTCTTTTTAGCCTGATTTCGTTAGAAAGATCCCTCTTTGTCTCCTCATTTTCATTTTCTGATTGAGAAGAATCAGAGCTGCTTACTTCATCTATTTTCCAAAGTTGTTCAATGTCCATCAATGATTCATTTCCTTCAATTACTTTTAATGCTTCGTCTAGGTGGAAGTCTTCTTCAATTTCCTCAATATTTTCAATATTTTCTTCTTCATTTTCAGTGTCTGAGCTATCTTTTTCATCACTTGATTCTAGCTCCTTTAAGCTCTTATTAATTTTTCGCTGGGAGAAGTGGAAAGGCTGAGGCTTTTTTCTGAATTTGTTTAAAATTGTTTGTATTTTTTTCTTGAAAAGAAGAGGATTGCAGTATATTAGGCAGACTTTGCAGGTATCTGCACCAAGGTTTTTAAGATGCTGGCGGTCCATATGTGCATCTCCTTCAGGCTCATTTTCTTCAGGCTCTCTATTTTCTAGTCGAGCTCGGTGACTTGGGCCATAGAAAGAGCTTTCTAATGTATAGCTATTTAATAAATGTAACTCTTTAAAAAGAACAATTCGTGATGTCGACTCTTTACTTTTCTCCATCCTGAATTTAGAATCTTTAAATGAAAAAATTTTATTTTTTTCTGAAAGCAACAAAGGAACGAGCTTTATAAGTACATTAGTTTTGCGGTCCTCCATTTCTTTGCCTTGACTACAACAGCAATACATAAATACATTTTTTTTCATTGAGTGACCATGCATATCTAAATAAAGCACCAATTCATGATCTTCAGAAAACATCTTGATAAACCTCTTCGCATAATAAATAGTAGGATGCAAATGCTTATTGGGAAATTGCCATCTCCTATTTAAATCCACTCCTAACAGAGAAGTCCTATAGTTCCCATAAATAACTCCATCAGGGTTCAGCATTGGGATAATTCTGAAAATAAAATTTTCCCTCAAAATTTTTGCTTCTTTTGAGTTTCCTAACAAAAATTCAATAGCTCCTTGCATCATATAAGACGAATTTGTTTCCCCTGGGTGGACTCTTGCAGTAAAGACGATTCCTTTTTTCTTGCTATGCTCATTCTCTTTCTAATTATAACGTACCTTCAGATTTTGATTGCCTGAACTTTACATTTCTATTTCTTTGGATTTTTCTTCACGCAGCACTCCTGGTAAGTTTTTCATACTCAAATTCCCAAGGTGTATACGTATTTGCAGAGCTCGTGATTGTCAATATATAACAATTATTTCCTGCTAATGTTTGACATAGAGTATCGACTCTTAAAATATCAGAATTTTCTTGACTCTTGGTTAAAAAATTTTGAAGGTCTGTATAAGTATAAGGAAAACAATGAGCGAAAAATACAGTGTCATCTTCATATAGGAATTCATATGAAAATGATAAGCTGAAGTAGCATTCTTTTTTGGCAGAATCATTTCTTGTGATATTATTTCGGTAATATGAAATATTTTCACCTGCGCGATGCCAGTCGATCCCAGTTAATTCACATAGCTTTTTGGAATATACCAAGGGCTTCATTCCGTCATTATAAAGTGAGTCATACTTCAGTAAATTAACAATATTTAAAGTGACTTTGTGTCTCGGCATATACGTTTTTACCGAAAAATAAAATCATTGGGTGTGCCCACTTGTATTAAAATCAAAGTCCAAGTAGAGATTATATTCATTTTCAGACAGCTTTATAGCTTTGCCAAGGTTGCCACTCTCAAATTTTGAGTCGAAAATTAAAACATTTTTTGTTGGAGCTACCAAAGTGTATTCAGAGCTCAAAAACTTTTTGGGACTTAGAAATGAAAGTTTTTTATATTGGGATTTATCTACATTAACTTTACCGTTCTCTGAGGCTGTTTCTATTTCTCGCTGTATAGATGTCGGAATAACTCGAGTTTGTTGGGAGCCAGCTTCATAAATCTCGCCAGATTTATGAGCGTGTGAATCATATACAATGACCCCTCCGCCTTCATATCTGAATAATAACGAATTGCTTTTCTCTACCAAGACGTCAGATCTCGCAAGAGAATTATTTAGACCAAAATCTTTAAAATACATCGACAACTCCTCACTGTTTGATTCTTTCGTAAAGTTTTCTGTCAATTCTTGGTTTAAATAAAATGTGTCTGAGTCTTGCACTGAAAAAGACGAGTCAAAACTCTCTGAAGCGATTGCATTCATTATTGTAATTTAAATATGAATTTAACATGGATTCAGAATTATTTACAGGAATTTTTTGTAAATTCCAAAACTTCTATGGAAAGCCATAGGCAGTTTTTGAATTTTTTATAAGCGAATTTTTAGAGAACTCATGCTGGAGAAAATTCATTATTTGATTTATTATAAATTGGTGGTTTATTATATAAGAGTGATCTGATAGAGCATTTAAGCAACCACTAAAAAGCAATTATTATTAACTTAAAAAATTAAGATTTTTATTTTACAATATTAAAATATGTCTTCTATATCATGCTTTTCAATACTTCTGTGCAGGAGAAAGAAAAGTAAAGATGAAAGCCGCAAAAAGCAAATCAGAGAGGCCAAAAGCATTGATACTAATTCTCCGAGGCTCAGCTATCATTCAAAATTGAATACTTTTGCGGACCAGGCGCCCAAATTAAGGCTTTCTTTTCCTCGTAAAGATTCATTTCATAGCGTCTCTTTAGCTCCTCATAGATCATCGATAGTTGTAAAAAGTTCAGAGAAATTCCTTCCATTAATTCAAAGTCAGGAAAGAAGCGAAACCACCAACGCCGAATTTACAAATCACACAGATCATCATAGGCTATCTACTACTGAGTTACCCATAGATGCCTTATCGTACAGTCAGAGGCCAAAGAACCCGCTCCTCTCCAAACTGAATTCAGTTACTTGGTCTAAAAGGTACAGTAAAGAAAATCCTTTGGGGAATTTTAATACACCATTCACGTCAAACTCCGTAACACATAGACCAAAAATTGTTCCAATCACACCTGAAAATATCTTAACTCGCACTGTGAGAGAATAAAACATTAGAAAAATCTTTTTATTGGGTAAAAAACTCACCCACTGTAAACGCACAAAAATTTTTAAGAGAAATTTTGATATATAAGTGATAATATAATTATATGAAATCTCTAGCTAATTCTGTTTAGTTTTGAACAAATTGCATTTTACAACATAAATTTTGCAAATTAAATTAATCTTTTACATCTCTATTTTTGTGAATTGGAATTTTTTCAAATTTTGAAAAAAAAATTAACCCCCTCCATAAGCGAGCAAAACGTTTTTGCTCGCTCACGAGGGGAGGGAGTAAGAAGAAAAATTTTTCCAAAAATTGTAAATGAGTCGTTCAGGAAAAATACTCATCCAGATAACGAAAATTCTGACAAAAAATTCAATTTTGATACAAATATTGATGAATTTGACGGAGAAAGTTCAAACAGTCTGGTTAATTTATAAATTTGCCTGTAAATTGACTAATCATATTTATGATTTATTTTTTTATTATTTGCTAGTATATAATTCTCAATTAAAATAGACGAAATAAAAAATTCACAAATAAATTTCTCCATATTTTCATAAAACAATGAGCATTTTAGGAATTCACAAAGTTAATTTCTCTATAATAAAATTAAAGCATTCGTCTAAAAAATATATTATTCATAAAGCAATTAGTTAATATTTGTTAATCTTTACCTTATATGCTTGTTTCATCCTTTAATGGGCTGCCATAATTTTCCAAAAATTTTTAATAGCATGGTCGCACATTACATAAGAAGATTGCCTTATTGATTGGTTATATAATGAAAACATTATTTGAGGGTAAAATCACACTAGAAGGCTCCCACACTCCTGATAATAATTCCTTGACTGATAATTTACTATTTAATCAAAGGAATGATTATTTTTTTAACGAAAATTATAACACAAACCCACATGGATTTTCTTTAGATATTTTAACATGTGCTCAAGAAATAAAAAAGCCATGTACTGCCTTCAGATTATTAAGTTTTGATAACGAAAAAACATCAAACCTAGAGCCTTTTCAAGATAATTTTTCCAATCAAAATTTTCCGACCCTTAATTTTAATTACACAGATAAAAGCCAAGAAAAGGCTTTTAAGCTTAAGCCAAGGCAGCTTTTTGCTGATAGCATTAATCTGGATGCCAAATCAGCTTTAGCAAATGGTGAAAATTTACCAAACCCTATTGAGAGTCTTGGTAAAAAGGGTGACTGAAGCTCGCTTGACTCAAAAAACTCCGCTGGATATATAGGTAACATAAGCGAGCACTTTATGCTACCCAAAATCGTCGAGACTAATGAAAATTTAACCAAAATCGATTACAACGAAGGAGATTCTTCTTTAACTAGTGTTGGAGATACATGTGAAGATGATATTGTGGAAACTGAAACTAAAGGAAATCAAGAAGAGCAAGAAATTAATACTCATCAGCATGAGTGCCATCCAAGTAGCCATCAATTTTCTGGTGAAAGAACCTCTCTATGGAAGAAATTCTGGAACTCTCTGAATTGCTGTGTGGATTATCAGACAGCAAACAGTCGCCAAAGATTTTATAAGTGCAAAAAATGCCATAAATCATGGTTAGAGTCAGATTTTTCTTTAGAAATGATAATTAATTAAATGCCCCATTTTAAATTAAAAATTCACCAAAAATGCAATAATTTACCTTTCATACTTATCAAAATCAATCACAACTTGTCCTTTCTTTGTCCCTAATCTCGCATTCCTCATTGATAATGGATAATATTCAGCTTCTTTTTTAATAGAACTTGTTGATAAGTTATTTCTGCTTGTAAATGAAGAGCTTGTGTTAGCTTGCTCTTTCTTTCAGCTGCTTGTACTTATAGATAGAGGGCTTTGTCCTTTATCCTCCTTGATAGTTTTTAATATTGAACCCGTTTTCTGAGCTTTATCTAATGAAGAATTAATTGACTGAGGTATGCTATAGTCCAGAAGCGAGAATATCTCGTCCTGGATTATTAAAATACTGACTCCCCCCCCTTTAAATTGAAAACAAAAAATTTTGTTTCAATTTAAAGGGGGGTTAAGAAAATTTTTTATAAAAAAATTTATATATAAAAATTTTTTCAGAGATAAAATTTTATAGAAAATAAATTATATAAATTTAAAGAGACAATAAATTGAGTAAATTATATTTAATAACATTATAATTTTATGACAATGCCTAGTCGGTAAGTTAGCAAGTTCTATTTTCTTAAAAATCGCTCTTTAAAATTTAAGAATACTATTTTAGAAAGTTTTGAATTTTCACGTTAAACTTTATAAATTTGCATTTAATAGTTTTAAAAATGGAAAGTGTTTGATTTTTAATTTTAATTTCATGAAAAATTAATTCATAAATTTCTCAATCTCAAAGTGTAAACTTGCTGAAATGGTATTCTTCTAAACTCTCCCCATAACAATTGGACAAAATAGAGTTTAATTTCTAAATCTTATATGTTTGAAGCATATTAAATAGGGTATTAACGTATTAACGTATTTACATATAAAATAATGATTTTTTACCTATAAAATTTTCTATTATAATAAAAATTTTGTTTCAATTTAAAGGGGGTAATTTCCCAAAAAAGTAGGAATTTTACCTATATTTTGTTTCAATTTAAAGGGGGGGGGAGTGAGAAACTTCCTGAGTAGGCTGTCTAACTCAAATTGGTAAGCCATTCCGGGAGTTGGCAAATATATCAAATATTATATATTTGTCAACTCGAGCTGGAAAATCAACTCAGGGAGTTTCCCAGCCTTTTTATAGTCCAGCTATTCTTGTTCCTGGGATATATTTTCATGTTCTCGATTATTTGGGATTATTTTGAATTTGCCTTTTTTTATTCCAAGTGGAGGCTTTGAAGCTGGAGAGTCTGGAGTTAGTTTTAAGTATCCATTTAGCAATTGCGGCTTATAAGAAGTTTGAGGAGAACTTGAGTGCTTAAAAGGAGACATTTTGCTAGGTGACAAAGTTTTTTCCTCTATGTCTATTGAGGCTTTGTTTTTGGTTACAAGCGATTTATACGATCTAGATTGGGAATCATTAACAGATATAGATGAAAAAGATGATGATCTGTCTGTTTTTGACCCTAAGTCCCTCCCAGTAAGCAGATTCTTACTTATTCGTAGAGATTTTACAGCAAACTTCTTAATAATAAATTTTATATAAATGGATAGCTGAAAATCCTCAAACAATAGCCAATTTCGATCTATTAATATAAAATTTACTATTGAATATTTTGTGCTAAACCCCTACACGTATAAGCATGAATCTTCTTATTATGGGTGAGTAAGTCAAAATTCTTTTATTTTTTCCATAGCCATTTCATACTCATGCTTCAAGTCAATAAAATTTTTTTCAATTTCTACTGACTTTCTTTTAAAAGGCTGTTTTTCCTCTGAAATCTTTCTTGTATTATCTTCGTGTATATTTGGCTTAAGGAAACTATTTTTTCAATCATCTTTATAATAATCTTGACTTCTTATAGTGTCTTCATTGCCAGGGGAGCCCATCTCTGCTTTTATCATCATTGATTTAACGTCTCTATATTTTTGTTCAAAAATTTCTTTCATTCTAATAGCATGTTCAAGCTGAATTTTGGTGTCAGAGTCGAGCTCTGCATGGTTCAAACGATTTCTTAACCCTTATAAGTCAAAAAAATTCTATAAATTATTTTTTTTATTGTTTAAAAAAGTGATTCTTCATTCCTTCTGTAATAAAATTTATTCAATAATAATGACAATAATAGAAAGTTCATAGGATTATTATTAAGATCTCTAATTAATTATAAATCTAAAATTTTTTCTATTAAAAGGTGAATTAGCTCTTTATTTTCTTCTTCAAGTTCAGCATTTCTTGATTTCAGTTCATCCACTTGGCTTGACATCGAAATCGAATTTCTAGCTCTCTTTTCCTCTTCCAAACTGGTAACCTTCTTCTTTAAATATGAAATTTCGCTATCTTTGGCCTGTAAGAGTGCTTTTAGCTCTGAAATTTTTACTTCCATTTGGCTCACTTGTGCAACATAGAATTGATTGCTCCTTATTAGATTATCAGCCTGAGTTCTGCCTTGATAGATTCCTTGGCCTTCTTGGCTGAAACTCTTCATAATAATTAATATTTAAATGACTTCTATTTAACTTAAAGTTATTTATCTGGTCCTCAGAGCGGGGCGGAAAGTGCATTGCTTTACCTCTGCTATCGCTCTTTCTTCCCTTTCCTTGACCATTTTCAGTCTTTTCAGCTCCTGAGTCATGACCATCCTTTCATAGATATCATCAGGCAGCGATCCACGTGATTTTTCACTCAATTTTATAGACATTTCACTGATTAGTGGCTTTTTAGTTTCTTCTTGTTCAGGCTTTGCTTCCCTTTTGAGGATGTATGCCTTCTCATCAACGCTCAAAGTTTTAAGCAGTTCGTCCATGCTCTCTACAAAAGAAGCAAAATCAAGAGTGATTTTATCTTCCTCTATTTTTTCAAATAGAGGTGTCATTACTTCGCAGGCTTTATCATCCAGTCCATCAAGAGAAATCATCCCTGCAGAGATATTCCCATCCTCATCAGAATCCAAAAGCTTAAAAATCCTTTCATACTGCTTCATTCTGAATTTATCGAAATATTTCTTGGAGTTTTTGCTTTGCTTTTGCGTTGATGAGGAAGCTTCTACAAGTTTCTCATTTTGGGCTTTAATTTCTTTGTTTATATTTTTAGCTTTTACATCTTTTAAGGAATAAAGGTGCTCCCATATAGGAGTGTCTGCGCTTCTCTACATAATTCTTACGTTAACCTTGCTATAAGTTTGAGGTGTGAATAGCTTTTGTCCAGTGCTTTCATCATGGGTCACTACAAGACTTTTCCTTGCTTCTTCCATTTCTTCATCGAATTTTAGCTTTGAAGTGGCGAGTCGTTCAACGAATTCTTCTTTGGTCTCAACAGTCTTTTGGCGAGGGCTTGAAACTTCTGGCTTAAAAGGGAACTGTCTAATGCTGTTCATTTCTTGCTCAAGTTTCTTTTCTTTTCGCCTAGATGCCTGGTCAAACAGTTCTTCATGAATAGACTTGCTGTAATCTCTTGGTTTTAGCTTTCTTTCTGATATGCTAGGCACAAATGAGCACTCTTTCATCTGCTCGTTTTCCACATCTGCCTTTATTTGCTCAAGATGCTCCTGATACTGTTTAGCTTTGTCAAGCAGGTAGTTTTCTAATTTTTCATTATTATTTCTTGGAGAAGCCACTGATCCAGTCTTATTAATTGATGGCATAAATGTTAGCTCTTTTGCAGATTTTTCTTCAATTGCTTGCTTCTTTGACTCAATTTTCTGCTTTGCAGTTTCTTTCTGCTTAAGCCCTTTCAAGTAAAGCCACTCTCCATAATTTCTTTTGCCTGGGTTATTACCAGATGTTGGCAATTGACTGCTTGTTACAGAAGATGCAGTTTTTGGTCTTGCAGTTTTTGCTTGCTTGGTGAATTTTTCATAAATGCTGCCAGTCACTGTTTTTTGAGACCCAGTGTGGCTGTCAAACTTGAAGTCGTCTTTGCTTGACACAGGCTTTGGTGTCTTTTTAGGTTTTGGGTTTTGAGTTGCAGCTGTCTCCTTGGGGTTTTGTGTGCTCGAATATGAGCCAAAAAAATCAGAAATTTTCCCAGGATCTTGATTGCCTGCTGCTGCATTCTTTTCTACGAGTTCTTTATTTTGTCTGATTAATCCTGCCAAAGATTGCTGAAGTGATGGATCAAGAGAATGCTTTTTTGCAAAATCTGAGGCAAGCTGGGTTGGATCATCATTTTCATATATGACGATTATGTCTTGTCTCCCATCTCCAATCTCTACAGTCATTACTAACAGCTCCTGGCTCTTTATTTCTTCTTGATTATTCGTTTCAGCTTCATGGTTTTCCATGTCACAACTGTTTCCTTCCACTAAAAGGTTTTCCGGCTCTTCCATTTTTTATACAATAAAATGGTAAACCAAGTATTTTTTTTATGCATATAAAGAATATCCAGCTTAAAAAATAATTAAATAAATGATGAATTTAGCTTACATTGATATCTTCCACTTTTGGAGCTTCCTCCTTTTTCTCGTTTTCAAAGCTTTTCTTGATTTTTGTAATGGCAGAATAGCTGATGGGATTGTTCCCATAGTGGTCAAACAAAGGAGCAAACTGCTTTTGGGTGTGTAAATCTTGATATTCAAGGAGAGGCTTGTAGAACTTGAAAGTATGGATAAAGGTATTATAAATCTTAATTTGCTGCTGAGCTACAGATCGGAAAGAATGGAATATGTGAACCATCAATTTTTCTCTATCAAAATGCAATTTGTCCCTTAGAGCTCTTTTGAACATTGAAAAGATATACTCGATAGGCTGGATCTGAGGAGTCATAGGAGCATTGCAGAGCACAGTGATTCCTTCTAGCTCGATCCAATCTTTGACCATTTTTCTCTTGTGTGCTCCTGCGTTGTCCATAAAAATGAAAAACCTTTCTTTATAGTTTAGGGGGTCAATTTCTTTGAGCTTGTCTACAACTTGCATTAAGAAATACTTGTAAGGATATCCTTTGATTCTTTCATTTCTGAGCATATAGCCTAGAAGTCTGTCCTGGGTAATAGCGCATATAATATGAATAGGCTTGCCGATTCTTCCTGACTGGACTATAGCTGTTTCTCCTTCTTTTGCCCACCCATAGCTTTTAAGCAAGCTTCTATTGCATTGAGTTTCATCAACAGAAACAATTTCTTTATGCTGCCAATGCAGGTCAATAAGCGCTTTTACAACTTTAACTCTGGAGTTCTTATGGGGGATATTATTTGCTTCAGGGACAAGTGGTTTAGTAAGCTTCCTTGTATAGCCGTTCTTTATGAAAATTTTTTTAATGGTTTCGGCTGTCACTTCTTGTTTAGTCTGCTGCTTTATCATAATAGCACGATCATGGAGAGAACAAGTCCTAAACCTTGGATCTTCAGCTTGCTCAATAACAAGTCTTTCTAATTGTGTTGGAATAGCCAGCTTGGGTTTAAGGGGGAATAAATCTTCGAAAAATCCTGGTCCTTTTCTGCTAAAAATATTAACAATTCTCCACAGGACACTTTTTGGAGCTGATGATCTCAATTTTCTATAGATAGCGTAAACATTATATCTCAGATAGTTTAAGTAAAGAACACGATGGACAAGCCTTGGGTCAAGCGATAAAATAAATTCTTTTTCATTTTCTATTCTGGCAGCTCTGGTAAGTTTGTTTTCTTGCTCTGATTTTTTTATAACAAAATCTAAAATTTCATTTTTAAATTCGGACTGTGAGAGAACTGGCCAAATTTGTTCCATAAAGTCTTTGGACTTTTCGTCAATTTTGACAGTGGCATTGGTAGGAGGATTTGATTTGAACTGCTCCATAAGGACTTGGACTCTCTGCTCTAAAAATCTGGCTTCAGCAGGATCCATTGGCTCTTCAGGCATATCAGCGTTGTTTCTTATATGAGAAGTGGTGAAATCGAGCCAATAAGTATAAATATGCCTTGGAGGCAAGTTGGTGCCATCTTCATCTTGACTTGGTACAACAATTCTTGTGGGTGTTGAGAGCTTAATAATTTCATCTTCAGTGAGATCTTGCTGCGGATCTATCAAAGGAGATGACCAAATTATAGGTGAGTCTCTGTCGTCGAGGGTCTTTTTCATGCCTGATGCATCTGTAACGACTTTGCTTGCTGCTTTATGATGGTGCTTGACCATAATAATTATAAGCCCCCTTAAAAATTTCTAAAATTTTTGCTTTAACCCAAAATTTTTTATTTGAAATTTTAAAGTAATATTTTATATTAGAAAATTCCGGAGTTTAAAAAAATTTAAAATTTACCAGTTGTGATTTTAGACCCTGTTTGAAGCTTTGCTTTTTTCTGAGTTAATTCAGCTGGAATTAATTTTCTTTTAACCGGGAATTTGCTTATTGGGAAGTTTTCTTTGTTTTTCTGGGCTTCTCCTAAAATTTGTTTTTTGGATTGAATTTTGTTACGAGAGGAAATAGTAGGCTTTAAATAACTGGGGTTTGGCTTGGAAAATGTGGTTTTTGACTTTTCTTCAAATCACTGTTGAACTTGATCTTGTCTAGCTATTTATTACGTATAAGGAAATTCATCATTCAATAAGTCCGCAAATCTAGGCGCGTCAAAATGAAATTCTTTCATAAATTTATTTTGAATGAAGAAATCCTTATTAAATTATAAAAATATTTTTTATTTAACTATGGTTTTTCATCAACTTATAAAATTTTATTTTTATCTATTTAAAGAAAATAATTAAAACATATAATTGCACTGATCACGCTTAAGATGAAAAGCCCTTTAACGACTTAATATACACGATACAATTAAAAATGGAAGGCATAAGTTAGGGGTCACTCCCCTATACTTTTTCCTAGTGAGGGAAGTTCTTACTTTCTGAAGGAAATCAGAGTTGGGACTGCCTCGGCAGCCCCAATTACTCTTGAATCACATTCAAGAACCAAAGAGAGACTCGTCCGGGCCATAGGCATCAGAAACGGTTTGACGGTTAGGCCGATTCCACCTACCGTTGTTCAGAGCTGTTTGCCAGTGGATGGAATTCATGAAGGAAGGAGCTTGTATTGTTGGTCCTAAGCTAAGTGGGGGTCAACAAAGTGTTATCTTAATCTTAATCTTAATATACACGATTTCCCATTTGATTTCTCCTTCAATCTCTTCCTCAGCTCTCGGAATATATCCTGGATTCCCCACAATTGCCATAGAGTGCATCCTTCCACATGCCAGCATATATACAGGGGAAGAACTTAAAGACTGTATAGGTCTTGGAGCCGGCAAATGCGAGATATCGCCTAGACCGAGCTGGCCTTCTTTGCATCTTCCCCATGCCCAAGTCATCTTATCATGCTCTCCCGAAGTTGCAATTGTATGGTTCTCTCCACAAACCAGGTAATGAATTGGATAGCCAGAGAAGCAATCAAGCTTGGTTGGCACTGAAATATCTTTGTGCACTTTATCTTGATTTTCTAGTCCTAGCTGGCCGAAATCATTCATTCCACAAGCTAAAATCTCATTCTCTTCAGTCAAAAATATCGAAAACAGCCCTCCAGCTGCGATTTCTCTTATTTTTAGTCCTTCTAAAGTGTTGATTTTGAGTGGGGTGTATTGAATGCATGAAACGTTTCCAACTTCGTCAAAATCGTCATGTTTAACACCTGTAGCAAGCTGTCCATTGCTTCCCCAGCCCCATCCATAAACTTCATTGTTATCTGTAAGAGCCAGTGTATGAGCTTCTCCACAAGCGACTTGAATGATCCTTTTATTAGCGAGTTCTCCATATAATCTTCTGGGTGTATGAATAAAAGGGTCTTCTGAAGCAATTCCAAGGTCTTTCATCACTTTTATTAAATCTTCTTGTTGGAGACCAAGCTGCCCTCCTTCTCCTCTTCCCCAAACATATAAATGTCCTTCTCTTGATATAGCAATAGTATGAAATGCTCCTACCTCAATGCTGAAAATTTTGGTATTCTTTAAGCTCTGAATCATTTTGGGGTACATTATTAAGTGGGTATTCCCATGGCCTAGAACTCCACCATCACCAGAGCCAACAGTATAAACCTTATGATCATTTGACAGAAACACTGTATGCTGATAGCCACATGAAGCTTTTGTGATATTTGCTATTGTCTTTATATGCACTGGGTATCTTATTATTTTGGGCATGTCTGGACCTAACCCAAGCTGAGCGTATTCATTATTACCCCAGGCATAGCAGGACCCATCAAGCGCAATTGCAATACAATGCTCAGCACCTGCAGAGACCTCTTTGATGATTATGTCTTTTAATGATGTCATCATTCTTGGATAAGGCAAAACCACCTGATCTGCGAACTCGTCTTCAGATATAGCAAGCCCAAGCTGTCCTGCAGAGTCAGTTCCCCACACATAAACTATTCCTCTCATTTCAGCCATGTTTAAGGCTCCATATTCTGGCAGAAGGACTTGGGTTAGAGAGCTCTGTTGTATTGCCCTTCGAGTATCTTTATGAGAAGAAGGAGTCGATGTCCCACTGGTCAGCTGATTTGCTAAAGAATAATTTGTTGATAGCTGCTGAACCAGGGTATTTTTAACGATGCATTTCGTAAGTAAATTGCTTCATAATTTTCCAGACTGATACATTGGCAAGCTGTGCTGGAGCATCCAAGCGAAATAAACTTCTTTTGATTCAGGATATAACGGGTCCATGTCAAGTCTCTGAGGTGACATCATGCTTCAGTGCTCAAAAGGATGCTTCATCATTATTTCATTTTGCCTTGAAGATCTGCCTTTAAGCACTTTTGATAGCTGCTGCTGAAACTGTTTAGTATTCATAAAAACTGCATCAAAATGTTCGTCAGCTGCTTGAGCATCAAAATATCTCCTTTCTTCTCTTGCAATTATACTTAATTAAATGGCGTATTGTATAGGTCTGTGATGTGCTGTTTGCTGATTCAGGCCATGATAAGTGGGATTCATTGAAGTTAGGCATATGATGTAAGTTTTTGGTGTGCTCAGACTCTAGGGAAAAGCTTTTTGTGCTGACCACTCCTAATCGAAGGACGCAATATATTGACGCACTTCTCCAGTCGAAGGGTTGCATTAGGACTTTAGTTAAGAGCGAGGGGAGAAGGAGGACCAGACAATCATCTCTAGTCCCATCCTCTGCAGGGAAACCTAAACGCACTGACAAGACCAAAGTCTGACCGATTAAGAGCTCTGACACACGACCCTACGTCACCATTTTTGGTAGCTGGGCTGAAAATTGATGTTAGGTGGAGTTAGCACTTAGCGACCATAAACCAAAAGCTAACTCTCAATAGAGGTAAGCTCTAAAATAATGTCCTCTGCGCCTCACCCTTAATCTAATCTCTTGCAATTTGACTCAATTTCCAAGACGCCACAATCTGCCATGGGACTCCTATATTTCCTCTTCCTCTGGGATCCCCAAAAAGTTTTGTCATCAGCATAAGAGAAGTGATATAATGCTGCTCAGCCTGGGCCAGGCTTGACTGTTCTTGGATAAGTGCATTCCACAAGTAATAAGCAATTACAAGCTCTGGTGGGGTGTAAACTGAAGTGTTAATCAAATTGGCAATTCTTTGTAAATACTCATTGCATCTGCTTGTGTCCATATCTAGAAAATATCGTTGGGTTATGACATATATTAGAATTTCTATCAGGGCCGTTTCTTCCCCGTCTACTGTTATTAAATCTCTAAAGAGTGTTTCTACACAATTGGCCCATTCTTCAAGGATTTGAAGAGAAGGAACGTCATAATTGTCTCTATATAAAGAATTTCCAGGGATATTGTATAAATCGCAAGGCAGAATTAACTCAAGAGACTGATGCTCTTCTTCTTTGCTTATAAGCTCAACATTGGCTTCACTTACCCAATCTGCAAAAGAGTCATTCATCATATCTTTCGAATCATTTCTCTTTGGTCCTCCCCTTTCTAGGAAACTTAGAAGGATTATGTAGTTTTCTTCTCGGAGAGAAATTTGGGTAAAAATGGTTAAATGCAAATTTTCTAAGTCAGAAATGTGCAAAACTGGGTCGTTGCATAAAAAAAAGTACCCGTCAGCTCTTGCTTTGTATAAAGTTTCTTCTTTGATTGAGACAGAGCAATGATATTGAATGGCATCTAAGAATAGTGCAGGAGACTTTGAAGCTGAGGCTAGCACTTGTTTCAAAATATCATCAGACAAGTAATATTCGAAGCTATTCTTTTTAAGATTTCCAGGCTCTATCAACCTACTCACACTTTTTTCTGATTTCCTCCTTATCTTTCTGGAGTCCTTCATAGATTTAAGTCTCCCAAGGAACAAAATCAGTGTAAGCTCAAGATTCTGAGGAGTTTTTTGGTTTGGTGCATGAAGTAAAGGTAAAATCGTGTTCAAAATAAGCTCATTATATTTAGAAATCGGCATCAATCTTTCTTCAGCCATTTTCTGCCACACTAAATTTTTCACAGCTCTTGCCAAAATGTCAGTTCCTATCAATGCTCTGCTTTTCTCATGTCGAGTTTTAGAAAAAACTACCCATTCATAGTACATATTTAAGCCTTTTCTATGGAACAGCTCTTTTAAGGACTCATGGTTTGTATAGTTTTCGCTGCTTTCGAGAACATGAATTGTATCCCTTACACTTCTTCGTTTAACTCTAGAAATTTCATGCTCATTGACACCAAAAATGGGGAATCGCAAATAAAAATTTTCAGACATATGAAAACTGACTACTGCATCTCCATAAATATCTTCACCAAATAGGCTTGCTACAGGATTTCTTCTATTAATAGCAGGATTCTCGTCAAAAAAAATATAGCAATCCCATCCATATTTAGATATCTTATTCGACATTATTTTGGCATTTGGGTGTTCTGCATCTCCATACATAGCTTTAACTATATGGCTGATAGGTATAGAATCTGTATATTTTGTATCAAAAATCCTTATTTCAGGTCCTGCACAGCTAAAAAGACAAAGGTAGCTTGGAGTGCTTGCTGTTGGAACTAGCTTATATAAATCGTAAACTAGCAGGCAGGGCTTTGTTTCTTTATTTTTTTGCTCTTCTGATTCGAATTTCAGCCTGTAGAGCTCTGAGGACGGAATCTGGAAATTTTGATCCCCAAACAAGTCTACAGTGATGTCTGGCGAAGACCCCAAAAAGTTGGGCGGGTATGAAGGTACTGCAAATAATATAAAAGTCCCAATATTTACATATACAACTAACGGTAATGTTAAGTTGTACCTTGAAATCTGTGATACCCCACAAGCAAGACAAAACAACTTCAAAGCTTTAGCTTCTGACTTATAAAGTCTCCCTTCTTCACTTCTTGCATAAACCAGCTTGAATCTGACGTTTTTATACATAAAGCCGTTAAGCCACTCTTTAAATTTCTTCGGGAGTCCTAAATCTTCTTTCACCCCAGACAGCTCAATAAATTCCTTTCCAAAGTGCCTCGAGCTTTTCCCCAAGTTCACATACAAATAGCTTGCGACGGCCCACACGAACCATTTAAAGTGCTGTTCCATCTGCAAAGTTTTCCTCTGTATTGAAACCCCTGATATATCTCCTGCAGCTTGGCTAGATTTATTTAATAAATACATATGCTCTTTTACTCATTGTCGAGGTGGCAATGAAAGAATTTTTGCACATAAATCAACATGCATTTTCCGATCCCAACTGGTTTTGACTGCTAAGTTGTCACAATTGCTTGAAGAAATCGCTGAGTACAAGTTCACGAAGCTGAAGTTGCAGTTCTGCTTCAAAAGACTTTGCCAGTCGTTTAAATGCGATCTTTCGAAATCGCCTGATTTTAGATCGTGCTCAAAATTATAAAAAGCCATTGGAGGCAGCGGAATGGACCCTACAGGAAAAGTCTCGACTTTTTTAGGAGCAGGCTGAGGTGGGAATTCAACTTTGGGTGCTTGGTACTTGGGAGAAGCCATAGGAACGCTAGATGCTGGAGGAATTGGCAACGGAGCTGAGGAGGCGACTGATTCGTGAGATGTGTCAGAAGGTCTTGGCGGAATAGACTGCTTTGATAAGTTATCTGAGGTGTTATTGAATCTCTTATGAGCTTTAATTGGAGTATTGTGCTTGGAAGGCTTTGTTACGGGTTTTCCACATATGCATCCCATTTTAGTTATTTAATAGTCTGATGGAAATTTTATTCAAAAATCAAACAATCATTAATGACTAATAAACACTGCTCTCGTTCAGGCCATATTTCATAGACCCTTGGGAGTTCTGAGAGCGGGGCAAGCTGAGAGAAGCTTCGTTAAAATCTTCTTGGATGCTATCAAGCTTAAATCCTCGGGAAGGAAGCTTAGAAGCTCTGGAGGCAGGCTTGGTGTCGTTTTCAAGGTACTTGAAAAGGAGGTCGTCAAGCTTATTCAGCTCGTCTGAAGCTCCTGATTCGATCTTGTCAAGGGCGCTAAGTCTTTCTTCATTTTTCTTGTTAATATAGTCAAGTCCAAGACTTGAGTTTGCGGTCTGAAAAGCGTCCATTGAAATGTTGGCTGGGCCACCTTCTGGAAGTGAAGGGAAAAGGGTGTCAAGTTTGAGAGCTTTTATGTTGTCTGGCTGGGAGCCTGCTGGAGGGATGTTAGGCTTTGTGGGGAATTTTATGTCTGGGTTAGCCAGAGGAATAAACTTGCTGTCGCTGTTAAGACTTCTTGCTGCGTAGTCTAAAGATAGCGAAGCGTCTCCTTTTCCAATTGGAGGGTTCAAAGGTAGTGGCTGATATGGAGGAAGCCTTGTATTTGTATCTGGCTTAGGCAGTCTGTTATTTACAATCGCCATGTACAATTCTTTTTGTCTTATTTCTTCATCTAAGTGTCTTTGTTTCATCTCTTCTCTCATTCTATCAAGATCTCTCTGGGCCGCATATCTTTGTTCATTAGCAAGCTGAGCTTCACCTTTAAGTTTGACAATGGCATCTTTCAGCTCATTCTGCTGGTGGCCCATTTCATTCCTGATCTTCCATATTTCATTGTCCATCTGAGACTGCAGATGCTTTGTTACTTCAATTGGGACTTCGTTTGTGACTCTTTCTATCCTGATCTCTTCTTTTCTAATAGGAGGAGATTTCGGTGGAGATCTTGGAGGCTCTACAGGTGGCATATCAATTGGTGTCCTTACCCTTCTTTCTCTTTTAGGCGGGGCTGCAACGACTATATTCTGTGCATTCATGGCATTAAATTTTTCTAAATCTTGTAATTGTTTTTTCTTTTTTTCGCCTTCTCTTAAAAATTCCATTTCAAGCTCTCGACGCTGCTTTTCAAGGCGTTCTTCTTCAAGTCTTTCTTCCAAAATCTTTTGTCGCCTTTCTTCTTCTTTTTTGCGTCTTCTCTCTTCCATTTGTTCTTGAAGGGCTCTTCCAAGCTCAATTTTTTTGCCTTTTTCTGCTAGTTTTTCATATTCGACTTGAGATTCAACCATTATTGGGATTGTTGGGTTGGGCTGAGGGATGTCTATAGGCTGGGGAGGAGGATACATTGGTGGTGGAGGGACTTGTTGGAATGGCATACCTTGTGGAGGATAATCAGGAGGCATACTTGGGACTTGAGAAGCCATAGGAGAATATGATTGAGGTGGTGGAAATTTGGGCTGATACATGGGCTCTTGATAATAGTCACCTGGAGGAGGCATCCCTGATCGAGGATCATAATATTGATCTTGGTAAGGAGCTCTTGAATTCTGGTAATAAGGGTCAGTCATCAGCTGCGCTTGAGAAGCAGAAACTTGCATTTGGCCTCTTTGAGAAGGATCAGTTCCAGTCGCTCCAAGCTTTGTATAAAAATCAACAGGTTTCAAAAACTTAGGATCATTTTCATTATACTTAGGTGGCCTCACAGCTATAATATTCCCAGAAGAGTCTCTAAAAGGAGCTCCTGCCCCAGGCTTCCCAAAAGGGAAATAATCCGCTTGTTTTTCATCTCCTCCCCCTCCTCTATTCCTTTTTTTCTGAGTTTCCCTTTCCTGCATCTGCCTTTGCAACTCCATTTGGTATTGCTTTTTCCTATCAATTTCCATTTGCTGTTGTTCAGTTATTTGCATCATTGGGATTTGGCTTCTACTATGAGGTCGGTTTTTTTGGCTTGGGATATAACCTTCTTGTGAATAATCATCTTGTCTTCTGGATTTATTAGCAATATCATATTGTACCTGAGCTCGGTATTCTTCTTGCACTTTCCGGCGTCTTTCATCTGCTTCACTTATAGGATTCGTAAAAAAACTGTTGCCAGGGGGAGGCTGATTTCTAGACGCATTTTGTTGGGGAGATTGAAACTGATCGAAACTTTGACGGACTTGGGCTTGCATTGGAGGCAGTGGAGATGGATAGTCATAGCCTTGGGGGTTATAGCTTGGAGGCTCATTTATAGGAGCATATTGGGGGTCAGGAGGCGCTTGAAATTGTTGGGAGTTTTGAGGGAATTCTTTTGGGGGTGGAAAATTCATGAAAGAGTCTTGTTGAAGACTTAAAGGTTGAGGGGGGACGACAGAAGATGGAATTGAAGCAGAGTCTAGCCCTAGCTTTGCTTTCCTTCTTGCTTCCCATCTTTCATCTCGATTATTTCTTCCTTGTTGTGGAGGGTTAGAGAAATCTTGAAGCATTTAATTTATTTTATTATCTTGAAACTGATTCAAAAACATATAAAGTTTAGGATCTGCGTTTTGTTTCAAGGGAAAGGTTTAGCTTATTAGTACTTTTCGAGAAGCCATTGCAATTTCAGAAATACTATCTCCACCGGTAACTCCTCTTAACCTGCTCGCCATTTCGTGCACGACCTTACAAATAAACTCCTGCTGGGCAAGGGCTTGCACTCACTACCCAGTAGTTGGATAAATCGCGCCACCCTGTTGTACGTCAACAAAGTCTCCCGCCATGGAAAATTTAAAATTTGAATTTTCTTGTTGCTCTTAGCCAAAATGGAGGGTGCAACTTCTGGCTTCATGCTGATTAGCCAGGATGAACACTACTAGCTCTGCTTGGAGACCTTTTTCGACTTTCAGACCCATTTCCCTCTGATGCAAAAACCTTTATTTGGACTAAAGCTTGCGGTCTGCTAGCCTGAAATTGTGCTTCACCAAAACAGGAAAACCTGGTGGATACACATTCCCGAACACCAATCTCCTTTCTTGAGGTTCTACACGGCCTTTGGGCTGCCGCTACAGAATTTAAGAAGATGAATTGGCTTTCCCACCATTTTTATGTATATATTATGTCTCAAGGGAAAAGCAATTTAGCTGTTAAGAGTTTTCATCGGTTCGAAAAACCGTTTGAATTTATATTTAAATTTTATATCTGAATAAGAAATTTACTTTTCAGAATGATCTATACCTTTTAGCTTAAGTAGTCTACCTTTATTTATCTTTAATCTCAATTTCTTCAAGTTAATAAGAATCATGACAGTTTATAAAAAGAAAATCAAATAATAAAAAATGATTTTATATTTCAGCATTCTCGATTTCTTGCTCGATCTCATCAGTTTCTTGATTATTGATATCCTGTGCATTATTCGTATCTTGCACTTCATATCTTTCAGCTAAAACCAGCTCATTATTCTCAAATTTCACGAGAGCTGCCAACTTATCATAGTCTTCTCTCATCTTCATAAGTTTTCTTGCTTCTTTATATGAGATTTCAAGCGAGTATTTTTCAGGGTCTTCAATGTTGTAAGCCATGATCAATAAGGTCTTTTTATCAGTTCTAATTTCCACTATAAAGTACTTCTCCTGAATTATTAGCCCTTGTTTATATACCTGTGCTCTATGATCTTCCTGATAAATTGGGTCAAGCTTTCTTGCAGTTCTCCTTGAAAATGAGCCAGTTGAATTTAGCCTAGCACTTAAGTTCCTGATCGGCTTACCTTCAACTCCCAAAATATATGGGAACTCGCATATGTTATTCAGGATCTTCTCTGTTTCTTTTCTGTCGACCTCATATTTGTCAATTCTGTAGGTTGATTCTTTTTTTTGAATTCTTTTCAAGAGGCTTGCATTTTCTGCTATTATTTCTTGCATTCGCCTTTTCCTCAAATCACTGTTCAAGCTCTTTTTAGCGGAGTTTGATTTCGGGTTCTTATTAGTAGAATGGATCTTGTACATCTTTTCATAAAGAATTCGGTTTTCTCTCTCAATTTCTGTGAATTTTTCTAAATATCATATATTGTAATTGCCCAAGGATGGCGCTATCTTGCGTCATCCTCGGGCAATTTAAAAAATGGCCCCACACCGGAATTGAATCTACGTGTGGGGCCATTTTTGGTGCGTGGAAGTCGATGTTCTCCACACACCAAAAATGGCCTTATATGTGGGTTCAATTCCCGGTGTGGGGCCATTTTTGAATTGCCCGAGGATGGTGCAAGATAGCGCCATCCTCGGGCAATTACTATACCTTCTAAAAGCTGACTCTTCTTACTTTCTTGTTCCTTGAGTATACAAATCCTTCGAAAATCCTACTTTTTAGGGATAAAAAAACTCTATGGATAGCAAAATAATTTACAAAAATATTTTAATAAATAAATGAAACGTAATCGCTTCAATTAATATTTTAACATACATTTTATAATCCCCTTCAGCCAAAAAAATTGTTAGCTCATGAAAAAAGAAGTTAGTATTTTTACTAACATGCCTATAAGACGGAGGAGGAGTTGAGCTTAAAGAGGAAGTTGCATGCTTTAATTTTCATTCATGAATTTCCTGAGTCTTAAGTTTAAAACGTTTATCCACAACTTTGTTCCCAACCGGAAGAGCTCGATACATTTTCTCTTATGAATTATATAGTTAAGTAAAATAAGTAAAATTGTTAATAAAATGGACAGAGAAGAACCAAATACACATGACCAGATCCCAAGACCAAAGCCAAGACGAAACTATGGCTTTCTAAGGCAAAAAGATAAAGGTGCCAAGCCACAATCTGAGTTCATTAGAATGAACCAAAGTAACGCAAATCCCCTAAACTTGCCACCTGGTGCGCTTCCCTTATATTCGCTTGATGAAATACGTGAACACCGCAAGGTCGATGACTGCTGAATGGTATTTGAAAACAAAGTGTATGACATCACACAGTATATCCGTTACCACCCTGGAGGGAATAAAATAATGCAAGCTGCAGGAATGGATGGGACAAGGCTTTTCATGGAATACCATCCTTGGGTAAACTATTCCATTATACTTGGAAAATATCAAATCGGCTATTTACTGCGAAATTAAGCTTAAAACTTTATATATAGTTAATTTAAATAAATGAAAAGAGGAAACCCAGGAGCTCGTCAGGTTCCATCAAGATTTATGACCCACAACCCACGTCTTGAAAGAGAAACTAAAAAAAAAGAAGAGCAGCTAAACACTTCTCTTAACCGATCAAGAAACTCAAGAAACTCTAGTATGGAGCTTGATGAAAGCTTAAAGCTGCAATCGCGGCCTGCTGTAAGGACTATCAAGCATGAGCTGAAAAACTTGGATTTCCTTCAAACAATTCTGTATCAATGAGCCTATGCTCTCGGCCTTGCCCAACAATGCTATGATATTCAGTTCCTCAAAGCCTCAGACCAATTTTCTGACCGATGCCAGCAATTGGTAGAATTGAAGAAAACTGTGATGTCTCTTTCCTCAGATATAGCAGCGCGAGAAAAGACAAAGCTCCTAGATGATGTGCTATCAATGGAATATTCATCGTTAAAAGCTGTGGAAGATGATATCTTGATGACTTCAGCTTATTTGCAAGAATTAGAAAATGCTTCATATTTTACCTTGCATAAAATGAAACTAGGAGAAAATGTTATTGTAAGTCCTTCTGAACTGATAAATTGCCTGGAAAAGGCAAGTCTTACCTTAAAACAGATACAGACTCTTATTGATCCTGAAGCACAAGAAATAAAAAATCTAGGGATGGAAATCGAAGAGTTTCTAAATGTGGTAACTGAAGAACAAAAAGAAATAGAGAGAAATGAGCAGCTTGTGGCAGAGCTACAGAGGCTGTATGATAAAGAAAAAATAATAATTGCTGAGATGGCGATCGAGAAAAGGGAAATAGAGATTGATGAGCTGCTGTCTGGGTCTTTAATGTAATTTGCTTGAAATTTATTAAATTAACTTAACTAGTCATTTTTTTCTGAAGATTTGTCAGAAGGTTCCTTTTTCATTTTTCCGTTTTCCCATACTCCTTTTCTTCCTTTTCCTCTTTCGTTATAAAGAGTTCCTTGTCCATGCTGTTTTCCATTTAACCAATTTCCTTCATATTTTTTGCCATTTGGCCAGCCAAAAATGCCCCAGCCTTCTTTTTGGTCCATTACATATTGCCCGTCATAATATCTTCCATCAGACCATTTAAATATCCCTTTCCCATGCATTTTATTATTCTTCCAATCTCCTTCGTATTGTCTGTCGTTATTCCAAACATATTTTCCTTTTCCTTCAATTTCATTATTAGCAAACTCTCCTTCATAATGGCTTCCATCTGCCCAGGAAAATTTTCCAAATCCACTTTTTGATCCGTCCTTATAATTTCCTTCATATCTCGAGCCATCAACCCATGTCTCAATGCCAAAGCCTTGCTGCTTATTTGAAAATCATTCCCCTTCATATACATTTTTCATGGAATATATCATTTTCCCTTTACCTTGCATGAGCCCTTCTACCCAATCTCCTTCGTAGTAATCTCCAGTAGGAGAAATTTTTCTTCCTTTTCCATGAAATTTTCCAGCTTTCCAATATCCTTGATAGAAAGAGCCGTCATGCGAATACAAAGTTCCTTTACCGTGCTGTTGGTTTTCTCCGTTACATTCTCCTTCATAAATGCTTCCGTCAGGAATTTTAATTATTGTAATATTTCCAGGATTTTGTTCAGCACTATATTGGAAAGGTGGCAATGTTTCTAGGATTTCTTTTACTAGAGGACTAAGTAAATTTTTCGCATCTTCAATAGTAAATGGAGAATTCCAAATTTTTGCTGGCTCGGGTTTACTCGCCTTTGCTTTTAAATTTGTAGCATAAGATTTCCGAGCGAAATAGCCTCTGCATACAGATTGAATTCGAATGTTATTTCTTTTAGGAGGGATTTGAACTGGCTTTGGGAGCTGCACATCTTCAGGAGATATTGATTCTAGTTTGACGTTAGATGCATTAGTTCCAGATGGAACAGAAGAAGGAAGAGAATCTGGCAGAAGTTTCTGATTATTATTATTAGGAATTGAGTTGTCGAGGGTTACACTTCCGTCTTCTTTTTTGGAACCCATACAGTTGCAGGAGCCCATTTTATTTGAATTATAAGAGATGAACTAAAAAAATTTCATATTTCAATGAAAGGACAACTGAAGAACTAGCGATATAAGTGAATCAAAAGGCATTATTTTCCAATTTAGCAGCAAATTTATTTTTTTTCGAATAGCGAGTTAGAGTAGAAAAATCTCCATCTTGAATGATAGCAATATATCATTATCAATTCCAAAGAAAAAGGCGTAATAAATTTATTTTATATAAAATACTAGTTTTTATAGCAGATAAAATTTATATGCCTGAATAAAACATAGAAGTAATAAAGTTTTTTTCATTTAATAAGTAACGCTCAATTTGAATTACCTTGTCTTGGTAAAGAATTATTTATTAAATTGTAATCTTTAAATCTATGTTCCATTTTTAGATTTTGATTAGTCCATACATATAAAACCACTGAATATAATACCATTTTAAACGTTGTTTGAATTTTAAGTTTATTTAATTCATTTCTTTCTCTCCGCTATAAAATTAAATAATTGCGCGAAGTAAATTAAACCTGGGCAATTAGACGGTCAGATCGTTAGAAAATGTACTACACGATAATTCTGCCAGCTCAGAGTGCCCAAAATTATTTCCAAGTAAAGCAAGTATATATTTAATTTTTAGCTCGCAAATATTTCACTAATTGCATCCCGAATAATTCTAAAATTCATTTTGAATTCTTTTAGAATTATAGGCATCTAGCACATTATGAAAATATAAAATGACAAATTAAATAATTTGCTACACTCAAAAATAATTGATGGTGCATATATGCAACATAACCTGAAAGTTAATGGATAATAATAGTAATATTAAAATTATGAGTATCACTGTTTACTACACTCCTGAAGACTTCAATATCGACAAACTCAAAATTCTCTTCGAAAACGCTGAAGCGTATGAAATAAATACCATTGTAATCCCCAGTCAGGAAAAAATAGCAATTGTCAATTACAGGGATAAATCAGAGGCGGAAAAAATAATCCTTGAATTTGAAGGGAAAAGGTTTGGAGAAAATGATTTTAAAATAGAACTGACTGACAATTTTAGATCACTAAAAATACCACCAAGATCTCGATCAAGATCGCCTGTTTCTGATCATGATAAATGCACAGAGAATAATGCAAATATTTCTTTGGCTTATTCTCCAAACGTACAGAACAAAATAAGCGATGAAGAACGAGTTCTTAATGTACTAAATGCATGCCCAGACCCAACTGGATTTAGTTCTAGTTATGGCTGTGAAGAATCAGTAATAAGAATGTCAGGGGATTCTTTTATAGAACACACTGATAGCTTGAAAACCATCAATAAAATTACTAACTCTCTCCCTTCGTGAGCGACCAAAAAAATCTTGTTCGCTCACGGAGGGGGGTTAATTGTTTTTTAAAAAAATTTTCGAAATTTAAAAAAATCACACTTCTCAGAAATTGGAAGGAAATATTAATTTAATTTGTAAATTTATGTTTTTAAAAACGCAATTAAACAGAATTAGCTTTTTTGTTCACTCACAGAGGGTGGGTTTTTGGCTAAAATTTGGATTTTTCCAATGGTTTTGTTCGCTCATGGATGGGGAGGAGTAAGGCCAACCAAGAAATAATTAAAGATGAAAAATGCGTCGGCCATGCTTTTACCAATTTAAATGTAAACTCTACTGAGTACTCTTTACCCACTATAAATCCTGCAATCAGCGAAAGCAATTTTAATATCCAACTTCCCAGCATTTCAGATTTACAGCCACAAGAAAAAGTTTCCTATCCAATCACAAAAAAGCCAAAGCGACCTGCAGTTTTAGAAAATTTAAATATCAAAAGTGAAGTCATGAAATTTAAGCTTCCCATACTAGACGAATCAAAAAAGATTAAGCCTATGGAAGCAAAACCGAATGACAAAAGCAAAGCAAAGGAGCAAAAGAACCAAGAAAATCAGAGAAGACAATCTCAGAGACTAATAGAGAGGCAACAAAAAAGGGAGGACTATGAAGATGAAGATTTAGAAGATGAAGAAATTGAGTTAGAAAAATTCACTGCAGAGGATGGGAGTATATTTACTGTTATTTCCAGGAGCAGCTCGAAACATAGAAATGTTGAGTGTGGCACGTGTTTGAAAGTTATTCAACAAAAAACGATTTTGACCCATATAACTTCCAAAACTCACAAAGAAAAGATATTAGCTAATAACCCCTCTTCGGTTTAATGCATAAAAATATTTTAAACTAAAAGTATAAACTTTAAAGGTTTTGCGTTATTTTGACTAGTTGAGTATGTTTGTACAGAATTCCTGAAATAAAAAAATACTAATTAGTCTCAATTAATAATTGAGCGAAACACAGTCGTATATTAAGGAACGGGGATTAAAAAAAATTCTGTAAAACATTATAATAATTTGTTTTTTTATATAAAAATTCCCATACACAATATTTTATGTGCTAGAAAAAGGAGATAGAGTATGCAGTATATAGGAAAGAGACTAAAAATTGCATAGAAGGGGCTATAATACAATATGTCTAATATTCATTATTATCAAAAATAGATATATGAATTGCCCGAGGATGGCGCTATCTTGCGCCATCCTCGGGCAGTTGCAATAGCTAGATTTAGAAGGGCAGGGGAGTGGGTTTCATGCTTGACATAAGAAAATTGTTCAATCAAGGTTAATTTTCCCAATTTCTGGAAATTTTTTCAATGGAATCGTTCTAACTAAGGTGAGGAAGTAAGACTTAAAAAATAATGACATTACTTTTGTGGGATATTAGATCTTATTTACTTCTATGATAAAAATGATTGCTATTCCTTATGCATATAAAATGATTATTCTATACTTTTTCTCAACTCTATTACTCAAGTCCCATGCAATTCCTGATGGTCCGTTCACTGTTACATGCAAAACCTCTGAGGAGCAAAATCATTTTTGTTTAGAATATGATAAGAAAGAGAATGCCTATACTTTATCACCTTGTGCAAATGGCGAAACTTGTAAGAATATCTGAAGACTATGAACAATTGAGCCAAATATTAACAGCTATAGTGAAAAGTGTGCGGTTAAAAATGAGACTGATTCTATTATAGGAAGCAGTTTAAGTTCAGAAATCAGACTTTGCCAAAATAGCGAGTGCTCTTTCTGCGATAGCAACTTAACTTCAATAAACCTCACAGACTGCTGCAGAAAAAATAATTGTAATGGAAAAGGCAATTCAACACTCAAATGTAAGGCTGACAATGACTGTAATGCTGGATTTTATTGTGATGACACTTATCAGTGCCAAGAAGCCATAAAAGATGGAGCGCAATGCTCAAAGGATGAAGAATGCAAGATTGGTAGCGGCTGTAACTATGGTATTTGCACAAAATTGTTTAGTCTTAATATAGGAAAATTAGCACAGAAAAACAAGTTCTGTAAATCAAATTGGGCTCTTAATGGATTTTGTGATGGGCTTTATTTAGAAGTGAATGGTATGGTAAAAAAAGATAGAGATTACACATGCAGTAATGAAAATCTTTGTGCTTTCAAGCTGCAAACTACTGGAGAATTCAATTCTGTATATAACTGCTCCGGACCTTCTAAAAGTCGTACAGGACTTTGCAATATGAGTCTTACTCGGATAAAAGATGAGATAGGCGGATTATTTGAGTCTTTACAATACAGAAGCTCAGATTGTTCTAGTGCTTCTGCTCATAGTGATAATATTGAGGAATTATTTAAGTGTGGATCGATCACTAGTGCTCAATATTACAATTTTAAGCGCAAGTACTATTGGATGCTATTTAACACGCTCAATTTTACTGCCAATGTTGCTGGAGATGAGAATTGTGCCAATATTAAATGACTAACTGAATACAGCGGGAACTGGACAAGCTATCAAAATAGCTTAGGCTCATTACGAATCTTTTCTTTCGTGTTTTCTTTAATTGCAGTATTTTTATAAATAAGGTCAGCATTTTTATTTAATTAACCTTGCCTACTATAATAAATAGTAAAATTATTTAATATGAATTTTAAATAAGAAACTAATTCAATTACTCAAAGCAAAGATTCAGCATTTTAAAATAGCTAATCATTGATTTGTCTTAATTTTCTATTTAAATCTGCACTTTATAAAGTCTATCTGATGGAATTTTAAGCGTAATTATTTATCTTATTGCAAGAGTAAGTGATAAAAGATAAGTTTTTAATATAGTGTCATAATGAAATTACAAGGATTTTACTCGGTTGTTAGTTTTACATTAACAGTTTCTAGTCGCCTATGAGTCTCAATTTTGAAATTCTCAACTTTTATCCACTCATCAGACGGGTTTTCTCCTTTGCCTTTGCACAAGGCATCAAGCAAAGTTGTTGCTTCTAGATACTTTTCCTTACTTTTAGGGTAGTCCTTCAAATACTCATCTTTTGCGCCTTCTTTGCATAAACTAATCGCATAGTTATAGATCAAGCTGTCTCCAAGTCCCTGAGTTCCTATTGAATCTATTGTGGTAAGCTTTTGCGGATCACTTATAGCAAGTAGCTTGTCAACTTCTTTGCATAAATCTTCAGCCTTATCTTGATTCTGCATAAACATTGTTTTCACCCTTTCAAAAAGCTCATAAAACGCTGGATACAATTCTTGATTTAGCGCATGTTTATCAATCATTTGCTGACAATACTCTAACGAATTTTCTAGTACCATCATAGCCTTCACATAAACTGCAAAACTCCCTATAATTTCATTATTCGCCTTTATCCTTTCAGCTAACTTTATTATCGTCATAGCAGTCTCAATTTGTTTCTCGACCACTGCAACCACTTCTGTCAAATTCACTGCTGGATGGTTATTTTTGGCAAGGAATACAAAATCTGTGCAGGACTCTTCATTTGAAAGCAATACAAAATCATCTGATTTTGAAGATTCTGAGTTTTCCTCTTTAGGAAGCTGCAAATTATTAGTATCAGATGATATCATAGAATCAGAAGAGCCTTTAGAGGCCTTAATTGAATACTCATCTTCTTTTGGAGGAAGAATAAAAGGGTGCTCAAACAGCTCTTCAAAAGAAATTCTGGTTTTTGGATCATAAGACAGCATTCTGGTTAGCAGATCTTGACAGAGTGGCGATAAATTAGCAGGCAAAGATTTCAGCTTTTTTTGGGCATGCGGGATTTCTTCCCTTCTCTTTGCATTAAATGGGGCTTCCCCAGTAAGAATTTCATAAAAAACGACTCCTAAGCTCCAAATATCAGCTTTTGCGTCATACCCTTCTTTCCACCGAAACATCTCAGGCGCCATATAAAGTGGAGTCCCTAGCCAAGATTGAGCTAGGTCATCATCAAGAAATCGTGACATTCCGAAGTCAGCCAATTTCAAAGTTGCAGAGGTAGATGCTTCAGTTAGCAAAATATTTTGAAGCTTCATATCACGGTGAATTATATTCTTCGCCCGCAGAGCTTTGAAGCCTTCTATTATATGCTGCATCCACCTTCTTGCGATTGACTCCTCAACTGGTCCATTTTGTGTGATGAATTGTCCTAAATCACCTCCAGAGCAATATTCAAGGATTAGGTAGAAGTTGTTGTCAGTTTTCTGGACGTCTATGAGTTTGACGACGTATTCGCTATCTACTGACCTTTGACACACGATTTCTTGTTCCAACCTATTTTGTTGATCAGCTCTAAGCCCTTGTCTGCTGATCATTTTGATAGCGATTTTGTTCTTTGATGGAATATGCTTGCCTAAATATACAGTTCCAAATGTACCTTTTCCTAGTTTTGACTTCAACTCATATTGCCCGACTCTTTTTCCCATAATTATAAGAATTAATTTGTGTGACACTTACCTTTATATAATGGATTTTTAAATATTCAGCTATATACAGTTTTGATTGATAAAATAACGAAATTATATAAAAATTGTTCAAAGCTGATTAAAATAATTACAAGTTATTAAGTCCCCAATGCGCCAATCGAGGAAGATCTGTCCATCTGTGGTCTATGCTTTTGGAGTTCAAAATGACAACGACAACTTGTTTGCCTTTACTCTTCAAGCTTGCACAAAGACAAGGTCCAGCCATAGGAGTCACCCCAGTTTTAACTCCTACAAATCCTTCAGAGAGCAGCTTATTAGTGTTTTGTCACCAAGTAGTTCTATAAGAATATCCACTTGGCTGAACAACATAGCATGTATGATACTCTGCACAGCAAATCATCTGAAATAGTTCGTTTTCAAGGGCTGTTGCAGCAAGTTTGCATACGTCAGTTGCTGTGGATTTATTTTTAGGCATGCTCATACCATGTGGGTTATTAAAAAACGTGCTGTTTAGGCCAAGTTCTTTAGCTGTTTGGTTCATTTCTCGTACAAAATATTTTATAGGTTCTTTACATTTGCCTTCAATTCCAGATATTTTTGCAATGATCTTTCCAAAATGTTCAGCTAAACACACTGCGGCATCATTCCCACTTGGCAGCATTAAGCCATGTAATAAATCCCAAATTTGGATCTCTTCCCCTTCTTTAAGTCTTGCACTAGTTCCACAGGTTTCTGCAGCATTTCTGCTTACTTTAACTAAAGATTCAAGAGATATATGATAATTTTCAGCCACATTGAGCACTACATAACAGGTCATAATTTTTGTGAGGCTTGCGATTTCCCTTGGTTGTTGCTCTCGGAAACCACCGACTAATTTCCCTGATTTTATATTCTTTTTTATGATAATTATTCACTTTTTTTTATTTTAAGAAAAAAATGTGAATTTAATAGATAAAAAATATCTAAAACTGCCCAGCTTTGAGCTGAGACATGGGGAGGGCTTGAGCTTGAGGCTGTATGAGAACTAGAGCGGATTTTTCGAGACTTGTCAGAGTAGTCAGTTGAGGTTGAAGAGGAGCAGTCAGATGAATGGTTACTAAAATGAAGGGCCGGCGCAAAGGTAGTGCCTTGTTGTGAAGCTGGAATTTTAAATAGTAGTGATCTGATTACATTTCGTCGGTTTAAAGAAGGAAGAGACCTTGGATTTGGCTGATCGCCCATTAATTATAAGGAAGATTTAAAGAAATTTAAAAATTTAAAAAGTCGTCCTAGAAAATTTATAAAAAGGTTTGGCATAAGATATAAGTAATTTGGGTTCTCAAAATTGTAAAAATCGTCATAAAATATTTTTTAAAATCCAGCTATCCTTAATATTTAAATGATGTAATTAATCTAATGCCATTTTACCAGTCAGAATATAGTTTGAAGAGCTTAAAAGTGGTTACTATTAATATTAGAGCTGCAAATTGTGTTGATTTTTAATTTTAAAATACTATACACTTTACACAATATCCTCTTCTCCCATTAACCATGGATTCTGATTCTTTTGCTTTTATCAGCTCTTTCTTTGATTGTTGATTTGGGGGAACTTCATTCATTGTTTTGCTAGGAATTTGAGCTATAATTTCATTATTAACAAAGACTGGTTCCTCCTCTGAGCTTGAACTCTCTGATTCACTATCTTTATCACAATAGTCATCAGAGAATCCTCTTAATTTTCCTTTCTGGGGTTTTAGTTCCATGTCTTTAGCATTACCTTTTAGTGCTGGAGAATGCTTATTTTCCTTATCGGCTGACTCAATTAATTCAAATTTAGGATCGTGCTTATAGTCCATTGGGCCAAGCAAGATTTCTTTAAATGGGCTATTGCTGAATGAAGAAATGTCGATTTTCCTATAGTCATAATCCTCATCAACTTCATTCATAATGTCGTCTATCGAGTAGTTTAATTCTTCATTCTCCTCAAAAGTTTCATTTTCGTTAAATTTTGCGTCTTCGGAAACGAATAAATCAATCTTATCGTTTTGATTGCTAATAGTGCCTTCTATTTCTTGAGGAATTTCTTGATTAGCATTTCTTATGTCTTTTTTTTCGGCTTCTTTGACTTCAATGGGGAAATTTTCATTATTTACCTCTTTTTTCTCTTCATTTTTTGCTCCTTTTCTCTCGCCATTTATCGCTTCTTTTTTCTCTTGCATTTCCATATTTTTCTTCTCTTCTTCTTTCGCTTTCTTTTCCTTATTTTTTCTCTCTACTTTTTTCTCTTCTATTTTATTTTCATTTCTCTCGTCCATTTCCCTGTCTTCTTTTCTTGCTTCCTTTCTTTTATTGCTTTTGGGTGCTTTTTCTTCCTTTATTAATTCTTCTATTTTATCTTCTTTTTTCTCTTCACTTTTTTCTTTATATTTTTCTTCACTTTTTTCTTTATATTTTTCTTCATTTTTCTCTTTGAGTTTCTGGTCTTTTTTCTCTTCTGTGATTTCTTCTTTTTTCTCTTCTTTTTTCTCCTCTCTTTTCTCTTCACTTTTCACTTCTTTATTTTCTTCTTTTGTCTCCTCTTTTATCTCCTCTTTTATTTGTTCTTTTTCCTCTACCTTTCTCTCTTCTTTTTTCTCTGCTTTTTTCTCTTCTATTTTCTCTTCATTTTTCTCTTGTTTTCGTATTTCTTGAATTTCTTCGCTTTTTCCTTTTTTTCCCTGAATCGGTTCAGTTTTTTCTTCAGCCTCTTCATTCTCCTCTTTAATTTCAGTAATTATTTGACTCAAACTGAGAGGAGCGCTATATATTGCTTCTCTTCTATTATAATCGTCATCTTTTTGCCCACCTGAAATCGTAGACCTAATTAATTTTCTCTTTTGAGCTTTAGGAGATCCATAAACTAAAAAGTCACTATCAAGATCATTCAACTTCATATCTCCTACAGAAAAACTCTGAGCTGTCTGTTTTCTCACAAGTGTCAAGTCTATACTGACAAGCAGAGATGCTTGTTTATCCTCAGACCCTTTTATTTGAACTACCTGATTAACCATGGCTTCTCCATTTTGAGCAACTTTAGAAAATTCTAATTCTCCTTTTCCAATTTTTGAAGGCTTTTTTCCTGTTACTTTCAATACCACAAATTCCACAATTTTCGGCATGAATTTTGAATCTTTCTGGTACATTGATATGCATATTTGCGATGATTAGCCGTCTAAGAAGCATTTTTGTTAACCAGATATCTACTGACTTGCCAAATAGTTTAGCAAAGTCATATTTTGGTATTCCTTAATGGGCATTCATTGTAAATATATATACTTCAATAGCCAATGAGGACTCAAATATCAAAGGCCCTGCAGATTTTTCATAGAGCACTGGTTCACTTTCTATAAGTTTTTTCCTTCGTTTTAGAGCAATTTTAATCTCCCCAGGCTCTTTTAAATTTATTGTAAGGCTATGGATTTGGACCCTGAGCAAATATTTTATCTTTGTTGATCCAATTCTTTTGATTTGCTTCATATTATGTTAGCTGAAATAATAAGGTTAATAGAATCTCGTATACAACTAGATGAAGGACAGAGAGGAATAAGAGCATTAATACAGCCGAATTCAGCGTTATTTTCAGCTGCCAGAGAGCTTTCAGGCCTGAAAAGTATAGGGATTCTGACTGGGTTCCCATGCATTCAGAATAATAATCCTCCAATTGAAAATGATGGGATTGGAGGAACTCTAGCCATTGCAAGAGCTATTGAAAGTTGTGGAGGACACTCAACAATTCTTATTGATTCTCCATATGTAGAGGTAATCAAAAACTTATCTGATTGGCACAATCTACAATATGGGTCTCATATAAATGTGTCTTCAAGCAGAAACTTAGAGTTTGATGGGATTGTTTCTATAGAGAGATCAGGAAGAGCTAAAGATGGGAACTATTATACAATGAGAGGGAGAAATATTTCAAATCTCTTAGAACCACTTGATGTAATTTATATGGAAGATAAAGACATTGGAGTCAAAGTTGGGATTGGGGATGGCGGAAATGAAGCTGGGATGGGGAATTTGATTGGACTGGTGGAAAGATATATACCAAATGGGGAACTAATTGCTTGCAATGTTAGGTGCCATCATCCAATAGTTTCGTCTGTTTCTACATGGGGTGGCTATGGCTTAGCTTTTGCGATGTGCTTATGCAAGAATGTTCCAGCTGTTGTTAATAATGCTCAAGAGAGACAAATAGCAGAAAAAATATGTGAACTTAATATAAGAGATGGAGTTACAGGTTTGCCGACAGTTTCAATAGACGGACTAGACTGGTCAGTTACTGATAATATTATCACTGATCTATCAAGGCTTGCTAATTCTTACTCCGCACAGTTATGGAGTGTGGATCATATTACTATTTTAAAATAAAAAATATCAACTATTTTTATTGTCATAATTTTTTATAGAATAATTTAGGAAAATAAACTTAAGATTATTGAAAAAATAAATTATGCATCCTTCTGACTAGCAAAATGATTTTCGTATGCTAAATCATGGTTTTACATATGCAAGATATTTTTATTTCGCCAAAGAAAATACTGAACTTTTACAAAAGGATTACGATCTTCTTTAAAGCATAAGCTTCTTAAAATCGGCCTTATCCATTTTAATCTGTTTGATATAAAGACAAAATGGGGCTTCTCACAATCTTAAAGAAAACAAAGGAAAAAGAAAGAGAAGTCCGTCTTCTTATGCTAGGCCTTGACAATGCAGGAAAAACTACGATTTTAAAAAAATATAATGGTGAAGACATAAGTTCTATCAGTCCAACTTTAGGGTTCAATATAAAAACATTGGAATATCAGGGCTACAAGCTTAATGTCTGGGATGTTGGCGGGCAAACAATTAGGATAAGATTATTATTAAAAGAATCGACATCCTTGTTCTCGTTACACCAAAAGAAAGCCTTCAGAGAACCTCCTGATTGTCAACATTTTCGTCAGAGATGGCGAGATGGCTCCAGCCTTTGGCATGATTCCTGATGCTGTCTCGGAACTTTGGAGAACATTGTTTATGAATTTAGTCTGCTGCTTCTATAACTGGAGCCTCAACTTGAGATAAACTCTTAGCTAGTATCAGTACCAACTATGCATTCGTCGTCAGCACTAGTGCCTCCAGGAGCAAAAGCCTTCCTTCTCAGATATTCATCGGGAGAAAAAGTTTTCTTATTGCTGTACGACAGAAGCAAAGCCAGATACACAAATCCCCAGTACCCATAAATTTCGTTTCACCGCTCATTATGTCACAACAAGATCCCCAACTATGAATAGGTCCAGAAGAGGATAAATCGGTGACATCGCAAATTATTTTTATGCGAGGCAGACAAACAACAATTCGTTCTTATTGGCGAAACTATTTCGAGCAAACAGATGGTCTCGTATGAGTAGTAGATTCAGGAGATAAGATCAGGCTTGGAGATTGCAAAAAAGAATTGCACCAGCTTCTGCTACAAGAAAGACTGGCAGGAGCTTCATTGCTTGTCTTTTGCAACAAGCAAGATCTTCAAGGTGCTTTAACAATGGAAGAAATAAAAGAGTTTCTAGAACTTGATAACTTTCAAACTCGACATTGGGCGGTAGCCCCATGTAGTGCTGTTACCGGAGAAGGTCTGATTAGCGGGATCGAATGGATTGTGGGAGATATTGCATCAAGAATCTTTACAATGGACTAATAGTTCATTATTTACTAATCATCTAACATTAAAAACAAAAAAATCTAGTTCTACAGCACCCTATTAATTCGTTTTCGCCTTCGTATTTGATTTCCATCTCTCCTTCTTCTCCAAATCTGGACACAAAAATATCGCCGTAGAGCTGAGCAGACCCGAAGTTTGGGAAATCGTCTTTTTGGTAGAAATGAGGACTGAATAGGACATGAGAAGGACTCTCAACTTTCATATGTGTAGATTTTATTGAAATTATGCTCATGTCGCTAGAGTTGATTCTATCTTTGTTATAATAATGCAATGGATTCGGATGAAAAGTAATTGGCTTCGCGAATTCCTTTTCCCTCACACTAATTTTATTATTATAGGGTTTAGGTTTTTGAACGTGGACTTATGCATCGATGAGAAAATGGTGAGGAATTTTATACTTGCCCAATTTTTGTATCGTGTTTTATCTCTTTCACTACTGAGATATTTAGGCTTAACAGGTGATGGAGGAAAGTCGGATAGAAGCCCAACATGAGCTCGAGAGTAGTGATAAGATGGGGGAAAAAATAATTGCGACGCTGCGCATCTAGAGACCCAATTATAAATTTGAGAAATTAAGTTAACTTGTTTGCTTGATTCTATCTTTGTCTTCTTAACTTAAATTAACTTAATTATTTATATTTCGCATCCTTTAATGTCAACTACCAAATCACCTGTGTGGCTTCTCTGTTTCCAATACCCGCCGACCTGCGATACACCCCTGGTCTTGCTGAATAGTCCCTTAGCTTCAGGCTCTTTGTCTTCTTCAATTCTTATAGATTTTTGAAGCTTTTCCTTTAACTCTTTTATTTTCTCTTGTACTGTTTGCATTTTTCCATCAGTCTCTGCAATTGCTGACATTTGAATTTTAATTTTCCCTTCTAGGTCAGGAATTTTCTTTTTAGAAGCTAGCAAAGTTTCTTGTTTGAGCTTGAATTCTACCACAAACCCAATTCACTCAGCTAGAATTCCTGCGCCTTTACTTATTTGAGATACTTTGCTAAGGATAGTCTCTTGGGTCTTTCACATTGGCAATATTTCATTCAACTGTTCTTCAGAGATTAGTTCTGGAGATATATTTATCATTAAATTCGAAAAATTTGTAAAGTTTTTTGCTAGACTCTAATATAAGAAATACTTTAAAGCTTCTTCAAGACCGCTCTTTTCTATTAAATATCACCAGCATTTTTTCACTTAAATTAACAATAGCGGAGGATGGGTTTTTTAGCCTGATCAGCTCACTGCATAAATCTTTGTTAAAAGAAAGTGAAGTTTTTTTGAGTCCTTCTATAGCCCTTTCTGTCTCTTGGATAAAAAAGTCAATTTGCTGCTTTGTGAGAAGCAATTGAGAGGTAAGTCTTTCTAAGCGCTCTTTTTCAGCTTTAAGAAGCTTTTCTTTGTATGTAAATTCGTTTTCTAGCTACGTAAATAGTACTCTACGGAGCTCTTTTCGGAGAAGAGCTATAGCATTGCATTCAAATTGGGACTGCTCCATATTGTCAATTACATTTCATTTGAATGCTGATATTTTATTTATTAAAACAATTTATATTCTGGATAATTGATGATTAAGCACAAAGGTTTTCTTATGAAACAAGTGCATTAGATAATATTGTCTCAATTGATTCTAAAAATGTATTTATGCATTTTACCTTAATTATTGATCCCATTATGATAACAGGTTAGAATTTATTACGTCATAATTTTGCCCTGCTTAATAATTGAGATAATTTTAAAAAGAATATTCCTATTCATAGATACTGAAAATTAAAAATAATTTTAAAGAAGATATAATCACAGATCGAAATCAAAGCAGTAATTTTAAGAAATAAACATTTTTTTGATATGGTTTCTAGCGATGAGAATGAAAAGATAGAAGAAAGCAAAGAAGCGCATCCATCAATAAGCAGCACTCCCAACTCAAAGCGAAGCAAATGGGCATTACTTAGAAATGTTCTAAAAGCAATTACTCTTCTCAAAGTTCATGATGCCGACCCTGCTGTAGAAGTCAACGAAATCCTAGTCAAAATCCAACAAATCCCTACAGACAAAGCTTACAGGATGAAAGAGAAGTCCAGAAAAGACTCATCCCCATATAGTATTGCACTAAGTGATTTAAGAAGGGAACAGACTTTGTTTAGATGCGCAGAACAAGGCCGTGGAGAAGATCTGCAAAGGCTCGTTTGGGAAATAGACAATAACCCTTATCGATATTTAGTACCAGCAACTCATCCTCAATCATTCTTAAATAAACGAAACGGGGAAGGGAAAACTGCTCTTTATGTTGCCTGCAAAAATGGGAATTTAGAAGTCGTAAAAATCTTGATTGAGAAAGGAGCTGTCCATCAAATTACTTCTGTTATTGAAAAAGAAGAAGAAACTTGCTTGGAGGTTGCAGTGAGATGGGGACATAAAAAAATCGTTGAGTTCTTATTAGAGAGCTGTAAATGATCATCATCGGAACTGCAAAAATCATTGAAAGTCTGCAGACATAAAGATCTTGAAATTTTACTTAAGAAAAATCTGAAAACTAAAAATAAAGGATGTCAGTGCTATATATGATAGAGCTATTCAGCTCAATAAAGCAATTACATCAAAAAATTAAGATGTAATTAATTTATGTTTGATTTAAGAAAGTTTTTCGTAATTTTAGTCAATTTAAACTTTTCATAATTTTTAAAAAGATATATTTTTGAAAATCTATGTTATACATTCTGGGGTTTGATTTCTTTAATAATTAATTAAGCTAATTGATTATTTCATAAAATTGCATATGATTGAAAAAGATTAACGAAAGACCAAATGAATTTATGGATTATTATATTACATTAATGGTATCACTTACAAACGAAGAGGTCCGAAATAACCCAAGTATTTTAAGTTTATACGTCCCTAAAGCTGTTGCCTCACCACCCATCCTTTCCGATTTGCTCAGCCTGAGTTGGCTGCCCCTTTCCTCTGAGAATCCTCATCTCTTACATGATCTAATATCATTGACTAAGTTCATCCTCTCTACAAGCAACCCTACACACATACGCTCCCTCCTTTCAACCCTCCTGATCAGCCTCGTCGAGTAACTCCTATTTAGTCCCTCATTTGAGAAGCCCAAAGGAATTCTGAAGCTGAAAAATAAAATATTTTCTTCAGCCAATGAACTCAAGTTTTACATCGTCGGCATCCTTAAATCCCATGGCTTAAATGAAAAAATCACTGGTGAGACTGTGGGATTCAATGATTTCTCCTTTTTGGGACTATTTCGCCGAAATTTTTACTTTAATATGCTCAGAAAAAAATCTTATTTTTCGACCAATGTCTTTCGGTAAAAAAATAGGGAAAAAAATAGTGCCATGAGACTGAAGAGCTGATCAAAGCTCTTTTTCACTACCATCCTTCAAGCAAAGACAAGTTTGAAAACATACAAAGCATAAGCATTGGTGTACATAAAGAAGAAAACAGAGAAAACAGGTGCTTTGTTATACACACAGAAGGCTCAGAAGCAAAAATTTCCTACGTTAAAGCTATTGCTGGATTTGTTCAATGCATGGACCAGCAAGCTGAACAGGAAGTGCTTAATAATATTTATAAAGTCGCTGATAAAGTTATTGAACTGATTGCGTCATCAGTAGAAAAAAACCCTGTGCTTCTGCCTTTTGTTAAGTCAAAAATTAATGATGCATTTCCACACAGACGAATGGACATTGCAATCCAAAAATTTTTCTTACCCCTTTAAATTGAAACAAACTACTTTTTAGATGCTTTAACTGGGCGATTTTTTTTTCCAATCGGAAAAATTTTTATAACTCCCCCCCCCCCCCCTCCGTGAGCGAACAAAACCATTAGAAAAATCACCATTTTTTGACCAAAAACCCACCCTCCGTGAGCGAACAAAAATTTTTTTAATAGAAAAAATTTTAATGGAAAAAAATTTTGATATATAAGTGATAATTAGTATAATGAAATCTAGAGCTAATTCTGTTTAATTTTAAACAAATTGCGTTTTAAAACATAAATTTTGCAAATTAAATTAATATTTGCTTCCCAATTTTTGCAAATTAGGATTTTTTTTAAATTTCGAAAAAAATATTTTTTATAAAATTTTATATATAAATTTTTTTTAAAAAAAAAAATTAACCCCCCTCCGTGAGTGAACAAAATTTTTTTGTTCGCTCACGGAGGGGGGGGGGAGTAAGTGAAAATATTAATTTTTATATAAAATTAGTTTTGATAAAATTTAATGGGAAAAGTACTAGTAGAATATTATTTAAAAAGTTTTCACAGTGAATCGATTAATTTTTTAAATTAATTCTTTATAAAAATAAATCAAAACTAAAGATTACCCATAGTTATATTTTTTTAATATTTTATCAGAAAGAAAATTCAATATAAAATTCTTTTAAAAAAATAACACCCTTTAAATTGGACGAGATTTTTGTCCAATTTAAAGGGGAAATTAACTCGCCAGTTTAAATTGGAACAAAGATATTTGCGCCAATTTAAAAGGGGGCTAGTTTTTTTAAAAATGATTATTGCAATAAAGATTTCATTCATAAAATTTATCATTTCAGAGTGCCAACTGTTTAAATAGCATTCTTCGATCACTCTCTCTATTAAATTCGTTCAAAATTATTCATAGCAATTATTATATTCATATATAAAATTTGTGATTAAAAATAGATTTTATTCTAATTAATTTACCAAAGAAATGGAAACTTTACAATATTTCTTCAAAATTTAAGTGGGGAGTAAGAAATATCCTTATTTTATCACAAAAGTGCAAAGTGCTTGAAGACTTCATTTTACACAAAATAATTGAGAAGCTCATTGAAATAGAAGTTGAAGGCAGCTATGAGAAACTTGATGTTTTACTGCTAGTTCTGTTAGAGCACCTTCAAGCAAGTGTTAATGACTCTCTGTATAATTCTCTCATAAAGATTTTTGAGGAACTTATACTGCCAACATACCAAGTGAAGTATATTCTGCTCATAATTCTCAACATTTGCCAGGCTGGCAAAGAAGATTATGCAGAGGTTTTCCTTAATCGCTTGGTCATATTATTTTATAATTGAATAATTATTCAATTTTTAGATTAATTATATTGAAAAACATAATTAAATAAATTTATTATTTCGTAAAAAATTAAAAGAATGCTTCTCTAATTTCACTTATTTTCTTAAATTTTAGTACGAAGATTTAGCATGCTAATAAAAAAGATTTTCGCAAATGAATTTGTTGAGTCTTCCTCAGCTTGCCTTGTTTCTTTCCTCGCAGAGTATTCCGAACAAATTTTGCCTTGTGCAACATACCTTATTTATTACTGCCTTCGAGCAGTCAAAAAAAGATCAAGCTGCAAGAACTGCTTTATTGTCTTAAAATACCTTCTCTACCTATTTGCTATCAAGCCTGAAGTCTTAGACGACGAAGAGCTCTTACACAAATTCAAAAAGCTCATCCGACATAAAGCAAAGCCTCTGAAATACACAGCATTGCTTGAGCAAGTGAGCTACCAGCGCGTTTTCGAAATCGTGGGAATTGAAGAGAGGATTTGCTCTGACAATTTCCACCTGCCGTTTAAGTACGACCTGAGGGACCTGAAAGGAGTTGCTGAGTACATGGGAAAGACTCAAGCTTCCTGGTTCAGGAAAAAGAGGAGAAGAGGACTGAGTTTTGATGATGGGAATGAGAGGTACTTGAAACAACGAGGCTTTTCATTTGATGAGACGAAGCTTATGGAAGTAAGTGACAATGTGAGTAGCTCTGAAACGAATGTGCCATATAATTAATGGTAACTTCTTATCAAATCTCTGAGGCTTACCACTGAAACTTATCTTCGTCCGTCTGAGGATTTTGGAACTGTTTGTAAGTGCATGCTGGAATTTGTATAAATCTTGTATATTAATAAAATGGTATTCGAGAGAAATTAGTTCTGATAATTTTCTTCCTCATAGAATTTATTTATGCGGTTTGGTTTCCTCTCTCAAAATTTCTGGTCAAGATGGCTGGCGGTTTATTTAGGGAAGTCGAATTTTGGATCAGAAATGCTCGTGATGTCACCATTTTGCTCTATCTCTTAGTGAGAGTGTGGCTTTAGAAACCTTAAAAACCTTAATTAATGCAATGTATATAAATCTTGCATATAATTATAAAATGGTAAAGAGAAAGCAATCAAAAGCTCTGCCTGGGAAAAGGTTTTGCAAGCAGTGCGAACAAATGATACCGATACACAGCCGAGTTTGCCAATTTTGTAATGCGCCTCAATATACGATTCAGCAGATTGCAAAAGAATACAAGAAGAGACTGAAAGCAATAACAGATGATGATGATGTCTTAGACAAATATAAAAATTTGTTTACCAAGGATAATCCTTTTATTACTGAACTCAAAGACCAAACTATGTATTTTGAAGATTTACCGAAAGAAATTGCTGTAGGGAACGAGATTGAAGTTCTAGTTAATGGAACTTCCAAACATATTGGGTATTTGGAAGCTGAAAAAATTGATAAAATTTCAGTAATTAATGCAGGAGGGGATACAGTCTCTCTGGCTTGGGCATTTAGAAGTGATGATGCTCAATATCTGGCGATCTCAACATTACCATATGGAGAAAAGCTATATTATGGACATGTTTACCAAGGTTATGGGATCATCCAAATTTGGAAAATTGCAGAAAGCCCAAGTTTCAGCTATGGAATTGTACATTATGGAAAAGCAGCTCTTGATATGAAATGGCTGCCAGCTTATAATACAGCAAGCGATATTATTGGCACACTTGCTGTAGCACTTGCCAATGGAGAAATTCATATCTATAATCCAATTATTGTAGACTCACAGACAAAAGCACTCAATATAGCTCCAATAGAAACTTTTTCTATTCCAGAATTAGTCTTTTCCTGCATTGTCTGGATTGACCCAGTAAATTCCCTAGCTGCAGGAACCCAAGATGGCTCAATCTTCATTTTCCGGTCATGCTCCTCAAAGCCAGTTCTTTCAATCTTTTCAGCCCATAAGCTGCCGATTTCTTCAATAAATTGGTGTAATTCAAGCTCTTGCATTGCTTCTTGTTCTCTTGATGGCCTTCTGAAGTTATGGGATAGATTAGATTTAAGCTCTCTTTTCCTCGACAAAACCTGCATACTCATCGTCCCAGAGATACACTGTAGACACGCTTCCTCGCCGCTGCAGACAAGGAATTCGCACGAGCGATCTTGACTTCCATGACTCCTGAAGCCTAGGTACTCACCCCTTGGTCGAAACTCCAAGTTTCTCGATAGGCAGATGTCGCCTCTTGAGCCCAGTTCGATGGATTTATCGTTCTTTGTTGGTCTTGCCCTTTCCAATGATAGTCTCGGGGCAAAAACTCAAAGCTCCAATGATTAGCTTCCTGGGGCCTGAGTAAAACCTAGCCCGATGCACATAAAAGATTTCCGAGACCTTTCTGTCCTTCCCCTTCACACTGTGCCGTTGCCTGCATGTGTTGAAGAAAAAGGGTCAGGAGATCGGGTGGTCTGTAGTCACATTTTATGTATTGAAGTTATGGGATATAAAGAAGGAAAAGTCTTAGACGAGATCTGCTCAAGCAAGCGGTGGAGCTATCACCTTTGCTCGAATCCTCTGGGTACTTATTTATTTTTTGACAATGATGGAGCCATAAGTCCTCATAAAGTTGTGAAGCTTGAAGGAAGAAAAATAAAAAACAAAAAATATGTTAATTTGTCATCTGAAGCTACCCTTAGTACTTGTTTTTCACCTGTCAGTAGCTATGCTTATATTGCTTCAGTTGATGGATTTATTGCAGGAATATTTTTATCAGAATTAGAGAAAAGTTTTAAGAAGAGGAAAAGCCCATGGAGCAGGCATTGCAAAATAGTTAGCCAAAGTATTGGAGACGTCATTACAATTGAGTCTTCAAAGCATCAGTCGTCTCTAGAAAAGACTCCTAAAAAGTCCCTCTGTGACTTTGCAAGCGCAATCACACACATAGAGTTGACTCTAACGCTTCTTTTTTAATAATGAAAAACTTATTTTGCTATTGGACATAACTTTATAAATTTTTAAAACCAAAGTAAATTATAATTAAAATTAAAAAAATCTATAGTTTTGCTCTTTATTAAATTGGGAGAGTAAGAGGGAACAGTGACATTATTGCATGGGGTGGAAGAATTTGTGGAATAATGGAATTAAATTAAATTTGATTTATTTATTGCATAAGAAAAATATGGCGTCTCGAATATTCTGTTTTCCGAACAGGAATTCTCCTTTTGGCTAATTTTGATTATGAGATTTGGCTTCACCCAGCGAATTTTCAAGCAACGATGGCGCAACTTGCCCAAGAACGCGCAAACTTGGGCCACGTCCCTTACTCTCCCTCTCACTGAGGAAACAAAGCCATTGGAAAATCCCTATTTTATGGTAAAAACTTACCCTCCGTGAACGAAAAAAATTTTTGATATATAAGTGATAATTGCTATAGCGAAATCTCTTGCTAATTTTTTGATTTAAAACAACCTACATTTTAAAACATAAATTTTACAAATTAAATTAATATTTGCTTTTCAATTTTTGTAATTGGGATTTTTTTAAATTTTGAAAAAAAAAATTTCAATAAAGTAGCCAGAGAAATTCGAACGCCCAAAACTGAGACCATACAAATCAAAAAATCAGATGGTGGGCGACGCTGGTTAGCTGGAAATCCAAAGCATGGACAGAAGCCTGTCCAGGTGATGTGGTATTGGACATTAAACGAAGACGAAAAATAACTAATTAGGCTAAGTTAATATTTATTTACATCTATCTTCATAAATAAAATATTATCTTTACTTATAGTATCCCCTCGCCATCAAATGCCTTCTTCTTATTTCCTTTTTCTTCCTTGAAATATCCGCATATATTCTATCTCTGTATTCTCTTATCGTCAATTTTCTGTTATCATCAATTGAAATTCTAATCGTATTCGGGCAAGCTGGTTCATCATCGGAGTTATGAAACTGCGCCACATAAGGATGTCTGAGTGCTTGCTCAACAGTCAATCTCTTCAGTGGGTTAAACTGGAGAGTTCTTCTTATTAAATCGAGTGCATCATCAGAAGCCGAAGGGAAGAAGTCATGAAAGCTCCTTGTTCTCGTCGGAGGGAGACTTTCAAGCATGGTGGCTGCCAAATTGCTTTGAATTGACTCTATATCTTCTTGGGTCGGTCTGCCAGTAAGCTCCAAGATCCTATCCAACTGGTTTAGAGTTGAAGTCCCTGGGAAAATTGGCTTCCCAGCCAACATTTCACCAATTATGCAGCCCATGCTCCACATATCAACTGCTTTAGAGTACTTAGTCGACCCCAGCAGGATTTCTGGTGCTCTATACCACCTGGTCGCTACATAATCAGTCAGTACCGGGTTCGAGCCTTCTTCTTGTGCAGCCACTGAACGAGCAAGGCCGAAGTCTGCAACCTTGACAAGGCATTCTGAGTTCAAGAGGACATTCGAAGGCTTAAGATCACGGTGCAAGAGCTGGCCTGAGTGCATATATTTAAGCGCCTTCAAGATCTGATAGCAAATGTACTGCTTATGAATGTCTTCCAAAATCCCTGCTCGAATGACCGCGTGTAAATCTGTTTCCATGAAATCAAAGACCAAGTAAATATCTCTGTCGTTTTCAGCTCGGATCACATTGAGCAGCCTCACAATGTTCTCATGTCCGTTGAGCTCTTGCAGGAACATGATTTCTCGGAAGGTTCTTTGTGCATCTGTTGCGTTTTGAAAAGCATCAAATACCTTTTTTAAGGCTACCACTTCACGAGTTTTCTTGTCGATTGCTTTCCAGACTATCCCGTAAGCTCCTTTGCCGAGCTTTTGGAGGATTTCGTACTTCCTTAGGATATGCGATTCAATTTCCTCACTCATTCAAATTATTGAGTTTCATTTTTAGTTACTTTTTAAGGTTAATCTCACAATATAAATCGGATTACTTTCAATTGTCTCTACTTCTAAGCCTACTCTGGCAGCAACTTCGAAGAATAGCCTCTGCAGAGGGTTGAATCTGATTGTGTGATTGGCTAGGATTGAAAAGCCATGGGAATTTAAGGAAAGACTGATAGTTCTAAGGAGAGGGTGGATGAAATCTTTGTCATAGCTGAGTTAAAATTACATCACGTCACTGCCTAAGATTACGTCGAAGCTTCCTGCGGATTCTCCTCATAAAAAGTGTGAGCTTCTGGCATTTAAGGAGTTTGCTTCGATATTTTCTTGAATCAAATCAACTGACTAAATGGAATGTACTTCTGTGTTTCCGTCTGTTATAAGAACTGTGGAGCCTGGAAAAGTTTTGGCAGTGAAAAGGCCAACTAATCCTGTGCCTGCTCCGAGCTCGAGAATTGATGATGTGGGAGGTATTAAAGTTGGGATTAGTGAGCATAGCTTTTCAGCTGATGGTCATAGAGTTAGATGCATTTCTGTGTCAAGCTGGCCAGAGTCTCTTGGCTTTAATTTTAATTTCAAGCCCATAACAAGCTCTTCTTCATACTGTATTTCTGAAGCAAACAATGAGCCAATATCCATCTTAATTTGCTTAAATTTTTATCTGCACTTGAATGTCATATATTGCTAAATTTGCTCAAAAGATATTATTGCAGATATCTATTTAAAAGCGCCACATAATGGAGACTTTATATTTAAATTATTTTTTTTTGAATTCTTATTTTGCATCTTTTTTTGAAATGAAAACATTCTATAAATGCTTTAGTCTCTCTTTATTTACTTTCTTGCTACTATTTATTATTAAATGCATTTCTTTCAAAATTTTCCTAGTTTCGTTGTTTGAAATCCGATATCTTTAATTCCTAATAAACATGGAAAACGAAAAGAAAGCCACAAAGGTAACCATGACTGAAGAAGAATTTCTGAATAATCTTGTAAATATAACATAGACTCACTGGGCAGGATTCACTCCAGAAGAAATCGCAGATAAATTATCAATCTCAAGATTAGAAGTTTGTTTGGAATCCCTCGATACCATGCACTACATAAGCTCGTTTGAAAACCTCAAAAGCCTAACTTTGGTCGCCTTAAACATCGAAAGAATAGAAGGGCTAAACCGTATGGTTTCTCTAGAAGAAATTTGGCTGAATCAGAACCATTACATTACATTACATTAGGACTTATAAGTTTTAACGTCCATTACGGGGTAGACTTTCTCCCAGGTCTGCCGCTTACCTTTCGCCGCATCGGGCCTACAAGTTGCTGGGACAACTCGCTTCGATCACCAGGGTGCGCCTAGGGCAAACGTCACCGGCTTCGACGGTTCATGAGTGAGCTACTTGCTTGTGGACATGGGATACTTTTTCGAAAACCCAAAACATGGATTTTCTGGTCAGCTCTCGGCAAAAAGGAAAAACAGGTAGCCCGAGACGTAACGCCCGGCTTCACGCTAGGGAGTTGCCCGATTGGTCCTAAGGACTTTGCTGAGCTTCCCCTTTCCAACTTCCGTGCTCTCCTTCCCCATGAGGAAAAAAACATTCCTGAAAGTAGACTTGGGCCAGGCTCTGAACATAACCAGAATTGCTTACCTAGCATTGTCGTCCATCTCTGAAATGGCAAAACCTTGACGGATATAACTAAAATATGAGTCGAGGCTGCATGGCTGGGAGGCCATGCCCAGACGAAGACGCCTTATTTTAATTTATGGCTGAATCAGAACCAAATTAGCAAAATTGAAGGGTTTGAGTTCAATGTAAATTTGAAAAGGATGTTTCTATCAAACAATAATATAGAAATAATCGAAGGACTTGATAACTTGGAAAATCTTGAAGTCCTTTGGCTAAATGAAAATAAAATACAAAATCTTCAAGGACTGGGAAGCTTGAAAAATCTGCAACAGCTGTGAATAGGGCAAAACCAGATTGCAAAAATTGGGTCTGATTTGTCACAGCTGAGGAAACTGGAAGACCTGAATATTGCAGGAAATTGTATTGGGAGCTTTAAAGAAGTCCTCTGTTTAACTTCATTGCCAGCATTGACGATCCTTGCTTTAAATGACCCTCATTTCAACGAAAACCCAGTATGCAATTTATGCAATTACCAAACATATATGATTTTTCAGCTCCCTCAGCTAAAAAAACTTGACACCTTCTTGATATCAGAAGAAGCCCAAAACTACGCTGAAGCTACTTTCATGAAGAAAAAGATGTACTACAATATGAGAATCAAAACCATCAAGAGGACTTGCTCAAATATTAAGCTTGCCCTTATCGGTTCCATGCTAAATGACAGTGCATTTTTAATAGTGTACATTTATCGAAGTACATTGGTTGAAAATTTTAAAATAGTGTGGCATTTTGCCAAATTTGAAGGTTTTTTATGTCTCACTATCAAAAAGTTTTAACCAATTTTCGACCAAATGCACACTATCAAAAGTTCACGATCATTGAACCTGTACCCCTTATCAAGCTTGTCCAAAAATTCCAAACACATGTATTTTCTCACATGGCTCCAATAGAAGAAGACTTGAATATGGCTGAGCGTGAACTTGACGAAAGAAAAAGTTCAAAACCTATAAGAAACGTATATACTTATGGAGAAGCCGAACTCCCAATAAACCCACTTGATTCAGTAAATCAAGAAGAACTTAAAGAATTGTTAGAAAGAAAAGTAGCTAGACGAAAAGATGAATTAAGAGAAGCTAATAGTGACTTATTAACAGTTGATAAAATCAGCAGAGCTCTGCACAGTAAAGCTGACTATATGTGCAAAGAAAATATTTCAAGACTAATCACAGAACTTGAAACAGGTGGAAACATCAGGTTTGAAGAAGGTAAAACTACAGACAATTGGTATACAAGCTGCGTCGATTTAATGCTTTCTAGGTATCAAGGACCTCCTCAAATCAAAGTTACAAGAGTTACCAGAATTCATAACAGATATTTAAGAAACAGATTTGAAGAAAGGCTTGAGACTGTCGCAGATACAACTGAATCTGCTTATAAAAGGAACTTGGAGTATTTATTTTATGGAATTGATTCAAATGCGCCTAACGAGCTCAATAGAGTTATGGAAGAAGGTTTCAGAACTCCTGGGGAATACAAAGAGCTAGGTCTCCCTGCTTGTGTTCCTCTCGTAAACTCAGTGCATACAGCTGAACTGTCGAGATTGATGTGCGTTGACTCAGACCTTGACACTATTTACCGTCCTTCAGGTCAAATTCTTATTTGTAAAGTTTATATTGGAGACGGGGTAGAAGATACAAAAGTCCCTACTTATAAAGCTAGAATGACTGTGGCAGACGTTTGGGAACAATCACCAATTTCGAAGCCAGAAAACAGTTGGGCCGCATATCGACAAAGAGATGACGACCCTAAAAATAAGATATGGTTTATTTTTGACAACCATATTGTCCTACCGGAGTACCTTGTAGAATTTGAATATACTCATAGCGAATTATCAGCAGCTCCTGCTGAACTAGAGTGGCTAGAGATGAGCGAACTCGAAAAATCTGACTTGAATGCTTTTTCTGCTTCATTGACTGCTTTTATGGAACTATGCAACGACGATTCTGACACCTATTTTGAGCAGATCTCTCCTGATATACCTACACGATCAACACTTGACGATATTAATGAAGAAATAATGCGTGCCATTTCTGGCGAACCATCTGCTTCAAAAATCACTTCACTGAATCTATCATTGAATAACATGATTTCTCTGCAAAACCTTGGATTTGCTTCTAATCTTGAACGGCTCTGCTTGAATTTTAATATGATTGAGTCTTTAGAGGATTTGAGGAATCTCAGGAATCTTTCTCATTTAGAGATCAGCCATAATAATATAAAATCTGTAGAATATGTGGGTTTCTTGAAAAATTTGGTGACTCTTGATATTTCGCATAATGTTATTGATGATATTCGGTGCTTGTTTAACTTTGAAAGTAATAAAAGACTTACAACTTTGGTTATGATCGGAAATGAGGTTTCTCTGCACTCTCGTTATAGACAAGTAGTTTTTATAAATGTACCTAGCCTGGCAGAGCTAGATTATGAACCTGTTTCAAGGGCAGAAAAAGAATTGTATAGCAATTCTAATCAAGCGATTAATATGGACGTTATCAGAGCCCATTATTTAACGGATTCAAGCTTTTTGCTGTCTGAGACCTCGCACTTTGAGACTTTGTCAACGAAGGCTTTGATGGATTGGGTTGCTTCAGCTGAAAATATTCGGTTGGACAGTGAAAAGTTGACATCACTGTCAGGAATAGAGCAATTCTCAAACTTGAGAAAGCTGTCATTGATTGGAAACATGATTCAAGAAATCAACTTTATTGATAGATGCCCACTGTTGGAAGAATTGAGCTTAGAAGACAATATGATTTCCAAAATTGGAAACCTTAATAGACTTATTTATTTGAAAAAACTCGATTTAGGAAGAAATTTCATAGCTCTCCCCTTAAGAAGTTTTTTTTAAAATATTTGATATAAAAATATATAAATACTTTTTGGATTCGCAAATTATTTTTAAAGAAAAATCTTATTCAATTTTATAAGTATAAAAATGCAATCTCCTTAAAATTTTATAAAATTAGTCAAAGATCTCATTTAATAAATAATATTAAAATTTTTTTCAAGCATTTAAATGGGTCAGAGTAAGCTTAAACTTAAATTATAGATCTTGGCTTGCTCGCCTATTGGCAATGCAGTCGCCAAGAATCTCCAGGGAGATTTATCCTCTTTGTGACGATGACAGGGAGAACTTGCTTGAGTTGGGATGATGATTCCGCTGGAAAATTGAGAGATCTTACTTACTTAGTTACATAGTTTTTAAGGTGTCTAGTGCCCACACCCCTTAATGAAAAAGGGTCAAAGCGACAACTAGTGACGTCACCAAGCCATCTTGGAATATGTGGTCAGCCCACACCCAAGCCTTCTATGAGGCTAGTCGCCAGATAAATCGCCGCACATCTCACCCGGCGCGTTGCCGTCGCTCGTCCAGACTCAGCTCCTGCGCGTGTTCCGCCTAAGGGTCATCCTCCCGTGGGGACGTGCTGAGAGGTAAAACTCCGAAATCTTGAGTGCACTGAGGAGTCGTGCCTTTGGTTATCCCCAAAGTTAAACGACTATTGCTGTGCAGAAGTTCTCGAGAGAAAACCCAACCCCATAAAAATAAAATTCCATGAGGGAGAGAAAATTGGCAGAGCCAATTTCTCTCGAACCGAATGCCATTTTATTTATGGAAAATTGAGAGATCAGAAACCACATTTCCTCTTATTCACCGTCTGATGCCATGGCACTTGTGAAGTGGAGCTCTATATCTTGCATCCTCCTTGCCTTGCCAGCTCCAGTGTTGTGCGGGAAGTCTATGAATTTCTGCAGCTTGCTACTTAGGTTGAAAGAAGGTTGTCCGCATAAAAATCCCAAAAAATGGAATTTCTGGACGACTATCGGCAAAAAGGAAAAATTTAGAGCCTGGGGCGTAGCTCCAGTTTCACGCAGGAAGTTACCCAAATGTCTAGGCGTTGCTTTTAGAAATACTTGGCTTTTCTTTTCAATTCTGAACCTATCTTTTCCCTCGACTGAAAACCAGGACTAGGTTTAGGCTCGAAACACTACCAGATTTGATTTCCTAGAATCGCTGCCAATTTCTGGGAAAGCATTACCGGATATAAATAAAATGTGCTCGAGGCTGCATTGCTGGAGGCAATGCCTGGTCATAGGCGCCATTTTATTTATGATTGAGAGTAAGCAGAGTAGAAGGACTAGAGAAGCTTGAGTGCCTAACTCAGTTATCTTTGGAAGACAACTTGATCAATTCACTTGAAGGAGTTGAAGAGCTTCAAGGAATCATGGAACTCTATATTGGAAATAACCGAATCCAGTCTCTCAAAGACATATTACTATTGAGAGATCTTCCAAAACTGATAATCCTCGATGTATCTGGCAATCCTCTAGCAAAAGAGCAGAGTTCAAGGCTTTATATCATTTTTCACTTAAAAAAGCTGAAAGTTCTAGATGGAATCGGAATTGAGCAAGCTGAGCAGTCTTATGCAAGAGATGAGTTTGGAGGAAGACTTTCTGAAGACTTATTAGAAAGCAGACTTGCAGGACTCAGAAAATCAGAAATCAGAAGCCTTGACCTTTCATCAGCCAAGCTCAGAGCTTTTGATGACATGTTTACAGGAGAAATCTTCCCATTGCTTATTGAAATAAACCTATCAGACAATCAAATTCAGACTTTAAGATGCTTTGGATTGATGCCTAATCTTATCAAGCTACAGCTCTCTAAGAACAAGCTAGAATCTTTGCATTCGATTGATGGCAAAGGTCTCCAAGGGCTTCCCAATCTTGAAACTCTTGATGTCTCATTCAACCAGCTTCAGAACTTATCTGGGCTTCAAAACTGCAAGCTTCCAAACTTAAAAGTCTTAATTTGTGCCCATAATCGGATAGAAAGCATTGAATATTTAGACAACTTGACAAACTTAAGAGAATTGGATCTATGTGCCAACAATATCAAGCAGATCGACCCAACATCGTTTCCATCTGCATTGTCTTTGCGATATTTAAGACTTGATGAGAATAAAATAAGAGTGATTTCTAACTTGAATGGGCTGGTCAAGCTTCAATGTCTTCAGCTTATTTCTAATAGAATCAGCGACTATATAGAACTAGAAAAATTAAGAGATCTACCGACTTTGATGGAATTGGCACTGTCTAATAACCCTATAACGAGAAAATTACCTTATAGAATAAGTGTGATCAAGAGGCTTCCTCAATTAATGTTCCTAGATGGTCAAGAAGTGCAAGCTGAGGAAAGAGAAAGAGGGGAAATGGTACAAGAAGTCAAACCTCCTCCTATGATTCATTTGGCTCCTCAGCCTGCCCAAAAGGTGCCAGTGAGGCTGACCTCTGTGAATGTTGAAGCTGTTTTTGGAAAAAATGACCCAAATCCTGCGAAACGGCCAATTTCAAGCGCTAACTTTGGGATTGGATTAGAAGATGCTAAATATTTAAGGTCTCTGCTTCCACGAGTGACATTCTAACAGCTTCTAATTAGACTGTGCTGTGGCCTAAGCGAATTAGGTGGACCTCCAGTAGTACCTCTGACCCGTGCCAAAAACTCTGGTTAATTGGTATTGGCTACCCTATTGGGTCCGCAGACTATTGCTGAGCATCACTATTTATAACTTAGTTCCTTCGCCTCTATACGTCAGCCCCTGCCTCGTTCTTCTGGCCAGATCAGTCTATTTAATGGACACTTTACTGAGGTACCGCTTCGTATCATCTAATTTCCCTCTCTTATCTCACGTCATCCTGGAAATACTCAACCGCGATTCGGGGCAAACTGCAGTCGCAGCTTGTGCATAAGTGCCTTGCTCTATTTCGGGCACCCATGGCTTGGTGCTGCTGTTGGGAAAAAAGAAGTCTAAAGTAAACTACTCATCGTGCCAGGCCACAAAACAGCGGATTTGTGCCTTAGTCCCTCTCTTTTGGATGCCAGATGCTGCTGGTCTAACTCATGGCTCCAAAACCATGTCCTGATATGCATAGATAACCATCTCTGAGAGGACAGTCGAACGTCATAAGCCATTTTAGTATACTCTACCTTTGGGATACTTGGAGTTACACCTATCAACTCCCACCTCAAATCAAAGAACCAAAAGCAAAAGAAGTAACATAAAAGATTTACTATTAAATTCAACTGTTTTAATTAATTCTATAGATGCATTATTTAGCTTGGTTTAGAAATTATGGGTTATGCAATAGAGAGATTTGTTGATCCTGTTAATCCTGAATTATTCTGCTCAATGTGCAGAGAAGTTCTAAAAGATCCCTTAGAGTGCTCATCATGCCAATCGAGTTTCTGTGCCTCTTGTACAGAAGAATGAAAGAAGAAAAATTCAGTCTGCCCTAATTCATGCAACCTTAATTTTCAAAGAGCACATAAGTTTTTGAGACAAGTTTTAGGACTGCTTAAACTCAAATGTAAAAATTCAGAAGCTGGATGCCAAATAGTAACAACTTTAGATTTAATTAGCAAGCATGAGGCTCTGGAATGTCCTTATACTCTTGTTCAATGTAAATATCCAGGATGCAATGCTCAGTTTTTCAGAAGTGAAGCAGAAAATCATGATAAGACTTGTGAACAAAAAATTATCACTTGTAATGAATGTGGAGAAGAGTTTTCTTATAAAATCGCAGAACAGCATTCTTGTATCCATGTGATGGTGCAAGTGGTTCAAGATATCAAGCTCCTTTCAACTCAGAGTACTAACCTCCTCTTAGTTAACAATTATAATGTTGTAAAAAAATTATAGAAACATTTAAACAAATATTTTAAAAGAAAAAATAAATTTAATTTATAAACATATATTTTATGATAAGATATCTATATTTTAATTTATTAGCTAAAGTAATAATTAATTATATCAAAAATGTTTTATTTAATAATCATATTAAAAAAGGTTTTCTCTCTTGATAAAGGAGAGGAATAAGATGATCAAAGAACTGCAAAAATCTGATCTATAATAATAAAATTACGTATTACCAGTGGTTGTCTCAGACAGCCCTTCCTCCTCGCGACATTATTATTAGGGTTCAATTTTCTACGTGGACCTTTATCGACAGTGCCAATATGGAATTACCGCATAGAGTCGCTCACACTGGCTCAAGGAAGAAAGGAGACAAATGTTTTTTGCCGCTTGGCACACCCAAGAAGGATGACCTTTAGGAGAGGCCAATGCGGCCGGTAAAGAGCTTTCTTGTCCTTTGGTCGTCTTCTGGAATGCTTTACTAGGCAAAATAGCTGTTGACTCACCATGGTAGGGCTCTCATCCTGTTGAAGAAGGGGTACGTATAAAATCTAACTAAATCAGTAATTAGCAAGAATCTGACCTAATCACTAAAAAAAATTGAAAATTGCGACATGAAAATGTTCGATGCAATGCCTGCCAAAAAGATCCAATAGAAGGAACAAGAAATACTTGCCTTGAATGCCCAGATTTTAATTTATGCAGCACTTGCAAGGCAGAATCCAAGCATGACCATCGTTTTATTCAACTATCAGAGAACGGAAAGCATGAATACGTAACATGCGATGGATGTTTTGCAAGCCCAATTCCTGGGATCAGATGAAAATGCAAAGTTTGTGACAACTTTGGTAAGCATTATTTAGATTTTTGCCATAGGTGCAAATTTGGAGCTCCACACCCAAATCATGAGTTTTTAGCTCTGGCACCTTATTTTGTTGATGCTATTCCGCTACCTCCAGATAAGCTCGGATATAGGCCAGGTGAGATATTTTCACGAAAATGGACAGTTTTTAACAATGGAGTGGAAACTATTAAAAACATGACATTTATCTGCATACATGGAGAAACCTGCAGTAAACCACTAATTAGCTGAAAACCGTGAACTTAGCTTTGGGAACGTCGAAATCCCTGCAAAGCAGTCAAGAGTTTTAAAAGTGGATCAAAAAATCACACTCGAAATCCCTGGAATCTATACAAGTTTATGAAGACTGGCGACTTCTGATAGATTATCAACTTTTGGGCCCGATTTCATAATTCAGCTATCAATCGTCAATTAATCTGGAAACAAAAATACATTTAATCAAATGCTCTAATCTTTTTTCCATCTTCCCAAATTCCTCGTTTTCTTTCTCCACTTGGAAAGATGTATTCACCCTCGCCATCTTGCTTTCCGTTTTTCCAATCTCCGTCATATTTTCTTCCATCAGCCCAGGTATAGACTCCTTTTCCATGCTTTTTATCATCTTTGTACTGTCCTTCATACTTTCTACCATCTTTCCAGGTATATACCCCGTACCCATGCATATTATTATTTTTCCACTCTCCAATATATTTTCTTCCGTCCATCCAAATGTACACCCCTCTTCCGCTTATTTGGACAAGCTGAATTTACCCTGCTGGGGCAAATTCCGCCGTCGTTTTTACTGTTCTCGGGGTAAATCCCGCTGTAATATTTCAATGGTGCAGAAAAAAAGTGGAGGAAAAAACTCCGAGTAAAAGTGAACTGGTGGGATTTTTAACCTCGAATAAGAGGAATTTACTCGGAAACAAACCCAATGCAAGAAATTTTAAAATATTGTAAGTGATATTTAAGTATTAAAGAAGCAGCAAATATCTGTTTATATCAGTATTTATTAAAACAAATAAAACAATATCATGTATATATTAATGCATTTAACTGTGGCACTATGATTAAGATATATGTGACGAAAAAATAGGAAACAAAAAATTTTTCTCACTCCCCCCCTTTAAATTGGAACTAAAAATTTGTTCCAATTTAAATTTTTTTAAAAAAAAAAATCAATATAAAATTTTTTATAAAAAAAAAATTTTCAATAATTTATCGAATTAGATTAATAAATTTGTTTAATAAAATACTATTTACTCTTTATCTTTAAATCAAAGCAAGATATAACTAAATTTTTATTATGAATTAATACGCCACTATTAATTGGTATCAAAACTATTTACACAAAAATTATTATTTTTATTATAAAAAAAAATAATTTTAGAAAATTTATGGATCAAAGTGCTAATTTTGTTTAAATGAGATGCCATTTATACTCTATTCTTTTAAAATAAAGCAATAAATAAGTGAATTTTTCAATTTTTGTAAAGAATTCGCATTGAATTTATATCAAAATAATAATTAAATAAAAAATATCAAAAAAAATAAAAATTTTTTAAAAAATTTTAAAAAAAAAAAAATTTAAATTTTTTAAAAAATTTAGCAATTAAGGCCAATAAATTTATTTAAATAAGATGCTCTTTATACTCATTCTATAAGCAAGAGCAAGATATATCTAAATTTTTAATTTTAGTTAAGAAAAAACATTTAACTTATATCAAATCTTTTTACATAAAAATTATGATTTTTATATATAAAAATTTTTTATTATAAAATTAAATTTTGTTCCAATTTAAAGGAGGGTTAATTTACCAAAAAGTGGAAATTTTACCTATATTTTGTTGTTCCAATTTAAAGCGGGGGGGGAGTCAGGATAAATTTATTGCTAAAATAAGCAAAAAAAACCCGAGTGGTTACTAAAAACAAGCTAAAAAGACCTATATATGGGGGTAAAAAGATGGCAAAAAAAAACCCAAATGATGGATTTTTCTAGTAATTAGGCCTAAAAGCAAAATCATAGAACAGATTATATGAAGCATTTGGGGTATTTGTACCCCGAGAGCAGTAAAACTAGGTTGAATTTACCCCATCGGAGTAAACTCAGCTTGAGCCCGCTGATTTTGTTGTTTACTCAGTTTCCTACGAATTTGCTTCCGTCTGACCATGTGTAAGACCCAAAGCCGTGCTTTTGTCCTTCTTTATAAAACCCTTCATACTTGCTGCCGTCTGGCCAGGACTCATATCCAAAGCCATCTTGCAGGTCACTTTTTCAATCCCCATGATAAGCAGCTCCATTGCTATGTATATAAATCCCTTTTCCAGTCGCTTTTTCATCTTTTCAGTTTCCTTCAAATGTGTCTCCATTAATATGCCAAAATTTTCCATGTCCGTTGGCCTTATTTGCAATCCAATCTCCTTCATATTTAGCCCCATCAGGCCAAGTTTGTGTTCCAAGTCCATCTCTATCTTTTCCCAGTCACTCCCCTACATAGATTGCCCCACTTTTGAAAGCGTGTGGGTCTCTGATTTCTCTGCCAGAATTTTTGAATTTGCCTTTGTGTGTTTCTTCAGAATGAGATAGCGTAAAATAAGTGTTTTTCGAAAGAGACTTCCGCAAGTGTTTGAATTGATTTCGAATGAGATACCCTCTCCAGTAAGCTTGGATTCTTTTGACATAATGAAGAATTTCTCTGGACTTTTTAGAATCATAGTAGGCATAGAAATTGACTTGTGTAGAGTTAATATTTTCGAGTGTATTCACATCTGCTAAAGTATTTTCAGAGAGCTCTTTGTTAGTCTTGACATCTTTAAGGTCAGCTTCTGTGCTGAACTCATTTTCCTTGTTATTGCAATTGCAATTTGAACAACAAGACTGCCCCATATAAAATGTTAAAATTTATATTTATTCAATGAAAAATTATATGATTAATTATCGACTGAATTGTCTTGTGTCTCCACCATGGCGGACTCCTTCTGGATTTTTATTGCTGAATGTGTGTCCAGTCTTCTTGTAGAATTTTTTCTCCAAATTTGTGTTTCTGGATTTGCTTCCTTGGATTTTGACGTTCAAATTGACCATCGGCGGAGTGGTTAAACCAAAAGATCGTGCTACTTTTGGTAAATCAAGCTGAGAGACGTCAAATATGTCTTTTTGATGATGCGACTCATAAGCTTTTAGGTAAGATCTATAAGCTTCTCTTGCTGCTTTATGCAGATAATAATTTTTCTCAATTAATCTTTCAAATTGTGGTTGGATATTTGCCAATTTGTTTTCTGCAAACTCAAACTCATTAAGTGGGACTTTTGCTTTTTTCAGGTATCTGAGGAACCCAAGCTCTTGAGGCAGTAAGAAAAGCAATGCTTTCCCTTGTCTCTGAACTCTTGCAGTCCTGCCAACTCTATGAATATACTCTTCAGGAATATCTGGAGGATCATATTGAATGATCCAGTCTACAGCTGGTATATCTAATCCTCTAGCAGCTACATCAGTACACAGAAGTATTGCGTTTTCTGCTTTGCAAAACTCAAAGTACGCTGTAGTTCTTTTTTGCTGCTTTTGCTTCCCATGGATATGCATTACTGTAATATCGACATAATTCAATAAATCGTAATGAAACTTCACAGAATTGCACGAGCTGAAAAACACCATGATTTTTTTGTCATGGTTCTTTTTGAGGAATGTGAAAAGCAAGCTAAATTTTCTGTCAGGCGGAACAACAGTGTAGCCTTGCTCCAATGTGCTTACTGTTGCGACCATTTGTTCTTCATCAAGGCCAACTAGGACTGGACTCTTTAAGGAGACTCTGATAAGGTCGTCAAGTTTTTTGGTTTGTGTAGCTGAGTATAAAAGGGTTTGTCGTTCTGATGGGAGAAGTGATAAAATTTGGTTCATTTGTTCTTCAAAACCTTGCTTTAAGATTTGGTCAGCCTCGTCAATTACTAGTGTCATTAAGTTTTGATAGACAAAGCCAGGAGTATTTAGAAGGTGATCAAGCAGCCTGCCAGGGGTTGCAACCAAAACATTTACATGTTTTTCTAGTTTTTTAGCTTCATGAGATTGGCTTGTGCCTCCCATTATTAGACCATGTGTGTGGCTCATATGAGATAAAAGTTCTTTTGCAACTTGATAAATTTGAAGGCTTAATTCCCTTGTAGGAGAAATAATGATGATTGCTGAGCCTTGTTCTCTTCTGAAGCCAGCTTTGTGCATCAGATTTATGGTTGGAATTAGGAATGAAAGGGTTTTTCCAGATCCGGTTTTTGATGCAGCCAAAATGTCGTGACCTTTTAGCGCTGGAGGAATCCCTTTTTCTTGGATAAGAGTAAGTTTATTAAACCCCATTTCTCCAATTGATTGCTTGAGCTCATCACATATATCCAGATCTGAAAATTTCTTTTTGCTAAAAAAGTTAGCGATTTCCTCAGTTTCTTTCTCGTCTTCTTTTTCTTCATTTTCGCTATTTTTTTGTTCTTCTTCCTCTTCAACCTTTTCGATTTTTCTCTTTTTCTTTCTTTTTACTTCTTGCAAGACTTCAGATTCGATAGGTTCCATTTATATATTAATCTAATCCACTTGATTTATTATTTAGAAAATGTAATCTTATCTTTTAAATGAATCCAGTTTCGACAGAAATTCATCATCTTGTTTTTTGATTTTTTCTTCCAATTCTGCTTTAATTGCTTTCATTTCCATATTCAAGAGATACTGAAGTGGGTCAGCCATTGGGTCTTCCTCTTCTTCAGGGTTCTCTTCTGCAGGTGCTTCTTCTTCAATAGGCTTCTCAATATATGGGTCAAGCACTGCAATATTATTGGCATCTGCTTGTGAGCCTTCACTTAAAGGTAAAACAAGAGGAAATCGTCCTTCAAATCTGCTAACAACTCGTAAAGAGAGATCGGTGTGAGGAGTAAAAATATATTCATATAAGCTATAGTACTGGAAAAAAGTGCACAAGGCAAAATCCAGGACTTTTTTGAGATCATCCAAAGTGAAAACTGCGATTGAATAGGGAGATCGCTCAACTGAATGCTTCAAAAGCAGCTTCTTGAATATTTCAAAGCATGCAGATCGACTTAAGGCACCTTCAATTGCTTTAGATAAAGCATAATTGAATATCCCAAGTACTGTTGATGTCTTTTCCTCTGAAAATCTTTCACGGATACAAAATTTTAGGTTCAATTCATGAAAATCAAGAAGGATTTGGCTTTTTTCATCATTATTTAAGAGATCAAATATTTGAGCAAGGCGGCTTCTTGATTCATCGACTAATTTTTCATCTAAAAGAGCTGTGGTGTCAGCCTTCGTAACTGTTTTAAATACAAAAAAATACCTTGGAATCTCTGTCATTTTTATTGAATTAATTTGATCAAAATTATAATTGATTTTATTTACAAATAATTTAATATATAAACTCAGAGGTAGTGTAGTGGTTATTGTTGCTAGTCAATGAAAGGAACTTTTCCTCGTGTAGCTCATGCACCTTTATAGATCTCTATATCCCAGCAGAATGCAGACCAGAAAAATATGGTACAGGCCACCTGCCTTATACAGTATATAAGTCTTATTATGCACCTTAAAACCATAAACGGAGATTTGTCAATTTCGTTTTTTATTTTTTTAAAAAACTGGCAAGTACAAATTAATTTTGGAAATTAGCATGGATGGCCAATAATGATCTAAAATATTTCAGGGGCTGTATAGCACTTCTAGGATTTTTATTCACTGCATTTTCCTTATGGGGGTAAATCCCATTAAAATTTATCAAATTTATTACAAGGAAAAAAAATTGACAAAAAGCTCCTAAAAATATCGCACAACGAAAATGTTCCGATCAAAAGGCATGGAGTCAGTGGTTATCACATCTGAAGTCCAAAGTTCCTGGCCTCTGACTCTTTTATAAACAAAATAAGCATTTAACATAACAAATCTCGTACTTGCATTCATAAAAGTTATACTTTGTAAAGCTAATAAAACTTATAATATGCTAGTTTAAAAATTAAATTTTTATTAAAAGTTACTATTAATAATCAAAGACGGAGAAAGTCCAACCATCAAGCAGCCAATAGCCCTTAGCAAGGATCCAACAAGTGATGTCACCAATTCTGCATTTAATGACCTCTCTATTGTGCCTACTGGCAATTTTTTCAAAGCAAATGGCAATGAATATCCATCAACCATTGTTGCACTAATATGAACAGCAAGAGTACCAGCAATATATTGAAAGGTCGTCATGCCATGATGGGGAATCATTATATAGCAGCTCACATAGCAAATAATATGTGCAGCAATAATAACTAAGCGATCCTCAAAGTATTTAGCTTTATGAGCAATAAATATGTGTATGGGAGCAACCGCTAATGAGATAACACCAAGATATACTCCTGTATAATTTATTGGTCAGTTTCAATGGTCCTCAGCAACAATCGGTATTGAGGTATACATTACTTCTTGAGCGCATTTAGGGATTGAAAATAAAAAGAGCAATAGGGTTACAGAAATTCATGACTTTAGGTTTGGTCCATTCTCTTTGCTTTCTATAGGGGTTGAAATTTCAGGTTCTTTATATCCGAAAATTACAATGAAAAAATAGATAATTCATATGAATAGCATTACTAAAGAACAAATATTGAAGCCTTTTACCGTTGCCCCAAAGAATGTGCCTTCGACTGAATATAAAGCTGTAGCAATGAATATCCCTAGTGCTACACCCAATATACGACCAGCAAGATAGGAAGTGCTTCATGAGACTCTTGCAGAAGGAATCACATTTTTGGCGATATATCGTCTATTTATTACTCTTGGATTACCTACTCCAAGCAGCAGTCTGCCAAGGAGTAAATAAAGTGGTGATTGCATATCATATGCTAAAAAGTATAACAGATTCCCAAGAATTACCATTAAAACACTGAAAGTAATAGGAATTTTAAATTGCTTACCCACAAAACCATTAGAAAAATCCCTATTTTTGCCCAAAAAACCCACCCTCTTTGAGCGAACAAAAATTTTTTAATAGAAAAAAATTTGATATATAAGTGATATCTTTAGTTGCTTAAATTCAACTTTACCACCTAAATGTGGAATATTTTCCACGTGTGACACATGTGAAATCAAAAGGACTTCACATGTGGAAAATATTCCATATTTAGGTGGTAAAGTTGCAATTTAAGCAACTAACGATAATTAATATAATGAAATCTCTAGTTAATTCTATTTAATTTTAAACAAATTACGTTTTAAAAGATAAATTTTATAAACTAAATTAATATTGCTTTACAATTTTTGCGAATTAAGAATTTTTTAAAATCTCAAAAATTATAAAATTTATATATAATTTTTTTTAAAAAATAAAATTAACCCCCCTCCGTGAGCGAACAAGATTTTTTGATTCGCTCACGGAGGGGGGGAGTTAGTGGATCAATATTTGTAAAGAAGTCCGCATGCTACTATAGCAAGCCAGTTTACACCGTTTAAAAATCCTGTGAAATGCTTATCTGTATTTACACTTGCAGAATAGGCACTGCCAGTAAGTAAAAGCATATAAAAGTTAGTAAAATAGAGAGGTGAGCTGATCACAGCTAACAAAAGGGTTAAAAAATCTGGGTACAATTTTTCGATTTGAGTGCCAGTGAGATTCTGAAAAGCAATAAGCTCATCTTTTGCACTTATGAGTTCATTTGCTATAGAAAATCCTATTCTATTTATGGTAAATATATTATATTAATTAAAGATAATAATAATCTTAAACCAAATGCCAAAAAACTATAAATTGAATAATTGTCCTGCAACAGTCCCTAATAAAGATTGCCTCAGGCTACCTTCGTCTTGGCCATTAGTATCAAGCTCAGGAGATATTTTTTTAACAAAATTTTCTAATTCGTGAAGAATCCCAGACAATTCTTCATCACATTTTAGCTTGGCCATTTGCTCTTCATACATTTTTAAGAATTTTGACTTTGCATTCGGGACTCCTGCTCTTTGGAGTCTCTGAAGTAAGTGGCATATGATATTAAAATTCCAACAAGCGAATTTTATTAAATTTCTCAATAGTTTAGATAACTCAAATGCCTCTTGTTCTGCGTCAATAGAGGGTTTTTCAATAAATAGAAGATTATTTGTGCGCTCAACAGTCTCTTTTTTCATGGATACATACTTATCTCCAGCTTTGTCAAGTTCTTTCGCAAGAATCTTGAAAAATTTGAATTCAAGCGAAGGTTTATCTGATTTATCTCTCTTAATAAAGGCTTTTAATGAGTTATATGAAACATAAAAGCATTCTCATTCGGCTATTTCTTTCGCTCTCATTGCCCGAGTAAATCGAACCATATTTCTGACAATTATTTCAGCATTTCTAATAAATTGGCGTTAACTTATCCAATGGTATGGTAATTTAACTTGAAAATTAAATGCTTGAATTTGGTAGAGGCATCAATTGAGTGTCATAGTCATTGGAAGTTGTAGAAATTTGGCTTTATTGAAAGCTATTAAGCTGCATAGAATTTCATATTTTATAATTCAAGTTAACAGTTAAATTCAGCATTCATTATTTATATATGCGATTACAAAGGTTATATTATCCTATTTCAACAAGTAAATCGCATAATAGCTAATCAACAAGGATGTTTTAATTAATAATAAATATGCATAAGTATTTACTAAGCATTTTGGAAAAATTGAGCCTTGCCAAGCCTATTAATTCGCCAAAATTCGTATCATAGAGTGCAAATTGCATTACAAGTTATGAGTATTTTCTATTTGAACTGTTTCTGTGTGGGGTATTTTATAGAGTTTTTGATAATCCCTATGAGCCTTCCGATCAAAGTTTATAAGATTAATCTGAAGAAGAATTGAAAAAAGTGTTTCTAAATCTCATTATTGGGCAAGGTACTGGCAATTCTGAATAGTGCTCCGTTTGTGATTGAAAGCCAAAGATTCATCCTCGATTAGCAGCATTATCTCTCTAGGAAGTTTTCTTAGTTGTGATATATCTTTTTCTCAAAATAATCCGATTTTTGGATTATTGATTTTCTCATCGATATCCCAATTGATCTGCTAATATTTCAGTCTTTATGAAGCATTTTATTAATCGCCTTTTTAAGTATGATAAAAAATAAGATAAGCTTTGAGCATCCTCATAACAAAGAGGAAGTCATAATTATCTCAGGAGCATTTGAAGACAATCAAACCTAAAATGCATTACAACGTTGAGTGGCATATAATTTTTGTGAAATATAAAAGCACATTTTCTTATCCTTCTGTTTTTTTACTTTAACTGGCTGCATGCTACATATCTCTAATAAGTGATAAGATTCTGTTTTCTAATTTTGATATTTTTCATCTAATAAATTGCATTTTGTTGAATTTATTACTAAAACTCACTGTAAATTTTATTTCATAAATTATTTCTTATATCTATGGACGAAGAATACGACTACTTATACAAGATAGTGCTAATAGGAGACTCAGGTGTAGGCAAATCAAACTTACTTCTTCGGTTCACTCGAAATGAGTTCAATATGGACTCTAAAGCTACAATAGGTGTTGAGTTTTCACAGAAAACTATTAAAATTGGTGGGAAAACAATAAGGATTCAGATTTGAGATACTGCAGGCCAAGACAGGTTTCGTGCAATAACTTCGACTTATTATAGAGGAGCTGTGGGAGCATTGCTTGTGTATGATATTTGCAATCACAGCAGTTTCGACCATCTTGACCGATGGGTCAGAGAGCTAATGGATCATGTGGACCCAACAAATATTATTGTTATGCTGATAGGAAATAAATGCGATTTAGAAGACAAAAGATCAGTTAAACCAGATGACGCGCTTGCATATTCACAAAGAAACAATATGGCTTTTATGGAAACTTCTGCTCTGGATTCAACTAATGTTGATCAGGCATTTGAAAAAATTGTGAAATTAATATACGATCAGACTATCAAAAATACTGAAAGCACAAAAAAGACTGAACAATCAGTTGTTGGACCAACAAAAAAAATTGAAAGCACAAGAGAAGAAAAAATTAGAGTTCAAAAAGATTCCCAGAATAAAAGTGGTTGCTGTTAAAGTATGAATAAATAGCAAACGAATTTTATAAAATTATTAATTAGCATCTTTGAAATGGAAATTAAAAAATCATAAAAATAAGTGCCTTAAAATTTAATGATATAAGTTTATTTATAAATAATTACTCTCTGTAATAAAATTAGCTTTATTTAATACGTAGTTGAAGCTTATATCCGTTTATTAATTATGCCATAATAAAATTTGTTTATTAAAAGTAAGATTGAATATACCATCAACAGCTTTCTTGAAAGTTGTCTAAATTCTGAATTCATGTACAAGTGAGTTATTTTTTGAACTGAAAGCTAAAGTCATTATTAGAATGATCTAAACTACTCATAATTTTTTTTTCAGCAATTTCTTATAATTATAAGCAAGATTTACTAATACTCAATAAAAATGCTATTGAGAAAATAGACTTTATTAACATTTTGAATTAAATCCAATTAATTTTTATTATGTTATATTTTAAAAACAGTTAAATTTATTTTTTTAATTATTAGATCGAGTCCAGACAATCATAAAATTTATGATGATTTTCTGAAATTTTAACAAGTAAATAACTTGCACTCACCATATTGATCAGTGTCAATCATTGGAGAAATACAAAAAATAGGCAGAACATTATCTCCGTTTAAAAGCGCGCTAAATTGAGGAAACTCCACACACTTATTTGCATATAATATTTAAATCTAAAAATCATTCAAACTTAATAAACTCGAATTTTTAATTAGAATTATCTTCTTATACCAAGGCTCCTGCTTAAGCCCTTTTAAAATACTGTGATACGTTTAGAGATAGATCTACCAAAATCCTTGGCTTAAAGATTGACTCTTTTGGTGAGCTGTCGTCAGAGAACCAATAAAAATCTGATGACACATCGCCTAATGGAATATCTCTTTTAAAGTCATAATTGTAACGTATTGATGCTTCCTTATTGGAAGCTTCAAGATCATCCTTAATTATGCTCATCCAATCTTCAATAGCTTTGTTAGCAATTGCATCTTCGTTTGCGTTCATATTTATAGATATTTTTATGATTTAGTTTTGAAGAGCTCAAAGATTAGGCCATAATTAATGGGTAATGTTATTGGATGAGTGATATCTGGATCCATTCATAATTTTTTAAAATTAGTATATGTAATTTATATGTCACAAATCCACTTCTGGAGCTTTTTAAACTCATTGAGGTAACTGTGATTTTTATTTTTAACTTATCAAAAATCTTACAGAATTTGATAAATCTGAAAATTTTAATAAATAGCTTAGATATAACTAAATATAAATATTTCTTATAGTGAATTTGTCGCAATTAATTTAAATCTTTTATGCTGCAGCTTATTGAATCTTAGTGAATAAATCAGCTATTTCAAGTTTACCCAAAAAGAAAATTTTTTTGTCATCAATTTGATACGCATAATAATTAAAATATTCCTAATATTAAACTTAATTACGCTTATTTACGAACAGACAGCAAAATGAGCGATTTTATCAACCCATAATATTTAATCATTATTTGTTTGGCTATATAAATATGCTTTCAAAAGTCATCTCAAGAGGATTCGCTGCCAACGAAAAAACCTTGAAAGCAAGAATCAAGTCAGTTACCAGCATAGGAAAGATCACCAAAGCCATGAAAATGGTTGCCGCAGCTAAGATGAGAGCTGAACTTGCTAGATTGGTAGCTGGTGGCAAATTTGGCCATCAATTGGCATCAAACTGGTTCAAAGGGGACGATATCGCCAGAAAAAACTTGCCAGAGTTCAATGCAGAGTCAAGAACTTTAATTGTGCCTTTTACTTCAGACAGAGGACTGTGCGGAGGTGTCAACTCTGGCATCATTAGAGAGACTAAGAGCATTATTGGTCGCCGAAGAGACAAATTCGCCATTTTCTCAGTTGGTGATAAAGGCACTCTTGCTTTGATCAGACCATACCCAGATCTTCTTTATAAATCAATTACAAACGTCTTGACTCCAGTCAGCTTCGCAACAGCATCAGCAATCGCTTACAATCTTGAACAAGCAGCCAAAGATAAAGGCTGCGATAGAATTGAGCTGATTTACAATGAATTCAAAAATGTGGTGACTTCCAAAATTGTGAGAAAAGAATTGATGCTTAGACAAGGGTTCAGAAATGGCCATTACAAATCAGTCAATGAAGTAGAAGAGCCAGACTTTCCATTGGCAACTGAGATTTACTATGAACTTTACTTAGCAAGCAATGTTTATCATGCCATGCTTAACAATGCAAGCAGCGAGCAAAGCGCAAGAATGTCAGCTATGGAGGGCGCAAGCAAAAACTGTAGTGAAATGATCGGCAAATTGAACCTTGACTACAATAGAGTTAGGCAAAGCAAAATTACCAGCGAGCTTTGTGAAATCATTTCAGGTGCAGAAGCTCTTTAATAACGTAACTAGAAAAGTTATGCAAATACTTAATATAATTTCTATAATTTCTTAAAACTGCTTCATATTTCTTAAAAAAGTGATAATATATTCGGAAATTAAGTTGAATTTCTTTTTTCGATAAGCTAATTGTCTCTTTGCATTTCTATTGATAATAAATTTTTTACAATTTCTTTAAAAATTACTCGATAATTAACAGAAAAAAAAATAATAATTTTATTAAAAAAATTAAGAAATCTGAAAAAGTGGAATTAAAATTCCAGATCAATTTTCATGTCGACCTTGCATATATTTTTTAGTTTTATCAAAAAATATGTCAGTCCTAGAAGGAATGCACCACACATTAATAGGGAGAATTGTTACAAGTGGCGAGATTGATAGCAGATGTGAGATTTTTGAAATCTTCAATAAGCCTCGCTCTCTGCATATAGACTTGCTTTTATACCTAAAACATCTTAAGGATAACTTCAGCTGTTCGGATTTCATTTTGATATTCGGATTTGTATTAATTGACAAATTTCTGAAGTCCTGTCCTGACTTTCATCTTACAAATAGAAACGTTCACAGAATGGTTTTTACTTCGATCTCAATTGCCTTAAAATTTTCAGAAGATATAGGTTTTTCTAATTCCGTTTTATCAAAAATAGGGTTGGTGACGACAAAAGAGTTGCTCAAGCTAGAGACCTCTTTTCTATCAGTAAACAACTGATGCATTTGGAATGAAGAAATCTCAAAACAATGCGAAGAATTAGAAGAAGACTTTTCAAGGGCGCAAAAAAAGGAAATTTCTAATTCTGAATGCGATGAATTATACAATGAAGAAACAACTGCAAGCTTTGAAGAGTTAGATGATTTTTCTGAGATTAGCTACTTTTTCAGCAATTAAGTCTCAGACTGTAAAATTTTGACGAAATTTAAATTTAACAGCGATAAGTTTCAATTGTTAAGACAAAATATTGAAATGTCAAAATCAATAAAATTCTTTTTGGATAATTGACCATAAAGTTTTTGTTCTTTATCTTTTATAAACCAGCAGCGCATCCTAGCATTGCATATAAAGAAATAATCATTAATTGGAAATTAATAGTTAAAATTTTTAATAGAAAAATATCTTCATTATCTTTAAATATTAACTGGATAATACTCGAATAAAGGAATTTTAATAAAAGATAATTCTTCAGTATAATAGCTAATAAAATGATAAAATTCGTTTAATTTACAAAAATTATACACTATAATTTGTAAAGCTGAATCGATAAGCTCTATTTCATCAAAATCATATAGAGTAATCTATAAAATACATTAAAGAAAATTTATTAAAAAGAAAATTGCTATTGTTAAAACACATTGATCCAAGCAAGCTGAAAATAAGTAGCCAATGGCATTTTAGTGCAACGATGTGATTTAAGATTTAAAAGAACTAAATAAAAACATTAAAATTGCATGGTTTTTAAAATTTTTTATTATAATTGCATTTTACTAAAAAAATATCTGAAATAGCCAATTTCATTATAAGTAGAATTCTTCTAATAATAAGGATTATCTGTTATATAAACTATAAATTAATTTAAATAGAGGTATGAATAACATTTTTATTATTTAAATTCTTAACACCTATTTGATCTCAAATTTGAGATACCCATCTTCAGGCAGATAGAAAGCAAAATATCAAATATAGTGCATCTTTCAATGGAAGGACTGAATGCTTTTTAGACTCAAATTGAATTTCAGCTATTTTTAAATTAAATAATTTTGATTCTAAATCATAATATTAATAATTTTTTGAATAAAACTTAAAATGAGTGTTAATTTTTTTCTATTTATATCCTAAACTGCTAGTATATTTTCCTCAGCATTTCTTTAGAAGCCTAAATCTTAACCAATTATATAAATATGCTAGCCAAAGCCCTAAGCCGTAGCTTCTCACAAGCCCACAAAACCCCTGTCAGAATTGCAGTCACAGGAGGTTCTGGCCAGATTAGCTACAGCTTATTATTCCGTTTAGCAAGTGGTGCTTTATTAGGTCCTCATCAGCCAATCATCCTTCAAATTCACGATCTCCCAATGATGCAACAAGCTCTCAGAGGTGTTGTTATGGAGCTCCACGATTGTGCTTTCCCTCTACTTCACGATGTCATTGCAACTGATGTTCAAAGCACCGTCTTTACTGATGTCGATTATGCCTTTTTAGTCGGATCAAAGCCAAGAGGCCCAGGAATGGAAAGAGGTGACCTCCTCAAACAAAACGGAGAAATCTTTGTAAAGGTTGGAGAAGACCTCAATAAGTACGCCAAAAAGACTTGCAGAGTGATCACAGTCGGAAACCCAGCCAACACCAATTGTTTGATTGCACAGTCCCATGCGCCTGATATTCCAAAGCAGAATTTCTCAGCTATGACAAGACTTGACCATAATAGAGCTCTTATTCAATTGGCTCTCAGAACTGGGACTCCAGTAACCTCAGTTAGCCATGCCTGCATTTGGGGTAACCATTCTTCAACTATGTTCCCTGATGCAAGCCATGTAAAGATTAATGGACATGCAGGAAATGCTAGGATCACTCAAGAATACATTACAAGCGAATTTATTCCAATTGTACAACAAAGAGGTGCAGCTATTATTGCAGCTAGAAAATTATCAAGCGCCGCATCAGCAGCCAATGCAGCTATTGACCATATGAGAGACTGGACTTTTGGAACCCAAGGAGGATGGGTAAGCATGGCAGTTCCTAGCGAATTATATCATGGAGCATATGGAGTACCTGAAGGACTCATTTTCTCATACCCACTCACAGTAGATGCATCAGGACATTATCATCTTGTCAGGGATCTGCCTATGAACAGCTTTGTGAATGAAAAATTAAGATTAACCATTGACGAGCTCCAAAAAGAAAAACAAGAAGTCCAACACTTGCTTAAAAAATAATTAAGCTCTACAGATAAGTTAATAGTTTTCAAAAAGTCGAGAAGAAATTTAGGCTTTTTGTAAAGCAAAATTAATTGTTTGCATGCTAAATAATGCATTTAGAGAAAAATAGAACTTTTTTCATCGTAGCTAAGAGATTAAGAACACTGATAATTTTTTTATATCATTTATAGTAAATAAGCATCTACTAGAAAATTTTATATGGATTAATCACCATAAAATTTTCATGCACTATAAATAGTATATCTAAAATAAAATAAGAGTCGTTTTTTGTTAGAAAAGCATTTTTTGAACTATGTCTGAATATCAACCTTTATCAAGCATTGACTTCGAAACGAATCCTGATGACTTACTCTCTCCCTTTCAAGCAAAGCCAATTCAAAATCCTAATTTTAAAAAAACAAAACTTTTGTGTGAATAAGAAACAATTTTTTTTGATAATAAAAAAAGTTTTATATATAAATGATTATAACGAAATTACTAGCACTTTTTTAGCTTGTGACTCTAAAATCTATTTATGCCATTATTACTTTTAAATTTTAGAGGTCTAAGATCGAAAAATTAATATAAATTAATAATATAAAAAAACTTATTAAATAATGTGAGCAAAAATTTTCTTGCTCTTTCCAAGGAGAGGGGAGTTAGCGTAATTTTCAAGCAGCAAATTTTTTGATATCCATGATATTCGAGAAGGCATCAGTAAGTCAAAATTCATTGCTCTCGGATCGACATCATGGTTATGCTCTTCTTTAAAAACACACGACAAAGAAGGGATTTCTCCAGATTCTAACTTCACCCAAGCTGCTTAAAATTTAAACAAAATTTGATAGAGATTTCATTATAATAATTATCACTCTATACATCAATTTTTTTTTCCATTAAAAATATTTGCTCGTTTACGGAGGGTGGGTTTTTATCCAAAAAATAGTTTTCAATGGTTTTGCTCATTCACTGGGGGATTAAAACATAAATTTTGCAGATTAAATTCATTTATATTTCTCAATTGGAATTTTTTAAATTTTAAAAAAATTACTATAAAATTTATATATAATTTTAAAAAAATAAATTAACCTAACAAAAATGTTTTATTCGCTCACAAAGGGGTAGTAAAGAAAATCTCGCAAGTAGAAAAAAATTGTATTTTTTATTCAGCTTTGGCACCAATGAGCCCGAGAAACCTCCTATTAACTCTATATGAGCGATTATTTTTGATGCCTTAAAAGATTTTACAATTGAGCTATTGTTAGCAGCAGCAACAGTTTCCCTGATAATAGGAATAGTTGAATCAGAAAAAGAAGGCTGGTACGAAGGAATATCCATTCTCGTCGCTGTAGCAATAGTTGTGTCAGTAGCTTCTACACAAGATTACTTAAAGGAGCTCCAATTTCGCAAGCTTAATGAAGAAATAAAGCGCTTGAAGATCGCAATTACTCGAAATGGGATCCTAGAAGAAATTTTCCAAGACGATATTGTGGTAGGAGATTTGGTATCATTGAATCCTGGCGATATAACTCCAGCTGACGGCATTTTAGTAAGGTCATACGGAATTATCGTAGATGAAAGTGCGATGACTGGAGAAAGCGTTTCAGTAAAAAAGGGCGAAAACGACCCATTTATTCTTTCATCATCCGTTATTGTAGAAGGCACTGGAGACATGATCGTATGTGCTGTCGGCAAAAATTCTTTAGCTGGAAGGAGTCATTTATTTTTATTAAAACAAGATAAAGAATTAACGCCTTTGCAAATGAAACTTGAAAAAGTTGCGAAGCACATAGGGATTGCAGGGGCTATCGCTGCTGTCATAATCTTTATTTTTATTTCGTTTTTCATCTTCGAAGGAGCTATAGCAGATGATGACTGGGAATCTGATGACACAAGTGATCTTCTTACAGCGTTTATTTTGGCAGTCACCATATTAGTTGTTGCGATACCTGAAGGGCTTCCATTGGCGGTAACTTTAAGTTTGGCTTTTTCAATGAGGAAAATGAAAGATGAAAAAATTTTTGTGAAGCATTTAAGTGCTTGTGAAACTATGGGAGGGTGTGAGGAATTGCTAATTGATAAAACAGGGACTATCACAAAAAATGAAATGAGAGTTGTGAAGTTTAAAATTGGGTTAAAAAAAATTGACTTAAAGACACCTATTAAAGATAAAAATCTGGCAGAGATTATTGCTAAATCGATTGCAAGAAATACGACTGCAGATATAAGGAAAATTGAAGAAAAATTAATAAAGACTGGAAGTAGAACTGAGTGTGCACTGCTGATGTTTTTAAGTGACTGGGGATTTAATTTCAGGACTTTAACTCCCCCTTTCTGCGAATGAACAAAAATATTTGTTCTAAAGGAGCGGGATTATTTTTTTTTTTTAAAACAATTTTCAAATTGCAAAATGCAAAATTGGAAAGTAAAAATTAGTTCAATTTTTAAAATTTATGTTTAGAATGCAAGCCGTTTTAAATTCAACAGAATTAGCTAGAGATTTCATTATACTAATTATCACTTATATATAGTGACTTGGGATGAAGAGCACTTTTTTTTGGCTTGACGGCAAGCCAAAAACATCCCGTGATCTTCATCCTAACTAACAATATCAATTTTTATATAAAAAAACTTTTCCAATGGTTTTGTTCGCTTACGGAGGGGAGTAAGAGATTTAGATACCCAGGCGATGCAGATCCCCTTTAGTTCTGAGTCTAAAAAGATGACAACTTTTCATGTAGGATTTGAAAAAGAGGGATATCTGTATGTAAAAGGAGCGCCGGAAAGAGTTATTGAGAAGTGCAAATATTATTTCAAAGAGGATGGAACGATATCAGAGTAATTTTTATGCAGGCTATCAGCAGAAATCATTCAGGAATTCAATTTTCTTATTACAGAATGGTCTCAAAAAATGATTAGAACTCTAGCATTGGCTTATAGACCTGGAACTCTTGAAGATCTCCAATTAAATGAAAGGCCAAGCAAAGAAGACATAGAAAATGCAGAGAAAAACATGATTTTAATTGGAATTTTCGGAATAGAAGATCCTCTCAGAGAAGAAGCCAAAAGTGCACTGAATCAGCTGAAAAACGCTGGAGTGACTGTCAGAATGATAACAGGGGACAGCAAAGAAATCGCTGCCAAAATAGGAAAGCAATGTGATATATTAGATATTGATTATGAGCTGCATGAAAAGAGCCAAATTATGTCAGGAAAAGACTTCACTGATAGAGTTGGAGGAGTTAAAGAGGAATTTGATGAAGAAGAAAAGAAGAGATATTATAAAATAGGGAATGAAGAGGAATTTAATAAAGTTTCTGCTTCATTGAGGATTTTAGCAAGATGCAGCCCATATGATAAGTTTGTCCTTACAATAGGGCTGAGAAATTCAGATAAAATCGTAGGAGTGACTGGAGATGGAACAAATGACTCATTGGCGTTAAAAAGTGCAAATATTGGAATAGCTATGATGACTGCAACGCCAATGGCTAAAGAAAGCTCTGATATTATTTTACTAGACGATAACATACAAAATATAGTTACTGCTGTTAGATGGGGCCGAAACATTTATCAAAATATCAGAAGATTCTTGCAGTTCCAGCTAACAGTCAATATCGTGGCTTTACTTTTGTGCCTAATAGGTGCAATATCAGTCGCAAGCTCTCCTCTCTCAGCTGTACAGATGTTGTGGGTAAACTTATTAATGGATTCTCGGCTTGTTTGGCTTTTGAGAGATACGGGCAGTATACAATATAAGAAACCAATATGTAATTAAAAGAAAAGAGCTAGTGTTTCACATCAATAAGATATCATTATGTACTATAAGTAACTTATAATAAGGAGCAAAAAAAACCATTAAATTTGACGGTAAAAATTTTTTTTTTATGTCTTAATGAAAAAAGCTTGTTGGCTATATAAACTATGATACTGTTAAGTCTATTAAATAAGCAACTTATATGTACTAGAAATAAGATCTGACAGTTTCATATAATAGCAAACTGACGTTATACCTTGTTTGCAATTCCATTCTGAATATATTAAAAAATCAATAAGCGCTTTTCTTAATAAAAAAATAAATCATTATGTCACTAAATTGGGTTTAAGTCATCTAAAAAAAAAAACGAATTTCATCTCTTTTTCTCAAGAGACAACGGTTTATTAGGTGCTGCAAAAACCTGCTTAAAAAGACCCGTTATATTTGCGCAAAAATTAATATAATTTCTGCACCGATTTGCGTTGCAACACACATTAATATAGTGAAACGATGCTTTATTTTGATCCTTATTTATATCAGATTTTATGTCTTATATAAGAGAATTCAATATGATCTAATATTTCGAAACTATCAGCTCATGAAAATGTGAAATCGTTTACTCACTCCCCCCCTTTAAATTGAAACAAAAAATTTTGTTTCAATTTAAATGGGGGTTAAGAAAATTTTTTTATATATAAAAATTTTTTCAGAGATAAAATTTTATAGAAAATAAATTATATAAATTTAAAGAATTTCATGAAAAATTAATTCATAAATTTCTCAATCTCAAAGTGTAAACTTGCTGAAATGGTATTCTTCTAACTCTCCCCATAACAATTGGACAAAATAGAGTTTAATTTCTAAATCTTATATGTTTGAAGCATATTAAATAGGGTATTAACGTATTTACATATAAAATAATGATTTTTACCTATAAAATTTTCTATTATAATAAAATTTTGTTTCAATTTAAAGGGGGGGTAATTTCCCAAAAAAGTAGGAATTTTACCTATATTTTGTTTCAATTTAAAAAGGGGGGGAGTCAGTGAAAAAAAATTAAACAGAGCTCCTTAAAATAGAAATTTATTTTTTTAAGAAAAATAAAATTAAAATTTTGTTATTAAATACTTTTAGAGCAAGCTTTGTTTATTTTATTGCGCTTTTTTTTACAATAGTAACAATATTTAAGGTAAATCATACTTATTTCAGTTCTAAGTGTGCCTCTTTCAGTGGCTATTAAATATATTAAAATTATTAAAAAATATATAAAACCGTTTTTTAAGACATATTCTTTCAAAATATATCAAAACGATGACCAAAAATTTGCAATATTTTTTGGGTTAATTTCCTTAAAAAAGGTTTTTATAAGTTTTTTAATAATTTTAATATCTTTAATAGACACTGAAAGAGGCACACTTAGAGCTGAGATAAGTAAGGTTTTACCTTAAATATTGTTATTATTTTATACAAAAAAGCGCAATAAATAAGCAAAGCTTGCTCTAAAAGTATTTAATAACAAAATTTTAATTTATTTTTCTTAAAAAAATAAAATTTCTATTTTAAGGAGCTCTGTTTAATGTTATTTTCACTGAGCAAACGATTTCACATTTTCATGAGCTGATAGTTTCGAAATATTAGATCATATTGAATTCTCTTATATAAGACATAAAATCTGATATAAATAAGGATCAAAATAAAGCATCGTTTCACTATATTAATGTGTGTTGCAACGCAAATCGGTGCAGAAATTATATTAATTTTTGCGCAAATATAACGGTCTTTTTAAGCAGGTTTTTGCAGCACCTAATAAACCGTTATCTCTTGAGAAAAAGAGATGAATTTCGTTTTTTATTTAACTAGATGAACTTTGACTTATAAACATAACAATTCCGTTTTTTATTGAAGCAAGCGTTTATCGACATTTTTTTATTTTCATTAGACTCTCGCAAATTATCTAGACCGTTAGGTTGCATTGATGAATTGCTGGTATCGTCTATTTTGCTTAGTTACTAGGTCTTTTTTATTAAGGACTCAACTGTTTCCATTTTTGTGGAGATCTAGAATCTTCTATTTTTGTGATATAAAAAAAATTTTTTACAGTCAAATTTAATGGTTTTTTTGCTCCTTATTATGGGTTACCTGAAGGACATGATGTTTTCTCATTTATAAGAGATACTAACTCTTTTCTTTTAATTAAATATTGGTTCTTCATTTTATGGACATCCCGTATCTCTCAAAAGCCAAACGAGCCTAGATTCTCTAGCAGCTTTGGCTCTTGCAACGCAAGATCCTGATGATAGAGTACTAGACTCAAAGCCATATGGGAAAAATGAATATATTTTATCGTCTTGGATTATTGCCAACATAGTTGTCCAATCTGTATATCAAATGGTTATTATGATGGTAATTCTTTATCTTGGACCATATATTTTTGGAATTGATGCAGGCTGGGATTCAGACTGGCCTGACGAAGAATCTACTCATTATACCATTTGTTTTAATACTTTTGTGATGCTGCAGCTTTTTAACCAAATCAATTGTAGGAAAACGAGGGCTGAAGAATATAATGTCTTTTCAGGGATTTTCCAAAACAGAACTTTTTTGTCAATATTTTCTGTAGAATTTGCACTTCAGATTATTTTTGTTCAGCTAGGAGGAGATTTTATGAATACTGAGCCTCTGGACTTATATCAAATTCTTATTTGCATAATGATTGGCTCAAGCACATTAGTAGTAACTTTGCTTTTCAAAATAAGCACGATACAGTTTTATCAAAGGAAAAGTGATTAATAATAATAATAAGTATTTATAACTAAATTAATGAGTAGGCAACTTTATTTGCCTTAATTTTCTATGCTTATTATATAATGCAATAATTTTGAATTAGAGAAATTATCCTTTATCATTAAGCGAATTTCAATTTTTTTATGGATTGCTATGACTATTCGCTAAGATACCCATGATTAATTAAAATATATAAATTAATCGTTAAATTGGCTCCATGTCAAATGATAGTGGATTTTTGACAATGTACACTTCATCGAAATACATTTGGTCGAAAATTTTTAATAGTGCGACATTTGGCCGAAAATTAACGGTTTTTTTTCGGTCAAAAGCCTCACTATCAAAAATTTTCAACAATTTTCAGCCAAAAACTTTTCGGTGAAATGAACACTATCAAAAAGGCAATGTCATTTGGCCTGCACCCGTTAAATTACTTAACTTAAACATATAACATATTTCTAATTCCATTTGCATAAATCTTTTGAGCTGCATGCCAACTCAAACTTTAGATACGTATGAAGTGCTCTGCAAATATAAAACTAGTTTAAAAATAAGAATTATATTAGAGTTAATTATGCTCGCTAAACTTTAATTCTGTTCCAGTAGCCTCCTTATATAGTTCAATGATATCATCAGCAATGCTCTCCATATCTGCTGAAGGATCGTAAGACTTGGTAATAAATAAATTAAGCTATCTTAAGCTAATACGACACCTAATAAATTAGCATTTCAAATAAATAGGGGTTTGCTTTTAAAATTGTTTTTAAATTAATTCAATAAAATAAAATATATTAGGAACTGTTGATTTATCTCAATCAAAAATATCGTATTGGTGATAAACAACTTTGAAGTAATGTCCTAATAGCCTCCTTGTAGAAAGGAGTTCAAATTCAGGATTATCAGACTCCATTACTGTGCTTGCACAAACAATGTAATGATCTCTGCAGACACTGAAAGATTCATCAAGGCAAGTAATATAGATATCATGCTCCCTATTGATATTCCTCTTTGATAAGGTTATGTGGCATGATTTTGATAAATCATCAATAATAGGATGCAGAAAAATATAGGTGGCTCTCAATATTGTTTGCTGCTTTTTTAGCTCAATAAATTTCTTATTCCCCCTCCGTGAACGAACAAAACCATTAGAAAAATCCCTATTTTTTGCCCAAAAGCCTGCCTTCGTGAGCGAAGAAAATTTGTTTAATAGAAAAATTTTTATAGAAAAAATATTTGATATATAAGTGATAATTATTATATGAAATCTTGAGCTAAATTCTGTTTAATTTCAAAACAGATTGTGCTCTAAAACATAAATTTTACAAATTAAAGTAATATTTGCTTTTTTAATTTTTGCGAAGTGGAATTTTTTAAATTTCGAAAAATAAATTTTCTATAAAATTTATATGCAAATTTTTTAAAAAAAAAAAAACTAAACCCCTCTAGGGAAGGGAATTAGCATAATCTGGGCTGCATATTATTGCATTTGCTCTATATTTCTCATCATTTATGCTAATTTCTATTTTTTCACTGCTGTTTTGGAAATTTATGTCTCCAATAGTAGAAGAAAGAGTTAATAAATTACCATATATTGCTGTTAACCTAGAGCATCCCTCAATAATAGAAGATAGACCATAAAGGGGATATATAAACTGATTATAATCCTCAATTTCAAATGAGCTCATTTTTCTCTTCAAATCCATTAATACTTCAAGCGAATTTTGACTAAGAGTGTCTTCTCATCTTACTCCAATGTAATGTTTAATGAATTCAAGAGACACATCGCTTAAGCTAAAATTTAAAATAAGCTCTCGAAATGGGGTTTCAGATAAATTTGCTCCATTATAAATAAATCCGTTATAAAAATCATTTCCTTGGATAAAATTATAAAAATTTTTGCTCTGATCTATCTCATTTACTCCCATCAAATTCGTTTCTATTACTTCAATGCAGTTTTTAGGGATCGCTTTTAAATTATTTTTTCAGAGGTCAGTATCTATGGGTCCAGTGCTTATAAAGGTCCTTTCGATATTTCTAAATTCTAAGTAATCTAATAGTGCACTTGAATATAATAATTTAATGAATTTTCCTTTTCAGTTGATAAATTTTGAGATGAGGTCAAATATCCATTTCCTAGGCATCCCCAGGAATTGTGGAATTGCTCCATTATTTGGAATGCTATTTCAATATTCATTCAAATCCAGATATCTCATCTCTCCCCCATAAAAGTTATTTTTGTCTGCTTGAAGCACCCTTTTCCCATTAGCTGAAAGCAAGATACTAATAAAACTTTCAGTTATCCCAGTGCCTAAGACAATATAATCATAATCAGTTTCCATTTATCCTAATTAACTTAAAAAACTCAATTAATTATACAGTACAATCGAATCCTCTACAATTCTGATTTCCTCCTTTTCTGGGTCTCCAGCGTGCTTTCTATGAGTTCGTCCACAGCTAAATTATAATCAACATCGTCTTCTTTAACCTCTACTCTAACTTCTGCATAACTTAGTTCATTATATTTGACATTTAATTCATAGAAATCTACATTTATCATATTCTGAAAATTTTCTAGTCAGTTTATATACCCGTCAAGTTTCCATTGAGGCTCACTCTTAAGGTTTTCCAATACCTCCGCGGTGCTTTCGTTAAGTACACATTTCGCTGCATAAGCTGCAAATAGCAAGGACTCCTTCAATCTCGCATAGGATGCCTGCCATCCAAACCTGTCCAGATAGATCTCCCAAAGCACAATTTCTATGTCAGAAAGTAGCAATAAGTGAAAAATCTTGAAAACAATTGGAAAAATAGTGTCAAAAGAATGGGAAGTCACTGAACTTCCTGATCTTGAGAGCTTCAGGAGAAAAAGATATGCCTTGTAGCTTAAACCGATATCGGAAATCGACTTTTTTTGGTTGAAAAAAGTGTCCGGTAAAAGGGTGGGGGAGGTTTCTTTGTGAGAATAGATGAAGCTTGAGCTAGTTTCTTGGCCTTCTGATTCATAATCGGTATCCATTTTATTATAAGAACTTTTCTGACAATTTGAATTGAAGTCGAAATTAAAATGAAGTTGAGGGGACAATCACAATTTTTGGTTCTGATTAAATTTGCTGGATAATAATAAAATTGCTTATTTGAGACTTTTTTTTTATTTGGAAATATTATTATGGATTCGGTTTAACTCAGCGATATAGTAACACCCTGATGCATAGGATGGAGCTCCTTATCATTGGATTTAGGAGGTATAGGTGCTTTAACGCGTAATTCTTCCGAGGAATAAGAAATTTAGGGAACACTATAGAGTCATACTAGAGCATGGCATTGTGCGCCATAAGGTTTTTATGTCCAGGCCTGTAGGGTTGTCAAAGTTCCAGATTTCCTCCAACAGATAAAAATGGTGACATAGGAATGCCTATAATGTCACATGTTGGAGTTAAAAGGGTAGGCCATGCCTAAATCACCCTGCTAAAGAGATAACACGCTATAACTGAGTAATTATGATAATGGATAATGATTAAATTTGCTGGAAATCTTGAGAAATTATTATAAGAGAATTATGAAAGGAATTTAAAATAAAGATGTAAAGGAAATATTTTTTTATTTCATTTAATGTAGGAATTAATGTAAATTTGTTAAAAGCTTTAGGACACACTTAAAAATGGTGTGGCGAATCAGCCTGCCCTCTTAATATCTGTAGCCAGACGGATTCTGGAGACCTTGTGGAAGGGAGAGCAGCGTGTGGCGAGAGTATCCTGACTGGTTTTACTGTTCTGTCCAAGGCAGGGTTTACCTTGTGGGATGATGGAGCTGGGGAGTTGGAAAGGGATAATTCAGCAAGGCCGGAGGGCGTTCTCTTGGACATCGAACAATTTCCCAATGAGATACCAGAAGTATGTCCTAGGCTAAAATCAGTCTGGCTGATAGCTTGACTAGAAAATTCACTATTGAATTTTCATAAAGAGCGGCTTCGTTGAATTGCAGTATGATAACCCAGCGTCTTTATCTTGGGCGGCAAGTGCAGGCCCTCTTCCGGATGGACCAGCACATTACTTTAGGCCGTAAAATCTGACTGGTAAGCAAGAGTGTGGAGCAAATCAAGAACCTAAAAACCTATATGACTGGCCGGGATTTTTTCGACAATAATTTAAGTAAAGCTAAGTTTAAAGCTTAGGGCTTTACATATTGGAATAGTTTGAAGAAAAATTAGAAAAAGGCCATGCTTTTTGCTATCAGTGATTTCTTTTTTTTTCCTTAGCCCATAAGCTTCTATAAATCTTTGATATATTAAACTAAAAAATGTCAATTAAGAGCAAGATTAGGCTAAAAAAATTATTTTCGAAAGAAAAATCTGCTCTTAATTGATGATTTTTATAATTGGTCAACTCTAAATGCATATTTTATTTCTGACAAATCTATGGAAATCCATACAACTCAAGTTGGGTTTCAATTCAAAACTCAAACAAGACTAGGTGAAGAAGTAAGAATTGCTGGCAACTGTGACGCTCTTGGCAATTGGAACCAACTCTCTGGCCCAGTGCTTTGCACTGACCACAACAGATACCCATTGTGAACTCTCCCTTTTCCGATCTCTTTACCAATGGACACAGAACTCGAGTACAAATACGTTTACGTATATAACGGCACACCTCGTTGAGAAGACCTTCATTGCAATCGAAAAATAAGCTTCTTTCCTTTGAATAACCCCATTTTTAGCTTCAAAATTATATTCTCTATAAATTGATATAAAAAATTGAACATAAGAACATTTTAGTTGAAGATGAAGCTTTAACCAATATCTCAAGAATCATCATAAAACAACAAGAAGTTTCAAGTACTTTGATGCATTCCTATGAGACTTCCAGCTATTTCATAGACGAAAACATCGCATTCACCAATACAGATGCAGTTATTATTGCTTCAATGAGACTTCCAGTGAAAGTCTCCATAAACCCGAACTATAACCCAAATGAGCCAGGCTCTGAAAAGTGGCTCTTTGAGAAAACTAAAGGGATTTGGCTGACTGCTCTTTTTGATATAGCCATACAAGAAGGCATCCAGTTCTTGTGGGTTGGGTGGCCAGGGATATGAATTGACGACGAAAGTGAGCAGGAAGACCTGAGGAACATTTTGAAAGAAAAATACTACTCAATCCCTTTGTTTATCCCAGAATCCATAATGGAAGCACACATGAAATTCTGCAATCTCATTTTGTTCCCAATTTTTAACTCTATTATAGGGACAAACTCAAAAACGATTCCCCAGTATCCAAATCATCTCTGGGAAGCTTATAAAAATGTAAACTCAAGATTTGCAGACGCAATTATGAATTTCCATTCACGACAAATGATATGAATCCACGACTACCACTTATTGTTAACACCAAGTTTTATATCAAGAAGAACACACAAAATCGTTAATTTAGGACTATTTATGCATGTACCTTTTCCCAGCTCAGAAATCTATAGGGTACTCCCACACAGAGAAACACTATTAAATGCTATGCTATGCTGTGATTTAATAGGTTTTCATTTATTTGTGTATGCCAGACATTTTTTGGCTGCTTGCAAATTCATATTAGGGATCGACCATCAGCTTTCCAGAGGAGGGTATTTAATGATAAACTATTTTGAAAGAAGGGTAATGATCAGAATTGGGCATCTAGGCATTGAGCCAAGAGTTATCCAAGAAGCTCTACAAACAGAGGAATTTAAGAATATTCAAAAAGAACTTAACATAAAATACAAAGGTAAAAAAGTCTTATTAGGGATAGATCCACTGCATGTCTTATCAGGAATCACTTTGAAGCTAAATGCATTTAGAGAAGCTTTGAGAAGCAGAATTAATTTTGTCAACAAAGCAGTGCTCCTGCAGATTCTGACTGAAGCAAAAACAGTTAGCACTCCTGAAAGAGAAGAAATCAGAGAAGAGCTATATAGGCTGAAGGATGAAATTAATAGAGAATTTAGACGGGACGTAGTAGAATTCATTGAAACTGATGTGACTGGGGAAGCTAGATACGCTTTTATGTCAATTTCTAATGGAATCGTAAATACCTCACTTAGAGATGGATTGTGTTTGACACCATTTGAATTTATTGTCGTCAATATGGAAAGAGACGCAGATATAGTCATTTCAGAGTTCGCTGGAGTTACTAGAGCATTGAGCAGCTTAAGAAGAGTCAATCCATTCAATATTTCAGAACTGGAAGGCGAAATTTATAATTTGATGGCAGATGAGCCAAAAAATCATTCTAAAAGACAAAGAGATCTCAGCTATATACTAACAAATACCACCTTTCATTGGGCCAAAAACTTTTTGACTGATCTAAAAAGAGCTGTAAAAGACCCTAAAAACTATCAATATGTGACGCATGGACTTGGAGATAGGCTAAAATTAATTGCACTGAATAAAAATTTTAGGATGCTTGATGGGAACAGTTTGCTCAAGGCGTATGGAAATTCCCGTCACAGAGCATTTTTCTTTGATAATGAAGGGACATTATGCAATTTACTAAAAAATCATGAAATCGACAATTCTATCGGGCCAAGTGAAAAAATCCTTAACTCATTAGCAGAGCTATGCAAGGACGAGAGAAATAATGTATTTGTTATAACTGGAAGATCAAAAGATATTGTTGAAAGATGATATGGAAAAATCCCACTTTTAGGGATGGCAGCAGAATACGGAGCTTTTATTAAACAAAATAATGATCTGAAATGGGAACTAAGTGCTCAAGGTAGCCATCTGTGGAAAGAAACTGCTAAACAGATCATTGAAGCTTATGTCATGAGAACTGAAGGGTCAAGAATTGATGAAAAAGAATGCTCTGTCGTATTTCAATACCGAGATACAGATCTAGACCTTGGAGCCTGGCAAGCAAAAGAGCTTGTCTCCCATTTGGAGATTTTATTGAAGCCGTTTTTAGACGAATGCGAAGTTTCAGTCGGCTTAGGCTATGTAGAAGTAAAGCCTCGTGGGATTTCCAAAGGAACAACAGTTTACAAAATCCTTGAAGAACTTTATGAGCGCCAAGGACCAGTCGATTTTATATTAGCAATCGGCGACGACGTCTCTGACGAAGAAATGTTTAAAGTTATCCATGGTTTGAAAAGAGAAAAAAGTCATTTACTAGACAAAAATCCTCTCATATTTACCTGTACTGTTGGAAAAAAGCCAAGTCAAGCTGAACTCTATGTAAACGATGTCAATGAAGTGCAGCATATGCTTGATATGATAAGAGGCTGCCTAGGGAGCTTTAAGAAAAACTTTTCCCATGACGACTTAATTTCACTTTCACGAAATCGGCCAACTCCACTTCTAATGACCCCTGATGTAAAAAAATTCAAAAGAGACGCAGTCTTAGAGCTCAATGAAAGTGAAGAAGACGAGGCTGTAAGCCCTAGGCAAATATTTAGAGACAAGAAGAGAAGATCTCAAACGTTCATCCTCGAAAGAAGACTAACTTAATTGTAATTTCTCTTAAAACTCTTTTACGTTAAGAATTGCTTCAGCTTGCTCCAGAGCAGACAGCAGAATTGCAATTTCAGATTTATACATAGAAAACTGCAGAATTTTGGAGGAATTTTCTTTGGCCAGCTTTAAATTCATTGTTGCTAGTGGTTCTGAAAGAGACTCAGTGTCCTTCCCTAGTGTAACGACGTCTACGTTCCAGCTTGGCTCAGTTTTTACTTTTCATTCGACTTCTCTTGATTCAAGATGTTTCCTGATAATAAAGCCTTTGTGCTCAGCCCAGATCCCAGCTAGGACAAGGACTTCTGTTTCATTTAGATTTTTAGAGGTCAGGAATTCCTTGACGTCTGAAGGATTGTTCTGTAGAAGTTGTTCAATTAATGAGATGTAAGCTTTTGCTAAATTTTCTAATTGAGGCTTTGTAAGAGAAGTTCGGCCATCGAGCTGCTCTAACTTTCTTCTAATTAGAAGTATATATACTGTTTGTTATTTTGTAAAAATCTTTTATACTATTTAACTGCAATTAAAAAACAATAATAGTCTTTCCAAAAATTGAATAAAAAAAACTGAAATTATATTAAAGATTTATTATTAACTCCCCCCCCATCCTTGATCGAACGACTCGCCATCGTTCGATCAAGGATGGGGGGTTAAAAAATTTTATATATAAAACAAATATATATATATATATTTTTTTTATTTACTTTTAAATAAGAGGGTTAAGAGTATTTAATAATTATTTTTACAGCAAAAAATTGAATTAATTTCATAAAAATAACAAATTTTTAATATTTTGATTTATTAGTTACCCCTTTAAACTGTATAAATTTTAATTTGTTCCTTATTAAATTAATTTTTTTTTAAAAAAATTTTAAAGAATCTGTATTTTATTAGATTATTGAGTTTTTAAGCCTAGGTTGATGATTAAATCACTTCAGATGGTTGATTCCGAAGCTTTCCGTCGTCTCAAAGTCTCTGAAAACAACTTCATTATGTGCATCTTCCCAAGCTTTTGATAACTAATATATTTTTATATATATATAAAAATTGTCATGATATGAAAATCGTTCGATCAAGGATGGGGGTTAATTTCCCCAATTTTTAGGAATTCTTGCAGTCAATCGTTAGATCAAGGATGGGGGGGAGTAAGTAATTATATAAAATTCATTTTAATTTGATTTATAAATTTTAGATAAAAAATCTTAAGCTATTTTTTAATAGAAAAGGAGTAGGATATCATTCAGAGATAACTCTGAGTCTTCGTAAAAATGCAAGCGGACAAGAGCGTCAATATAAGCTTTGAGAAGCGGTCTGGAGAGTTGTTCTTGCATAAATAAATATGTATTTATAGATATTCATTTCTTCCACTTTTAGTAGTAATAATAGAAGTTTTCAATCCAAATATCAAAGAAATTTTTTTTCGCATGCAAATAAGCAGTGCAATTAATTTTCTTTTAATAATAAAATATTATACTTATATCCTTTGCAAGTTATAAAAATTGCAAAATTCATTAATTATTCCAATTTATAAGCTCGATTTATGCTTAAAGTCAAGCCAATGGAGTTTTAAAAATAAATAATTATCTGGCAGAAAAATGCTCAGAAGATTGATTTTTCTTCGACCTCGAAAGTGTGCAGTAACCAGATTTTTTTCATCAAATAAAGACACAGACAACTTGAGAAAGCAATTTCAGAAGCTTTCCAAAGAAATGAATGAAACAACGGCAGAGACAAAAAGTACTGATGAAATCAAAATTAAGGATCAGGCTAAAATGACTGAAGACCTTAAAGCACAGTTCAAAGGCGTAAAAGAAGATCTCTCTGACTCCCCCTTTAAATTGGAATAAAAAATCCTGTTCAAATTTAGAGGGGGTTAAATTTTTTTTAAAAAAAAATTATTCTCTATAAAAAAATTTTTAAAAAATCAAAAATTATAAATTGAAACCAATATTTTGAATTTTAATTATTTTTATAAAAATTAATTTAAAAAATAAATTGATTCAATATGAAAGCTGTTAAATAATACCCTACTTGAACTTTTCCGTTAAATCAGGCGAAAAATAATTATAAAAATTAGTATTTCTATCATCTATAAATTCCTTTTTGAAAAAATTTCTGTTCCCAATTTAAAGTACACAAAAAATAGAATTTTTACCTATGTTTTGTTCTAATTAAAGGGAGGCTAAAGATCCCAAAATGGAAATTTTAAATATATTTTGTTTCAATTTAAAGAGGGGCAGTAAGCAGACAGGCCAAGCTAAGACTGCTCAAGAACGCTTAAAAGAAGCTTGGCAAGACTTTAGTATGCCTAAATTTACGATGCCAGACTTTTCGAAATGAAAAATACCTCTAAAAGCTAGAGAAAAAGCAGAAAAAACGGAAAAAGAGCCAGAAGAAGCTAAAAAAGAAGAAAAAATAGCTGAAAGCACACAAGAATCATCAGAAGCCAAAGAGGAAAAAAAAGAAGAAGCTCCACCAAAAATCCCTTACTACGAGAAATATCCCAAACTTAAGATAGTTCACAAAGCACAATGCTATATCAAAGAATCTTTACGAGAAACCTTCCCTGATCAAGAATACAAAGTAAGCCAAATGAAAGAAAACGCCAAAATCCAAAAAGCCAAAGAAGAAGAACTTAAAAAGTGGCTAGAAGAGCACCCAGGCGATGAAAACGTCCCTGAATGGAAAAAAGGCGCTTTACAAGTGGTCCAAAAAAAGCAGACGAAATGGGAAAAACTCAAAGAAAAGGTAACCGGCTCAAAACTCGGGAACAAAGTCAATGAATCCACTCAAACAATTCTTAGCCAAGAAGGCGTCAAAAAGGCCAAAGAAAATGTGCAAGATATCAAAGAAGGAATTCAGTCAATCGGACTTGACATTAAAGACTCTATTCAAATGTCAGACAACAGAATCATTCAAGCTGGCAGAGAGATGCTAAGCCAAGCATCAGTTGAGTCAGCTCAAGCAAAAGCAGTAAAAGCCATGAGGGCATATGATCCTGACTTTGATATTTATCAACTGGAAAACGACCTCGAGCACATTGTTGTTGATTTTTATCAACATTTCTTAGACCTCAATAAACTAAATGATTAAACTGGCCATAAGTGGATAGCCAGCTAGCTTTTGCCTCGTCTAGACTCCAAGAATAACAGTCTCTATAGTAGCTCTTGGAATTCGAATGGGGAAAATGGAAGGCTGCCATTTTGGATTTTCGGCCTGAGCACTTGCCTAAGGGATTAACCCTTGGGGTGGAGCTACCATGACGGTGCTGACAAGGGAATAATACCATATGGTAGGAAAAACCTGTCTAGCCCATCTGAAAGGGATAGAAAAACCTTCGGGAAGAAACAAAATTTCCCTCTTCGGCAGGTTATTCTCAAATCTGAAGACCTACCGGACAGAGGCCCTGCTTTTAGCTTCATCGGGATGGTCCTATCTGTGCCATAGGTAGTAAGCCTTGGATTCCAATTTCTGTTAACATCACCATTCTATTTTTAGATCTCAATAAGGAATATGTGAAAAACGTTACTGATGGGCCTGCACGTGAATTTATGCTGAAGCTTATTGAAGGAAGAAAAGAGGGTGGAGGAGTACACAAACAGGAAATTTATGAGGTGACGAGACCTGTCTTCTTAGGGGTGAATCTCGAGGAAAAACAAAATCCTAGGTTTAGTTTCAGCTGCACTGTTAAGTATTCTAGAGCAAATACAGATGAAGACGATAGGAAAACCAAGAGCAAACTCCACAAAATAAATTATTTCTTTATGATAGCAAGACATCCAGACCCTGATTTTGAGGTTTATGGGCACCCATGGCAGTTTATTGTGTTCCAACCTGCCGAAGATCAGCTCAGACTTGGCTAAATATATAAAAAATAAATATATACTATTTATGATTGTTTATGATATATCTCAGCATCAAGTTCCTTTAGTAAAAGAAAACTCTAAAATAATATGAAATGGAATTTTCATTAACAGTGAAGCTTAATAATAATTTCAGTTGAATATACTTTTTGAGGGATAATAAAGAATGGCATTTCGATACCATTAAGTAGGAATAGAAAGAAAAAAATAGCAAATCCTAATTAATTTTAAATATTGAGACTTATTTTTCTTCAACAAGTATATATTAAAAATTGCAATTAACTATTATTTAACGCAAATAAACCATCACATCATCAATTGCGTAGCTTGCATTGCATGGGTCTCCCTTTAGCGTTGAGCCAAATGTAACTTCCAAAATCCCACCACTATGAGGAATAGTTACATCTACAGGAACTGCAAATTTCGCATCAGGCTGTTTTCCTCCACATATATCAGCTCCTTGTTCATGAGAAGTTCCCGTCATAGTCCATACAATTTTCCCATCTGCCTTCATATAAGCAGTCTCTCCTTCCCATTTATCCAGCATATGATAATTAGCTGAAATTTTTACCATGTTATGAGGAGGCAGCTTGAATTTTTTCGAAACTTCTTCATGAGAAAATGCACAGTGGCCGCCTAAAAAAAAATCTTCCCCATCACAAGTGTTTCTTTTATCATGGCTCCACCCATGAGATCCCAATTCAAAATCATGGTGATCTCTTAAGACCCAGCTGGTTTCAAGAAAAGAGCTTTCAGAAGACGAAGGAGAGTTGATAATTAAATTGGCGTTGATTGTGATTGTGTCGCTTAATGCATATATCTCATCAAGCGATAACTCAGATAAGATTATTGATGAGGTCTCAACTTGGTCAGTTGTTATATCTTGGGATGTAGAAATCGTGCCTGTTGTGTTTATAGAGCTTGCTTCAATGCCTTCACAGGAAAGAGTCCCTGTAACCTCAAGATCGCTTGCAAGATTAACTGATGTACTGAGGGCAAAGGGTAGAAAAAGCAAACAAATCATAAAACGAATATTTTTCATTTTATTTATTAATGCTTTTAACATATAAAAATATTAATAGAAAGGATCTGTTTGAAATTCGCCTTTTAGGTGCCTTTTATGTGATCGTTGTTTTAAAAAGAAACAACAATTGCAGATACACCTGGTATCTCACCTAAATACAAGAGCCTTTATATGCACTGAATGCCAAAAAACCTATAAGTACAAAAAAGGCTTAAATAGGCACATTCGGAATAATCATGGCAGTCTATGGGTAGAAATAAAGGAATCAAGAAGCAGAAGAAAATAGATTGCATGATTGCTCATGAAGAGTGCTTAGACTTGCAGAAATTATATGACAGCTTTACAGTTGATCTCTGCAATCTCAAATCAACTCTACTCCTCCAATGTTGAAGGAGATGCGCCTTCTACATGCTATGGTTCACCTCAGTACCAAAACAATCCTATGGAAGCAACCAAGACCACTACTTATCGTCAGATTTTGGAAACTCAAACAAACTATCAAGAGGAGCTCAAAACCCAACACCAGAAATTCAAAAAGTTTGTCAGAAATTAAATCTTTTAATTTTATCAGATGAGATCAGACTAAGATCTTTTATCAGAAAATTAATTTAAGATCAGAACCTATTTTATCAGAAAAATAATTATAGATCAGATTCAGATCAAAATCGGAATATTCAAAATAATATACAAGTTTGAAAAATTGAAGAGAAGAAATAAAGAATTATGCGTTTTTACACGTTTAAACTTTAATAATAATAACATATAAAAATTAAATTACTTATTATCGCTTTTGTTTTTTCTTTTCTTTTAGGAGCTTTAACTTCTTAAAGTCATCTTGGCTGATAGGAGGGTCAATTTTTTTGGCTAGAAGGTTGTCCCAATTAATGTCTCTGAAAAAGTTATGTTGCTTTACTTGCTGAATTGTTGGGCGTTCTTCTGGATTTTTTTTCATTACTAAATTAATCAAGTCTTTAGCATCTGAGTCCATGGGCTCTGGGAATATTATTTTTGACTTAGAGATTCGCTGATATAAGACAGTGATATTTTCTGTATAAAATGGAGGCTGACCTACAAGCATCTCATATAAATTTGCACCAATGCAGTAAACATCTGCAGGTTTCCAAGCTCCAGTTTGAGCAAGAAGTTCAGGTGGCAGATAAGCGGGTGATCCACAAAATGACATGGCTGGGTTAGATTCAGTCACATTTTCTTTTGCTAAGCCAAAATCAGCAAGTCTGATATGCCCTACTTCATCAACCAAAATATTCTGAGGCTTCAGATCACGATACACAATGTCTAGCGAATGCAAATGTTCTATCGCCAATATAATTTCAGCTATATAAAACTTTGAGATAGCCGTGCTCAAATAGTGAGCATGCTCTAAAATCAACGATAAATCTCCATTAGGACAGTACTCTAAAGTCATAAACAAGTGCCGATTTGTCTGAAACGCCCAATATATCGGTATAATAAAAGGATGTCTTATAGACTTTAATATCTTGCACTCAGCAATAGCATACCTCAGCTGCTTTTTTGACTTCAGCATAGGCTTATTAAGTACTTTTAGTGCATAAGTTTCTTGACTGTCCTTTTTAATGACCTTGTATACATGTCCAAAGCTCCCAGAACCAATTTCTTCAATGACATCAAAACTATTTTCATTAATATGTCTTCCTTCATCATATTCCACGGCTTCTTCTTCAAAGCTGAGCCGGTGTTCAAAGCTTGACATTTGCATAGGGACTCGGTTTTCTTCTTGAGTTTCCAGCCATTCTTTGTTTTCTGGGTGATGGATGTATAAGTGAAAGAAGTTGATGCACTCGTATAATCGGCTTATTCATTCTGCTGATTTGTCTTTAGAGGCTGTATAGTACTTTAAGGTGATATCACGAGTGCTTACAATAAAATAGAATTTGCCTTCAGACATGGTAGAAGTCACACTTTTTACTTCTTGGATATCAATGAAGGGTATTATAATGTCAGGCTGAGAGCCTTCTAAATACGCGTTTTTCGTATTATAATGTACGAAAGTCCCATTTTGGGTGTCAATTACTAGAAATACCAGCTTGTCATTGATTTGCCAAGAGGAAATCGAATAGACTTCGCCTGTAAACCCTGAAGGCCGCTCTTCTGTTTTCTTGCCGTATTTTTCTAATAGCTCTTCTCCAATGTATTTTGGTATCAGTTCTGCGATTTCTATATTAGTTGCCAGCTCTAATGCGGTCTTCCCATAAGGATCTTCTAATTTTATAGCAGCTTTCCGATCAAGAAGCACCCTAACAATTTCTGTATACCCCATTAATGAAGCTAAATGAAGTCCAGTTCCTCTTTCTGCAGTCATTTTATTAATTTGCACATATGGTTGGTTAAGTAGCATTTCTACACATTCCTTATACCCTTAAGTAAAATTGTGACGTTGACGGAAATAGGACTCCGAGGCGCACTCCTTATGGACCGATCCTGATGAAATTAAAAGTAGGGTCTCTGTTCCTTTTATAGTAGGCCTTTAGGGTTTAGGAATGCCTTGCCGTACAGGGAAGTTTTGTTCCTCCCTCGAAGGATTTTCTGTCCCTGTCAGATCGGCTAGACAGGTTTTATCTACCACATGGGTTTTTTTTCTATCACTACTATCGAGGCACTTAACATCGTGGCCCTTCCCTATGAAACCATCCCTTGGACAGATGTTTTCATTAGGAAATCAAGAGTGACCTTTTGGAGCCAAGATAGGCGACTGCTACTGGGATTTACCCACTTATGTCCAGCATAACTTATAACTTGACTTATGTCCTTGATAGCAAGCTATTTGCAAGGGAGTCCAATGGTCATCAGTTTCAATGTTGCAGTTTGCACCTAATTCTATTAACTCTTTTACAATATTTGCATGACCCATATAGCAAGCAAAATGGATGCAACTTCATTTTCCATTATGAGGAGAGTTCAATAGTTCTGTAATGTCTTCTACTAGCACTCTCATATTGCGAGTTCTCATGTAGTCTTTGAGGACTGAAAATAAATCACGGACTTTTCCTTCTTGACAAGCGATGACACATTGAGTCAGCCAGGGTTCATAGTCTACGCTTGGGTTTTCGATTTCTTCTGTTTCTTGGATGCTTTCTATATGAGGAGTAGGAGTAAGAGAACCTTTCTTTTCAGTTGAAGCTGCTGGCGCTGGGTTGAATACAGGCTGAACAGAGTGCCTTCTTACTACTTTGGGGGTTTCTTCGGAACCTGCTTGAGGAACTATAGGGTTTTCTGTTGTTTTCTAACTCTAGCATTATAATTATTTTTAATTTTATTTTAAGTCATAATTTCTAACTAATTTTTAAGTAATTTATGGTCCATTTCCTTAAATTAAATTGCGTGGTATATAAGCTATTATAAATTTTAGACATTAGAAATCCATACTTTAGCATTTAGTTATAAAATAATCAAATCCTAAGGTAAGTAAATTTTACAGCTTCTAAAAAGATTTGACTCCCATTTTGCACATTGAATAGTGAGATTTTCGATGAAGTCGGAAGCAAAATCTATTTATCAAATACTCTTGCTCCTGAACTGAACAAACTTAATTTCTGTAGATGAGGGGGCACCAGTGTTATTCGAGCTACTTCATCTTTGAGATCTTTTACTTTTGTATTCGGCTCAACGTTGAGTTCAAAAGTGTTATCCCCAAATTTGATAGTAATTTTCATTATGTCGACAACTTTAAAAAATAATTTCATATTTCGATTGTGATTTCTCAATCAAATTTAAGCTAAATTAATATCAAAAATATCTTTCAGTTTAAATTACGTTTAATTCTAAATCAATATACACGAGCATGTATCACTTCTCATTCCGTCCTTTTTAGATTGTGTCTTAAGGGTGTTTTGATACTGCACTAACTGGGAGACAAACCCATTATTTGGCTGTGCTTCTGGGTGCTTCTTTTTTATACTTCTTTTCTTGGAGTGGCGCTGCAAGTGCAGGCCACTCCATGTGGAATTCCTGTGTTGGTTTAACCAACATAGGAGTTGGTCGAACCAAAACTGTGCGTTGGTTCGACCAACCCATGAATTCCCCATGGAGTGGCCTGCGCTTGCAGCGCCACTCCAAGGAAGTTTCTATATGCTAAAATTTATTAATGGGTATAATCATTATTTTTAAATATTTTAACTTAAATTAATTTATAATAGTATAATAATTCTAGTGCTTGAGTAAATCCAATATTCTTTGTCTTCATCAAATATGCGATTAAAATAGTTGGAGCTCTGGAAATTCCAGTGTCACAATGAATGAGGATTTTTCCTTTTTGCTTTACACAATTCTGAATAAATTCGGAGCATTCTTCAAAATATTGATGAATGTTGCAAGACGCAAGATCGTAAATGTTGATTTGCTTATAAGTGTATTGGTTTGGAAAACGCTGTGCTAGGCCTTCTCCTACAATTAATATGTGGGTTATTTGGTGATGCTGAAGTAATACTATGTTGGACGCTGCATCGTAATTTCCAATCAAAATTCCTGGAATCACCTTATTGATAGTGTACATTTATTGAGGTTTTGAAAAAAATTTAGAAGATTAAACTGTATTTTTCACATTATTTCTTGACTGAGCTTTTCAGGATAGAATAACACCAGCACTTCAAATATTATTAGAAAATTTTGAGCTAAGATGAATCATATAGTTAATTAACTTTTAATGGATGGCCTTCTGTATTAAAAACCCATTCGTCCAAATCAAAAGGCTGATCTTCAGAAAGCAAAAGATACAGATACTTTAAAGTTTCAGCAAGAAAATAGCTCTGCATCCTATCAGTACGTCCAGGTGGCACTGTATTCGCGTTTTGTAGCTCGGAGTATCCTACTGACAGTTTTGCATATTTTTGAATGGCTTTAAAAATTTCCCATCCCCATTTCTGGTATTTTGCGTCATGTGTATAATAATAAAAATATCAAAATGACTCAATTGTCTCTGGTCGGAGCCCATGATCTGTATTTTTTAATATAGGAAACTGTATTCCATTATTTATCATAGCACTTTCAGTTGCAAGGCCTGTTGCACTTTTATGGTTCATTTGGTAGCAGGTTGAAGCTAATTCTTGTGATAAGAAAATAATCTCATCACGTTTGTCAAGATATGGAAGACTGTTGGCAGCAAGAATCATTAGTCCTGGATAATAGCAAGCAAATTGATGGAATTCTGGAATTAATGCATTATTCGATTTATAGCCTAAAAAATAAAGTCCAGAGCTGTCTTGGCCTACGAGGTTGTCTATAACTGCATTTAGGCTTCTAACAAATCTCTCTTTAAGTGATTCATTAGTTTTATTTGTGTGAAGGTATTCTTTCAACAAATATTCATAAAAGCTGTCCACGCCTGCAGCAACTGAAAATTTGTCCACATAATCTCCATTAAGTGTAATTTTATTAGGAAATAAATCTTCTTTTCAGATATTGAATACATGTTTTATTATTGAATTCGCAAGATTAGCATAGATAGAATTTTTTGTATGATGTGATAGGGCAGATAATTCAAGCTGCAAACTTCCAAAGCCAGCAAGTGATAAGTAGGTATCTTTTCAATTTGGCTCAAAAATAGATAAAAATGATCGATCCAGACTAGATCCTGTTTTTCTTTTGAAATTGAATTTTGGATAGGGAAAATTATGAGGTAGAGTAAATGAATGGACCATTAAATCTCCAAGTTCTGTTGCCTTTTGAAGAAAAATAGAGTCTTTTGATAGTTCATAGCTTGCCATCTCCGTGAGAGAACAAAATTTTTTGTTCGCTAACAGAGGGGGGTAATTTTTTTAAAAAAAATTATACAAAAAATTTAAAGCAAAAATTAATTTATTTTGTAATTTTAAGTTTTAAAATGCAAGCTGTTTAAATTCAACAGAGTAACTAGAGTTTCCATTATACTATTTATCACTTATATATCAAAACATTTTTATATTAAAAATTTTTGTTCGCTCACGGAGGTGATTTGCCCAGATTTTCTCAATGGTTTTGTTCGCTCACGAAGGGAGGGAGTAAGCACTTAAAAGCCCTCCTAGAATTCTGATATTGACTTCAAATACAGAAACTTCGCAATCACAAGCTGAGAAGTCAAGCGAGTTTTTCACCCATTCTTTAGCCTCTTTAAATTCTTCATCCATACCAAAAATTCATAATGTGTCTAATGAGTCAATAATTGTAGATCCCATATAAAGCCAATTCTTGCCATTCTATATGGATTCTACCCTAGAAACTGGCATTAATTCATCAAATCCTCAAGAATAGCGCTTGTATGAAAACCAAGCATGCTTAAATGCTCCTTTAATTTCTTCTCGACAAGTTTCTAAGCTCGGCATTGAGATGTCAGTCTATTTAAGTATTACTTTGATATCAGCTCTTGGAGGCTTCAGATAGCTTAAAGCAAGGATACTAATAATCATTCATAAAATTAACGCTGCAATCATCACTTTTAGGGAATTGTTTCCTAAGAGAAGGTGAAGTCTTTTCATTATTTTTTAAATTTTAAGAAACATTGAATTTTAAAAATGAAAAATATATAATATAAGCATATCTTTAATAAATCCAATAATAGAGGAATTTAGAAATAATAAATAAATTTATCTATACACTTTTTATCTATCAGCTATTCTAATTGGTTTAATTTTATAGTTGTGATGATTTTATAATCCTAATATAATTTTAAGATCATCTTCAATAAACACCATGCTTCTTAATAGTCTAATGGTTCATTCATTATATATATAAGATTAAGAGATCAAAGCGATATGACTTAAGAAAGTATAAAAAAATTGAATAACTTATAAAGAGAAATTAGATATATTAGATCTAGCCCTAATTTTATTAGTATTTATAATTAGCTTTGACATTGTGGAAACGTGCTTTTAATGAGGATTAATATAAGCTACACCTAAAATGGCGTCAAATTATCTTCAAGTTCAACTTGATTCACTTAATGCTTCAAAAATAATTCTTGATTCAATCTCAATACAAAAACAAATTAATTTAAATGATTAGAACGAATACTAACTTAAGCAGGGAGTATTACCAGAGCCTCTTTTTAACTCCTAATTGATGAAGTCAGTAGCCATCTTGACATATAAGCATTCAAAAAGTCAAAGCCAAGAACTAGGTATACTTCACTGATCTGGTTGATTACTTCTAAATAGGCTCCAGTGTTTGCTCAGCTAAGAATCACCTTCCTGGGCCTGCCAAGCGGTAAAAAACTCAACTTATAAGTACCTCAGAACAGATCTCAGAGCTTTTAGAATCGATACACCTAGTTACCTGAATATTAGAAAAAATATCCACTGGAAAAACTGAATCCGATAATAATAAAATGCCAGAAAAGTTGCTTGTGATAACTTATTCCAACAATTCATTTTTTATTATATTTCAATCTCAATACAAGTTTCTGACTCCTTCATCTCCGTTTTTACATCAGTCCAAGCCAAGCTCCTCTTCAAACCATCCAAAATTCCAAAAAAACTCAAAACTTATTCAGATTCAAGCCAAATCCCACCCTCTAAAAATAATGAAAAACCCAAAATCAGCGACTCATTTACAGATGAAATTGAAAAAGCTAAAGCAGCCAAGCAGCTTACAAAAAAGCTAGAAAAAGAAATGCAAGAAAGGGAAAAACGAAAATATGAAAGAGAACAAGAGATGCTACTCAAAGAAGAGCAAGAAAGATACGAGCTCGAAAAACTAAAAGAATTAGCATTAAAACAGCAAGAAGACTTAAAAAACCAACGTTTAAAAGAGTTAAAAGAAAAATCTGAAGCAAGAAAACGCGAAATTGCTGCAATGAAAGAAATTGGAGAAACCGAATATAAAAAAGTTATATCTGAGAAGCCTTTATACAAAAAAATCCAAGAGAACTACCAACAAGAAATTCTAATGCCAGAATTGGAAAAGAAAAAAGCAGAATTAGCAAAGAAAAGAAATTTATTCAAACCTTTAGACCGTTATGATATATTGGAGCACTCAAAAAATCATGATGAGCTTATGCGGGAATCTGAAGAACGCAGAAAGCAAAACATAAGAAATCGGTCTTTAGAGTATAAAATGAATGCAGCGTCATTAAGCTTAAAAACAAGATTCACAGATGTAATACTAGAAGAAGAAAAAAAGAAAAAGGAAGAGCTTGAAAAGCAAGAGATTATAAAGAAAAGTTTATATGAAAAAAAGCAGCAGTATGCAGAAATTGTAAAAGAAATGTTCCAGCCTACAGTTGATCCTTATAAGCAGCATGAAATGCAGCTGATTGTAGAAAAGCTGAAACATAATATTCCTATGAAATCTATATCACACACTAAATCATCTAGAAGTGTATCTGAAAGAAGATCAGACAGCTCACGAGAAAAGGACACTAAGTCTGTTTTAAACAGAAAATGAAAAGAAAATCCTATGATTCCTAACTCCCCCCCCCTCCGTGAGTGAACAAAAAAATTTTGTTCACTCACGGAGGGGTTAATTTTTTTTTTTTAAAAAATTTATATATAAATTTTATAAAACATTTTTTTTCGAAATTTAAAAAAATCCTAATTCGCAAAAATTGGAAAGCAAATATTAATTTAATTTATAAAATTTATGTTTTAAAAAGCAATTCGTTTAAAATTAAACAGAATTAGCTCTCTAGATTTCATTATACTAATTATCATTTATATATCAAATTTTTTTTTCCATAAAAAATTTTTGTTCACTCACGGAGGGTGGGTTTTTGGGCAAAAAATAGCGATTTTTCTAATGGTTTTGTTCACTCACGGAGGGGGGGAGTAAGCCAAAACCCAAAAGAGAACCAGTTTTAATCGACTATTTAGGGGAAAGAAGAAACCAAAGAAAGCAAGAACAAGTCTCAGAAATTCAAAGGATTGACTGAGAAGAAGACCTGTATGATGAAAATTTAACTGAAAACGAAAAAGCTGAAAAACTCAAAGCAAAAGCAGCAATGATGGAAAAAATTGCCAAAAAGCACGAAATTAATTTAAATGGACTAAGTGAGTTAGATATGGCTGGCCAAGTTAACGAAATGTATATCAACTCAATCAAAGCCAAATTGGCTGTTCTGGAACAAGTATAAATAATAAAGATTTTAAAATTAATTTATTAACTCCCCCCCCCCCCCCCTCCGTGAGCGAACAAAAAAATTTTGTTCGCTCACGGAGGGGGGTTAATTTTTTTTTTTAAAAAAAATTTATATATAAATTTTATAAAAAATATTTTTTTCGAAATTTAAAACAATCCTAATTTGCAAAAATTGGGAAGCAAATATTAATTTAATTTGCAAAATTTATGTTTTAAAACGCAATTTGTTTAAAATTAAACAGAATTAGCTCTAGATTTCATTATACTAATTATCACTTATATATCAAAATTTTTTTCCATAAAATTTTTTTTCTATTAAAAAAATTTTTGTTCACTCACGGAGGGTGGGTTTTTGGTCAAAAAATGGCGATTTTTCTAATGGTTTTGTTCGCTCACGGAGGGGGGGGGGGGGGGGGAGTAAGACTTATTTATATTCAATCTTGTACCTTTAATCATGTCAACTGCAAGACAATTAATTTGTTTGTTTTCCTTCAAACATTTAATAATGTTTTTGGTGTTTTTTATAATCATATTTATTAGTAAATTTCTCCTTTCGTATGATTTGGCAATATCACAAAAGCAATCTGCCAAATAGGTTTCTCCAGAGTTATTCAGCCTCTCATATATTTCTTCAATTACAGCTCTTGGGTACACATCAAAATCCAAGTACGCAGCTTGATAGTGTACTCCTCTTTTTCAGAATCAAAACATATTTAATCTTTCTTGAGAAAAAGCAAGTTTAGCGTCACCTCAATTAATTTCTTTTTGATTTGTGAGCATACATTTTTGACATATCGGTCTTTTTCTTACATGGCATCTATAAATTAATTCATGCCCTGTTTCTCGGCATATATTGCAACTCATATAAATTGTTTGGAAATATCTTTCCCTTACACTACCGCCTATTAAGCAAAGCTGTCCAAAATCCCTTAACAAGTAAAAGGATCAAATTTCATTAGTTCAACAAAGCTCATAAAGGTCCTTATTGACTAATGAAACAGCCCCTAGGACTTCCTTATAATTCAAAAATTTTAAAACTTCAAGTCACGGTCTCTTCAAATTCGTCTGAATTGGCCCTTGCATCGTTTTAGTAATCACGATCTGTGGAATTTGTGTTGCTCGCAGTGCAAAATTTCAGTTGTCGATCCACTTCATTATTTCAGGGTCATTGATTTCTTGAGGGATCGTCAGAGGTATCAGCATTTTAAAATCTCTTGGGCTGACGCATTTAATGTGGAAAGTCCTGGTTTCTATTTGGAATATTAATTTGAAGCCCATCTGTATTACTACATCGTCAGTAATTGCTTCGTTACATTCGTAGCAGTATTCACAAATATCATTTTCTTCTAATTTTACAAGAGAAATGCCTTGAATAATGCTTCGCGTTAATCTGAATTTTTCTATACTCAAGTAAGCCATTGCATCCAAATATCTAATTGAAAGAATAATACAAATTTCGCATTTTTATAACGAAATTCAGAAATCTACCAGAAACTGTATCTAATAAATAGAAAATTTAAAGTGTATACTGTAATGCAAATCACCATTTGGCAGAGAACGGCCTGTAGCTACCATTGCAATTTTTTGAAAATTTAAATCAATGGATAAGATTTATTTTAAAACCATGATGGATTTATTTAAATACAAAAATTTTGAGAGAAATTTTTCCTGTGCCCTTCACTTTGTCAATTTTGGTGCTCCAATTTTTTCAAGGTGCTTTTCAAGCTCTGCATTTCCTTTTAAAATAAGCTTCTTTTAAAAATGCGTAATAAAAATGAGCGAAGATCGTGGAAACAGCTTAATTAACTCCTTTGACTTTTCAGCAATCGAAGAAATGGACCCTAGTCTTAGCGATGGCCATCATGTAGCTTATGACCGTGAAGTTCCTTTTGAGCTCAGAATTCAAGAGTCAGGGAGTGGGCCTCAAGAAGTCGGTACCTTAGAAGCTATCAAGGTAAAAGTTCTTGTCTTAGGTGAAAACACTAATCCTCAGCACGTGAAGATTGAATTTACGAGCGAAAATGACCTCTTCTTCCACTATATTCATTCTTTAGATGAAGCTGCCTTTCACCAGCTACAAGAAACCCAAAAATTGATGATCGAATTTTCAGAACTCCCAACAATTCTTATAAGGATGCTGAATTCTTGCATAAAGGAGCCACATAACTTTTTGGCTGTTTTTATTATGCATAGAGATGGAAGAGCAAGGCTTGACTTCATTCAGAACATGGAATACAAATTCATTGAGCTGCTATCATTGGATTTCATGGCAAGCACTGAAGAAATGGTTCGTCAGCAAATTACCTATCGCTATAATGCCGTTAAAAGTAAGCTTGCTATTATGCAAGCTAGACTACAAGACGTGAATGCGCTCATTAAAGTGAAAAATCCATCGCTATTGCTGCAATTGCAAAAACAATCGAGAAAGCCTGCTCAAGGGTAACTAAAATTTATTTAAGATTTTAAATACATGATATTTCAAAATAAGCTATAAATAGGCAGCTCATTAATAAATATTAAATTCGATAAAAGTGTTTTTATTATTTTTCCTAAATCTAAAAGCAGCTGGTTGTTTTATATGCAAATTATACTTTCGCTAAATTTCAGAATGAGCAATAATTTTTCAAAATAAAAATGAAAATTATGTCTTAAAAATAGAAAATAATCACCTAAAATCAATAAGTAAGTATAAAAAGTTAAATTATTTTCGAAAATTAAGCCAGATATTATCCTCAGATATATACATTTGGCATATATAATCTCTAAAATTAGAAATAAAATATTTAAACCTAAAAAATACTTCAAGTTTATAAATAATAGCAAATCTTAAAATATAACTATGATTATTTTATGTCTATATGCATAAAAACTTTTTAGTATCAAGATTTCATACAAATAGCATTTTCCCTCAAAATTAAAATTTAATTATTCAGAAAACCAATTTACTAGATATGCTGAGAATGATGAAATTAAAACTACTTTTTATAATAAACTTAAGCAAATTTGACCTTTAAAAAGCATCTTATAGCCTCGTTGTCAAAAAAATCGTCTTTAATCTCCTGCTTTTCTTCTTGAAGGGTCTTTTTACAATTTTCAGTTCCGTTACTTGTGGAATCGTTTATCCGAACTGTAAAAATGCTTGGTAGGAATGAGTTACTATAGCTCAAAGGAAACCAAGGCTCGAGCCCTAGATCTTGAATCATATAGCAATTCATATATTTCTTTATCATGAGCCATTTTTCTACACATTCATTTATATGAACTCCATTACAACACATGAAATCGAATTTATCACAAAGGCTTTCTGGATTAAGATCAGCAAATAAAAACTCAATGTAATAATAAAATGTCTCTCTTACTCCAATATGAGTAAAAAATTGATTACAAAGTTTTGAATTGAAGCTTTTTTCTAGCTCTCCTGTTTCAATTTAAAATATAAATAGAAATCAATATTATTGAATTTTAATTTATTTAATTCAAAATAATTAATTGATTTAGCGTGAAAACTGTTTAAATAATATTCTAGTTGCATTAACTATGTCAATACTAATTTTTATAAAAATAATAAAATTCTCCTCCCTAAAAAATTATTTTTATGATATTTTGTTTCAATTTAAATCAGGGAGTAAGTACGCGCCTTTGACTTTTTTCTTATTTTTTTCATCTGAGCTTGCTTTATTTTCAGTACAAGATATAGAGTCAAGAATATCTATGTATTTTTCATAGCATCCTGCTAAAGCTTGCCAAACCCTTAAGGTATTGTACGGATTTCCTCTAATTCTGTTGAGTGTTTTTGATGGCAGAACGTTTTTCCTTATCTGACGAATTGCTCTTTTAAAACCTCGGATCAGCTTGCACCTGAGATACTCTTTTTTAGGAGGCAAAGTCTTATATTCACTACAAGTATAAAACAATTTGCGGATAAAAGCATCTTTCTTACTTTTTCTACCTGGATGATGGCTTATAACAGGCTTTATATCGAGAAGAAAAGGATCAATTGATAGCACCCTTTGCATTTTATTATTATGAATCAAAATTAGCTTGCAAAATTAATCTTTATTGCTTGAGCTTTTACATATATTAATGACATTGGTATTATATTACTAAATATTTCTGCCTTTATAAATTATTCTTTTGGAAGAAGAAATAAATAGAGAAATAAAAGATGCCAAAAAGGGCAAAATATGATTTTTATTAACTTTAAAAAGAAAAAGACTTCATTTCCACAAAATCAAACGTACTTTGAAGACTTTTTTCAAAAATTAGCGAAAATAATAAAAATGGCTTTCATTTGAATTATTCGTGTTTTATTAAAAAATATAAAATGAACTATTCTTAATTTGCACATTCAAACTTCAAATTCGGATAAAAGTAATTCCTAAAATTCTTTAAAAAAGAAAATAGGTTTCTGGAAAATTATTATTGAATTATTTTGTCAATGATTTTTGCTAAATAAGCTTTAAAATTGCCCAAATCTTATAAAGATCTTTGAGTAAAATGAATTGAAGCTTTTATATAAACCCAGTTAAAAAATCATCCCACAAGAATTTAAAAGGACAAAGCAAATTTATAAAATATATTAGGGTTTAAATGCGTTGAAAGAATGTTATAAAAAGTATATAGAAAATCTTGCACGAAGGCTGCAAAAATTTTTATATTTGCTTTTTAGTAAGGTTTATGCCATACTGCAGGTATAAAATAATTTGCAAAACAAGCGTTTTATTATTTACTTACTCCCCCCTCCGTGAGCAAAAAAATTTTGTTACAAAACTTTATATATAAATTTTATAGAAATTTTTTTTTTGTTGAAATTTTAAAAAAATCCTAATTTGCAAAAATTGGAAAGCAAATATTAATTTAATTTATAAAATTTATGTTTTAAAACGCAATTTGTTTAAAATTAAACAGAATTAGCTCGAGAGTTCATTATACTAATTATCACTTATATGTCAAAATTTTTTCCATAAAAAATTTTTCTATTATAAAAATTTTTGTTCACTCACAGAGGGTGGGTGTTTAGGCAAAAAATAGCAATTTTTCTAATAGTTTTGTTCACTCACGGAGGGGAGGGGAGGGGAGGGAGTTAGAAGCTTGTTTAAATCAACTTGCTTCTAGAAAATATTAATTAGCTTAATATCCAAAAAGTCAAAATAATATTCATATTTTTAAGCGAAGCCCTAGACTATAGTTATCATTATATTTTTTATATATTTTCAACAATTCAAAATTTATTTTAGAAAAAGAAATAAATTAAATAGGTAAGAGTTGCTTAAAGATATGCAAAGAGCTTTATGGAAATTAAGGATGATTATACTGCATTCTCAGAAAACAAAACGAACTTCACAGCTTCTGCATTTCATAGAAGAAATATAAAATAGATTAATTATAAATATTTTTTAATTTTAAATATATGATTTAAGCTATCTAATTAAACTTAGCATAATTTATTAAACTTAAACTTAATGGATGAGTTAAAATTTCTCCTGCTTAAAATTTTGCCGATTATATTGTAGTTCGATGATATTTTGGAAACATTTTCCTGATTTTCGATTTCAGCCTTTGTAGGATTGTCTATCCTAACTGTAAAAATACTTGGTAGAAATGAATTGCTATTAGTTGAAGGAAACCAAGGTTCGATTTCCAGGTCTTGAATCATGTAACAATTCATATATTTTTTTATCATTAGCCATTTTTCTATGCAGCCATTTGTATGAGCACCGCTACAGCACATTAAGTCAAATTTGTCACACAGACTTTCTGGATTAAGATCAGCAAATAGGAATTCAATATAATAATAAAACGCTTCTCTTACCTCGATGGGAAAGAAAAAGTCTTTACAAAGGGATGAGTTAAAGCTCCTTACTAAGTACTTGGAATTAATTTTTTCCTTATTGTTCTTGTTTGCTTTATGACTATTTTCAGTACATGACAAAGGGTCAAGAACTTCCATATATTTTTCGTAACAACCAGCTAAAGCTTGCCAGACTCCCAGTGCATTATATGGATTTCCTTTCATCCTGTTTAATGTCTTCGAAGGAAGTACATTTTTGTTTATTTGACGAATGGCTCTTTTAAATCCTCTAATTAACTTGCATCTCAGATACTCTTTTTTAGGAGGAATCTTTTTGGATTTTTTAGATGCACAAAAAAATCTGCGAATGTAAGAGTCCTTTTTAATCTTGCGGCCTGGATGAAGGCTTGAACTTGATTTAAAATTGATCAGGAGTGGATCAATGGATATGATTCTTTTCATTTTATTATAACCTTTCAAGTTTTTTGAATCATTTCAAGAAGAAAATTAATATTAAAATTTCTTCTCAAATTTATGTTAGTGAAGATTGGTCTAATATCTTCATAAAATGATTTGAGTATTTTATTATTTTTCTAATTATTTTATTATTTCAGTAGTTTAGATGATATAGAACTATTTTTTAGATAAAATATTTAAGCTTAATGATGAGTAAACTGGAAAAAAGTTGCAATTCCTAATGTATAACGTATTTTCTGTGCCCTTTTATTATTTTATAACAATGCATATAAAAATGGCTTTGAAGTATTGCAATTACTGACTATAAAAATTGAATAGCTTTTAATAATTATGCTGAAGTTACCTGAAGAAAAATATCTTGCTGATAGTCTAACTTATTATATGGGAAAAACATATTATAAAAAAAAAAATTTAATTTTATTAATCTAAACAAAAGTTAAATAAATTGAATGCTAATTAATCAGCACAATTGTTTTATTAAAGATGCTTTCAAGTATAGAAAATCTGAAAATTTTGATTGTTGAATTTTTTTATTTTATAAATTGTGCCATTTACTACCTTTATTAAACATATTTTAACAACTTAAAACAGTAAAGAGTCCTATTTTGAAATATAAAAAATTTCTTATAGGAGCTAATTATCTGCACAGCTCTTTATTTACAGTATTTAATTTTTCCTTAACTAAAATCAATTTGCTTTTGCTTATCTGTATTCTGGATTTCTCAAGTATTATATTAGAATTAGCTAAAAAATTAGCATTGTAATTTTAAATTCTATAACTCATACTGCGCATTCTAAGTTATTAAAATATCTTAATACGCGAGAAATAATTTATAGAGAGCTTATCTAGTTGTAATAAATAGAGACTCAGACTCAGAAGTCGGAAATTCTTTGATATATAAGATGCGCAGAAGAGAATATTAAAGAATACCGTATTTTCAAAAATAGAAGCAATTTTCAAAATTGGGCTTTATAAAATCCAATGCGTAATGCTTCAAAATTGTTTTTATTCATTGGAAAACAGCAGCTTAAGAGATTTTAAAACAATATCCAAGGGTATAACGAAATTCTAATAGATTATTTTGCTTTGTTAAAACAATTGAGAATGCTTTATTAATATTGGCGGCTGGGAACAATTATTATACAGGCTCTTAAGGACCTATAAATAAATTTTTTTTGGCTAAGAATAATTTTGCATACCTAGCCATTTAAAGATGATGAAAAAGAAGATAAATAACGAAAATATTAATGTAAATAATTGAATCAAGTGATATTAATAACTATCAAATAACTCAATATAAAAATATACAAAAGAGCTCGCGAAACCAAAAAAATGAGAAAAATCCGGCAAGGCAAAGATCAACTCCGCATTCATTAAAAATATTTAACGGTGCTGAAATTCTTAAATAAAGAGTCACACAGCTCTTTGCCTAAATGTTTCATTCAAAATTATCTGAATTGTTGTAATCATTGTTTTGATCAGATCATTAAACAAAAACTCTCTAAGTCACTTCTTCTAGGTATAATGGCAAGTGCTTAAGAAAATTTCTATTAGCAAATCCAATTCAGTTATTTAGCAGTGCTTATGCACCAAGTTTTCTCTTATGAACTTTCTCATATAGCTATTAGCATTTTCATCATTTTTCCCTTCCTCCACTCTTAGCGAGATCAAAAACTCAATTCTTATATTCTAAATTATTAATATCTTTAAATATGCAAGAAGACAAAAAGTAAAATTTATATAGAGACGGCCTCTTCAAAATCGTGATTATTGGTGACTCAGGGGTCGGAAAGTCTTGCTTGTTAGCCAGATACACATATGAGCAGTTTGACGAAGCTCACATTGTTACAATAGGAGTAGATTTTCAAATTCGGACTTTAAACGTGGATGGTAAAAATATTATGCTTCAAATAGTAATTTTTATTCAGTGAGATACAGCTGGCCAAGAGAGATTTCGAACGATCATCACAGGGTATTACCGAAATGCTGATGGGGTAATTTTTGTTTTTGACAAAACTAATAGAGAAAGTTTTAACCATATAGACGACTGGGTAAAAGAAGTAGACAAATTTTCAGGGACTTGCATGGCAAGAATTTTGGTAGGGAGTAAGTCTGATATGCCTGGAGGTGTTAGTAAAGAAGAAGCAGAAGAAAAAGCAAACAAATTCGGATTTAAATATGTTGAATCAAGTGCTAAAAAAAACTACCAAGTAGATTTGATTTTTGAATCAATTGCAAAATCACTTATACAAATCCAGGATAAACCCAAAAGAGAGTCGACAAGGCTTAGCAAAGCTCCCGCAAAGAAAAAAAAGAAATGCTGCTAACTCGTCCCCTTCGCAAGCGACCAAAATTCGTCACAGAGGGGGTTATAAATTTTAAAAAAATATATATTTTTTGAAATCTGCAAAAATCCCAATATGCAAAAATGGGAAGCGAAAATTAATTTATATTTTAAAATGCAAGTTGTTAAAAATTCAGCTGAATCAACTAGAGATTTCATTATACTAATTATCATTTATCAAAATATTTTTTTTTTCATAAAAAATTTGTTTTATCCGCTCACAGAGGCGTTTTTTATTTTAACAGAATAGGATTTTTCCAATGGTTTTGTTTGCTATGGAGAGGGAGTAAGAATATATATTTTATTGGTTTATGGAATTAAATAATCTAAATTCAATTATGTAGCTATCCCTAGTTGCATTTTATACTCTAATTTAGTTGTCTAATTGCAATATTCTCATTAAAAAGCTATTAAGTTTATTTATGTCCAGCAGATTTTGATTCATAATATTTAATAACGCCCAATTTAAAAATCAGTGTGACTAGCAAAGTAGTTGCTCCTATAAATACACAAATCACAAATTGAAAAGGATCGAGCGGCTCTGTATTCATAAAATCTCCTCCTTCATATATAAAAAAGATTTGTAATGAAAATTCAACAACAATAATAGTTAAAAATTGCCAATTGTCAAAAATCCCAGAAAATACATTATATTCTTCAGGCCTGATTTTTCTGCAGTTAATTTGATTGAAGAGCTGAAGCATGACGAAAATATTGAAGCAAAGAGTGTAATGGACTGTTTCCTCTTCAGGTCAATCAGAATTCCAGCCAGCCTCACAGCCAAAAATATCAGGTCCCCAGAATAGCACAATCAATACAATAGTGACTTGGTAAACTGATTGGATAATGATATTTGCAAGAATTCAAGGAGATAATATATATTCATTTTTACCATAAGGAGCAGATTCAAGAACTTTGCTATCAGGATCTTGTGTTGCTAAGGCTAGTGCTGCTAAAGAGTCCATCATAAGATTAACCCATAACATTTGGACTGCAGTTAAAGGGGAGCTTTTTACAGCTACAGCACCTATCAAGCACAGAAAAAGTGCAACTGCATTTACAGTCAACTGGAACTGCAAATATCTTCTGATGTTAAAATATATATTTCTTCCCCATTTAATTGCAGTCACAATACTCTGAATATTATCATCAAGCAAAATAATATCAGACGCTTCTTTAGCCATTGGCGTAGCAGTCATCATAGCAATTCCAACATCAGCTCTTTGCAAAGCTGCTGCATCATTTGTCCCATCACCAGTGACCGCGACAATTCTTTCTAGTCCTCTCATTCCTATAGTCAAAAGTAGCTTATCTTGTGGGCTGCATCTTGCTAAAATTCTCAAATGTTCTTCCATTTTTTTAAATTCTTGCTCATCTCCAATCGAGTAACTAATGACTTCATCCTGTTCTTTTACTATAAGTCCTCCTGTTCTTCTGTCAAAATCTTTTCCAAGTATGATAGTATCATTATTAGTATTATAGTCATAATCATCTGCAAGAATACTACAATTTTTCCCTATCCTGGTAGCTATATCAGGGTTGTCGCCTGTAATTATTCTGACTGTGACTCCAGTTTTTCTTAAAGTTTCTATAGCTTCTTTAGCCTCGTCTCTAACTGGATCTTCTATTCCAAAAATAGCAACAAGCACCATTCCGTTAGTTGCCTTATCCATTTCATCTTTATTTGGATTATCATTAAGCCCTATCTCTTTAACTGATCCTGCTTTATATGCAACAGCAATAGTCCTTAAAGATTTTTGTGACCATCTGATTAATTTTTCATTGACCTTTTCTTTGTCAGCTGAAGTTATTTCTACAATATTTCCGTCACTTTTCAACATATGTGTGCATCGTCTCATAATTCTTTCTGGGGCACCCTTAATATATAAAGCTGCATCATCAGGATTTTCTACATTAAAAGTGCTCATCATTTTTGCTTGTGAGTTAAAAGGGACTTGCATAACCTGGGTCTTCATATTTCTATATTGATGATAATTCAGCCCCCAGTGCATCAAAAACATAAGTAAAGCACATTCAGTCCGATTTCCTGCCTTTTCTATATTTCCATCAACAGAGTGTACATCAGCAGTGGTATTTCTTGCGACAGAAGCTCCCAGAATGCTAACGACTTTAGAGTCGACTTCTGGGATCCTTATATTTGTTTTTTCTATCCCAATTAGCGCTTTAATAACTTTCATCTCGTTTTTGGTCAAAGTCCCTGTTTTATCTATTAATAGCTCTTGGCAGCCTCCCATGGTTTCACAAGCTTTGAGATGCTTCACAAAAATTTTTTCCTCCTTCATTTTTTTCATTGAGAAAGCTAAACTTAAAGTGACAGCTAATGGGAGCCCTTCAGGGATTACTACAACTAATATAGTAATTGCAAAGATAAAAGCTGTAAATACATGCTCGGTGTCGGAATCGTCCCATTTTCCGGCTTCGACAACATCTGAAATGATGAAAATTGATAAAGTTGTAAAAATAACAGCTGCAGCAATTGTGCCAATGATGCCAATATGAAGGCCGATTTGAGCAAGCTTTTCTTCTAGTGGTGTAGCTTCATCAGAGTACTGCTGCAATATCAGCTTACTCCTTTCCTTATTCTTAAATATATTAATATAATTTGTTTTCAAAAATTTTTTGGAATTTTAATAAATTTAATGAGCAAAATTTTTAATTCTCGGAGTTAAGATGTTTGCCAATAGTAGAATTGCTTCCTACACAACAAACAATCATTTCCCCAGTACCTTCTACTATAGAGCATCCAGAGATAATAAAAGGATCATCATTCCCTTTTTCAATTGTTTTGCTTTCTCCTGTCAAAGCACTCTCATCCACAGTCACTCCATAGGATCTTACCAATATTCCGTCAGCAGGCGCTATATCTCCTGGGTTTAAGTAAGGATCTCCCCCCTCATTTGTCCAATTTTCTAGTCTTTTTTTCTAAGAAAAAAAATTTTTTTCAGGACCTCAATTGTCTCATTTTCTAGTCTTTTTTGGATTTTTTCGAATGTCCTAAAAATTTTAGTTTTTTACTTTAAAAAAACTAGAAAATGAGACAATTGAGGTCCTGAAAATTTTTTTTCTATCAAATTTTTACTAGAAAATTGGACAAATGAGGTCCTAAAAAAATTTTTTTTTCCTATAAGAAAAATGGACAAATGATAAAAGACTAGAAAATTGGACAAATGGGGGGATCCTTACATCAGATCCCCAACCACCAAATCATTAACCCAAATTTCTTCCAGCTCCTCATTCCTCACAACATTTACGTAATGTCTTTTTGTGTCAGAATTAAGCCTTCTAAACTGGAGTTCTTTAAAATAGTCTTGTATAGCAAAAACAGTGATAGCAATAAATATAGATACAAAAATTGCACAGCCTTCATATCAGCCTTCACTTAAATCGTCAATAATCCCTATTGCGAGTGAAACAATCCCTGCAAATAGCAAAAGCTGAATAACGAAATTTTTAAATTGGTCACATATGATTTTTCATAGAGAGTTAGACGGCTGCACATAAGGCTTGTTGTCACCAAATCTAAATTAGAGTTTACGTAGACTGACGAAGCTGGATATCGTATTCAGTGCATAACAGACCAAATTTTTCACTTGTATAGCTTAGGACGGATTTTAGCTCGCCTGGGCTGCAACTTTCCCTCCAGATTGTGAAGCTGGCTTGGAGCCTAAAGTTGTCAAGCCAACTCCACAGGCTGACAAGGCATATTTTTGCCATTGGCAACTTTGGGTTCCCAAACCTACTCCACGAGTTGGAAGGAAAACTAGCAGCCCAGGAAGAGCTAAAAAGATGTCCTAGGCTATACACAAAGCATTGCAAAGTCATTCAATGCCCCCGAGTTTTTTAAGATTTTCTAAGCTGTGTCCATCGTGGATTGCGTGGGTTTCAAAAAGCGTACTAAATTAACGTTACATAAGCTGTTCAGGAGTTGTCCCAAATTGATTCCCAAGAAGGTCTTCTTCTTCCATTATCCGTTTTACAAAGAATTTAGTAAGAATATTTATGGAATTTAATGTTATCTTTGAAGTTTAAGAGACAAAGGCGTTAGAAGTTAAGATTTTAACTGTTATTTAAAAAATGGAAGGCATTAAAATAAAAAGGTTTGTTAGGATTTTGAATATGGGAGGGAGAATTAAAAAAATGCTTAACCATCAAAATGCTTTTATGTAGTGAAACAATTAAGTCACTAAATGAACAATTTCTCACATAATTTTCAAATAAGCAGTCAGAAATCAATGATAGCGCTTAATAGACTGATTACAATCCTGTAAATTAGATTCATCTCAAAGTTATTAGTATGCTGGTAAATCTAAATAGAATAAAGACTTAAATTATTTTTCAGTTATTTTACACTCTTATTAAAGAGATCCATTACTCCTTGGAAAAGCTTTATCATAAATACTTGTAAGTACTTCTTCTGAATTCAATAAATGCTCCACTACCATTTCTCTTTCTTCAGCCTCACTTTTTTTGTACATTCCTCTTTTCTTAATTATTTCATTTCTAACATTTTCAATGCATTTTCTTAGGATCATTTCTACTTCAGTTTTTGATTCAATCTCTCTTGTATAAGCAGTTCTTGCAGCTCTTAAATTTTTTCTCTCTATTTCTAGTAATTTCTTCAGTCTTGCAATCACTCCTTCATATCTTTCAATCTGTGGATTATTTATTGTTAAAGCAGTTTCAATTTGTCTTGTAACTGATTTCGGAGAGTTTGCTGTGAAAACTGACCTCATAGTCCCTGTCATTTCAAACTTTTCTTCTTCATTTTCATATTGTTTTTTCACTCGATAATACTTTTCCATCAACTCTCGTAATTCGCTTTCTTTAATTTTCAATTCAATTTTCAGCTGCTTATTTTCTTGTTCAAGACTCAGATTTTTACTATCTATAATCTGAGCTGAAGATCTCAGCATTTCCAATTCTTTAGAAATTTTACCTTCATTTTTGACTAATGATGAAATTTCTTCAACTTTTTTTTGTCTTTTTTCTTCAAGGTCTTCACAGATTCTCCCTAATTTCATATCAAAAATCCTAACAATATCTTTTTCTTGGTCTAAGAGCTCATTTTGCATGTCTTTTTTAAAACTGGATATTGCGATCATAAGTTTTCTATGAAGGCTATCGACTTGTTCTAGGCTGCTTTTGGTCCTTTCTGAATTAGGAGATGGGCCCATACGAGTTTCTTTTAGCTCAGCTTTAAGGGCAGCTATTGTAGTTTGATAATCAATAACTTTTTGAGCTAAAGATCTCTCGGCTTGCTGGAGATGGGCTTGTAATTGAATATTTTTTGTACGTTCTATATTAAGCTGCTCTTGCAAGTCTTGGATTTTTTGATAAGCATCTCCGCCTCCTCCTTGAGAAGAGAGCATTCTTGGACGGTTTCCTTTGCTTTCAATAGTTCTTTGACGAGTGAAAAGACTGATGGGGAATAATGACATTTATGCTTTGTTTTTAATTATTTTTTAACTGCATTGCCATAATACAAATAATTATGGGTATAAATCTGATTGCTATTTTATAATATAGCAGGCAACAATTATTTGATAATAGAGACTACTTATATTTTTGAATCTCTCTGGCGAGGAGATCAAGATTTTGAGCATTAATTCTGCAAATATAATTTTCTAGATGAGTTTGAAAAGTTGCCTATAAATCTATAAATGAATGAGATTAGAACAATTTAAATCCAAAATTGTAATAAATTGCAATTATAAAATTTGCGATACCAAGATTTGATTAGATACATTGTGAAATATAAGTAATAAAGTTTACTTGATTTCCTCCTAACTAATGAAGAGCAAAACTTGCATAATCTTTATAGCATCTTTAATTTTCGTTAAATCAAAAGCATTATTATTTCGTAAAAAATGACAAAAGCTTATTTTTGATTTATAAAATCAGTAAATAGTAAAAAAATTTCTATATTATTTAAAACCAAAATCTCAAATTTAAACTCTAATAAATAGCTTCATTTATATTTCAAAATTCAGCATAATTTTAATTCATATGTGCCATTTATTTATTCACCTAATTTTTCTAGCACTAAACAACTTTCTGAATAGATTATTTCATTTATATTTGGTAGAACTTTTTCAAGCACCAGCCATATCCTATTCTATTATCATAAATAACAAAATTCGCCAGCAGAGAAGTTTCAGATTATCTATATTCGTAAATTATACTCAAATAATTTAGATATCCCCCAAAATTTACATTAAGATTGCCATATTATCATAATTTTCCTATTATAAATAATCACTTTTTAACCAAACTCAATGCAGTATATCACATTTAAATATTATTTTCACTGCAAGTATTGCTTGAAAAGCTTTCTTTTCTGTTCTTCGCTTCAATTGCTTTGGCAAAGAGCCCAACTGATTCAGCATTTTGGCTGTTATCATTCTCGTTCAACACATTTTTCAATGATTCACATTCACTTTTTAGGACTTTGACAACCCCTTCCAGGCTGTCTATTTTCTTTTGCAACGAAAAAGAGTATTCTTTGAGCATTTTGATTAAATGGGCATCTTCTTCTTTTTCTCGCAATAAATTTTTTATTAAGGTTTGCTCTTCTTTTGGTTGGCACTCGCTTTCTTCGATTTCTTCTAATATATCAGAAATTGCTATTTACTGCAATTGGTGGCAATTACAGAGCGTGACAGAAAAAAGAAAAAAACCAAAATCAGAGGTTGCCTAAAAACCGCGGCCCTGATGGCCCACGGAGTCCTGGTGGCAATTTCCGGGGTGGGAGATGGCTTGGGCTGACTGGGCCTCTCCCCGACCCACAGACAAGAAACCGATGGCTCAATGCCAATTATTGTATCTGAAAATGGCAAGGGTAGTTCCAGAAGGAGACATAGGACGATTTCCTAATACTCTGAGCACTATCAGGGGTTAAGAGAGTCCTCTGCACAAACTTTAGCCAAGCAAGTTTCGGGTCAGTCTCCCCCAAAAGATGTCGACGTCACCATTTTGGGTGACGTCGACAGAAAAAGGCGTTGCTGGCTTCATTACCTATGCCACAGGAAGTGCGAAGCTGAAGCTCGACAGGCTAGGGGTTGAAATAATCCCCTTTTAACCCCTCTAACTAAATCTCTCTCAAATATATCAGCTAGAGGAGATGAGGTTAATTTTTCAAAGCAAGAGTGGGAGCGTGAAACTATCGGTACTTCAAACATTTATTATAAAAATTTTAAATAGTAATAAGGGGAATCTAATTATAATGTTTTATATGCGTTCTAAATATATATTATGAGGTAAAGCCATAAAAATATTTATTGATTTGGTTAAATTATGAGAAGCTTATTTATTTCTTCGTCAAGCTTCCAGCAACAATCATGATTTCTCTAATGGTATAATCAGTGACCAATCTATTGATTACATATGGATCATTTTGAGCAAACTCTTTGATCATTCTTTCATCTGCTTCAAATAAAAGAACCCCAGTGTCGATAGGGTTTTGTAAAGCTCCTCCTAGAATTAACCCTCTTGATTCGTATGCTCTTGCATGAGCTAGGTGTGATTCTCTATAAGGGACTCTTTTATCAACCATGCCTTCGACATACTTATAGGTTAGCAGAAAGTGCTTGAATCTTCTTGCTTGAGAGGCGAGCATTTTTATTTATTAACTGCAAATTTTAATAATTTTTCACCAGTATTAAGGTGTTAAATTTGATTCTTTATTAATTTGAGTATTTTGGAGGAAAGCTGATTAATCAGAGAAGGGATAGAAACTATTGCTGATAATTGGAGTTATCCAAAATGAGAACTTCAAACTCATAAGGAAATAGAAAGGATATTTATTATAGTTAAATTTCATATACATTAAAAAGGGCAGTAACCTACCTACCCTGGAGTAACTCGGGTATCTTGTGGAAAGGAGTATATAGCGCGTGCTCCCTATAGATTTTTAAGGAAAATGCCCTTCAAGAAAAAAATTATTTTGAAATTCCAAAAAAATTCCGAAAAGTCAAATATCAATTTAAAAATGTCATTATATATGTCCTATTTGTCAATTTGAAAATAGACTTTTCAGATTTTTCATTAATTTAAAATTTAAATTTTTTATATAAAAGCATTTGTCCTCAGGATCTAAATAAGGCTTGTGCTATAGGTGTTATCTTAGTTTGATGGAGCGCAATGTCGGATTTGGCCGACTGAAAGCTCATAGTCAGATCAGAGCTACCTTTTGGGGAGATGGAAAGAAGGAATTTTAAAAATAAGTTCAACATAGCAGGTAGTTTTTTATGGTCAATTAGGAAATTCTCTAGCGCGATTGGTAACCCAGCTTCTCTAATTCAAGCCTTCAGTTCATCGGGAGTAATACAGTGAGAGGCCGTGCTCGAACTCGCAAGCAAGCAGCGGCGCGTTGTGAAGATGAGAAGTGCTTGAAATCTGGCTGTAAGAAGTTTCTCTATAAGCTTAATTAACCTTAGGTTAAATTTCAATTATATTGTCTCAATTGACAATTTTATATTAGGGCATATATTTTAAAAAGTAATAAAAATCATAATTTTATTAGCTTTGATAGCAGTCTGAATTATCATTATACCTCAGGTTTTTAATTGGCTGATCTAAGTTAATTCATCTTTCTCCAAAACAACTGCTTTTGTTTCTAGTCCTTTTAGAAAGAAAAATATGAAATTTAAACTTGAGATTTTTGCTTTCAAAAATGTTTCAATCCTAATGCTATTTTAAATAAAAATGAAGAATCCAAGACTTTTAATAATAAGACTGACATATAATAAAAGCCTTCTAAATAATTTTCAGGCTTTTTTATTCTTTTCTAAAGCAATATCATAATTTTTCTTCCAAAATCAAGTTTTCCAATAACCATCAATTATTCTCGTTTTAAATTTTATGCTACCTTCATTATTATTTGAATTTATCTATATAGCAATAAATGGATTATAAACATTATGTACCGGCGAGTAGAAAATCGCGATGAATCAATGAAAAACTTCTATACAATCATTGAGCAGCTTGGTGAAGGAACTTTTGGGAAAGTCTGGAGAGCAGTCAGCAAAGCCACAGGTGAAGAATTCGCAATTAAATCCATTGATAAATCTAAGCTTGGCCAAGACGAAATTTCAAATCTTCAGCTTGAAATCGATATAATTTCTCAAGTAGATCACCCAAATATCGTCCGCACTTATGAAGTTTTCGATGAGCCTCGATATTTGCATTTTGTCATGGAAATTATGAGTGGAGGTGAACTATTCGAAAAAATTGTGGAAAAAGACCACTACAGTGAAAAAGAAGCAGCAGACACAATTCGTCCAGTCGTGGAAGCAATTAAATATTGTCATGATATGGGGATTGTCCATAGAGATTTGAAGCCAGAAAATTTATTACTTTCATCAGCTGATGAAGGTGGAATTTTAAAAATCACAGACTTTGGCTTGGCAAGATTTTATGACGATGATTTAATGACGACTGCGTGTGGAACCCCAGGATATGTCGCACCAGAAATTATTGAAGCGAGAGGATATGGACTTGAAGTCGATTATTGGAGTTTAGGAGTGATTTTATATATTATGCTGTGTGGATTTCCACCTTTTTTCGAGGATAACAATGAAAAGTTGTTTGATATGATAAAGAAAGGCGAGTATGAGTTTACGTCTCCTTATTGGGATGATATTTCAGCTATGGCAAAAGACTTGATTTCTCATTTGCTACAGGTGAAACCTTAATTATTAATGGTTAGTTAAGCTTATTGTGTACTCAGACCACCAATCATGGTATTCGCCTCCCTTGGTTATTTTCGCTAGCTGCCTGCTTCTCATCGCTTTTTAATCTATGCTCACTATTTTTGAGTGAAGAGTTAAAGGCTACTGTACCAAAAGTCAGCATGGGTTGCCTCCAAGAAAACTCAGAAAAAAATTTAGTTACCTAAAGACTAAAGATGATCGTTCTGGCTAGTTATCCCGAAGGACAAATAGGCGATCTAGGTATATAGCGCTTTCCCGAGGATGGCGCCATTCCGCGCCATCCTCGGGCAATTTCTATAGTTCGCGAGCAGCTATGCTCGACCTTGACTCCCCCTCACTACGCCCACCCTGGCAATTTTAATTTAAATAAAAGAGTAAAAATAAAATGACAAGCCCATCATTATGGAATTAGCATGCCAAATGGATTTAGCATAGTTTGCGAGCAGCTATGCTTGACCTTGAATTCCCTCACTCGCCATCTCTATGACAATTTTATTTTAAATAAAAGAGTAAAAAGAAAATGGCAAGCCCATCATTATGAATTTAGCATGCCAAATGGATTTTAACAGCTAGAGATGAGGGACAGCATTTTTCAACTTCGAATCCCTCTCCTCATGAGGAAAAACTAGTCTTAAATCTTAAATAGGGTTAGGCTTCTCACTCCCGAACCTCTCATCCGCTCTGCTGTCCTTTTCTATACAAGCTGGACAATTAGAAGCCTTCCTCAAAGTGGTCAGTCCTTTTGAGAGGCTTGCTCTCGTATTTAAAAATCACCACATCATTTTAATATATATGCTTCAGGTAACTCCAAGCCAAAGGTTTAACGCTGAAGAAGTTTTAAGACATCCTTGGATGACAGGAGAAAACACTCCTCGCACCAATATGCCAGCTGTAAGTAGAAAGATAAGAGAATTCAACACCAGAAGAAGATTCAGAAAAGTCGGAAACGCAGCAGTTGCTTCAGTGAAGCTTATTCACATTGCACATGAAAAGCATAGAGAAGAGTATGCATAATTTATTAATAAACTTTAGCTTTATTTTGATAAATTTATTTACAATAGTATTTCAATTAATTATTTCACCGTTTTCTTTTTCCCGATTTCTGCCTTTCTTTTTTTAGTATCTTTTTCTTCTTCATCTTGGCTGGCATCTTTTCTCTTTGCAGGCTTGGGGTCCTCAGCTGCTTTTTGTGCTGCCTCGAGTTTTGCTTTTTCCTGCTCATGGAGAGTCTTGAATTTTTGCTTTTCTGCTTCAGAAGCATTTTTCCAGAGCCCAGCGATATGCTTGATCATATCTTTGGGACCAAGATCAGGGTTCTGAGCTTTGACTTCAGCCCTTTTGCTACTGACAAATAAATTATAAGCTGAGGCGGGACGTTTAGGTTTAGCAGTGTCAGACTTAGTTGAAGCAATTGGATGGTGGTTTTCTTTGTTTGATTTAGATTCTTTGGTTTCTTCAACTTCTTTCTTCTTGTCGGCGTGATCTTCTTGTACAGGAGCTGCACCTTTTTTAGCTGGCATTTTTATTTTATAGTGTGTCTTAAATTAGATATAGGAGTTTTCCCTATATGGCCCGATAAGGGCCGCGGGTTCTCCGAGGAATCCCTCTGCTGGTTGAACCAACCAGTGAATTGGTCAAACCAACGCACTGAGTTGGTTTGACCAACAGAGGGATTCCTCAGAGAACCCACAGCCCTTATCGGGCCATATAGGGAAAACTCCTATAAAAATGAAGTGTGGGGGGATGATAAATTCAAAGATTATGATCAAAATAAGGAAATAAATTCAGTTTTATACTTTAGTTAGCTGTATAAGTTATTTTTTTCTATAAAATTTTAGATAGTAATATTATGCTGTTATTATGTCACAACTGCAATCTTTATTCCTCAATAATTCCTTCTATTAATTTATTTTCTGTTCTTATTTTTCATATTTATCTAATCAAATCTAAATTAATTTAAATTCTCATTGTAAAACCGCTAGGTTTAAAAACTTTAATGTAATTACCTCTTTAATCAATTTCTTTCCTTAAACTTATTCCATACCAAATAAATGTACTAGCAAAAATTTATGAATAATATAAATAAGAATTTACCCTGGCAATGCAAAAAATGTATTTATATAATCTAAAATATATATTATATAATTCAACTTATATTTGTAATTAATAGTAAAATGCAGTCTACTAATTCAAAAACCAAAGTTTCCACCTTAAATCGTAAATATTCAGATAAGTGCAACAAAGCCCTTCACCGTGAAATTTCAAGCCCTCTAAACCTCTCCATTCCAAAATCCTCATCAAAGCGTCCTTCTACTGCTTCAGAAAGTCCTGCAACTGCAAATGTAATTGACCTCATCCGCAAACTAAATTCTCAGCCTGCATCCTCTGAAAGTGACCTAAAAACCATGACATCCGGAGAATACCGGCAATTTCTTTACACCCAGTCCAAAAATATTATTAATTCATCCAAAAATTCCACATCTCAGGTCCCAATTAGAAGAGCAAGCTTAGCAAGGACAACACCTCCTACAACCCTTATGAAGCATGAAGAAAGAAACATAACAAGGCATAATACCCTACTTCCCAGTGGAAAGCCACCATCAGGACGAAAACCTCTAAAAGAAGAGCATAAAGTAGAACTACCAGCAAAATCCCCTTTAGGCATAAAAAATATTTCTGCAATTTTACATGGAAAAGAAAGCAATTTGTCGCCTGAAAAGGAAAAACATAAAGGGAAAATCGAGGATTATAAAGTTGATAAACAAATTGGGCAAGGCGCTTATGCAATTGTAAGACATGCTACTCATATCGCGACAAGTAAAAAAGTTGCTTTTAAGACTTATGAGAAAATCAAACTATTAGATCCCAATAGAAAGAAAAACGTAATGAGAGAAATCGACATATTAGGGATGCTGGATCATAAAAACATCGTAAAATTGTATGAAACCATTGACACTGCAAGACAGCTACATATTGTTATGGAATATATATCTGGCTGCTCACTGCATGGGTATCTTAAGAGAAAACCTAATAGAAGGATTGAAGAAAATGACGCAAAAAGAATAGTAAAACAAATTTTATGTGCAATGGAATACTGCCATGCGAAAAATGTTACACATAGAGATTTAAAGCTGGAAAATTTGCTTTTGGATGAAAAAAATGATGTTAAAATTATTGATTTTGGCTTTGCAACTTGCTTTTCAAGTGAAAAGAAAGTCAAAATTTTCTGCGGAACTCCTAGCTATATGGCGCCAGAAATAGTTGCTAGGAAAGAGTATGCTGGGCCTCCTGTTGATGTGTGGGCTATCGGCGTCTTGATTTTTGTGCTCTTGTGTGGGCATTACCCGTTTAAAGGAAATGGAGACAAAGAACTTTATAGGAAAATCCAACAAGGCTATTTTATGATTCCCCAACATGTGTCATTATCTGCTAAAAGCTTGATTTCCCGAATTCTTAAAGTTGACCCCACAAAAAGGCCAAAAGTCAGCGAAATTTTGCAAGATCCTTGATTTTCCTCACCTTCAAATTTCACAGTCTCAACTGAAGATTCTCTACTTGCCACAACCAACAACCACGCCTGTTCCATTAACGGTGATACTTTAGACTTTGATGTAACCTGCAGCATTGTAATTTCTATTTAGAAAAAGCTTGAATACTCCCAATCGCCTTCCCATACCCTTCCACACAAAGAAATTCACAAATTTCTGGTCAGTTTCCCTCAGTCTCATAACTAATCCTCTTATCTGTACATATGTAAATTCCTAATTTCCTTTTGACATAAAATTCATTATAAACCTCTGTCCATATTTTAAAGGATGGTCATCAACACAGAGACATGCTCGTTCAGCGAAATGAAAGTTTGGCCAGGACGTGGAAGCCGCTTCGTAACAAAGGACGGAAAGATCCATATGTTCATTGGCTCCAAAGTGAGGTGCCTTTTCCATCAAAGAGTCAAGCCAGTCAAGCTCACATGGACACAGACCTGGAGACGTGAAAATAAGAAAGGAAGAGTCGAAACTATCAAGAAGCGCAGAGTCCGTAAGGTTGGAAAGATCCAAAAAGCTTACGTCGGAGCCACTTTAGATGATATTAAGAGGACCAGGGAAGAAAAACCAGAATTAAGACAGGCGAAAAGAGAACAGGCTATTAGAGAAATTAAAGAAAGACAAAAGAAACAGCAAGCACAGCACCAGAAGTTCGAAAAACAGCCTAAGCAAGCTGCACCTAAGGTGATCAAGACAAAGGGTAAAAGAAAGGGACCTTCATAAGTAACTTATTTTCACCTTAAAATGAATAAATTAATAAGAAAGGATTAGAGGGGAAGGTAAAGAATAAGTAAACTGGTAAAAACAAAAATATTCAATAATTTTATATATGAGGTAGAAATCCATGGGAAATTAAAGTTTGACATTTAAGGAAATATCCCAACAATTAATATTAAAATCCTGAAAAAATCAAAGTTCAAATAGTTTGGCTCTTGAAAACATTGAAATTTATTCTAAAATTAATCATATTTATAGTGACTGTTTTTAATAGATTTTTAAAAGGAATTAGTATCATAAGCCTAATATATTTAGTTTATTTAAGTTTTATAAATATTACCCATTTGGACCATTTTTGCATACTATAATTTTTGAAAAGAAGAAATGTCTAAATTTAGCCTTTTGATAATTGAAGCTTTAAGAATTTTATTAGATAAATAAAACATATATGTGATACGTCTATTTATTTTTCATATAATATCCTAATTTTGGGACTGCAATTATTTAAATTAATTGCAAGAAAAAATACCTTTTAGCATACATTTTACACAGAATTCAATTTAAATTTTGACTTATTAAAAAATACTGATTATTTAATAATCATCACCTCTGCTAGCTCACCTCTTGTGCTATTGGGTAAGTTACTAGCTAGCAAAGGGAGGTTAGTTCGTTAAAAAAAATAGTTAAATTATATAAAAATTATTTTTTAATAAATCAAATTTGGGCAGGGGCTAACTTTCCAAAAGAAAGAATTTTTCTAATAGCTTTATTCGCAAACAAGGTGAGAGTAAGAACCTCTTTACAAGTAGGTCTGATTATAAAAGTATGCTCCATTTGAGATACATAACTTCCATGAATATCACAAAGTGGAGGATATGGGTTGACGATCCCAGCATTAATAAGATTTTTTAATGGCAAAATATGTTTTGTTTCTCCATCACGCTGCAACTGACGTCTACTCCATGGTAAAGTCCCATATTTCTTTTCAATATGTCTTAGCAATGCTCTAGCTTTATTATCTCGAAGTGGCACAGGCTTCCCAAACATATCAAAATCAATAGCATGGTGAGAGTTTTCTAAATCATCATGAACCAAGCCTTTCCCAGTGCTTCCAAACGTCTCAATTGCATATAGCTCTCCTTCTTCCATTTTGGTTTGGTCATTACTTTTTACTATTCTGATACTTTTTTTCCCATGAATGTGATATGGCTCAATGCTATGCCCATTAAGATTCCTAATTGCTTTAATGGGATATGTTTTTCCATCAAGCTCAATCTCATAGCTTTCTAACGCTTCTTGTATAGCTTCCCCAATTTCTCCAAATCTTGCATCAACAGCTGCATGCTTGACACCTTCATTTGTGGCATCTTGAGTAGCATGCACTAAATTGTCGAATTTTGGGTTAAAAGCTACAGTAAAAGCAGAGTCGATAATCCTTCCGCTTACATGGCACCCAATATCAATTTTGCAGACATCGTCATAGCCTAAGATAGCATGATCTCCAGGATTTGGAGTCCAATGAGCAGCTATATGATTTAAGTTGGCTCCAGTGGGAAATCCAACCCCAGCTATAGTTCCATCCCCTTCCAATAGAATTCTTGAATAATTTTCTAGCTCTTCACAAAAATCATGAAGATCAATTCCAGGTTTTAGGACACTTTGAGCCCATCTTCTTACCTGCCTATGGGCTTCTGCAGCTTTTCTTAGGTTTTCATAGTCATAAGAGTGTAGCCTCTCTAATTCGCGCTTTTCTTCACTTGTGGTGCGATAAGCATTATCACCTGAATATTCAGAAATTTCTCCAATAGGATATGTATTGTTAGGAAATTGTTGACTGATGGGAATAGAAGGTGGGTTAGTCTGGAGATAATTTGGATTGTCTGACCAATTTTTAAGAAGGCGAATGTGAGAATTGTCTTGAAAACGATTTACTGTGATAATAGCTGGTGCTGAAGGTTCTTTTGCAGGCTTTTTTCTGTTTCGTTTCTTCTTCTTTTTAGCTGGCTCTTTTGTTTCCTCAATATTTTGAATATTTGATTCTTCTGAGGATAAAGGTGAAGGTAGACTAGTTTCAAGATTTGGAGAAATATTAAGAGAGACTTGCTCAGAAGAAGCTTCATAATCAAATATGGCGTTTCTGTCCAGGGCATGGCCTCCTGGCAATGGAGCTTCGAGTACATATTTAATTATATCCGGCCATGCTTTGCCAACCCAGAAATGGACAGCAATATCAGGTAAGCAAATATGGGAGCGTGCGAGGTCTAATCCAAATCTCTTTTCAGGATTGGACTATACCTTATTGATAAGGGAAGCCTAGTAGCGTCTTTGATCCTTCGGGGAACTCCCCAGCGTAAAACCAAGAGTTACGCTTTTGTTCTGAGCTGAAATTTTTCTGGAAGTCGGCCATATTCCATTTTTTGGAATTTCTGTGAGACAACCCATATAATGCCGAAGAGTGGAAGAACAGCTGTCGAATCCCGAACTCCTGAAGGGCTTGAAGAGCAGGGACGGAAGTCCGTGTAGTTAATGCAATATTGAACGTTAAACTTAGGAATTAAACCCTTAAATTAATAAAAGTGTGTTTTCAGTTGAAGCTTCAATTTTAGTTTCTTCTGAAATTGCGGCAGGATTACCTTGGTTCTCACTTTCCATTTTGTTAGCCAGAACGTTTAGATACCAATGGTATATCACAGTGATTTTATAAATAAAATTATTATTAAAATTATAGCATTATGGTATAGATCCAAATATTTTCAAATATAAATGAAATATTAAAAATCAGTACAAAAAGCTATATCATTTTTGTCTGATTTTTAATTAAATTTTTTTCGAAAATATTCGTAAACTATTCCAAGAGATTTAGGAATTTAAAAATATAAAAAAACTTACTAGAAGCATCATTCAGTTTAATTATCAGATTTATTCCTTTCCTAATGATGTCTATCCTTGCAAGAACATTGCCAAAACTTATAAAAAAATATTTATTATGTTAGTCTATTAGTAATTCAGAAAACTATATATTTTAATTGGAATAAATTTTTTCAAAGTCCCTAAATTTATTTTTTCTTCAAGTTCATGTATTCCACCGATATAATGCCCTTCTAAAAAGACATAAGGGAAGTCTTCTTTATTTGTATAATTTTTCAGCTCTTCTTTTAATTTACTTGTCCTCTTATTAACTTCTATTACCTTAAAATTTACACCTTCAGAATATAATTTCATTTTGGCACCTAGAGAAGTTGAGCATCCTGTTTTACTGAAAATCACGACGCTATTGTTTGATATTTCTTTTGCAATCGAAAAGTCACTGACTGTGCTCTCAGGTGCTGCACAGCAATATGCACCCATTTTACAAATTTATTATTTATTGTCTTCATGCCTTATTCAATAATAAATTATTTTAAATAACCAAATTTATTTAAAAATTAATTTTAATCGATTTTTAAATATTATGGTATCGTTATTTGCAGATTTTTGAACTTTACCACCTAAGTGTGGGAATTTTTCCGCGTGTGAAAAGAGGATTCCACATGTGAAATCAAAAAGGGCTCCACACGTGAAATCACCTTTTCACACGCGGAAAAAATTCCACACTTAGGTGGTAAAGTTCAAAAATCTGCAAATAACGATACTAAAAAATAATTTTAATGCAAAATAATAAAAATATAATAAATATGTTTAATTATAAAAACATCTATTTATTGTTTTCAAGCATTATTTTTTCTACTTATGGATTTGCATTATTTGATGAAATTGAGCTAACATGAACATTTCCAACTGATGAGCAAATTTCATTTAAACTTTCAGTTCCTTTAAGCATTTTAGAAGAGGATGAATATAATTGAGCATTTATCGGTTTTAAACCAACAGTTTTAAACCCTATGGCCAATGGAACTGATATTGTGCTGGTGAATTTCACTGCTAATACAATTGAAGATCGAATAAGTGAGATGCACTTTCCTTTATTAGATAAAGATCTTGGTGGGGCAGATGACTTAATTCTAAAGTCAATAGAAATAGATGGAGATAGCAAAAGCTACCTGTGGAGTCGAGGATTTACATCCTTAGATTTAAGAGATGTTAATTTTATTGCTGGAAAACAGTATAATTTAATTTGGGCTTGTGGAGGTTATTACCAAAAATTCGGGTAATTGCTTTTAATAAGAAATTTTTGATAGAGTGATAGTCATTCACTCTCTCCTTTATATTGGAACAAAATAAAGGTAAAATTTTATTGTTTTTATACTTTAATCTGCTTTTAAATTGGAACATATTTTTTTCAATCTGAGAATTTTTATCAATGGAAATAATAATTTTTATAAAGTTAGTTTAATAGAAATAGAATATTATTTAAATAATGTTTAACACTGAAAAATATTTTTAAATTAAATAAACTAAAATTCAATTGCTTTTTAATTTTTTTTAATATATAAATTTTTTTTAATAAAAAGAATTAGCCCCTTTAAATCGAAAATAAGATTTTTGTTCCAATTTAAAAGGGAGAGAGTCAGAAACATTTGTTCAAAAATTTTTGATAGTTTAACGCCTCGCTAAGATTTTAAGTTTTTTCCAAACAAATATCAAACTATCAAAAAATCTGAATTAATTTTCCCGAGCAACTGCCAAACTATTAAAACATTCCGATCAAATAAATGATATTTAACCAAAATTCGAAACCTAAAATTATTAAATCTGGAAATACAATTCTATCAATTAATAATGGAAGAAGACTAAGAAGAAAATTACAACAAAAATGATCTGCCCAGATCTTCTTTAAAATCAGACATTGGATATGATAGTGATAAAAATCAAAATATAAATAGATTTCTTGCAAAAAATGAAAAATTAAGCTCATCTGGCTATCATAGAAATATCCGCAGACTTCAAGAACAGCAACCACTATGAAATGGTACATTTCCTCCACCCCAAAATAATGAAAACAACACTAATCCTTCCTCTCCTTACCATAACGGAAATGGCACATCTCAAAATAATGGAAATGGCTCATCTCAAAATCAAAATTTCTCCGAGCCATCCAGTCAAAATACTACTGGTAATGATCCTTATCAAAATTTTCCTCAAAATAATACAAGTCAGAATGGCTCAAATGACCAAATCAAAACAATACTACTTCAACCAATTCATCCTCATCGTCAAACTCAACTAGTGGAAGCCAAAATAATGAAACAGGCAATAATAGCACGTGAAAATTGAATCCTCTCTTAGATGATTCAATTTACATTTACATTTCGCTGGTCTATTTATCTCTATTTTTATAGACCAAAAATAGTATTAACCATTTGATTAGTTATTATTAAAGTCATCTTAAAAACAATTTAAAAGATTTATTAGTATCATTTATTAGGGCTCAATAGAAGCATTTTAGCTAAAATAGCATTGGCTCGCTTCTTCATCTGTTTATCGATCATCTTTCTAAGAATCGTTTTTGCCTTATAGCTAATATAAAATGGTCCTCTCAGAGTGCACGTGAAAAATTATTCAAGAGAAGGAGATCTGGCTTTTTAATATAAATTTTCTTCGTTCTGTATGTGATAAATTAAAAATGGTCCTACCAATTTATCTTTCATTCCATATCAATGATCTCTATTATTACAATGCTAGATTTGATAATAAAATTTCATTTAAGATCGGAGAAGCAATCATCCCAGCGTACACGTGATTTTGCTACAAAATTTATTGTTGATTTAATCAAATGATTTAAGTAGCAGTGTGGTATATAGAGCCACAGCATTTCAATTTTTAAAATTATTCGATAATTGAATGCTTTTTTTAAACGACCTTGAAATTCTTTGTAAGGATTAATCTGCATTATCAATTTGACTCAGATTATTATCTAAATTGATTAATTACTGCATTAAAATGAATTTAATACTTCAATTGCTGCTGTTCTCAATAAATTGATCTAATTAAAGCAAAAAATTTGAATAGCAAATATATGCTTATTGATTAAATTAATTATTGCCGGATTTAGATTCGCAAGTGTATTCTTTTAAAAGGCTGTCGGGATCTGTATCTTCTAGCCCTAAAGCTTCTGCTCATTCGGAGAGAATGTTAGTATTCTCGACTGATGCATCAGTTGCTAAAGTTGAGCAATTAATTAGTTCTAAGTCTATGCTCTGTATTCTATTTCACGTATCAGCAGTGTCGAGTATTGATTTATTGTCGTTCTGCATGTCCAAAAATCTAACTTATGGAATTAATTTTTATTAAACAGCAATGTCTTCAGTAATAAGAGTCAAGCAAGAAATGTATAAATAAATATTACGCCAAAGCAATATATAGTTGAACCAAAATTTTTATTTTCCTATGTCTAATTATTACTTCTAAATATTAGAAAATAAGTTCTTCTATAGCTATATTTGAATATTGATTAGTATGGGTAACTAGCTGTACTTGAAAGCTAGTATTGGGTTCAATCTCAAGTTGGCGAGAAAACGAAATTAGCAAATCTTATAGCTCACGCCAATTAATAATCAGGTATATCGTGCCCTCAGCTTGCATCTTCCCTGCTGCTTAATCACTTTCATCTGGTGAGCTAATCCCAAGATACACAACAGATATAGGATGAATCTCTGTCAACTTTAATACGGCGCTCTCTGAAGGCGACGAATCATACCTGTAAGTTGCACAGCAGAAAGCTTAATGATTGCTAAAACATGCCTAGCTATACAGCTATACTAAATTTAAGGTAATAAAATTTCTGTCAAATTGTAAGTTAAGAATTAAGATTAGCCGTTCGCACTTGCAGGGCCAGGGATTTGCACCCCTACACGCTCATCGCCTATGGTGAGGCCTCGGCGGACACCCTCCTCATTGCCTCAAACGAGGGATTCGCACATACGTGGGTTGTCTTTCCGAAAATCCATAAAAAAATGGATTTTCTGGTCGACTGTCGGTAGAAGGTAGAACTCGAAAGCCTGGGATGTAACGCCCAGTTTCACGCTAGGGAGTTGCCCGATTGGTCCAGAGGACTCTGCTGGGCTTCCCCTTTCCAACTTCCGTGCTCATCTTCCCCACGAGGGAAAAACCACCTCTGAATTTAGACTTGGGCTAGGCTCTGAACACAACCAGAATTGCTTACCTAGTATTGCTGTCCATTTCTGAAGTAGCAAAACCTTACCGGATATAAATAAAATATAAGTCGAGTATGCATGGCCGGGAGGCCATGCCCAGACGAAGACGCCATATTTTATTTATTCAAATTGTAAGTTAAACGCGAATTTATTTCTTTAGAAAACTTTATTTTTGTTGTATTAAAATAAAGTTTCAAGCATTTAATAAAGACTTTTGCGCTTAATGTAATTATTCAATATAATTGATTTAGTTATTATTGAAGCATTCTTGTTATTATAACTAGCCCAAGCTGAATACGATGTTCTAAACTTCAAGAATTTTAACATTGCATTATAACAGGAATCAAATAATTTTTAAGGTGAAATAAATTTTATTAATCAATAATATTATTATGAAATTCTTATCAAAATTAATTTTTCTTATTGCTACTACAACGAATAAAAATAAACTTATAATTTAATTTAATAGCAAGTAAGTATTTATTCAATTATCATCATAAATATAACCTTTTGCAGTTATAAAATCCCAATTTTCAGCCATAAAATAATATATTATTTATTCAATAAAAACAACCCTTCTTGTTCTTCTTCCTTTCAAGTCCAATTTATAAATAAAATAATCTTCAAATATCATCGAAGCAGTATCATCCACAATAGTAATATAGCTAATCAGCCCATTCGTAGGGATCATAAGATTTGCTATTAGGACTGTCCAGTTATAAGGGTCATTCGCACAGCTTTCGTAAACTTCTTTATCAGTAATAGCTATATAAGCTCTCTCGTTATGACTAAACAAAATTTTATTTTTGTGTCTAAATTTATAAGTATCAAAACTCAATAAACTTGAATGGGAATCAGTTAAATGGTCGTATAAAAATAAATCAATGTCATTTCCAGAGTATAAAATCTTACGAGAAAACACTGTGCAGCTGTGCCAATATCCAGGATTTTCAGTAGGTGTTAATTTCGTTCAGTATTTATTGGATAAGTCATATTTTTCACAATATATTTTTGTTCCTGTGATACTATCCCAGGCACCGATTATATAAACGCAGCCATCCAAATATACAGACCCAGCTCCAAAGGAAGGCGTCCCTGACTTGATAATTTTCATATTATTTGAGCTGTCCAATATAAAAGTAAGCCCAGGATAAAACCAATTAATACAGTTTTCGAAACAAAAAACGCTTTTATTAGGCAAAAGGCAAGTATTTATACCATAATACATGTTTTCTGGAAGATTTAGCGGTTTTTGTGAAGTCTTTAGACTAATCGAGTTAGTTATCATCAGTGATTTGGGAAATCTGATATCAAAATATCTAAAAGTGCTGACAACTTCAGCAATTTCATGCTTTATAGAGTCAGATAATGTAAAAATATTTCTAATTGATGGCTCATTTAAAACTTCGGCCTCTCCTTCAAGTTTTGGGGGCTTTTTTTCGTCTAAGATATGGAAATATTTGCTAGTCATTTGATCAAGGCAGTCTAAATTTTTTTCTAATATTTTGAGTGTTTCTGATACTTTTTCGTAGGTATGCTTTAGTAAATTTGATTTTTGGTAAGCGAGGATGCTGATTTTACTTTTTATTTCAGCTTCTTCTTCGCTGGGAGGTTGAGGCCCAGAATTTTTGAAGAATTCTTCTAAAATGTGACAAATAGATGGATTTTGAGCTATGTGGTAAAATATGTGGTTTAGGCACATAAAATTGCTTTGAGAAGCACAAAAACAAGAACACTCAGCTTTTCGTATGCAATCAGGAAACATACAACATAAAAGTTATTGTAAGCTTAGTGTATAAAAAATTGTTAAAATAAAATTTTCTCCTTATTTAAAAAGTCAGTAATTAAGATTTAATTTTAATTAGTTAAAAAGCCTAATAAATAGGGGTTTACAATGATTCATCAACAAATTTGACGAATTTTCCTGTATAAGGACTGTAGATTAGCTTATAAAACTTGGTTAAAGAAGGATAGCCAAGCTTATTAAGCCCAATAATGCAATCGTCGGATATGAAATTAAGGGCATTAGAATTTCCTTTAAAAGTTTTCCAAAAGAGGACACTATTGCGCTCACACAGCTTGAAAATTGCTTTTTAACAGCAAAAGATAGAGCATTTTCACCGAAATTGGTATTGAATAGTGAGCCTCCGCCTTCAAGAGATAATTTGAACTGATTTGGATGGTTGAAGTAAGAATAAAGATGAAGAGTATTGATTCTATATGGCATTATAATTCATTGATCGTTCTATGGTTTATACTATTTTCCCTTATTATTTATGAGGTCCATCACATATTTCATATAAGAAAACTCACTGCCAGGCCCGGCAGCAACTCCAGTGTCAGTTGCAAATGAATTTTTCTTAATAAACAAATTATCAGTATTATTCTTCATTTTTTCATCTTTTTCTTCCTTTTTATTTATAGTATAGGCTAAGTATTTTTCATCAGCTGTTAGTTGAAAATATATTATCTCCTGTTTAATGTCATAATGAAACAGCTGATTGTATGCAATGAGGCTCCAAAATGAGATTTTGCCTTCTTTAGTAAAAGCAATCATATTTTTCTGGTCTTTTACAATCCAAATTTTATAGGTTGTTTCTCCAGAATTAAATGTGGCTAGTAATATTTTTGATCTCCAATTATATACGAATATCGAGCCAGATTTAATGCCAATCACCACATCTTCTTCATTTTGAAAAGTGCCTAAACTTACTACTTGTTGGCCTTTTTCTCCTTTAAGAAGTCTAAGTGCTAAAGTATTGATTTTAATAAAAATGAATTAAATATTTTTGATTAATTTTTAAAATTATTAATAGAATGTCTCTGAAAATTTTTGTTTTTTAAATAATTAGGATTTAGAGAATGCAACGTTAAATGCAGCTTAAAAATTACTTTTCTTTAAAGCATAGAGTATTCTACATGAAATTTAAATTTAAAAATTTAATTTTTATATGGGTTGTGTTATAGTTCATTTTTCTACACCTTCAATCGAATTGTTTTAATATATATTTTAGTTTTTACGTTTAAATGAAACTAATCTTTAGTTAAGTTTAATGTTACTTTTTTGCTGACATCTACAATATCCTCTTCAATGTTTATTTAATTTCAAGTCTACTGCTGAAGCAGCTGCAATAAAATCCAGGCAATTCAACAAAACTTGCCATTTCAAATGAAAATTTAAGGGATAAATGTTTAGCTTAAAGCTTAATCTTCTTCTCCACTTTCTTCTCCGCTTTCTTCACCGCTTTTTTCACCGCTTTTTTCACCACTTTCATTACTAGATGGCTTTTTAACTTCTTCTTCATTCTTGTCTCTATTCCATATCTTCTTCAACATTTCTCCATGGCTCTTCATTATTTTTAGCATCTGCAAGTGGTTTCTTTTTATATTTTTCTTGATAATTGTGACTCTGGTGCTAATATTTTTTTCTGTTTCTTCAGATTCTTCACCTTTAAGTACTTGGAAATAAGATCTTTCAGAGCACTTTTTCTTCCAAAACATCAATGTTTCTATTTCATAGATCATCCCTAGTAATTCTTTTCTATCTGCAATTTCGGCGTTTTCTTGGACTTTTCCAAAAGTGTCGCCCATAATTGAGATCAAGAGGTTTAGCATGATAATCATATTGATCATAGTAGCTAAGAACAAGCACACCCATTGCATTGACGAAAAGCCAGTAGAATCAAAATCACCAAGGTCTAGCCTATATGAGATTTTAATATAATCAATTAATTTAGGATCGTCTTTATCCATGACTAAGAAAATAAATGCAAAAGCCAGGGTGGAATAGAAAAGGAGGATAAAGAATGATGTGATGTCTTTTATTACTTGGGTAATCAGATTTACCATGTATCTTGTATTTTTAAAGATCCTGAAATAGGAGATGCCTCTCATCCAGGAAACTATTACAAGGCCTACTAAAATATCGTAGCTAAGATCAGAATATGTGATAACTTGCCAGTACATAGCCCATTTAAGGCTTTCCCACTTATGATCTAATATATGCTTTAGTAAATTTGATTTTTGGTAAGCGAGGATGCTGATTTTACTTTTTATTTCAGCTTCTTCTTCACTGGGAGGTTGAGGCCCAGAATTTTTGAAGAATTCTTCTAAAATGTGACAAATAGATGGATTTTGAGCTATGTGGTAAAATATGTGGTTTAGGCACATAAAATTGCTTTGAGAAGCACAAAAACAAGAACACTCAGCTTTTCGTATGCAATCAGGAAACATACAACATAAAAGTTATTGTAAGCTTAGTGTATAAAAAATTGTTAAAACAAAATTTTCTCCTTATTTAAAAAAGTCAGTAATTAAGATTTGGATAAAAAAATCTTAATGACTTAGCATTTAAACTAATGAATATTAATTTTCTTGGGAATAGGTAAATCAAAAATAATATCGTTTATACTAAGTCTTTTTACCAAGTTAAATTAATACTTTAATAATATATAATTTATTTTACTAACTAGCAATTTCTGCAACTTTACTGTCTTCTTGTACACTTCTTTTTGTTTCCCTTCTAATAAGATGCAAAATTAAGTTTTTCACCTTATTGACCTCTTCTCTCAATTTATAGTTTTCATCTCTCAAAGCTTTAAGTTGTTGCTCTTGTTCACATTTTCCGTAATGTATAATAAGTCTAGTACTATTTAGTGTAACTTCTGATAATTTACTTTGTTTTTTATTAGATTTTGACTTTTCTCTTGCCAACAGTTTTGATTCCATCTTGACATCTGCTCTATCAAGTTCTTCCAGCCAAAGGTTTGAAAGAATTTCAGTCCTGGAATTTTTTAGGTTGATCATGCAAGGGTTATTCATAATTGAAAGCTTGCTGAGCCTGTGAAAATTTTTAAAAATGCTTAGGACAACACTGAAATTGACTAATAAATTGCCATTCAGCTTTAACTCAGTAAGCCTTTTACATTTGCCAAGAGGTGAAATGTCTTTAATTTTATTTTTGCTTGCTTTGAATATTTTGAGTTTTTGTATACTTCTTAACTAAATCATGCAGAAAAATTAGCATTGTTATTTAAGCCATATCCTGCCATTATATTAAATTTAAGGAGAATTCAAGCCTAAAAGCATAAATTGCTTAATGGTGTAACGTCAGTGATACTGTTTTTGCTGACATTTAAATATGTCAAATTTTTGCAATCCCCAACGCCCTTCAAACTGGTTAAATAATTTTCCGACAAGTCCAGAACTTGCAAATTCGAAAGTTTAGAGATATCAAACCTATCGTTTGAGTCAAAGGTGCTTAGCCCTCTCTTGCTTAAATTCAATTCCCTCAGGTCCGAAATAAAAGCAGTTTGAGCAATTTTGAGAATTCTTTTCTCAGAAAGCTTGCCGATATCGCTTAAAGGATTTTCAGGGATTTTTATTGATTTTAGAATTACATCTAAATCTCTCGAAGACTGCCAAGATGGAATTCCAATGCAATCTTCTGATGAGCTGGGGTAGCTATCGAAAGAAGAGGTGGCGCAGTTTTTGGTGTCCGAGTCTCTTAAATAGTTAACGTGTGCTTTGTCGATGTGGACTTCGAGTTCTTTTCTTGTATCAAATGATTGATCATCAAATGGGCAGCAAAAGCTTTTGTTCATTTTTATGATTATAATAGTCAATAAAAAAATCAATACCATCCTTATTAAAAAAAGACAGAAATTAGAACAAGTGAAATAGAAAGGTGAATAAATTATATATGACTCATCAGAATTGATAATTAAATATATGCCAAATAAAAATTAAATATGAAATTTTATTCTCTGCGTACTTTGGTAAAAAGAGTCTCAATGATGCCTACTTAAATTTCTTGTATGAATAAGATTTAAAATTATTTGAAGATATAAATTCAATCTGTTAGGCTAAATATATCGATTAATTCAAATATTTCGGACCAGTCGTCGTATATAAGAACCTTTAATCTAAGGTCTGAATAATTTATTTTATCAAAAATAGTTTACCAACTTAAGAAGTTCTTCATAGTGAAGCTTTTTAATCTCTCAAAAGACGCTTTAAAAGCATATTTTACGACTTTAGAAGCTCAGATTAATCTAGCATTTAAATAATGATGAATATAGTCAGCAAAAAATGGATTAATTATAAGCTCTAATGGATTTTAGTCTCCATATTTATTTAATTTCTATCATAATTAAAATGTATCAATTTGCCACATCTGACCAAATGAAGCTCAAATTAACGATTCTTGCCCAAATCAAGAAGCGCCAAATTCAAAGAGCCTATCTTATATGATATAATGAAGCCTCAAAAAATTCGATCATTGCAAAATATAATAAATTAAAAGCATATGCATTAAAATTACTGAGAAAGCGAAGTCCAGGAAGAGCACCAAAAATTGAAATAAAATCCGTTAAATCCCCCAAGACTCCAGAAATTGAAGAAAAAGGTGCACCTGCTCCAATGTATACTGAAAGGGCCAAAACTTCTTCAACAGACAAACAATTTCTTCTAAAAACTTTTTCATTCCCCAAAAAACCTAAGGAGCAAGCTACCCCAAGCACAAAAGAGCACACACCAAACAGGAGGACCCCTGTAAAACGCAACACGAGTGCTCCTCCAAAATCACCAAAAAATTTATTTGATAAAATTCGCAACGATTTACAACAAAAAGCCTTAAGATCTGATACCCCAACTGAACGAAAATCTATAGAAATTGGTGAAAGATTATTCAGAAATGCAGAAGTGATTAATAAAAAGAAAGAAATTTTACGCAGCAATAGCAAAGAAAACTACTCTTTTAAACCAAAAATATTGGAAAGCACACATAAATGGCTGAATAAACGTGATGGTAAAGCGGATCAGGCGAAAAAAGAGCAAGTTGCTATTGTGTCATGCTCAGAAGTAATGACTAGCAGAGCAAATAGGTTTGGATTTTTGAAGACGTTTGATCCAGAGTGCAATATGGCAGATCAGTCTAATGAGGAATTGGAGGTAGCCTTGGGAGAGTCAAGTGAAAAGAGGACTAACACATCCAGTGAGATTATTTGGATGGCTGGTGGTTAAATTAATTTGATAGAAAGTTTCTTGTAGCTCCAAAATTAAATTGTATTCGATAAAAATGGCCTATGAAAATATCAGCTCAGAGTTAAAAGGGTGGATATGTGCATATCTAAATCCTCCAGCTGAAAAAGACAAACACGATTAAATAATAAGCCTTTTCACTTGTCAACTTTTGATAAGGGGAAAGATTAATATTATGAATGATGTAAAAATAATTAATTTATTTATATGCATACATTTGCCAGAGTCATAATGAGGTTTTAAGGAGGCCTATAAAATTAATCTCCTAATTGGCAAAACTGCAATTTATTTCTTAAGCTTTAGTAATTTAAAATAGGCTAATCTACTATACTCTGTTTAAAGTGTATAAATTCTCATTATTTTAAAATTATCTTTATTTTACAAATCACCTTTAAATTCATTTTTAGTTAATGAGCTATCCAAGAGACTATTCAAATCTCTATCTAGACGTGAACCAATATGGCTCCAGGAACCCTTATCCAAGCTCTTCTATACCTCAATACAGTTACTCAACTCGCAACTCCAGCTATCCTTATACTGATTCCCATAATAACTTTTACCCATCTAGATATCCAACTTACGAGCCTTACAAACCAATTTTTGAGGACAAGCAAGACTATCATTCCAGAATTGAGCGAAATATTGACCAGCAAATAGAAGAAAAAGAAACAAGACTCAAAAAATTCAGCAGCACTGAAACATCTTTTTCGAAATCCAATTATGCCGATAACCCCAACTTTCAGTCGTCTAGAAATAATTTTCAGGCTGAATCTCTATCAGACTCAAAACAAGAATCTTCATCAAAACTGTCAAGAAGCAATTCTTCTAAAAAATACGATCATATGAGAAATCCTTACTCGAAATATAACACAATCAGTCCATATGCAAAAACAACCTTTGCCTATAGGATGAGGACAATTGATAATCAGCCTTATACTTTTTCTGAAGAAGAGCCGGTAGCTAGAAAAAAAGAAAAAAAGGTTGTAAAAACTAGCCAAAAAAATAAAGTTATCAAAAAATTGGTAGGAATTATTGAGGACCATGCCGAAATTTGCCCACAATTAAAATATAAGCTTGATGCATTAAGGGAAGAGTTCCCGTTTATTTAAGAAAACTAAAGAATTTCTAAATTTAAAAATTTTCTGAAAATGGATAATATTGACAATATGGAAAGAAAAAACTCCTCACCTCAGGTGAATATAAAATTTCTCTCACTCAACCTTTTCCTTCGTCCTCCGCTTATTCATACAAATGAAAGTGATTATAAGGACGATCGATTGCGGTATTTTATCCGTAATATAATTCACAACTACGACATTATATGTCTCCAAGAAGTTTTTTCTTCTTACACCCTTAGGCAAAATCGCCTAATTCAAGGAGCAGAAAATAGGCAGTTTTTATATTCAGTAAGAAGCCCAAAGCCAAAGTTATGATCAACACAGATTGTAGACTGTGGGCTAGTAATTCTAACTCCCACTCAAGGAGGGGGTTATTTTTATTTTAAAAAAATTATATATAAATTTTATAGAAAAATTTTTTTTTCGAAATTTTAAAAAAAAATCCTAATTTGCAAAATTGGGAAGCAAATTTTAATTTAATTTATAAAATTATGTTTTAAAACACAATTTTTTTAAAATTAAACAGAATTAGCTATACTAATTTCACTTATATATCAATTTTTTTTTTAACAAAAAAATTTTGTTCACTCACGGAGGGTGGGTTTTTGGGCAAAAAATAGGGATTTTTTCCAATGGTTTTTTTCACTCACGGAGGGGGAGTAAGCAAGTATCGTATAGTAGAAAGTGAATTCAAGCCTTTTACATATTCATTGCTTCCCGACAGATTATCATATAAAGGTATGCTATATGCAAAAATTTCAATTAATGGGAAAAACGTTCATGTATTTACGTCTCATTTGCAGTCTAAACATCCTACTGAGGACAGCGCTCAGTACTTGGCATATAGACTTGTTCGGAGATCACAATTGATAGAAATGAGGAATTTTGTTGATGATAAAATTGGGAAGTCAAATGACGCTGTCATTATTGCAGGAGATTTATATCAGTTTATAAATGATTATTATTTATGATTAATCAAGATTTATTTATTAATAATAAGAGAATTATCATTCAATTATGTATAAATATAGATGGAAGAGAAGAACTTAAGCCTCCCGCATTTCCAGTATATTATATTTAGGACATTGAGTGCAAAGATGACTATGAACACTTTATCAATATTTTATCAAAATATGGAAAATCAGACTTAATTGATGTAATGAGGACCAAATATGGGTATTCTCCAGCTACATTTGGTAGACATGATGAAAATAATAATCCACTTGAAACAGTACTCACTGCTTCAGACCAAACCTTATGGGATGAATCATTAGATCATATTCTGATGATTAATGAAAAAGCTAGTGGGGTCACTATCAATTGGACTGAGACTTGTGTAGAGCCGTTTTATACTCCTGGACAGCCATTTACTCAGATTAGTGATCACGCAGGAGTTCAAATTTCTTTTAGGTGTTAATAATTGTTTATAAAAAATAATTAATTATCCAAACCAAATCCGATTGAGTGATTTTCAATTACAAATAATAAAGCTTTTTTAAGCTCCTTTTTAGACTGGTAAATAGGCAAGTCTAGTCTATTAAAACATGTGTGAGCTCTTGGCAAAATTCCTGGTACATATTTTACAGATTCTATTGTAAATTTCGCAGAATCCCCACGAAGAGTTTTGAGCGACGTGAATCCTCCTATAGGTAACCGAGAAGTGCCAGTTACAAAAACTAGAAGATTTGATAATTGGCTTTGACTTAGACGTCTTAAAATTTTCCAAAATCACACTATAACTTTATGATTTTCTGAAAATGGAGATTTATATTCTGTATTAAGCTGCCAATCCACTATATCAATGATATCAATCCCACACAATGCTTGTTCTAATTCTTCTGGGGTTAAGTGTGAAATTACGTTAAATGGAACTACGAAATAAAACCCATTCTTTATATTTTCTATAGCTTCATAAAACCCATTATGCAGCTCCAGCTCTGCCCTTTTTATAGCATATTCTTCTTTATTAGCATCATTTACTTCTATATTCTGTCCATCTTGTACCAGCGCCATAATAAACTCATCACCTAAATGTCTTTTTTTGACTGAAAAAGTTTCGAAAAATACCCCATTGATTGGATTTTGTAGCATATAGCATAAAGACTTATAAAGTTCTTCGTCTATATACCGCAAATCTTCAAGTTCTACTCTTAACTGTAAAATATGCTTAAAAATCACTTTAGAAAGATGACAATTAATAGGAACATTTTCTAATAAAGCTTTCCCAATCGCTCTTCCAAACAAATAATAATACATGCTAAGAGACTCCACTTCTTTAATAGGGATTGTATAGGCAACTTCTTGTGTATTCGCAAGTACAAACATCCCTCAGCTTTCTGATAGCAGCTCAGCCATAAGCAAATTTAGTCATTCTTTCATTAATCCTCCAGCATCTTGAGCGATTTCTCCTGAAAAGAAAATCTGGAACTCTGAACGAATTTCGTATTCACCGAGCTGGTTGATTTGATTTAAGGACTCATAAACAAGGTTTTCCCTTTCTATTATGATGTATACGTGGTTGTCTGTCCAGGGAACCTTTAAATCTTCGCATTTTTGTTTTAGGGAGAGAATATTGGGGTCGTAAAGATCTGAATTATTTATAGAACTGTCGTCGAAAGATTTTTTAGGAGGCGGACCTTTTTGCAAGCAAGCGTCTATGTGAGAATTAAAATTGTTGAAGGTTGCCTATAATAATGATAATAATGGGCTTTGGATAAAAGGTATAGGATTTGCCCTAGGATGGCGCTATATGGCGCCATCCTAGGGCAAGCGAAAATTGGCTCCACACGGGAACCGTATTCCACGTGTGGAGCCATTTTTCCACGTGTGGAATCCACATTTTCCCACGTGGAAAAATGGCTCCACACGTGGAACACAATTCCCGTGTGGAGCCGTGTCTCCAATTGCCCGAGGATGGCGCAATATAGCGCCATCCTCGGGCAATTTCTATAACTCATTTCATAAATTCCTTTTCAATCATCAACTTTTTAGTATGGGTTAGGTTTTTGCATGTGGAATTCTGCACAAGGGAGAAAATGGAAAGGAATTATACTTCGCCCATTTTGTGTGTCGTGTTTTACCTCTTTCCTCTGCTGATATGAAAAACAGGACTCTTAGGCAAGCAGACACTGCTGGAAAGTGGGATAGAGCGAGGAGACTCGCCAAGCCGCTAATGTTTCCAGTACTTCTGGGTCTCCGATGGTTTCACTAGGACTAGAATTATCGAGTAGACTACGAGGCCCGACATGAGTTCGAAGACAGAGGGAAAAAAGCATCTCGCGACACTGCTCAACAGGAGGTCGGTTAAATTAAGTATTTAAATAAGTAAGTAAAGGTTGTCCAAAGGTTAAATTTCCGCTTGCAGATTGGGCATTCGGCATTAGTACCTAGTATTCCTGTTCCTCTTCTTACATAATTTCCCATGATATTTATATTGTGAGTTTAGTTGATAACTATTAGTTAGATTGTGGTGGAATGTTAAGATAAACTAATAATTATTTGCAGCTTAATATTATATTTTAATTAATTCAACTAAATATTAGCAAAATAAAACTCTAACCCTCTCTTAAGTTAATAGTAATTTTTTAAAATAAATGAATTTTTATAAATATATTTTTATATAGATTTTTTTATTTAAATTTTCAGTTATTAAAAATCGAACTAAATCTATTAATAATTGAATCAGATGGGTATAAAGAAATAATAAATGAAAATAGGCATTTTTAATATATTGCTACTCTTATAATAGAGAAATAAGTGAATTTTTATATCAGGGTACCAAAAAATTATAGAAATGTTTCAAATTAAAAGGTTAGAATTGATAAGCCTTTTAAAATAAATGAATTAGATTGCCGTTTTGAAAGATATAAAGATTGATTCCATAAAATAAGTAATGGGATTGCAAAAGAAGAGCAATATACTTTTGATAATTATTATTTGATTAATTTATATTTTAAGAGGGTTTCATATAGAGTTTCCTATGTTTGGCGCTGTAAGGCCGATAAATTCTGATCGGAATTTATCGGTAGGTTGCACCAAATCAATGCCTTGGTCGGACCAAAAAGCGATTTGGTCCGACGAACTTGGAAAGCTCCTGGGAAAATGTCTGCGCTTTAGCGCTATATAGAGGAAACCTCTATATTTGACACTGAATTAAAATATTAAGAAAATAATTAATAATTGTTTATAAAATCTTAAATTCCCTCCTGAACAAGAAAAAAATATTTCTTTATGCAGTATGTTTGTTTTTAAATTTTTTTATAATTTGACATTTAACTATATTTTCAAAGTTTAAAAGCAAACAATTTCTTAAAAATTGGAAGTAAAATTACATTTTTAAAATGCAATGCATTTACAATTAATAGAATTTGTAAGCTAACTAAGATTTCATTATAATAATTAAAACTTTAATTATCAAAGTAATTTTTTCGCAAAAATTGCTTTTTCACAGAGGTAGTAAATAAATGAGTTTAATTTCTGATGATCCCGTTAAAGTGATATTTAATTAATCATTTCTCTTAGAAAACTCCACTTAATGTGAAATAATTTATCATAAATCAAAGAATCTAAGCTCCCATATTTAACCAGTATTATTTCAAAAAATGCAAAAAATACATTTCATACTTTATCGCAATTTTATTAAGATGAGAATTCTTGGCTTAAATTTAAATTTTTTCACTCCCATTCATTGCATAAAATTGCGCAGAAAAACTAATTAAATTTAATTCTACTTCTGAAAATTCTCTCCATCCCTTCAAAAAAAAACACTAATCTCTATAATTAAAATTATGGGAAATTGTGTCAGCCGTAAAAAATCATCCACCGTAAAGACCCTACCTTCTTCTAATTATAAGAAACGAGAATCCACTTTATCAAGCACAATTATCAAATCTATTCCCCAGGCTGATGCATCCAAAACAATACCTCAGACTGAGGAAATCAAAATCGAAACCAACACAAATTCAGTTTCAAATGCAAGGAAAATGATCAAGAAAAAAGCTCCTGTTGCTGACCATCGAAAAAAGAACTTACTCCCTGGTAAATGCCAAAATTTGAATTTTTAACATTTTATAGGAAAATTCCTGATATTAATAAGAAAATTTTGCCTTATCAAGGGAGTTAGAAGATGTAGACGCACCCAATGCGATTGTGACTGAAAAAGTTAAATCTGATAGGGAAATTGAAGATTTGCGAAAATCATTGGCAGCAAGCTCACTTTTCAGCAGCTTGCCAGAGGAAAATCTTCACCTTATTATAGACCAAATGAAATATTATACACTTGGGGCGAGAGAAGTTGTATTTAATCAAGGCCAGCCAGGAAACAACTTCTTTATAGTCGCATCTGGCAGGGTTGAAATTATAGTCAATGGAGAAACCAAAGGGTTTCTTTCCAAAGGGAAAGGGTTTGGAGAACTTGCACTTTTGCACGACTCTTTAAGAACTGCTACTGTTATTACACTCGATAAAGCTACTTTGTGGGGAATTGGAAGACAAGCCTTCAGAAGCGCAGTGGAAAGTGTTAGTAATCAGAAATATATTGAAAATAAAAATTTTATTGATAATGTGCCGATTTTGAGTTTGCTTACACCAGCACAAAAAGACGCTTTGCTTGCTGTTATGGTCTCACAGGATTTTGAACCAGGACAAAAAATTGTATAGCTTATCCTCCATAATAGATAGCAATGGCTAAAAACTGACCAGAAAAAGCATGGTCTAAATGCCTTATAAAGTCTAAGTCTAGGCTTCTCAAAACAATAGAAAGAGATTTTAATTTCGTTATATTTCAAAAAGGTCATATCGACCTATTAGAACGTAGCGGCTATATCAGAAGGAGACCCAGGAGACTTATTTTACGTAATTAAAGAAGGGGTTGTAAGCTGCACTGTAAAAGGAAACGAGATAAGACAGCTAAGCAAAGGAGATTTCTTTGGGGAGCAAGCACTAGTTTACAATACAACCAGAACAGCTACAATCACAGCCATTGCCAAAGCTTCTATACTGTCTTTAGGAAGAGAAGACTTAACACGAGTTTTAGGCGACCAGCTGCAACAAATTATCTATAGAAACACTCAAAGAATGTCCATCGAAAAATCTCAGACACTAAAAGTCCTTACAAAGCTCCAAGCAGAATCTGTTATTGATAAAATGAAAGTTTCATCATATCATGATGGAGAAATAGTCATCGCAAAAGACTACCCAAAACAACAAATGATATGAATGGTATTAAAAGGCAGCCTGATGGCTTCAACTGTAAAAGTCGACGTTTTTCAATTTATTGGAGACATGGATTTTTTACCACCAAGCTCAGTGAAATATGATACAAGTTATTTGGCAGTAGGGGATACTGATGTAGCAGAAATATCATGGGCAGATCTAGAAGCGTGTATAGGAGGAAGGCTTGCAAATATTTCGCAGCAAAATCAAGTACTAGGCATTTTGAGGAGGGTGCAGCTGTTCAGAGCTTTAAGTGTAAGTAAATTAGAACAATTAGCATCAGTTCTAAGAGTCAGGGATTATTATGATCAAGAACCTGTATTTTTGCAAGGAGACCCAGGTGATGCATTTTATATTGTAAAAGAAGGGCAAGTAGAAATCCATAAAGACGGAGTTTTGATCAGAACTATTATAAAGCATGATTTTTTTGGAGAAAGGTCAATCATTCTGCAAGAAAGTAGGACTGCTACTGCAGTTTCAAAAGGAAACACAAGCTGCTGGATTTTGGAAAAGCAGCAGTTTTTAAATTTAATTGATGAAAACATCAGGAACCAAATCCTTAAAAGAATGGAACTCCAAAATGACTCTGTGCAGCTCACTGAGCTTGCTATTATAAAAACCCTTGGCAAAGGAATGTTTGGAAATGTGTTTTTAGCTGTCCATAGAAAAGTAAAAACCCCTTATGCCTTAAAAACAGTCCACCGAGGCAAGATTCAAGCTTTCCAAATCCATGATAACTTGGTCCTTGAACGAAAAATTTTACTTGAGCTTGACCATCCTTTAATTATGAAACTTGTAAAGACCTTCAAAGACCCTGAAAGGATATATTTTCTTACAGAATTTGTCCGAGGCCAAGATCTCTTTGATGTACTCAGAGTCCTAAACTTACTTACAAACGAGTGGTCAAAATTTTATGCTGGCTGCGTTTTCTTAATGCTTGAACATTTGCATGAGAGAAATATAATTTACCGGGATCTTAAGCCTGAAAATATCATGATTGATGAATATGGATACCCAAAATTGATTGATTTTGGAACAGCAAAACAAATAGACTCAAGAACGTATATAGCCCGATCCCTGCTTTGGATCGGGCTTGACTGAAATCGGGAATGGAATTGACAAGCCAACGTTGACTGGCAAAGTCAACTCTCAATATGGCAAATCCTCTTGTTATTGGATATTTGCCATCTGGGGTATTAAATTTGCCAGAAAACTTTGGTTTGCCAACCCCATCTTACATCTCCCGATTTAGTCAAGCCCAATCCAAAGCAGAGATCGGGCTATACAGTTGTAGGGACACCTCATTATATGGCTCCTGAAGTTATCATTGGAAAAGGCTATGGCCTAGCTGCTGACTATTGAACGGTAGGAATCATGATTTATGAATTTTTCTGTGGGATTGTCCCATTTGGCGAAGATGAAGAAGATCCTTATAAGATTTATGAAAAAGTCATTGAAAGGAGGCTTGTTTATCCACCTTATGTAGGCCCAAATATGAAAGCAGCACCTTTTATTGAAATGCTTTTGTCAAAAAACCCTTCAATGAGAGGCACAGTTGAAACTATTAAAGAGCACAAGTGGTTTCAAGGGCTTGATTGGGACGGGTTGTTAGGGAAACAAATTAAAGCTCCTTATGTGCCAAAACTTGAAAGTTTAGCTGGAGAAATTGAGCATGGCTTGAAAAGAAATAAAGATGTGACAGAGTTTATTATGGTATTTATTATTTAGAGAGAAGAAGTTAATGATCTTGCAGAAATTCCGAAGAAAAGGGGGAAAAGTCCGCCTGAAGATTGGGATCACGATTTCTAGAGTGTGTAAATAGAGTTATTTTAAAAGTAAATAACAATGAAAATAGATAATTTTAATCGAGGGAGGTTTTATTTAAATTTCCAAAAATTAAATATATAAAATTATGATAATGTTAAAATAAATTAAGAAAATCTATAGAATTCTTAAGCAAAATCTTAACTTTATTGAAATATCAAATTGCAATAAAAATCGCTATGTAATTTGGCTTTTATGATCAAAATTACTGTTTAGTCAAATTTTGATCGGAATTATATGATCTAATATATAATTTTATTAAGAAAGCATATATAGATGCTAATAAACAAGTTCATTTAAAATCATAAGGATTAGTGAGAAATAAAATAAAGAAATCTAGAATTTCCTAACATGTAAAATATATAATTTGCAAATAATTTAGTCTATTAAAGCCTCCAGAAAACGGAAAATACATTGAATTATCATTTCTTTACCATAGATATGAAATGTCTCAATGCGAGAGTTTATTACTTTAGCATTAACTATTAGATTTTGTAAGCTTTAAGCTGTAAAATCATCAAGTCCGTTGCAATTTATTGAGCTCATGTCAATTTCTGGAGTGGTATTCTCAACTATTGCTTTGTGGAACTCATTGAGAATACTCTTGTTTTGAATTGAAGAATCTGTAATTGATGTACTGCTTTCTTGCCCTCTAATTTGAGGGGACGGAGCCAGATTTACACCTATCAAAATCAGTTGTTGGTTCATAAATAAGTATTGTTTTGTTGGAAATTTATTAAACCAAAGAATATTAATTTAAAATTAAATAGCAGCAATATTTTGTCTAAAAATATTTCGATAAGTTTTTTTATAAATTGAGTAATCTCAAAAATAGAGTTTCTTTTTAAGAAAAATAAAATTTATATTATAGCAATTTAAATTTTGCTAGCAGGCTAATTTTTCAATAATTATCTATTCAATTATAGTTAATTATAGATGTTTTCAACGATAAAATTGGGACAAATATCTATTTGTTTCTTAAAAGTTTATACCCTTAAACCATGGCGAATTTTATCCATTTTTTGAGAAAAACTAATGTGATCTGATGAGTGAAAATGCCGATATTTCAATTTTAGCTTATCTAATTTATATAGATTGACTTTATTAGATATTAATTTAAAAAAACTCACTGTCAAAGTTTAATTAAAAATTAAAGAAATTTGGCACCATCTTAACAAAACTTTATGCACATATAAAATAAGTAATTTTTATCGCTATAGCAAATAATAAAAATCTATAAATTAGCAAAAATTACGAGAAAAAGGCTTTGATGCATATTTTTATTGCTATTAATTAAGACTTGAGTAAAGATGGCTAAAAATTTAATCAAAATTTAGGTATTATGGCAAAAATCTTACTTGGAAAATAAAGATGCTAGTTATTATAGGCTATTTATATAAATGAAGCTATTTCAAAGCCTTGCAATTAAATAAGATATAGCTTATTTAACATTGAAAATACATTTAAATCAGTGTAAAAATATGCATTTTTATCTTAAAAAGCATGAAATAAACTTATATAGTCGTTTTATCAATTTTTATAAGTCATAACCCTTCATTCATCAATTTTTCATTAATTTATGCCAATTCATATATATAGTATAAAAACTTTTTATTTTGCTGATTCTTTAATTTTCTTTTAACTGGCACAATAATGGCGTTTTCTATAATATCCATGCACAACCCCAACAAAGAGAATTTCTTAAATGAAATTCAAATAATAAGCATCAATAATTACTAAAGAATTTCTTTATAAAGAAAATGGCTTTATATCTTTATTTTATTAACTATAACCAATATGCTCTCGATTAATCAATTATAAAAACACATGGCAAAAATATTACCAGACGAAAGCTTCAGAGATATCTTTCTCCAAGGCACGACCTCAGTTTCATATTCAAATTTCACAACAAACAAAGTTAATACAGCAAGGCAGAATCCTTGGACCTTGATTTTTCAATTTCTCTATAAACAGTTTCAGCTCTTCCCGAACATTTGATTTTTATTTATCTCTATCTTGGAAATTCTTGATTCTTCTCATGGATGAGGCACAGTGCTTGTTTTCAGTCTTATTTTGTCAATAAATTTTGCAAAAGATGTTTACAGGTTTTATTGGCATTATACAAATGACTGAAAAGTAAATCATAGGATAGTCTCCGTTTGAAATGGCTCAGACTTTGTGGAAAAATATTGGGAAGACCTTATGGTAGGCGAAATCATTTTATTGAGAGATAGCGACATTGCACCAGCTGATATTCTCATTCTTGGATGTGGAAATCCAGAAGGGGAATGCTACGTTGATACCTTTGAAGTTTTAGGTGAGCGCAATTTGAGGGTAAAAAGATCAATTAAAAGTATTCAAGCTATAATAATTTCTCTTGAAATGACTGAAGCTGCACAATATTTAAAGAAATTAGATGAAATTATTAAAGTATCACATCCGAGGAAGAATTATAAGAAATTTAAAGGGAAAATAAACATTCGATCACCCAAGCCAGACTTGATTTCATATAAAAATTATATTATGAGAGGGGAAATGATAGTAAACTCCTCATGAATTTTTGCAATTGTTATATACACAGGGACTGAATGCAAAATCTATATGAATACAGTCGCAAAGCCAAAGCTGTCAAAATTTGATAAAAAATTAAACATCGTGGCTTTATGGCTTCTTTTTATTATTGCTTTATTGGTGCTTATTCAAATGCTAGTTGGTGTTTATAAAGGAAATCAATTTTCAAACCCCACTTCTATTTTATTTATAAACGCTGTCCTTATTGTCCACCAAATAGTTCCTACAGAATTATTCTTATGTATCGAGCTTATTAGGATTATTCAAGCTTGATTTATCCAAAGAAAATACCAGGGGATTGAATTCAAAACAGGCAGTATGAGTGAAGACTTGGGCCAAGCTGAATATATTTTAGTTGATAAGACTGGGACTTTGACTAAAAACCAGCTGTCAGTTCAAGTCTGTATTATTGGTGAAGAATTTTACTGAAAAGACCAATGTGAAGAAACTGATTATTTATATGAAGGAATGTCACCTAAGAGCGGATCGAGACTTGTCCCACCAGGCTCAAGTGACCCGCGCAGAGAACGATTCAAATCTGAAATGCAGACTTTTTCACAGCTGAGGCTAGAATTAGCACATCATGGCTTGTGCAGCGAGCAAATGAAGAATTTTGCCTTGTGCATGGTTTTGTGTAATTATGCTTATCCTATTTCTGAGTCTGATTTTACAGCAATTTTAGAAGATGACAGGGTGTTAGTGAAATGTGCTCAAAATTTAGGCTTAAATATGATTTTGAGGACACAGTCTACCATTGTGATTGATGTAAATGGAGTTCCTAACACTTTTAAAATTCTTGGAGCGCTGCCTTATTCCCCTGGGCAGAAAAAGACAATGATCTTGGTGAGCAATTCAAATGTTTCTGGGTCTTTATTATTTGTAAAAGGTGAAAAAGACGAAATGCTTGATTTATTTGACTTAAGCAATGAAATAAAATTTACAATAGAAGAAAACACATTATCCAGAAGCCTTATTGGCATGAGGACAATTATCTTTGGCTGTAAAGTCTTATCTGACCAAAAAACTGAGGAGTTTATCAGTGACTATAAAAATGCAAGATTATCACCTATTAATAAACTGGGGAGAATTGAAACAGTTTTTGAAAAATACCAAAATAATTTAAACTATTTAGGAATTGTTGGCCTTGAAGATATTGTCGCAGAAAGCACCCAAGACACTGTCCGCCTACTAACAAGAGCAGGAATCAAGTTTTGGATTCTATCAGGGGATACTGAAGAAAGTACTTTAAGGGCAGGAGTAAGATCTGCTATGTTTGAAGAGAACGTCAGAATTATCAGGATGACTGATTTTATATCAGAATCAGAGTGTATAGAAGTCATGATCAATCATATACAAAACTGCATTTTTCATGATGAATTATCCTCAGGAGATTTAAGTGACGCTTCTTTGCTTGATCATGATAACGAAACTTTAAATAACCGTGAGCGAATCCGATCTGAGCCTTTAATAATTGGCACAAAAGATGAACAAAAATCAGTCCACAGCACAAGTGACCATAATTCAAGCAAAATTAAAGAACAAGAACATGACCACCATGGATTCCGTGGAGTGATGCTCCCATTAATTTCAAAAAGTGCTGATATAAAGATGAGCATTTCCCTTACAAAAAAATTTAATTATAAAGCTGTCTATTTTGTGCTGTCAATTGATAGTGAAAGTCTAGAATTTGCCTTAAAATCTGAAGAAAGCAGAAGGTACTTTGTATGTTTGCTTTTTGCAGCGCAGTCTGTATTTTTTCACTCAATTTTGCCACATCAAAAGAGAAAAATCGTTCAATTGCTGAAAAACTGTTTTCGATTTAAGCCTACTGTAATAGCGGTAGGAGACGGAAGCGATGATGTAGGGATGCTCCAAGAAGCTCATATAAGCATTTCTTTAAGGAGAAGTGATGTGACTGATGCAGAAAACGCAAGCGAAATAGTGATTGATGAGTTTGCTCAGCTTCGAGAGCTGGTTTTGTATGAAGGGCATAACTGCTATTTTAGGCTGTCAAAAGTTATATTAGGAAGTCTTTATGCGAAATTTTTTATGGCTTTTATTCAATTTTTTTATAATGTCGTTTATAGCTACTCAGGGATAAATGTTTTTGGATTTGAATTAGAGCTGGTTTATGAGCTGATAGTAACTATTGTTCCTATATTAGGGATTGGATTATTTGATAGTCAGGTGACAGTTCGAGAAATATTGGAAATTCCTCAAGTTTATTGTACAGGGATTTACAATACTTTGTTAACTGCGAATATGCTAGTGATACTTACTTACTTATACATTAATAGACGTCTGCCGTATTGTTAACGCAGTCACCAAGGACCCAGTATTAGGGTTCACCTGCTTTGCGGTATAGTCTCAACTGGCCATAGAGACCAGCCAAGGAGACATACACCTCCTCCTTCCCTCGGAAACCCGCGGCTTAAGTTTTGAGTAGGCGGGCTATGGATTTCTGCGGCTACTGCTTGAGTTGACGAGAGTTGGCTTCCGAAATTCCAAAAAATGGAATTTCTGATCATCTTTCGGCAAAAAGGGAAATTCCAAGTTCTGGGACATAACTCCCAGTTTCACGCTAGGTAGTTGCCCGAATGGTCTAGGCGTTGCCTGTAGACTCTGCTGGGCTTACCCTTTCCAAACCTGGGCTTCCTTTCCTCTCGAGGAGAAAATCCATTCTGGTCGTTGAGCATGGGCCAGGCTCTGCTCTGCAGAATTGCTTACCTTGGCATTGTTGCTCATTTCCTGAATGGCAAAACCTTGCCGGATATAATTAAAATATGAGTCGAGTATGTATGGCCGAGAGGCCATACCCAGACGAAGACACCATATTTTTTATATGCTAGTGATACATCCATTTATGGGATTTCTCCATGGAGTTATACTAATTTTCGTACTTTGTGGGACTGTTTCCCAAATTGTGACCTCAGATGGCTATACAATGAGTTATGATTTGCTTGGTTTTATTGGCTATATTGTAATGTATATCACTTTTTCGCTTAATTTGATACTCAGAACAAACAGTTGAAATGTCTATACAATTGGCTCACATATTGTTACTTTATTATTATCACTTCTATTTCTGCTTTTACTCACATATAATGAAATTCCTTCAGACGCTTTGAATGGCATGACAGAAATGATAGGCCAGAGTTCACTCGCCTGAATGATTATAATATTTCTTCCATTAATCCTATTAATGATTGGTATTATAGCTAAGCGCATTATAAATAAAATCTACCCTGACGATATCCGAAAATTGCAAGAATTAAAAGAAAATAACATTGAGCCAGATGTAGACTCAAGACTTAAATTTTATAATACAAGATTAGGAGATGTGTATGTGGAATCACACAGCTGAAATCAACGAGTAATTCGTGATACTTTTGATATTAATAAATACACTTTAAAGTTTGTATCAAAATATAGAGAAAAAGAATATAGCAAGGGTCTATTTTGGATCTCAATAGGCTAAATAATACCTAGAGGATTTGGTTTGAGAGATATAATTTCCCAAGTCAAATCCACTAGTTGATTGGGCTTCATATAGCCCATGGCGATCCAAAAGAGAACTTAGGCTATACCAAGGAATCCAAACTGAATTGAATTTGGTGTTCTACAGAGTCTTGCTATTTTTAAAAGCTTGTGGCATAGGCGCATATGTAATATATAGAATTTGTCAAGAGGAAGGAGATATGGAAAAAAAGCATTATATGTTTTTAGTTCTTATCTCAGAACTTTTATTTACGCTGATTTCGTTCACCAAAGTTTTTAGGCACTACATGAAGAAACTAATAATACTGAATTATTTATTCTGCAATATCGTCCTAGTCACAGTGTGATTTGCCACAGTTCCTTCATCACACCCCGTGTACATTATTTTCTATATGCTTGGATTTAGCATTTTTTGGCTTGAAATTGTAATTTGTGGCTTAATTTTCACGATGTCGACTTGAATTTCTATTTGTTTTTACTTTTACTATCTTGACTATGAAAGAGATGATATTATTCTTGGCTCATTTGAATATATGATTTATTTTTTAGGCATTTATTTAGCATCTGCATCTGTAGGCTACATTTTGGATAAAACTAAACGATCTGAATATATTATGGCTCAAAACGTTAGAGTAGAAGTGGATAAACCTTTAGCTCCCCCATCATGAGCAAAATTTTTTTGAAATCTTATTATAAAAATTATGCTTTAAAATTCAAATTTTACAGAATTAATTTGAGATTCATTATAATAAATATAATTAAAACATTTATATTAAAAAGTTTTGCTCACTCACGGAAATTTTATCCATGGCCCTACTTTTCATAGAGGGGAGGTAAGCATTCTCAATTTATTATTACCTTCAAGTGTTTCTAGAAGGGTCAAAAATGGGGACAGATCATTCGCTGAGGACCAAGGAATTGTAAGTGTGATTTTTTGTGACATGAATAATTTTGATACAATTGTAGCAAATTATTCCCCTCAAGAATTGACAGCTTTTCTGGACGAAGTGTTTGGGAAATTTGATAAATTATGCGAGCAATCTGGTGTATCTAAAATAGAGACAGTTGGGAAAACCTATATGGCATGTGCAGGTCTTACTCCCCCCCCCCTCCGTGAGTGAACAAAACCATTAGAAAAATCGCCATTTTTTGACCAAAAACCCACCCTCCGTGAGTGAACAAAAATGTTTTTAATACAAAAAATTTTTATGGAAAAAAAATTTGATATACAAATGATAATTAGCATAATGAAATCTAGAGCTAATTCTGTTTAATTTTTAAACGAATTGCTTTTTAAAACATAAAATTTTACCAAAAAAATTAATATTTGCTTTCCAATTTTTACAAATTAGATTTTTTTAAATTTCGAAAAAAAAATATTTTTTATAAAATTTATATATAAATTTTTTTAAAAAAAACAAAAATTAACCCCTCCGTGAGTGAACAAAAATTTTTTTGTTCACTCACGGAGGGGGGGGGAGTTAGCATTTTTGAGTCAGAAATGGACCCAAATCTAACCTGTGTTTCTCATGCTAGGAGAGCTATAGAATTTGGGTTTCTTGTTATAAAAACTGCCAAAGCTATTTTTTTGAAGAATGGCGAAGAATTAAGCTTTAAAATTGGGATAAATAGCGGCCGCGTAGTCGCTGGAGTTGTAGGAAACCATAAACCACAATTTTCTTTGATAGGAGACACTGTTAACACTTCAAGCAGAATGTGCTCCACAAGCACTGAGCCGAATCGCATACAAATTTCTATGAGCACATATGATTTACTTGATGAAAATGATAAACAAGGCTTAAAATTCATCCCAAAAGTAGTGTGGGTAAAAGGCAAGGGTGATATGAATACATTTATGGTCAGTTTAGAAACCAAAGCAGATGGGACAAATTCACTTGAAAACTTCCAAACCCACCAGAGAAATGCGGCTGTTAATCAATCTTCACCTAATAATAATATACATACAGCAAATATGAGGAGTATAGGCGAAAATGGGTCACTAGCACAAAGCGAGGTCCATAAGCGCAGAACTTCACTTATTGATTCGTTAGATATCAGAGAAGCAAGAGAACTGTTTGATAGGTCAAATACTGATACAATAGAAAATGTTCAGATTTTTTCTTTTAGATGCAATGAGTCTGCGAAAGAAAGGGAATTCAGACTTGAGGCTATTGAAAACAAGCTACCTATGTATTTTGTCGGGCTTTACATAGGAATAATTGTGTTTATTTTATCAATTATTTTACAAATTATAGCTCTTATAATTGACAAAAAAGACTCTGATATATCTTTTATGGTAATTTCTGGAGCTGAAGCTTGCATGTTCGCTTTTATTTCATATTTTTTGAAATTTTACTACAAAAAGAGGAGATTTGCTTGGATTATGCAGGCGACTTTTATTTCTGGCCTTGTGCTGAGCAGTACACTAATGTCATATAACGATCAGGTATATATAGATATTCAATGCATTTTTGGGATGTATTGGATCTTACTAATGACTCACACATCAGAGCTGTTTTTCCATTGAATTCTTATGGTTTCTATACTTGTTCTTACGCCTTGGGTAATTTTAGTTTTTATATTCCAGGACTCTTTCAACAAAGTTTTCATTGTTTTCGCCATATGGTACATCATCACTGCATTTTATACTCTCCATCACAAAGAAAAATCAATGAGGACCAGTTACCTTTTAATCTCAGCTGGAAAAAGCGAAATAGAAAAAACTGACACCTCCCTTGATCAGGAAGCATATTATTGATAAAAAAAAATAGGTGAAATTAGCCCTACCTGTTAAAAAGTCAATTTTGTTTATATAATTAGAATATTTTTATAATAATTAATGCGAATTTTCTTTAAAATTTGAGTTTTAAATCAGAAAAATAAAAAAATATCATCTCTATACAACGGGGAGTGAGAGATTGCTAAAAAATATGATGCCTCCACATGTATATCAAAATTTAAAAGAAGAAAAAAATATCACTGAGCTTATTAAGGATGTTACTTTAATCTATGCAGATATTGTAGGGTTTACAGCTTGGTCTGCAAATCATGCCCCTGAAGAAATCGTTAGAAGGCTATCAGATTTATTTACAAGTTTTGATAGGATGTGTGAAGAGCATCACGTCTATAAGGTCCATACAATTGGAGACTGCTATGTAGCTATGGGATATAGAGAAAATAATAGAAATCCCCAGAAAGAATGCATGAATATGGTAAAATTTGCACACTCTATGATTGAGGTTATTGAAGAGGTTAATTATAAGTATGGGAGCGAGCTAAATATGAGAATTGGCATGCATACAGGTGATGTTATTGGGACGATGTTTGGGACAAATATTGTGAGATATGATATTTATGGGTCTGATGTGCTGATCGCGAATAAAATGGAAAGCAATGGAGAAGCAGGGAAAATTGTTGTAAGTGATTAGATTAGATTAAGATCTAGCGGGTCTCTGGGATTATTTCAGCCCTAACGCAGGTTCGAGTGGCCCTAATAACCTGGATTCACGCCATGCCCTTTTCGTGTAGACTTCACCAAAAAATGGTAACGTCAGCAGTCTCTAGGGCAGACTCACCTGACCATGCTGGGGTCAGCTCTATAAAAGAGGATTCTCTTAGCTCTGGAGCGCTCAGGACATGAAGGAAATGCCACTATCTCCTTCAGACTACCCTGCCCAATCGGGCAGATAAATTGCTTCCCAGAAGTCCAAGCCTACTTTCCTCCTTTTAATTTTAGCCTGTGGGATAAGGAAAAAATCCTGTCATGGAGTCCTGGCCAGGCTAAAGCTCTTAAAAAATAGGATCGCTTAAATGAGGCTGGGATCAAATCACCAATCATTCTGGCCTTTCTCAACTCGCCATTAAAAATGTTATAAGTGAAGATACTAAAATACTTATTGAAACTTATAAGCCTGGGAAGTACCAATTCAGCTTTTTAAAAGAAATTCCGCTACAATCTCTGGAGAGGACTATAAAAGCTTTTATGTTGCTCGATATTTCTGGAGATTTAGACACTTACTTACTTACTTACATAGTCTTTAAGGTGTCTAGTGCCCACACCCTTAATAAAAAAGGGTCAAAGCGACAACTAGTGACGTCACCAAGCCATCTTGGAATATGTGGTCAGCCCACACCCAAGCCTTCTATAAGGCTAGTCGCCAGATAAATTGCCGCACATCTCACCCGGCGCGTTGCCGTCGCTCGCTCCGACTCAGCTCCTGCGCGTGTTCCGCCTAAGGGTCATCCTCCCGTGGGGACGTGCTGAGAGGTAAAACTCCGAGTGTCTTGAATGCACTGAGGAGCCGTGCCTTTGGTTATCCCCAAAGTTAAACGGCTGTTGCTGTGCAGAAGTTCTCAAGAGAAAACCCAAACCCCATAAAATAAAAAGGTATTCGGTTCGAGAGAAATTGGCTCTGCCAATTTTCTCTCCCTCATGGAATTTTATTTATGGAGATTTAGACACAAGTTTAAGATTTCATTAATGCTATTTTAATATAAGAACCAAATTAAAGAATATCTATACACAATTAATTTCTTAAAAAATCCTTTTAATTTTTATGTGATAACTATACTAATTAAATAAAAAAACTAATTTGGATTTTGTAACAATTGAAATCGAAAGTAAAATGTTTTTTACAATTTTTTTGATTAAAGTATTGAATTTTATTTTTTCGGAACTATTTTATGATTATTATAAATTTCCTTGAGTATAGGGTTAACATTTAAAAAATAACTAGTCAAATAAGCGAAATCTGTCTAAAATTAATACATAAATATAAAAAAAAATTTGATATTGCTATGGAAACATTTCAGTCTGATGAAAGTTATAGAAGTATTGTTCTTCAAGGATCCAGACCTTAACCTTATTTAACAGATTGGCGGATGCCTTAATTTTACGCAATCATCGAGGGTCTCCTAAGAGACTCTACCGCTTTGCGACTGTGCCTATCAATTGGACCAGCAGCGTCTCATCCTTGCCTTGCGGGGATAATTAATATGGTGGTGGCGACGAAATATGTGCTGACGCGGAGGTCGCACCACTCCGGGCGCCAAAATGGCTTTATAGCATAAACCAAGGTTCAAGCCCTTTAACTCTAACCCTTAGCTTGCCTAGAGCGGCCGTATGGGGTGGGTAAACCTTGGGAGTCAGCTGGTGGCCATTCCAGTCCGAAGTGTTAATTATCCGGATGGTTTTTGGCTACGGGTTCTTTCCCTACCGGTTCCGAGGGCCGTAGTCTTTTTACCTGGCCGTCACCTGACCTCAGGGTGACCGAAAGGAGGCATCAGGCTAACCTTTGCCTCCAAGCGGCCTAATGACGTGAAGCACAGAGGAGTCTTTCTAACCCGTCGATACTCAGGGTAGACTGTGCAAGCCCAGTTCCGAGAGAAGACAGACGTTCCACAGGTGCTGATGGGCACCCTGGCAAGCAGGTGTCGGCTGTCGAAAGCGTGCGGAGGCATCAAATCTGGAAGACTTTAAGCCCTTTAATCTTAATCTTAATCTTGCCTTGCGGTTCAGTGGGCAGTCTTCGCAAGGATCCAGACCAGTTGAGGGAAGCGATTTTGTTTCAAATAAAATCTCTTCATCAGATTTTACAGCCATTTCAATCATAAAGGATGCTCTATTGATGCAATTTCTAAAGCTTTCCAATCTTTGATTTTTATTTGTTTCTGTTTTAGAAATTGTCTATCATAGAGAAGGCTGAAACACACTTCTTTTATTCGGCCTAATCCTGCTTTCCAATGCTTTGAGAGTTGCATATTGAAAAAATTCACTGTATAAAAATGACAAAAAATCTAACAAAAGTATCATCTCGGTATGAAATGGGGTTGGATTTGTCGAAAAGTTGTGGGAAAATTTGTTAGTTGGAGAAATTATTTTGCTTAAAGAAAATGATATCATTCCAGCAGACATTCTTATTCTGGCAGTAGGAAACCAAGAATACAAATGCTATGTGGACACTTTTGAAGTACTAGGTGAAAGAGATCTAAGAGTAAAAAAGCCAATAAAAAGCACACAAGATATTATAAATTCTACCGATATAAAGCATGCTTCACAATTTCTAAAGCGATTAAACGAAACTGTCAAAATCTCTGAGCCAAGAAAAAATTTCCTTAAATTCAATGCAAAAATAAACATAAGGTCGCCTAAGCCTGAACTAATTTCTTATGAAAATTATATTTTAAGAGGAGAAACATTAGTTAACACCCCTTGGATTTTTGCAATGGCTGCTTATACAGGAGCTGAAACCAAAATTTACATGAACTCAAAATTTGAAACAAAGGTGTCAAAACTTGACAAGACTTTAAATTTGATTGTATATTGGCTGCTGTTATTAGTCATAACATTGACAGGAATTCAAGTCATAATAGGTTTATTATTAGGAAACGCATTCTATAACAATCAAGTCGATTTAGTTTTCAACTCAATACTTATCGTCCACCGTATGATTCCTTCTTCTCTATTCCTTTGTGTAGAACTTTCTCGGATTTTCCAGGCTTGGATTATTCACAAAAAATATAAAGGAATAAATTTTCTTAAAAGCTCTGTAAATGAAGACTTGGGGCAGGTAGAGTATATTTTAATCGATAAAACTGGGAGTTTAACCAAGAATGAGTTAGCCTTAAAAGTTTGTGTAATTGGAGAAGAGCTGTATAAAATCGAATCATTAGACGATGAGGATAATGAAGATGGGTCAAATTCTTCATTTAAATTTTTAGCACCCAATCAATTATACCAAATATAATTAATTATTAAAAATAGCTTAAAATATAATATTAGAAAATATTCATGTATATATGATATAGAAAGAAGTGACTCAAACGTCGGCCTTCAAACAGCTCGTCAGCTGAAATATTTAATAGCGCATGATGAGATATGCAATGAAAAAACCAAAAATTTTATGCTGTGTATGGCTTTATGTAACAATGCTTTTCCAGTGTCTGATATTGAATTTACAGCCATTTTAGAAGATGACAGGATACTTGCAAAGTGCGCTCAGAATTTAGGCGTTAATATGATTTTTAGAACGCAAAATAATGTTTACTTACTTAACTTAGTATCTAGTGCTTAAGGTGTCTAGTGCCGCACCCTAATAAATAGGGCTATAGCAGACTGTGACGTCACCGAACCATCTTGGAATCGCGGTGGTCAGCCCACCGGCCAAGCCTTCTATCAAAGCTTCGCCGCCAGTCGCTGCACGTCCCACCCAGCGCGTTGCCATTGCCTTGCCCTGACTCAGCTCCTGCGCGTGTTCCGCCTAAGGGTCATCTTCCAGTGGAGATGCTTTAGAGGTAAAACCCTGAGCCTCTTGATGCACTGAGGAGCAGTTCCTTTAGTTATTCCCAAAACTAAACTGCTGTTGCTGTGCAGAAGTTCTTGAGAGAAAGCCTAATCCCATAAATAAAATTCCATGAGGGAGAGAAAATTAGCAGAGCTAATTTCTCTCGAACCGAATGCAATTTTATTTATGGACGCAAAATAATGCAGTTGTTGATATCAATGGAGCTCCAATTACTTATAAAATCTTAGGAGTGCTTCCGTTTGCTCGGAAACAAAAAAAATCATTAATTGTGATTTCTTTTCCAGGAAAAGAAGGGTCTATTCTATTCGCGAAAGGGGAAAAAGAAGAAATGCTTGACTTGTTTGATGGTGGAGAAGAGAGTAAGCATTTGATATCAAAAATTGTTGAGTCAAAAGATTTATCAAGTCTCAGAACTTTTATTTTTGGATACAAGATATTATCGCAGGCTATGACTGATCAGTTTATATTAGATATAACAAACGCCAATTTGTCACCAATTAATAAAGTTGGAAGAATCGAGTCTGTTTTTGAAAAAATTCAAAAAAATCTAAACTACCTCGGAATTGTTGGGCTTGATGATACAGTTTCTGAAAACTCTAAACAATCAGTAAAACTATTATCTGATTTCGGAATAAAATTTTGGGTGCTTTCTGGGGATTCTGAAGAGAGCACTCTTAAAGCAGGATTGAAATCAGCATTACTCGAAGAAAACGGAAGAATTGTAAAATTAAATAATTTGGCTTCAGAACAAGCATGTATGGAAGAAATGTTAGAAAATATAAAATCTTGTATATTTCAGGAAGACTATTCTATAAGTATTCCTGAAAATCCTAAGCTGCTAATATCAATGGACAGCATGATACAAAAGCCTATGGAAATACGGACTGAAGACCTCCATCATCAATCTTCTGAATTTCAAATAATTAAAAAAATAAGTGACATTAGCTATTTTAAGTTCAAGAAACCAAGACGCGATACAAATTCACTGACTCCCCCCTTCGTGAGCGAACAAAAAAAATCTTGTTCGCTCACGGAGGGGTTAATTTTTTTTTTAACAAATTTTATAGATTTTTTTTTTTCAAAATTTAAAAAATCCTAATTCGCAAAAATTGAAAAGTAAATATTAATTTAATCTGTAAAATTTATGTTTTTAAAACGCAATTTGTTTTAAAACTAAACAGAATTAGCTAGAGATTCCATTATACTAATTATCACTTATATATCAAATTTTTTTCCATAAACATTTTTTGTTCACGGGGTGGGTTTTTGGGCAAAAAGTAGGGATTTTTCTAATGGTTTTGTTCGCTCAAGGAGGGGGGGAGTGAGGAGAAAGATACTCCCACTAATTTCAGAGCCTGATTTAAACACAAGCATGCTTTTTAAAAAAAGCTATAACCATAATTCTGTTGATTTTACTCTATCTGTAGACAGTATAAGTTTGGAATCTGCAATCAAAACTAAAGAAAGCAGGCAGTGCTTTGTGGCATTGCTTTTTGCTGCTAATGCAGTATTTTTCCATTCAATTTTACCAAATCAAAAACGAAAAATTGTAAAATTATTAAAAAATAATTTTGATTTTAAACCTACAGTTTTAGCAGTTGGGGATGGCACTGATGATATTGGGATGCTTCAAGAAGCACATATAGGCGTTTCACTAAAAAGAAGCGGTTTTCATGACGCAGAGAATGCTAGCGATATTATGATTGATAATCTATCCTGTTTAGCAGACTTAATTATTTATGAAGGGCATAACTGCTATAATAGAATGTGGAAGATGGCTATACTTTGCTTTTATGGAAATTTATTATTAGTTTCTGTAGATTTTTTTTATAATGTTATTTTTGGGTTTTCTGCAAATCCATTAATTCCTGATGAACTTGAAGTAATTTTTGATCTGCTAGTCATGGTTATTCCAATGGTTTGTTTCGGAATTTTTGAAAATATGGCAAATATTAAAGATATTTTAGAATTCCCAAATTATTATTTTGAGCATATTTTTTCTGTCTCAGCAATGGCTAACTCCCCCCCCCCCTCCGTGAGCGAACAAAAAAATTTTGTTCGCTCACGGAGGGGGGTTAATTTTTTTTTTTAAAAAAAATTTATATATAAATTTTTATAAAAAATATTTTTTTCGAAATTTAAAAAAATCCTAATTTGCAAAAATTGGGAAGCAAATATTAATTTAATTTGCAAAATTTATGTTTTAAAACGCAATTTGTTTAAAATTAAACAGAATTAGCTCTAGATTTCATTATACTAATTATCACTTATATATCAAAATTTTTTTCCATTAAAAAATTTTTTCTATTAAAAAAATTTTTGTTCACTCACGGAGGGTGGGTTTTTGGTCAAAAAATGGCGATTTTTCTAATGGTTTTGTTCGCTCACGGAGGGGGGGGGGGGTAAGTAAGGGTATTATTTTTTCAGTATTGTGGGGGTTTATACAAGGGTTAGTTATAATACTTATTATGTTTACCTCAATAGGAGAAATTGTAAATGAGAATGGATTCACTAGTAATTTTGATTTATCAGGATTTGAAATTTATATAATAATTTATGTGCTTATTGGCATAACATCTATATGGGCATCCAGTAAATTGTCATTAATTCAAATAGGATCTCAGGTCTTTGTATTGGTTTTTTCATCTGTGATAATATTATTGCTTACATATAATCAGCTCTCCAATGATCAGCTTATAGGAATTTCAGAAATGCTTGGAGATGTATCTTTATCTTGGATTTGCATGATTTTTGTCCCAATTTATATGTTTTTAATTACTTTTTCAGTAATTTCTATCTATGAGAGCTTCAAATATAAAAAGAGCCCAAAAATCACAGTCCTAAGACCTAATAATAAATTTAGTAAAGATATACGACTAGAAAAGTACAGAAACTGTATTGGAGAGATTTATAATGAGTCATCAGATTGAGACAAGAAAATGAACCAATACACTTTTGATATTAATAAATGCAAGCTAAAATTTATCTCAGAATACAGAGAGCAAGATTACCAAAAATATGCTACAGAGGCGAATTTACAATTTTATAAATATTTTATGATACTGAAATTGGTAGCAATAATTGGAGTCACAATATATAGGATTATTCAAGAAATTGATGATCTTTATACCCTTAATTCTTTCTGAATTTTTTTACCAGATCTATTATGATCGATTCTAATATACACAGAATTCTGAAAAAAATGACTCAAAACAATCGTTATTATAAACTTTTTAACGTACAATACAATTATTTTGATGAAAAATATTTTTATTCCATCAATACCCATTTTAGTAATCGTCCATTTTTTTATCGGTTTTAGCCAATTTTGGTATGAAATGATAATTTGTGGCTTGATTTTTTCATTTTCAGGATGCTCTGCAACTATTTTCTATTTTTCCCGGGTACTTAATGAAGAGCATGATGAAGTTGTAATAGGATCATTAGAATACATGATTACTTATATAGGAATTGCGCTGACATCAGCACTGATTGGCTACACAATCGATAAGTCTAAACGAAATGAATATATCGTGAGTAACAAAGTCCATATAGAGGTAAATAAATTAACAAGCATTTTAAATTTGCTGCTTCCTTCACACGTGTCAAGTCGTGTGAAAAACGGCGAAAGATCATTTGCAAAAGACCAAGGCATCGTCAGTGTGATTTTTTGCGATATGTGCAATTTCGATTCTATAGTCGCAAGCTACTCTCCACAAGAGCTTGCTTCATTTCTTGATGATCTTTTCAGCAAATTTGATAAGCTATGTGAGCAGTCTGGGGTATCTAAAATTGAAACAGTCGGAAAAACTTATATGGCTTGTGCAGGACTCTCTATTTTTGAATCAGAAATTGACCCAAATTTAACTTGTGTTTCTCATGCGAGAAGAGCGATTGAGTTTGCACTTTTGGTCGTAAAAACAATTAAAACGATGAAGCTCAAAAATGGAGAAGAATTGACATTCAAAATTGGAATAAATAGTGGAAAAGTGACTGCTGGAGTCGTAGGAAATCATAAGCCTCAGTTTTCTTTGGGGTGCGATTCCAACGATAGTGCCTTTTTGATAGCGTGTATTTCGACGAAGTACTTTTGGTCGAAAATTGGTTGAAACTTTTTGATAGTGAGACATTTGACCTAAAAAATGTGTTAAATTTCGACCAAATGTAACACTATTTAAAATTTTCTAACCAAATGTATTTCGATGAAATGTACACTGTCAAAAATCCACTGTTATTTGGCATGGAGCCGTTTTCTTTGATAGGAGACACAGTAAATACTTCAAGTAGAATGTGCTCAACTTGTACAGAAATAAATGGAATCCAAATATCTATGGACACTTATGAGCTGCTTGAAGAAGCGGAAAGAAATGGTCTGGAATTTTCTGCTAAAACTATTTATGCAAAAGGCAAAGGGGATATGGACACCTTTATAGTTAGCCTAAATAGTAGAGAGAGTATTAAGATTAAGATTACGATAACACTCTGTCGACCCCCACTTAGCTTAGGATCTGACAATACAAAGCCCTCCTTCATGAATTCCATCCACTAGCAAACAGCTCTGAAACAACGTAGGTGGGAATTGGCCTAACCGTCGAACCGTTTCAGTTGCCTATGGCCCAGATGAGTCTCTCTTCGGTTCTTGAATGTGATTCAAGAGTAATTGGGGCTGCCGAGGCAGTCCCAACTCAGATTTCCTTTAGAAAGTAAGAACTTCCCTCACTAGGAAAAAGTATAGGGAGCTGTGCCCTAACTTATGCCTTCCATTTTTAATTGTGAGAGAGCATTAAATCAGCAGAAGAAAGCCGTAAAAATTTTCAGCTAAGTCTTGATGTCCCTAATGTATCTACAGTATCCCCAAACGCCAATTCCAGGCATTCCTCAGTCTCTTCACAAGGCCAAACCGAATCCCAAAACCGGTCTTCGCTTATGTATGATCTTGATATCTACGAAACTAAAGAACTTTTTAAAAAAACTAGCACAGGGATTATTGAAAAGCCTAGTTTTTTTTCTTTAAAATGCCAAGAGTCTCAAAAAGAGCGCAATTTCCGATTAGAAATTATACCTATTTACGATAATAAAAATCATTATTACTGGTTAGCTATTTTTTCACTATATTAATATAGGATTACAGTAACCAGCAGGGATATTTATGTTTTCTATAGTAGGTATATGAAAAATAAGCTGCCATTTTATTATACAGCTCTTTCTATTGCAGTTTTAGGGTTTTTTTTCTCAATTATTCCAATAGCTATTAAGAGTATTGCTAAATGTGATGAGTCAAATATAAAAGGCATAGTTGCATTATCCTCTGATATTATTTTATTTGCATTTATGATTTATCTACTAAATTCACTCTATATATGATTGGGAAAATAATTACTATAAAGAAAAATAAATCATTCTGTATATAAATATTTTTTACAAAAAAAATTCTATGATTAATCAAAATATTGATTTAAAATTGAGATATAGCGCGAGCGCGGTAGCTCCATCCTCCCCTCCCCTCGCCTTGAAGGTTTAGTTTAGATGAAACAGGAAAAATGAATTTGACATGCCAAATTCATAATAATGGGCTCCTAATTTTCTTATTCTGTTCCATTCAAAATGAAAACCTCAGGAAGGTGGGGAAAAAGGGGGAGTCAAGGTCGAGCCATAGCTGCTCGCGAAGTATATTTGATATTATAAAACAGAGATTAGAAAATCAAGCTAGCAATTTTTCTTATGTAGATCTATAAAAGGGCCTTCAAAGAAATTAAGCCTCCATAAATGAAATTTTTGTTTTTTCTCCGATGCGGGGTAAGAAAATATCATCATAAAAGATGCTTTGCTTGGGTGTTGGAATTTGCATATGTCTTGGCGCTAGTTATGAGTTTAATCGGAACTTATTCAAAAGGTGAGATTTATACAAATCTAGAAGTAATATACATCATGCACTGAATCCTGCTTATGACTCATTGCTCAGATCTATTTTTCCACTGAAATTTTATTATATGTCTCATTTCTGTTTCTCCCTGCGTGGTCATGCTTTATATAGAAATGAACAGTTTCGATCGTATTTTTATATTGGTTATAATCACTTTTATCGCTGTCTTATATTTTACATTATTTCACAGAGAAAAAACAATGAGAAAATCTCATCTTTTAATAACAGCAGGAAAAAAAGAAATAGAAAAAACTGAACAATTATTGAAAAATATGATGCCTCCTCATATATACCAGAACTTGCGAAATGAAAATAATGCTGCAGAAGTTATAAAAGATGTCACTTTAATTTATGCTGATATTGTAGGCTTTACAGCCTGGTCTTCTACTAATTCTACTGCAGATATAGTAAAAAGACTGTCAGATCTATTTACGAGTTTTGATAAAAAATGCGAAAAATTCCATGTCTATAAAGTCCATACTATTGGGGATTGCTATGTAGCCATGGGATATAAAGATAACGACAGAAACCCTCAGCAAGAATGCATCAACATGGTAAACTTTGCGAAATCGATGATAGAAATTATAGAAAAAGTCAATAGAAAGTATAGAAGTCAGCTGAATATGAGGATTGGAATACACACAGGTGATATTATAGGAGCAATTTCAGGGACAAATATTGTAAGATATGATGTTTATGGCTCAGATGTTTTAATTGCAAACAAAATGGAAAGTAATGGAGAAGCTGGAAAAATCTGTGTAAGCGAAGTGACCAAAAATTTAATTGAGTCTTCCAATCCAGAATTATATCATTTTTCGTTTTCAAAAGAAATTTCTATACCCTCAGTCAACAGAACAATAAAATCATACATGCTGACCGATTTTTCTTCTGACGAGGAATCCCCTTAATCCTCCCTTTTTAGGTTGATACAGAATATACATTTTTTGGGTATTGATCTCCTTTGAATTGGAACAACTTTTTTCAATTGGAATATTTCATAGCTAAATTGTTAATTTTTATTAAATTAGTTTTGACCTAATTTAATGTAAGAAAAATATTATTTACGCAATTTCTCCACTAATTGATTATTTTTTGAATTAATTCTCATAAAAAAAAATTAAAACTTTTCAATTTATATTTTTTTTAATTTTTTAAAAAATTAACCTTTTAAATTGTACAGGATGTTTTGCTCCAATTTAAAGGGGGTTAGACTTTATATATATATAATTTATAAATCTAATTTAAATATTTCAAAAACCGTTATATGAAAATGGAAGTCTGTCATCCATAATAATTATCATGTCGAACAAGTGGAAATTCAATACCTTTGACTGTATGCAACACCCTGTTATGTGCTTATGGGCCTGGTGTGTCCCATGTGGTGGTTGCTGCATGCAAGCTGTGGACGCTCGAGAATGCGACAAAGACAATAAGAACGCATGCTTGATTGCGTGCCTTATGAGCTGCTGCCTTGGAGTTTATGGCGCTACTTTCAACAGGTATCAAGTAAGGAACAAGCTACAACTCGAAGGAACTGTCCCTATGGACTTCTTGTGCCATTGCTGCTGTGGATGCTGTTCAGTAGTCCAGGAATGGCAACAAGTTATGGACACCAAGCATGGGAAGGCAAAAATAAACATCTGGGAAGTCGGAAAATAAATCCTAAGTTTAAGAGAATATTTTTTAAGTTAAATTTCTGGTTCAAACATTAGTCAGTTTATGGTTGGAAGATTATAGACTCACGCCAATGTGCGGGCTGCAAAATTTTTGAGGAAATTTGTGTAAGAAGCAAAATAGTTAAAAGAAGGTTAAAACTTAAATTATTGTGGAGATTTGAAAGCCAAAAATTAAGTGCAACTCCCCAGCTTTCAAAGTTGTTTAATAAATTAAGCTAGCTAAAATTGGAATGAAATTAAGTTATTAGACTGATCAGGTTTATCAAATGTGCTTAGGCCAGAAAAAATATTTAAATACTAGATGTTGCTTTATTTCAATTCGTAGTAGGATTTATTTAAGATTATCCTTCAATAATGTTTACTCCCTTTTTAATTTGAACAGAAAATCTTGTTCCAATTTAAAGGGGGATAATTTTTTAATTAATAAAATTTTAAATATAAATTAAACGATTTATTTAATTTAATCAAAATTTAGGATTAGGATTTTATGATTAACTCCTTGGAGTCTATTCGGTTCCAAAGTGACTTCATTTACTAGCTACAGCAAAAAGACTGTTATCCTGTGGCCAAGCTGAAACCTCATTCTCGTTAGAGGATGGTCAAGGGTCCAAGGGATGCTACTAGGCACTACTATTTCTAACCTTAGGAAAACAGTCATAACCTCCCGGATACACATTTGCTGAGGCTGTACTTGATTCTCGGCTTGGAGTCCCTTCAACTTCACCTTGGCCATAAGGTCCTGATGGTTGTGTTAAGACGTTAGGCTAACATTGTCGTCATTTTAATTCATATATTATTTAATCAAAAATTAATATAAAATAATAATTGATTCATCACTCCAGCTGTTTAAAATCTACTTGCGCTCTCTTCATTAGTGTTTTTACCTATAAAATGCTCAATTGAAAAATAAAATTTTGTTAATGTTTAAAGGGGCTTAATTATCCAAAAAAAATTGGAAATTTATTATCTTTGTTCCAATTTAAAAGGGGAGTTAGCTTTAAAACTCATTTTATCACCAAAATTATCTATTATCTCCTTTTGAGGATTATTAAAATTAATAAACCACATTTGCTTGAGAAGTTATCTTAAAATAATTATTTTGAATAGTTGACCTGATATTGAGTTTTATTTGAATATAAGCTTAAAAACTAAACCAAGTTTATTTCAGTATTGTGGGGTTTCAAAATAAAACTAAAATGGATTCGAATTTAAAATTAGCATTGACCAGCAAATAGCATAAGCTCTATTAAAATCAAAGTAAAAATAAGCAGATGCTAAAGTTTAATTAAGTTCTGCATTTTCTTGGCTAGCTTCAGGATTTATATTTTCTCCTTCTTGGACTCGTTCATTTGGCTGTGGAGGCTCTTCTTCTTTTACTTCTTCAATGATTTGTTCTTGTTTTGGCTCTCTATCTTCAATTATTCCCGCATCTTTTTCACCCTCTTCTTTTTCACCTTCTTCTTTTACGATTTCTTCTTCCTTATTTTCTTCTTGCTCATTTCCTCCTTCATCAATAATTTTATTTCCAGTGTCCACTTCTATCCCTTCTTGCTCAATGCCTTGATCTCTGACATACTCTTCAAAAGCTCCTTCGTCATCTTTAAACAAGGACTGGTCCATCATAAACATAGCCTTTCCGCTTATTCTGCCAAGCTTTCTGTTTTCTTCAGCTTTGGCCTGTTCCCTCATTTCTTTTTGCTCAGAAATCCATTTCATAAAAATTTCCAAAGTGACAGGGACTCCGCCTGGTGGTAAAGCAGTTCTTTCTTCTTCAATTTTGTACTCAATAGGGAGCTCATCTTCTTCAGGAGCCATTTCTAAAGCTTTTTCTTCTTCTGATTTAATTACATATCCTTCAGGTAGAGCGTGCTTATAAATGCAAGTATCTCCGTTAGGGCATTTCCAAAACCATCCGAACTTATTAGACTCGACTGCTTCTAAGAAAAATTGGCAAGTGATATCATTATGGCACGTCCTTGTGTCTGTGTATAAATCAGGCTTTTCGAGCTGAATTGGCTCGCCTGATAAATCGTGCGAAAATTTGCATTTGTCGCCTTTTTTGCAAAATCCTTGCTTAAAGTAAGGACAAATTACAGTCTTTGCATTTGCATCGTCAACTTTGGGGATCTCGACCACACTTTTGAAGAGTGAAGCTAGCAACGCACTTTCGACTTTTGCCTTTTTCTTTTCTTCCTTGGCTGCGTGTTCTTGGGCAAGTTTAGCGCTTTCTCCTCCTTTGTTAACACCAGTGACTTGGGTTTTGACACCTTTGATGTATTTTTGGACTGATGCCGATTTGTTTTTGTTTTTTAAGCCAAAGGTTTTGTCTTCAATGACTTTCTGTTTGAATTTTTCTTCTTCACGCTTCTTTTGTTTTTCTGCCTGCTTCTTTGGGTTTGCTTTTGCGGGCATATTTTTATTAGAAATTGGCTATATGGATTATGGCTTAATAAAGAAAATTGAGGTAAATATGATTCTAGAAAAGAGGGAATAAACGAAGATTTTGTGAGAGGAAATTGAATTAATTTTTATGATAGGTATTTTGAGAGAAAATGATAGAAAATTATGATGAATAAAAAAACAAAAATAAAGAAAAATTTGAGATTATGCTTTTTATATTTAAAAAGTGATATTTATTATTTCAGAAGCTTAGTTTTAGCATTTTATATAGCTTTAGGAGTCATAGGCTACAAAAATTATACTATTTCAATTTATGAAAATTTAATTTCCTATTCCTTTATTTTTAAGAGTTACAAAGATTTTGCTAGCTATATTATTAGAGCATTTTAAAACTTTATTAAAAAGAACAAGAAAGTGTTTATGAAACATTTAAAATTATATAGCTTGAGAAGGACCCCAAAATGCTTAACTGAAACTTAAGCAATTTTTGCTTAATTGTAGACAGTATAAAGCATATATATGTTGCGATGACATATATGGGTTATAGCACTGTGGAATTGGTTGGGCAATGTCATTTGGAATTCCTTTCGTATTAAAGGCACACGCAATTTTTTCACTATTGAATTCTTTGTGACAGCAGCTAGCGCTCTCAGCATCTCCAAGTTTTTCATACAAACGGGCTAAGCTGCCTAAGATTTCTTGGTTTTTTTGGTACTTTATCACTTCTTTATAAACTTTAACTGCTTCTTGGTTTTTGTTTTGCAGCTCCAAGCAATATCCAATATTGCAAAGAAGTTCTGCTTTAAGCTTTAAATCAGATGCAGAAAGCTCATAAGCCTTCTTATAATAATGCTCAGCGTTCTCATAGTGCCCTTGATTTTTATAAATCTTCGCTAAATTACTATAAATAATGCCCTTTTCTTCAAAATCTGGAGAAATCTTGAGAGCAGCTAAAAATGCTACTTCAGCGTATTTTCAGTTGTTGTATTTTGAGTACAGAAGACCGATCCCATATCAAAGCTGAGGATTTGTGTCCTCTTTTAGTGAGTAAAGGCACTTCTGGTAAATGGCATAGCATCTCTCTAAATCTTGGCTTATAAAGTAGCAATGGCCAAGATAAACCCAATGCTTGCCTTCAGAATTTTCTAGCTGAGTTTTTCTCTCAAAGAAGGCTAAGGCACTGTGGATGTCTACTATTTCTTGGGGATTTCGCAAGCCTTCCATGATGGCTGGGTAAAATTGTTCTTCAGTTTGTTCACTGACCTGATTTTCCACACTCAAGACCGTCGACATGTTAATGCAATTATAAATTAAACATAGACCATTTAAAATAATTGGTAAATAATTAATACGAATTATTTGCATGAGATAATAAATAGAAATGAGATTAAAATATTTTTACATTTTTAAATCCTTTTTATGAATTTGAGCTGACATATGGATGGAATTAAAATAAAAAATTCACCACGACAAAGTTTGCTAGATTTATTATTCAAGAGATGCTTTCTTTAAAAATAGCTCTCTTTTGTAATCAAAATTGTTTAATTTTACTTGAACATTCATATAAGAGCTATGAGAAAATTTTATAAATCCTCTCTTTAAACTGGAACAGAAATACTGTTCCAATTTAAAGGGGGATTAATTTTTTTAAATTAAATTGAATAAAAATAAATTTGAAAAAAAAGATCTACAAAAAAATTAAAATTGAACGCAATACTTTATTTTTAATATTTTTATAGAGAATTAATTTAAAAATTTAATCGATTCAGTGTGATTGAAAGTCTAATAAGAGCCAAGAAATTAAATCCCAATCATAAAGAGTGTTAAGCACCCACAAGCTCTGTTTGGCTTTGGGAAAAATGAAATTCGCATACTCTAAGCAGCCAAAGAAATCATATGCGATACTCTTGTAGGAAAAAATATAAAAAGTTGACCTATTAAATTAGAAAGAAGGGCTGGCGACATATTTCGGTGATTAAAATACCATATACCCTACTATAATATTTAAAACTCCAATAGTTAGTCAATGCTAGATTTTCTTTTATAATAAATAATATTTATAGGGCTAGAAGCTTTAAATTATTAAATGGTATATTAATTATATGTTTTAACGCTTAAAATTAAAGCACTATATCAAAATAATTAGGCAATCATTATTTTTTAGAAATCAATTAATTTTAATTTAACTTTGAATTATATATTTTTACAATTTAAAAACCTTCATTCTAAATTGTTTATATATTGACCTTTAGCCAATTTTAACGATTTGAATTTTTTACAATATGATTTGATTACTAAATCTATCATTTTAATTTTTAAGACACGAAAATTTTCAGAATAAAAAATTTCAAAATCCAATTTGACACTAAATGTAAATACTAATAGTAGCTTTTATCTATTTATAGAGTTGCTGCTTTTATTATAATAATTTTTTCTTTAACTTTTATTATGGATTCTTCTAATTAAGTAGGGGTTTTCTTATTTTATATTATGTTTATAAAAATGCCTTTCTTTTAAAAGAATAAATATGAATTAAATATAAAAATAATTTAGTATAAGTGCTGATAAAATTCGGTGTAAGCATTTTGGCCAGAAAAATTTTGATATACAAAGGTTACTCTCAAGCAAATATCGCACTATCAAAAACCTTATCCAAATTTTCGGAGAATTTTCACACTATCAGAAAGCTCAAATAAAATTAATATTATCATTCATCAATAGTAAAAACTTATTTCTGAATTATAATTTACTTTTAGCTATCGATTTCTGGCTTAAAATAATGACTTCTCCAAACCTTTATTATTATTAATTTTTCTGATGGGGTTGAAAAAAATAATGTTTTCTATGCCTGACTTGGAAATTTTTTTATAGTTCTCTTTAAATATAATTAACTATTGAACCAAAATTATTAATATTGAAGAAAAAGTCTTTCTTAATAACTTTTCTTGATTATTACTAAAAGAATCTAACTTAAATATCATTTAACAGCAAAATCCTCCAAAGTAAATTAATTACTATTATAATACAACTTTTTTGCTTCTCAAAAAATTCCATTTCTGGCATGCTTTATTCAATTCAGCATTACTTAACTTTAAATAGCAATTTTTTGTTTCCTACTATTTATGCCATTTTCTGATAATAATCAGACTTTAATTAAAAATATCTTATATAAATATTAATAAATAATTATGACCACAGATAACGAGAGGACTGATTTAAAATTACTTCCACCCCCTATCGATTTATGTGTGATTACAGGTTTGAAGACAAGAAACAGTTTATCATGTCTATCTTGTGGGATGATGTTCAGATCTCAAAGTGATGTAGAAATACATTTATTATCAGAAAACTCTACTTTTCCAAAATTCGGAATAGCAAATGGAGAAGAAACAGTAATACAATATGAAAAGAGTGCTTTAATTTTACCATTATTCAGCTCTTTAGATATTGAGGAAAAAGAAGAATTTGTCTGCCAGCAATGCCGATTGGAGTTTAAATCATATAAAGGGATGAAACAACATATAGGGAAAATGCATTTGACGAAATATAAACATTCAAAATGTCCACTTTGTACCAAAAATTTTAGACATAAATATCTTATAGAACATTTGCTGTAATTCCTAAAAAAGTATATCTTTAACTAGAGCTTCCCGGCTTTCTCTTCAGTTCAAGTTTCACGATGCCGTGATAGTTGATTCTATGGACGAGGACCTATACTCGATGACAAGCAGTTATAAGAATTGTGACACCGTCTTGCGTCAATATAGGTTGTCTGCAATGAAATTCAAATTACTGGCCAACTCTCAACAAAAATGGAAATCTTAAGCCTAGGGTGAATCATGGTTCACACTTGAAATAGTCACAATTAATCGAGAATTGAGCTTCTGGAATATATATAGGCAAAAACCCTGATTTTGATTTAAGCACAATAGTCATCCCCATACTTGAGCTTTGCCAAGCCATATAAAACCTGGCAAGATGTATGCTATCGAAAAATATCCTTTCTTCCTCAAGATTCATCCATCCTATATGGATTGTCGTCTACAGGGACTAGAAGGGTCGGTTTTTCGCCATGCCATTTTAATGTATATCGAAAAATTTTAGACATAAATATGCAGTTAAATTTCATATAAAGCAAGTTCATGAAAAATCAACGCGAGCAAGCTGCAAAAATTGTGGAAGAGAGTTTTATAATAAATATTTGCTGAATAATCATACAAAGACTTGCTACTGCTTATAGCTCATGCAATTTTAAAGATTAGATAATATAAGCTAATTTTGTTATTGAAATTATATATTAACCAACTTATTTATCTTTGTTTTAATAATTTCCTTTAATTTATGACAGAGCAATTAGTTATTTACAATAAATGTCCATATTTTTGAAATTAAATAGAATATCTTTCACTTTATAGTAAAGTATTGATTTATAATAATTTTACTTATTTATTAATTTTTAAAAACTAAATAATCTAGATAGAAATTATTTTTAATAGGTTATTTGCTAGACCTATTGCATCAATAACTTTCCGAATAATAAAAAATCCCATTGAAATTTGATAAACTTGCACCCATGAGCCTTCAATTTCAAATGCTTTTGTCTGAGTAAGGAAAAGCATCATCAAAAATACATCACTTAATATTCATGGAATTTCGACGATAAGTGGTGATAATTTGAGGTTTTTAATTGACTTTTTGGATACTTTTGTGTATATGTCAGCATACATTTGTATCCAATTGGCTAAGTATTGTAATCCAGCAGCGCACAATAGATAAAACCTTCATTCTTCTTTGTAAAGACTAGTAATAATTATAAGAATGCAAGTTGGGATTCTTCCTATAGCCAAATCCACTATTTTTGTATATTTTGTTGGCATTATTGTGGTAGTACCCAATGAATAAAGGGCAGAGCAGCTGAGAAATACTATAGCAAATAGCTGAGGATTGTTGATGAAAAAGACTAGAGAGAATAAGCTGATGCATCGAATAATGTTGATTGGCACCAAGGTTACCATTTTTTAGTTTATTCTAATAAAGTCAAGTCAAAACTTCCAATTTGATTTATTAATCCAGTTTTCTGCTGGCTATATAATAATTCATAGATATCATATAGACTAAAGTTTCACAAAACCAATTTAAAAATGATTAAATTTTAATAAAACCGATACCTTTAAAATAATTGCTTATGCCTTAATACTTAATTGCATAAATTTATTCTCAAAATCTATCCATTCCACACTAATATAGTGATTAACATTATATATGATTTTTTAAGATGGAAAGGAAAATTATATAAGAAGTGCTCCTATTCTTGAAAGATTGAAGGAGAATAATCAAAGAAAGCTAAAATGAAGCTATTGGGGGAATTTACACAAAGAAAATCGACTAGTAAACCTTCTTAGAGTAGTTTCATGTGAATTTTCAGTCAGAATTATAGTGCCAATTGAGATTATATAAATATGCATTTATTTAATTTAACTTTAGTCTAAAAGGATAAGAATAATCTAATTTACTTAATTAAAACTTGCCCAATTAATTAATTAATTTTTATATCAATTAATTTCAAATGCTACATATTTATAATAATTTTAACCCTTTTTAAGGATTCGGTTCCATGCTGCTTTTGACCATTCTTCTTCACTAATTTCAACGCAGATGGTATCTTTGCTTTTGGGGATTTCTTTTTCTATTCAATTTTCTTGGCTGTTTTTTGGTAATTTATTCTCGATTTCTTCAATTCTTGTTTGAATATTTTTATCTCTTATCGTAATCCCTTCTTGTATCATTTCTAATAACGCAGTCAGGTTTTTTCCATCTCTTTGTTTTAATCCTTCTATTTTTACTGTTAATTCATTCACTTGGGCTTTCATTCATTCTTCCAGGGTTGACATTTTATTTAAGCATTCATTTAATTCAATATCTTTTTGCTTTACAACTTTGCGAAGAGCCTGATTTTGGCCTAAAAGTTGTTGGTATTTTGCCTTTTTTTCTAAATCTTTATTATATGAATCAGAATTTCGAGCTCTTTTTATTGGAAGTTTTGATGTGTTAGCTCTAGGCTTTTTTTCTTTAGAATTGATCGTGCTATTTGATGTGCTTTCTTGCGCAGGAAGAAGTTTGGTTGCTGACATACGAATCGATTTTTTATTTGTTTAGGAAAATTAAAATTAATTGAATTTGAAATATATATTGCCCCCAAAATTTAGAAAAATTTTAATTTATGTATAGTTTATGATTTTTTTGCTTATTAATATTTAATAAAAATATCATTTTATGTATAGTTTTATGATTTTTTTTTTGCTTTATTTAATATTTGATAAAGTATATTTTTGCAAATAAAATTCTGATCTGCAACAGCAGTAATCTAAAATAAAATCTTTTAAGAAAATACCTTTTTTTTGCATAGGTTACATTAATTATTTATTAGCTTTAATATATATTAAGCTTGTCATCAAAATTTATTTTAAAAAATAAAAGCAGCTAATTTAATATTGAAATCATCTTGTCCAAGCATTTTGATTATCATTCACGAAGATGGAAAGTAAACAACCGCAAAGCAATTTAATTATTATTTAATGATAAATGCACGATCTATATCCTCTCAAAGAGCTATATTAAGAAACTCAAAATCAAAAATATTGAGTTCTGTACCTTCAGCTATTATTTCTAAACCAGAAGAAAAAGATCATCAATTTAATCATACAAGTCGTTTGTCAAAAGACAGTCCAGATTTCAAAGAAATAAGGCGAAGTAAAAGTATATACGTATCCCCACCACGATCCCATATATCAAGAGATCTGAGTTCTCAAAAACTACATAAAAGAAATTCACAGAGTAATGAGCATTGTCACCTATATGAAACTTCAGCCTCATTATTTTCTAACCTTGAAAATAGTGCTTCAAATACTCTCAGACTAAGCCCTCTCAAGCGAAATAGACATAACTCAAACTCAGCAGAAAAATTGGCCTCATTGGATTCAATAGTGGATAAATGTGAAAATGTCAGAAGGAGTATGAGCAAATCTAACCTTTCAAATGCTATGGAAAACGCGATCAGTTGAAAAGTACTTACTCCCCCCCCCCCCTCCGTGAGCGAACAAACCATTAGAAAAATCGCCCATTTTTGACCAAAAAACCCACCCTCCGTGAGTGAACAAAAATTTTTTTAATAGAAAAAATTTTAATGGAAAAAAATTTTGATATATAAGTGATAATTAGTATAATGAAATCTAGAGCTAATTCTGTTTAATTTTAAACAAATTGCGTTTTAAAACATAAATTTTGCAAATTAAATTAATATTTGCTTCCCAATTTTTGCAAATTAGGATTTTTTTAAATTTCGAAAAAAATATTTTTTATAAAATTTATATATAAATTTTTTTTAAAAAAAAAAATTAACCCCCCTCCGTGAGCGAACAAAATTTTTTTGTTCGCTCACGGAGAGGGGGGGGGGGGGGGGAGTTAGAGAGTCTCTTGACACAAAAAAGGAAAGGCCCTATGTAAAATCTTACCAAAAATCATCTGAAGATGAAATGATAAAAGAAGCTTTGGAGCTTCAAAAAAAATTTGAGATAGATTTTATAAGAAAAAAGCGGAAAATCTGGAAAAATTCTAAACCTGCACTTGCATTCAAACTTGAAAAAAGTTTAAATAAATATCGAATAAAGTAATAAATGGTATTTGTATCTCTTTTAACACCAGCTTTTGAAATACAAAGAGGAATATCTGATTTGTATGCAGCTTGCAATGAAAGATTTGGTACTAGCTCCATAAAAATTTATAGACTGACTCCAGTTGAACAAATAGAAAATGAAGATGAACTTGTTGCAAAACTTGATTGTAATTTATCATTATCTGCAATTGAAAATCTTCTTAACGAGAGAGCCCAAATCCAAATTCAGCTAGAAAGGGCGAAAGAAGCTTTGAACGACTATAGTTTCGAGATTAAAAAGCTTAAAATTAAATTAAAAGCACCTAAAGCCTTCTCCGTAATTGTATTTGATTCCGCATACTTTTGACCAGAACCGCCTGCTTGCCGAGCTGATTCAGCTCTAGAGACAAGGTTTGTGCTGTGATTTCGAGGACTCCTCCGTTAGAAAATCATTGGATGCTATGGAGGCAAAGGTGAGCCAATACCTCCTGCGGGCTATCATGGCGGCTAGTGACGATTTTGCATCGTTGTCGAGGACATATTTATTCGCCACAATCATATTAATTATGAAAAAGCTTAAGGAAAACGCAAGGTTATCAAAACCACAAAAAATCAAAAAACTTGAGATTGAGAATAAAAAATTGAAAGAAAATTTTAAGTAAAAGTTATAGAGGTTTCCTCTATATAGCGCTAAAAGCGCAGACATTTTCCCAGGAGCTTTCCAAGTTCGTCGGACCAAATCGCTTTTTGGTCCCGACCAAGGCATTGATTTGGTGCAACCTACCGATAAATTCCGATCAGAATTTATCGGCCTTACAGCGCCAAACATAGGAAACTTCTATACTTACTCCCCCCCCCCTCCGTGAGTGAACAAAAAAATTTTGTTCACTCACGGAGGGGGATTTAATTTTTTTTTTTTAAAAAAATTTAAATATAAATTTTTTAAAAAATATTTTTTTTCGAAATTTAAAAAAACCTGATTCGCAAAAATTGGAAAGCAAATATTAATTTAATTTATGAAATTTATGTTTTAAAAAGCGATTCGTTTAAAATTAATTGAATTAGCTTTAGATTTTATTTATAATAATTATCATTCCTATATCAAAATTTTTTTCCATAAAAAATTTTTCAATTAAAAAAATTTTGCTTACTTACGGAGGGTGGTTTTTGGGCAAAAAATAGCGATTTTTCTAAATGGTTTTGTTCACTCATGGAGGGGGGGGGGACTTAGGACCAACTTAGATATGCATACAGAATATATGAAAGAAATGGAATTGAAAGTAAATAAGCTTAACGAAAAAATTGAAGACCTCGAATCAAAAAACTCAGAGAAAGATTATGAAAAAATCAAAAAAGAAGAAAATAAGGATCAAAAGGATATGTCTAACCTAAATAAAATTGAAATAGTAGCAAATATAAGTGATTCAGCAAATAATTTGGAATTTAAGGCTGCTGAAGAAGAACACATAGGAAAGCCAACCTCATTACCGATAAAGGGAAAACTCTCTATTCCGAAGCTAAGTATTGGAGGTCTATCTATGCAAAAATAATTTAAATACTTAAAATTTAAATATCTTACTCCCTCTCCGTGAGCGTACAAAATAATTTTGTTCACTATAGTAATTTTTTCTCTAATAAAATCATTTTTTTTACTTATGAAGGTGGACTTTTACAAATAAATGAGGATTTATCAATGGCTTTGCTCGCTCATGGAGGGAGGAGTTAAATATTTTTCATAAATGGAAATACAAATTTTGCAGTGATTAGAAAAAAGCCCAAAATTATAGTAAGTATATTCCGCACTATTTTACATTATAATTTTTTAATATTTTATTATCGAAATAAATCTCCTAGGTATTTTAAACTATAAGCTTTAATTAACTTACTCAACCCTTTATTTATTTAATTTTGAAAAGTTTCCTATAAAGCTCTCTTGCTCTTAATGTCTAAATCTGAATTTTCCTTTTTCTCTGCTTTAATCTATTTTTATCAAGTTAATCAATTTATTTTTATAAAATGCTAATCAATATTTCAGGATTTTATATAAGATCTCTACCTATTATCTTAAATTTATAGCTAGTATATCCAAGAAAATTGATGATTTAAATAAATTTACTTCATTCTTTATAAATCCTCTATAAAATGGCTCTATTTTGTTTTATCGGAGCATTTTCCTCTTGTGACATTTCCTCAATTATTTGCTAAAAATTTTACTTTTTTTTGATTAATTTTCTCACCCGAAAAAGTTATAAATAACAGGCAACTATAAAAATATGGGACTAGTCGCATCTTGTGCGAGCTCTGCAATCTGCTGTGCAGGATCAGCATGTTGCAATTGCATGTGTGGTACATGTATGAAATGCTGTAAAACTTCTCATCATCACCATATGAGACTCGGATACCTTGTATTAATGATTATTGCTGCTGGCTTTGGTATCTTATTTTTATATGAAGGAAAAAATATGATGACTCCTTGAACAAAATATGGCCTAGTAAATTGTGACGGGAACTCTGAAAGTGTATGTTTGGGTGTCCAAACAGTCTATCGTGAAAGTTTTGCTTTAGCGTTATTTTTTCTTTTAATGCTATTTCTAAGCATCCCCGGTGGGAAATTCAGTGCTATTATAAACCGTAAAGCTTACTTAGAGGGTGCATGAATTTTTAAAACGCTTATAATTATCGCAATTTTTATTATCACTTTTTTTATTGACAATGCGTTTTTTGTAAATTCTAAGATAGGATGTTTGAAGAGAAATCTGCAGATATGTGTCAATGTTCTTCTTGGTTATCCAGATTATTATATTAATTGACTTCGCTTATACATGAAATGAAGACTGGTTGAATAAATATGAAGTTTCGTCCTCTAAAGGCTACTGGGGAGAAGGATTATTAAAGTCAGGCGCTAGACATATTGGTGACGCAGTCACCAAAGATCTCCCGTATAGGAGGTTCTACCGCGCTTTTCGGCTCCAGCCCAGAGGGTCTATCCTCTTACGAGTGCCCTTCCGATACCTTCTGTCTCCTCTTTGCCTTGGGCTTCAATCTTGAGTGGGCGGCTATGGATTGCTGCGGCCTGATGTGGCGATTGGAGCAGCTTGATTCCATGGATCAGCTCCTTGGAGTCTATCAGGTGTCGAAGTGCCTTTCTTCGACAGCTACAGGAAAAAGACTGTTCCGCTGCGGCTGGGCCGAAACCTCCTATTTTTCAGGAATGCCCATGGGTTCTCTGATCCAAAGGACGCTGTTGAGCACCTCCATTTCCAACAACAGGAAAGCAGCCAAGCCTACCCGGATATACATCTCTTGAGCCTGGACTTGATTCTCAACTTGGAGACCGTCCCAGTTCGCTGTAGCCATAAGGTCTGGACTGCTGCGCCAAGAGGGCAGATTGATACATGTCGCCATTTTAATTTATTAAAAGCTATTGGGGATTTTGCTTATTCTTTTTCTCAGGGCTAGCATGGTCGCTATCTATAACTATAATCGCACTATGCTACTATTGGTTTGGGACATCATCCGAATGTGGGGTCAATATATTTCTAATCACACTAACACTCGCACTAGGATCAATTTTTACAGTAATGTCTTTGACTCCTCTAGTCGAGAATGGATGTAATTTATAATTAGCTTTACTTACAAGTTCAATTGTGAATATTTATATTGTTTGGCTATGCTGGTATGGGCTAGTATCTGATACATCAAATTGCAATTCATGAAATGACACAAAATCAACAGGCTTGACTATTGCTTTTGGGCTTTTAGTTTTAATGATTATGCTTCTTTATATATCATTCAGAGAAATTAAAAAATCCGATAAACAAACAATCGCAAGAGACGCTGCAGAAGTCGTCATGGCACCTGAAGATGAAGGAAATGAAAAAGAAGCTTATAAAGAAGACGAAGAACTTGATAGAAGAATGGTTTATTTCCATGTGCTCATGATTATTGTATCTATGTATTATTCAATGCTACTTACGAATTGAGGAGCTGCAAATGTGGATGGAGGCGCTTATGATAAGTAATTGATAGTTAGTGACAATGCAAGCATGTGGGTAAAATTTGTTGCCTTGTGAACAACTGTTTTGCTTTATGTGTGGAGCCTGATTGCCCCTAAAGTGTGCAAAAACAGAGATTTTAGTAGTCAGATTTATGAAGTTTGGAGTAATTGAGGAAAAATTTGGGGAATTAGGGCAAATGTAATATTGATAGATTTAAGCATAATTTTATATCAATAATGAAAATTAATTTTTACAAGAAACGGATAAATGCCTGCCTTTAAGCATTTTCTCTTAAACCCCCTGCTTTTATATAATAAAATTCATTATAATTCCACATTTATAATTTTTTTCTGTTCTCAGCCAGGCTAGTTCTATTTTATCTTTTGCAAGCAAATTCACTAAAAATACGCCCACAATCAGTTTTTTTACAAACTTCCTACTATGAGAAAACCCAATCTACAAGTCTAGGCACACTTGCAGATGGCATTGACAAATTAAATCAAGATCTCACAGATCTGGCTCAACAATTGGACGAATCCTTAAAAGCCCTCAACGACCAAGTGAAAAATTCAATAGATATTTCAGACGAATACAGCACCGCACTAATAACAGCCAATATAAATGATATTAAGCGGCAGCTTGACGCATTAGACCAACAAATTTCTCAGCTAGAGGCAGAATACACTACAATCCAATATTGCCAAGACAAGCTTTCCTGTGGCCTCTGCACCGAGAGAACTGACTGTGTATGATGTTCTGAAGAAAAAACCTGCGTTAGCGGAGACGAAAACGGACCATCAGGAGAAGGATGTTTTGATTATTACTATGGACAATGTGATAACACTGGCTGCGATATTTATCTGTCCTGCGATAATTGTATTGCTGACCCACTCTGTGGATGATGCGAAAACGGCGATTTTTGTGTGTCTGGGACTGAAGACGGCTCAGACCAATGCAAATCAGATTTTTATATTCATAAAGATGGAAGCAACAGCATATGCCCTGCAGTTGGCAATTCTGGCTCAGATACCGATTTATATGTAAACACAAACAATTTAGAACAAAAAGATGAAGATGACTATCAAGCAGATTTAGACGTTTTGTATGGGGTCAAAGAAGATTTAGAAAAACAATTAGAGCAGCTTGAAGATGCCCTTGATGAAATAAATGATGAAGCAAGAAAAGCTGAAAATAGAGATATGGGAGATATCGCTGTAGAAAATGATTTAGGAGGAATTGGAGATATGGTGGATAGCCAGTATGAAGATGAAATAGAAGAAAGCAAAGATTATCAATGGGAGCTTGTAGAAGAATCTTCAGAAGAAACTATTGACCAAGTCAATGAACAAGTTGTAGAAAGCACTGACTCAGTTGATGAAAATATAAATGAGTCATATTCGGCTATTCAAGATAGACTAGATGAAGTGGAAAGTGAATTAAATAGTGAAATAGATGCATTAGAAAGCGATATAGAAAGCTTGCAAACAGAAGTGGACTCGTCAGCTGCACAAAGTAATACAACAACCACAGAAACTACGACAACTGATGGGACAACAACAGATGAAACGACTGATGGAACAACTGAGACAAGTGAAGCTGATACAACTGAGTCAACAGAAACATCGGAGTCTTCTGATGCAACTTCATCAGAAACAGCAGAATAGTCTTCATTCATGCAAAATTTAATCATTATTGTTTGATAAATAATACAATTTATATAAATTTACTTATTTCATATTAGTTTCAATTAATGGCTGATTAAGAGAAACAGAACTGCTATTGGAAGTTTCTATTATTGGAAACGCTGCTTGTGGAAAATCATATCTTATGCTAAAATTCAGAGACAATATTTTTGAAAATAACTATATAACTACGATTGGAGTGAATATTAGAAATATAGATCATATGAAAATGCAGTAAGCCTGAGCAAAATCTGATTTAGAAAGCCAGAGAGTAGTTACTTATGATGAAGTAAAAGAGCTTGCAGAGATAAACAAAGCATACTATATAGAGGTATCAATGGTAACAGGAGATAATGTCCAAAATGCTTTTAAATTAATTACAAGCAAAATAGTCTCAAGCTTGAGTTAATTATTATTCTTTAAAACTTTTTCCATATCTGAGTGAATTTTCTTCAGTTTTTTGAAAATACTGATATGATAATTCTAACTCCACCCATGAAAGAGAAAAAAAATTTAGTTCACTCATTAATTTTTAAAAAATTACCAATTCGCAATTAACTTGGGAAAGAAAATTTTTACACTTATAGAGAATATAAGCATTCTTACTGGTTAGCGTTACCCTATGTTCTCATAGTAAAAAGGCAAACGGCTAGAAGTAGGAATGCTTTCATTCATTGCAAATAGGCGCAATTTAATTTATAAATTCTTGTTTTAGAATGCAAGTAATTCAAATTTAACAGAATTAGCTAAAGATTCCATTTTAATAATAATAAAATATTTTTTATAAAAAATTTTATATAAAAAGGGATTTTCCAATGGTTTTGCAAGCTCACAGAAGGGGATGAGTAAGCTAAAATGTAATAAATAGTTAGTTTTAATGATTAATGGCCTATCTATTAATATTTGGCATTTATCAAATCTCGCTTAAATCTTTTGATATCTGCTAAGTTTCTCCTTGGCTAGTGAGCAAAATTTTTTTGTCGCAAATACTTAAAATTAATTATAATTTTTTTTTCGGATTGAAAGAAAACTCTAATTTATATATCTATTGCACTTATACTAAGACTAGATAGACTAAAAAAAAAGGGGCAGCCTATTGATGGGCTTGAGAATATTTTTAAAATTTATCCAGCCCATAATAAAATTTTTATTATTTCAAATTTTATTGAGGGGGACCTTTTAATCATTTTTTTTATCCATATAATAAAATATGAACGAAGATCTCAGTTTCTGTCCATTTCATAGACCATTAGAAGACACTTGCGGAGGCTGCTTAGCCTTTATCAGCTCAGCCCGCAAAATAAAAGAAGAAGGAGACAAACTCAACAAAGACGTCGACCATCTCAAAAAACTAAAAAAGATCCTTAAAGTAAAGTTAGCAAACCTTGAAGGAACCTTATACAACCTAACCAAGCATACCCTAATTCAAGAAGGCCAGCTTCCAAACTCCTACGTCAAAAAGCACGCTCTCAATGAGTATTTATTAAAACTGCCTCTTCCTTCAAATTTTTTCGCAATTCTCAAAGACAAAGAACTTTCTATGAGCTTTTTGCTGCAGGTCGGGGCTATAGAAAGCAGAAGATCTTGCCATTGTGGAAGAGATATGGCATTAATACTCAGAGATAGAGAAGAAAAATACGAATTCGAGTGCTACTGTGGGGCGTCTGAAAGTCTTATAGAAAGAACTATCTGGGAGCCAGCCCATCTGACACAAGAAAATATTTTACTTTACATTTTCTTATGGGCAATGAACATGAGGGATAAAGAAATCATCCATTTATTAGGGATTTCTTCATATGACGCCAAATACTGTGATATCACATTGAGAAAAATCATATCAAACTATTACATAAAAAACCTCCCCAAGTTCAAAGGAATCGTAGAAATTGATGAGTCTTGCTTCAGAAGCAGCAATAGCAGTACAAGCCGAAACGTCAAATTTGGCCAAAATTCACCAGAAAAATGGGTGTTTGGACTATATGAGAGAGAGTCAAAAAGAGTTTATATGGAAGTCGTCCCAAAAAGAACTGCCCAGCATTTAATCCCAATTATCCAAAAACGCTGTGAAGTCGGAACTACAATAATTTCAGATCAGTGGGCTGCATATAATAAACTTCCTGAGTACGGTTTTCCTCATTTTACTGTAGACCACTCAAGGTTTTTTGTGAACCCTCACAATAGAGAAATCCATACCCAGCATATCGAAATTTCTTGGTGTTGGGCGAAATATGATATCAAGCGCCATCATAGACATCTTAATAATATGCAGGATTATCTCAATGTTTTTTGCTGGAAAAGACAGTTCAAGAATAGCCATAAATTAAGCGAAGTTGGAGACACAATGAAAGCACTATTTGAAGTACTCAGTGAATATCAAAAAGAAGGGAAGATTATGGAGAAGAAGATTGCTGAAGCGTTGCTTGTAGAGTAATTAATAATTATAACTCAATTTCTTCTTGTTGTGAGAGAGGCTGGTAGAAGTATTTTTTAGCGCAGTGAGATATACATAAAATGGCTGGCGGCGAGAGACCTGTTATCCCTGTGGCGAATGTCCTTATGTATATCTGGATTGGTTTTGCACAAAGAGCTAGTGGGTTGGGTTAGCCTCGAAGCAAGAGGCCAGCTCTATTTCCGCTGATTAGTGGCCAGGCTTGAGCTGCAGTTTTTGCATCTTTCCAGCAATGCCCAGGCCCAGAATGGGTGCTCGATAGAGGCAGGGAGTCTTATCTGCCTAAGCTGCTTTTGTGGTCTGGGAGAAAAAGGAAAGACAGGCTAGAAGAAGATCTCAGGACTAGTCTCTCCAGTCTAAAAGGGCCCCTCAATGGGACGATCTGGTCTAAGCTGAGCAGAGATGGGCATTTTTTGGCTCCTGGGCTGTAAATGGAGTTTCCTGGCAAAATCTGGCTTGAATCAGATCAATAGGGAAAATGCCTCTACTAAGAAATCGGAGGTTTCGGCCCAGGCTCAAGTCGCCTTGAGGGAGCCCACCCCGCAGGCGAACGCCTGCGGAATGCAAAATGCTTCAGGAAGTGGAGACTCTAAATACCAATCATAACTTAATCTTGATCTAAATCTTTAGCGGCAATGTATAGTAATCCAGATATTATGCCGATAATCAAAATGACTAACTCGTCTAAAGCAAAGCAAGTTTAATTTTTCAATTTTATTAATATTTATAAAAAATTATATAATTTACTTGTAATAGAGAGTAAGTATAATGCATTCCATTGAAAACTTCCTTCAAATTTCTTATCTTTATCTGCAGGTCCTGTTGAATTTAAGTCAGATTTCAATGCAGAAGAGAAAAAAAAAGAGCTTTCATCAATACTGTAATTTTTATTCGAGACTTTATAATGCTGTTTTGTCCTTGAATTTACTATATGGGACTGAGGAGGGACATTTGGGTCAGGTTTATTCTGTTTCAGCCAATTCGAATCAACTTTTGCTGAAATCACTACAATCACATCTTCTTCTGTTATTATTTCTTCTGAAAACTCAGTCATACCTCCCCATCTGCATTTCCCACCTCTATTTTTTGTTTTTTTTAATAGACTGATTGATTTGCTTGAATCTTTTATGATTTCTTCATATAAAGTCTCAGTATATTTCCCATAAAATACCTGTGTATAATCAACTGTTATGCATCCCCAAACTGTCCAGTCTACTCTTATCCCATTTTCAATTGTTACAATATCAGCTAAAATGTATGGTTTTGCAAGGTCGATTAGCCCAAGTGACATTCTAATAAACTGTGGGATTAGTCCACCTTGTTCTGAGGACAATACTTGGCTTTTATGTCCATATCTTTCTGTATCAGGTGATTTGTCATTATCTGCTTCTACAAGAAACATTAATTGTTTCAGTCCTTCTGGGTTTGAATTTGAAAATTCACTGCAATTTGTGATTGGTTTTTCAGGATTTACTGAGTTTTCCCAACCTCCTGCATAAGCCCAGTCTTCCATTCCACCAGTCACATCATAAACTTTATCAGTCATCGGGCCAACGCCTAAGTCAGCCTGAGAAAATTCTAAAATGGCTTTGGCAATTGAGTCGGCTGCTGCATGGTCTGGGGCTTCTGTAGATTTTTCATCCTTTTTATGATCAGGAGCTCCCCAAGGATATGAAATAGAAGCATCTCCTCCATGAAAAGTGATGCTTGTCCTTATCAAGTATTTTTCGAATATTTTTTCAACTGTTTTAGCTGTTATTGTTTTGAAGCATTCTCCTTTGATCATATATGCGAAATCTCTGTTTGTGTCATATAATCTCCCTCCCACTGATTCTTCACGCTGGTTACGATAATATCCTTGAGCATTTGTCATTGGAGTCATAATTATAAGGCGGGTGTCGACTAGTCTTTTTATTCATGAATTTGTGTCATAATTTGAACATAAAAATTCAGCGAGCTCTGCTAACACGACTGGGCCTAAGCGCTCATTTCCATGAAGGCAGCCTGAAAAATAGATTTGAGGAACTGAACCATTTGAGTTTGAAATTGTAAGAATTGGGGTTAAACACTCATGGCAGTCTTCAGGCGATGGCAAGTTAAAATCTGTTTGAGAAGATGACAGTCTTAGAAATGGGCAAGTAGCATTGAGATGCAATAGACGGGACATTATTTCTGTGTAGTTCAGTGGTGAGTAGCTGTAAACTGCAGAAAAGCTGGCAAAAATAAGAAATCATGCCATCATCTTTAAAGTATTTACTTGTTTCCTATAGCTTAAATTGTGAAAATGGTCGATTAAATGCTAATAAAGCTTAAAAAAGATTAAATTGTTTTAAAAAGAATTAAAAATAAATTATATTATATTTTCATAAAAATTTCGTTTTTTGGCTTTTCTATTTCAGGCGGCATTGATTTTATCATTTGGAAAATTTCTGCGTCAGACTTATTCCAATTTTGTGGAAGTAGCCATCTTCTCGAAGTATTTGTAACAATAAATGGCAACAAATCTCCTTTTATCTTTTTACAAGTAAACAAAAGATGACAGCAAGGTATCTTGTATTTAATTGTTTTATTGCAATTGCAGCTTGCAGCATTCACATCAATTTCAAATTCTTCTTTACAAAAATGTCTGTCATCTTCAACATATATAAAATTTTCTCCTAATTCAGATTTTATTTCACAATTTTCCATGCCATTTAAAGATCTCAAAATCTTTTGTATGCAAAAATCAGTGTACAAATTCTGCAGCCCATTAATTCCTTTGAGTCCCAGCACTACTTCAGGTTTCTCGAAATTGGAAATTTTTGTATTATTACTCGTCTGCATATCTTCGAATTCTTTGAAAATGTTAAATTTTGCTTCTTTTTTGAGCAAAGAATTGATAGCTTTTAACAGGACTTCTACGTTTCGGATCCTGCGTTTTGAGTGAAGCCCTGCTAAAAAATAGTTGCAAGTCCAGTATTTCGTCCATTTTTTTCTTTTTATCATCAAATTTTCTAATTCGTTATTTCTTGCTGTGACTGGGATTTCGTCAACCATTTCACTAAATTTTTTAATAATTTCTGGCTCAGATTCAGCTTTATAAATTCCAATCATTTTTTCTCTTATAATAGTCCAATCATTGCTAAATATCCCATGAAGCCTTTCTAAGACATGTAAAACACTGAAAAGTATTTTAGTCTGCGGGAAGCATTTCTTTAAACAATTATATAAAACAGGCTCTGAGTCCATAACGATAATTTCTGGGTCTACAAGTCCTAGTTTTTTAAACTTCTTGAACGCTCATGAATAGCTTAACTCATTTCCAATCCTGGCTAGTGTCAAAGCAATCAAATTATTGTTTCCTCATGAATCTACAGTGACCATAAGTATGGTGAAATTAAAATATGAGTAAATATTATAAGAAGTACTGATAAACATAATATCTTTCATATTATTCCATATATATATTTTTTCGGTCGTTGTCGCGAAAAATCGTTCTGTTTTTGGCTCACTTTCTATAATAGTGTCAGGCGTTTTTATGTGATTTTTGATAATGTCTTCATAAGTCATTGCCATTTTCTTTTTTTGGCACTCGTATTTTACGAAGTCTTTTATTTTTCTGTAATTAAACATAATATCTGGATGCTTTTCTACGATTTTTTCATAAATTCTTTTTGGAGTGAAGCCTTCTTGATAAAGAGTCAATGCATAAACTTTTATATCGTTAGACAGACATACACTTCTAGGTATTTCTTGAAGATTTGAGGTGGTGAGCCTAGGGTGGTTATGGTTCGGGACCATTTTTCTGCAATAATACTCTAAATAATTTTCATTTTTATTTCTCGGGACTCAGTTCATAGTAAATGGACAAAGAGACGATGGAGCGAGGTGAGGGAATTTTTCGTTTTTGTGAGGAACTGAAAAATAGCAGACTCAGTCAAAGCGGTTTTTGTGGGAGCGGATTATCCTGGCGATTGTGTTGTCTTCTTTAGCACATGTTGATGCTATAGCGAACTTTAGATCTGGAAGGTTTTTACAAGTTATGACAGAGCCAACGTAAAAGCACTCGGTAACATAGCCGCTTTGCTGATCTGAGGCAATTTCTTCATCATAAAAGCCCTTTCTTTTTTTATCATAGCGGCAATGTTTTTGCAGGAGTTTAAACGGATTTGCGAAATGCTTGCTCATGATTTTATATTATCCCCCTTTTTAAAATTAATAAATTATTTAAATTTAATTGCAATTCCTAAGAGCTCTTTATCTGTTTTACCATCATGTTCAGGCAAAAGCCACCTTTTCGCTGTATGCTCAATAATAAATTCCACAATATTCTTGTTTTTACGCCTACACATAAACAGTAAGTGAGAGCAAGGGATTCCATGCTTAATCATTCTTTTACAAGTGCATAGTCTATATTCCCAATGGATTTCAAACAATTTTGACACCCTTCAGCTTCTATCATCAACTATTATGATTTCATCATCTAAATTCGTCCTAGGAAAAATTTGTCATAAACATTTAAGGGCAACGTAAACCCTCAGCAAGCAATATTGAGTATAAAGTTTTTCAATCCCTTTCACATTAGCTGCTACATCTTCAAGAGCTCCAATTTTCTTGACACTTATATGTTTTACGCTGCTAGTTTCTTCGTCAGCCTTACATAGATTTTCATATTGAGAAAACATTTTTAGCTTTCCTTCTCGCTCAATTACTTTGTTTATTTCTTTTTTGATGGTAAACATGGATTTAGACCTTTTTCTTGTTAATAATCCAGCTGTAAAAAAATTTCAGACTGAGTATTTTGCCCACTGGTCTCTGTAGTTAAAAAAGTCAAGATATTCTTCACAGTTTTGGAGTGACGGGTATTCACTAAGGAGATTGTTTCAGACTGTAAGAAGATCTTCTTCAGTTTCTGCACGAAACACATTGATAAGTTTATAAGTGATAAATGGGCCTTTTCTGCCGATGCCAAGATTACAAGAGTGCGCATAATGCTGGAGGCTGAATAAAATGGTGGAGTTTGGGAAATTTTCCTTCATAGAATCATATTGTGTTTTTATAGAGTCAGTTATTATGGTTTGAGGCTCAGTAAATCCTTGATTTTTAAATAAATTGAAAGTCCAGTCATAGTTTTCTTCATTGTCTTCTTTAAGCAGCGCAATTGCAATTATCGAATTAATGCCATTTCTGTCAACAGTCAACATTAGCATTGATGCTTTAAAAAATGGATGCAGCTTCCCATTGGTCTCTATAAGCAAAATGTCTTTTAATGAGTTTCACAAAGCCAGTTTTTCTTTAGTTGTGATAAAAATTCTTTGCTTTTTGGGGTTATTTATAAGAATAATTCCATCTTCAGCGATATTTCTTTTGACAATGTCATCATAATTCATACGGGATTTCCAAAGTCCTGTGCGACTAGATAGGCATGATCTAAGGACTTTGGAAGACATTTTAAGGCTTGGATAGCTTTGTTGAATTGCGTTAAAAATTTCACTGCGGCTGAAGCCTTGTTGGTAGAATTGGCCAATTTCTTCTTTCACAAATTCAGGGAGAACAGTATGGGATTCAAATGATTTACAGTCGTTGTCATTAGGCCTAGGATGGTTGTGGTAAGGATTTATTGAGCGGCAATAAAATTCATATTGGCCATCTTCACGTTTCCTTCCATTTCACACCATTTTAAATGGACATAAGCTTTCAGGGGTAATTGAAGGAAATTTATCATATTTTCTGGTAATTGAAAAATAGCACACAAATCGGCAGGAACGCCCATTAAAATGTTTTTTAGTCCGAATTATGGAGTTTTCTTGGCGGTCGCAAACAGATATCACTTGAGTTATTAATTGTTCACGGTTTTGACAGACTATTATTGAGCCTTTTGCAAAGCATGTGATGTTATAAAAGGTTTCTGCAATTTCAATTTCTTTATATTCTTTTACAGGCGCCTCTTCGTCATCGTCTATATCTTCAACTAATTCTATTTTTATTTTCTTGGAAGGCTTTTTTCCTGCGTTTGATTTGCTTTTCTTAAGCATATAATTTATTTTAATAGACAATCCCCCTTTTTAATGAGAAATAATCGGGAAAAGTGGTAACTTTGGTGATTTAAATTATTTTTTTAGTGAAAACTATTGCAAATCAATTAAAATAAAATTATTTATAGTATTTTCTATTAAATTACTTATCATGAAATTTAATTTTAATTGTCTGATTGCTATCAATAAGATACCCTATTGGTATAGAATTAGGCTGCGTTCAGTTTATAGCCCCATCAATTACATCCATTGAGACACTAGGATCTTTTTCTTCTTCAGGAACAGTTTCTGCTGTGCATGAGTTAATAACCATCATGACCATAGGGTACAGATAAGTTAGCATTCATCCCATCTGATAATAAATAAAAATTTCATAAAACAGAACTATATATGCATTTCGTATTAAATCTGTGATGTGTAAAGTATCAGTCACAGATGAAGAAGTAGAAGGCAGGGCATTTTGGATGATCACAATCAGCATATTCAAAATGTTAAAATAAATCCACGATGCTAATAGTCTTATGATGGAATGCCAAGTGCTGACACTTCCCCATCATTTTTGCTTAATTTTATTATAAGAAAATGCCATACCCAGCAAAGCACCTGTAGAAAGAGATAATGTGCTTACCATCTTCAGATTATTTTGTGCAATATCTTTGCTGTCAGAGATCTCCAATGAGTCAGGACAATGGGAATTTACCTTTTTCTGCCATTTATCTGGCATGTATGCATCCCTGAATTCATATAGGATAATTCCGACTGCAATGCCAAGCATAAAAGCGCAGTGTATAAAAATAAGCCCTGGCTTCATTTTTATAAAGATTTCCATTATCAGCTTATTGATCCATTTATCAAAATAGATAAAAATAACTACAACCAGAAGTCCATAAAGCCAGCTTAATATTATATCGAAAATTCCATTCAAACCTAACTCCCCCCCAATCCTTGATCGAACGATTGACTGTAAAAATTCCTAAAAATTTGGGAAATTAACCCCCATCCTTGATCGAACGATTTTCATATCATGACAATTTTTATATATATAAAAATATATTAGTTATCAAAAGCTTGGGAAGATGTACATAATGAAGTTGTTTTCAGAGACTTTAAGACGACAGAAAGCTTTGGAATCAACCATTCAAAGTGATTTAGTCATCAACCTAGGCTTAAAAACTTAATAATCTAATAAAATAGAGATTTTTTAAAATTTTTTAAAAAATAAATTTAATTTAATAAGGAACAGATTAAAATTTATACAGTTTAAAGGGGTAACTAATAAATCAAAATATTAAAATTGGTATTTTTATGAAATTAATTAAATTTTTTGCTGTAAAACTAATTATTAAATACTCTTAACCATCTTATTTAAAAGTAAATAAAAAATAATATATATATATTTTTATTTTAATATAAAATTTTTTTCCCAAACAATTTTTTTTTAATCCCCATCCTTGATCGAACGATGGCGAGTCGTTCGATCAAGGATTGGGGGGGGAGTAAGTAGATTTCAGTGAATCCTACAAAGAGTACCCAAATCAAGTTAACTCCAATAAAAATAGCTTTTTCTCATAGTTTATCTCTTTTGCAATTGAATAATTTCAATGTAAAGAAATATTGATAATTTTATAAGCAATATTTTGCTATTAAAATCTTTTTTCCTAATTTATTGAAAAATAAGATGTTTGTATTATAAATTGTCAAATAAGTTAATTTATATAGAATAATAAACACAGCCAATAGAAACCATCGATCTTTCACTCGGAACATTTCAATTTAAAACACAATCCCACCCATGGACATCAGAATGCTCCCAATAAACTTGAGGTCTAGAGTATAGCATAGCTAGCATATTTGCTGTACAAATTAAAGTACACACAACAATGATCATTTTCATTCCGGCAAAGGCATCTATATCAGTGTGGGCATATAAAAAATAAAGCTGATACACAAATGGGATAAAAATCCATACAGCCTTGAAAAAATTAATAGTTGAGTCTAAATTCTGCTTTTGGATTTCTTTTGAGAACGTTACCTGTTCATCATAAAAGTCTCCTGTCATAATGTCTTCTATAACAACAGCGACTAATCATAAAGCTACTATAAGTCCAATAACAATATTGCTCAGCTTAAGGTTTTTCGTCGACGAGGGATAAAAATCAACATCCATCAGAATAAAATTAGAATTACTCATATTTAGACTATTAATTAGCTCCATCGTGTAAATTCTATATCTCTCTCTGAGCTTGCCCAGTTCTCCAGATATCCCATAATCAGACTTAAAGGCTTCGGAGGTTCCACAATAGGAGGCTCAATTGGTTCTCTGGGATTATCAGTGATTTCACTATTTTTCTATATAAAAGTTACCCTAGAAATAGTTGTCCTAATTTTTGAGTCAATATTTTTGGAAAAATCTTTAAAACTCTCAACCTGCTCTTCTCTTGTGATGCTTTTTCCTTTCTCTTTTTTAAATCTGGAAAATTCATTTTTCACTTCTTCAGGGACTTCCGGGGTGGCAAGAATTAAATTCAAAGGTCTTACAGATTGCCCGATATTTGAGTATTTTTCAAGCTTGGGGTGAACGAGCTCTTTTCTGACTTGTTTATAGTGGTCTTTTGGTGTCCCAATAGTGTTCTGAATAGTGGATGGTGCTGAAAGCTGGGTTGGGCTTTGATTTTCAGTTTCTTTTGTTTCTGTTTGCTCTTGTGTATTTTGCGGTTTATTTTTTTTATTTTTTGTTTTCTTGTTTTCGCTTTTATATCTGCCTGATCCACGAACAGCCCCAAACATAGCTTCTTCGTCATCTTCTAAAGCTTCATCTCCTTTGCTTCCTTCCAGCTCCATTTCGATCTTATGAGCTCTTTTGATTTGTTCTTCAGTCAATTCATGCTCACTGACAGCACTTGTTGTGTAATATTTTTCGTCATATGTGCTTTTGACTCCAAAATTTTTTTCATTGAATTCAAACTGATTCCAGCCTTTTATATTATTTTGATCAAGGGTGTCTTCTTCTCCTTCACATTCAAACCTTTCTAATTCTCTTTCCTTGTTGCTTCTTGATCTGGATATTTCTTTGTCAGTCTTAAATTTTTTGAAAGAAATTACTGAAATACTTTTAAATTCAAGTGATAATATATCATGAATTAAAAATTTTTGTTTCTGAATCATTCCTCCTTCAATTTTGCAGTCCATTAAGCAAGCTCCTTCAGATGTATAATTATTTAAACGTCCTTGATAGCTTTTTCCTGATTTAGTAGTGAGTTTGCACTGTTTATTTAATAAAGATAAAATTGCAAACATCAGTCTTTGTTTAAGGGTTTCTTTAGAATTTGGCTTTGATTTTTGGGGATCCAGGCTAGAAAGTTTAGGCTTTTCCTCATTGCATAAATTTTCTTGATTTGGATCCATATTATTATTTTCTAAATTTAGATTTTAATGTTAATATTATTGATTAAGTTCATTATAGCATAAGTTTATCTGCCTTGGTCTTCAAATTAGCATATCCATTATCTAATTAAGTATTATCAGGCTCATTTAGAATTTGTGTCACAAATTCTTTCAGCTTTTCTTTTCACACTTCCACAGGCGCAGTATTAGTTCTATCTTCCTTACTCCCCCTTCCATGAGATATATAAGTGGTAATTATTATATGAAATCTCTAGCTATTTTTACTTCTCAATTTTTTGTATTAGAATCTTTTAAATTTCTAAGAAAAAATTATAATAAAATTTATATATAAATTTTTTCAAAACAAAAATTTACCCCTCCGTAAGCAAACAAATTTTTATGCGCACTCACAGAGGGGGAGTTAGTAAATAATAATGACCGCATTTCTTTGATCCTCGCTAAGATCAACACATGCGAAGGGCGGTAATTTGGATTAAATTTAAAGCATTCTCTCATTAAATCCACAACTTCAGGATTTTGATATTCTAACTTTTCATCCACATTGAGTAATATTTTGCAATCCATTTTATTTTTTATAATATTGCAGATAGCTTCATCTTTTAATTTCTGCTTCATTTCTCTCGACATATTTTTTGAGTCTATATAATCTTAACTTAACTGAGACAGACGGGCTCGTGTCCTTAATTTTAACGCAATCACCGAGGATCCCTTGTGGGATTCATCCACTTTGCGACCTCCCTCTCACATATAATGAGAGTACTGGGGCCTCCTTCTTGCCTCTTGTAAAAGGCTCCAGTGTTGAGTGGGCAGACTACGGGTTTATGCGGCCTCCTGAGGCTGTAGTAGACGAAGTTGGCATTCCGAAATTCCAAAAAATGGAATTTCTGGTAGTGTCGGCAAAAGGGTTAAGTCCAGATCCTGGGACGTAACGCCCAGTTTCACGGTAGGCAGTTGCCCGATTGGTCTAGGTATTACCTGTAGACCTGCTGGGCTTGCCCTTTCCAAATCTGTACCCCCCTTTCCTTCGAGGTAAAAACCAGTCTTCGAAATTAGACTTGGGCTAGATTCTGCGCTCCTGCAGAATTAGTTGCCTAGCATTGCTGTCTATTTCAAGGCTGGGAAAAACCTTGCCGGATATAATTAAAATATGAGTTGGAGGCTGTATGGCCGTGAGGCCATACCTAGACGAAGACGCCATATTTTTGAGTCTATATAATCATTTTTGAGTTCCTCTGAAGCAATTTCTTCATAAAAATTTTTTCCTTTTAACAAGTAGTATATAAATAAGCTTACATTAAATGCAAAACTTTTAGGCTCATTGCAATATTGATTCGTTATTTCCTCTGGAGCTTTCCAAGAAACAGGAATTTCGTCAAATAAGCAATAATCTAATACAAACATATAAGTTTTTTTGTTAATTTTCACCAAATAAGGGGTTATAGATTGTAAATTTTGATTTTTTGCAGTACAATATGACTTGACTTTAGATAGCAATTCAATTATGTCGATAATTAAAAACATATCTTGCTTTATTTCTTGTGATAATTTGAATAAAAACAATTCCTGGTACTGCACAACTAGATATTGTTTGTTTCTGTACTTGCAAATTCCATAGCACATATTAATGTTGTCATGCTGAGTGGCGGTATACTTTATGTATAAATCAAAGTATTCCCTTCTATTATTCATTTCTCTAAGCTCTGCTACAAATATGGTGCATTCAAGCGTCTTGATATCTTCCTCTTCATTTCTAGCAATAACTGGAGGTCCAGAATATTCTATATTTATGTAATCGATGTCTGTTAAATAATAAGAATTATTTTCAAGCTCATGTTGAAGATAATCTGCAAAACTCGTAAACCATTTCCCTAAATATTGAACTATGTCTTCTTTATGTGGTCTTTTTCCAAATAAAGATTGCAAAGGTGAATCTGGCTTAATTTTTAATGTTTTCATGAAAGTGCCTAAATATCGATAGGGCTCTTTTATAAATGTAAGCTTTGCTGTGTATAATTCATTGAATAACATCTCAATCATCCCTTCAACCTTAAAATTTGATTTTCTCCTGACGGCTTCAGGTAAAGGCACTGGGTCAATAAATCTATATTTTACAGTTTTACTGCTGTCATCAAAAACTGCTTGATTTCCTTCGATTGCATCTCTAAGAAAATCTTGCTTAACAATTGCTGCATAAATTTTTTTCTCCCTATTATATTCCTCCACATTGCCAAAATTTCAAATTTTTTCAATATATTTAGCATTTTTTCTTTCCCTTTCGTCTTCTGTGTCTCCATCTATTACAAATCGCGTAAAAGTTTTATGCATGTACCTCTTTTTGCAAAAATTAAATAATTCTTTGATATCAAGCCTGCTTTTTTCATAGTAAATTTTGTGCAGGCCTCTCCCATACGATTTATATGAGCTAATTGTACTTGATATCATCTCTTGAGGAATGCTTATAATGCTTTTTTCTTCATACCCTATATAGCAAAAAGAAAGTTTTATTCCAACTTGTCATCTTTTAAAGTCAATAAAAAATTGTCCGCATTTAAGCTCGCTATTTACAAGTGAAATGAATTCAATAATCGCATCATAGTGCTCCCCTTGGTCAAAAGTAACAACCTTTGCATCTATAGAAAATACAAGTCTTATTTCAATAACTCCGCTTTTTGTTTCAAAAACAACTGGAAATGTTCCTCATTTTTCAGAGCTATCTCCTGTGTCATTAATAGCTATCAATAGAATAAATTTCCCATTTTCATTGCTATCTTTAATATTTTCGAAACCAAGAGCTTTGATTCCTTCTTTTAGAAGGGCATGGGCCTTCCTAACGTCAATGTTCTTTGTGTCGCCAAATTTTAATAAATACAATGACTCTTTGGCTTCTTTAAAAAAGGTATAATTCCTAATAAACACGTCAATTCCAGTCAATAGAGTTGTTCATATTTCATCAGCCAGCTTTGTTTTTATTTTTTCGTATGATGGCAAATAAATAATTCTTGATATTAGTAAAATATTGCAGTTTTCGTAGGACTCATTAAGTTTATTAGCTTCGGCTCCTGACTTTGCAATTGAAGGGACGAGTAATAAAGAAAAATTCTCTCATTGGGAATTAATTTTATTGAATTGATTACAAAGCTGTGAATACTCTGCTTCAGGCTTGAGAAATTTTGACATAGTTGATATATAGATGATATAGTTTGTGAAAGTTATAAAAACAGCCAAACTAACTTGGTTCATGCTATAAGTTAAAAAGATATGCTTACGCTCTCATCCGTGAGAGAACAAAGCCATTGAAAAATACCTATTTGATTGCGAGTTAATAATTGTAGCTTAGTGAGAAATATAGTGCGTCACCTAGTCAACTGGGCGATCTTGGAGTTGGCAAATTTTTTTTTTATACAAGAAGAGTGTACAGCTTGAATCATCGCAGCCTGGGAAGTCTCTCTTGCGGCAAACCTCCCAAATATAGGCCTTGGGGAATTGCATGAAGCAGAAATGGGATCTATGGTATTAGGATGGGTGCAAGCTGTCTCGCTAGAGCTACGGCTAGTTCTGGAGTTTTGTCAAAAGCTGTGGCGATGGAATTTTGAATCAGTTTATTCAATCTTTGGGAGAGTAAATTCTATTAAATTTTAAAGAGTTTCATTTTAAAATATAAATTTAAAATTTTTGCTTTGTAAAGGCTTGAATTTCAAAAAAAATCACTATAAAATTTATAAAAAAAATAAAATAAACTCCTCTATTAGTGAATAAAATTTTGATTTGCTCACAGAGGGTGTTTAGCTTTTTCTTGAGGAACAAATTTAGGGAGAATCGCAAGCCTTTTCGATGTCGGAGTATGCTTTGTGTTTAACTTTTTAAGAACTTCTTCAAATGCTTTGAAAGATCAATCTACAGATGATAAAGTATCCACCATGATGGATCTATAAATTATAATACCTCTAATTCTAATTTAAGATGCTGAGAAATAGACAATAAATTACAGTAATAGAAATTCATTATTACTATTATTTTTAATTGCAATTCCTCAATCTATCCTTTTACTATTAAAAACTTAATTTCAAATATTTGAAATTTAAAATTTGCTTTGCTAAAATAAATATTTGCTCCTTATATTATGCTTTGATATAAAGAAATCAAGTACCTTTGAAAAGCAAACAATTTTATTGACATAATCCTACAAATTTTATTCTCAATGCAAAGTATTTTGGATTTATAAATGCACCTATGTGAAAACTAGCTAATTATTAGTAGGGTCGTTTTAAAAATTCTATGGATTATTTTGGAAAAGTTTTTCTGCATCCCAGAGTGATCCAGATATTAGCTTGTGCTTCAGATCTTCTTCATTGTGAACTATTACAGGAACTTTTTCATGCCTCTTCATGCGGTGCTTGATTGCTTTGTGAGAATTAAGATTTCCAGCCTGTGTAAAAGATTTCGTGCATCCAGGATAAGGACATTTATATGGCTTTTCACCTGTATGAACTCTTATATGCGTCTTTAAATTAAAATCAACTGAAAACGATTTTTCACAGTAAGGACAGTGGAAAGGCCTTTCTCCGGTATGGACAAGCTGGTGTCTTCGCAATTTTGAGTTGTCTTTGAATGCCCTCTTGCAGATTTTGCATTGGTAGTTCCTGATACTCATATCGTAGCTGTCTGACATATTAATTTGTAAGGGAAAGATTATGGTTTTTAAGCATTATCGTCAAGTATAGCATTCTTAGTCGGAAAAAACTCTAATTTTAAGCTTTTTAAAATGAGAAATATTAATGAACTTCAAAATCGACAAAGGCTAGATTCTTTGTGCTCAGAAAATAGATAGCTCTTGCTATTAAAATAAATCTCCATAAAAATCTACTTTTATATTCTATTGATTAGTATAATAAATTATTAGAATATTCAGTAATGATATTAGATTTTTAAAAAGAAATTCCAGATTGCAAATCAATTTAATAGTCAAACTAATTCTTAAGGTTTATTTTCTTTATAAAATTCAAAAAATAATTAAAACCTGCAAGTTCATTAGAAAAATTAAAGGTTAAAATGGACTACTTAATGCGTAGCTTTCTTATTTTGTAACAAAAAATTACTTATATACAAAAATGGTTTTTAAGCATCCAATAACTTATATTCTTATAAAAATACATTTTTAGCTTGTCTCGCAATAACTGGCGATAAATCATAATTCTTATACAATTTATCTATTCTTCCTTCTTCTCCAACTCTTCAATTTTTGTCATCAATTTCTATATTTCTTACTCCCCCTCCGTAAGTGAACAAAAAAAACTTTGTTCACTCATGGAGGGGGGTTAATTTTTTTTTTTTAAAATGTATATATAAATTTTTAATAAATTTTTTTTTCGAAATTCAACTCACAGAGGGTGGGTTTTTGGGCAAAAAATAGGGATTTTTCTAATGGTTTTGTTCACTCACGGAGGAGTGTTAGAGTTCTTATTATATCTGCTGATTCTAATTCAATAATTCTTTGTTGTAAAGCTAAAAGTCCATTGCGGGCTAATGTGCTTTTAGCTCCTAAATTTTCAAGTTTTAAGAAGCCATCATCGTATTTAATTGAGAGCTTTTGTGGCAAGTTTCTGGCGGGTTTAAAGTTTGTTGAATTGTGGATTTCTTGTTTTACTTTATTTAATTTTTCTAAATACTCTTTTGGGACTTGGGATAAACTTTTAACATGCTTACTTTTTTTAGGTTTTTGTTTTTCATGATAACTTTTAATGTAAATAGCTCTTAATTGAGCTAAGCTTTGCGACATTTAATTATTAGACATTTATTAGAAGGTTCCAATACTATATGGAGATTAAAATATTTTTTAAGTTTTACTGGAAAAACACTGATACAGCTTTAGCTAGATATTGAACCCTTCTTTCACATATTAAATTTAAAATGAAAAACTATAAAAATAGGAAATCGTGAGGTTTAAAAATATTAGCACTAACAATAGATGGGAAATTTGGATCAGATATAAAAATCCCTTTTTCTTAAATTTCCTCCTGGATTGGCTTACTTGAGCTTTTATAATAAAGCTGAAATTAATGAAATATTTTTTAGGATAACCCTTATCAGAAATAAATGCAAATTTATGATGTAGTTTTTATTTTTTTAATCAATATTAAAAACACATGATTGATAATTTTTTAAAATTTTGGCATAGAGAAAAATTGGCATTTTGAGCATCAAATAATAATATAGCACAAAAAATATTTGCATTAAAATCATATCAAATATTTAAAAATCTTTTTCGGTGGAGGTTTGAAGCTTCTTCTAAATCTGTTAAAAATGAATCTAAGAACTTTAAAGAATTCACTATTTATCATAGATAAAATTGGAGCAAAATGCATACAAAATTCCCATTTTAAGTGGATAAAGCTCTAAATAACTAATAAATAAAAATATATATAGAATTTCATTTAGACTATAAAATGGAATCTATAATACGAAAATATAAACAGCCATAATCATTTTCTATGATAATTAGATAATTAATCGCTTAAGACAGCATTTTGGTTTTATGAATTTCTGAAAACTTCGTCTGAGTTACAGGCAGCGCTCTTCTCATTGACTTAAAGCACGCCTGAGGTATCTGCTCATACAGCGCATGCATTCCTCTATGCACTTGATCTTCAAATTCAAAAATAGCTCTACTAACAGCCTGCGCAAACGCTTCATCATCTCCTTCATTAATGTTTTTGCTGCATTCTTTTTTTTGATTTGACTGCAAATTCCCTTCTTCAAAATAATGCGCACGAATATTAATTTCCCCTTCAATCTTATTCCCTACAACTTTCCAATTGCTCAGCCATTCTCCAGTCCACATATTTCTCAAATTCAAGACTGGCGATGCCAAAAATATAGAAAATCCATCTTCATTCGTAAAGACTCTAGCCTGTGCAGTTTCAGAATAATGCTGACTTAGATATTGGTCAAGCTTAGTTTGAATAGCTTGAGCTCTGCTATTTTGAGGCTCAATTTCTTCAACAGATTCTGCTTCAAATGTATGGGAGTTGAAAATAAAGCGTTTTGCAATCTTCGGGTCAATAAAACTACTCCCAGTCCTTCCTTGTGGAGTCAGCATAGCTTGGCTCTCACCAATAGAAACAGTAGCTCCATGTGCAGCTAAGCACTCAATAAGGGTGTCTTGTATGGTTTCCTGCTCCAGGAGTTCTTGGTCCCCAACTATTCCTTTTAGGTCATTTAAGACTTCTTTAAGTTCTCCTACAGGAGAATTTCTGAGAAAGTATTGAATTACGCGCAGCCTGACCTCGCTCCCTTCCATTTATGATTTAGATGACATAAATAGCTTAATTTAGGATTAGTGGAGTTTTTATTGTTTGTTCAACAAGCGCATAGGAATAAACGTCATTAAATGGCATTTGGTGCCGATCGCCGCCAAACACAACCATCATGTCTCCAAAGAGAATTGAAGAATGGCCATCTCGAGGGTGAGGGGCTTTGCCATTTATTTTCCCTACAACTGGAGCAGCTGGGCCGATATAAAGAGAAGCTCTTTTTCCTCTTGTCGGAGAAGAGTCCCCAGAGCTGAGTTCTGGCGATCTGTTGGCTTCTGAAGATTTGTGTGGACTTTCAGTGTTTATTGTTTTTGATCTTGGCATTAATGGGCTTTTTGCTTTTTTGAACTCTTCAAGTTGGGCTGCAGATACAGGGTCTTTGATTTGTTGCTCATCTTGGAACATTGTCCATAAGTTAGAAGAAAATTCATAGGAATGCATTTCGTTGGTTTCTTTCGTTATGTCTCGCATTCCTCCAAAAATGATCATATAGTCTTTATAAAGAATTGCAGTTTGTCCAGACCTAGGAGTTGGGACTTGTCCTAGCCCATGTATTTGTTCCCAATTATAAGTCCTTAAATCAAGCTTCCACAAGTCATTGAGTTTTTCGCCTTCGTCATTTGACCCTCCAAAAATAAATAAATGGTCTCTGTATACAACAGCGCTGTGATTTGATCTTGATGGAGGCTTTATCCCGGTCACTTTTGCGTTTTTCCACTTAGCGGTGTTTAGGTTAAGGATATAGACTTCATTAGTGCGGTCTCCTTGGACAAAACCGCCAAAAACAACCATCCAGCCAACAGAGGCTTCTTCATAAAGACAAGCTGTATGGGAGTCTAATGGAGGAGGACACGTGGGGACGTCTGGGGTCCAAACAGTCCATTGTAGAGAAATAAGGTCTAAAACCAATGTGTTGTTGAATTCTCTGTCACCGTTGGAGCCGCCGAATATAAACATTCGATTATCTTTCACAATTCCAGTATGTCTGCATAACGGGCCACGGTCTTCGATAGGAATTTCTACTCATTCTTCGTCTTCGCCTGAGTTAACTTCAGGAATCCTTAAAGCCCAAAGGCCACCTTGAGGTCCTTCTCTAAGATCTTGGCCTCCATAAATCAGCATTTGGTTTCGCCACACGCAGGCAGAATGATAACTTCTTCTGGATGGATGCCTTCCTACTGGCCTTACTTCAGACCAAAGCTCAACTGAAGTGTCTATGTGGGATTTGGTGTTTACTTTTAGATCAGGCCTTCGAGAATTAAACTTATATTCCTCCATACAGGAAAAATTATAGCTTTTAATTAATTTAGTTAATTGTTGATAAATATTATGAATTTGCGATAAGGTAAGAATTTAATGCGCTTCATGTCTTTAAGAATTATAATGATAATGAGACATTTATAAGGGATATTATCCTCCGTTAAATTAAAGCTGAATAAAATTATTTTAATTTTTTTTGGAGAAGAGATATTTTAAGAATCAAAAAAGTGTCTCAGGGCTTGAATTGATATATAAATTATAGAGATGTAATAAAAATAGACTTACTCCCCCCCCCCCCTCCGTGAGCGAACAAAAAAATTTTGTTCGCTCACGGAGGGGGGTTAATTTTTTTTTTTAAAAAAAATTTATATATATAAATTTATAAAAAAATATTTTTTTCGAAATTTTAAAAAAATCCTAATTTGCAAAAATTGGGAAGCAAATATTAATTTATTTGCAAAATTTATGTTTTAAAACGCAATTTGTTTTAAAATTAAACAGAATTAGCTCTAGATTTCATTATACTAATTATCACTTATATATCAAATTTTTTTCCATTAAAATTTTTTCTATTAAAAAAATTTTTGTTCACTCACGGAGGGTGGGGTTTTTGGTCAAAAAATGGCGATTTTTCTAATGGTTTTGTTCGCTCACGGAGGGGGGGGGGGAGTTAGCAGTAAAATTGAATTTTCTTTAGTTTAATGTTAGACTATGATAAAATCGTTAGCAGGCTATGCAATGCAGTGTTTAATAATCAATTATTCAGTAGGCAAGCCTGCAATAAATCCTTATATGTTTTGTATTGAAACTCAACTATATAATAGTTTTTGTTTCAAAAGTTTGTCCTCAGTTTCTCTAGCTGCCATTTACTCCATCCATAATCCTTCCGTCCTCCTATGCACTTTTCCCCTTGCTTCTTAATCTTTGTCCTTTTCCTAATGCCCCAGACTTTATTTATCCATTCTTCAATCTCCTATTTCTTTCGCCATTCCAGTTAGCTTTTGTTGCTTCCTCTTTAATTTCCTTTAGCCTCTTTTAATACAAATAAAAATCGTAATGCCTTGTTCAAAATAATTATTTCATATATGGAGGAACCTACTACTAATTTATCTGAACTCTTAAATCAAAAAGAAAAAGAATATCAAGAAATCTGCAAGCTCCGTCTATTGCAGCTAGAAGATCAATTAAATACTAAAAATACCTATATAAAGCAATTATTATCCCAAATAGAAAAAATTCAAGAAGATTTTAATTATAATGTTCAATTAATTGACGAAAGAGATACTGAGCTAATTGAGCTCGAATCCAAAATCGACATACTAAAAAAGCTTATAAAAGAAAAAGATACTGATATAAGTGAGCTAAGGGCATATATTTCAAATCTTGAAGAGAAAGTAAAAACATCATCTTCAAAAAACACAAATAGAGAAAAATCATTGATTTCAGAAAGAGACGAGCTTAGAGAAAAAATAATTGAAATAAAAATTAATAAAGAAAGTGAGATAGCAGAGCTTAAAAGTGCATTTGAAAAAGGATATGCGAAGATTAGGCAATCTTTAGAAGAATCTAAAGCTGAGAAATTTAGTTTAATTGAAAAGTATGAGAAAATGCTAGAAAATCAACAGTTAGAGCACAATAAAATAGCTTATGCTCTAATTCACTCGCTCTCCTTGAGAGAACAAAAATGTATTGTTTGCATATGAAGGGGGGTTAAATTTTTTTTAATTTATATATGATAAAGTAAATTTTTTTCGCAATTTAAAAAAATCCCAATATGAAAGTAAAATTTAATTATTTTTGTAAAATTTATGATTTAAAATGCAAGCTGTTTAAAATCCAATAGAATTAGCTAGAAATTTCATTATACTAATTATTAATTATATATCAAAAAAATACTTTTTAATAAAAATTTATATTAAATGTTTTTGTTTGCTGGAGTTTTTACCCAAAAAATAGGATGTTTCCACTGGCTTTTTATTCTCTAACTGGGAGTGGAGGAGTAAATAAACCTCAAGAAATAAAACAAGGCTTAAAATTTATTAAATGATTCTATGTTTCTATTAAAAATATAAATAAATTTTCAACCAAACATTCATCATTTTTTTTATAACCTATAAAGAATTAGAAGAAAGAAAAATTCACATTTCAAGCTTGATCAAAAATATTGAAGAAATTCAAAAAACTAATTCTTCAAGAATAACTCAAGATATGAAAGTTGAGCTTGAAAATTCATATAGAGCTCAAATAAAAATTCTAGAAGAAAAATTAGATTCAATGGAGAAAGAAAGCATAAAGAAGAAAGATAGAATCAGACTATTAGAATACGAAAATCAAGAACTAAAAGATATGAATATCAAAGACGCTAATTTTGCTTTGCTGCAAAAAAACAATTTAGAAAAAGATATTGCCAAACTAAAATCTATGCACAATGATGAGTTAAAATATATAACGGAAACCCATGAAATTCAAATCCAAAGAATCACAACTTTGCACTCTAATCAAATTAAAAAGCTCCAGGAAAAGCTAGCTCTTGCAGAGTCAGAATTAGAAAAATATTCGATTATTTTTGAAGAAGCCAAATCTGCACACGAAGATCAAGAAAAAACATTGAAAAATGAAATAAATAATTTGAAAGAGGTAAATGAGACTGAAATTAAGGCTCGCGAAAATATAATTTCATTCATTAGAATATAGAGAAACTCCCGGCCAGCCACTAATGGCTTTTCATGTCCCTTGCATAGTAACATCCCCTTACTTGCTAGACTAATTGCATAGCTTAAGGCTTTTGCTCCATCCAGACAAGGACCTGCACCCACTATACGGAGGTAAAGACGCTTGATCACCATGCGGTAAGTCGACGGGTTACCCTTCCCAAAAATTCAAAAAGTGAATTTTCTGGTCAGGCTTTCGATAGAGATGAAACTTGTAGCCCAGTGCGCAACTCCCAGCATCGGATTGGAAAAATGCCCGATTGGTCGAGCTAAAGCCCTACAACCTTGCTGGGCTATCCCTTTCCAACTTTCCAAGTCCCCATCCTCCTCGGGATAAAACCTTGCCCTGAATGTGAGCCTGCCTTCGGCTAACCCGACATTGCGCTCTACCAGACCAAGTAAAACCGAAAACTCTCACTGAACTCTTATCTCCTTTCAAAGGTCCCCAGTCTCCCATCTAGCTGCAGGTGTTAAGTGTGCAAATTGGTTCCCCACGCCATTTTTATGTTCGAAAATATAATTTCAAATATCCAAGCAAAATTGAAAATAAGAGCAGATGAAATTGAGAGCTATAAAGGGAAGATTGAAAACTGGAAAACAATCGCAGGACAAAGTTCTGAAGAAATTAGGACGCTAAAAGAGGCGCTTTGGAATGCTGAACAAAAAATTAAAAATTTTGAAAGTTATCAAAATGTTAAAGACTTAGAAAAAGATGAGCTGCAAAATAAGATTCAAAATCTAGAAGCAAAACTAGTGCTTGCATATTCTCAGCCGAAAAAAGAGGAGAAAGAAGAGTCAAGATTATGATCAGAAGATTTAGGCCCTGCAAGCTCTATAGCATCGTATGATAGCCAAGGCAATCAAATTATAAAAGAAAATTACCAGGCTTCACAGTCAATTGGATATGAGAAAAGTGAAGGATTTAATTATGAGTCTACAGGAAATAATCAAATTAAATTAAATTAAAGATTCTTAAGGTCTTCCAGAGATTTTATGCCTCCACACGCTTTCGACAACTGGACCCTTGCTGGACAGGGGTTGCATCGGTTACCTGAGCAGTCTTCTCCCAGCTGACTCCCAAAGCCACCCACCCTATATGGCAGCTATACACTATGCTTAGTGTTAGAATCAAAGGACCTGAGCCTTAATTTAGGCTATAAAGCCATTTTTGGCGCCCGTAGTGGAGCATTTTCGGTAAAGACATATTTTGTCAACACCACCATATTAATTATAAAATAATCAAGGTTTAACAAAGAAAATCAAAGAGCTAGAAGATGAAAACTCAGGCTTAAAACGCCAAATCAAGCAGCAAGGAGGTAGCCAAATCGCTACAAATAATGCAGAAATAAAGCAATTTATAGAGAAGTGCCAAAGAATGAAGGCTGAGATAATTAGGCTAACAAATGAAAGAGATCAGCTGATACAAATAAGCTCAGAACTCAGATATGAAGTGAATAGATTAAAAGAGAGTGCACCTGCAGCTCAGCCTCCTGTAGAAAATGCTGCAGATGAAGATCACATTTTGCTCCAAGAAGAGTTTAGAGTTGAAGATTTTCCTATAAACGATGCCCAAAATCGTGATATGAACTTAGAAATTAAAGGATTTAATAAGCCTCTAGTAAAAGCTCCTCAGGGCATCGATTTTAAAACTCTTAAACCTACAAAAGTCCATAAATCCAAACTATAAAATAGTCTTAAATAGATAAAATTATAAAATTGACTTAAGTTTTAGATATGGAATAAAATTAAAATTTAAAATAAAATCAAAATAATAGAACCAAAGTTCGCTATTAAGTTTACAAGTCTAATTAAGCTTGATTCTCAAACTTGACAATACTTTGCTTCAAAATATCTTTCCATATTAGTTTCTCACAAATATCTTTTAGTGAGGCTTCTGGAGTATCTTCTCTGCAATCTGAATTGAAGCTAGCTCTAGTAGAGCCTTCATAATCTGGATTCAAAGCATTTGGCCTTTCTGCTTCATTATGGGTTTCATCATTAGCTTGGCTCACTAACTCCCCTCCTTTAATTAGGAACAAAATATCAAATTTTATATATAAAAATTCCAATTATAAATAGCTTTGATAAAGGAATGCAAACAGAATTGGTTAATATTTAAATTAATTCTTCAAAAAAATAAATTAAAATTACTGCATTAAATTCATATTTTTTACATCTTTAAAACTAGTTTTACTGTGATAAATTTTATTAATTTAAATTAGTCCCCTTTAAACTGGACAGACCTTTTTGCTACAATTTAAAAGAAGGTGGTAAGCTATCCAAATTGCTATTGATCCTTCTTAAAAGGCAGTCTATATTTTTCCAGTCAGTCTGCATAAAAACGTCGTCAAAATATCTTTTAGAATATTGCAAGTTAAAACAGAAAAAATAAGTATATCTTCGGCTTGTCTCTGGGTCTTTCGCTAGCTTTACATGGTGTGTTGCGATCTTATGCATTTTTATATTTTATATTTAAATATGGATTGTTACCTTTATCTCCATGCTAAAATCTTATGAATATTTATATTATTTTTAATTTTGCAACCTCAAAGAAACTCGATTTCGAATATTTTTCTCTCACACCTACCAACGAATGTTTAGGGGCTGCTTGAAATAAAATAAGCAGGTCTTTTGCACAAGCCCTCAACTCTGATTCATTATATCTTGAGCACGAAACAAGCCTTGCGCTTCAAGAAGGATCAATTTTATGGAGCTTTTGACACAAGTAAACAGCAGAGGCAGCTATCATGGAGGCTTTATATTTTAGCATATGATACTCTACTAATGCTAATTCACAAAGGTACCGAACAAAAAATGACATTTTCATGTCAAGTTCTGCGACCATTTCAAGCCTTTCAAGGAATCTCCAAGTAGTAACGACTGTTAAATTGAAATCTAAAGCAGCTAGCATATCACGCTCCATCACTAAAATTTGGTCTCTTGTGTATGTTTTGTCTGTAATAATTACAAAGTCGTCAACTGTGACTGGTATGATTTCTTCATATTTGCAAGATATAAATAAAGCTGTAGCACCTACAAGCTGTAAATTTGATTTAGGAACAGGCCGCTTTTCTAGATATCGGTCAATGTAGTTGACTGTTAAATAAAGGGTCTCGGTAAGCAGTTTAAATTTCAAATGAACACTAACGAGCCAATCGATTAAAATTGCTCTCATTTTGTATGCTTTTTGTAATAAATAGCTTTATTATCGCCAAAACGTATAAGGTGTTCAAGGTTTTTCAATCCAAATGTGCATTTTATGCTAATAAAGCCTTTTAAAAAACGAAGAAACACATTGAAATAATCCGCATTTTATTTAGGATTATTAGGGTAATTCTCATTACTAGTTTTCCAATAGTTTCTTGATAAGCTATTCAAAGGAAAAAGTATAGCTTAACCCCGGCTGATTTTTAATATAATCAGGGTTAAAAGATGCCAAATCTTCATATACATAAAGATTGTGATAGATCTCAGCTGCATATTCTCCAAGGAATTGAGGATCACTTAAATTAACGGTATCAATGATATCAGGCTGAAATTCAGGCTTCGATAAAGGAGTGAAAACTCGAAGCGGCATTCTAGTTTTGCACTTGGGAGATTGGTCATGAGGTTTTATTTTTGTTTCTGCAACTAAAGCGTTTTCATTCTCATTAATTCCCCTAATAGTGAGAGCAATTTTGCTTATTATTTGAGGATTTAGTTTTATCAAAAATTTTGGTCTGCATGTATAGAATTTAATATTTTATGTAATTTTTCTGCTAAAACCCCCTTTTTGTTTATTATTGAAGGAGTAAGAGAAGTGTTCATATTTTAAACAAAATATCGTTAATTACTTCTTCATCTATTATAATGAAATATATGATTAATGAATAACTATTTATGATGTTCAATCTTAAACAGATTTATTAAATATTCCAAAACATTATAGTAATAGTGCTAATTTATTTTAAAAAGTTTAAATTAAATAGTTTCAAATAGTCAAACTAATTTAATATGAGCATTTTATTATAGATAATTCAGTAAGATTTATATTAAAATTATGAATTAGTAACTCCCCCCCTCCGTGAATGAACAAAAAAATCTTGTTCACTCACGGAGGGGGGTTAATTTTTTTTTAAAAAAAATTTATATATAAATTTTATAAAAAATTTTTTTTTCGAAACTTAAAAAAATCCTAATTCGCAAAAATTGGAAAGCAAATATTAATTTAATTTATAAAATTTATGTTTTAAAGAGCAATTCGTTTAAAATTAAATAGAATTAGCTCGAGATTTCATTATACTAATTATCATTTATATATCAAAAATTTTTCTATTAAAAAACTTTTCACGGAAGGTGGGTTTTTGGGCAAAACATAGGGATTTTTCTAATGGTTTTGTTCACTCACGGAGGGGGGGAGTAAGTAAATTTTAGCTGTTTATTTAAAAAGATTTTGCAGGCTTTAACGGCTCATAAGAGAGCTATCTATGACTTCCTTCGAACTACTGGCGACCAGAGGCTGATGCTTGAAGTTAAAAATTAAGGCTGCTTCACTTCCACTGAGGACTGACCAGAGGGTAGGTGGTTCTACTCCAAGTTTTTTCCAAACAAAAAATGCAAAATGAAAACTTGTGATCAAAGGACTAGAGGTTGAAGATTGCTGGCATTTATGATTATAGAAGTCTCTTAACTTCACGATTAAAACCATTAGAAAAATCCTTTATTTTTTAGGGAAAACCCTTTTGTATAGTTTTTTTATATATATTATAATTTGATATACAAATAATAATTGTAATAAGATCTTTAGCTAATTCCATTAAATTTTAAAAGTATGCATTCTTTAAGCACTGACATTAATTATAATTTTCATTTAAAAATCTTTAAAGTGGGAGTAAACAACTTCTAATTACTTTTTGTTTGAGAAGCATCATAACAATATATTTAAATTTAAGAAATATTTCACTTTAAAGTAATCCACATAACTTTGATTAGCTTCTTAAATTATATAAGAATAATAATTTTCCTACAATTTCAAAGAATTTAATATAATTAACCTTTTAATTATCTCTCTTCTATAATAATCCATTTTAAGCTAATTCCTCTATTCCATCATTTATTTTTTCCTCTTATTAAAAATATTTAATGTCCCTAAAATTTGAATCTTGATGGTTTGATTTTTATCCAATCTATTCTCTGAAGCAAATTGACTCCATGCCTATATACATTAAGTTCCAGTCCTTAAAAGCCTATTTCAAAACTAGCAATGAATCCTCTTCAGAAGCGTTCTGAAGAGATGACAATTGCGACATCTATGAATGATTTGACAAGCCATCCTCATCAGGAGAAAAGATTGGCCACGATTTCAATTCAGATACTTGGTTTTACGAGCACTGGTTCATAGACAGCGAAATTCACACGACAATAAAATCATGGATTACTAAATCTGCAATAGAATGAGGAGTCATCATTAAAATTTATCCAGATCATAAGCTTCATACGTCGTGGAATTTACAAGATGGGGTCAAAACCTTAGAAGAGTCTGTTATAAAAGATGGCTGCACTGCTGGAACTAGAAGAAGACTAAACTGCACTGTAAATGGTATTGAAGATTCGATAACAAATTTTAAGGAAAAAAATGATGAGAAGTGAACAGAAGAAACGTGAACAAAAGGGACTGCTAGAGGACAAGAAAAAGTCTATAAGAAAGGAAATGAGGCAAATGGAAAGAGCTGAAGCGAAGATTATGATTCTGGGGAAAAATGCGAATGGAACAGTCAAGATGGGATTGTAAATGGCAAAAAAGAAGGATGGAATCCTAAAGTGAAATGGACAGAAATTTGGAAGAAAGGAGGAAATTATGAAAAAACTGATAAAGAATTTGTGGAAGGCAATAAGAAATGGGGAATCATAAAAGAGATAAAAAAATCATCAACTTATAAGTTGGAGTGGGAAGGCGAAAAGCCTTCTTTTGAAGGAAATGGCCAAGAAAACTCATCTGCTGAAAAATTAGCAGACTTGAATAATAAATTGCAAGAAGATTTTTCATTAAAGTGAAAAAGCGCTCTTGACTTGTGCCTTGATCTAATTTCTCAATCTAATGATACTTTGTCGAAGATTGAATTCCTTGATCCTAGCTTAGATGATCAAGTTTCAAAGAGAAGAAACCAATTATCCTCCAAAATCAATGAATTAAATAAAAATCCAGACGAAAATAGCTTACCTTGTGCAGTAAAATTACTAAAAGAGCTTGAAATCTTAAAATGCTTAATTTTGGATGACCATATTAAAGATCCTTTAATTAAGAGCTTAGAACTGAATGAATTTATAGGAAATAAACTTGCAGAATTAATGAGCATACCAGATCTTTCCAAAATAAAAGATTTGGAAGAAAATTTCAAGGACTTAAACAGTTTGGTAAATAAAGAAAAACGCACAGCTTATATCAATAAATCATTAGTTTGCAGTATTTGTGGAATAGAAGATATAGATAACGAATTCGCTCAAATCATAGCGACATTAACAATAAATGCCAATAAATATATTGGAATTTTGCCTTTTGACAGTAAATACCTCTTAAAATTTATTTACTCAAATGGCACACAATCGCAGTCTTCAATTTCAAAATCTTTAAACTTGCTTGGAGATATGATCAAAAGCGATATCAACAAAGACTCATTGAAAGAAATAATTGATAGCGGAAATAGCGCTATGACAGGGGTAATTCCAAATGACCAAGCCGAAGCATTGGTACTAATCAATAAAACTGTAGAGCTGCTTCTATCAAGTTTTGCAAATGAAACTGATGCGATTCATGACCTTCTTATCAAACTCAAAGAAGAGATCGAATTCTCTGAGCAATCAATCCCATCAAAGTCTTCCAGCTTAGGAAAACCACCTAGACCTACAAAAGTCCGCTCATCAAAACCGCCTCTGCCAGCCTTACCTGCAGAGCCCGAGGGAAAAAATGATATAGAAAAAGCTAATGAAAGCTTGATAATTCAAGCTGAAAACTATAAAAAAATTGTCAGCACACTTGAAAACGAAAACTCAATGCTCAAAAAACGCTTAGGCTGTCTTGAAAAACTCTGTGGCAGCAAAACTAAAGAATTTTCCAACGCAGCAATACAGGCAAGTGAAGAAATAATTTTTCAGTCTTATGAAAACTCCCCTCTAAGTTCTCGCAGTTTTATCAGTGAGAGAGGAGACTATACGCCTTCGTCTTCGGTTATTCTTGAAGAAACCAAAAACGAAGAAACTGAATCTTCAACCACCACAAAAGTGATAAGGAGAATTATTAAGAAAACGACCATTAAAAAGAGAATAAATAGATCATTAGTTTCTTAACTTATCCAACTTTAATATACAAAGCGATGGCTATTGCAATCATAAGTAATACAATGATGACAAGCATTATCAGCTTCATCCATTTACGTCTTCTGTCCATAGAGGTGATCACACGGTTCGCTTTATTCACGTTAGTTCCGACGTCGTTGACTTTGTCATTTATCCCTTGGAGCTGAATTCTTTGGCCTTTTAATACATTCATAGTGTTATTTGCGGTGGTTTCAGCTTCAATGCCTACTTTGTAGGTTCTTTCTAATGTTTCACCTGTTTCTTGTAACAACTCGTTTTGAGAGATCAAGCCTGTTCTTTTGTCAACGCCAGCTGCATTTCCTATAAGGTCGACTTTGTTTTTACGGGCTTGCTCATTATTAACTCCCCTCTTAGAGCGAACAAAACTATTGTGACAAATCTCTATTTTTTAGGTAGAATAATTGTTTTTTTTAAATTAGCGATAATTTTTATAATGAATTTTTTGGCTAATTCTGTTTGCATTTTAAAGCATAAATTTTATAATTTAAATTAATATTTGCTTTAAAAATATTTTTACTATAAAATTCATGTATAAATTTTAAAATAATTTAGCAAGCGAACAAAATTATTTTGTAAACTCATGGAGGAGTAAGGGATTTTTTTAGGTTTAAAAGATTTTCTTGGTGACGCTTTAATCGAGGCTGGTATTGAGAGGAAACATTAGGCGGAAGAGAGATTATTTCATTTTCCATTTGGCGAAGTCAATGTTCAGCTTCTTGGATATCATTTTTTGCTTCTGATATAAGAGTGTCTGGCTGCTGTGATGCAGGAAGAGTTGCAACTTTTTTATTTGCGCTGGCAATATACTTACTCCCCCTTCGTAAAATGTACGAAAATACCGGAAAAAATCCCTATTTTTTAGGTGAAGCCCACACATCCAAAACAAAAATTTTTCGATCACTTCCAGAAGGGGAAGTTAGAAAAGTCATTTTCATATCCTTTGAAGAGTTCGGCCATATTATAATTTTTGCAACATTTGGCTATCTTCAAATAAGTTATTAAATTAGAAGCAGAAAATTAATATTTTTCAAGGCAACATACAATAAAATATACAAAAATATATCAAATGATATTGGTTTTCTAACCCTACATAAGATTCATGCCAAATTATATATCTAAATGATTTTTATTATTGATTCAATACTTTCAGAAGTGCCCCTAAAGCACCAAAATATCCATCATGTTTCAAAAACAGAGCTGTAGTTTTCCCTTGTGACCAATACTCCACTGAATAGTTAATTCTATCCATCGTGTATTCATATCCCCTAATAAAATTCCCTGCAAAATAAACGTGATCTGTTTTTTCAAGTTTAGTTGCTAGATATGCAATCTGCCCAATATTATATCCTACCATATTTAATAAGCTCTTCGCTATATCAGCTCTTTGAAACTCATTTGTATCCTTCATCGCAATTTTCCCTAGTGAAACAGCCAAAGTGTCTGGATATCCTGACCCATATATATCAGACATCAATAAATCGGTATTATTTGCATTCCCGTGCTGACATAATTCTAGCAGCTCCTCATAGCTTTCTATTCCCAAAATTGCAGTGGCGAGTCCTAAACATGTGCCTCCTCCCAAACAAGTCCCAGTAACTCTTGAAATCCTTTCTTCTTCTAATTTAATAATTGATACTCCTGAGCCAATATTGCAAAGTAAGCTTGGCAAAGGCCTAGGGACCACACTTTGTTTTCCTCTTTCTATCGAAAATGTATAAGCAGGCTCTGGCACTTCTTTGAGAACCTCGCTGAACCCAGCATTCAAGCTTTGGATTTCGTCAACCTTAATAACCGTTGTGTGGAGCTCTCTCTATATTTATTATACCTCAAGCTCACTGCTAAATTTATAAGCCCCTCCCCCTGTCACAGGCAATTCTTTGCTATTGAATCCTAAGTTTTTCAAAAACCCGATGGTTTGGTCGATATCTCTGCTTTGAAATACAGCCAAGTGAATTGTGCCGTAAGAAGTCCTAAAATCCAAATCAGAAGCAGGCTCATCTTGGTCTAAGTACGCTACTTTTGCCAAGGTCCCTCCAATATCAATAGCGAACTTTCTGCTATTCTCCATTTATTGCACAGTTAAGTTCCTAAGATTAAATTAGCTTAATAATTATCGTCTTTGATATTAGAAGCGTCATAAGGAACTTTAGTAAAACCTGGCTCTTCAGTGAAGTAAAGCCCTCTCAGCTGTTTTTGTTTATCTTCATCTGAGGCGAGTCCAAACAGTCTTTCGTTGGCTACTCTTTCGCCCCATGTGATCCCATTCTTGACCCTTGAAGGCGTATCAGGGATTTTGCTGTCAATAAAGGCCTTGATAACTAGCAGGATATGCTCAATTAATAAGAAATAAGTCCATTGTACAGCAATGTCGTCGCCAATATAGAAGATATCAGCTGTAAAAATAATGATGCCAGTGTTGGTGAGGGCGCCTAAGAAAGAAATAAATCTAACGATAATTTCCCATTCTCCAATTGAATTAGCTGGATCTGGGTAACATCTCTTGCAGAGGTGGGTAAGCTTGTAGGCGTCGACTCTGATTTCGAGAAGATTCATAAAGAGGGCTACTAAAGGAAGGAGTGGGAAAGCAGCTGAAAACATGATCACGTATGCAGTTTTATGATTAAAAAATAATTTATTTTTATTATAAATGGAAGCTTGTATTTAGTGTAAATAAAAATACCCATAATTAATCACAATTTCCATATAATCATCAAGAGGGGTTTCGTAAGGGTCTAACTGATTTTCTTCTTCTGCAGCAGTCCTTTCAGCTCTTACACTTTCTCCTTCTTGTTTTAGCCTTTCCGCTTATATAATTAATATGGTGGTGATGGCGAGATATGTCATTGCCGACGATTTTGGGCGCCAAATGTTTTAAAGCCTAAAACAAGGTTAAGGTCCTTTTAGCCTAACCCCGAGCTTGCTGTATGGCAGCTGTATAGGGTGAGTGACCTTTGGAGATAGCTGGTGGTCGTTCCAGTCTAGGTATTAGCTATCCGGGTGATTTTTGGGCTACGGGCTCTTTCCTGCCAGAGAGCAATGGCTTTTTTTTCCTGGGTGTCACTATTCCTAAAGGTGGCCGACAGGAGGCATCGGCTGACCTTTACCTCCATAGCACCGGTAATACGTTTTAATACAGAGGGGTCTCCCTAGCCTGTCTAAGCTCAGAGGCATAGTTCAAACCCTTAGTACTGGGAGAAGACTACTGTTGATGGGGCTCATGCATCTGATGCTACCCCTGGCACTCAAGGCTCCGGTTGTCGAAAGCTCGCGGAGGTATCAAATCTGTAGCACCTTAAGCCTTAAATTTAAATTCCGCTTCTTTATTCTCCTTTCGTTTTTTAAGCCAGTTCCTAAGTAAAGGTAGCCCAAGCTCAAGCCCATTCATGCTAACATTAATGATAAACATATAAACAATCTGAGTCTCAACTTCTGCCAGACAGTCGTCATTTTTGCACCCTTCATAATGGCGCTTGAAAAATGCAATGTAAAATAATGAAAGATAAGAGTTGATAAACTGGAAAAGGTATAATTTAAGGGTAAGTGAATCCATATATTTTGATTCATATTCATAATTTTCCCATGATGTCAGTTTCACTGCAACTCGTCTATATATGAAGTTCATAACTTTGATTTGCAGACCATTTAAAGTTGCACAAACACCTGGGCTGAATGTGCCTGCTGCTCTCAGCATAAAAATGCCAATGACAGTAACCACAACAATTCCTACGAAAAGAATCGAAACTGAGTACCCAATAAAGCGCTTGAATTTTTCATAGCTTTTGCTTTGGCTTATTTTTTTCTTTCTGCCGTCAACTGGGTCTGTGCCGTATTCTCCTTTAAAGCCTGTTCTTTGTTGTTCGACGACCAATAAATTTACTGTACCCCACATCCAAGAAAGTTCGCCTTGTCTTCTGTGCCATAACTGGTCAAATAAGCTTGAGCCAATTGCTAAAAGCAGCCCAAATACAAGCTGGGCAATATCAGGAAGAGACATGTCACTTGATTCTGCGTCTTGTTCAGAGTTATTTTGGATTATGAATAATCCAATGCCTGCAATTGCTGGGATCAAGAGCCAAATGATATAATATTGAAGCCATGCGAAGTACATAGAGATTTTTTCACCAAAATATGAACGTATTTGCTTGAATGGCTGTGGCTTATAGAATTTACCGAAGCCTCCCCAGTTATCTTTGAGAAACTGAAGCTTGGCTTGTTCATGCAAGCAAAAATGACCTGCAAGTAAAGTGTTTTCGACTAATTCTCCAACGTCAATCACACTTTCAATCATTTCGAAAACAATTCTGACCTTGTCTTTATAGAGGAATAAAGAAGTGCCTAGGTTTTCATCCTTTGCTTTTTTCTGGAGAGGGGTGTATTTTTTGAAATTGTCTTCAATTCTTTTCTTTCTTACTCCCCTCCTCTGAGGGCGCTTACGGATATTTAGTTAATTTAATTTATAAAATTTATGTTTTATAAAGCAATTTATTAAGAATTAGCTAGAGATATCATTATAATTATCATTTATATGTCAAAAATTTTGCTTACTCACGAAGTGGTTTTTTCGGCTAAAACTAGGGATTTTTCCAATAGTTTTGTTTGCTCAGGAGTTGGGAGTTAGCAAAGCTTGCGATAAGCTGCAAAGGGTTGCTTGCTCCTAATTCTTCGTCGTCTTTTTCAAAGCCTGAATAGGGATAGACGTATTGAAATCCTGCTTTTGGTTCTCCCTGCCTTGAGAGCTGGAGGTAGTAGTTCATTAAATCAGCCTGAACTCTTAAGTTATACTCCGATGCTTTCATCTTGCAGAAAATTTCATCTTTGTCCCTTGAATAATAAAGTTTGACTTCAAGCTTCAGGTCATTTGTGAGGATATGCAAAATACGTTCCATCATGAGCTTTAGGAATTTTCTAAATTCAACAGTATCCCCTGCAATGTCTCGTGTGAAATTTTTCCATTCCCTCTTGAGCGTTGTGATCCTTTGGTCTTCGTTTGGATTTTCCTCTCCACTGATTTTGAACGATGTATTGTAAATGGTTTTACATCGCTCGACAGGGATCTGGTAATTAATTGTACCTTTGACAGTTTCTTCAGTTGAAAAAATGTTTTGAAAGACAAAAACGTAGTGGTACTGCTCTTCACTGTCAGCTTGGCTTTCAACTTTTTGTTCCCCGTAAAGGTTGAGCAAAGGGTTAAGATTAACTTTTGCCATTTATAGCCAATACAATAAAACTGGCAAAATAGGAATTCATTATCTCAAATAATTATGACTACCTTTTTTATGAGGACGGAAAGATTTACATCTATTTGGCGTAAACTTAAAAACAGCTTATACTAATTAATTCGGAGAAAATTACTATAACTGAAGGATTTTATCTAGAGGCATTTGAGGTTTTCTAATTTGATATATCATAAAAAATTATTCTTTTATATAGTGTTATCTTGAAGTTAAAGATCCAGATCTTTTCTTTTGAGATTTAACTGAATTTGATACTAACTCTATTTTTTCGTCATAAATCCCAAATTCTGAAGGAAGCTGATAAGCGCCAGGCCCTGGAACTTCACCTGGAGAGCTTGGCTGCGAGCTTCTTTCAGATTTCCCAAATGTCCTTGTAGATGACGAGTGGAATCTTGAAAAAAAATAATCCCCATTTTTGCTTATCCCTTCTATCGGCTTATACGTCCCAGGCCCTGGTACATTTGAATAAATCCCATTTGTGTTTGCAAACCTATCTGATGAGCTTGAGCCAAAAGTCCTAACTTTTGTGCTTCCTCATGAAGATAAAAAATATTGCCCAGTTTTGTTCATATTCCATTTCGGTGCATAGTTGCCTGGGCCTGGAAGGTTTTTTTGTTCTTTTAATTCACCAAGAGAGTTCGTCCTAGATCTCAAACTCCATCTAGGTCCGTCATCACCTACACTTTTTTGTCTGTATGAGTAACTTCCAGGGCCTGGATTGCTTGGATCAGGCCTTTTATGACTTTCAAAAACCTGCTTATTGCACAGTTCTCGGGCTGTTCCAAAGCTGAATGAGACTTTTTTTAGGGATGAAGGTGCTTCGTAGTGCCAAGGAGGTGGGCTTTCAGCTTTTTGTTTTGTGAAGTCAGAGCGATCCCCAAACCCGAACATTGTAGAACGGGTTTTTAAAGTTAGGGGCAGATCATAGCATGATTGTTTGCAGGGAGGTTTAAATGGCTCTGCAAAGCGCTGGGATTTTCCGAAGGAATATTGCTGTTTTGATTTAGATGAGTTCAGTTGGTGTCTATTGATTTGGAGAGGGGAAGTAGTTTGCATTTATCAATAATCTCATTTTATTGAATTCAAAATAAGAAATAAAAAAACAAAAGATAATCGGATGACTAATAGATCAATATATATGATGTCGATAAAGGTGAAAAGTTTACTTATTGCAAATACCTTAATTAGTGTTTAGCATGCCATTTTATTCAGCAGAGCTGAGATAATCCTCTATTTTAAACTTGAATTTGTGACATCCGAGTCATCTTCTAATGCCCTTTACAATTGGACGTCATAAAGTTGTTATCAAATGATATTAGCTTCTTGCACGCCAAGTATAGAGATTTCAGGTAGATGGCGCGGAATGCGCCATCATCGGGCCATGTCGGGAGAGGGTTCTCCATGAGGAATGGTTCCACGTGTGGAACCCTCTTTTTCCACGAGCCAAAAAGAGGGTTCCACACGTGGAACCATTCCTCGGGGAGAACCCTCTCCCGACATGGCCCGATGATGGCGCATTCCGCGCCATCTACCTGAAGTCACTATATAGCGCTTTCCCGAGGATGGCGCGGAATGGCGCCATCCTCGGGAAAGCCAGGAAGGCATCCACACGGGAACTGGGAGTTCCACGTGTGGATGCCATTTTGACATGTGGAAGTTTGGATCCCACATGTCAAAAATGGCATCCACACGTGGAACTCCCAGTTCCCGTGTGGATGCTTAGTTGACTTTCCCGAGGATGGCGCCATTCCGCGCCATCCTCGGGAAAGCGCTATAGCTTATAGACAGCATTACCTCGCTCTGCATTTAACTTGTGCATGCTTTCAACCTAAAGTCTTCTGGAAGACTCAAGCAACAAGCCCTGAGCCTCCTAAATCCAAGAGCCAACGCCTCCCACTCTATTGCCAGTCCTTTTTGGCATAATTATATAAAGGGCCACTAGGAATATTAAACTCCATAATAATAAAATTGCAATAAGATTGAAAAGCTCTTGGAAAACTTATCCAACGATGCATTTTATTATTAGGTTTTTACAAATGCCAAATTAAGAGAAAATTTTAATTTATTTTATTAAAATGAACCTATATTCTAAACAAATATCCTAAAAACAAACAAAAATCATTCTATACATTCTTAACTCTGATAAATTATTTACGAATAAATTTGAGCTCCAAAGCGATCAATCGGCCAGACAACTTTTATGACTTCTCCTTCTATTAGTCCCAGTGGAATCGAAGTGCTTCCAATTTCATCTACATGTGATGGATTTTCTGGCGTCACCCACGCATGCCCAGCTTGTACATAAATAAACCCATTTCCAGATGGACACCATTCTCCTTCAACACATTTAACCTTTCTAATAACTCTTTCTCTAGGATTATATGGATTCTTTAAAATAACGATCTTGTCTTTTAAGGATTTCAGCTTGGTACTTGGGGAAACACTTCCAACCAGCACATAATCATCTTCAATAAGGCTTGATGAAGTCTTTAAATTGGGATTTAATGTGGGATACATAGAATCTCCTTTTACTCTTCCTTTTTAGAAATTACTGATATTGTAGAACTCGTTATTGAAGACTCATATAATTGGGACAAGTGGCAGAATTTTCTTCGCTATCGGTGAAATCCATAAAGCCATTATTGATAATAAATATTTTTAGTAGGGCATTAGACCTTGTTTTTAGGAAAAAGTTATAGAATTTTTCCCATATATGGTGCTGTTTGCCCTTGATTTTGCCCACTGAGAAAATTTTTTGGTTTGACCAAACCATATGGTACTGATCGAACCAAAAAATTTTCCCAGTGGCCAAATCAAGGGGCAAACAGCGCCAAATAAGGGAAAATTCTATATCGATATTTAGGTAATATTTTTAAATAATAATTCAATTTATAATTAATGTTTTTTAATGAAAATTGAAGTCCCTTTTTATTTTAGCTAAAAATTTAAATTTATTTTATACTTTAGGCTATGCGTTTTCCTATATTTGCCATAGTTTACTCTGCAATTTTTTTTACTATCATTTTTCCATTAAGAAGTTGTTTACCTCTTTCTAATATGGTTATAATATGATATTTCTTGCTCTCGTAATTTCAGTAATCACTGCTTGCGAGTTTTCATGTCATTCAAAATGCTCAACGGTTGATTGTATTCACAAATGTGGATGCAATGAGACTTTTAAGTTTACTTATCAGTCTGCTGAGTATATATTTAAGCCTTATGCCACAGGAGAAATCGAATTTATTGAGAAAGATATAGGTTGCAACTTAAGCCAAGCGGAATTTTGTAAGCAAAGTTTGCAAAACGAAGAGATATATAGCTGCATAGTTTCAGCAGGGTGCGAGCAAATGCTGATTTCAGAAGTAAAAATCCTGAATATGGATGATACTGAATGCATTGACACATGCACAAATAGTTGCAAAGGACAATTAAAAGACAAATTGGATCAATGCTTGGAGCTCTGCTTAAAAAGTAGTTGTGCAGGGCTCTCTAGTGATGAGGCTGGAACAGTAAGTGGGCTGATGAATTTTGGAACAACAATATCACTCAACCCTCTTTCCTTAATGATCGAGCAAAATTTTGTTCACCTCTGTAGGGGTTAAAATTTATTTTTTACGATTATCTAAATAATAATCGATTCAAAAAATCCCTAACTTACATAAAAAGTGTCTTTTAAAAAATTTATTTTCTAAAATGCAAGTGTTTAATCTAATAAAATTATTTATACCTTAAATAAAAACAATTTTGGCAGGGGACTAATTCCTAAAAGTATAGTTTGCTTACCACAGAGAAAGAATTAGTGGTGCTATATTAATCAGTATATTTGGATTGGTATTTTATTGCCAAGCTGCAAGGAAAAATTCAAGATATGAAGAACAAGAAATGTACCATCGATTGATATAACAGCCTTTATACAGACAGCATTGAATTCTCTTCAAATAAATTTATTTCCCATAATATTGCTGAATCATCATAAAATATATAATTAAATTGTGCTTATTATTTAATATTAATTATTCAATTTTCTAATTAATATGAAATTTATAAAATAGACTAGATGCGCAGAAGCATCAAAAGGCATAAAGTAAGAATAGAATACAAAAATATTTATTCAGTCATTCAAAGCTTAAAATGTGACGATTTTCAAAGTCTGCAAGGAGAAATAGAAAAAGGTTATGACCCAGAATATGGAGATGGCCAGCTTTCACTTGTCCACTACTGCGTAATTTATGAGTCATCAAAGTGCTTAAACTATTTATTAGAAGAAATAAAAATCTCGCCAAATCAATTTGACACATCGAGCAGAGGAACCCCTCTTCATTTACTCCTATCTTTACCGAAATATTGAGGGAAATATAACAAATGTCATCATAAAATTTTAATTTTTAATTATTCTTATAAAGAATTAGCAATTTCTCAAAATAAGATCGAAATTGCTAAAATTTTGGTCAATTCTGGAGCTGATCTTTGTACTGCAAATTTCAATGGAGCATCACCAATTAATTTATTGGAAAATCAAAACTCTGACGACTGGCAGGTTGTTCTTGATTTGGCCAAAGAGAAAATAATAAAATCAATTTGAGATAGACAGAAGGCTTTTATTTATCTTCGCTTATGTTTCAAAACATCTTTAGTGTAGGATATGTAAAAAATTAAAAATCCTTGGAATAATATGGCTAAAGTATCAATCCTAAAAAAGAAATAAAAAGTAGTGGGATTGCTTCGGTTTTTAGACAGCTCCATATAATTATTAATTTTACCCAAAACGAGGAATTTTATATAATTATTTATCAGGTTTTTTCTTTGTATATCTAATTTCAACCTTATCCTCATACTCTTGTATTTCTCCATACTCCATATCTTCATCAATAACCTCTTCTGCAAGTGTTTTTATATCAATACCTTTTGCCCCTCTCTTCAGCGGTTTTTGTTGAGAATCATGCTCTTTTCATCCAATATAATGAACCATATCAAAAGTAGCAGGAAGTTTTCCTGTGTATTGGCCTTCCCTAACCTTAAATAAATGCTCATAAATTGCAGCTGCCGCGATAAAAGTGTCTCTTGAAACGCTTTTTCTTGCATTTAACGAAGCATTTCCTTCCCCAACAGATTGAAGAAAATTCATTAGTTGAAAAGCGTCGTTAAAATAAAGAGTTTTTTGATCTGCAGTTGCGGTGACTAATTTATAATTAACTTTGTATAAGATTTGCCCTATATCTGTTAAATGAAACATAGGAGAAACGTGAGGGCTTACCCCTCCTTCTCTTTCTTGCTCTCCTAAAGATAAAGCAATTCTAAGTTCCTGCAAAGTGTCTCCACCCATTGCAGTACCTATTAGAGCTCCGTCTGGCTGTAGAGAAAGCAAGCACTTCTCAAGGGTTTGCCCAATTTTATTCAGTCAGTGTAATTGTAAGTTATTTACAATGAGATTAAAATAATTTTCAGGGAATGATCAATTTTCTTCATCTAGATACAATCCTGTGTATTTGAAGGATGGATTAAGATTTTTTATTTCTTTTAGCGAGAAATCAAGACTTTCTTTACAGGAATCTATGATAGTCAGTCCTTTTAAGTTTAAAAAATTGTTTGAGTGTATATCCCTTGCTCATAGGTGAGCCATTGGCCCAATAAAGCATGCATTTGAAAAATTTCTGCCTTTAATTGATCCAAGTCTGCTTAAGATATCTTGAATGCTTAGTTCATGGTAATAAATTTCTGATGCTTGAATATTTTTTGATATTCTTCTTTTGTGGAGAATCTTTAAGCCTCTATCAAAAACATCTTTCAGCACCCCTTTAGATCCCATTTACTATTAGATATATTAAATGCTTAACTTAAGACACCTTTAATAGTTTGGACTATTGCAGCACATTCAGCAGCAATTATAAAAAATGATAACTTCAAAGAATATTCACATAAATTTATGAATAAATTAAATTATACGTTTTAATGTTTTCTCCGCAATTTTCGTTGCCTCAGTACGCTTTCAACCAGAGCCAACTACTTGTCTGGCGGAAATTAAGCCCCTTTTTAAGCAGTGGCATACTCCAAGGACAGAGCTTGTAAGTTGACCTCATCCATCAGAATTCCATTGTCCGTTACCTCCTATCGGACAAAGTTGAGGATTGTTGAAGCCCAGAAACGCTCTCCAGAAGCTGGAAGGGAAAAATTTGTGGCCAAAAGGCAATCCAGGAAATATTTGCTGTCCAAGGGTAGCAACAGCTTTCTCTTAAGGTTATCATCCCATGTGACTGATACCTAAACCTTGATTCCGACTATAAAGTCATTATTGCAATCAAGATAATGTATCATGGTTGGCCATCACCACATTAATTATCTATAAATAAATAAGGATTACCATCACATGAAATCTCATATAACCCTAACCTATGAGCCTTTAAACCTAGACTATTATGTATCACAGGCCTCAGACCCTTCCTGCGGTGCTATTTCTGTATTTATTGGGACCACTCGTGATAATTTTGATGGCAAACGAGTTGTTAGACTTGAATACGAAGCATATGCACCCATGGCAGAAAGGAAAATCAATAAAATAATCGAAGAAGCCAGTAAACTATGGCCACTCCATTCTGCAATAGTTGCCCACAGACTAGGACACGTTCCTACGACCGAAGCCAGCATCATCATTGTTTGCTCCTCATCTCATAGAACCGAAAGTTTAATGGCAGTCTCCTATATAATTGATCACCTTAAAGCAGAAGTTCCTATATGAAAAAAAGAGATATATGAAGATAGTGGAGCATGAAAGGCAAACAAAGAATGGCGGCATCCAATGGATATTCAAAATAGAACACTGGCACAAAATATTGAAAATTTAGAAAGCGAGTATAAAGACAGAGAAAAAGTTGATGATATTGGTCCTTCACTTAACAGATAATAATAGCATTTTTATTTTTAAATTATTTAATATTTTCTGCATAGGTAAATTATAGAGATTTTAAAACAATTAAGCATTTTTGATTATTTTTCTTAATTTTTGATGAATTATGTGTAGAGGTGATTGACTAGATTCCATTTTACACTTTACTATACTTTCATAATAAACTCTCCATTTATTGTATCCGATTTCTGAATACTCTGCTTCCGTCTGATTTTATGGGCTAGGTAAAATTAAAACATGTGCAATAAAGAAAATTTAAATAAATACTTAATTAATTAATTTCTCCAATTAAGCATTGAGTAAATTGGTTTATATATCACATTGAAATAAAAAGAAAATTTCTGCACGAATTTAGCATACTATTTGAAGCAAAACAATCTATAATTGATTTGTTTTATGAGAGAAAGCATTATATGCAAGATTAAAGTGATCAGCATGCAAAATGAGTATTGAATTTTTCAATAGACAAAGGACTGTAACATTCCAGAATTCTGCAATGGCAATTACCGTCAAACCATAACTTATTTAATTTGCTTTTCAACCTCTATTTATTACTCGCACATTAATTTCTATAAGAATAATAAACACTTTTAATTTATCAAACCAATCTGCTGCAATTATAAGCATCTTTCACATTTTTTTAGCACACTCTCTCTTTTATTCTCAAAGTTTAATGGATTTCATGAAATTCGAAAAGCTTCAACGAAAATTAGCAAATCTTGCAATGTCTCATCTCTTTAAATTTTTTATCTATTCAATATCCTAGTATTCTTTATCTTCGTAAATCGTTAATTTTCGTTTATAAAAATTCCACCTAAAATTTTCATCACTTACATAATGCCTTATGACGGCTCCAAACAAGTATTTATATCAGATTTTGATAGTCTTTTTGTATTATTCTTTCTAGATCTGGCTACTCTGAAAACTGACCTAGCATAAAACGGATATTTTTCTGATCTCATGCTTCAATAATCATAAAATGGACGACTTCGTAACAGGAACATACATAGTCTGTGCTATATTCTTCATACTTTCTCTTGGAGGACTAAGCAATCAATTAACTGCAAAGCGAGGAAATTACCTAGGAATAATTGCGATGACCCTTGCAATCATAGCGACCTTTTTTGCCGATGAATTCGACTATCAGTTCGCTATATTCTTTTTTATGCTTGTGCTCGGCGGTCTAATAGGATGCGCTATGGCTCTTAGAGTGGAAATGATCAATATGCCCCAAATGGTTGCAGCACTTCATAGCTTTGTAGGACTTGCCGCAACCCTTGTGTCATTTGGACACTATTTGCTTCACACGGACCAAGACAACCTAGCAAGAATCGAAACAAATATTGGGGTCTTTATTGGTGCAGTCACCTTTACAGGGTCAGTTGTGGCCTGGGGAAAATTACAAGGCGTTATAAGGAGCCAGCCTTTGATAATACTAGGCTGGGGAAGACACGTAATAAATTGCTTATGCATCATTGCATGCATTGCTATTGCGATTGTTTTTGGTCTAACGGATAACGACGAAACTTTGACCAAATTTTTCTTATTGTTAGCAATCTCTTTTATTGCTGGATTTTTAGGGTGGCATTTGGTAATGGCTATTGGAGGAGCTGATATGCCAGTCGTGGTGTCCATGCTAAATTCTTACTCAGGCTGGGCCACTTCTGCCAGTGGATTTTTGCTAGAAAATGAGCTACTCATCATTACAGGAGCACTTGTAGGATCTAGTGGAGCTATTTTGAGCTACATTATGTGCAAGGCTATGAATCGGTCCTTTATCAGTGTGATTTCAGGAGGATTTGGACAAGGCACAGGATCTCCTTCATCAGCAGCCAAGGCACAAAAAGGTGAGCAAAAGCCAATTGACGCCAAAGGAATGCTTAACCTATTAAGAGACGCCAAAAGAATTATTATTGTTCCAGGGTATGGTATGGCCGTTGCCAGATGTCAGCATGACGTCGGAACATTCGCAGATTTTTTAATCAAAAGAGGCCGAAGGGTGGAATTTTGTATCCATCCAGTCGCAGGAAGACTTCCTGGACATATGAATGTACTTTTAGCAGAAGCTGAAGTAGACTATGGCATTGTAAGAGAAATGGACGAGATCAACAAAGAATTCCCAGAGACAGACATTGTCATGGTTATTGGTGCTAATGATATTGTTAACCCTGACGCTCAAGACGACCCGAATTCTCCTATTGCTGGAATGCCAGTCTGCGAAGTCTGGAAAGCAAAAAACGTCATTGTCTTCAAAAGAGGAGGTGGGACAGGGTATGCAGGAGTAGAAAACCCTTTATTCTTAAAGCCAAACACAAAAATGTACTTCGGTAACGCTGACAAGTCAATGAAAGAAATACTGAACATCATGACTATGAATGAAACCATGTTTGGCGAAGCCAAAAATTCTACTTCATCTGACACAGGCCCAGAATCTTCTGACTCAGAAGAAGAAGTTGAGAAATTCCCTGAGCCAAAAATGACAATTGGAGTGCCTAAAGAAATTACTCCCCTCGAACAAAGAGTTGCAATAACTCCAGGAACTGTCAAAAAATTCAGAAAATTAGGCTTTAGAGTCGTTGTTGAAAAAGGAGCTGGAGAAGGTGCGAAATTTTCTGACGAAGAATACACAGAAGAAGGGGCTGAGGTTGCGAGCACTGAACAAGTGTGGGCCTGCGATATCGTGCTAAAGGTGAAAAAGCCAGACCACCACCCAGTTCTGAATAAACATGAGGACACTTTGTTACAAAATACCAAACTGTTGGTTAGCTATGTGTATCCTGCCAACAATAAAGAATGGCTGGAAAATTTGGCCTCCCGATATCCGAACTTGACTTATTTAGCTATGGAATGTGTACCTCGTATTACAAAAGCCCAGAAACTTGACTCTTTGAGCTCAATGGCTAATATAGGAGGATATAGAGCAGTTGTGGAAGCTTTCCAGTATTTCAGAAGATGCCCAAAGCCAATGATCACAGCTGCTGGAAAACTCCCTCCTGCTGAAGTTTTAGTCATCGGAGCTGGAGTAGCTGGCCTTTCTGCTATTGGCTATTGCAAAAACCTAGGCTGCAACGTATACGCAATGGACACCCGCTCAGCTGCCAAAGTAGATGCCGAATCCATGGGTGCTAAATTTTTGTCAGTCCCAATCCAAGAAGAAGGACAAGTAGCTGGAGGATACGCCAAAGTTATGTCAGAAGAATACCAAAAAGCCCAATACCAATTAACAAAAAGAACTGTAAGGAAATGCGACATTGTGATAACAACTGCTCTAATTCCTGGCAGGCCTGCACCTAAACTTGTAGACGACGAATGCATCAAAGGCATGAGACCTGGGAGTGTCGTCGTTGATATGGCTGCCGAAATGGGAGGAAACTGCGCATACACAAAAGCAAATGAAGTCATAGTAACTGAAAATGGAGTCACTATTGTTGGATTCACAGACTTAACGAGCAGAATGGCACCACAAAGCTCAGAGCTCTATGCAAATAACTTGTATAATTTATTAGACGAAATGGGAGGAGCTGAAAAATTCAATATAAATATGAAAGATGAAATCATCGCCCCAATGTCTGTGGTTCATGAAGGAAAAATGGTATGGAGCCCACCTAAGCCTTTGCCTCCTCCTAAAGCTCCTGAAGCTCCTAAAGAAATCTCAAAAGAACCTGAAAAACCAACGAAAAAGCCAACAAAAGAAACTCCTTGGTGGTACATGTACGTCGAATTTGCATTTTTAGCTGCAATTTGTGCAGGAGGGTTTATTGGGCTTGCATATTCCACTTATGGAGACTTCATGAGTCTTTTTATGACTTTTGTTTTAGCAGTTGTAATTGGCTACATGGTTATTTGGAACGTAACACCTGCCCTACATACACCACTGATGAGCGTCACTAATGCAATTTCTGGTATCATCGTAATCGGCGCTATGATGCTTTTAGACTCAAATGATGGCTGGATTGATGAAGGCTCTGCAGTTGGCGCCATTGCGATATTTTTCGCAAGTATAAATATTTTTGGTGGTTTTATTGTAACAGACAGAATGCTTTCAATGTTCAAGACCAATGCAATGCCAGAGCCAGGTCTGCATCACCACAACACTTTGCACCACCCTCACCATCACCATCACCATACTCACCAAAATGAAAAACCTTAATAAGAATTAATATAATAGTCATATAAATGGATCCATAAAGAACGTCTCAAACTATTTCTACTTTCAAACAATAAAATATTTATGGAAGATCAGTGCGCAACTCCAACTCGTGACTCGGTCAAATCAAACCCTTCGTCAGAGCCTTCTAAAGTATCTACTCCTATGAGCTCTGGACAGCCAAAGCCTAGGCTTTCAAAAAGACGATATACTCCGTCTGATTCGCCGGTATCGCCGCATGAAGGGTTCAGGACATCAATATTAGTGCTTAATTCTTTGGAGGAAAATTCAAGACCACATAGCAAACTTTTAAAATTCATGCAGCAAAGACCAGGAGAAGAAAAACCAAGACAAGTGATGCTGCCTTTATTTTTCCACAAAAAGTCTGAGAGGATTCACAAAAGACAAGCTAGTTTGACGATGCCTACACAGCCTTCAACTTTTAATCAAATTTTTGAAAATGTTATGCTATATTAGCTATTTTTTTATTTTCTGCTAATAGGACAATTTTAGGTTGAAATATAAAATTTTTGATATAGCCAAAAGATTAATATGCTCAATTGAGAATAACCCTTTTCAAAAATCAAATTTGAAAAGGGTAAATTCGGCGGGCAAAAGGAAAACAGTTTCATTTTGCAGTGACCTAGATAACTTTACAGCTATTGATAGGTTTGCATCTGCAGGGCATAGTCCTGAGCAAAGTGTGGTAGATTCCATAGTTTTCACTGGAAGCCAAGACCCAGATATATTAGTGGACAGTTTGGAGGTAAATGACCACAGAATGGAAAAAAGAGACAAAGGAAGCATTGGGACCTTTACAACAGCTCAAAGCTCATTTGCGGAATCAAAAACCCAAGATCATTCTCATGACAATTTGAAAAAGAAATTTGATGACTGCGAAATTTATATAGGAAATCTCCCTAAAGAAGAATCTAAAAGTATCCCAACCACATGTGCAGGAACCTTATGCACTCAGACTAATCAGGAAAATAATGATGAAGTTCCTGAGTTCTTTTCAGAAAGAATTGATTTTGAATACGAAAATGAGGTAAAGTCAAGTGTTTTGAACATCCCAGAATTTTCAGAATATCCTACTATTGGGTATTGCAGAAATTGCTCTAACCCAATTTGATTATTTTTTGTTTATTATTAATAGGTGTATAACTTAAAATATTTTATAGAAATTTTTATTATTTAATTTTTAAGAAAGTTTAGATTTTTAAATGATTATAAGTAGATAAAATTATAAAATAATCAAAGACTTATATCGAATATTTAATTTAAAAACCTCAAGATATATTAATCACCATTAGTTGAGATATAACTTAATCGTTATTTGCAGATTTTTGAACTTTACCACCTAAGTGTGGAATTTTTTTCCGCGTGTGTGAAAAAAAGGATCCCACATGTGAAATCAAAAGGACTCCACACGTGAAATCACCTTTTCACACGCGAAAAAACTCCACACTTAGGTGGTAAAGTTCAAAAATCTGCAAATAACGATAAAATATTTTTGTTAATTTTTTCTAATTACTATAAAATCAATTGAAAAAAAGTTGTTTTAGTAAATTTTGTTCGTTATTAATAGTGCTTAAGGATAGATAAAACGGTTTCGCTCATTATTAAAATGGCGGGAGTAAGGAAACAGTAACAATAGTGGAGTATGAAAAAATAAAAGGTAAAGGATTTTTTGAAAAAATTGAATCATTAATGTGTTTCTGCGTCCCTGCTTGGATGTATAAAAGTCATTACTTTGTGCATAAATGCCCAACTTGTGCAGAAGAAATAGCTAGAGTTATTGCATAAATTAATAAATACCAATTATCATTTTATCATTACCTAAATTTTATAACTTTTATATGTAAGCCTTAATAAACTACTATGACATGCTCTATTTAATTTTTTATCTCATAAATTCAAATTATATAACATTTATAATAAAAGCTACTTATCTAGTCTTTTCTATTAAATTTTGCATATAATTTATATGCATGAATTTGAATATTTATTAATATTAAAGAAATTCATCATACAATGGAATTCGGAATTCATCCTTTACCTTTAGATGATATCGACAACCAAGACAAAGTTAACTTAAGAGACTTAATCCTGCGCCGACTTTCAGCAGCAAAAGAGCAGAAGCAGCGAACTACACAAAGCTTGTCATTAACTCCAGATAATAATCAATCATCTTCTACTTTTTTACCTCAAGCTTTCCAAACTCAGTCTCCAGATATTGAAAAGCAGCTACTTCTAACGATGCTGGAAAAAACCCAAACCTTAACCAATCAAAATCAAGTCACTTTTGCCCAGGAAAGGAAAACTCTTGAAAACCAAATCGAATCTCTGCTATCACAAGTTCACAATTTGCAGCAAAGAAATATCGCTTTGAGCGAAGAAATGGAAAAATATAAAAAATATCCAGGAAGTGATATGTCCCATCTCCAATTTTTGGAGGAACTGAAAAGCTTAGAAAAGATCAGTGATGAGAGAGAAAAGAAATATTGCGAAGAAATAACGAGTCTTAAGCGTGAGCTTTCAGAAGCAAAACTATTGAGTACTTTAGAAAGAAGTAGTTCATATCTGAACAGTGAGGAAAAATCGCAAACAGTTTTAAGCAAACGACTAATTGAGCTGGAAAATAAATTTGAGGAGGCAAAAAAAATTATAATTGATAAAGATAGAGAACTAAAAAAATTCCAAGATAATTTAGCATGAAGCCCACAAGGAAATATAGGGATTTCAATAAAGGGAAACTCAGAATTGAAAGCAGAGAATGAAAAATTGGAAAGGAACATGAAAAGGCTGATTAGTATGTCATGCAAAAGAGAAGCTGTGCTAACTGAAGAAATAGAAAGGCTTAGAAATACCAGTTCACATTTAAATGAACTGACGCATAACAGAGAAATTGAGCTTCAATCTCAAATAGAAAACCTCACAACGTCAATGACTAATTTACAGAAGAACTTTGAGCAGCAAGAAGGAATTTATCATAAAGAAAAAACTAATTGGCTTGAAGAAAGAGACTCATTGATTTCTCAGTTGAAGCAGCTAAATGAAAGATATATACAAGCTGATCAAAATAGCTATAATAGGATTAGAAAAGAACTTGATGGAGTTTATGAAACTCTTGAAGAAAAAGACCGCATAATTGATCAGCTGAGAGAATCAGGGCTCTTTGTCATTGAAAATACTCAATCATTTGAAAATTTAGCTGAAATTAAAAATCAGCTGTCTGGGATTCATAGTGAGCTGGAAAAATTGAACCAAAATACTGTGGCTGTAAATGAAGCTTACTCAAAAGAGCAAACTGAAAGAGATGAAGAAATTTATAAACTACATAATGAGCTGCATAATAAAATGGCTTTGCACGGAGTGGTTAACTACGTAAACCTTTCCTCTTCTGTGAATTTTATTATTATTGTGATCGGTTTATCTGGTGCAACTGTATCCACATGCCATATATGGTTTATTGTAATTGCCCGAGGATGGCGCTATCTTGCGCCATCCTCGGGCAATTACTATATTGCATGAGGAAAGTCATTTGGTCCAGGATGCTAGGACGTATAGGGGTTTTCCCCGCTTTTAACACTAAAGGAATGCGACCCTTAGGCGGAACTGACGCAGGAGTCAAGTCTGGAGCGAGGTCAACGCGACCAGTGGAGGCTTTCAGGCTCTTTTGGAGAGTCTTCTGGAATGTTTGCTAGACAAGATAGCTGCTGAAGCCATCAATTGGAGTTAAAAGGGAGTTTTTGCTATTACTCTCTGCAAAAAGAGAGAACTATTAAAAATCTGAGTAATAATGCGTGCATAACGAGCTGACAGAGCTAAGACACAAAATGTCAGTATATGAAGGAAAAAAATATGAGAGTGAGATAAGTACATTGAGGATTGACCTTCAAAAAGCATTAAGCGAAAAAGCTCACGCAAAAAGGCTAATTCTTGCTTATGTCCGATCAGTCCAGCACTTAGAAAAAATACTTTCAGAAAAGCAAAGCTTTTCTTTAGATGATCAAATCGCGACTTTGCAACTAGAAAATTCCAGACTTCAAGAAGAAAATCAAAGCTTAGTAGAAGCAAGACAAAAATTGTCCGAGACATATGAAGCTGAAATGAAACAGCTGCAAGATTTGATTGATAGCCAATATCTCAAAATCCAAGATTTACAAGCAAAAACTGAAGGAAGCTCAAAAGCAAGACTAAAAATGATAAGCGAGCAAACCCATGCTTGGGAACTTAGACAAAAAACACTCCACGAGCTAAACAGACAGCTTCACGCACATGTGGGGCTAATTGAAGCAAAATCCTTAACAGAGCTTCAAACCAAAGAAATCCAAGACTTAAAAAACAAGTTTGAAACCAATAAAAAAGGCCTAATTCAGCTCAGAGAAAGATGGGAAAAACAACGAGAAGATATGAGACTAGAAATAGTAAATCTTAAGCAAAAAATTGTCGCCCTTGAAAACAAAGATCAGCACACCACTCAAGAGCTGAATAAACACTACAATACAATTGTGAATAATTCAAAAGAAAATTTGAAATTAGAAGAAACCAGGCTCATTGAAATGAAAACCCAAAACGAAATTTTCAAAAAAACTTATGAAGAATTCGTAAGAAAACAAAAAAATTTTTATGAAAGCAATGATAATTTAATCAAAGTAATGAAAAAGGAATGCGAATTGGTAGGGAAAGAAATAGAAGAAATAAAAAATATGCATAATGATGAAATTAAATTCATCAGAGAAACAGGACCTTTTGCAGAAATGCAACAATTAAAACAAGAAGTAAAGGATAGAGAAAGGAGTATGAAGGAATTAGAAGATTATATTAGGGTGCTAGAGGATAAGCATAGCAAAGAGGTGGAGTCATTTTTGAAGCTTGATGAAAGTGATACACGTAAGAGGAAATGAATATAATAACTTAAATAAAATTTGTATCGTTTGAGATATTTATAAGGAAAATTTGAATTTATACCAATCACAAATAAAAAAATAATCATGTCTTACGTTTATTTTTCTAGGCCTGGAAGAGCTTATTCAAGCAGGTACAAAATTTTGGCTGAAAAAGAAACCCTCCTTTCAGGCAATTTAAAATCCTACACTCACAGCGTCCCATCTTTTATGATAAAAGAAGAAGAGCCAAAGCCGCTCGCCCCTACAGCTTTAGAAAAGCTGCTTAAAGAGGAGCTTGAAGAATTAAAAATGCAGGTAACTCATTATTGAGGAATTAAAAAACAAAGAAAGCCTGCCAAAAATAAAGATTTCTCCAACATCTTCTTTTAAATCTCCTCCAAGAAAAAGCGAGTTTCTAAAGGTAATAGACAAGCAGTAGAATAATACCAGTTCTGCACAAGAATATTATGATATAAATTACTCACAAGTTGAAAAAAGTGTGGCAGTGCCTTCTTTTAAAAGCACAAATAAAAGAAATTTAATAGAAAAAGAAAGCGATTTATCAAATTTTAGCTACAGAGAGCCTGAATGAAATCCTAAAGGGGTTATTCCTTTTTCAAAACAAACGCAGAGAAAACCATTTATTAATAGTGGAAGCCCAAGTGATGAGAGATTTGTTTCTGCTAATTTAAGCCCAGAAATTTGTAGTAAATTTAAAAGAAATAAAGTGCCAAATTTATCAAAGTATAGCTCAAGAGATAATATTTTATATAAAACTCAAGACTGTGTGCCTGAATATTTTCCGAATAAAGAAATTGTTATGCCGAAAATTGCAAGGTAAGTCAGGATCATGCGATATGAGTGGATTTAGTCACTAGCCATTGGCTTGTATCAGCTCCAAAAAGTCAGTCTCAAGAGACCTCAGAGTTAAATGAGGAAAATGGAAGGCTACCCTTTTGGACTCCCAACCTGAATAACCAGTCCAAGGGATTGGCTCCCAGGGTCGAGCCATCGTCATAAATTACCTTATTTGTCCCGATAAGGAAAGATCATACGGTAGGCAACCTGTCTACCCCATCTAGTAGAGACTAGAAAACCTTGGGGAGAAGCAAAACACCCTCTTTTTACAGGCTTCCCTTTGAGATGGCCTACTTAAGTCACGAAGAACATGCTTTCGCCGCACGTCTCGTCGGTCCACCCCCAGCTCTATCTGAAGGTGCCAATTTCCTTTAACGTCATCATTTTATTTCTTAAAATTGCAAGGAATGTAGATTTTGATAAAATGCTCAAAAGAAAAGAGCCAGTTCAAAAAGAAAGACTGCCAAGTGCATATAACGTGAATTTTTCAATTGTAGAAAAAAATGTGCCTATAATTAATATGAAAAAGCTATTGCCAAGAGAAAAAAACTCAGAGTCCCAACTTCCAGCTTTTTTGCAAGGGTCTTTTAGCAGCCGACAGCTTGAAACTATGTGCAATTCAAAAAAACAAATAAACCTCTATGAGCTGTATTTAAAGCGACGCAAAAATCGTCAGACTAGCAACTTCAGCCCTACTGACTTTAGCCTTGATTATGAAACTTTTGAATATTAAATAATAATAAATTTATTTTAAAATTCTACAGCAAGCTTTCTTGATTTTGGCTTTTATTTTGCTCAATTTTTAGAATTCTCTTCTTAATGTCATCTATTTCTTGTAAAATTTTAAAAATTGAGTTTTCCTCAACCTTCTGTGTTGTCAGTTCTTTATTATCTTCTCCTTCTTTTTCTTTCAACTCATTCAATTCTGCTGTTAATTTTTGAATGGTGTTTTCATAAAACTCTTCAGACCTTGAGTGCTTAGCTAGCAATTCTTTATACTTTTTCTCAAGTTTTTTATATTTAATCCTTTGTTCAGTTAATCTTTTTTCCAAATTTACTAAATACTGTACATCTCTTGGCCTATATAAAAAATACCCTCCTCGCTCAGGACTTGAGCCCTTTGAGCCTATTGATGGATAATTGCTGCCAGGTGTTCGAAATTCTGCTTTTGGTTCTGTATCTCTTACAATTGATAATAAATTATCTCGGTCTACACTCGTCGATTTCTTTTCAAAACTTAAATCTGAGGGGTTGATAGTGCTGATTTTATCTATAATCCCAATGCTCCTGTCACTCTCCTGGTTATGTTTGCACTGTAATGGGATATTCCCAGGATGATCATTTTCTCTATTGATAGGATGCATAGGCTGCGGCTGAGGTGCCACCCTGTTTTTTGGTGTTTCTAGCTCATCAGCTAGATTTCTTTCAGTATGATCATAATCCCTTGAAGTGCTTTTTCTAGATGTTTGCCTTTCTTTTAATTTTGTAGCATAACTTTTAGATTTATTCATCGCTAAACGGTCAGAAGCTTGCTGAATTAAGTTAGAAAGCGCAAATACCTCAGGGTTATATTTTTTCTGCGGCTGAGCAGATCTAGCTCTGCTTGTATTTTTATTTGACATTATGTTAAAAAACTTACATTAAACTTTACTATATTTTGATCCTTTTCTTTTAAATATTTTAAACCCATAAATCCTAGGTATATATTCAGGCGTAATTTTTACAGGGTTTAAGTCTGGATAAGTAAGCAAGAACAAATGAGGGAAAGAGCAGCCAAAGTAAGCGCCATCAACGTCTGCGTATTTGTTTTTAGGAATGTACACATCTTTACATTTTGGACAAAAAATCTTTACACGGCTTGTTCTGAGCACTTCAGCCAGGCCAACCGGCAGAACATGTTGGCGCTCACACATAACTCGTGGGCAAGTGCCAAATCGGCCTGCAATAAATTTTTCTTTCATAATAGAAAGTCCTCGTGGAGTCACTATGAATCGAGCATGAATAAGTCCGTATAAGTCAGCAGACGTTTGGTATAATTCTAAATACCCATCATTTTCTAAATCGTCTTCTGTTGGGATTTCAGTGCTTAAAATAGTTTCAATAGCTTCGTCGTATTGTGCAAATTTCTCTTTGAGACCATAGAGATTATAATAAAATGGCATTCGGTTCGAGAGAAATTAGCTTTGCTAATTTTCTCTCCCTCATGGAATTTTTATTATGGGGTTAGGTTTTCACTCGAGAACTTCTGAACAGCAATAGCGGTTTAACTTTGGGGATAACCAGAGGAACTGCTCCTCAGTCCTTTCAAGATTTCGGGCTTTTACCTCTCAGCACATCTCCAAGCTAAGATGACCCTCAGGCGGAACACGCGCAGGAGCTGAGTCGAGACAAGGGCGACGGCATCGCGCCGGGTGAGACGTGCAGCAAGGCTGGTGAAGCAGGAGTCGATAGAAGGCTTGGCCAGGGCTGACCTGTTTCCAAGATGGCTCGCCTACGTCACTAGTTTTGCCATAGGTCCACTTTGGGCTGCGGCACTAGACACCTTAAACACCAGATAATTAAGTTAAGTTAAGAGACCATAGAGATTAAAATTATCTTGGATAAACTCTTCGTCGACTTCACAAAAAAATTCATGACCTTCAAGAGAGCAAAACCATTGAATCCACCCTTCTTCTGAGATATCTACGTCCTCTTCTTCTTGGTCAGAGGATTCATGCTTGTATGTCTCCATTTCTTTCATTTATGATGCAAAATTGAATTCAGTTTTATTTTTTAATGTAAATAGAAAATGCGAAGAGCGATTTTTTTATTGAAATTGAATAAATAGAAGAACAGTAAAAAAAATTTTTTCGAATTTAACATAAAACTTTGCATAAAACAATCATATCTTATTAACTAAATATTCAAATTTTATAATTATTTCCATTACTTGTTTAAACCAAATGCTAAAAGCATGCTTAGCAATACGAATAATCCCCTTATTAACCGATTTTGATTATGCTAAAGTAAAAAATTCAACGCCTTGTAGCACAATTTCATTTAAATCTTTCTATTTATTCCAATGCTTGTCAGGAGTCTATATTAATATATCATGTCGAAAATATAAACTATAAAATGTCAAGCATGCCTGTGGTAATATTTGACAATGGGTCAGGATATTCAAAGCTAGGGTTTGCAGGCAACACTGATCCTAACTATATAATCCCTACAGCAATCTCAAGTCGTGAATCTCTCGGAGTTCCTGTCTCACGTTTACAATGTGAAGACCTTGACTTTTTTATCGGTGAAGACGCATATCAAAACCAAAAAACTCACAATCTCTCGTTCCCTATCAAAGAAGGCCAAATCAACAACTGGGACGATATGGAGAGATTTTGGGAGCGAACAATTTATTCTCTTATGAGCGTTGAACCTCAAGAACACGTCTTTATGCTTACTGAGCCTCCTATGAATCCACCTGAAAACAGAGAACAAATGGCAGAAATCATGTTCGAGACCTTTGACGTAAAAGGCCTATATATCGGCGTTCAGGCAGTTTTAGCTCTATTTGGCTCCAACTTATATAAAGAAAAACAAAATCTGACTGGGACTGTAATTGACTCTGGAGACGGTGTCACCCATATAATCCCTGTGGCCCATGGATATGTGATATCTTCTTGCATAAAGCATATCCCGATTGCTGGGAAAGATATAACGAAATATATTGCGAAAGCTCTTAAAGACAGAAGAGAGCCTATTGCGACTGAAGATCTGATGGATGCTGCAAGAGTAATTAAAGAAAAGAATTGCTATGTATGCAAAGATATGGATAAAGAGCTGCTGAGATTTAATGACAAAGCAGAGTGGAAGAATTATGAAGGGATAGGAAGAACTACAGGTGCTCAAATCAATGCTAAAGTAGGGCCTGAGATGTTCTTAATCCTCCCATTTGGCTAGTGAGTAAAACTATTAGAAATCCCAATTTTTTTGAAAATTAAAAACCCTTTGATACGAACAAAAAAATTTTTAATTTTTTTTTGAGTCGAAGCAATAATTAATGATTATAGTAATAAAATTTTGAAAATTGTATTAAATTTTTGATTTTAATTAAAGTAATATTATTTTTTATAATCCAAAAAAATTAAATCTCCTTATCATAAAAATCTTTCTTGCTCAACAAGGGGGGTTAGGGCCTGAAGTATTCTTTTCACCAGGAAAATTCACAAGAGACTGGGACAAGCCACTCGACGAGTGTTTGGACTCTACAATTCAAGGGTGCCCAATTGACCTGAGACGTGACTTGTACTCAAATGTCGTCCTATCTGGTGGGACAACACTATTCAAGAACTTCCATCACAGGCTTCAAAGGTCAATGCAGCAAAGAGTTAATGATAGATTAGCCAGATACGCTGCAAGCTCAGGAAATACTCCAAAGCCAATTGAATGCAAAATCAATGCCTATAAAACCCAACGATATGCAGTCTGGTATGGCGCCAGCATGTTTGCAGCATCCCCTGAATTCTCTCGAGTTGTCCATACCAGGGAAGAGTATCTGGAGCATGGCCCTAGCATTGCCAGAAGGAACGTCGTATTTGGCTCAGGCGTATAGCTCTTTAAGTCTAATTCCATATTTTAATAACCATATGCTGGCTTGTGTATTTAGGACATTCTCCTCTAAAAGGTCACAACTAGGCCTCTGGCATGCTAAAGACGTTCGTAGCGGCTTCACTTATTCATTTTCCCACGAAAAGACCAAGCGCACTATCAAGCCAAATGTTTTCGACAAATCCTTATGGAGCAACATTCTTAAAAGACATCTCACAATTAGCGTTTCCAGCACTGCATGGAAAAAGATTAAGTTTGCAGGAGGCCTTGACAATTATATTTTAAAAACTGATCCTAAGCTGGTTAGGTCGAAGTTTGGGGAAACACTCAAGACTTATCTGCAGAAAAAGCTTGAAGATCCTAATTGGCAAGTTCCTTATATCAAAGGGTCGAGACAAGCCAGAAAAACAAAGCTTGACAAGGATAAATTCCAAAGCGCCAATATGTGGTACCCAATTGAAACAAGATATGTTGATCACAGTGAAGAATTTTTCGATAGGTATCAGCCAAATCCACCACCAAGGCCTGAAATTGCAGATGATGACAGAGAAGAAGTCCCTGACGCTGGAGCACAAACATTTGACATTGGACCTGTAAGACAAAAGAAAAAGAAAGGAGAAAGTGAACTAGAAAAATTAATAAAGACTGAGATGAGTGAAAACTTGAAAGAACAGGAAGAAGACACTACAGTTCATGAAAAATCAAAGACGGCTAAGATCAGAAGGGTTAAATCTAAAGGAAATAAAGAAGTTGCAGTGGAATTGAGTAAAAATGAAAGGAAAGAAAAGGAGTATCAAGAGAAGAGGGAGCTGAAAGCGAAGAGAGAAAAAGAAAGAGAAAAAGAACTTGAAAAGAAGGAAAGGGAGCAGGCTAAGAAAGCTAGAGATCAAGAAAACAAAGGAGACAAGCAATAAGTTAAGTATTGACTTAAATTTGAGATATAATAATGGCATGTTTTAGGGAGATAAACAAGAAAATTTTTCGAATTTTAGAGCTGCTTCAATTGATAATAATTAATAAATAAAGAATTCGAAGGTATAATCAATGAGAAATGCTTTATTTTACTTAATTATTACTTAAAGCAATTTAGGGAAATATATTGGAATCAAAATGAATAGTTTTGTAAATTAATCATCAAATTTATGCGAAAGATTGCTATAAAAAAGATTATTTAAACTGAATAACAAATTTTTTTAATTTTTAATTCTTGATCATCGACATTATATTTAGTATTAAAATATGAATATCAAAAAGGTCAGTAATGCAAATATTTATAAATACCTTATTTCTCAACAAAATATTGGCAATTTAGTTTACTCCCCTTCCGTGAGCGTACAAAAAAATTTTGTTTGCTCATGGAGGGTCTTTTTTTGTGGAAATTTAAAAAAATCCTTACTTGGAATATTTAATTCGTAAAATTTATGTTTTAAAATGCAAGCTGATTAAAATTAAACAGAATTAGCAAGATTTTTCATTATAATAAATATCACTTATATTCATTTTTTTTCATAAAAATTGTTATATTAAAAAAAATTTTTGTTCGCTCGCTGATGGTGGCTTTTTTTACCTAAAAAAATAGTGGTTTTTCCAAAGTTTTTGTTTCCTCATAGAGGCGGGAAGTTAGGATTTTATTAAATTCTCATTGCAATTTAATATTTACTTCTATATAGAAAAAATTTATTATTCCAAATTTCAATTCTAGAATAGTTCTATTTATACCATTGGCAGACGCTCAGCAGTGTTTCTCTCTAAACTTAAGAATTAAACTATTCATTTGCACCCAAATTGTTTTCACAATAGAATTATTGCCAAATCTGATTTAATACTCCTAAATGACCACTCATAAACTTATAAACTTATAAACTTATCTTAAAGCGGAATATTCCGCACTTCTCTCACTTAAAATCAAAAATATAAATTCAAAGCATCAATAAAAACTTCAAAAACATAAACACCACAACTCCACACAAAAAACAAAAGTTCTATCAAAATCTTCAACAAAAACAAAGGTTCCATCAAAATCTTCAACAAAAATCCAATGAATCGACCGATTCATATTTCCATTGCAACCCCACGATGACAAAAAGATTGATTTTTAATGAATCACCTACTTGCACATAACTCATCCAAGGTAGGCCATCAAAAATCCACAACTCTGCAGGATCAACAGAATTTCAACCTCTCACAAACTCCTTCAAACTTTTTGGCGCGAAAAAAGCGCCTATTTAATTATTTAAATGACCACTCATAAAGAAACGAGATTGTTGAAATAAACCAGAGATTGATTACAGAATGTATATGATTATTTATGCTTAATTAGTTACAATTGCCAAAGTAGGGCTATTTACAGTATCTATGATTCTTTGGCTATCAAAGTTCGCTTCTTGGAACTTCGGCCTACGTTTGATTAATGCACTATCGCTTAAGTGTAATTTAGGTGCTGATTGTGCTTTTTCTTTAAAAAGCATACATTTTTGTATAAAAATTTCTTTTTCTTCAGATGTGTTTGAAGTTTTTATGTCGACGGTTTGTTTCTCTGGAATTACTTTCTTTTTCTTAAGATTTGAGCCACATATACCCATTATTTTATTAAGATATTTTATTTTACCGACAAATTTGTCCTTATTTCGCTAAATTCTTAGAAGTCAATTTCAAAGATTTCACTTTACGTCATTAGTGTAAATATAATTTATCATTTTTAAGTATTAAATTTATTTTTTTAAAATTAAAATTAACGAAAGATGCACCTTAAAAGAAAACTTTTCAAAAGTCAAGCATTCATAAGTATTTAAAGCTCAAATAAAGATTAAACTATTTTTTTATCAGATCTAATTATTTATACCACAAGAGATTAGCAGAGCTTTTTCAGTTATATAGCCTCCCTGAGGGAAAATTGTCGATTTAACAGATATAAAGAAATACAGAGATTATACTTTTAATTATTTTAACATATATTTTAGCTTTAAATTAATTTTTTATCTATCAGCGTTTTTAATACGAATGTTAAGCTGCAATTTCGCAATTCTATAAAACTGATTTAAATTACATAATATAAGTTCTTAGTTCATTTAGACCTAATTAGTGTTTAGTAAAAAATAGCAATAAAAATAGAGGGAGGTTTCATTTGCATAATTGTTTATTTAATTTAATGATAAATGATTCGAGAAAAATTACAAATTTAATTCCACTAAATTTACATAACTAAAAATTTAAAATAAAATTTTATTTATACAGCCAGAAATGCTTTTTCGAGTAATATAATCAAATTTGACCTAGAAAATAGCTTACTTAAAAATTTAGCTACTTATTCCAATTAAAAATAAAATTAAAAGCTAAAAATTATCGCGCAGATTACCCAATCAAAATTCAGCAGAAGGATAAAATTTTGATATAATGGCGCGAATATTTATCTAAACTTTATAAAACTCAAATGACATCAGGCAAAGGAAAAGGTGGTAAAGGAGGAAAAACCGGTGGAAAGCATAAGAGAGCTCCAACCTCAAGATCAATTAAAGCAGGTCTCCAGTTTCCTGTGGGGAGAATCCATAGGTTCCTCAAAACAAGAATGCTCGCATCCCAAAGAGTCGGTGCTACCTCAGCTGTTTATACAGGAGCAGTCCTTGAATATCTTACTGCAGAAGTCTTGGAGCTTGCAGGGAACGTCAGCAAGGACTTGAAAGTCAAAAGAATCAGCCCAAGGCATATACAACTTGCTATCAGAGGGGATGAGGAATTGGATACACTCATCAAAGCAACAATTGCAGGAGGCGGAGTTATCCCACATATCCATAAAAACTTACTTATTGAGCCGAAAGAAAAAACAGTTGAAGCCTAGTTAATACTAATTTGATCAATTTAAGGAATAAATCTGCTGCCTTAACGCGCTTAATTTTTCTTTATATTGAGCTAAAGTTTGTGTTGATAATTTCGGTATTACTAGTTAGCATATTTTAGTGGCATTATAGGCATTTTCAAGCAGGATAATCTTTGCCCCATAATTTAATTATTTAGAATTTTTTACTCAAATAATGCACAAATTAATTATATATCCCTAAAAAAACTCGTTTAGTTAAAATACTGATGTTTTTATATTAACGACCAATTAAGATGGAAGAGCCTCTTTCCCAACAAATAGAAAGAAAAGAAACGCCTAACAATGAAGAATTGAGGATCCCTCCAACAGAAACTGAACAATCTATCCCTGAGCCTCGCTTTAGTTCATTTCTTCGTGAAACCCAGGATTTTGAAAGTGTTAGGATTAGTTTGGCTTCTGAAAAAGATTTAGATGATGTTTTTGCACTAAAAAGAATGGGCTATTTCATAAGGTCAAGAAATTCCACATCAGAGAGATCAGACTCAACAGCTAACTTGCCTTCATCATTTTATACATCTCAAAGGCCGACTCGTCCAGAGTCTTATGCACTAGGAACTTCTGAAACCAACTCAATGCTCCACATGAGGACCCAAACCACTTTTAGTCCAGAGCAGTTGAAATTGATCGCAAATAAAACGGCAAAATTCTCATCTGAAGACTTATCGCAGTCAAAAAAAGCTGACCCGACAGCTATGATTCTAAGTCAATTAATTTTGAAAAAAGAAAGACAAGAAAGTCTTAAGAATTACTGTGAGTCAGTAAAATCGCAAATCAAAGAAAATTTGCGGATAAATATAGCTGATTTACAAAGCAAAAGAAATTCCCTTGTTGCAAAACTTGATCTTTATTTAGAAGAAGCCATTAATATAGCTAAGCAAGCTGAGGCAAAAAAGCAAGCAGAATTAAATAAAAAGCAAAGTGAGCTGGAAATATATAATCAGGAAATTGACAGTTTAATAGCAAGACTTAAGAATTGGAATGAGAGTGATGAAAGGGGAACTAGCCAAGCTATAAAAGACGCAAATAAATATTTGAAAGAAAACATTGACGAGAAATTTATTCATAGAAATTGGATATGGGACAGCCCAGTTGAGTTTGATTATGAAGTAATCAAAAAAGAATCAAATAATTTGATTTTGTTCACTGAAAAGAAAAGCCATAGACATAAAAGCACAAATTTTATGCCAAGTAGGCATGAAGGAAGTAAAGTATTTGGGACTCCTGAAAACTTCAGAAAAGAAGAATGCTCAGAGTCAAAATGCAAACATTGTGTAAGGAAACACTCAAGAGGTGATGCAGGGAAAAGTGAGTATCCGAAGAAAATGCTTCCTACAAAGTTCTTGGATTTTGACAATGAGGCTACAAGGGATAGCATGATGTCAATTGGGCATTTAAATACAAGCAGCGTGTTTGATCTAAGACTGTAAAAAATTATATTATTTAGCTTCAACAAATTAACTCTTAATATACATTCTATATTCATTTAGGTAGGGTATTTTCTTTTAAAGATAGTTAAAGCAGCAGATAGAGACTGCAAATCAAGAAGCTTAAAACTTTATTTTTACAGTATAAATTTTGTATGCAGAGTTATTTCTCAGAATAATTTGGCAAACTTCCCTTTTTTTATCATTTCTTATAATATTTTTCATAATAATTTTTTGTGCTTCATAGAAGGTTATAATTATAGTTTTTAGTTAGAGCAATTGTTTTAAACGAATTCGCTGTAGTTTGAGATAAATACTCATTCAATTTTATTAAATTTATTTTTCTAAAAATTATCCAGAAAGTTGATTTATATTAGTTATTATAAACTGGATGATTTTCTTGAAAGGGATTAAAACTTTAAATAAAAGCCATTGCATTTATAGAGCTATTTACGTAAAGTTATGTCTAAAAAACGTAGTAATTATTTACGTTTTATTTAAATTCTCTGATTTCTCTTGAATAATAAATATAAAATGACAAAAGATTTAAGGACTTTATGGTGAGAAGAAAATGTTGATGATGTGTATCGATTAATCCAAAAATTTTGCAATATCACTCTAATAGTCAATTGCCTTTTAAGAATGCTTAAAGTGATATTTTACCCTTCTAAATATCTCTTTGATGTTTTGATTCCGCAAACACTGATTCATATTCTTGTAAATTTCTTTGTTAAGTATGCTGGAAGATCAATTGCTTGAAAAGTAGGTATTATAGTATTTGTTGTTGAATATTTCAATATATTTTTACGATACAATTCATTGACGATTTTTAAAGATCATTCAGCTATTCTAGAATCAATATCTTCTGCTGTTACTTTTCTCTTTGAATACTCAATTATTACTAACAAATGAACTTTCAATATTGTTGTGATTAAGCATGTATATATTTGGCACGTTCATAGACTACTTTTTTACGAAGCTGATTCTGAAAAAGAAGAGCTTTCGCCCTATAATGGAATTTTGCTCATAATTGTGCTTTATAATGTCGCCTACCATCATATCATAAAAAAATCTTATGAGCATTACTTGTATAGAAAAGAGCTAGAGAGCTCAAAAAATAGGCTTAACACAGTAACAGAAGCATATACAGATGGAATTCTTGTTATTTCTCAAGACTTCAATATAAAATTTTTCAACCATTGTATACTACAATTATTAGATACAACAGACTCTTTACTTTATACAACTCTCACTCCCCCCCTTTAAATTGGAACAAAAAATAGGCATCTTTTTGGTCAATTAACCCCCCTTTAAATTGGAATAAAATTCAAAATTTTATAATAAAAATTTTATAGATAAAAATCATAATTTTTTGTGTAAAAAGTTTCGATATAATTTTAAATTTTTCTTCTTAACTAATATTAAAAATTTAGTTATCTCTTGCTCTTGTTTAAAGAACAGAGTATAAAGAGCATCTTATTTTAAATAAATTTATTATCCTTAATTACTAAATTTGTATTTTTTAGATAAAAATAATATTTTTTATTTAAATAATTTTGATATAAATTCAATGCGAATTCTTTACAAAATTTCAAAATTTACTTATTTCTTGCTTTATTTTAAAGAATAGAGTATAAATAACATTTATTAAAACAAAATTAGCACTTTTATCGATAATTTTTTTAAAAATATTTTAAATTTTTGTTTATCAATAAAAATAATAATTTTTGTGTAAATAGTTTTGATACAAATTAATAGTGATGTATTAACTAATAATAAAAATTTAGTAATATCTTGCTTTTTTTAAAGGATAAAGAGTAAATAACATTTTATTAAACAAATTTATTAATCTAATTCGATAAATTTTTGAAATTTTTTTTTTTTCTAAAAAATTTTATATTCATTTTTTTTTAATAAAAAATTTTCTTAACTCCCGTTTAAATTGGAACAAATTTGTTGTTCCAATTTAAAGGGGGACAAGTCAGCAATATAAAATATATAGATGGTAAGAAAGTCGCGAATTTCAGCAACTCAAACTCTCTAATCGAGGATATTTACTTTTTACTCGAAAATCAAGAAATAACTGACATCACTCTTGGAATAACACTAATTGGGGACATGAACTTGGAATGACGAGCAAGGAAAATCGAATGAGAAAATTCAGCAGCACTCTTTCTCATAGTAAGAGATGCTACTCAAATTATAGACCTAGAGCTCAACATTGCAAATAATAAGATGAAAACTTTGCTTTTAAGGACAGTTTCTCATGAATTGAAAACCCCTTTGAACTCAATAATTTATTTCACTGATGATCTGCTCAATAGTCATGGATATCTTTGTGAAAAATTGGAAAACAAATTAGAAATCATATCAGTTTCTGCCAAAATGATGAGTTCGCTCATTAATGATTTATTGGATTACTCCAAAATTTTGGTCGGCGCCTTCACAATCCAAAAATCTTATTGTAATTTGAAAGAAATAATTGAAAACACGTGCGATTTGATTAGAATTCAAGCTACAAAAAAAAATTTAGCAGTGATTACGAGGATTGATCCAGATATTCCAAGTAGAATTTATACGGATCCTCATAGGCTAAGCCAAATTATAATCAATTTATTAGGAAATGCACTAAAGTTTACAGTTAAAGGTAAAATTGAGATTACTTGTGTAAATACTTCGAGAAAATCTATAAAATGCTATATTGAAGATACTGGAATTGGGATTGAAGAAGATGCAATCAAGCTTCTTTTTTCAGGTTATCAGGCTAATTATATTCCTGATATAAGCTATCAAGGTTATGGATTAGGGCTAGGGATTTCTAACTTACTTTCTCTCTCCTTTAAATTTGAACCAAAAAATCTGTTCCTATTTACAAGGGGCTATTTTTTTAAATAAAAATTTAAAAAATCATTGAATTTACATTTATACGCACTTGGAAGATTGCTATTGGTCAATCCTATTCCATCAAAATAAGCCATTTGAAGAAAGAAAAATTAGAAAAATTGCTAGCCATTAGCATTAGCATTAATTATAGATTAGGGCTCTTCTTCCTATCTTACGTTTTACCCGAGACGAGTCTTCCTAGAAGACTCATCCAGCTGCTAGCAAACCTTCCTGGGTATATCCACATTTCACCAGAGATAGTTCTCCTCCGACTTTCTGCTGATTCTTAATACTGTCTCGGAACCTTGGAGGATATGGGCCAAAGCTATTTACATAGAATATTCTTTTCACCTATAAAAAATATTGTTCCGATTTTAGTTTATCCAAAAATTAGAATTTACCCAATATTTTGTCCAATTTAAACGGGGGAGTTAATCGCAAAGCAACTCTGTGGGAAGCCAATACAAGTAAAGTCAACAATGGGCAAAGGATCGGTGTTTTCCTTTGAAATTGGAGTCCTTGATGAGATAGGTCATGAGCATTCTGTAGTTGTTGAATCAAACGATACGAACTTAAGCCATTCAGTCAGCAGTTTTCCTACTTTGGCTTATTTTAGACCTAAATGTAGAGAAGTTCTAATTGTTGACGATATGGAGTTTAATCTTGAAATCCTTGGCTCAGTGCTGAAGAACTATGAAATAAACTATGATGAAGCAGCGAATGGGAAAATTGCAGTTGATAAAGTAGTTTTGCATGACAATAAAGGATTTCCATATAAAGTTATGCCATTATTTATGAATGCAATAAAATTTCATATGGCATTGTTTATATTATGCATTCATTACAAATCAAAATATTATTATGGACTGTGATATGCCAGAAATGAATGGATGAGATGCATCAAAAAAAATTAATCAACTATTTAGAGACAAAAATATCAAGCATTTGCCTTGCATCATAGGATATTCTGCTTATAGCTCTGATGAAGATATAAGACTTTCTTTCGAAAGTGGCATGCATAGCTATTTAGCGAAACCTTGTCCACCTGAAAAAATTATTAGTGCAATTCTAAAATTTTTATAATTATTTTTATTGATAATATAATTCACGAATTATTGTGATTTCATCGAAATTAAATTTAAATTATTGAATTAAAATAGTTATTTATAGAAAATAATTAAAATGTGAATAATTTAGATTAAGATTTCACTTTACTTACAGAGTTGTCCTCAATGCTAAGCAAAGAGATGTCTGTTTGAGATGATATCTCATTATATATGCTTGGAGTAAAATAAGTAATTAATAAGTTGATTATCATGCACCCTGAAATGATGAAAAACAAAGTCTTGTATCCAATAATCTGAATGAAAATTACAGGAGTAATAAAGAGCTGCACAAAATAGATAGTTACAACATTCAGTGCCACTCCAATGACAGCATATGATACAACCCAAGGATCTTTGGGATATAGAAGGCTCGTTCCTATCGTTAGTATAAGGTACGTACCACTCCCAAAACTAAAAGCAAATATTACACAGGCACAAAATAAGTATTCTTCTGTAAGAGTAAAATAAATAGAGCAATATACGAAGAATTGAATGGCACCAGACACTATTGTAACTCTTTTTCACCCATATTTATCAACTAAAATTCCTCAAAATATTCTTGATATGCATGATGTTACAAATCCAATAGATCCAAGATAAGAAAATAGATGGTCGTTTTTATGTTTGGTCAAGCCTATACTTTTATAATTTGTAAACAAAAATGCATATGGAGCAACGAAAAAATAAAAATTTAGTGAAAGCTTCCAGAAAAGGGATTGCTTCAGGATGTCTTTTAACTTTAAGCTACGTTTTTCTAGCTTTATTCCGTCTGACCCTTTTTTTGTTTTGTCATGGCTGGTTATCATGCTTGTGCCAGCAAGTTGCATAATTAAGTAAATCAAGCATATCCATCTTATAGTTGCTGGAACTTTATTATAGACTTCATGTCCAAAATAACTCGACGAAGAGTTTCCGTTATGTTTTGAATGAGGAGATTTATTGTTGGGATTAACCATCATAGTCCATATTAAGCCAAATATTGTTGGACCTAAGCTATATCCTGAGAAGCCTATACTCGTTACTAAGCCAGTTTTATTTGGAAAATAAGGCCAACAGGCTCATATAACCGGCATATCAATCATTCCAGAAATTATTGCTTCAGCCAACCCATATAAAATACTAAATAAATAAGGGTTTGTAGTGAAGGAAGATGCAAATAAAATTATGCACCCTAATATTGTTCCTATGTATGCTGTAAATTTACATCCAATTATTTCGCAAAGATAGCTTGCCACAACTTAATAAAAGTTACTAAAACATAATGGTTCTAAAATATAAGATAATGTGAATGCTAAATACATATCAGATTCGTCGATAGATGAATCCTTAGAATAATAATAAGAGGCTAAATAAATTCCAATTACTCCCCAAGCATTTATTGACCCAGATACCTTATTTAATATTACAATATTCGCAACCATACACCCAATGAGAGCGGAAACCCTATTTCATTTTTTAGGCTGTTCCATGACTGTTATTATATTATTTATTTAATAAAATGCTCAGTTTTTATTTAATTGATGCTTAATTTTGCCATTTAATCCACAGGCAATTTTTCAGCTTCATATTTTTATTATTAAAATTTTAAATAGAATGTGCAGATACTCACTTTACCCTAAAGATTCATAACAATTGCTGATAAATGTCATTTTCATTGAAAAACGAAGATCCTCTCTCTTTGTCATTTCTATATCAAGAAGACCAATGCAACCTTTCAAATCAAAACTTACCACCTTTATCATTATTTGCTAGGATTCTGAATTATGACCAATCTGACACATCGTTAAATGCAATTTCAAAAAATAAATCAGCCTTATCCCCAATCCAAACCTCTAAAAACTCTTCAGACCTTCACGAGTCTTGAAAATATTCAAAAGAAGTCTCAGATATTCTTCAAGGGCATCATCTATACGCCCCCAGTGTTTTAGTCAAAAGTGGGTCTCAAAACTATAACGGCCTACTCAACGAGTTCAGCGAAGACGTAGAACGAGGAGATCTGAGCCCAAGTAGTCAAGATTTTGAAGAAGGGTCTATAGACTATAGTCTTACTGATGAAGATAACGCTAACAAAGAAACTATTGTAAACTTGCCAACTGAAAAAGCACCCCCTGGATATTTAACCCCAAACTCAAAAATCTCCCCAGGAAAAGGAATGAGAACATCAACAGTTTATACAAATTTGAGCTCTGATTCAAGTGTCATGATTACATCTTATTTATCAAATAACGGCACAAAGCTGCCTGCTAGAAAGATATCGCAGCTTAAACCTGAGCCTGAAGAAGAATTTGAAGTTATTGAAAGCAAGCCCAGACTTATAAGGCCAGATCGAAGTGTCCATACAAGCATAAGAAAATCGACTTTGGCTTTTCCAAACTTGCTATATTGTCCTACATGCAATGAAGATACTTATTCGAATATATCATTCCAAGTACAAAATTTAGGCTTTATTGATTCAATTAAGTTCTTCTTTCATGCTATCAAGTGTTGCAGAGAAGTGAACTCACTAAGCAAGTATCAAGAAATTGTGCATACGTGCAGAAAATGTAAAAATGTCTTAGCAAGGGTCAGAGTGGCGTAGTGATATAGGAATCAGGTAAATAAATTATCAAATTATTGAAAATTTGTGGGTAATAATTTTCCAGTTCTAATCTGGAACGTTTAAAAAGTGTCATAATTATAATAAAAAACAATGGAAACAGTTCTCAAGAACCTGCCAGCTCCTAATTCTCTCACGGGACTTTTTGTGTATACCTTTACTTTCTATATAATTACCTTTGCAATTGCTTGGTGCCTGCAGCCAAAAGGCTTTGATCTGGAAAGCCATCGAAAGAAAATCATCAAAGCAAGAGAAGAAAGAGAAGCCAAGGCCCAAAGACTTTTAGCAAAAAGAAATGAAAACAAAGATAAATAAATGATAAAATCAATGCTTTAATATAGGTATTTACTGTGATTTGCCAGATAAGGGCAGGAGAATGGAGAGTTGACAAATGAGCCTGTCTCATGGACAAAACATAGGAATTCCCTATATCTATATGCCGGCTCTTAACTTATTTAAGTCTTTTCATAAATGGAATATATGAGCAGACCTTATGCAAGCGGGCGCTCAGAGGTTCATAATAGAAAACTGGTTCACGCTCGCCAAAAGGCAGCCAGCAAACTTTATCGAATACTAGAAATGAAGCTCTTTGTGGATGCCAGACTAGTAAAAAGGTTTAGGATATGGCAGATACACATTATAAAAGGAGGTATATCTAGATTCTTGAAAAATATTAGGAGAACTAATGTAAAATATATGACCAGCAGGCTCAAAGTTATTATGAAAATCTTATTGATATTTGAGAAATCTAATGCTTTGGTATTATACTAGATATTTGAATTTGTATTCAATATAGATATTCCCTCTATTTCAAAAATATTTATTATCATTAAATAAGTATAAATAAACCTACTAGAGAATTTTTTTTACGGCTGGCCAATCATACATCTCAGATAAAAATTCCATCATCTCTTTTACCAAATATAGGGGCCTGCAAAATAATTGCATACTTAAACAAAAAGCAAGCAAAAGCCAGACTTACTTCGATCTTCAAAATATTACCAAATATAACGGAAAGAAAATCTTTGATAAAAATTGCATTTAACTTGTGAATGTCCTTGAGTTTTAACTCATCTCCTTTTTTACACAGGCCTCTTGTGCTTACCTTGCAAATCCTTTGTATTATATTGAATAAAAATAATAGACTAAAGCAAATTGCCTGAGATAACATCAAAAGGAAAAATTATTTGTCAAAGGGGTTTCCTTTATTAATTCCCTCTCTTTGAGAGTGCCAAAATAACGCAAGGGGATTCTTTTTTAAACTAAAAAATATCAATTGGAAATTAAAATTTATTTATTTTTAGAATGCAAGCTATTTAAAATCAACTAGAAATTTCATTTTATATCTAAATATTTTCTAGAAATAATTTTTTCTCAAAAATAGCGATTTTTATTCTCACTCACATGGAAGTAAGAACACTACAAATTTTGGTGAATAAAAGATTTAAATTTTCGATTGGAAAGCTTGCCCAGCCACGATTCCAAATAAGAAGAAGATGGGAAGATCCACAGATTGCAGAATCATATAAAAAACGAGCTTTAAATACAGCTGGAGCTTTGATGGAGTCAATGATAAGAAGGAAAATGAGAATTGAGCAAATTGAGAGTATTAGATCTCTCTCTATTTCGTTCACCCTATGGAAGAAACGAACTACCATTTCTTTAGCTGTTCCTTCATTTATAAAGAAAAGACAAACTAGACAATGAAGCTTGGCACTTATTAAAAATAGCCTGCAAGCTGTAATATACCGAAATAAGCTTCAATCATTTAGAGCTATTAGAACCAAAACGCTAATAAGAAAGGAATACAAAGGATTCGAAATAGACAAAGCAATCATCAAAAACCAAGCCATGATCAACGCTCAGCTTGAAAAGCAGTTAGAGGCAAAAATCGAAGAATCACACAAAACCAAACGATCAGAAAAAGTAAAATGCTTGAACTTTATTTTTAAAACCCATTTAAGAGAAGTGTTATATAAATGAGCCAGTATTGTGGGCAGTGAAAAAAATAATGGTTTTGACGTTGGCGTAAAATTTATATAGGAAATTTTTGAGTATTTAAGTTATCTCGAAGAGCAGGCCCAGGCTACTCAAGATGTGGAAATAGATGAAGAAATGAGTGAACTAAGAGCAATGCTTGAAAGAAAGTCCGTGGACCAGGGATTCGAAGGTATGGAATCTGAGCAGGATCAAGATTATAAGTTCAAAAGTGTTTAGAAGTTTTGCTGATTTTTGTTGTATCATCTTCAAAATAAGCCCATTTAAATGTTCTAATCTACTATTAGTTGCGATATGATTTTATTTGAATAATCTCTCTTATTCTCTATTCACACAGAATGATAAGAGTTTTATTTAAAACTCGTTCAATGCTCTTGCTTCTGAAGCAGCTGATTCCAATTTATCTTAAATGCTGCATTAAGCTAGTTTGCTATAATTACTGTAAACTTGTAAAATATAATTATGAAAATTGAGATTTGGTAGAAAAATTGAATTAAAGCTCAATGGTTTAGGGTAGAAATTTAAATTTGGGGATAAACTTACTTATATAAGAACTTTAAATGATTATAGCTCATACCCCTTTATAGATTTCTTTATCGAGCAAAATGTACTGGATTGTTGAACGACCAAGAGAGACTCTATTAAAGGAACGGGCTGGATATCTATATCAGGAAGTGCTAAAAAGTGACATGTCAAAAAATGGTGACAAGTCTGAAAAAAGTTGACAAGTAAACGCGCCAATTTTTAAAATGGATTTATTATTTAAAATAATTTAAAACTTAAGATATTTTAATTTTAATCAATATTTAATTATGCTAACTCCCCCCCCCCCCTCCGTGAGCGAACAAAACCATTAGAAAAATCGCCATTTTTTGACCAAAAACCCACCCTCCGTGAGTGAACAAAAATTTTTTTAATAGAAAAAATTTTAATGGAAAAAAATTTTGATATATAAGTGATAATTAGTATAATGAAATCTAGAGCTAATTCTGTTTAATTTTAAACAAATTGCGTTTTAAAACATAAATTTTGCAAATTAAATTAATATTTGCTTCCCAATTTTTGCAAATTAGGATTTTTTAAATTTCGAAAAAAATATTTTTTATAAAATTTATATATAAAATTTTTTTTAAAAAAAAAAAATTAACCCCCCTCCGTGAGCGAACAAAATTTTTTTGTTCGCTCACGGAGGGGGGGGGGGGAGTAAGTACTTCTCATATGAGTCGATAAGAACTTTGTATATATTTAAAATCACAAGACACGCACTTTGCAAATTATAGATCTAGTCTTCATAAATAAATTAGCATAAAATAAAGAAATTCTATCGAGCCGGGAAAAATGCACATTGAGTTGAAAGTTTTTGATTTTCACTTATAAGCCGTATTTAAATTTTGCTCAGTACTTCTCATATGAGTCGATAAGAACTTTGCATATATTTGATAATCACAAGCCACTCACTTTGCAAATTATAGCTCTCATCTTCATATATAAATTAGTATAAAATAAAGAAATTCTATCGAGCCGGGAAAATGCACTTCGAGTTGCAAATTTTTGATTTTCACTTATAAGCCATATTGATTTTTGCTAAGTACTTCTCATATGAGTCGATAAGAACTTTGCATATATTGAGAATCACAAGCCACGCACTTTGCAAATTATAGATCTAGTCTTCATAAATAAATTAGCATAAGATAAAGAAATTCTATCGAGCCGGAAAAATGCACATTGAGTTGCAAGTTTTTGATTTTCACTTATAAGCCATATTGATTTTTGCTAAGTATTTCTCATATGAGTCGATAGAACTTCTTATATATTGAGAACCGCAAGCCACGCACTTTGCAAAGTATAGATCTAGTCTTCATAAAATAAATTAGTATAAAATAAAAAAATTCTATCGAGCCGGAAAAATGCACATTGAGTTGCAAGTTTTTGATTTTCACTTACGAGCCATATTGATTTTTGCTAAGTACTTCTCATCTTAGTCGATAAGAACTTTGCATATATTTAAAATCACAAGCCACGCACTTTGCAAGTTGTAGCTCTCATCTTCATAAATAAATTAGTATAAAATAAAAAAATTCTATCGAGCCGGAAAAATGCACATTGAGTTGCAAGTTTTTGATTTTTACTTATAAGCCATATTGATTTTTGCTAACTCCCCCCCCCCCCCCCCTCCGTGAGCGAACAAAAAAATTTTGTTCGCTCACGGAGGGGGGTTATTTTTTTTTTTAAAAAAAAAATTTATATATAAATTTTATAAAAAAATATTTTTTTCGAAATTTAAAAAAATCCTAATTTGCAAAAATTGGGAAGCAAATATTAATTTAATTTGCAAAATTTATGTTTTAAAAACGCAATTTGTTTAAAATTAAACAGAATTAGCTCTAGATTTCATTATACTAATTATCACTTATATATCAAAATTTTTTTCCATTAAATTTTTTCTATTAAAAAAATTTTTGTTCACTCACGGAGGGTGGGTTTTTGGTCAAAAAATGGCGATTTTTCTAATGGTTTTGTTCGCTCACGGAGGGGGGGGTAAGTAAGTACTTCTCATCTTAGTCGATAAGAACTACTTATATATTGAGATACACAAGCCACGCACTTTGCAAATTATAGATCTAGTCTTCATAAATAAATTAGCATAAAATAAAGAAATTCTATCGAGCCGGAAAAATGCACATTGAGTTGCAAGTTTTTGATTTTCACTTATAAGCCATATTGATTTTTGCTAACTCCCCCGCCCCCCTCCGTGAGCGAACAAAAAAATTTTGTTCACTCACGGAGGGGGGTTAATTTTTTTTTTAAAAACAATTTATATATAAATTTTTTAAAAATATTTTTTTCGAAAATTTAAAAAAAATCCTAATTTGCAAAAATTGGGAAGCAAATACTAATTTAATTTGCAAAATTTATGTTTTAAAACGCAATTTGTTTAAAATTAAACAGAATTAGCTCTAGATTTCATTATACTAATTATCACTTATATAGCAAAATTTTTTTCTATTAAAATTTTTTCTATTAAAAATATTTTTGTTCACTCACGGAGGGTGGGTTTTTGGTCAAAAAATGGCGATTTTTCTAATGGTTTTGTTCGCTCACGGAGGGGGGGGGGGGGGGGAGTAAGTATTCCTCATATGAGTCGATAGAACTTCTTATATATTGAGAACCGCAAGCCACGCACTTTGCAAATTATAGATCTAGTCTTCATAAATAAATTAGCTTAAAAATAAAAAAATTCTATCGAGCCGGAAAAATGCACATTGAGTTGCAAGTTTTTGATTTTCACAGCTATTATTAAATTTAAATATATATAAATCAAAATATTTAAAGCCAATATATAATGTGTAATTATATCTTCTGTCTAATTGAGTATCTTAAGTTTTAAATTATTTTAATAATAAATCCATTTTAAAATTGGCGCGTTTACTTGTCAACTTTTTTCAGACTTGTCACCATTTTTTGGCATGTCACTTTTTAGCACTTCCTGATATAGATATCCAGCCCGTTTCCTTAATAGAGTCTCTCTTGGTCGTTCAATAATCCAGTACATTTTGCTCGATAAAGAAATCTATAAAGGGATATAAGCTATATAAGTAGGCAAGTTTTCAATGATAATAATATAAATCATTATCTTTGTGCTCAGTTTAGCATAGAAACTCCTTTTTTTAATAATTTCCTAAATTTGCTGACGAAATTCAAAATAAGGGTTCCTTTTATTTCTAAGCTGCCAAATTCTCAATACCATAAGATAAAAATCTATATAATTGACTTCACAAATTTCTCTAATAATCAGCACATTGTCCAGTAACAATAAAAATGCCCTAATGTTGATAATACCGTATATTTAGCATATAATATTTATGGCACTCACATCCACAGTAACCTCAACTCCTATCGAAGCAATTGCAAGCTCATTTCTCGCAGTTTTTCTCGCAGAAATAGGAGATCGTACATTCTTTATCATTGCAGTTATGGCAATGAAAAACTCAAGATCAGCCGTCTTTTTAGGAAACCAAGTTACAGAGAGTGTAATTGCAATAATTGCAGCGTTTATCGGTGCAGCAGCCGTCAAACTTATTGATCCTCTCTATATCCAAATCGCTTCCTGCGTGATGTTCTTGGTATACGCAATTCTTTCCTTCTATGAAGCTTACCATGGAGAAGGCGACTCAGATTCAGAAAAAAAAGATCCTTTACTAGAAGAAAGCGGGGCTGGTGAGCAGGCAAATGACCAGTTGTTAACAGAAAGCCCTCAAAGGATGTCTTGGATGAAAGTTTTTTGGAAGACAGCTATAATGGTTTTCCTCGCTGAATGGGGAGATAAATCCAATACAACTATAATTTCGCTCTCTGCGCTTAGTGACCCAATTTTAGTTGCTATTGGAGCTATCATAGGTTTTGCAGCTATAGGCCTGATCGGAGTATTAGTTGGTAAACTTATAGAAAAGTACATTTCTGAGAAGACAGTAAAAATTGCAGCAGGAGTTCTGTTCCTGATTTTTGCTGGATTTGCTCTTCTCATGATCTTTTACGATTACGAATTGTAATTAATCACAAATATTTAATATCAAATTTTATTAATTTTAGTCCTAAAATATCTTATCTTAAACTTTTACTGTTGGTCGTACCAGCATTTCTCTCTTATTTAAATTAACTTTAGCCACTTCTATAAACAAACTGTAGCATCTTACACAAAAGTCCTAGAGCCACCACTAAGCAGAAACTCCGCATATTCCACAATAACAGAAAACTCCGATCATAAGCATTAACGGATCTCCAATCACAGAACTTTAGTCTAATGCAGATATGCACACTCCTCAGCCAAAATGCCACTAAAGAATCCTTAAAGCTTCCTGCCATCTCTAAATTCTCCACAATCATCTTCTAAGCCCCCACATTTTTCAGAACCCTTCATTTCGGTTTGGCTGCACCTTCCTTCTTTTAGCTCAAAAAGCACCTAATATATTTTTTTTAGTCCTAAAATATAATATAGTTTAGGGAAAGGATCAAGTGAAAATTTTAAAATTTTTCCTCAATCATTTTATTAAATTCGCTTGCGTAAAATAAATTATATTTAATATTGCTTGAGCATGCACTTTATCAGAATTTTCCATATCTATTCCTAATTAAAATCTAAAATCTAAGAATCTTCGTTCTAATAAATCTATTTTTAATCTCGTAAATTCTGTTCAGAAAGTATGGATATAAAATGGGTGCTAAATGCTCGTGTTTGAGCTATTTTAAAAAGCAAGAACCTGGAGAAGTTTATGTGCCCGCAGGTAAAGCTAAATTAGAAACTTCTAAGGCTCTAATTATTCAATCTCAAAATATATATAATGAAGCAGAACCTATTATGATTGCAAACATTATAAAATATCCAGATTCATCTATAGTAATTCCAATCCAAAGTGCTTTAAGAGGTTACTTACTCCTCCCTCCGTGAGCGAACAATAAAAATTTTGTTCGCTTATGGAGGGGGTTAATTTTTTTTAAAAAAGTCTCAATTGACAAAAATTGGAAAAAAATATTTATTTAGTTTGTAAATTTATGTTTTTAAAATGCAATTTGCTGAAAATTAATCAGAATTAGCTCGAGATTTCATTATACTATATATCAAATTTTTTTGCATAAAAAGTTTTTATACCAAAAAAATTTTGTTCTCTCTTGGAGGGTGGGTATTTTGGCCAAAAAATAGGGATTTTTCCAATGGCTTTGTTCGCTTACGGAGGGGGTAGTTAGTAAGAAAAAATCTCCATCAGGAATATTCAGAATATCAACAAGAGCTTCAATACACATTAGAAACATCGACAGAAACCCATCATGTTTCTGATCTAATCTACACACATACAGCTCAAGAATCAAACACCTTAGGCCAAGAATCTGTAGAAAAAAGACTTATACGCAAACCGGAAACATCTCTGCCTGATGGATCCACTTACGAAGGTGAATGAGATAATAATAATTTATATGGAGAAGGCATCAAAATTGAGCCTGATGGCACAAAATATGTCGGCTCGTTTAAAAACAACTTAAGAGATGGTTATGGAAGTCTTCAATTTGCAAATGGAGATACCTATACAGGAGATTTCAAATCAGGAAAAGCAGAAGGAAAAGGCGTTTATTTAAAACGCACATTAGCATTAGCATTAACTATATTATTAAGGGGCCCGTCGTAATACCTAAAGTTTCCCCTGGTCTGATGCTTCACCCGGCTGCTCACCGCCAATCGATCACGACCTTCAAGGTGTTGCTCCTACTGGACGAGGATGTGCATTCGCTACCCGTAGTTGGATGAGTTACGCCACCCAGCAGTACGTCAACAGAGGTTCCCATTCCAAAAATTTGAAAAATAAATTTTCTGGCAGGACTGTCGGCCAAAATGAAAATCCAAAGCCTGGACGTAACGCCCAGCTTCACGCTAGGGAGCTTCCCGATGGACCAAATATGCATCCTTGGTGCTGCTGAGCTTTCCCTTTCCAGCCTTGGAAATCCATTTCCCCTGAGGCAAAAACCCTGGTGTCAGAATGAGCTGTGGTCGACCTAGTTCGACGTTGCGCTCTACTGTGCCAAGGGGAAAACCTAGCCGGATACACATACCGAGCGCCTATGTCCCTTCCACAAGGTCCCCCGCGAACGCAGGCTACAGGTATTGAGAAAAAGGGCTGGCTCGCCGTCGCATTTTAATGTATATTATTTAAAACGCACAGGATCCAAATATGAAGGAGAATTTCAAGATGACATTATTCATGGCTATGGGAAGGAAAAAAGCTCAGATGGCTCAGCTTATGAAGGAAATTATTTATATGGCTTGAAAAATGGAAAAGGAATTTATTCTTGATCTGATGGGAGCTATTATAGAGGAGATTTTAAAGAAAATTGCATGGATGGGCATGGAGAATTTCAATGGTCGTCAGGAAAAAAATATCTCGGCGAGTTCAAAAATGGCATGATACATGGGCAAGGGGTGCTGGAATGGCCAGATGGCAGAAAATATGTAGGAGAATTCGAAAATGACCAAATGCATGGGAATGGAATTTTAGAGTACCCTGATGGAAGAGTTCATGAAGGAAGCTGACGAAAAGGAAAAAAAGATGGCAGAGGTATTTACACATTTTTTAATAGAAAAACAAGTTCTCTCATAAAGAAAGAGGGAATATGGGAATCCGGAGCAAGAGTAGAATGGGTCTAAATGATAATTTTATTTAAACGATACAGTTTAATTATTCTGGACTCCGAGTTTCAATTTCTGATATCACACTTTGGTTCAAAGAATGTCTAGAAATTCGCGGCAGCGCCAATGGGTTGGAATCTGGAAGCGATTTGAGCCAATTTGCATCGTGATTCACAGACCTAGAGGATAGTCGGTACTTATTATTTGAGCTATAAAATCTATGCTTAACTGATATTTTTGGAGAAGCAGTTTGGACCCTCGCAGTTACTGCATATGAGCTATCCAAAGAAGACTCTCGAAAAGAGCTTCTTTCGAAAGCTTGGCTTACACTATTAGGAATATTTTCGACCATGCTTCTCACTAATTCTTGGTTTCTTCTGATTTCTTGTGTTAAGCCGATGTTCTCTCGTTGCTGATCAGAAATCAGATCAGTCATAGGTCCTTGCAGATCTAAAACTTCACCTTGCACTTTCACCAAATTTTTTTGTAAATTTTCGCCAATTGATTTTATTGAGTCATTGGCTTTGTTGAACTCGCCCATGAGTTTTGTTCTATCCTCGCTGATATAATGCAGGTATTTAATAATTTCATTAAGCTTCTGCTTTTGGGTGGATTTTACTTGCTTCATATCTGAAACAACTTTATTTACATAAGTCTCGACCACAACGATTCTCTTTAATTTCTCATCAATTTCTTTGTGGATTTTATCAATTTCTCTCTTAGGGATTTCTACTTGTTTTTTCTCAGATTTTTTGTCAGTGCTTATCCCTTTTCTTCTCAAAGCTTTAATAAAGCTCATTTCCATGGTTTGAGTTTTCGCTTCAAGTTCTTTATGCTGCTCAATGATGTCATGGATAGTTTCATGGATGGTTTTTTGAAGCTCAGCTTCGACTGCTGCTATATAATTTTGGTTATCTTCAATAGCTTTTCTATTTGCTTCTATATCCTTTTGGAAAGCAGCCAATTTCTTGTTTATTTGGGACAAGCCTGCACCTCCCACAAGTTTCTTCCCGACACTGCTTGACCTGCTGCTCATTCTGCCAACATCATTTGCTCTTGATGACCCTCTTGTTTTTAGATTTTTTCTTGATTCTTCAAGCTCTGTAATTTCAGATAAAGACACAGGGAGATTTTGAAGAGTTGTTGCTGCTTTTTCTTCTTCTTTTGGTATATTTTCTCTAGGAGTTTCTAGCTTCTCTTCTTTAATTTCTTCTTTCAATTGTTGGCTATTGATATCTGCACTAATTTGTGGCAGATTTTTTGCTTCTTCTTGAACCACTACTTGTTTTTCTGGGGCTTCTTCATGAAGTTCTTCATTTTCTTCTTCATAATTCATCTCTGCTTCTCTTGCCCTTCTTTCTCTTAGCACAGTTCTTTCTAAATCGTCCATCATCCCATCTAACTCTTCTTCGCTATCATAAGATTCGTCTTGTTCCTCGTCCTCTTCATTGAAAATTTCTTGCAATTGCTGCTCAAGAGTTACAACTCTTGCTTTTATCTGTGCGACCTCATCAGAGCTTATTTCTGCGGTTTCTTTATTTGCAATGGTCTGCATTTGTGAGAATTCGATTTTCATTTTCGTTTTCAGTCCTTCAAAATCAGAAAAGATGTGTTTGTCTAACTCTCCTTTTAAATTTAAAAAACAAATTCAGGTTAATTTTGATAAAAAAAAATTAAATTTTTATGTGAGAATTTATAGAACTTTGTTTGAATAGTGTTTTAACTTTAAATTAGAATAAGTTGTGAATAAATTTTCGATATTGTGATATTAAGTTGGGTATTAAAGCCGCTTATAGTTATTATTTTATCTATATAAAAAAATTATTTATTCCAATTTAAAGCGGAGTTAATTTGTCCAAAATGGAAATTTTATATTTTTTTGCAATTTAAAGGGGGAGTAAGCGTGACTTTAAATTTCCCAGTTCTTGAGAAAGACCGTTGTGGGCTGATCACATCACTTTTTGCTTTAGCAGGACTTCAGCGTCAGCAATGCTAAGCTTGTCGTTTAGAGAATTATAAAACTGGGCCGAAAATTCTTCAAATTTTGCTTTGACAGCTTTTTCTATCATATATGAAACTTCATCCAGCTTCGAAGTAAATAGGGTGGCAAGAACGAAATGCTGCATTTGCTCGCTGAGTTCTTGAATATGAAGATTTTGATTATTTATTGTACGCTCCAGCATAGAGATCTTTTCAAATGATTGCTTGGCGAGCTCGATCTCTCTTAAAGCATCTGCCAGGGATAGGTTGCTTTTCTTTATTGATGACAGCTGGCCTGCAATTTGAGTAGATGGGTTCATTCGAGTTTAATTAATAAGTGATTTATTATCAGTTATAATCAAAATATGGCTTTCAGATGATACTAATTAACTCCGCTAATTGTTTCTCACTCAGCAATTTTTTGATTATGAGGTGCAGCTTTCCATAGTGAACTATACCAGGCGTGCCCAACGATGAGCGGACTTCTGTCCCTAGGAAAGTGGAAGGCATAGTGTTTTTCTGCTAAAAACAACATGAGGAGGGTTGACCTTTAGCTGGAACGCAATCAATTCAAGTAAAGAAGAACGAGCTGTCTAAGCCGGACGTTGGCGTTGACATTTTTCCAGTGGCTCCTTTTGAGGCATCCTCAAAAGTCCTTCCTGGCGAGAAAATAGAAACCCCAAAGCGACGACAGCGGTAGTAGGACTCGTGCAACCGCGTAGGAGACGCTAAAAGCTATAAATAATATAAGATAAGATTTATTATCAGTTATTCTGTATCTTAACAAAGAAAAATTCCCAACGTATGATATATCTGCTCAGATATTTGAGTCTTTTTATGGTTTCATATGCATTTTTTTTAAAAATAAAAAATAAGTCGATAATTCCCATTGATTACAAATGGTATATTTAAAATATGCAAGACATAGAATCTCTCTTATATAAACGGCAAGAAATATCACCGATGGCACCAAGAATTCCAAAGGGCCCTGAAAGATTCTCTCGATATTATACAATAAAATTTGGTTCAGAAGATGAAAGTATTTCTATCACTAAAAGTGGAAGAAATCTCCATAGATCACTTAAGCATGTTGATCCTATAGTAAGCTCCTATGCAACTTCTCCAAAATCATATAGAATTAAAACTCCTTTCGTAAAAAAATCCATTGAAGAAGCAGAAATTAAGTTTTCCCCATTAAATAGCAAGCAAAGTGTTATTTTCATAAATAGATGCTATTTTCTCTTCTAAATTATATTTTTTATAAATGATTTATTTAATTTTCAAATTAATCTAATATAATGATAAAATTCAATAATCCTTCTATTGTTTTATTTAATTTTTTCAAATTGCTATAAATTTTAAATTTACATAAAAATATTCAATAAAAAACTTATAAATTATACCCAATTAATCACAACAAAAAATTTTTCATTCTTAAATGTGGCGTTAAGCCACCTGATGATTCCAAGACTAATATTTATCGACAAAGAGGAAGAAGCATAAAATCATCAAAAGCCAGACGCTCCACAGTTCAGCCTGAAAAAGAAGAAAACACAGCTAATTTAAGAAATTTATCAAATATCATCAATGGGATGAAAGATATGCTAGGAAATATGCCTAATATTTCTCAGATTTTGCATAAATCTAAGGATATCTCATCTAGAGCTATAAAAAGCACAAAGAAGGCACGAAGATCAGTCGCTCAACTAAATGACTCACATGACTCTTATAATAATAAGTCACTTCATGGGTCTGGCAAACTATCCACATCATTTGTAAATTCAAAATTAAGCAAAAAGATTATGCAGAACCTCAAGTCAAGATACTCCACTCAGAAGCCAAGAAGAAAAAAATCTCCTAGCTCTCGATCCGGGTCAAAAGGAAAAGCTTCTGTCGATGTAGAAGCTCTACAGAACTATTTTCTTGATTTTCATGCAAAATCAAAAATGTTGCTGGGGAACTTGGAACGAAATGTCCTAGGTGAAAATAATATTTGTAAGTAAGTGCATGAGGCTGTTTTGTTATTTATATGATAAATTTAAAGTAAATTGTTATCTATAATAATAAATTCTAATAAAAAATAAGAATACTTTGCTTAGCAGTCGCAATCTCCTTTTGTTCTTAAATTTTATTGATAAAAATGAGAGCTCTTCGAGAAATAACTACACATTTTAAAGGGAAAAACTTCCCAAAATTTGTCACAATTAAAGAAGTTGGTCCAAGCGATGGCTTGATAAACGAAAAAAAGGCAGTGTCTCTGGAAAAAAGAGTAGAATTCGTCAACAGACTAAGTGAATGTGGATACAAATATATCGAAGCTACAAGATTCGTGAATTCTAAAGGATTCCCACAAATGGCAGACAATACCAAACTTTTCCAGCAAATACACAAGGCTGAAGGCATATGCTATTATGTCTTCATCCCAAATCTAAATGGGCTTGAATCAGCACTTCAAGCCAGTATCAAAGAAATCTCGATTTTTGCATCTGCAAGCGAGAGCTATTCTGAAAGGTTTCTTAATACATCAATTGCTAAAAGCTTTATTAGATATGAGCCTCTTATGGAATGAGCTTATGATAATAATCTCAAAATCAGAGGAACTGTAGCGTGCTCTGTTGGGTGCCCATTTGAAGGAAACATAGATCCAATGGCTGTAAGAGATGTAGCTAAGAGGATGCAAGAAATGGGATGCTATGAAATTTGTTTATCCTCCCACAAAGTAAGCAAGATTTTCCTGCTCACTCTTAAAGTGAAAGTTTAATTTAATTATAAAATTTATGTTTAACATGAAATTTATGTAATGGAATTAATTAGAAATATCGATTTCGCAATTAAAAAATTTTTTACTCTCTTAATTTTCCCAAGACATTTTCGATGGTTTTGCTCTTAAAGGGAAGTTAGAAGATTCAAATGGGGTTGGGACACCTACAAGAATCCAAATGATGCTTCAAGCTGTCTTAAAAGACATTCCTCCACAGCAGCTTGCACTGCATTGCCACAACACCCGTGGTAGAGCCATACAAAATATCTTAACTGGATTAGAAATGGGCGTAACCATTGTGGACAGTTCAATTGCTGCTTTAGGAGGCTGCCAATTTGAGTCTGGAAAAGTAGGAAACGTCTCAACTGAAGATGTTGTACACGTTTTAAGTCAATTAGGAGTAGAAACTGGGCTAAACTTAAGCAAGCTCGAAGAAACTGCAAACTGGATTTCTTCTGAATTAGGCAGAGAAAACAGAAGCCTATATCGAAGTATTAGCTAATTAATTTTCATTATAATTCAAATATGGATCAAAATCTTGAGAACCTTTGGAGAGATTTCGGTCGAGAAAGTGAAGCTGGAAAATTGCTATTCCAGCTTTACCGTATTCCTAACAAGCCAAATATTTACTACCCTCCAGTGAAAACTGCAAAAAAGCCCTTACCCTGCGAAATTTCAAAATCAAAAACCAAAGAAAAACCTCAAATTGAGTATCCTGAAATGAACAAGCCACAGTCAAGGCCAAAGATCCACCCAATTGATTTGATTCCAAAGCGAAAAAGTAAAGATGTGATTAAAGAAGAAATAAATCAAAATTACCGTGGACTCCAAGCACCTCCGAAAAAAGGAGCAAACAGAGAAGTCCTTAAGTCAGAGCTTCAAGAAAAATTTCAATTTTCCAATGGAGCTTTGCCAAAATCAGTTATGATGCCCCCTGGTGGCAGCCGACCTGCAAATCGAAACGTTGCCAGAGCTCCTAAAAAAGCTGAAGAGCCAGTCACTAATAATTTAGAAGAGCTATTTGATATGATTGTCAAAGAAATTGAAGAAAGGCAGAAGTTTTTAGATGATATGAGAACTATTAATCAGCTGCCTCCAGAAGTTGAAAATAGAGTCAAAGGAGAAATCGCGTCAAGGATTTCAGAGCTGCAAAAGATTAGAGAAATGTCAGGCTAAGAATAACACCTATTAATTATTCCTGTAAGAAAATTGGGATAAGAAAATTATGATTGAGATAAAATAAATCTTATTTGTTTAAAATAACAGAAAATAATCATCAGCAATTACAAAAAATGGGCAACAGAATTCATAGAGATAATGAAGCACAGGAACTTGCAGTGAGATACCCAGAAAACTCTGGCTTCGCACCAAACCAGCCTTTAATTATGCAAGGTCCTGAAGAAGACCAAGATTCCACACCGCCAATGAATCCAATACAAACAATTAAAGGTTCTAGCCACTTGCACGCACAGAGTGTCAAGCTAATTCAAGACCCCAGCAGCAATAGCACCTATTTCATCACATTTTCATTTGATACCAGAGTGGATTGCACTATAAATGCTTATTTTTTAGCAGCAGAGCATTTTCTTGAAGAAGGAAAAATCCAATACAATTGCAAAGATCAACGAAACTCTCTGCCAATGAGTTTTAACTTTGGACCTGGTATAAATCAATTACACTTTTATAATACCTGCAGCATTTAAAAAGAGCAACCAATTACCTATTTTGGCAGAAAATACGATATTTATTATAGTAAAATAAATTTTTTTTCTGTTTTTTTGCATATTTCCTGAGAATTTTCTGAAAATGGATTTTCAAAAATACACTCAAGCAGAACTTGGGTTTGTGGACAGCAGATACTTTCCTCTGGTTTTAGAAATAAAGCCACAAAATATAAGCTCATCAGAAAGCACACTAATCTCATTTAGGCAGTCTTCTGATGGGTATTCTCCAAAGATAATACAGCAAAGAGTGCAGTTTGGCGACAAGCTTTATGAATTGAAAGAGGTTTATGGTTCTCCAACTAATAGAAATGGGATAGACGAAGAAAATCAGTTATGCTCTATATGTTTGGAACATAGAAGAAACACAATTGTTATACCCTGCTGCCATATGTGCTTATGTGTCCGCTGTGGAAATTTTTTGAGAACTCAGATTAATAAGAAATGCCCAATTTGCAGGACAGAAGCTGATTCACTGGTTAAGGTGACTTTTGATGAAAGAGTTTAGTGATTTATTGTTAATCATTTTAATATAATTTGAACTGTCTAGTATTAGTTATTATTGAAAAAATTATTGGTTTTCAAATGATCTGTACTATAAATTTAAGTTTCTAACTTCTTTGATAATGGTTTCTCAAAAAGCCAGAATGTAGCATGTGCATAAAAAATAAGCAATGCAAGCTCTATAATAAAAAAAAATTTAAAATCCTATTTATTCAAAAAGGCTATCCATAAATTGGCCCCAGCATATTTACAATTTATGATAAGCTAAAAGCATTTGAGAGTGTGCCATTAAGTTTATCATCAAGTGAAATTTTATAGACTGCACATTCATTCATATAAGGAAGCGAGATCGCTGATTATTGGTTAGCATATAAAGATGCAATGCTAGTATCAAATAAAATGTCTCCAGCAACTAAAAAAAATTATTTGAATAGAATAAAATAATGAAGCAATACGATCAGAATAAATGATATCCTGCTGATATCAGCCCAAAGCAAATGGGGATGCCACCGACCCGTCCTCTCCCGGATCTGCTTTGAGAAGTGGGGACCTTGCTGCGGCCTGAAGCCAAATCGAGCGGGAAAAACGAGTTTACGGGTACTGAGAATTTGTGTTCTGGCTGGGTTTGGACTTCCTCGTCCGATGTCTTCCCGATGGACATGTGGGAAAAAAGGCTCTAGAGATCACTAGTGCGATGACAAAAGCATAATTGATACCGATACTAGCTAGGGAGCTTATCACTCAAGAAACAGCTGTCAAGTCACAAACCTGCATACTCCAAGATTCCGAGACAGCATTAAGAATCAGGCTGAACGCCGGAAGAGAATATCTCTGGTGGAAATGCTGACATACCCAGGGAGGTTCTCTAGCAGCTGAACGAGTCTTCTAGGAAGACTCCTCTTGGTAAGACGTAAAATGAGGAAGAGCCCTAATCTCTAATTAATGTTAATACTGATATCACTCCGATTTCATAGTACACTCGTTTATAAAAAGCTATATTTGCCTAATTTAAAATATGGCCAAGCACACAATTTCAAAATTGGAGACATAAAGCCAATAAAAGCATCGCTACTCCAGACATTACAAGATTTAGTAAGATTTTCTAATTAAGAGTACTGGCTTCATTTTAAATTTCCAAGCAATTTAGAATGTTTTAAAAATAAACAAATGAACCTAGAAGCAGCCCAAATTTATCCAAATTCATAAATATTTCAATTGCTGCAATAATATCTGTATCTTTTCAGTGTATTCACTTGTCAATATTACAAGCTCTGTTATTATTAATGCTTCCCCAATCCAAATTCAGTTCAGATTCTTAAAAATAAACTTTAAATTATTTCAAATTCTTTTCACCAAAAATTATAAAGACGAAATTCAAATAAGTAGCAGTCCAAAGATATAAGAAAACTTTCTTCCTATTAAAGCATTATGATCTAAAGATATGATGAGATGATTGCACAATCAAGAACTGCACTAACTTTATCATCATTGATTGACCGATCGCTATGGTTCTATTAAGAATGGGGCTAAAATATTTTGAAAAATATAATTTTGTTTTATTGGGCTATATATGATAAAATTTGTAATATGTGAAAATCGTTTGACATAGGACAGGGATTAATTTTCCGAAATTTGTGGGGTTTTAAATAAAAACGTTCCATCCAGGGTGGAAGAGTAATTACTAATCCGGTAATAATGCAGGATTCACTTTTCTATTGTCAATTTGAGATACTTATGATTGAAAATGAAGAATATCCAATTAGCCCTACAACGTAAAGAGAAGGCAATTTGGAATTGATTTTCATGATAAAAAAAAGTTCCGTTAAGACGCTTATAAAAGGAATGTTTATTGAATTTTTAAAAATGGAGATGATTAGTCTGATATCTAAAATTTATTTTTAATTGTGCTGCATATCTGCGCAGCAAAATTATTTTGAAATGTAAAATTCAAAAAAATACTTAATTCCAATAAATATGAAGGAATATCCATGAAATCATCAACTAGCATAATAAGTTGAGAATGAAGAGATTCTTATCCTGCGAGTAAATTTTGCTCTCACAGAGTGGCTTAATTTGTGTTTTTTTTTAAAAATTTCAACTTATGCTTGTAGATATTCAAAATAAAATTTATGTTTAGGATGTAATTTTCTAAAATTTAATAGATAACTTAGAAATTTTATTAAATTTACATGTATAAATTTTGCTTTCTCTTCATTTCCAAAACTCATGATCTTTTCTGCTCACAGAGAAGAGAGAGTTAGTGTTTTGCAAATAATTTTATAGTTTATTGCCAATCAAAAAGTTGTAATTAATGTAAAAGTCACTATCATTGTTTAAATGCAAAAATATATCTTTCAGTGCTTCTGATATCATCTAAAGCTTTAAATCAGTTTTCTTCATAAATATTTATCAGGTTTGCATAATCATTAATTTGCTAGGAAAGAAATATGGCCTTGTCCAGAAAGCATCGGTCTTAACAGGGAAGTGAAGATAAAGCCTTCCTGAAAAGGTCGGATTTAGAGCCCGGTAGAGATTCCCCAGGATCACTGGATTTGTGGGAGAAGGAAGAGACACCCATAGTGCCTTCACAATATTACCCGTTGAGATCCGGTGAGTCAGGGTTTTTCTCTTCATGGGTTTTTGTCCCTCAAGTCGAAAGCTTTAAGAGCTCCTCGAGCTTGTTCCTGTCAGAACCTGGCCCTGAAAAATGCAAACCTGGCCAGGAGAAGAGCACATAAAAACAGACTGGCTTCGCAGCCACTTTTAATTAATTCTTACTAATCAGGCTTGCGAATTTTACTTGAACTTCATTATTTATCTGCTTAATTCATTTAAAAAATATAAAATTCAACTAAAATCTCTCATAAATTCATGCCTCTTCAATTTTCACCAAATCTTTCCAAACTCTAGGCAGATTAAATCTTAAACTCTCTGTTTATAATATTAATGGCTATAAGGCATTTCGTCAAACGAGCCTTGAGTGGGCAATCCGCTCGATTTTTCTCTACACCAAAACCAGAAAAGGCAGGAAAGACAGGCTTCATCTCTCAAGTTATTGGCGCAGTTGTGGATGTGCATTTTGACAATGAATTGCCACCAATTCTGAATGCATTAGAAGTTCAAGGTCACGATCATAGATTAGTCCTAGAAGTCGCCCAGCATTTAGGAGATCACAATGTTCGTTGCATTGCTTTAGACAGCACTGATGGTTTAGTCAGAGGCCAGCCAGTTTTGGATACAAATGGCCCAATTATGGTTCCAGTTGGCCCAGAAACCTTAGGAAGAATTATTAATGTTATTGGAGAGCCTATTGATGAAAGAGGCCCAATCAATGCTAAAAAATACATGCCAATCCACAGAGAAGCCCCAACTTTCACTGAGCAAGGCTCTGGAGCTGAACTTTTGGTCACAGGTATTAAAGTCGTCGATTTGTTAGCACCTTATGCTAGCTCACCCTCCTAAGCAAGCAAAAAATATAAAATTTAAAAAATCTTACCACAAAAATTGCAAAGTAAAATAATATAATTTGTAAAATTTATGTTATAGAGTGCAAGCTGTTTAAAATGAACAGAATTAGCTCATTACTTATTGTTAATTTTTTTTTTAATTCTTTTTCGCTCACAGCGGGATGATTTTACCAAAACTACTCAATACGGGGAGAGTAAGGGAGGTAAAGTTGGACTTTTTGGAGGTGCAGGAGTCGGAAAAACCGTGCTTATTATGGAACTCATCAACAACGTTGCCAAAGCTCACGGTGGCTATTCAGTCTTTGCAGGAGTCGGTGAAAGAACTCGTGAAGGAAATGACTTATATATGGAAATGATTGAGTCTGGAGTCATTAGACTAAAAGATGCAGGCAGCAAGGCAGCTTTGGTCTATGGACAAATGAACGAGCCTCCTGGTGCAAGAGCTAGAGTTGGGCTAACTGGGCTTACAGTTGCCGAATATTTCAGAGATGAAGAAAGACAAGACGTGCTGCTATTTATTGACAACATTTTCAGATTCACACAGGCTTGCTCAGAGGTGTCCGCACTTCTAGGGCGTATTCCTTCTGCTGTCGGCTACCAGCCTACCTTGGCAACCGATTTGGGTGTTTTACAAGAGCGTATCACTACAACTCAACACGGCTCAATTACTTCAGTCCAAGCTGTCTACGTTCCTGCTGATGATCTTACCGATCCAGCCCCAGCTACCACTTTTGCTCACTTGGACGCCACAACTGTGCTATCTCGTGCCTTAACTGAGCTAGGTATTTATCCAGCTGTGGATCCTCTAGATTCCACATCCAGAATGATGGACCCTTCAATTGTAGGAGATAGGCATTATGAAGTTGCCAGAGGTGTACAAAAACTATTGCAGGATTACAAGTCATTGCAAGATATCATTGCTATTTTGGGTATGGATGAGCTGTCAGAAGATGATAAACTAGTCGTCGCAAGAGCCAGAAAAGTCCAGAAATTCCTGTCACAGCCATTCCATGTCGCTGAAGTCTTCTCAGGAAAGCCAGGAAAGTTTGTGTCATTGGAAGAAACTATTACTGGATTTGGGGCTTTGTTGGAAGGACAGGGAGATGAGTATGCAGAATCTGCATTCTATATGGTCGGAAACCTCAATGAAGCTATTGAAGCAGGCAAAAAACTTGCCACAGAGTTTGCAGCTAAATAGGCTAAGAATCTTAAATATAAATGGGAAAAGTAATCCTGCTACTGTCTATTGTCCTGTGTGTGACTGCGTATACGATCGCATTGCCAAGATTGGAAATGGAAGAGCCTAAGTATGAACTAATAAGGGAAAATGAAGCCTTAAGCTGCAAAGAAGACTCTGATTGCCCACAGCCTAAATGTTTCCAGCGCTGCTCCTACTTTGCATGTGAAAATAGCATATGTGTTTTAAAGCCCCCAAAGAAGGAGGCTTGTGTAGTTGGAGGGTGCTCTGGAGAGCTTTGTGTCAGTGAAATTGAGGATACAGTTTCTAACTGCTTGTGGAAAGAGCATTATAGATGCTATGCAGAATATGGAAACTGCATTGAAGAAAATGGGACCTGCAAATGGGAAGAAACATAAATAAAATGGCATTCGGTTCGAGAGAAATTGGCTCTGCCAATTTTCTCTCCCTCATGGAATTTTATTTATGGGGTTGGGTTTTTTCTCTCGAGAACTTCTGCACAGCAATAGTCGTTTAACTTTGGGGATAACCAAAGGCACGACTCCTCAGTGCACTCAAGATTTCGGAGTTTTACCTCTCAGCACGTCCCCACGGGAGGATGACCCTTAGGCGGAACACGCGCAGGAGCTGAGTCTGGACGAGCGACGGCAACGCGCCGGGTGAGATGTGCGGCGATTTATCTGGCGACTAGCCTCATAGAAGGCTTGGGTGTGGGCTGACCACATATTCCAAGATGGCTTGGTGACATCACTAGTTGTCGCTTTGACCCTTTTTCATTAAGGGGTGTGGGCACTAGACACCTTAAAAACTATGTAACTAACTAACTAACAAATGGGAAGAAACAAGAGAACTTCAGAAATGTATTGAAGATGAAAGCTAATTGCTTAAATTTTAAATATGACTAAGTTTATGAATTATTCCTTCAGCAGTTGCTTTCAAGCCTTCTATTTTGCTTTCTAACTCCTTTTGTATGACTGAGTTGTAAATATCGATTTTTTGGAACAAAACTCAATGAGCTTAAATGCATTTTAATAATAAAAATACAGTATATAGATAATAACTATAATAAATCTCCATCTTTTGAATTTAAACAACTTGCATTCTAAAATAAAATTAAGTAATTAAATTAATTTTTACAAAAATTTCTAAAATTCAAAAAACAATTTTACTATAAAATTTATATATAATTTAAAATCAAATAAAATTAATGTGAGTTAAATTTTTTTGCTTGCTCACTAGGGAGTAAGTTTATAACTCTTTCTTTGAGGCTATCAACAGCTTCTTCTCCTTCTACCTTGTCTGTCCCAATCAGTTCTTTAAATTCCATAAAGTTTTTTGAATTCGTTTTGACTGAATTCCAAGCATGGTATCTATCCTCAATATTTTTTATATTTGATTTATTATATGAAAGAGCTGAAACAATTGCACCAGTAGCAGCAGAGCTAAGCAATATCCTATTCAATGCATTTTTTTCGTTTGGCTGCAGCTGGAGAATTGAGCCTAGCGACACAAAGGTAAAAGATAAAATGACTCCTCCATAAATAGCACTCATAGCGACAATAAATCTTCCTAAAGTAGTGACAGGATAAAAATCTCCAAAGCCAACAGTCATCATAGTGATAATAGAATTCCAATAAGCGTTTCCTGCATAGTCATAATCCAAGCTTGGCATATGCATAGGCCTTTCGAAAATCCTCATCAGAGACCCAAATATCAATATCCCAGGAATTATAAAGAAAAAGAAAAGCATAAATAGAGGGTATTGGTTCAAGTAGCATTTCAATGAAAAAGCTGGAGACATAGGCACTCCCCACTTTTCGCGATGCCTTACAGCGACTTGATTTTGGTATCTCCCATAATTAAAGAGAGAAACAATCAAGTAAATCCACCTTAAGAACATTATAGCATACATGGGCTCAGCCACAAAGTAACAAATTTCTACCCGCTTATAAAGAATTTGTTGGGGTACTACAAATTCCCAGTTTAAGCCTGGGTAGGGTAAAATTAAGAGTAAAATGGTAACTGGGATAACCTCTCCACTAAAATAGTCTCTTAGTTTTGGCTTCTTTCTCATTGCGAAGACCTGCATTAAGGTCAGTTTTTGGAATGAAGGAAGCTCGTGGAATGTCTTAGGTATGTGTCTTTTCCATTTGAGGAAATAATATTTGTAGGGGATGAGCAGTAGAATTGATACGAAACTTAGCCACATGATTAAATGACGGTGAGCTATGGATCGATCTTCGTTTATCGCACAGTTTGTTGGAGTGCGGGCTTCTGACCAGCCTGTTTCGTAATCTGAGGATGCAGGAAACAGAGCTACGCAAGCGATGATCGCTGAAAGCAAACTAAAAAACCTTCATCTATCGAAAAGTTTTTTAGATTTCATGATCTTGCTACCTATCTTTTTCTTTTTCTTGTTTAAGATTGGTTCAGAGAGTTTTTCTTCAACTACTTTATTCATAAATAATTACCATTTGTCAATTCAATATTCTTTAGGAAATATGAGTAAATCTATATTTAATTCAATTTAAGAGCTTTAGCAAGCAGATTGGATCTAAAATAAGCTGATTTCATTTAAAAACTCTTTTTATCGAAGTCTTATTAAAGCTTAAGCTTTGAACTGTATCTGAGATATTATTTTTGCATTATCCATCTGTTCTATTAGTTAATTTAGAAATTGATGCTAGTTACGTTAATATTTTTAAGGGATTAAATAGAGTGGATCAAAGCGTATAAAATCTAATAGTATATAGCAGAATAATTAAACTTGGTCTGAGAGAGTTTTCCCTCTTTAACTCTCTCAGCGAGCATTAACATTAAGTTAGATTATCGCCAAGCTGCAGTAGCACCTGCGAGTGAGTTTCCCCACCTTGCTTGATTTGGCCACCTGCCACTCCCCCATAGGGGCTTAACTCCTCTCCAGATGAGGCTCGTGTCAAACGAATATTGAAGTGGGCTGGGCCACCGTGCCGTTGCGCAAGACGAGGATTTCCTAACAGAAATTTCAAAAAAGGATTTTCTGGCCAACCATTTATTCCTTGTTTCACGCTAGGGAGCTGCCCCAGATAGGCCTAAAAGGCTTTGCTGGGCTTTCTCTTTCCAACTCCAAACTTACCTTTCCCAAGAGATAAAATCTGGCTCCTGAAAGCGGACTAAGTATAGGCCCTTAACGTATTAGGATTAGTTTCCTAGCATAGCTATTCATTTCTGGGCTGGGAAAGTCTTACCTTATAATTAAAATATATGCTCGAAGCTTCTTAGCCAACACCATATTTTAACTTTACTCCCTCAGAGCAAAAATTTTTTTCTTAAAAAAATTGGTAAAAAATTGGAAAGGATTAATTTATTAAATTTTTTAAATGCAAAATTTTCAAAAAATTCAACAGAATTAGCAATAGATTTCGTTATCGCTTATATATTCAAATACTTTTTCATCAAAAATTGTTATGTTCAAAAAATGTTTTTGCTCTCTTACAGACTTTTTTACCCAAAAATCGAGATTTTTCCAATGGCTTTGTTCGCTCACGGAGGGGATGAGTAAAGCTTAAAGCAGAAGAGCCCCTTCACAAGTACAAACCATCTAATGCATAATTTCTTTATTCGCTAAAGGCACCCTATCCTATAGGCTATATTTTATCTGATGTGAGAACCCTTCATCACCATGTTTCTAGAATTAATTAATTCTCTAAACTTATAAAATCTAAAAAAGGATGAAAAAGGTTCGATCAAGTTTTGATTAGACAGGTTAAGCACAAACATGTTTATTTAAAGTGGGTCTGCAAGTCTTTTTCTTCTTTCAATGCCTGCAAGTCGAGGAGGCCCTGATAAAGGGCAATGAACAAATAAATGCATGATCTCTCTATTTACTTCTACTTTAAGTTTAAAATTTCTTCCAGCAACAACTTGAGTAGAAAATCGAATTACTTTTAAATCATCAAAATAGCGCTTTATCCGAGCACCCACCTCATTTTTAACTGCATCTGCAACAGCTTGAGCCATGCTATTCCCTGGCTTTTCATTTGAGAATCCTCCATCTGCTTGTATCATTTTTTTATGCTATTCAGTTGGAAATTTATTATAATGAATGCCATTAATTATTGCATTTCAGAATCAATCATAAAATCTGACGGTAAGTATAAAATCTGAACTCACAAATATTCAGAGGTAGAAAAGATTGATGAAAATATATTAAAATATTGGATAGTCTCGTTGGAAAAAATCTACCAAGCTATAAAGACAATGCTGCTTTTCAGAAATTAATTATATATCGAAATAATTGGTACCTTATCAGCCATTTCTTTGGCATTATTTTTATTTTATACGCTGAAAAAATCTGATCCAATAGTTTATAGAAATTAAAGAAGAGCAGCTATAATCTGTCACCAAGTCTAAATTTCATTCATTACAGATTATAACTAATTATGCATAGACAATATCTCTTAAACTAGGAAGAATTATAGAAAAGAAATTTTAGATCAATTTTAAGCCAATCTCTAAAGTGGATCTGCAAGGGTTTTCCCTCTTTCAACATCTTTGAGCTGAGGACCTTCACCAGTATGTGGTAACGGGCGATAAACTCTTAAATGCAGATGCTCTCCTCCGTCTGTCTCAACTTTAAGCTTATAATTCATTCCAGCAACAACTTGAGTTGCATATTGGACAACTCTAAACACATTCAAAGGATGCCCTGTTCTAGTCGCCACTGTGCTTTTAACAGTATTTGCAATTTCTTGTGCTTCCTGATCTCCAGGCTTCACATTTGAGAACCCTCCTGCCATCATTTTATTTTATTTCTATCATTTTCTTCCTTAAATTAATCATAATTTACAAGTATGAATAAATGTTCTGGCGCGGGTATCGCATCAGTCCTCATATGCGGAACCCTCTACTTAGCTCTCGGACAAACCTTTCTCAGCAGTTTGGTTGCTTCTATAGCTTGTGCATTAGCTATAATAAAGCAAGGCAAATCATCTACGAATACAGAGATTTCAGTACCTAAAGTTCAAAAGGAAACATCTAATTTTGGGAACCAAACTGACTTAAAAGAATTTTTTACTCTTGAAACCCAAACTGAATATATCCCGAAACCATTGAATTTCTTTGAATGCCAAACAGAAAAAATTCAAATCTCAAATGCTTCATCCCAATCAGAAAAATCTGAGTTTAAATCAATTTCAAGCAGCTGCTCAATTGCTCCTACAAAAAAACAGATGAAAAATGTATCAAGTCACACTGAAATTCATTCTAGAGATCAAAGCACAAATACAGCTGTGTTGGATTGCAAAGACAGAGAAGTCCAAGTATGGTGCATCCAAAATGATGTGGAAATCAATACAACTCAATCGCTAAATGGGCCAGTTCTTAAAAATAATGAAATTTCTATACAAACTGGAGTCAGCCAAATTGAGGAAGAAGAAAAAGAACCAGTCAGGGATAAGCCTAAACATTATGACTCTCCTTTGAAAATGGAAGAAAAAGCATATAGGCCTGAAATCTATCAGAAAGACGAAAAATTTAAAGAAGAAACCTACAGACCTCGAGCGAACTCAGAAGACGTTTTAGGACAAAGTGCAATGCTAGAAAATGAACTATACACAAATGAATCAGATTCAGAGCAATCGTATAACAAAAAAGAAGAAATTGAATTCGAAAAGTCAATTTTAATGTGGAGCAAGCCTGCAATAATGATGCATGTAAGCTCAGTCACTCTTTCAGACGACAAACTGGTCAGCACTTTGCATATCAACATGCCTATGTCAAAACTCTCAAGAAGGCCTCTCTGCACTCTATTTTTGGCTCCTTATGAACTAGATTTTGTTGAAGTTTTTGGGCCTCAGTCATTTTCGCTTGACTATATTGATATCTACACTACAATTCCTCCAGTCCACAACTTGCTGAACGACCCTGTGTTTGATAAAATATCATCATGGTACCTTGGAACCTATTTAAGTGATTTCATTATACTAGTCGTCGATTTCAGCCAACACCCTGATATCCACCAAGACCCTCTTTTAACAAAATATTTTCTATTACTTAAAGAAATAGAAAGACCTATATATATTTTACATAAAGTATCCAGCACTATTTCATATGCATATTCCTTCAAAAGGGTAAATGAAATTATGGAATCTACATGGGAAAATGACAGAGTTGTCCTTCATGAAGAGTTAGGGGATAACATTGATAATAATAATGGCTTATTAGTACAGATTAAGGAGCAGATGAGCGATAATTTGTTGGATCCAGATGCAGTGCTTGATTTAAGCGAAAAATTTAGGATAAGCTTTGACTCGATCTTGGAAAAAATGCTATCAATACAAAATAGCAGAAAAAGAGAACTGCTAGTGAATGGAGAAGTGTTCCAGGTGGAAGAAGGGCTTTGCTGCGCTTTACAGATGGAGCCTTCATGGTCGTGCATTGTGCGTGAACAATGAAGCCATAATTTGACGAGAAACACCATTTATTTAACTCCTGCAGAATATCATATTGATGAAGACATTTCTTGTGAGTTGATTTCTCCTCATTATTCAAATATCTCTGATCATTTAGTAAAAGTAGGGATCGTAAGCAATGTCCCGGCAGAAAAATTAGGCTTCAATTATTTGCAGACTTTGCACTCTTGCTTCACGCAGCATAAAGATGAAATTGCTTTAATAATCCCTTCATCGAAACAGCTTCTCATAAGCCAATTCAACCATATAAACTCGTTGAAGTTTAACTTGGCCTTTCAGCATTTATTGCTTGACCAACTTTCTAATTGCTCAATTCTCAGCTTGTTTTACGATAAAGATGGCACAATTAAAAATGTCAGTTATAGGGCTTAGGTCCTATATCTGAGCTCAGTGAGAGAAGTTCACGACTTCTTGAGAGTCTCAGCTCAAGAGAATGGGTCTAGACTATGTCTGGTGTAGATTAATGAGGTTCTAATGGGCTTGGGACAGAAAAAAAAAATGACGGTTAGGCCGACCCACCTGCTGTTATTCAGAGCTGTGGTCCAAGCTTAAGCTAAGAAGTATGGGACTTGAAGAGCTATCATAAACTTAAACGATAAAGACAAATTAATTGAATCTGAAGACGGATTTGAAGGCTTAGCAAGAATGCTGAAAGTTCATTATAAAGAAGGAAGCAAAAAGCCTATGATGGTTCTCCATCATTTTCCAAAGGAATCTGACAGCTCAGAGTATTTTTCGTTCTTTTTAAAGGCAACTGAAGACTTTTCTCATTTTCTATCAAAATGGGCCGGAATCGAAGTTTCAAAACAGTTATCTACCCATCAAAAAAACAACGAAGGAATTTATGCATTCGACCAAGATCTGCAGATTATACATAGGCTCATTGTTCCAAATGCACCTATAGGGTGGAACTGGTATAATGCAATTCTATATAAAATCATGCATAATGCAGCCTTAAAGGACATTCAACTAAATATCAAAACTTTTGCCCAAAAATCCTTTTCAAGAGTATTGAAAGAAATGATAAAGATCTATGAATTTGATGAGCCAGTTATTCCTATTGCCCAATGCACCGATGGAGAGCCAAACCGCTTTCAGATAAAATTATTCACGAACTTGAGCCCATCATGGACACTGGAAAAAGTTGAAATTGCTCATGAGAGATTGGAAGAAAATAGAGATCCCAATGTTTAAACTATCTTAATAATTATCATATGAATAGTAATGTCTTTATTATGCATTGAATAAAATATGTTGAAAATATTGATGGACTTATGACATAATAATTATGGACGTAACTAAGATTTCTGAGCGCCTCCGAACCATAGTCAACTACGTAGCTGGGCAAGATATTAAGCTCACTGTAGATCCAGGACTTGTAGGAGCTAATGCTAAATACCTTGGCAGAGTCAGTTCTCTTCTCCCTGAAAGTCCATTAGATCAAGCATTCGCAAACCAGTGGATTCACAGCATCTCAAGCACAACCCCATTTTTGTCGACCAAAGAAGGCATTGCAGCTTTTTCTGAAACATGCGAGAAACTCTTACTCTCTCCAATCCCATAATTCTTTAACCATAACTTCCTCTGTAAGAGAGTAGAACTATTTTAAAATCTAACATTTTGGGAAATTAATCTCCGAAAATTATTTTTAACATAAGCATTTTATATAAAATATTTGTATATATAATAATAATCAATAAATTTTAAACGGTTTGCATTCTGAAACATAAAATTTAAAATTAAATTACATTTTACTTTCAAAATTTTGGAAATATATTTTTTGACATTTCCGAAAACAAATTTTAAATATATATAACATGCAAATATTTCATTAATACTAAAAAATCACAAATTTAAGCATAAATATTGATATATTTTCGATAATATCAGAAAAAATAGGATGATTGTTATAGAGGAATTAGCAAAAACTAAATCTTATGCTGTAGGAACTTCCCTCACAATTGTTGATTTATTAGTCACTGCAATTGGCATTGAGGCAGATCTTTTCAAATATCCACCCACCCAGCAAAAGAAGCTAGCCAAATACTTAAACACTCTTAGAGCGGACAGTACCCTCAAACTCATTATTCCTGCAGCAGAAGCCCAAACAGGACAAGGAAGAAAGCAATTCATCATTCCAAATGGCACAGGAGGAAGAACTCGAGTGGACTACATTTTAAGCAACTCAGACCTGGTCGGACAAATTGTGACTGTAAAAGGTTGGGCTAGAACCGTCAGAATCCAAGGGAATGGCAGCTTTGCATTTGTCGAAGTCAATGATGGCTCAACTGTAAAAGGCATCCAAGTCATTGTCAACAATGCTTTTCCAGACTTCTCTAACCTCAAAGGTACAGGGATTTCAGTATCTTGCAAAGGACTTTTAGTCGAAAGCCCAGGTGGTGAGCAAAGTGTTGAAATGCAAGTTCAAGACCCATCTCAGCACGAGTTCAAAATCATTGGAGACTGTGACCAAACTGCTTTCCCAATCTCCAAGAAGAACCACACCCCAGAATTTTTACGTGAAAATGCTCACTTAAGAACTCGCACAAATTTAATTGGAGCCATTGCAAGAATAAGAAACGCCTTGGCTTTTGCAACTCACATGTTCTTTAACTCAAGAGGGTTCCTATATGTCCACACTCCACTTATAACAGCTTCTGACTGTGAAGGTGCTGGGGAACTTTTCCAAGTTTCGACAATTCTTAAGTCAAAAGTTGCAGATATCAAGCAAAAAGATGGAATGGTTGACTACTCACAAGACTTCTTTGGAAAGCCAGCATTTTTGACTTGCTCAGGACAGCTGAATGTTGAGGCCTATTGCTCCGCTTTATCCGATGTCTACACGTTTGGACCTACCTTCAGAGCAGAAAATTCGCACACCACAAGGCATTTATCAGAGTTCTGGATGATCGAGCCTGAAATGGCATGGGCTCAGCTTGAAGACAACATGGAATGCGCCGAAAGCTACTTGAAGTTCTGTCTTCAATATGCAATCGACAACTGCTATGCTGATCTCGAATTCTTCGACAAGTTCGTTGAAAAAGGCTTAATCGACAGACTCAGAAACGTCCTAGAAAAGCCATTTGCAAGAATTTCCTACACTGAAGCCGTTGACATTATCCATAAATGTGGAAAGCAGTTCAAGATTATGCCACAATGGGGTGATGATTTGAACTCAGAGCACGAAAGATATATAGCTGAAGAAGTCATTAAAGGCCCTGTCATCGTGTTTAACTACCCTAAAGTACTCAAGGCATTTTACATGAAAGTCAATGATGATGATGCTACTGTGCAAGCAATGGATATTTTAGTACCAAAGATTGGAGAAGTCATTGGAGGTAGTGTGAGAGAAGATAGACTGGAAAGACTTGACCAAATGATTCTTAACTTAACTTAACTTAACTTAATTATTCGGTGTTTAAGGTGTCTAGTGCTGCAGTCCTAAAATGGAACTTTTAGCTAACTAGTGACGGCACGGAGCCATTTTGGAATCGTGGTGGTCAGCCCAACCAGCCAAGCCTTCTATCGACGCTTCACCCCTAGCCGCTGCACATCTCACCCGGCGCATTGCCGTCGCTCTGCCTTGACTCAGCTCCTGCGCGTGCTCCACCTAAGGGTCTTCTTTCCGTGGAGAAGTGCTGAGGGGTAAAACTCCGAGATCTTGAACGCACTGAGGAGCTGTTCCTTTGGTTATCCCCAAAGTTAAGATTAAGATTAAGATTACGCTGGGTATTTAAGGTCCCTACTACGTCCGAGGTCGCATGCCACGGTTTCCCGTGTGGTGGCAGAGCGTTCACCAAGCCCGGGCCGAAACCCCCGGTTTCTCGGTAGAGGTATTGTCAAGGGCCGTCTCATACCGGCTTTGCTGACCACCTCCATTTCCAACTTGGATCGTCGCCTAAGTTTACGCCAACTCCGCTTCGTCGTCCGCCAGATCTGCCCATTGAAGGGCACCTTTTCAACTGGAGAGACCCCCGTTTTGGTGTCTAACTCGCCTCCCCTCTTTTCCGGTCATCCCGAGAAAGAACTCAACAGCTTTCGCCATTCGGGGCGAGCCACTAAAGCAGCTTAGGCAGGTAAGTCACCCTGCCTCATTTCGGGCACTCACTGGGCTGAGCGCTGCTGGCAAAAAGAAGTCACGAATAACTGCCCATGGGTCTGGTCGCAAAAACAGCGGCTCTCGCGCTTAGGCCTCTCGCTTCGAGGTCCCAGACGTTGTTGGGCTAATTCCTGGCTCCAAAAACCATGCCCGGGTATACATGGGTAACCACCACTGAGAGGGTGGGTCGGTCGCCATACGCCATTTTATGTATATTATCCCCAAAGTTAAACAGCTATTGCTGTGCAGAAGTTCTCAAGAGAAAAGCCAACTCCATAAATAAAATTCCATGAGGGAGAGAAAATTAGGGAGCTAATTTCTCTCGAACCGAATGCCATTTTTATTTATGACCAAATGATTCAGTTCAAGAACTTGGATAAAGAAAGCTACTGGTGGTATAGAGATTTCAGAAAGTATGGAAGTGTACCTCATGCTGGATTTGGCTTACTCCCCCCCTCCGTTAGCGAAAAAAAAATCTTGTTCGCTCACGGGTGGGGGTTAATTTTTTTTTTCTTAAAAAATTTATATAGAAATTTTTTTTTTCGAAATTTAAAAATATCACAGCTTCGCAAAAATTGGAAAGCAATTATCAATTTAATTTGTAAAATTTATGATTTAAAACGCAATCTGTTTAAAATTAAACAGAATTAGCTCGAGATTTCATGATAATAATTATCACTGATATATAAATTTTTTTCGCTCACAGAGGTGGTGGTTTTTTGGGGATTTTTCTAATGGTTTTGTTCGTTCACGGAGGGGGAGCTAGGGTTTGAAAGACTTGTCATGATGGTCACTGGAGTCGAAAACATCAGGGATGTCATCCCGTTCCCAAGATGGCCTGGACATGCTGAATTCTAACTCCCCTTTATATAGGGACAAATATCGTAAAATTTCAATTTTTTGGTAAAATGATAAATTAAACATAAATAGTTAAAACCATGAACTTAACGTGTAAATAGAATAATATTGACAAATTGAGCTCTTTAAATCAATAAATTTATAAAATAAATTTTTAAGTAATCCTATAAATTGGAACTTTTTTCCAATTTAATGGTGGAGTAAGTAATATAGGCAATTCCTTTAATATATATATAGCCAAATAGTCACGCTGGAAAATTTGTAGAAAATTAGCTTAGACATATTTTAAGTGATGCATCTTAATTTTCATAGGAACGATAAGTCTCAATCAAATCAATAACTTCATGTGAAGCTTGATTAAATTCTTCAATCTCCACTCCTTCACTTAGATATCAATGCAGAAAGGCATTTCTCCGCTTCATAAAATCGAAATCTTGGTGAATCCTATTTAAAATGTCCTTAAACCCTGTTGTATTTATCAATGAAGATGCTCCTCTCTTTAGCCCTCTTGGCTTAAACTCAGTCATTGAATATTTAATATTTTTTATCTCAATACCATTAACAAATGTCCCTTCTGAGCGAAAAAAATCTTCAATTTGTTGAGACTTCTCTTCAAAGCCTCTGAAGCAGCAAGCCATCGAAGTAATTCTATTGGTTTCTACGATTTCACACATAGCATTCTCTGACACAATGTCTCTGAAAAAATCCTGAATTTCTCCAGAATGTCTCATACAGTTACATCTGCAAGTAAACGGTGAAAATCCAGGCACAAGAAAATTCATTGTTTCAATAGGAGCAAGATTTTTCATCATCTTTTTCAAGTCTCCGTTTATCATACCCGGAAATCTAAAGGTAGATGTGGCTCCCCCTAATACTTGAGCTGCTAAATGATTAATATCTCCATAGGTTGGGTTAGGAATTTTATACCTTTTAAGCAAAATTCTCATAAGTGACTCAATATCTATTGCGAAAATTAGATTGTCAGGCATATGAAGAAAAGGAAAAGAAAGCACTACATTATAAGGCTCAACAACACAATCAGACACTTTTGGAGATGGAAAAACTGTCTGGAAGCAAAAGAGAATATCTGAGAACTCGTCTTTAAGAGTTTCAATAATTCTCGAAGTTAGCCCGCTTCCAGATCCACCGCCAAGACTGTGTGAGAACTCAAATGCCTGCAAGGAATCGCAGGCTTCTGCCTTAGCTCTTACAAGATCCCTTATATCATCATCTCCTTCTTTTCTGTAATATCCTTTTGCTCAATTTCATGAGTTCTCAATTTCTATAAAATCTCTTTCATCATAATGATTTTTAAAATAAAATCCAGGGTTTAAAACCTCATTATACTTGCAGATCGATATATTCCGTGCTATATATTTTTGATCTTGTTTCTCCTCAAGATAAACCCCAATTTTTTCTTGGATATTTTCATTATTTACTTCTAATTTCCCATTTATATCAATAGAATATTCATCAAAAATATTTTCCCAATTCAATTTCCCTAGCTGATTCCCACAATTTCCTACCTGAAGATGTAAAATTTCTCTCATATTAATTATTATATTTATTTTTTCCTTCTTCGAACTAGCGCAGACTCCTTAGCTTTTTGAATTAATTCTTCAGCTCTTAAGCTAACATATGACCTGTCAGAAGTAATTGAGCTTCTCCTTGATGTTTCCCTCGAAGACTGCTCTCCAAAAATTTGGATTTTTTCTTCCTCTTCTTCATCCTCTGGTATTGTTGTCACAAAACTCTGCTCAGTTGACCCTTTAGAGCTCGACTTCTTATAACCTTTTTTGCTTTTTGGTTTTCCCTTCTTATTGATATTAGTGATTTTATCTTCCACCATTTCAATTGAGCTCTCATTAAGATCCCCAGAAAACATCGGTATGGACTTATAAGGCAAAATGAAATCAGAAAAAATATTTGTGGAGACTGCATCAGGCGGGACATCATTTCTGTCTAATTGATATATGTTGGGGTCAGGCCCTCCTCCGTATATGACGATATCATTTGTGACGAGCACTGCTGTGTAAAATCGTTTGGGTGGGATTGAACCTTCAACTTTGTATCTGCATCAATTCAAATTATTGTGCGTTAGATTCAAACTTCATAAGATGCCTGTGCTTGGGACTTTTATTGCGTTTCCTCTGCTATCAACTGAATTCCCAACGTATTCGAAAATTGAGTTCTCAATTAGCAGTGCGGTATGCCCGTATACAGATCCAGGGGATCTGCTAAACTGAGGCAGTCTTTGCCATTCCCAAGTCAATAAATTAAGACGCCACAAGTCATCTAGCACAATTTCTGAGTTAACACCTCCATGCATATATAGCCAGCGGTTACTTCACACGACGAATATTTCATAACGACTATTTTTATTTGGCCTATTTTTTTTTGTTTTATTTTTTTTGGCCTATTTTTTTTAACCTATTTTTTTTTGGCCTATTTTTTTTTGGCCTATTTTTTTTAGCCTATATATTTTTTAACCTATTTTTTTTTTTAGCCTATTTTTTTAACCTATTTTTTTTTAGCCTATTTTTTTTTGGCCTATTTTTTTTTGGACTATTTTTTTTTGGCTATTTTTTTGCCTGGCCTCATTCATGAAGCTGCTGAGAGGACTAAAATCTTATTGAGAAACAGAGACTTTTCCTTACGCGATTAATATTGAGTAAATTTAAGTGGAAAACTCCTAATTAAATCTAAAATTCTCGAAATTTTAAAAGCAAATAATTAGTATTCATTGAGTAAGAAATCTGTTAAGGGTGCATTTTTTGTTGGTTAAATCGTTTAAAACACATTAAAAAATTATATTAAAATAACTAGTATAGAATTATGCCCAAATATTAGTAAAAAATAGCTAAAAAATTGTCAAAAAAAAGCCAAAAAAATAGGTCAAAAAAAAAAATAGGCTAAAAAAAAAAATAGGCCAAAAAAAATAGGTGAAAAAAAAAAATAGGCCAAAAAAAAATATTCCAAAAAAAATAGGCCAAAAAAAAAATAGGCCAAAAAATAGGCCAAAAAATAGGCCAAAAAAATAGTCGTTATGAAAATAGTCGTCGTGTGAAGATACGACAGCCAGCACTCGTTGTAAAACTCATAGAGCATGCAGGCCATAGCTATTCTCCCAACAGGCATAGGGCCATCATTAGTAGAAGTAGCTATTTTGGTCCATTTTGCGTCATCAATGCTGAACGACCAAACTTCATTGGTATAGCCTTCGATCGAGATGAAGCCGCCGATTACGACCATTTCATGCGTTGTCGGATGGATAAAGGCATAATGGCCTGCCCGTGCAGGAATTCTCTTTTTGCTTTTAGGTATGCTTCAGGTCATCGAGTTTATGTTCAGGACATAAATTTCCCCTGAGCATTCTTGAAGATTTCCTCCTCCATAATAAATTACAATGTTCTTTTCCTTATCATAAGCACAAGAATGGTAAGAGAGGGCTGGAGACTCTCCTTGATAGTCAATTTTTTCCCAAGCTTTTTCTTTATATTTGAATAGATATAAATCATTATTTACAACCCCCCTAGAGTCTCCTCCATGAATGACGATACCCCCTAAAGCTTCAATGTAGCAAGCAGTGTGTCCAACTCTTTCTGAAGGACAATTTCCGACTACTTTCAAGCATATCCATCTAAGCCCAATATTTGGGTTAAATGCATAAATATCTCCACTCAGAACAGACCCTGTTTTCCCACCAATGTATATAATTGAGTCTCCTAGGCTAACTGATGCGAAGGAGACCCTTATTCCTGGCTTATTTCCTGTGCATTCCAGCTTGTGTCATATATATTGGTCATCAATTAGGTCTAATGAGTACGTAGAGTCGCTTTCTTCTGAGTAAGAGATTCCTCCATACACATAAAAGCTTCCAGAATCACAGCGGCTGAATCCATAGAGCTCGAGCTTATCAGGAATTGTCCCCAAAGTTGATATCACTTGCCATTCTCTTGTCTGAAGGCTTAATAAATAAAACTTTAACACTGAAGACCCTAAGCAGTAAATGACTTTATTATAGATAACACAGTTCCAGCCTGTTCCTTTTGGCCTATCTTCCCCTACAGTATTTATTTGGTTCCATTGCCTAGCTTTGACGTCAAACGACCATAAATCATCTAAATATCTGTCTTCCCCTGACTCCGGATTCGTTCCATAGCCAGCTATAATGTACAAATGTGATTCATTCATATCACCACACATCCCATATCTAGGTCATGGGACTTTGCGGGAATCTGAAACACATTCCCAATTATAAGTTCTAGTGTTAAATACATAAGTGTCATTATAAAAGTTGTTTGTATGAGCCCCTCCGAATATTACGATCAAATGCTTTTCAACATATTTGATTACATGGAGATGCCTGGCTGAAGGTCTACTGGATAGTGATAATTCAGAGAATTTTTCTCAGGCATTTGCTTTTAAATCGAAAATCAAAAAGGAGTCCAAGTAGTTTCTCCCATCATATCCTCCGAAAATAAACAGCTTATCTTCTCCATAAGCAACTCCTAAGTTCATAGCTTTGGGTACTTCATAAGTATCATCTGGAATTTCAATTTTATGATAAGCCATGTTGATTTTTACTTAAATTTTAATTAGTCGCAGCTGTGTATGATTATACTAAAAAATATAATCTTTTCGAGAGCTATCAGAGTCAATCGAAAACGAGCCCACTAAAAAGGTTTTGTTCACATTGAATGACCCATATGAGAAATCATGATCAGCGGTTGCAATAAACGTGTAATTTTTCATATGTACACTGCCTCTTATCTGGGCTAATTTTTCAGGACTTGCTCTGCAGTGCGTTTTTAGTGAGCTTTCTTGGTCTTCATCTTTACCCAAGTCTTCTAATGGGATGACATGGTTTTTGCTTGGCTTTTTTCTCAGCTCTTGTATAAACTCATAGGTAGTTTTGCCTTTGAACCCCAAATAGATGTGGATACCAATCAGGTATCCAATAGCCAAAAATACAGAGCCATTAATTAAAATGTCGACAAATAAAACCGCAAAAATCAAGGATTCAGTTGATTTATCATCTAGCAGTCCATCTGAAAATCCTTGCCTTAGCACATAAATTTCAAATGATAGCAATACGGAAGTCCCGGCTTCCAGAGTTCAAATTAGCGCAATAAATTTCCAATAATTGGATTTTCCCACACAATTGTTCAGTCATTTGCAGTGATGGTCAAATCTATCAACACATCGATTGCAATGACCACAGTGCTTTGCTGATTCTGTCACGTAAATTTTGCATATTGTGCAAAAAAAGTTGATACTTGTATCCAAAGCTAAATCTTCAACGTTGATTGCTATTGTTGGATCTGAGCTAGTTGCTATATAGCCTTCAATTAGAACTGAAATATGAAAAGTATAAAATAAAACCAAAAACAGGATAGCTAAGTCATTTGATAAGAAAAGTGAGACGCAGAGGATGCTGATCACTGTGTGAAGAATCATGAGGATTCATGAGGTAATTTGAAATAGATGAAAAGGCCTTCGAAAACCATTTTTCTTTGTCATTGAATATTGATTTTTTTAAAAATATATATCCTATTCTTACTTCCCCCTCTGTGAGAGAACAAAAAAATTGTGTTCGCTTACGGAGGGTTATTTTTTTTTTAATATATTTTTATAGAATTTTTTTTCTTCAAAATTTAAAAAAATTCCAAATTTCAAACATTGAGAAGCAAAAATTAATTTATTAGAGAAATTTAAAGTTTTAAAATGCAAGATGTTTTAAATTAAACAGAATTAGCTAGAGATTTCATTATAATACTTATCATTTATATATCAAAATTATTTTTTTATAAAAAAATTTTATTTTCTCACGGAGGGGTGAATTTTTGGGCAAAAAATAGGATTTTTCCAATAGTTTTTGTTCGCTCACAGAGGGGGGGAGCTAGCATGCAAAGAGTTTTATATTAAATTAAACAAGACTGTATATTCTTACCTGCTGCCTTAATTTCCTATTCATTTTTAATATCTAGACATTTACATCAAATAAGTTAAAAATAATTTATACTATTTGCATAGAATAAAAAATATATCTACTGGCTAGCCTGTCTATTTTCAAATATAAAATAGGATAAAGGAGTCCCAGTATGAATGCGTTTATTCTATGCAATTGAGATATTATTATGGCTATAATAATTAATAATTTGTATCTCTTTGCCTATTTTAGTTATTGCGCATCTTATTTAGTAAATGGGTTTCCATCCATAAACCCATCTACATCACTAATAGTAAATTCATTAAAAATTCCTTTAAAATTCGATTTCATTCACTCAGCTCTTCTTGATTTCTTGAAAAATCATTTATTATGCATAACCCTTTCCAATCTGAAAGAGTGAAACTCTAATTTTTCTGGGTTTTCATCTCCTTCCACAATATTCCCATCTTTGTCTACTACTAGCAGTTTAAAGGAACTAGTAAAGCCTACGTCCAAAACATACATATGAATTGATCGAAATTTCAAGGCCATCCTTAGATTTGCTAAATGTTCTTTAAATGGTGATATATCGTCTAGCTTATTAAGGTTCTTCAAGTCAAGCGAGTACATTTTATCGTCATAGCCACGATCTTTATATCCTTGTAAATGTTTAGAGAAAAACCTAAAAGAATAATATTCACGATTTTTACGAAAATCAGGCAAACTATTTTGGAGAATTTTATAGTTGGATTTTGGCAAATTCAAGTTTCGATAAGGAAGCAAATTACCTATATATTTGGTTCTACCTAAATATATTGTTTTGGACCTTTCTATATCTCCAATTGATTTAATTGCGTACCCTTGACCTTTAAAAGATATCATTGAATCCTTGATTTTTTTATACAAGTTTCATTCACATAGATCTTCTAGGTCTTGAATTCTATTATTTGCAAGTAAAGATAAGAATAATCCACAGCTACGACTTGCATCTTTGAGCATTTTGGCATGAAAATAGTTTAAAATTCTATCAATATTATTTAGAGACTTAATCTTAATTACTGAAAGACCTTACCCCAGTGTTAATGCAGCCGCCAAGGATCCCCCTAGGGAGCGTAACTGTGCTCAACTCCAACAATTTGTCAACAAGTCGAATGCGGTATCTTCTAGCTACTGATGCCGTGTAAAACTAGAATTAGGGTTTCTTCGAACTTGAGCCGAGTAGATACCTGTAGCAGATTACGGATATCTGCACCTTGACACGTGTCTCTGGGATAGCTTGATCTAGTCAAGTAAAGTCAATGGGTAGGTGCCTACTCTAGAAACTACTAGAAAACGGGTTGACCGTTGTGGTAAAGGTCACAACACATGGAATTGCGGTGTGAGATCCACCTTCGGTCCTGAAGGACGTTGCCAGGTTATCTCTTTCCAACCACAGGGACCAAATTAAAACTCCCTTAGATATACATAATCCATTTGTCTGAACTATATCACGACTGATTTCTCGCCTATTTCGCCTTGACCTTGAGATTTGAATAAATTGTCTCAAGAATTCAGTTTGCTTCGATCTCCTTTTATATATTCTTTAAATCAATGTCTTTTGAGTAGAATTGCAACGGGAAGTCAACTAAATCTTGGATGATTGCCTTAGGATGTATATGGTAAGGATATGGAGGTAAAATCTTTCTAGGCAATATTTTCATTTTTATTATAATTTAATTAGATATTTTTTGTTGAATATAGACTGTTGCTTCGCCTCAGCTCATTTTCTTTGTTATTGTCTCATGCACAGTCCATTTTGATGACTCAAGTACTCAACTTGTGGTTAAGATCCAAGTTCCAATTTTTACCGGAAAATCTGAAATCCTTCTCATCATGTCTGGGCTGTAGCATGTAGAATTGGCGAATATGAAATCTGCGTCAGCCCATCCTCTCTCAAACATATCGACATTCTCGAAAATTACTTCAGCGTGGCATGCTTCTGATCTACCTATGATTTCATCATACTTTTCTTTCATATTTAAAGATATGTCATATAAGCTATGCAGTAATTCCAGACCAACACATTTTTGAAAATTATGCAGCAAAGCAGCTGCTATCACACATTTTCCAGATCCGGATCCTAAATCATAAAATACTCCGCCACTTGGAATCCCTCCATATCGATTTTTTATAGTTTCGAAGACTTCACCTATAGAATAAAAATCGATTTCACCATATACAAAAGTTGAAGATTTTATACTGCAGCTAGTTCTTTCAGCTTTGCTTGCATTTTTAGCAATTTCATATGTCCAATCTCCAACTATTTGGTTAAATATTGCGCCTCTTCTATTTAGTTCCAGCTTTGACTCATCAGATAGTATATAAGGATTATCAGATTCATTGAGGAAATCCATTTGCTTTTTCTAGAATTAATCAATTAATTATAATCATATTAAAATTTATCTCAAATCTTAACCAATAAATCTTATTAGAAATAGCTGGATAGCATAAAAAATAACGCCTTGATAGGTATGCTCCCACTTTATCGGTGCCAAAAACACACGACTTGATATTTTTGCAATCAAGCAAAAGCCAAGGAAAAATACGCACTTTAAGAAAACAAACATGTGTATCATCGTCCAAGCTGTGTACATTTTCCCCCAATTACTGACTTGGACCCAGAGATTATGAAGGCCAAAGCACAGGAAAATTGTAAAAAAATACCCAGTGTGAGGAGAGTATTCATAGCTGTGATCTGAAGCTGAAATATAAAAAAAGCTGTATAATGCAGCTAAAGTTATACAAATTCAGTTTCTTATAGGCCTAGCTCGTATAGTTGATGGGAATGATACATATAAAAATTGTGTGACGACTGGAACTCCAAAATCAATGCATAGAATCCCAAAACTTGATGGCACTAGTCCACTATAAAGACTAGCTCCCCATGTTAGAAAGCAAAATCATTGGAATAATCCCTATCTTATGGAAATCAACCTCACTTTGTTAGCAGGCAAAGTATTGGTATATTATATATATATATATTTAATAACTATATCTCCAGCTAATTATTGCATTTTTGGCAACTTGCATCCTAAAATATATTATAAATTAACTTGGATATTTCATTTTTAATATTTACAATAAGCTTTATATAAAACTTTAAAAAATATCTCTGTCGCAAAAATTCTCCTCGCTAATTAAAGAAAGGCAGCAGTAAGCAAAATATGTGTAAAACATGGTATTAAAGACCCCACAACCGCTTGAAAAATAAATAAAGTCACTTTTCTAGCATTTTTCAGTTCAATTACAGCATTGAGGAAATCATCAACCCCTTTATCAGACAGCATAACTAAGTCTGAAATTGCTTTCACTTCTTTCGTATTAGTCTTGTGGGTCATTGATATTTGAGAAATTTTGAGTGCAAGCGAGTTTCTTCCAAAATATGCTGATTTTTTGTCTTTGTAGTTTTCTATTAAGTGGCAAGTGTCATAAGTTGATAATGAAGGGATCATGCTGAATCGATTGTTTTCAATTATTCTAGGATTCTTTTTAATTTGGTCTGGGAAGTAAATCATTGGGTCATTAGGAAGCTTGCCTAGATCATACACCTCTGGATCATGCTTGAGAAATCCTGAAGTAAGAGACAAGTTTACCAAATACTCTTTGGATTCTGGCCCAATCGCCACTATATTTATTCCTAAATCTGACGCAAGTTGAGCCCATTGTGATGCATTATTAGTGTGTTCTCTAATTCCCAGAATCCCAATAAGTGAGAAATTAAACATATCAGTCGTTATTCCAGACTCTTCAATTTTTTCAAGACTTTGAGGAAGCACATCTGAATATGCCAAGGCCAAGCATTTTATTCCATGATTTGCGAAGTCATCTATAATTGTAGCGAAATAACTTATATCAACAGGCATAAGTTTTCCATTCACATACATTTCTTTGGAGTTTTTCAAAACGTCCTTGGCATCGCCTAGTAAAATCCCACTAAAAGCAAGTTTGTCTTTATCATTAATGACTGCCAAGGTAAACTTGTTTTTCTCTGACATGTTTATCTTGTAAATTGTATCGTAATCTTTTTTACTTATTTCTAAGTCAGCTAAAAAGTTGATTAAAGCTTTTTCAAAAGGAGCTTTATATTGATCATCTTCTGAATCTTCTTCTGACTCATTAGGCATTTTTGACTTTAAAACAACATCTATTAGGTCAATTAGCAGTTTAAAGTCCTTGGGCTTGCTTTTCAAGGCTTCGGATGCAGTCATCAGCTTTCCTTCGATAAAGACCTGCTCGACTTCTTTTTGACTATTGAGCAGGGCATATCTAGTATCGATAAAAAGAGTTTTTATTTTTGTGAGTTCTTTATATGCGTCTGTATTTTTTGGATAAATATTGTTCTTTAGCAATACATGGCTGTGAGAAGAGGTATTAATTCCTTTCGAAAAATTTCAATAATGAGGCATTTTTATAAAAATCAAAAGTAAAGCAATTGCTGATACATACCAAGGTCTGGTACCAAATCCATATCTAAATAATACCAATCCTATTCATAAAATGCCCACGAAAGCTAGCCATTTAGAGTCGTTGTCATTTTCAAAATAGTCAATTTTGCTTAACTTTGCTAAAAATGTGTCTTTTCCAGTTTTCAATACAATTCCAAGCCCTTTTCCACTTTCAACTATTGATCCTTGGAAAGCCATATTTGGGCTTCTATAGTAATTGCCACTCCCATTTATTTCTCCTATATGAACTCCTTCTTTCCCAAATAAGCTGCACCCATTAATGACAGGTTTAATACTCCCCACATTAACAAGCCTTATATCAGCCGGAATGGTCATTGGTTCTTGTATTTGGATCACATCTCCACGGACTAAGAATTTGCTTTCAACCATATTTGAGGTCCCATTCCTTATGGCTGGCACCATAGAGTCTATTGTTGGGAATTCTGGATATTGCCGAGTAAATGCTTTTATTATGAATAGAGCCACTGTGAATAGAATAATAAATATATGAGAAAGTATATGTGATGGGCCTGTATTAGCAATTTCTGCCATGAGGGTTGTAAAGAGAATGCAATAAAGAATGAAAATTCGATTTATGTATAGTTGGGTAAGGACTGTAGGCTTGTGAGTTGGCAATATGTTATAGCCAGTTTCTACAAGACGGTCTGCGATTTGGACGTGGCTTAAGCCTTGAGTGGTTGATGTGAGACCAAGACTTTGCATCAGATCATCTAGTGGAATTAAATGCTCCTTTTCCATATTAAACAAATTTCTAAATTGATATCTACTTATAATGTGGCACAAAAAAGGGATTTTTTACTATTTATTTACATTTCATTTTTATATCGTTTTCGACATTTTGCAAATTTTGGTTTTGTTGCTACTGTATGCTCATATATATGGCTAATTGACCTCTTAATTCCTGAGCCATGACTTATCGGGACTCGAAACCTTGGGGAGAAAGCGAGGTGTTAATTTGCACCCGCCTAGGTTTTAAAGTTGCAGGTGGATAGGCGATGATGAGCTGACCTGCCTAAGTCAAATTCTGGAGCAAATTTTCCGCATAAGAAATAGGACATGAAATTCGAAAAGATTCTTCTATCAGTGTTAGTGCCTACTGGGACACTTACCCTAAGCAATACCAACAATTGCTCCTAAGCTTCAAGTTTTCATTTTAGTCAGCTAAATAGAAAGTTCGACCATTTGAATTTTATCCGACAAGGTGACACAAACTTTCAGACTTCAAGTAGCCCAGGTCCTCTCTGGAAGGAGCAGGACAGCTCAAGCCATGTCGAGGTTTGGCGAGCAAGTGGTGGAGCTTATGGAAGCGAATCGAGAGATTAACCCTGCAGAGGCTTCTCAATAATCTAAAATATCGATAACGCTACTGATGGTTCTATTTGTAAAAATTATAGAAAAGCTTGAAAAATCCATTTCTCTTATGATCTAATGCATGAATCTGTTTCTATCTCCACAATTTTATCCTTCTTTATAACTTTCATAGCGAACAGCTCGACAAGTAATTCAATTAATTTTAAACTGAACAGCAGCTTAAAGCTATTTAACTAAAAATTATCAACAAAAGACATGCAATAAGCTCATGTAACACATCCTAGCCAAATAAACTTATTACGTCATACAAATCTAACAACCATTCCAAAGATGATATCAGCCTATTTAGTAGTTAAAAATGTTTAGCATTACAATAGTTTACTACTTGACCCCATGGAACATCTTATAAGTACAGCTAAGATATTCCCTTCTAATGTTTTTAACTAGATCCTCGTTACCATCCATCCTTGCTTCTTCGAATTTCAAAGTTTCTTTCTGACACAACGCTTGGGCTTGAGCTCCTTTGGTGATTAAAGCCTTTCCAGCAGCTAACATAGCTCCAGGAAATGCTAAAAATTTAAGCGCCAAAGAGTTGTTTGACATTTTGATATATTTTATTATTATTCATGGAAGCTCCATTAATTAATTTTTCTTGACTATTTAACGATTTTTAAAGCATATTGCACAATGGAAAATTGTTACTATTTTTTTGGATGGTGGGTAGGCTATTTTCGATCCAATGATGAGTGCATATTATTAGATTCTTTCTTTAAGAGTTATCATAATTTTTATGAATTGTCTGGATGGAAATTCAAGCTAAATTCTTATAGGGAAATATATAAGGAAACATAATAGTTAATCAAATTTTGAGGAAATTGAAGAGAAGAATTGCTTTCTCTAGGAATGGAAATTCTTTATAATACAAAGTGCTGTAAATGGCTAAAAGAGGGAGATATCAGGCTGCATCCATCCAAAAACAAGTAATTCATGGCTCTCAAGAGCCTGAATTCCAAGGAGGGGCGACGTGGGCTGGTCTGTCTGATGAGATGCAATTAGAAGACCCCTATTTTTACTCATATTCTCATTTTGGCATCCACGAAGAAATGATTAAAGATAAGGTTCGGACTGAATCTTACATGAATGCGATCATCCAAAACCCTCAGCTTTTCAGAGGAAAGATCGTCCTAGATATAGGCTGTGGAACTGGCATTTTATCAATTTTCGCCTCACGAGCTGGCGCTTCACATGTCTTTGGCATTGATGCAGCCGATGTCGCAATCCAAGCCCAAGAAATCGTCAATTTAAACGGCTACTCAGACAAAATTACCATTATACGTGGCAAAGTTGAAGAAGTTACTTTGCCAGTCGATAAAGTTGATATTATCATCTCAGAATGAATGGGATACTTTTTGCTGTATGAAAGTATGCTTGAAACTGTTATTTATGCAAGAGATAAATGGCTGAATTCTGATGGACTCATGTTCCCTGACACGGCCAAGATGTTCTTATCTGCTATTGAAGATGCGGATTATAAAGAAAAAAAAGTTGACTTTTGGGACGATGTATACGGAATTGACATGAGTGCCATCAAGCCAAGCGTGTTGGCTGAGCCAATTGTAGACTATGTGGAGTCTCAGTATATCATGACCAATGAATATTGCTTGTTTTCGATGGATTTAAAGACAGTCCAAAACCAGCAGACGGAGCTTGCAGCAGCTTATCAGCTTACAGCAACAAAAAATGACTACTGCCATGCTCTTGTGGCCTGGTTTGAGGTAGAGTTTAACCATGGTTCTAAACAAATAAAGCTTTCGACAAGCCCTCAGAGAAAATCCACCCATTGGAAACAAACTGTATTTTATCTCAATGACGTTCTTCCAATGATGTCCGGCGAAGAGCTGAAGGGGACACTTGCAATTAGGAAGAACCCTCAACACAAGAGAGATTTGGATATAAAAATATCATATCACTTTGATGGAGCCAAACATTCTTATCACGATTATAGATATTACAAACTTAAATAAGCTAAGCAGTCTTTAAGAATATGACGATTACTGTAATGTCGTCGTTGTTGCTGTTTCTTTCACTCCATCTCTTGTTGGCTTCTTTTAAAAGAGAATCGCATGCTGACTGGGGATACCCAAACTCTCAGCCAACCTTGCAGAGAGAAACTGCTTCTTCGTTAGACATCACGTCTCACAGCCCATCTGAGGCAAGTATTATGAACTTATCGTCTTTTGTTAATTCAAATTGCCGCATATCAGAATTTTAAACTTAAATACAGATTGACTTATGCCTATTGGTAACACAGTCATCAAGGATCCTCCAGGGGATTTACCGACTTTGCAAAGTCGACAGGGAGAACTGGCTTGAATAAGATGACTAACTGGGCGAACACAAATTTCCTCTTCTACACCGTCTGACGCCATGGCACCTGTGAATTAGGTTTTTGTCCTCCTTGGCTTGTCGGCTCCAGTATTGAGTGGAAGGCTGTGAATTCTGCAGCATAATGCTTGGGTTGAGCGAAGGTTATCCGCAAAAAATCCCAAAAAAATTATTTCTGGTCAACTTTCAGCTAAAGAAAAAATTCAAATCCTGGGGCATAACTCCCAGTTTAAAGCTAATATGTCTGAATGGTCTAGGCATTGCCTGCAAACGCTGCTCGATTTCCCTTTCCATCTCTGAACCCACCTTTTCTCTCTATGTAAATCCAATCCTGAAAACACTAGGTCTAGACTCTGTTTCATTACCAGAATTGCGTCTTCCCATTTCTGAGTTAGCAAAACCTTAATAGATATAAATAAAATGTACTCGAAATTGCATTGCTAGGAGGCGATGCCTGGGCCGAGATGCCATTTTATTTATGATCCCGTATATCAGGGTCAGGGATAACGCCCACTTCGGTTGCAAATCGATCTCCGATAGATCTTGACATTGCAAGTCCTGGAGTATCTTGGTTGCCAATCCATACTCTTAAAGGCCCTACACTGCTTCCTCGGTGTGTGTACAGAGTATCAACTCTTCCTCCAAAACTTTCAATTCGCTTCCTTTCAGTCAGGTTATCTGGCTTATGGTCTTTCGACAGCGGAATAGCCACAAATCTTTTGTCTGTTTTCCTTCCTAAAACAGCCCGGCTATCTCCAACTGAAGCACAAGTCAAAAGTTTTCCTATAATTAAGACAGACACCAAGGTACTTCCAGAAAAATCAGTGTTAATATTTTTATTAAGCACCAGCTCCTTGTGCAACTTAATAATACATTTTTTCATGCTCAGAGCTGGGCCTTCTTGAGCTCTGTAGTTGAGCCTTTTATTTAAAATTTCTGGGAATTTTTCTTTGATTTCAGCAGAGATGATATGGCCATGAAGCCCATGGCCATCACACACCCCATACAAACTTTGTGACTCCTTGCCTTGGAATTTAGAAAAACAAAAATAGGAATCTTGGTTATGTGACTTGCTCAAAAGGCCGAGGGTCCCTGTTTTCGTTCTGAAATCATAAGTCTGATGAAAATATTTGAATTCCTTGGCTTCTTCTTCTTTTAAAGGGAAGAGCTTCTGTGTTAAGTGTTTAAGATTTCTTGCTAGAATTTTGTTCCTGTTCAGAATAAGCGTAGAGTTTGACTTTTTCGGGATTATGGAGGAGAGCGATCTGGCATTAATATTTGACTTTGATGGGATTGTTGAGGCAGCTTTTAAAGTGCTGATGGATAAATTTTCTCTTCTTTGGGACGATAAACTTGATCTATGATTAATAAACTGATACAATTCGTGGCTGACTGACTTTCTTTGGCTTCCATGAGCAGGAGGAAAAAATGAAAATTCATTCGACATTTGGGTGTTCATTTTAATAACAGAGGCCATTAATTCATAAAGATGCTAAAAATATGCAAATAAATCGTATTATGTTAGATGGAATTTATATAAATTAAGAGAAAATCACTAATAGAAGTATTGATAAGGTAAAATAGCTTCCTGAATCATCATTTATCTGATGAGGTGTTGGCCAGTTAGCAGGATTGAGATTGTTCCAAAGAGCCTGCAATCCCCAGTACTGAGATGTATACATCTTTTGAACACATTTATCATTTCCTTGTATTTTAGCATACATATTAACCTTTGCATATAAATACATAAAATAAACATAATTTGTTGAGTCCCAAAAGTTTTTTATACAATTAGTGCCAAGCCTTTGCATAGTATTGCAAATATAAACCTCCTCTGAAGTAAGCCATTTTTTCAATTGCCCTAGATATTCAACCATAGGCTGATCCCCAGGAAACAAGCTGCAATAGCTTGCTCCAGCTGAATTTAAGCCGCAAGTACAAGTATTGTGAAAAATAGTGTTAAATTTTGGTTCTGGATTAGAAGCACAGTCAGTTGGTAATTGTGAGCATTGAACAGGCAGAGTTCCATTTGAAGTTAAAGAAGGCATACAATAGTATTGCTTTCCGTTTTGAAAGCAGGCACCTGACTGGCATAGCAAATTGATATTATTAGTGCAAGATGCAAGAGGTGAGTAGTTAAGGATATTATTTAAAAGTCAGGCGTGAGCTATACTGGTGACTGCGTCACCAAGACCTCCCGTACGGGAGGTTCCACCGCTTTTCGACTCATGCCCAGAGGGTCTATCCCTCTTACAAGTGCCCTTCGGGTACCTTCTGTCTTCTTCTTGCCTTAAGGCTTCAGTCTTGAGTGAGCGGCTTATGGATTTTTGTGGCCCTGCTACAGACGATTGGAGAGGCTTGATTTCAAGGATCCTTGGAGTCTGTCATGAGTCTAATTGTCTTCCTTCGGCAGCTACAGGAAAAAGATTCTCGCCTGTGGCCTGGGCTGAAACCCCATTCTCGGTAGAGGAATGCCCATGGGTCCTCAGATCCAAAGAACGTTGTTTGAGCACTTCCATTTCCAATTACAGGAAAGTACCCAAAACATACTCGGATGCACACCTCTTGAGCCTGCACTTGATTCTCAGCTCGGAATCCGTCTCAATTCTCCGTCGCCATAAGGCCTGGACTGTTGTCCCAAAGAGGACAGGCTGAAATATGTCGCCATTTTAATGTATATGGTGAGTAGTCAGGGAATGTAAAATATGTATAGCAAGTTCCAGCTACACGGGTAGTTGAATTGCATCCTGCTCCATTTTCACAATCATAATCTGAAGTGCAGCCAGATTGATTTGCAGAGAGCTGGGGTTGGCAAGTGTCAGATGCTGAATTACAATAAAGCCCAGGGTTGCACGTGCTATCATCATCACAATCTTCTCCCTTTGCTGAGCCTGAACAAATTCCTGCTTGATTGCAGGGACCTCCATTTATGCAGTCAACACTATAATTGCAAAGTTCACCCACATGCGATACTGCAATAGATTGTGTAGGCTGAGTAAAAGAGCATAAATTTGAAGAAGCCGAACAAGTATAGCTGTTATCACATGGTCTTAAATACACATCTGTAGAGGTGCTGTTAATACACTGGTCCAAAGAAAAGTTTGAGTCATCTTCTGCGCATTGATATACTAAGCAGCCTGAGGCTTCGAGCGACTCTTTATTGATAGCTGCGAAAATTGGCACTAAAATAAAAATAATCGCCAATCCCATTATGATTCTTTTATTGCGACAAAAAAACTATTTTCTATTAATAAATTCTTACTCCCCCCCCCCCTCCGTGAGCGAACAAAAAAATTTTGTTCGCTCACGGAGGGGGGTTAATTTTTTTTTTTTAAAAAAAATTTATATATAAATTTTATAAAAAATATTTTTTTCGAAATTTAAAAAAATCCTAATTTGCAAAAATTGGGAAGCAAATATTAATTTAATTTGCAAAATTTATGTTTTAAAACGCAATTTGTTTAAAATTAAACAGAATTAGCTCTAGATTTCATTATACTAATTATCACTTATATATCAAAAATTTTTTTCATTAAAATTTTTTCTATTAAAAAAATTTTTGTTCACTCACGGAGGGTGGGTTTTTGGTCAAAAAATGGCGATTTTTCTAATGGTTTTGTTCGCTCACGGAGGGGGGGGGGGAGTTAGCTATTAGCCAGTTTTTTAATAATAAAATGCTACCTTTACGAAGGTCTGCCACCTTAAAACAAGGGGAATTAGAAAAAATAACCAATAACTCATCAAGTGCTATAACAATTTCAATCAGTGATCCTTTTGGAGATGCGAACTCAATCCCTAAAAAAGTGAGCACTGTTTTCCCACAATTAGACGTATCGAAGTTAAAAATCAGGACAAGATGGAATTCGATAATAACAGCAATATTGAATGTATTGATAATTCTTCTATTGTATAAAGAAAATGAAGAGTTTAATTCCAATCAACACAAATCAAATATTTCTGAAAATTTGCTGAGGATCTTCATTATATTCCTTAGCGCAATTTCTATCTTAGTCTTAGCTAGCTACATTTTTAGAGCGCTACCTTCTTCTGTAGTGTGATTAGGCCCCCGTTTAGCTTTTTAACTCCAAATTAATTACGCACTGGGAATTCTGACTTGCTAGCAAGAAAATCCTTACAATGTACATTTCACTACTCTGCTTTACAAGGCTCCTACATGTGTTCCACCTGAGAGTAGCCCTCCTCTGATGTGCTGAGATTAAATCCTTAAGCACTTGATATCTAGAAAAGCCAACCCCATAAATAAAATTCCAAGAAAGAGAAAATTATTTGCGTTAATTTCTCTCTAACGAGTGCCATTTTATTTATCGAGCACAGTTCTATCAGTTTAGTCATACAATATTGATCAATTAAGCTTTATCAGAAAAAAGCATATAGAGAATGCCATGTCAGCAGTGGCTTCTGAGAATATCCTAAAATAAGAAATTGAATGTTGCTTGAAATAATATTTTGCTGCATAAACGTCCCACCATACTGTGACTGAACCTTCACTTTTAAGCAGCTCAACACATCATCAATAATGTCAGCTGATGATATTATAGTTTCTTTATCCTTTATAAGACTCTACTTCGTTTTTAAAATGATGTATGAGTGCTCAACCTATAGCTCAAGGAGAGCTGAATATGTGTGCAACATGGAAAACGTCAAAGATATTATGGCTTTTTCTTTAAAAAGCATACTAACAATCCAAACATACTTTTCGATCTTATTCCTATTGGCCTTGCTTATGATTTCTGGAGGTGCTCTGTTAAGAATCTTTGAAAGGAGCATTTCCAATACAAAATTTGACTATATATGAAATGGGTTCTTCACAGTCGCTGCAACTGCATTAACCATTGGATATGGTGACTCCGTTCCAACAACTCATTTAGGTCGCTTTATATGTGTAATTGCAAGTATATTTGGCATTTTTTCAGTTTCTTATACTGTATGGGCAGTACAGAACAGCATAGCTTTCAATCACAGCGAATTCCAAATCTATGACGCCATGGTATTCAAGAAAAACATAAAGAAAAAGTTGGAACCAATAGCATCGATTCTTCTGCAAAGATGGTGAATTCTTCTTCAAAAGCGAAAACAAAGCCAGCCTCGTCTCCAAGTCTTAAACGAGTTTTACTGCCAGTTCTATAGATTTAAGCTCTTGAAAAACCAAATGAAAGGCGACGTCAATAAAACGCTTTCAGAAAACATCAATGACTTTGCAAGCAAATTAAATATTTGCATGCCAAAAATATTTAACCACTTGGAGCCAGGGCAAAAAGTGCTGGAAATTGCTGTGGAAATGACCAACAACCAGCTATTTATCGCAGAAAAGTTAAAACGAATACAGAATGGCACCCGGAGTTTAAAGAAGCAGATTGGAGAAATCACAAATAGTAGCATCAATGATTATGCACATCGGAGGTACTCGGATAAAACGGGAAAGCGTGCTACTCTTGTTGAGATGAAAAAAGCTCAATGCCGCGCACTAAAGAAACTTATGAATCGCAGGACAAGCGACTCCTCTATTAATTCTGAGCTTTCTTCGCCTCGGTTTAGGGCTGACTCGATTGCTGATAGTGATGCCGCCTCTGATCAGTAGATTCAAGAGCAAGTAAAAGAGGCATTGAGCTTTATGTGATATAATATATTTGTAGTATGGTATAAAATAGATAATAAAGAGATTTAAAAAGTGGTCCCAGTGAGGATCGAACTCACGACCTCTGCGTTATTAGCACAGCGCTCTAACCAGCTGAGCTATGGGACCTACAGGCTCTAGCATGATTGTTTGCAATTTATTCCAAAAATTAGCGATTGAGCAAAACTCTTAATCCTCGGTAAATATTTTAAAATTCAATAAATGAATTTAATTTATAGCTTTAATAATTTATTCACTAATACTAATTTTTTAACGATATACTTGCCAGACCTTTTGATCTTTTATTATTTGAATTAATAATCAATTAATTGTAACAGTTTTTTTAAGCAATTCCATATTTAGTAAAATAAAATTTAAGAAACTTTACATTATCGATAGCAGAGAGTCTTCATCAATCTTGACTTTTTAAGAGCTAGAAAGATAAATACACTTTCAGAAGCTTTTGAAGACATTAAAACAAAAGCCAGTAGCAATTAAATAGCTCTATCCTCCTATGCTGAAATAAATAATGATGGAAAATCAGTGATATGATAAGCTCCTATTTTCATGAGAAAAAATTAGCTTACAAAAGATCTTAATAATAAATACCAAAGAAAATTAATGAATTGCAACATCTTAATCCCTTCCTTCCATGAGTGTGCAGCAATATTTTACTCGGAACGTACTTTATTTTGAAGTATTTTTATATATAAATTGATTTTAAACTTCAAAATTTTAAGCTGTTTTAAAAAAATAGAATTAACTGAAGCTTGATTTCTCAAAGAGGAAGGCTTACTGAGTGTACCCATTTTATCTGCCAGCATTTTATAATTTATAAATTCAATATAGTAATTGTTACTTATATAGCCCAAGCATAATATCAGATCGTACTGGGATAGGCATTTTCTGGGCTATTCCTCAAGTTAATTCTCCAGCTCATATTAACTAACCAACTTGGAGAGTTGATGGGATAATTCTTTATGAGTATATTTGTTGACTCCAATAATTGGTTTGTCAATATGACTTGAGAATCAAATCGAGGAGTAGCTCAGAAAAAGCCCAGCCCAGGACGATCTGATATTGTGTCTGGGCTACATAGAAAAATATTTACATTAAAAATATTTTACTAGCTCATAGAGCGGATTTTATTTGGATTTTTGCAATAGCTGCTCATTCTTAGAGGGTGGAGAGTAATTGAACTCAATCAATGCAGTAGTAGCCAAGTCTTCTAAAATTTTGGAAAATAATTTTCTTATAAACTAAGGCTCAGGTTTATTAAAGACAGTTATTATAAAGAAGAAATCATTGAGTTTATAAGAGATTTTCTATGAAGAATTCATAAGAGAAAAGTGAAAATTGTATGATCTAAATAGAAATTTAGAGAGCAAAACATGAAATTGTGGAAAAATGTTTTAATTCAAATAAAAAATAAAATAAACCAAGGGAATTAAATTTTAATGCTATAATTCAAAAAATTATTTTCAATTCTAAAAAAGAAAATTATGAAGCAAATTGATGATCTATAATTATTCATTTAATCCCCATGCTTATTGTAGTAAAAAAAAATTTAATTCGAATAAAAGCAGCCTCAGCAACTAGACTCCTCAAAGAATTAAGGTGAGGCAGAAAAAAATTCGCGGTCGTTTTTGCAGCCTTTTTTTGGGTGGAAAAAATATCAGTAGAAAAGACTTGTAAGAAAAAGATTTACGGTGATGCTTTTGCAAAAACAGGCTGAAAAAATTTCATAAATTGATTTTATTATCAAGATTAATTTATATCTAGTAGAGAAGAATAATAATATTATATTAAATATTAGTAGAATTTATAGTTTTAAGCTAAAAAATAGATAAAATAATCCTTAATAAATGATAGAATGACACAGCGCATATTATATTATATTATATTATAAAAAGTATAATTTAATAACGCTTGAGGTATTAAAATAGCGATAAAAAGGCAGAAAAATCATCTATAGCTTATCTGGAGCACCTTTCTTGTATGAGAAGATTAAGAAATATCGTCCTTCGCCCCTTTTTGGCGCTAGTAAGCAGCAATTATGAATTTTTTTCAGCCTCCTTTGCAAAAAACGACTGTGAATTTTTTTTACCCCCCTTTTTTTCTTGCAAGATTTTTGTGCTGCTTTTTTTTCACAAAAAAAATTTTCAAGTTTTTTACATCATTTTATGCCAAAAAAAAAGAGGTGGCAAAAATCGCCTCACCCAGAATTAAGTGCTTTGCATAAAACTAAAAATTTAACTCAAACCAGTTTTTCAACGACAATCTCTAAATAATTAATATATTGTCCTATACTAAATTGCTCTCTTTAAAATTTTCAGATAATTTACAGTAAAACTTTACTGTTATTAAGTAATATAATTTCAAAATTTATATATTAGAAATGTATTTAAATAACTCAAGTCCAGTGAAGATCACAATATTTCTCAATGGCAACCTGAAAAAGAAATGCCAGCTCACAATACAGAAAAGTTCAACGATGTCAGAAATCCTTTCGGATTGTAAAGATAAGCTTAGCATTGACAAGCACACAAAATGCAGGCTTTATGACTCCAATGGAGGACAGCTTTCCGACGACGACCTTGAATATATCAACCCTGATGAGCCACTTTTCCTTTCCAAAGGTGAAAAATTCTCAAAAAGTTCTTCACTGGCAATTTATGAAGAAATCAAACAGCTTGGGAAGGGTGGCTTTGGGTCAGTTTTTCTTTATAGAAATAGAATAACCAAGCAAGAAGTCGCCTTAAAGTTCGTCGAACTGAAAACGATTCTGTCTCCAGAAGACGTAAATAGAGTGTTCACTGAAATTGGGGTTTTAAGGAATCTAAAACACCCGAACATTGTGAAGCTTATTGACGCCTTCGATCTGCATGATAAAGTTTGCTTTGTGATGGAGTACTGCAGGGGTGGAGAGCTCAAGCAATATCTTGAAGAAAAAGGTCCGCTTTCGGAGAGGGAAGCTTTTTTAATTGCTTGTCAAATTTCTGACGCAATAAGATATTGCCACAATTCAAGAGTTGTCCATAGAGACCTAAAACTAGAGAATATTTTATTTGCAACAGAAGAGAAAGAACAGATAAAGATCGTAGATTTTGGGATATCAGGGATGTTTGCCCTTGGAGGAGAAGGGGATGCTAGTGATGCAGGATCACTGCTATATATAGCTCCTGAAGTGCTATCTGGTAAAGACAATCGGACAAATCCAGCTTTAGATATCTGGAGTCTGGGCTGCATTTTCTACTCACTGCTCACCAAAAATCTGCCATTTTCAGGGGAGACCCAAAGAGAAGTAATCAATCGGATACTTACTTGCCAATATCCGCCATTGCCACAAACCATATCAAAAAGCTGGCATAAGCTAATTAAAGGAATGATAAGGGTGAAGCCAAGTAAAAGATGGGGAATGCTGAGGATAAGTGAGCATTTATATAAATACAGGAACAATCCTGATGCTGAGGTAAGTTCTGATTCTGAAGAAGAAACTTTTGAAGAGAAAAAAATTGTGCTGAAGAAGAAGCCGCCAAGCAGAAGTTACCCAAAATTGGTGTTCGCAGATAAGCAGAAAAGGTATAAAACGCCAATCCTTCGTCCAGTTGAGTAAGAGATATGTAGAATTCCTAGAGGAAAAAAATCCAATTCAATAACACCTGGGCCCAGAAGGCAAAGCCCTGCACCTCAAAATAAGGTTGCAAACCAAGCTCCAGTGCTGATTCAAAGAAAATCTATATTAAGAAAGCCAGCATAAACTCAAATTTTAAAATTGTTGTAATGCTAGTCATTGTCTTTTAAAAGTCTCTGTCGATAAGTATGCTAATATTTATTTGTCTCTTAGAATTTATCTTTAATAGTCTGTTAGCAGTTTCAACGCCAACTTATATGATGTTTGCTTAGGAATGAGCTAGATATGATCTAAGGAAAATACTCCCTATCAAGAATTCTTCCAGTATTTCTTATGCTATCATAATTTAGGAAAAAATCGAATTATGTATGAGTATTATCCAGACAGATCTTGAAGGAAATCAAAAATGTCTGTTTTATTTATGCAAGCTTCGATGTCGTTCCTTTGTAAAGTCCTTCGCTTCGCTTCTTCTGTATATGCCCAAGATCGATGAGTAAGTTCTATGATAAAAAACTCGCACGCCTTTGCAAACACAGCAGGGGATTCAGCGCTGATCATCCTGACGTCTTCGTCTGATTTCATGATCTTTTTGACTCTTGCGAGCGGAAGCTGATGGTTAAGTTCGGTTATTAAACGGCAGGTAACGTAGTCACTATGGACATCCTTTACAGGAGGCTCATCCTCTTTGAGACGAAGAACCCCGCTATAACCAGCATAGTCCATCTCCTCCTTGCCTTGAGAATTTAGTCTTGTGCGGGTGATTAATAGGCTTCTGCAGCTCTGCAAACAATAATTCTAGTAGATTGGTTCAAATGATAGATCCTGGGCGTCTGTCAGGTGTCAAAAGCCTTCATTTTTAGCTGCATAGGATAGATTCCCAACGGCTCGGACATAAAGCCTCGGCTTGTCGTTAGGGTAATATCCAAGATCTGAAAGCAGCCAAAACTTACTGAATACAACTCTACAGAATCTGCACTCGATTCTCTGCTCGAATTCCGCTCAAGTTTGCCTTGGCTTTAAAGTGTTGGCTGTTGCTTCAACCCATTTTAATATATAGCGAAAACTGATGGACTTTGAAATCTTGGCTATCCATGTGCTCGATTTCGACCTTTTGGATGTGTAAAAGCTTGTCCAAGCTTGCAGTTTGGTCCCTGCTTATGGTGTTGTCTAAGTGGTCACCTAAATCAGGAGGCAGCATATAAACTCCCATCATTTGAGTTTCTCTATTAGGCTCCATTTTATTATTATAGCGACATGGAAAAAAGGATTTTAGATCACTTTGCGTGCTGCTTGATTTTACTGGTAATGAAAAAATTGATAAAACTAAGAGTAATTCATTTATTTAATAATTTTGATATATTTAAAGAGATAAATGGCCTTAATAGTAAAATTTTAATATAATAAATTTTAATATTGTATAAGGAGAGTGTGAGCCAACTTGCCATGCTCATTGCTTTACTCATGCATTTTCGGCTATTAATCTGATTTTCTATTTATCAAAATTAACTTATTGTTTAAAATCCAGCAGCTTTTTACAGAAAGCTTGCAAGATTAATGGAACAATTTTTATTAAAATCCCCTGTCTTAAAGCGTTTTATAATTGGATTTTATGGGTTTTTCCAACCTATTGGCTTTATTGAGTTAAAAGGGCAAGTAAGCCGAAAAACTTACTTTATCTAACTCCCCCCATCCTTGATCGAACGGCTCGCCATCGTTTAATCAAGGATGGCAAAAGCAAAAAAATAAGACGCCTTGGGCGTGATAAAACGTAAAATAAAAAAAAAAAATCAAGGATGGCGGTTTAAAAAAAAATTTATATATGAAATAAAAAAAATATATATTTTTTTTTATATACTTTTAAATAAGAGGGTTAAGAGTATTTAATAGTTATTTTACAGCCAAAAATTGAATTAATTTCATAAGAATACCAATTTTTAATATTTTGATTTTTTGGTTACCCCTTTAAACTGAATAAATTTTAATTTGTTCCTGATTGAATTAAAAATTTGTTTTTTTTTAATTTTAAAGAATCTCTATTTTTTAGATTATTGAGTTTTTAAGCCAGGTTGATGACTAAATCACTTCGTATGGTCGATTTCGGAGCTTTCTGTCGTATCAAAGCCTCTAAAACAACTTCATTAGGTACATCTTCCCAAGCTTTTGATAACTAATATATTTTTATATATATAAAAAAATTTGCATGATATGAAAATCGTTCGATCAAGGATGGGGTTAATTTTCCCAATTTTTAGAAATTTTTACAGTCAATCGTTCGATCAAGGATGGGGGGAGTAAGTAGGCTGGCTAGAGATTTCCAGCAGATCTTTCACTGGGTCGCTGGTACTATTTTAAAAAAAATTACTACAATATTAAGTTAATCATAATTTAAGAGTCAAAATGAGCTAATTGCCATTTATTTATTCATAAAGTCTCTACAAAGAGCAAACCTAGCCCTTCATATTTCTCAGTCTCCACTTCAATAAGAAATTCAATAACCGGCGCTTTGTTTCTATTTTAATCATCTCTTCTTTTTTTTTGTCATTTCTCTTCTTTACCTTTTTCAGGTAAAAATAACGATATTGGACTTGTTCGAGTTTCATCCCAGGAAGTTCGATCATTACTCTGCTTCACTTGATCCGCCCATTGACTTTATTTTTCTCAACAATTTTGCACATGGCTTGGGTTTGACTTTTGCTCCAATGCCTGCCTTTTCGAATGCTCCAATCTTCTACGCTGAGCATGCAGTCCACGTTATTATCATAAGTACATTGGGAATTTTCTTCTTTAAATTCCTCAAGCTTTAGGTCTTCGCTTTCTCGAGTTATTTCTACTTTCATCTGTTATTGTAGGTATTGAGATAAGATCTCTAATATATTCAGGCATTTTTGAGAGACCAATATTCAGAATTTTTCTTTCTTCAAAACTTCGATTATTTTTGAGATTTACGGAAGCCGCTTTTAAAAATGTAGGGATTGTGTATAGAAGTTTCCTATGTTTGGCGCTGTAAGGCCGATAAATTCTGATCGGAATTTATCGGTTGGTTGCACCAAATCAATGCCTTGGTCGGACCAAAAAGCGATTTGGTCCGACGAACTTGGAAAGCTCCTGGGAAAATGTCTGCGCTTTCAGCGCTATATAGAGGAAACCTCTATAGCTTGACTTGAAAAGCAGATCAGTAAAAATTTGAATTGAGGATTGAAAATCATGAGCCCAAAAATATCTTGAGAAGATGCTAATCTAAAATTTGGGGATTAATATTCGCTTAAACTTAATAAAGATTATAAGAGAAGCTCCCTGGAGACTAATTTTAGGCCACTATTCGCCTCTGTATCGCTCTACCGCTTACTTGGCAACTTCGGAACGGCTTGCACTGTGTTGCTCATAACAATAATTAGGCTGTGCTCGTTACTCGAGGGCAGAGACGCTGGATCATCCTTTCACATGCCTGTAAGGTCCTTAACTTACGCTGATACTAACTCTCCTTTCCGTGAATGAACAAAAAAATTTGATCGCTCACTATGAATTATTTTTTTTTTTAAATTTATATATAATTTTTTAATAAATTTTTTTTCGAAGTTTAAAAAAATCCCAATTCGCAAAAATGGAAAGCAAATATTAATTTAATTTGCAAAATTTATGTTTAAAATGAAAGCTGCTTAAATTAAACAGAATTAGCTAGAGATTTCACTATACTAATTATCATTTATATGTCAAGTTTTTTTTCATAAAAATATTTTATATTATTTGTATAGTAATTGCCCGAGGATGGCGCTATCTTGCACCATCCTCGGGCAATTCCTATATGCTAAAAAAGGGTTTTTTTTTTTTCGGGGGGAGTAAGAAGGTAGGTTGGGTTTGTTGCACCATTTCATGAAATTGAGATAAATATTCCCAATACCCAAAAACTTTCCTTTGAAGTGCTTAGTTTACGAAAGCAGGTAATTGAATTGTTCCGAATCATTAGATCAATGATAATATCATTCAGATGAGAAAGCACGAGCATGCATTTTTGCTGTTGATGGTCATTTTGTACATTTTTGATTTGGCTGCAAAGATAATAGATTAACCCCCGAATCAATTCCGATAGTGAGAAATCTGATTCTTGGATTGAAAGCATCAAGTAATCTCAAACTTGATGAAAACTAAGCTACTTTAGCCACAAGAAAGCAAAGGGAGGTTGCCTTTACCCTATCGAAGAGATTTGTTTTTCTTGTGTGTATGACTGCTTTGAGTTATAAATGTATGATTAGCGTTTCCCATAAGCTGAGTTTTAAATTTAAAAATGCGTAACTTTAAAATTGAAGACAGTTTAAAATTTATCCCTAAATCCAGGATATAAAATACCATTAGAATTTTTATTAATTATTTTATATAAAACTAATAAAAATTTACTTTCAAAAAAATTATTGAGAAAATAGCTTTTGTTTCTCTAATTATCAGAATTATGATTGCTGCAGTAGATATGAAAGGCGACTAATCTCAATTAATTGTATTTATCTTAAAAATTAAATATACATAAAATGGCGTATGGCGACCGACCCACCCTCTCAGTGGTGGTTACCCATGTATATCCGGGCATGGTTTTTGGAGCCAGGAATTAGCCCAACAACATCTGGGACCTCGAAGCGAGAGGCCTAAGCGCGAGAACCGCTGTTTTTGCGACCAGATCCATGGGCAGTTATTCATGACTTCTTTTTGCCAGCAGCGCTCAGCCCAGTGAGTGCCCGAAATGAGGCAGGGTGACTTACCTGCCTAAGCTGCTTTAGTGGCTCGCCCCGAATGGCGAAAGCTGTTGAGTTCTTCCTCGGGATGACCGGAAAAGAGGGGAGGCGAGTTAGACACCAAAACGGGGGTCTCTCCAGTTGAAAAGGTGCCCTTCAATGGGCAGATCTGGCGGACGACGAAGCGGAGTTGGCGTAAACTTAGGCGACGATCCAAGTTGGAAATGGAGGTGGTCAGCAAAGCCGGTATAAGACGGCCCTTGACAATGCCTCTACCGAGAAACCGGGGGTTTCGGCCCGGGCTTGGTGAACGCTCTGCCACCACACGGGAAACCGTGGCATGCGACCTCGGACGTAGTAGGGACCTTAAATACCCAGCGTAATCTTAATCTTAATCTTAATCTTAAAAATTAAGAAAACCATAAATGCATTAATATATGTCTGATAAAGCAGATGAACTTCTTAATTCAGCTTTGCAAGAGTTCCAAGACCCAGAGGAAGAAAAATCAGGAATTCATGAGAAAACGATCAGAGAAGAGATGGTTGAGTTTGAGGAAAGGATCAACGATGACCCTGAAATAGAAGCCATGTTCAATGAACTAGCAGAGGAACTTGAATCTAACTCAGAAATCCGCAAAACTATTGAAAAGGTTGGCCAAGACTTATTTAAAAAAGGTGTTTTAAAGGAATCCATGATCGATATTCGTGGAAGGCTAAGTGAGTACATCCAAAGAAATCGGCACACTATCCCTAAAAAGGAATTATCAAGATTTGAGATACAGCTAAGCACATATAATGAAATTTGTGAAGCCATCCAAGAAAATAATGAAAAAAGCGCGATGGAACTGATTTCGAAGCTGAGCTTGTATGGAGAGTTGCCTGAAGAGCTGACTTTGAGCAGCAGAGTCGAATGCGTTATTACTTAAGCTTTTTTTGTTAAATTTTACTTGATTACCATACTCTAAGCCCATAAAATATGAGAATATTATATGTATTAATTTTTCCTTTTTAATTAATTAAAAAATATTTTCTTTATAAAGAGCTCCATTAATTTTGATGAATATTTTCCATTAACCTTCTAAAATAAAACAGATTTTTGCTATCAATTAATTCAACAATACTATCATTGAACATTTATGGCCCTGGGACGTGATTTGCCAAAAATGCCATGCTACTCCTTTATATCTGTACAGTTTAGAAATATCTACCGATATAAAGCTCATTTCTAATTTATAATTAAAAATTCTCAATAAAAAAACTGCTCTTTTACTGATTTAATGCTATTCGAGGCTAGCTCTTATGCACATAATTTGCATTATTAAGAGTAAAGTCTTTATTTAATTATCGATTAAATATCAAAGTGTTATAAGCAATACAATCTAATTATAACTTTGAATTTTAAAACTCTCCCAAAAAATCAGTAGGATCTATTTCATTCTGTCGTTGTGATCGGCCTGAAAATGTTTGGCTCGTAGAGTCCATATGATCAGTCGGTTGGGAACGACCAGCAGAAATACTGCTAGAATCAACTACATCTCATATATCTTGTATATGAGCTTCTGCATCAATTTCATGATACCTTTGGGGTCTCTTTCTTCGGTCTTGTCCATGTGCTCTTCTAGGGTCCATTTCTTAAATTTTATTGGAATTTTTTATCCTAAAAATTATTATAATTTAACGATAAACTGTAAACCTCGACTCCTCCAAATATATTAAATAAAGATTTTAAGTCTATTTACTTGGTGCTCAAGTACATACCTATTGCTAAGAAGTCGAATTTAAAAGGCTGCCTTTCATAAGGCTTTTCCTCATCCAGAAAACTGTTGTAGCGATCAGATTCTGGCAGCCTTGGGCTACTGAAAGAGTCTTTGATATTTATATATCTTGTATTCTTTCGTGCTTTGGACCTTGGAGTGCCTAGAAGTGATCCATGCCTCGAGCACGGGATACTTAAAAAGTGTTTCCCTTTTCTTGATTTTGATGAAATCAAGGTGAGTGATGGAGGATCTAGTCAGGCTGAAAGCAGCTCTTTGCCATCAAGAGTATACAAGTTTTCAAGATGTTCAGTCACTTGGGACAGGAGTTTCTCACACTGAGTGATGTTTCTATCATATTTGTCAAGGCAGGCGTTATGAAACCTCGTCATGCTATAAATCCACTGCCCAGTTATCTTGACTTCTCCGCTGCTTATTCCTTCAGGCCCTTCCAAATCATACCACCTGCAATGGACTTGTTGGTCTTCATAAGTCTCAAGCTCGATAACAAAAGAACCTATAAGTTCTGGGTTTGAGTCGTCATCCCACAGCTCGAACTCAATCAAATGGCTTTTTGAGGTCACTGGGATTGAGACTTTTTCGTTCCAAACTGGTTCAGCAGAATCAACAATCAGCTGTGACTGAAAAAATAGTTCGTCATCACTTTTTACAGTAAAAAATGAATCTGCTGTGTTATTCGTGTTCATTGCAGGGAGGTCGCGAGCTTCTTCAACGATAAACTCGAATTTGCTTCCATCCATGATGCCATTATAACCGTATTCATCTCTGTCACCTTGGCTCTGCAGGTGTTTTCTTGTTTTACTTTTGTATTGGCTTATTTGATAAATTAAATAGTCCTCTTGGTCTTTCAAACGCAAAAGTTCAGCATCAAATGCATCAATGAAGTCATCTTTGTTGATAGTTGAAGGAAGCATGTCAGTATTCACATCGCGGCCTAAGTACTTCTTTATTGTTCTAGCAGTGATCATTTGCCCGCCTTCGCTTATGTGATGGAAAATTCGTGAAAGCTCTTTAGTTCTTCCAGGAGTCGTCATATTGATATGCAAAATTCAAACCAAAAAATCAAGAAATATTTTTGGTTTAATTAGAGAATTTGAAGAGAATTAAGGCATGTTATAAGAGAAATAGAATTATAAGGAGAAATGCTCAGGAAATGACATTTGGGCTTGCTCAGAGTTTTTAATAAATAAATTAATATTGGAGATCTATTCTGCATGCCTGTTGATATTTATTAAAGCAGCAAAATTCTAGCCATCATTTTTTCTGATCCAATGATGAATTCTGGTCAATTTGAATTAAAAATTAAAAATGTCGCACGGCGATTTGATGAAATCTTGAACTGAATCAAGTTTTTGCTATCGAAACCGAACTTTATCTAAGAATAACTCCTTATCAAAACCCTCAGGACTTCGTTTCGAAATCAAATATGCAATCTTACCAGACTCAGTCATGAGAATTCCAGGTGGCATATCTTTTAAAGCTGGCAGTGCTTTTGAAGACCAACCCTTCTTAAAAGGAGAGATTATCATGTACTCAACAACCGGAAATCTTCATACGTATTTTGACGAAATAATTCCCATTTACAAAAGATTTCGGATACCAACCTCTGATGTTCTAGCTCCTCATTTAACAACGAACCGTATTTTGTTCACTGTTAATTAGGATTGATAGTAAAAAAATCCTTTATTAAATGTAGCTTAAGGAAAAAAGTTTGGTAAAAAACGTAACATTTGCTCATTATTAAATAGAGGGATTAAATGAAAATCTTCTTTCAAGGGTCCCACACTCATGTATTTCTATAAGCAACAATTGTGTTATCTGGGAGCACGCAAGTAAAAAATATGTTTTAAATTTGAATCCGTTCTCTATAAATTGTTATTATTTAGGGCAGCTTTACTTAACTGTAAACGGAAATTCTTTAATGAATTTCGAACGATATCGGAAAAAAAATGAAAAAATAATTGTTAAAAATGCAAAAAATATTGGGGACTGTCCTATGAAAATTATTGATGCTACTGGGATTTATGAAGAAGTTGATGGGGGGTTAAAAATAGCTGAAGGTCTGTGAAGTGAGAAGTGAAAACAATGGATCGACCATAAACCTAGAGGGCCATGCAGTGTTGGGCTTGATTTTGAGTTCGAAAAAGCCACTCATCTATTTGGACTAGCTGCACATGCGAATAGCTTAGCCTTACAAGATACAGCTGATGAAGCTCCATATAGGCTCTTTAATTTTGACAATTTTATGTATGATTTAGGCTCCACAAAGCCATTATATGGATCATCCACTTTTCTTTTAAGCAGAACAAAAAATGAAGCTTCTGCAGGAATATTTTGGATGAACAGTTCAGACACCTGGGTAGATATTTCCACTCATGACTCATATAAGCGCACCCATTGGATGTCAGAAGCTGGCATTATGGAATTCGTATTAATGGTTGAGCCTAGTCCATTAAAAGTGATAGAATCGTTCACCATGTTCACTGGGCCTCCTTCATTTCCACCTCTTTATTCTCTCGGCTATCACCAATCACGCTGGAATTATTCTCAAGCAGACGTAAAAGAAGTATCCGAAGGCTTCGACAAGAACAATATTCCTCTAGACTCCATTTGAACTGATATTGACTCTGTGGATGATTTTAAATATCTCACTTGGAACCATAAGCTATTCCCAAATCCTATTGAGATCCAGGACTATCTCAACTTAAAAGGAAGAAAAATGTTTATGATTGCTGACCCTCATGTAAAGAGAAGCTTCAAATATCCAATCTATGCTGAAGCCCACTCCAAAGGCTTATTGGTAACTGATATTAATGGCTACGAATTCATGGAAGACTGCTGGCCTGGAAATGCATGCTGGCTTGATTTTTGTAATATAGATACAAGAAAGTTATGAGCTGAATTCATTGGATTTAATAAGCATGAAGACTCAACCAGCTGCTTGAGCTTTTGAAATGATATGAATGAGCCAGCACTATTTTTTGGACCTGAGAAAACACTGCCGAAATGAACTCTGCATGGAGATTATGAGCATAGAGAAGTTCATAATCTTTATGGGATGTATATTCAAAGAGCAACATACGAAGGAGCCTATAATAGATCTTTAGGAAAAGATAGGCCATTTATACTTGCAAGGGCTTTTTATACTGGAAGTCAAAGATATGGAGCGAGGTGGACTGGAGATAGCAGCGCTATATGGGAATATTTAGACTATTCAGCTCCACTGATGCTATCTATGGCTGTTTGCGGACTTTGCTTTACAGGTGGAGATGTTGGTGGCTATTTTTCAGATCCTTGTCCGGAACTCTTTGTGAGATGATACCAGCTAGGAGCTTTTATGCCCTTTTTTAGATCGCATAGTGACAATTTATCGAAAAGAAGAGAGCCTTGGAAATTTGGGCAGCCTGCTTTATCATTAATACGAGAAGCCATACAAGACAGGTACAAGTTACTTCCATACTGATATACTTTGTTTTATCAATACTGCTGCGAAGGAACTCCAGTCATTTTGCCAATGTTTGCTTTATATCCAGCAGATGATTTTTCAATAACTCTTGATAGACAGTTTCACATAGGCCCTGCCTTGTTAGTTGTATCAATTAGTAAGCCTTTGCAGAAGAGCATCTCTGTTTATTTGCCAGAGGGAAGGTGATATGACTATCATACCTATCAAGAATGCGACCATGGGAATATATATTACCAAACCTCAGAATTTTGGATTCCTTCTTTTATTAAAGGGGGCCATGCAATACCTCGGCAAGATACCCTAAGGTCATGCTCGAGAGATATGTTTTATGACGATTACACCTGAATAGTTGCTCTGGATAGAAATTTACAAAGTCAAGGACAAATTTATATAGATGATACTTGTACTTATCAATATAAAAGTGGCAAATATATTTTTGCTACCATGTCTTTTGCGAATTTATCATTGAAATATCAAGTGCATAAAGGTATGAATCTTCATAATTCGATATCAAAAATAGTTATACTGGGACTCTCAAAAATTCCAGAGTCTATTTTTGCAGATGATAGCAGCGAGGAAAAACTTTCTATTCCTTTTTCTGTTTTAGATGGTGTAATCACTTTGAAAAATTGCCCATTTCATATTGATGAGCCTTTTACTCTCAATTTCTATTAATTAATCCTAATGATATATAGCATAAATAGCTTAATATTTAACTAAAGTTTTGAGTTCTTACTTCAAAATTCGATATAAAAGCTAGGTAGTATTTTAAGAAACAACTCGCTTTCATAGCTCAGCAGGCAGAGCATTTGGCTGTTAACCAAAAGGTCCCTGGTTCAAACCCAGGTGGAAGCGTTTTTTTATTGAATTATGGGAATATCAAAATAGACAGCTCTCTATTTTAGCTAAAAGGAAAGCATCAAAAAACTCCTAAATCTGCTATCTAAAGAATAAAAATAGAGATTATATACAAAAATTCACTTATCATCAAAACTGCTTTAAATTTCTCTAGTAATTATTATTTATCAATTTAAATATCTGCAATCGCTTAATAAGACCATATCCTAGCTTTCAATAAATTAATGAATATTTTTACTTATCATTCTCTTGCTTAGTCCTACATCTGAGGATTCTTATAAAGGGTATCTAAATCAATTCCTTTAATAGAATCTGAGGCTTTCTTGTCTCCTCCATACAAGCAATAATGCTGAATCATAAAAATAATATCAAAAACCATCGACAAAAATCCCAACAAAAACTTCGCGACGTTAAATGCTCCACCCCCACCAAAAACATTCCAATCACCAGAGTTTGCTCCATCAATGAATATTTGCAAAATACTCAATGATCCTCCTGTGAAATCTAATAAAACATTAATGATGCTCCATCCTACAGTACTTTTCCTGACATAATTCATATAAACCTGAGGCATATACTTTATTAATGTAATAAACACTTTAATGTAGCCGAGATAAAGGCATCCATTCCAGTCCGTTGAATCCGTCAAATTTCCGGTTAACTGCAAAACTCCTAGTAAAGTTCCGCTGATCCAGAAAAAAAGGCTTAAAAGTTTGACCCATAATGCTGTTCTATTTCATACAGATTCATAGTGATTGCACTGAATTAGAGTTATGGTAGTTATAAACCAGGCATGGCATGCAAATGCAATATCAGACGGGTCTACTTGGCCTGGCATTATGCTGGGCTCAGCATACCCTCAAATTGAATAAAAGGAATATGCCAGCTCTCCCTCCTTTTTGCGGCAAACCTATTGAAAAATCAGTATTTGGAAAAGCACCCTCTATTAGACAGCAATTAATTATTTAATGTTTTAATATAACTTAATTTATTAGAAAATCTGCATTTAAATAGCTTTTGTTTTATAACATAAATTTTACGAATTAAATTAATTTTTACTATAATTGTTTTTAAAAGAATCATCAGCAAACAAAATTTTATTGCTCGCTCATTGAGGAGGAGTAAAAATCCTGAAAAGTTTAGAACTCCAAAATCTAAAGAGTAGCCTGATACATTTTTGAGTTTATAATTCAGAAATAGTTGCGGATAAAAGCTAAAAGACCAGGCCGTAAAATATACCCAGCCAACTATCTGGGACAGGATTGATAGGAATAAAGACATTTTTTCAACAGTATGATGCAATAGAGATGGTGAAGAGAAAATAGCAGTTTCTTTGATTTAATTGAGATAATAATCAATTATTAGAAAATTTAAGCAGAAAGCTTGACTTGATAAAAATAGAAATTGTTCAATGGGGAGGGAACAAAAAATATTTTCTTACAACCTCAAATAAAGCAAGGAGACTTGGATGATTTCTCAAAAAATCACTTTTTTACTTAATTCTCCTTTAAGAAAAAAAGATTCATAATTCTTTGGCTTAATTCTCCCCAAAAGTCATTTAAATAAAAACTCCATTATGTATCCATATTCTAAAATAATTAATAATTGGAAATTGATATTAAACTTTTATATATATTTCAAGTACGCATAAAAATTGTCAATATAATAACACTAATATAAATAGATTTATTTAAAACAATTGAATGATTTCGCTTCAAATTGAATTATTATAGAATGCTATTAAGTTATCATGTCATCTAAGTTTGTAAAACTTGCTCTTATAGGGAGTGCAGCAATAATTGGTGTCTCTTCTTTGCTTTATTACTACCAAAATGACATGATTTATATTCCAAATTACCCTTCAAGAGAATATCGATCTCCAGATAATAATCCAGATGGATACAAAACTCCTTCAGAAAGAAACATTCCTTATAAAGACATTCATCTTAAAACAAGTGACGGAGAAACCCTTCACTGCTGACTCATGCTGCAAGAAAGCCGTGATGTTCCAACTATTTTGTTTTTCCATGCCAATGCTGGAAACATGGGGATGCGTATGGACGTCATTGAGCAGTTTTACAAAGAAATTGGAGTCAATGTTTTCATAATTTCTTATAGAGGCTATGGAAAATCTACTGGAAAGCCAAGTGAAAAAGGTTTACAATCGGATGCAGAAGCGGCTGTTTCTTATTTATTCAATGAGGATTTGATATTAAACAAAAAGAAAATTTTCATTTATGGAAGCAGCCTTGGAGGAGCTGTCGCAATTTTTACAGCGTGGAAATTTCAAGGTCTTCCTGTAAGATTTATTTAGTTTGGAGGGCTTATATTAGAAAACACATTTACAAGTTTGCCTAAGCTTGTAGATAAGCTAATGCCGGCTATCAGTTGGCTTAAATGACTTGTTTTGGCTAACTACTGGCCTAGTTTGAATAGAATTCAAGAGATAAAAATCCCTGTTCTATTCATATCAGGAGTAAGAGACGAGTTAATACCTCATGGACATATGATTGAGTTAAAGCAAGCAGCAAGGCAAGCAAAATTTACTGATTGGGTACGTTTTATATAGAAACTTGTAAAGGACGGAGAACATAACACAACTTGGTGAAAGGCAGGACATAATTATCCAGTTTGAATCAGAGAGTTTATAAATAGATCAATAAATTAGCTAAAGCATCTGAAATGGCTCGGAAATTTCATCAATAGATTAATAAATACATTAGATAAATGTCGATTTCCTTTTTTCCAGTAATTAATGAAAGCCAAGATCATTGGGTCCCTTGGAATCGTTTCAATAAACGGGCCATACTAGTTGAACCATCTCGAATTGCACGATTTTCAAATTCACGATCTCCTCCTCAATCTCCTATGATGAAAAGCCAATTATCTTCTTTTCAAAACTCTCCAACAAGAAAAAACCAAAAAAGCTTGTTCTTCCCAACTCCAGAGCCAAGCTTCTCAGATGCTTTACCATACCAAGCATTGGAAGGGCGACCAAAAACAGCTATATTTAAAGAAAAAATAAGAATGTCAGCACATTCGCAGATAAATGACGATTATTATAACTCACTCTCAAACGAAAATTACGACTCCAAACTAAAGTGCATGCTCAAACCGACAAAACTGAAATTTATACTAGCTCCCTCCTCCGTGAGTGAATAAAAAATCTTGTTTGCTCACGGAGGGGGGTTAATTTTTTTTTAAAAAAATTATATATCAAAAAAAACCTAATTCGCAAAAACTGGAAAACAAATATTAATTCAATTTGCAAAATTTGGTTTTAAAACCCAATTTGTTTATTAAAAACAAAATAACTTGAGATTTCATTATACTATACTAATTATTACTTATATATAATTTTTTTTTTCAAAAAAATTTTTGTTCACTCACGGAAGGTGGGTTTTTGGGCAAAAAATAGGGATTTTTCCAATGGTTTTGTTCGCTCAAGAAGGGGGAGGAGTAACGAAATTTGATCCTTCTAGGCTGCTCAGTCCTCAAAGAAAGCAAAAATTTTATCATTATCCTCAATCTTCAGAAAAGAAAACTGAAAAAAATTTAGGACCGATGCTTAAAGGAGTTAAAATTCAGCCATTTGGGCATCCTAGGGCACGCACTCAGAAGAGGCAGGCAAGGCCTAAAAAATTTTTGAAAAGTTGCTCTATGATTTCAACTGAAGAAATATTTGAGGTGAGCCAAACAATTTTGTAATAGTTAATCGTATTTTAAATTATAAATTTCATTGCGTTACTATCTAAAATTTATTATGTAGATTTACTTTTTAGAGTTTTTCCTCACATCCTTTTTCCTGGGAGAATGCGTTTCTATTTTTTTGTTATGCAAACCTTGTTCCATTGGCTTGGCGGTGACCTTCAGGACTTTTCCGGGTCTTGCACTTTTCTTTCCCGGCTCATTAATCGCAGGAGACCTTTCCTCTTCAGACTCTGGGCTTAAGCTCGCGTCTCTTTCAAATCGATACTTATACAAGTGTTCAATAATCCTTACACACCCTTTAAATAGCAATAAAACACATTGGTAAAATTTACAAAATTTGGGTGCTTGATTTAATGGAGGGAGTTCTAGTATAATGCGATATATGAACACTCGGCACACCAAATCAATTAATTTTTTAATGAATTATTCATAAAATCAGCAAAAATTCAAAAATATATATAGAAAAAAAATGGGCAGGCTTTTTATTACAATCCAAAGGTGGAGAATTAGCGACCCCCACCTTCTTCTAGGATTTCTCCTCAAAATTCCTCTAATCAGCTTATGCCACGGTCTAGATACCGTATTTGGCAATGGCTGATATTCACAATTCACAATTTTTCGAATGATTTCCTCTTGAGTTTCATATTCAAAGGGGTGAACTCCTGACAGCAGATAATAAAACATGCACCCTATACTCCAAATATCTAGCACAGGATTTGCTCGATTATCTTCTTTAGTCAGTACTTCAGGCGCAATATAAAGCAAAGACCCAGCGTCACTTCTCTCACTATGAGCTCCTGCAAACATCCCAGCGATCCCAAAATCTACGATTTTAATTTGTGTTTTGGAGTCGTTTGAAAACAAAATGTTTTCAAGCTTCAAGTCCCTGTGGATTATTTTCATATCGTGGCAGTATTTAATTGCTTCTACCATTTGGCAGCCTATATGATAGAGTTCATCTTCTGAAATTGGTCCATGCTCTTCTAGATATTGCTGCATCTCTCCACCACCGCAGTATTCCATGACAAAGCAGATTTTGTCTCTGAGGGGAAACGCATCGTAAAGCTGGACAATATTTGGGTGCCGTAGTCCTCTTAAAACGCCAATTTCAGCATAGACACGATTGACGTCGTCAGCTGAGATAAGGGAGTCTAAGGGGACAAACTTCAAAGCTGCAAGGTTTTTGTTTATTTTGTGCTCGTAGAGTCAGACTGAGCCAAATCCTCCTTCTCCTAGTTGTTTTATCGGCTCATATACCAAAATGCTTGAATCTTTTGAAAATTCTTCGCCTCGTGATAGAAATAGTGGCTCATCTGGGTTTAAATAGTCTAAATCGTCATCAGAAAGCTCACCTCCTCCAGAATCAAATAGTTTGCATTTTGTATGACTGTCGACATCTAGCTTTTCTTTGCAATCTGAAACCAGCTCAGATAGGGTCATATGCCCATGAACAGTGACTTCGCATTTCTTATTTAAGTCTCCATTCAAAAAGACGTTTACCTGAATTTAAAGTTACCCTATTTGATTCCATGACTTAGATTTTCTTATGTTTAATTTCTATTTTTCAGGATTTTTCAAACAAATACAATTTAAATTTTATTATCCTAAACTTATATGGCCGATCCATTTCTCCTTCTCTTCAAAGCATTTTCCCAGCTCTCGGTACGATAAGTCTCCATAAAATTTAAATTTATAAGATTCTTCTCTCAAAAAAAAAATAAGGGAGTTTTGATAATTATAAAGATATTCAAAAAAAAATAACATCATCTCTATAAAATGGTGATATAAATAAATGCAGTATAACCATTTCATCGTTGAATGTCCTCGAATTACTAAGACCAACTGTGGGGTTTGTTTAGAGGCAATTCATAAAACTGATATAAGAATAAAGATTTGGCATTATGAGAAGTCAGAGTTTTACCATCTTGAATGCTACAAACCGAAACTGCAACAGTATATAAGCTCTCGGCATATAACAAGCTATCTCAAAGGGGAGTACGCAGAAAAGTTTCAAAGCTGATTGAACGAGTGAAATTTAAAATTTCCTCCATTGGACAAGCCGTCTCATTTTCCGCCGAAACTGATAAAACATGTTGAATCTCAGCAGTCAAGGCGAAAACGTTCTTGGCTTGAAATTTTTAAATTCCTTCGTCCAAGAGAAGTTCTGAATTCTATAGCTTTTGTCAATAAAGAATTTTATCATCTTACCTGGGACCAAGAACTCTGGCGCCACTATTGCATAATTTTTTTTGATGTCCAAGCTTCTATTGTTGACTGGCGAGCGTACTATTGCACTTTGTCCTTGCAAGCGTGTTTCGGATGTAAAGCAATAATTCAAGACTCGGAATTTCACCGTTGCCCTCTCCTTAATAAGCCCTTATGCAAAAAGTGCAGAAGACAGGATTCGAAATTCAAAGTTTACCATAAAAATGCGATTTTTTCCAAGTATGGGATCAACCCGAATGTGTTAAATCTTGAATATGTTCCTGGATTTAACAATCGGAAGGTGACCTATCATTTTATGATTGAAAAAGCGTTGTATAGTTTTAGGGAAAAGAATAAAGAAGTCATTTTAGCGTATTTTAGGAAGCTAAAAGGCTTTGACGACCTTTTGAAAATAGTTGAAGAAATAGATTTAGCAAATATGGATGCTAAGGATAATTGGCATCTACCTAACTATGACCAGAAAATTCAGCACTCCTTGTATCCTAGGGTTTTTAATTATAGCTTATTTTATAGTATCTATAGAGTTTAATGTCTCCTATGGGGGTAGACACCTCCTGCCGTCGTTGGGGTTTACATTTTTACCTAGGAAGGACTTTTAAAGAAGACCTCAAAAGGAGTCATTGGAAAGACGTCAACGCCAACTTTCCGGCTTCGACGGGGTTTTTAATTATATCAGATCAAAAGAAGGAGGACTGAGGTCTCTTAAAGGCAAATCAGCTGCATAGTGGCATCTGTATGCTTAATGAATTTTTTTATAATTTAGTTGCTTTAATAAATTGCAAAACTTAAATAATTTTAAAAGAATTAGATATTAAGAGAGGAAGATTATAAAAACCAAATAAAACATAAAAACAGATTAGGATTATACTTATGAGGTTAATTGAATTCCCTTTTATTATTGCTTTGTTTTATTTCAAATTTGTTTGAAAAAGAAGTAATCATTATAGCATTTGCACTGCTATAGTCTGCTTTGGTGCATTCTTTTTAAAAGGCAACTTGGAGCTCTAGCGAGCCACCTAAAGGTGACGAGTTAACTCCAAGTTGGCAAAAGCACATATTTTTGACATGGAGTTGATTTGTCACCTTTAGGTCTCTCCTCAGATCTAGTTGCCTGGAAAAGATTGCACCAAGGCAGACTATAGCAGTGCTCAAATTATGTCATTTCTTTCTGATAATAATAATTTTCCAATAACCCATGATGAATCTATTTATTCCACTAAAGATAAAAATTTATTAATAATCTCTCATTATCATATTTATTTGCCTAATTTATAAAAATATAAGCTATGACGAAATCATAAATATTAGCTTATTATAAGTCCACGCGTGCTCGGCTACTCAATTCATTCAGTCTGCCAAACAAGTGATTTAGATAAAAAAACAGCAGAATGATGCAAATAGTATTGAAAAGTAGCAAACTATTGACTGAATTCGGAGCTGAGTTCAAAATCATTTTAGTCTTTTGCCGATATGCTTTTAAGTCAACTTCATCGTACTTTGCGATTGGATGAATTTGCTTTTCAGGCTGTTTTTCAGCAGGAGAAGGCACATCTCCCAAACATTTTGCTCTAGCTGATTTAAGCCAATTTTCATGGTCAGCTGCAACATCAGTTTTTGATCTGCTCTCAATGGTTCCTTTAAACATTGTAGATTTCAAAAAATTAATTGAGACTAAGCACCTGAAAATAGATTTATCGGCTCCATTGGCTGTGATATTTCACTCATCTTCGACAACAAAATAAGAGCTATAGGGAACATCTAATGCTTTGGACGACGTTTTTATTATTAAATTTCCATCAACCCATTTGTATACTTGTGTTCTGTGGCATCTTGTTGTCTTTGGACCTATTGAAGGGCCATTTATTTTGGTTCGGAATTTGATTTCTCTGGTCCAGCCTCCTAACTCTTCGTTTTCGACTCAGTTGGTGATCTCAAACTCAGTGTCTTTTCTTTCCATGCAATAGTCCTTAATAGGATAAGTAGCGTCGTCAGCAAAAAAGAGTTCAAAAAATTTTTTGGGGGTTATAGGTTAGGTTATTAAAATTTAGGCGTGAGCTATATTGGTGACGCAGTCACCAAAGACTTCCTTCGGGAGGTTCTACAGCTTTTCGACTCCAGCTCAGAGAGTCTGTGCCACTTCCGGTACCTTCTGTTGACTCCTTGCATTGAGGCTTCAGTCTTGAGTGTATGGCCTATGAATTTCTGCGGCCCTACTACAGGTGATTGGAAAATCTTGATTCCATAGATCATCTCCTTGGAGTCTATCGGGTGAAGAAGTGCTTTCCTTCGATAGCTACAGGAAAAAAAACTACTCCCCTGCGGCCTGAACCGAAACCCCTAGTTTCTAAGTAGAGGAACGTTTCCTCTGATCTAAGGACGTTGTGTAGTACCTCATTTCCAACCACAAAAAAAGCAGTCAAAACTTACCCAGATGCACATTCTTTGAGTCTGCACTTGATTCTCTGCTCGGAATCCGTCCCAGTTTGTCGTAGCCATAAAATCTGGACTGCTACGCCAAAAGGGCAGGTTGGCACTGCCGCCATTTTAATGCATATATGGGTTATATAGGTAAAATGGCTTTAAGAGTTTCTGTCCTGTCGCCTTCATCTTCTGTAGGAAGCATAGTAATTCCTTCCTTTTCCTCTTCTTCTTGCGTTGGAGGTGGATCTTCATCATCACTCCACACTCCTGTGTCTTGAGATTCATCACAATACCCCGAATTTCGTCATAGACTATAAATGAATTGAAATGCTTCATTTCTTCTCGTGAACGACCCAAAAAAGAATGATTTTTTGTTGGCACAGGCGATTTCTATGGAATTTGTGATTGAGCCTTTATGCCTACGAATTGCTATGACATCGCGGAAAGGAATGACCTGCTTAGTTTTAAAGCCCAAAATGTTGGCATAAAAACAAAGAAAATTGTCGGTACAGAATAGTCTGCCATGGATTAAAACCTTTTTCCTTAGCCCACAGCTAAAATCATCAAGGACATCTTCCTCATCTGGGAGCGAAAATAGAAGCCTTACGACTTGTTGAGAGTTCATACGTTGTGGTGCTCTCGACATTTATAAATAATTTCTTTTTAGCTAAAAATATTTTAAAACATATATTCTTCCTTGTTTATTTGTTATATGTTATTAATTCACATCAGGCTTTATGATTTTCCCATGCCTCCACACATCTTTACTGGCTTTTCCATTTGGATAGGTTGTGACTCCTTCTCCATGCTTTTTGCCTTGATATCATCCTCCTTCATATTTCCTGCCATCTGGCCACTCTAAAACACCAAATCCATGCATCATGCCTACTGCTCACTGTCCTAGATAGCTCTTTTTATCTGGCCAGACATATCTCCCGACACCATGCATATTGTTATCTTTTCATTCTCCTATATATTTGGTCCCTTCTTCTCATTCATAGATTCCAGCTCCATCTTTAAGATTGTCAAGGTAAGTCCCTATGTATTTTGATCCGTCTTTTCAGACATTTCTTCCCCATCCAAATTGCTTATAGCTTATGCGCTGCTATTGATCGTTATTATTGAAGATTTAACTGTTACATTGACTTGATGTCCTTTGCATCTTAGACTTGAACCATCATAATTTAAACAAGCATTCAGAGTTAAATATATAAGCTATATTATTCTAAGTTCATACTACTTATAATTAAATGATTCTCCTCTCACTCTATATGAACAGTAGAGCAAATGGCTTAAGCCCAATTTTCGGGATCAAAACTGGCATTTAAAAATGGCTGGCAGACTGAAAAATAAGCAAGCCAATTTTTAAAATGGCATTTTTATAAAACTTATTTTAAATTAGGCTATCTTTAGTTTAGCATTGATGCATGAAGTTCTTAAAGCCATTTATGAATTGACTCTAGCAAAATTAAAAATGACTATTTATGAAATCAAAAATTTGTTTAGCGGTGGTTAATTTTAAAGAAAGTATTATTATATTTACTCTGATTAATTGAACTTGCATTTACAAAGTTTGCAGTCATAGATGATAACTCTATATGAAGTTCTTACGCCTCATGTAAATGAACCCTAGCAATGTATTTTTGAAAGATATATTTTTTAAAATTAATTTTGTAATAATGCCATTTAAAAATAGGATCGTTTATTTTTCAACCTATTTTGCGTTTGCCAACAATTTTTTAACAAATCACTTTTGATCTCCAAAATTAAGCTTAAGCCATTCTAATTTTCATATAGAGCTTAACCAGAATCATTTAATTTTAAGTAATACAAAATGACAATAAAATAGCGTAATGATGGTCCTTGTCTAAGATGTAGAAGACATCAATTCAATATAGCAGTTAAATTTCCCAATGATAAGGATTAATAAGGTGCATAAGTTATATCATTTTTTCATTCTCCCTCATATGTATCTCCATCTGGTCAAATAGCTTTTCCTCTGCCATCTCTTAAGTTTCCATTTCATTCTCCAATATAAACTGTTCCATCTGGATATTTAAATTGTCTGTATTCTCTCAGATTCATTTCTCTATCTTGTACAGCTGAAATAGCTCGGCCAAGATTGGATTCAATTAATCGCTCTACATAGGTAAATCTTTCTTGAATTTCTTGGATTTTCTTTTGGTTTTTAGGGCTTGTTGGGGCAGATCTAGGACTATTCCTTGTTTGCTCATATTTATATCATAGTCACTCTATAATATAAGTTACGGTATCCGTCTTTCACTTTTTCTTTCCAAAGAACTGCTCCTAAGCCTTCTAGATTTATTTTTTCTCCAATAAAAAAATAATTAAGCCAATTTCCATCATACTTGTCGCCATCTAAAAAAATAAATTTTCCTCGACCCTCTGGTCTTCCCCATGATCAGTTTCCTTCATATCTAGAGCCATCCTGCCAAGACATAACCCCATGGCCATCTCGAAAAGAGCCTCTTCATTCACCAATATAAACCCCGCAATTAGGATATACCTTAGCTGGTCTTACCTCTCGATATAAAGGCGGAGATGAATGCTTGCTTAAATCATAAAACACTTCATTGCTGCCAAAATAAGGATAATGAGGTCTTTTTGCTCGTAAATGTTTTTTAAAATCTTGCCGCACTTTATAGGATCTTCATAGAGATTGAACTTTAATAAGATATGATTTTTTGTTTTTTATTAAATCAGAGTCAAGGGTGGTATTTTCCCCTAAAATTATTGACATGGTTTCTCTATAGCCTTGATGAGAGGAATATAAGTCCTATATAAAAAATACATTACTTCGGAGTTCAAGCTCAGTTTTATTTTCAATCCAGTTGCAGTCGCAGGTTCTGCATGATACCTGTCCCATATTTTTATTTTTTAAAATTCATAAATTGGCTAGGTCATTGCCTAATATATCAGACAAAATTCAAGGCATGAATTTATTTAATTTATTTTAGGGGATTTAAAGGTTAAAGTTTTGGAATTCTTAATTTTTAATAGTAAAATATTATTTAATAGATTTTAAAGTGCTAATTATTCGGCTAGAAGAAGGAGTGCTTGCATTTTGCATTTGATTAATGCATATAAAGATATTTTTAGTAGATTTCAATATTTAGAATCCTTTTTACGATTAAAGATTCGCGATTAGAAATAATAAACCGCTTTATCCTAAAATAATTATTTGCATAACAGCTATTATAATTAAAATTTAAGTCATGCATTCCATTTTTATCTGATGTCAGATACGAAAGGAGTATATAAAAATTGTTTACTTTAATCATATCAATTATCAATTTTTCAATATAAATCTACTTTTTTACCCCAGAGCATTGCTTTCCACTAATTAGATATCAAAAAGCTACCTTCCTAACTAAGTGCTTAAATAGGCCATTTAAAATAGTTTATAATAAAAATATGTTACTTTCGAATTTTGCTTTTGCTTTAGCTTTTCTTATAGATTTCTGATATTGGAATGTCTGCTTATTCAGAAAAAGGAATGAAAAGATTCCTTATATTTGTATTATCATGCTTTTGCTCAGCTACGCTGCGATTGAATATACGAAAGCACTAGAAAATATTTTTTCTTTTGAGTTTGTTTCTTTAACTATCAAAGAATATTTCATAAATCTACCCCTTGATTGGCAAAGTTTTATTCAGATGGTTCAGCAGTCACATTATGTAAACATACCAAATTTAATATTTTTCAATGCAATAGTATTAGTTTATCAATCAACATCTCTAGTACTGATCTGCATCCTGGCAATGATAAACAATTATTATTTTCTAACTATTGAATATGCAAGCTACGGTTGGATTTATTATTTTTTATTTTTAATGACCATATTTTTATACATATATTTCAATCATAAAGCTTGGAGAAAATATTCGGGTCTCTGATTGTTGATAAAATGTATTCACACTATTTTGCTTATTTTTGACTTTGCCAATTTCGTTTCCCAATTATGTGGCTATAACCTTAAAATTGCTGATTTGGCTTTATGGATGTTTTTAAAGATAAGCGGACTTATAGTTCAAGTGCTAATTTTATTATTTTATTAATAATAAATAGCGGAGAAGAATTATCTCGAAAAACTTATTATTTTATTAATAATGTGATATTATTCAACCATTATAAAATACGCAACTCTCATTTTGGATGGCTACTTATCGAATTATAATGTTAGATTTCATCGAACTTCTTGATTCAAAGATAATCTATTGGGGACCTCTGGAATGTATGTTGTGATTGCATTATCTATTTTTACAATGTTTCTAACACAATATGAAGTTGGAGAATTTATTGAAAATCCTGCTTATTTAAAAGAAGGATTATATTTCTTATTCTCCCCTCTGTGAGCGAACAATTGGAAAAATCGGTATTTTTTTGGGTAAAAACCACCCTCCATTATCAAACAAAATTTTTTTTTAAAAAAAATTTGATATAAGTGATAAATTTTTACAAATTAGATTTATTTTAAATTTGAAAAAAATTTAACCAAGCGAGAGAACAAAATGTTTTTGCTCACTCACTGACAAGAGTTAGGAGCTGCTCATGTTGGTTTAATTTTGCATTATCCTAATAATGTAGCAGAGGATAAGTATATAGTCCTGAATACATTTGGGGTTTATCTGCCAATTTTAATTATTAGAAATTTATGGAGCTGCTTTGTTTAAATAAAAATTATTTATGTTTTCTAAAATTAGCTTGAATATTAACATAAAAGGGTAATTTAAGCTCTCATATGCATCATATTAATTATTTTAAATAATATTCAACAAATTTACCTTTTCGAACGATTTAGCATAAAATGCGCTATTATCATAGTATAAAAGCAGAAAAATATGATGGAATTAGCTCGACCAACTGTGAACTAGTTTTATTTAGGTTAATTTTTCTACTTCATGAGTGTAATTGAATATTTTATGTTGTTTTGGATATGAATATTTTATTAATATTTTTCATGGTAACTATAAGAAAGCATATCATAAAAGAGGGATTATCAATTATTCATCTTTTTTGGATTAATAGCGCGCTTCCCCAATTTTATAAAGGCTTATGACTTAACCGGCTTAAAAAATCAATTTGCACTTATACGTTATTCTATCAGATATATAATACTTTTAGTTGAAAATTTAAAGCTATCTCCACCATTCGCGCTTTTTATTAATTTTTTCATAATTTTTACTTGCTCGCTAATAGTTCCCAATATTTACTGGAAAAGTAATTTATTGAATGAATTGCAGTTTTCCATAATAAATTATTAGAAACCCGCACCCTTTGAAATTCAAAGCACTTTCGAAGTTAAATCTTCAGAACTTAAAATTCCATACAAAGAATCCAATTTTTAAAAAAGTCTTTATCACATATAATTCAGTGCTTTAAACTTATATGAAGCCTAAATTTTTATTTAAAATAACATTAGTTGGAGTTTTGTTTCTTCCTAAAATTCCTACAACTGACTTCTTTCTGTTTCTCAAGGGAGAACTATCAACTTTTTCATATGTCAACTCTTTGGCCTTTTTATAAAAATAATGATCAATATATTGTATATCCTGGAATTGCTGATTAAGGTCTCCTTTCAGCTTCCCCACCGATGCAAATTCTGATAGTTGCTTTAGCTTGGGAAGAGAACTTTTATTAATCCCTAATCTTGGGCTATCATATACAACTTTATCCTTTTTCAATTTTATTTTGTCATCTGCGAATAATTCCCTATATTTCTTGATCTTTGATTGGAATTTTTTTTCGTCATCTGTTAATTCACCTTTTCTGCTTTGGCTATTTGAACATAAACTTTCTTTTAAAAATAATCTTAACTCGAGGTCTGCTATGTTTTTTATTAGGGCTTTATTAGAGCTGTGTGGAGATTTGGAATTTCGTCTTTTTTGGTAGTTTGGAAGATCTTCCAGGAGATATGAGGGGATTGAAGCTGCTTTAAAAGTCTTAGATAGATTGGGCGGAGTTTTAGATATGGAGTTCTTTCGAATCATATTATAGATAATTCCTTCAGGAATATCTCTTCCTTGAATTGCATTCATTGCTTAATAAATATTATTTTACTTCTTAATTTATATCGATAAGCATTATTAAATAATAAATATTGATTATCAAATGAAATTACTTTGCAATGATTTATAAAAACAATACTTTTATATATTTGCTATGCAAAGTTGGTGCCTTATTAACTCCACGTTTTAATATAATTCTGGCACATGAAATTATCTAAATGTGGAATATTAATACTGCTAAAACATTTCAAATGAAACAATGATCGATGAAGGATTAATTGCATTTGAATTGCATTTATTTGAATTTTTGTTTCAAATTTCTTCTTCAATTTTCATATGTGCTAACATAATATTTAACTTTATCTCGGATTTAATTAATAATAACAGTACAGCTTAAAGCAAATACAATGTTGGGTGTATTCGTCTACTTGCGTTAGGTGCTTTTATTTTAAATATTAGCTCTTTATTGCAACCAGAATGGCATAATGATTTGATTCTGGTGGTAATCACTATTTCTAATTGAATTTCATCATTTATACCAAAAAAATTTTTATCTTGGTGATATCAAAGTGTACATTAATCTCTACGGGAACCTCCATAATTCAACTCGTTGTCAGTAATCTATAAGTTTTCTAATTCTATATCACGCCATTATTTTGCGTCCTCCCTGAACCTAAAATAATTATTAAAGGATTATTCAGTACTCTTGCATTTAAATTTATAATTGGCTGGCATTTGTTTTATTCGTTCCTGTATCTCAATATTAGTTTGGTAGAGCATGGTCCTAAGTTTAATTTCGCCCAAATTAAATGTGAATGATTAATTTTCTTAATGATTGAGTGAAATCAATGAAGAAAGTGATAGAAAAGACTATGTATTTATTTATATCTTAGCATTACCTTTTATATCACTGCATTTGTTTCCTTTGGAAAGGCATCTTGGTTTCTGGTCTTCATTAATTGCTAAATTCTGATTTAGAGGGTTTTCATGGACTGAAGAGTGAGAGCTCCTTCTAGAAGGCAAGTCCAAAGAAAACCAGTCGAACTCAAGGCTTTGTTTAGCTGTCAGCCTCTCTCTGGGAGCTGGCTCTGTTACGTTTAAAATCACGCTGATAAACTCTTTGGATGCTTGCCTTCACTCATAATCGTAAAAATGAATGTGGCATTCCTTATTTTTTAATAGAATCTCATTAACATTAGTGCCGAAGAATGGCATTTTACCACAGAAAAGTATATATAAAACTACTCCTGCACTGAAAACGTCCACTTTTGTGTTATATACATCTTTTCTAAGTATTTCTGGAGCGATGTAGCCAGGTGACCCGCATCTTAAGGTTAAATTTTCTTTGCAATAATCAGCAATTCCAAAGTCAGCTAATTTAAATTCAAAGTCATTTGACTTAGAAGTAAGGATTATATTTTCTAGCTTGATGTCTCTGTGAACTATATGCATTGAATCGAGATAGGAAAGAACGTCAAAAAACCTAATTGCAAATGTTCTGATAGTTGCTTCAGAAAACCTTTTTTTCTGATTTATCCTCTCATATAAATTGCCGCCTTCTAAATAGTCAAGGACTAAGCAAATCTCAGAGTCGTTTTCATAAACATTATAAAGCTTAACAATATTTGGATGGTCAAGCTTCCTCATGATATCAATCTCTCTGACTATAGAATTTATTCCATTAGTCATTGCACTAATCCTTGATTTTTGGATACGTTTTATTGCGTATTTTCGGTAATCTTCTTTGCTTTCAGCAAGAAAAACAGTAGCATAGTTTCCTTTCCCAATTTCTCGAATAAATATGAAATCATCCTCAATATCTGGCATGATACCCACCTTAGCCAGATGTCCAAGTCAAATGTCTAATGTTTCCTGACTGTCTACATAAAAATCTCTGTAGCAGTCCTTGTACCCAACTCTGAACCCATAGAAGCTATTAACACAATTTTCCTCTATAAATGGTTCAATTCGTTTCCAATTGACATTAGTCATCTTTTTTACCTTATGAGACCCTATCATTGATTTCAATAAAAACGAGTCTGTCAGTTTGTATTTTCTTTCTTTCAACTCCCCATTTTTTGACAGCTCAAACAAAGGACCTTGATACAATACAGTATTATTCGAAGGTAAGTAAGGTTGCCAAAATTTGGCTGAGTTCTGTTGCAGTTCCTTGTCAGTATCACAAAACATTTATTTTTATTATATTTAATCGAAACTGCTCCAGAAATCTTACTGGTAAATATATTTTATTTTATAATTTTTATAATTTTAACGCTAGCTGTGTTGAATTGATATTGGCTTTGGATTTAGTTTCTTTTGTAGCATAAATTAATTTTATAATAAACTTTAAGGTTTCAAATTAAAAATGCTGGTTTAAAAAATTTTCTGGAATTAGAGAAAATTTTCGATATTTTTATATTCAATCGGGAAGATAACTTTTATACTAAATTATAGATATTGAAAACATTTTTACTGACCGATCCAAAAATTTCTTCTTCAAAATGAGCCATTTATAAGAAGGAAAAATAGGGCACTCATAGCCCAGTAAAATTGCTTCGTGTGAGTTTAAAAAATGTATAAAAATTTATTTGACTACTGACGTGAGATTTATTTGAATTTGCTTTAATCGAGAACTGACACTGCTGATTCAATATGGAATGTAATTCAGAAAAGAGGTTAAAAAATATGAAGTATAAATTTATTAATTTGAGTGCATAGTTATGTTTTTTTTTGGTAAACTGAAATAGAGGTTTTTAAATGGGAAATAAAAGTGGTTATTTCAAAATACTCTTCTCTTTCATAAAGAATATCGAGAGATTTGATTCTCTTCCACTTTTGGTTTCTTAATGCTTTATGATTATTAAATGGAATCCTTATAATTTATTGCAATATGTCAGGCAATATTTTTTAGGCATCTCATTTGATTAGGTATATTTAATTTCCATTATGTAAAATATTATAGTTTCACCATCTTTATTCTAAGATGCAGTCATCAGAATTTGATTTTCTATAAGATAAGAAGCATCTGATCTTAGCTAATTGGTTAAAATTCTGTAATTTTTTCACTTTAATGTGTTCATAATTTTATCAGAAAATTATTGTAAACAAAACTAAAAAACAATATTTTTTTAGAGAAAGTTAAAAATGAGGCTATATTTTATTTATGGCAATTACCTTGAAATTCTAGATAGTGTGACAGCTGCTCAACAAAAACTTCAGAGGAATACTGGATTATATAAAAATTTTGACCTTTCCAGAGCAATTGTCATTTTATCAAGCATTTCAAGTCAAAATGTATGCACCTAAAAACGAATAACTTAAATTTAATTGCTTTTATCTATCATTTAGCTAATTTTGATAATAAAAATTTATGATAAAAATGCAAAAAGATGTATGAAAATAGAATTCTATTTTTAATCTTAATCTCCCATCCTTGTTGATCTACGTCATCAAATGATCAAGGATGAGATTTAAAAATGGAGAAATTTTATTAGCTTGAAAATTTTTTCTATTAACATCATTCAATATATTGCATTATAATTGAGTAGAAGCGGCTATATGCATCATTTAGGACCACCACCTTTAATATATTGTGAAACAAGAATTGGTGAGCATGCTGGGAAGCTTAAGGAAGGATGTAGTAATTTAGGAAAAAGGTGTATTTTTCGATAGGTCGAATTAAGGATAGAGATTAACACTTGGCCAATTTGATTGCACACTAGGCTTCTAGTTTCATTTGGTCAACAACATGCCAGAAAAATTTGTTGACATACGGAATGGTGATCTAGAATCTCTGACTCACAGATAGATGGTGTTAGCTCTCTTCCATAATGATCATAAAGTTGAAAGCGAGTCTGGAGGTACTTGCAAGTAGTGGAACAAGAGATTTCATTATACTAATCACTTCAATTTTTTTTTTTATAAAAATTTTTGTGCTCTCACAGAGGGTGGATTTTTTGGAAAAATAGGTTTTTTCTCAATGATTTTGTTCGCCCACAGAGATGGGGTAGCTAGGAAAAGAGTTTGCACTACGGCCCCAAGAGTCTCGATAGGTCGGAATGATCCTCCTTATGTCGCTATCAGATAATACGTTAAAGGTTAGCCCTTCTCCTATCAGTCGCCACATGCAGATGTGTACTCAGAAAAAAAGTAAGCGCTTCAGAGCTCTATGGCCTAAAAGCATATTCATAACTTATAACTGATCAAGGATAGGACTGGTTTTCAATTTTTAGAAAATTTCCAATAAAATCATTTGATCAACTTAGCTTAACTTAAAGAGCTTAAAGTCTTCAAAGATTTTACCTCTGTATACTTGGGACTACCGGAGCCTGCATGCCAAAAAAATTCAGCAGTCTGGTCGTGTCTCAACAGAGTCTACTCCCTAGAGATGGGGATTGCATCAATGTCTCTGAGTCTCCACAGGTTAGCAAGAATCCTCTTAATTCACGTCTTGCAGGTGTTATGAGGCAAAGGTTAGCTGGATCTCTCCTGTCTTTCACCTTGAGAAAGGATGACACCTAGGGGAAAAAAAAACTCTCGAGAGTGGGGAAAGAACCCTGACCCAAAAGCCATCAGGATGGCAAATACCTGAACTGGAATCACCACCAGCTGACTTTCAAGACTTATCCACCCATACGGCAGCTTGAGGCAAGCTAAAGGGTTAAGATTAAAGGGTCTGAGCCTTGGTTTTAGGCTTTAAAACGATTTTAGGTCAAAGTGATGCGTCATTGTCAGGATATATTTCGTCGCCATCACTAAAGTAATTATCCATTCGATCAAGGACTGAGAGTGATAGCACACGAAATAAAATTATATTATCATGCTCTAGATTTTATTAAAGAATTAATGTTCCTTGCTTAATTTTGATAGGTTTTGACGCATTAATTTATACTCCATATCAAAAATTTTCTATATTGAATTAAACATATACGGCAATTTAACTTTTCAATAATTTTGCTTCATATAGAGGAAGACTCAATATGACAGAAAACTACTATCGTTATTTGCAGATTTTTGAACTTTACTACCTAAGTGTGGATTTTTTTCCGCGTGTGAAAAGAGGATTCCACATGTGAAATCAAAAGGGCTTCACATGTGGAATCCTCTTTTCAAACACGGAAAAAATTCCACACTTAGGTGGTAAAGTTCAAAAATCTGCAAATAACGATAAAAAATTTTAAAAAGAAATCATATTAATGATATCTATATATAATTATTTATATCAATTGAAAATGTGAAAAATTGAATTGGCTTATTTAAATACAATCCTAACACGCAGATGCCTAGATAATTCACTATATTAATATTAGAAATATTCTTTAATTTAAGACTCAATTTTTTTTTTAAGTATAAACATTCTAAATAATCTAATAATTGACATTTAACAAATTATCAGTCTAGCCAAGTCTATTTGTATCAGACTCTCCAGTAAATGATCTCTTATGCATGCAATGTTCAGGGTATAAGGAAATAACGGAGAGAATTACACAAACATATTTAGATCAGACTCTACATTAAATGGTCTCTTGATCCTGCTAGCGTCAGGGTATGAGAAAAGCACTCAATTCCTCCTTTTACAGCTATCTTCCCCATTTGCAGACAGCTAAATACTCCTCGAGGAATGTGATTTGATTCCACTGAGTTTCTCGTCTGCAGCCAATAAAATAAAACGGCCAGTCGCCAGGTCCAATACCACTTATTTTTCTCATAATTTCAGCTTACTTTTCCTATCCAGGATAATTCTCTGGCATCAAAGTGTTGGAAGAATAATAAAAAAATATGAGTAAACTATAATTCTTAACACACTTTAAAATTATCCTCAAAAATTATTAATGTAATCTTATCTAGTTCTGACGCTCTAAATCTTTACATTTTGAGCAATCTTTCAAACTCATCATATCCAATTTTTGCCCCTGGCTCCTTTCCAAACTCTTTCATAATATTTTTTATATCTTGCTCTTTTAATGCATGTCCAGACCTGGAAAATGCTCTTTCTATATCAATTCTTGTGATATATCCTTTCCTATCTGCGTCAAAATGAAGAAATGTTAATCACAGCTCTTCTTGTTGTATATGATGCTTTGAATAATAAGTTGCAGCTAGAAACTCAGAATAATTAATTTTTCCATTTTTATCCAAATCAAGCGATTTAATAATTTCTTTAATTTCGTTCCGAGCTGCAATTGAAGAGCCTGCATTTTTCAAGGAATTTAACAATAGTTTCATTGAAATACTTCCATTATTTTCTTCGTCTAAGTCACTGAATAATGCATTCATGCTCTTAATTTCATTTAAACTTAAATATTTTACCAAGATATTCATGGCTTCTTTTTTGAATGCAGAAATTTTGCTATATTCTTTCAATGCATCAATAGTAAATTGATTCATAACAATTCTTGGCTTTGGCTGCGAGTTAAACCAAGGATGATCTAAAGCTTCACTTGCTGAAAACCTATCCGAGGGATTCATGCACAATAAATGTGATAGCAAGTTTTTGGCTTCCTGGGAAATGTTTTCTCAGATTGGTTCAATAAATTCAGGGGCACCATTTAAAATTTGATGGCAAGTCTCACAATCAAATTTCGATCAAAATGGTAATTTTCCAGAAAGCATGACGAACATGATAACCCCAATACTTCACATGTCACATTTAAAATTATAAGCGCCTTTTATCATTTCAGGAGCTAAATAATAAACAGTCCCAACTGCTTTGTGCATTGACATTCTTCTGTTCCTGAACTTCGATGATAGGCCAAAATCTACGAGTTTTAGAGCTGCATTATCATCTTCACTTTCGAAGAGAAAATTTTCAGGCTTTAAATCTCTATGGATTATATTATTATTGTGAAGGTGGTTTATAGCTAGCAGCATTTGTCTGAGTATGATTTTGCTTTTATTTTCGTCAATGTGGTCATTTTTAGTCATCAATCGCAACAGGTCTCCGCCAGTGCATAGTTCCATGGCTAAATATATATATCTTTCGTCTTCATAGGCTTCAAAGAATCTTATGATATTTGGGTGGTCAACTCTTTTGAGGATTTCTATTTCTTGTTTTAACGAATTTATTCTATCTTCGACCAAGTCTTTCAAAATAAACTTTATGGCTGCTTTTTCTTCTGACCCGATAACTTGGACTTCTTTTACAACCCCAAAATGTCCAGTACCTAGTATTCTACCTAATTTGTATATAGATCGTATTGGAACGTTCCGAATTGTGGAGGACAAACCTTCATTAAGACAGAGGAGAGTGTTTTCCTCTTTTACTGTGTTTTGTTTGCGAAGACAAACTCCCATTTATAATGTTTATAAATGTATTTGGTTATTCAAGAGATGAAAATTACTGGCCTGAAAACAAAAATTTATATAGATTAATTGAATTTTGAGTTAACTTAGAATGCTAATTATTCTTCTCAATATTTTTGCATGATATAAGTTTTATAATGCGCTTGAATACGGCTTATGCCCTGAATTAAATAATCAGTTCTAGAATATTTTTTTATTCTAAATTTCGAATCTCTACAATGCAAGTATTGCTTAATTAATTGGATAAAATAATGAGTAATGTTCTAATATCTTTATCAATATTAGGCTTCTAAGTCTTCCTTAGCAAGCTTAATTTAAATTATAAAGGGCTGTTTTAGTTTCTATTTAAAATTGATAATCAAGGAAATTAAAATTTTTTTTCTTTTGAAGAATTAGTTCAGAATAAATCGCTTAGCAATATATTTTTGAATTCAAATATCCAAATAATGCCTTTTTATTTAATTCCTTGTTTGATTATAAATCCAACTGAATTAAAATTTTATTAGTTAGGTTTTTATAAACAAGCATTATTGGGCTAATAAATTTGTTAAAAACTCAAATTAGCAAAGTGATTAAGCAAAGTTAACTTTTTTTTTAGGTAAAGTTCTGACCATTTTAAAATCGATATATTGAGTGCATAAAATGAAAGAATATAGGCTATAATAATTTATTTAATTTCCGATTTGGGAAAATATTTGAAAGAGAATAGCTTAGAAGATTTGATAAATAAATTTAATTCAATTTATTTAGCTTTTTGATAATTTACTTTAATTGGACTTAGGCTTTTATCAAATTGAGAAGAAGAAATTATGCAATTTTTATTAAATTTTAATGGAAGAGTATTGGATTGCTTTGCTTTAAAAATCTAAGAATGCATAGGCCAAAAAGTTAGATTTGGAATCAATTTATTTTACTTCCATTTTGGCCTCACATTTTAATATATTCAGCTCATCCAGTTAGAAAAATTTCCAATATTCTTATTGAAAATTTTGTCAGTAACTTTTAGGCAGTCTTAGAATATTTTTTTGAACTTCTTTCACTAGCCCAAAATTTTAACTTAAAAACCACATCCTGACTATCTATAATTTAATTTATTTTCTTATGATTTGTAATCTTTGAATCCTATTTTTCATGGTTTTAATAAACTTATTATGATCCAATCCATATTTGAGAACGAAGACAGTCAGGCCTGTGATAAGAATAAATTTTGGATGAATTGTGATAGCATCCCATCCTCTCCATTATATGAAGGAATTCTTATTGAGCGTACCAAAAAAGGCCTGGTCTCAAATCTATACATATTATCAGGTTCAGCGTTATTTAAGGCTAACCCAGAAACGTTTATTGTGACCAAAGTCACAATTTTGAAGTGAAAAATAATTCAAATTTTGGTCGATGGAAGTGAAAAGGACAAGAATTACGGCTTCAGAATAGGCCATTTAGGGCTTTATCGAGATTTTTATGCCCAAAATCAAGACGACTTAAACAACTGGATAGCACAGCTGTCTAGTATAGGAATTATGACTGAAATTGAAAATGACTATTGCATATTAGAAGAAATTGGTAAAGGGTCGTTTTCAACAGTTCAACTGGCAGTCGAAAAAGTGACTTCAAAAAAGTTTGCCATAAAGTGCACAAGGAAATCAGATTTAGGAAAAAGAAAATATGGCTTTGAATATATGAGAAATGAGATCGACATCATGAGGAAGTTAGATCATCCAAACATTCTTAAGCTAATCAAAGTTTATGAAGACCAAAATTCTGTCTTTTTAGTTTTTGACTATATTGAAGGCGGCGATTTACGAAGAAAAATAAGCTTGAAGAAAAAATTTGAAGAATGTGAAGCAAAGCGATTAATTCAAAAATTGCTGACTCCCAAGCGAACAAAAAAAATTATTTAGCTTAATTTTTTTTAAAATGCAGGGTGTTAAAAATTCAACAGAATTAGATAGAGATTTCATTATACTAATTACCACTTATATGTCAAAATTTTTTTCATAAAATTTTTGTTCGCTTACTAACTCACCCCCCTCATCCTTGATCGAACGACTAGCCATCGTTCGATCAAGGATGGGGATTAAAAAAAAATTTTTTGGGAAAAAATTTTTATATATAAAATAAAAAAATATATATATATTTATTTTTTATTTACTTTTAAATAAGAGGGTTAAGAGTATTTAATAATTATTTTTACAGCAAAAAATTGAATTATTTTCATAAAAATACCAATTTTTAATATTTTGATTTTTTGGTTACCCCTTTAAACTGTATAAATTTTAATTTGTTCCTTATTAAATTAAATTTTTTTTTTTAAAATTTTAAAGAATCTCTATTTTATTATATTATTGAGTTTTTAAGCCTAGGTTTATGACTAAATCACTTCAGATGGTTGATTACAAAGCTCCTTGTCGTCTCAAAGTCTCTGAAAGCAACTTCATTATGTACATCTTCCCAGGCTTTTGATAACTAATATATTTTATATATATAAAAATTTGCATGATATGAAATCGTTCGATCAAGGATGGGGGTTATTTCCCCAATTTTTAGGTATTTTTACAGTCAATCGTTCGGTCAAGGATGGGGGGGGAGTAAGGTGTGTTTTTGGGTAAAAAAGGGATTTTACAACGGTTTTGTTCGATCACGGAGGGGGGTGAGAGTTATCGAGTATCATGAGTCTTTGAACATCACTCATCGGGATATTAAACTAGAAAATATCCTTATTGTAGACAGGGAGGAAGATATAGACTTTAAACTAGCTGACTTTGGCTTGGCAATTGAAGCTTGTGGGGAGATAAAAGGAAGCTGTGGATCACTGGGATATGCAGCTCCTGAAGTTTTGAGAGGAAAAATATATAATTCAAAGATAGACGTTTTTAGCGCTGGAATAATCCTCTATATGCTACTTTCCGGCCGTGCACCTTTTCCGGGCAAAACAACCAATGAAGTATTTTTAAAAAACCGAGAATGCAATATAAAATTCAAAGGAAAAAGGTGGTCAGAAATCTCCTCACTCCCCTCCATGAGCTAACAAAATTTTCACAAAAGGTTAATTTTTTTTTAAGAAATTATTTATGAATTTTATAGTAAAATAATATTTTTTAAAATTTAAAAAATCCAATTCGCAAAATTTGGAAAGCAAATATTTATTTAATTTGTAAAATTTATATTTTAAAATGCAATTTGTTTTAAATTAAACAGAATTAGTTAAAGATTTTATATTCTAATTATCATTTATATATAACATTTTGTCATAAAAAAAATTTTTTTATTAAAATCGTTTTTTATTTGCTCACGAAGGGTGGGATTTTGGGCAAAAAATAGGGGTTTTCCAAATGGTTTTGTTCGCTCACGGAGTGGGGAGTCAGAAGCTATTAATTTCATAAGAAAAATAACTTCATATGACCCAGACCTAAGGCCAAGTGCAAAAACTGCCCTTCAAGACGAGTGGTTTGAAAGTGGAAAAGATCAAAATGAAAACGAAAAATATGATAAAGATTTTTCAGACAGACTAAATAGGCTACAGATAAATCAATGCTTTACAGAAAATGCCAAAGAAAACTCTGGAAATATTTTGATGAAAATAAATCAAGAATATTCTCCAGCTAAGCAGCTTATAATATTATACATAGTAAACTTTACAGCTGTAAAGGAACGATTTAAAGAATAAACCAAGTAATTTAAATCCACTAAATCACATATAATTTAAATTTTATTTATCTTAAAAGTTTGCTACTAAATTCCTTAAAGCTTCTTGATAAATGAGAATTCACCCTTTATTTCATTTAAAATTCTTCTACTCCAGTTCACTGCTTCGTAATAATTTTAATTATGCATTACTCCCCTCCATAAACGAATAAATCATTAGAAAAATCCACTATTTTTTGCCCAAAAACCCATCCTCTCCTTAAGCGAACAATAATATTATCATGAAATCTCTAGCTAATTCTGTTTAATTTTAAACAGCTTGCGTTTTTAAAATATAAATTTTACAAATTAAATTAATTTTTGCTTCTCAATTTTTACAAATTTGGAAAGAAAAAATTTTCTATAAGGTTATATATAATTTTTAAAAAAAAAATTAGCCCCATCCTTGAGCGAATTGTCCGCTCACGTAGGGGGTAGAGTTAGGATAAATTAATAAATAGAAAAACTATATAAAATTTTGTTTCTGGTAACAAATTCAGCCTAATTTATTGCAAATTTACAGATTAGCAAAAATATTTCTAACTCCCCCCCCTCCCCCCCCCCCTCCGTGAGCGAACAAAACCATTAGAAAAATCGCCATTTTTTGACCAAAAACCCACCCTCCGTGAGTGAACAAAAATTTTTTTAATAGAAAAAATTTTAATGGAAAAAAAATTTTGATATATAAGTGATAATTAGTATAATGAAATCTAGAGCTAATTCTGTTTAATTTTAAACAAATTGCGTTTTAAAACATAAATTTTGCAAATTAAATTAATATTTGCTTCCCAATTTTTGCAAATTAGGATTTTTTTAAATTTCGAAAAAAATATTTTTTTATAAAATTTATATATAAATTTTTTTTTAAAAAAAAAAATTAACCCCCCTCCGTGAGCGAACAAAATTTTTTTGTTCGCTCACGGAGGGGGGGGGGGGAGTAAGATCTTGTATATCTAGCAAATAAATCAGCTTTGGAAATTCATGGCCAAACTTTTGCTCTCACAAACACCTTAAGTAAGCCCTGATGACGATGAACTCAAGATTTCCTGATATAAGTAAAGGTTGAGAAGCTATTTTGGAAGAGTTTTGTAAGATATGCCAGAAAAGAAGTTTTCCTTGAATTGAGAATTCCAGTTAGCCTTAGATCTACAATAGTTTAAGTTAAAGTTCAAGTGAAAGCTTTTTTTTCTCTCACTGATGAGGGTTAATTTTATTTTTAAAAAAATTATGTAATCAAAAATTTAAAAATTTACAATAAAATTTGGAAAACAAATACGTATTTAATTGTAAACTAAACCCCATAATAATAAATCCGTGTAAATGGAAATGCTCTTGGAGAGAGCTTATTCTGACTATACCATTTAATTATTATGGTATAAGGCAAGATTTTTTTCCATTGGAATGGACTGCTGATCGGCCCTCCAGGAACTCCTTTTGAAGGTGGAAAATTTCACTTCGAACTAATTTTCCCTTCCAATTCCCACCTTCTTCTCCCAAATTTTTCTTCAAAAATTAGAATTTTCCACCCAAACGTGAGTCTGATGGGAAAGCATGCATACAAGTCCTCAGCCTTACTTGGAGGCCAAATATATCAATAAGTTGTGTCTTGAATTCTATATGTGTTTTGCTAACTACACCCTTCCTGAGCGAGCAAATCATTGGAAAAATTCTTCATTTTGACCAAAACTCCCCCTCCATTTTTGCATAAATTTTAATATATATGTAATAATTAATATAATGAGATATCAAGCTAGTTCTGTTGAATTTTAAACATTTTGCATTTTAAATAATAAATTTAAAATTGATTTAAATTTTTGATTTCTAATTATTTTAAATTTCGAAAATTTTTTTTATTATAACATTTACATATAAATTTTAAGAAGAAGATTTCTTTGAGAGAACAAATTTTTTTCACGGGGGGAGTAAGAGAGCCCTACCCTGATATAGGGTATTTTAACGACGCATCTACTGTTATTAGAGCTGACAGATTAGCTTATTAAAGAGTTGCAAGACAGACAATATACAGCTAATTTTGCAAAATAATATCAATAATAAAAAATTTATAGAAACATGTTATTATAAAATATGGCTGAAAGCTTGATTTTTGCAGAGTCTGATTGAAATATTAAGGCAGCGCTTTCTTTGATTAACACCCTAATGTCTTACAGAAATAATGAAATTTTGGTAGAGAAATTAAAAGAGTCAGAAATTTGGGCGATAACTGAGGTTTTCAACAGCATGAACAGTGAGAGGTTAGCGGAGTTTTGCAAAAATACTAAAATTTCGTTAGAGACCAAGATTTGCGAAGCTATAGGTTGTATTGGAATACAAACCTCTGATTCCAGCTGGTATAAGAGATCATTTATCATGGATGCACAAACAAAAATTGATGAGTTTGAAGATCATGTTAATGAGCAAAATATTGTAATTGCAGAAATTAAGTCTTATTTCCGTCCAAAGCAATGCCTGCAGACCAAGTGGGGGTATTATTTACTAATCTCAATCTTTTGAGATTTCTCAAAAGAAGCTCGTTTCTACAGAAATGGCAAATGAATATATCTGATTTCTAAAGATTCTGAACCAAAATTGACTGAAAACAAAGAGTTCAAGTTGGCTTATCTAAAAGTTTCAGAAGAAGACCTCAATGCTATAAAAGCCGACTTGGAAAATGAAGTCGAAATTCATCTAGAAAATTCAAGACAAGAAAAAATGATTAGCACAATCAAAGAAGATAAAACGTATTTTGAGGATCCTCAGAAAAATATAAAAAAGTGGACAATTAAGAAAATTTCTTCAGATTATTCTCCTGCAAAAGCCAATGATATGGAAATAGTCGCGGAAAGCCTAAGAAAAGAAATGCAGGCTAATAAGGAATTAATTCAAAAAAATAAAGTTTTGCAAGAAGAGAAACAAAAAATTAATGAAGAGCTCATTAAAGAAAAAGAAAAATTAGGGAAGGCCGAGGATAAATGCAAAGGAATGGCAGCAATCCTTGAAGAAAAAGAACTTAAAGAAAAAGATGAAATCATCCAGAAAATGAAAAATGTTCAAGAAGAATCTAAAAAAGAGCAAGAAAAGCCTCCAAAGCTGCCAGAAGAACCTCCAAAGCTGTTTGAAGAACCTCCAAAGCCGTCAGAAGAACCTCTAGAGCTGTCAGAAGGCTCTTTCGGTCCATTTACAATTTTTAATCAAAGAAAGTTAGGTCTGCCAAATCTTATCAATACTTGCTATTTTAATGCAGTTTTGCAAGCCTTGGCAAGCAATGATAGGTTTGTAGGGTGTTAGGGTGTTAGGGTGTTAGGGTGTTAGGGTGTTAGGGTGTTAGGGTGTTAGGGTGTTAGGGTGTTAGGGTGTTAGGGTGTTAGGGTGTTAGGGTGTTAGGGTGTTAGGGTGTTTAGGGTGTTAGGGTGTTAGGGTGTTAGGGTGTTAGGGTGTTAGGGTGTTAGGGTGTTAGGGTGTTAGGGTGTTAGGGTGTTAGGGTGTTAGGGTGTTAGGGTGTTAGGGTGTTAGGGTGTTAGGGTGTTAGGGTGTTAGGGTGTTAGGGTGTGTTAGGGTGTTAGGGTGTTAGGGTGTTAGGGTGTTAGGGTGTTAGGGTGTTAGGGTGTTAGGGTGTTAGGGTGTTAGGGGTGTTAGGGTGTTAGGGTGTGTTAGGGTGTTAGGGTGTTAGGGTGTTAGGGTGTTAGGGGTGTTAGGGTGTTAGGGTGTTAGGGTGTTAGGGTGTTAGGGGTGTTAGGGTGTTAGGGGTGTTAGGGTGTTAGGGTGTTAGGGTGTTAGGGTGTTAGGGTGTTAGGGTGTTAGGGTGTTAGGGTGTTAGGGTGTTAGGGTGTTAGGGTGTTAGGGTGTTAGGGTGTTAGGGTGTTAGGGTGTTAGGGTGTTAGGGTGTTAGGGTGTTAGGGTGTTAGGGTGTTAGGGTGTTAGGGTGTTAGGGTGTTAGGGTGTTAGGGTGTTAGGGTGTTAGGGTGTTAGGGTGTTAGGGTGTTAGGGTGTTAGGGTGTTAGGGTGTTAGGGTGTTAGGGTGTTAGGGTGTTAGGGTGTTAGGGTGTTAGGGTGTTAGGGTGTTAGGGTGTTAGGGTGTTAGGGTGTTAGGGTGTTAGGGTGTTAGGGTGTTAGGGTGTTAGGGTGTTAGGGTGTTAGGGGTGTTAGGGTGTTAGGGTGTTAGGGTGTTAGGGTGTTAGGGTGTTAGGGTGTTAGGGTGTTAGGGTGTTAGGGTGGTTAGGGTGTTAGGGTGTTAGGGTGTTAGGGTGTTAGGGTGTTAGGGTGTTAGGGTGTTAGGGTGTTAGGGTGTTAGGGTGTTAGGGTGTTAGGGTGTTAGGGTTAGGGTGTTAGGGTGTTAGGGTGTTAGGGTGTTAGGGTGTTAGGGTGTTAGGGTTGTTAGGGTGTTAGGGTGTTAGGGTGTTAGGGTGTTAGGGTGTTAGGGTGTTAGGGTGTTAGGGTGTTAGGGTGTTAGGGTGTTAGGGTGTTAGGGTTGTTAGGGTGTTAGGGTGTTAGGGGTGTTAGGGTGTTAGGGGTGTTAGGGTGTTAGGGTGTTAGGGTGTTAGGGTGTTAGGGTGTTAGGGTGTTAGGGTGTTAGGGTGTTAGGGTGTTAGGGTGTTAGGGTGTTAGGGTGTTAGGGTGTTAGGGTGTTAGGGTGTTAGGGTGTTAGGGTGTTAGGGTGTTAGGGTGTTAGGGTGTTAGGGTGTTAGGGTGTTAGGGTGTTAGGGTGTTAGGGTGTTAGGGTGTTAGGGTGTTAGGGTGTTAGGGTGTTAGGGTGTTAGGGTGTTAGGGTGTTAGGGTGTTAGGGTGTTAGGGTGGTGTTAGGGTGTTAGGGTGTTAGGGTGTTAGGGTGTTAGGGTGTTAGGGTGTTAGGGTGTTAGGGTGGTGTTAGGGTGTTAGGGTGTTAGGGTGTTAGGGTGTTAGGGTGTTAGGGGTGTTAGGGTGTTAGGGTGTTAGGGTGTTAGGGTGTTAGGGTGTTAGGGTGTTAGGGTGTTAGGGTGTTAGGGTGTTAGGGTGTTAGGGTGTTAGGGTGTTAGGGTGTTAGGGTGTTAGGGTGTTAGGGTGTTAGGGTGTTAGGGTGTTAGGGTGTTAGGGTGTTAGGGTGTTAGGGTGTTAGGGTGTTAGGGTGTTAGGGTGTTAGGGTGTTAGGGTGTTAGGGTGTAGGGTGTTAGGGTGTTAGGGTGTTAGGGTGTTAGGGTGTTAGGGGTGTTAGGGTGTTAGGGTGTTAGGGTGTTAGGGTGTTTAGGGTGTTAGGGTGTAGGGTGTTAGGGTGTTAGGGTGTTAGGGTGTTAGGGTGTTAGGGTGTTAGGGTGTTAGGGTGTTAGGGTGTTAGGGTGTTAGGGTGTTAGGGTGTTAGGGTGTTAGGGTGTTAGGGTGGGTGTTAGGGTGTTAGGGTGTTAGGGTGTTAGGGTGTTAGGGGTGTTAGGGTGTTAGGGTGTTAGGGTAGGTGTTAGGGTGTTAGGGTGTTAGGGTGTTAGGGTGTTAGGGTGTTAGGGTGTTAGGGTGTTAGGGTGTTAGGGTGTTAGGGTGTTAGGGTGTTAGGGTGTTAGGGTGTTAGGGTGTTGGGTGTTAGGGGTAGGGTGTTAGGGTGTTAGGGTGTTAGGGTGTTAGGGTGTTAGGGTGTTAGGGTGTTAGGGTTGTTAGGGTGTTAGGGTGTTAGGGTGTTAGGGTGTTAGGGTGTTAGGGTGTTAGGGTGTTAGGGTGTTAGGGTGTTAGGGTGTTAGGGTGTTAGGGTGTTAGGGTGTTAGGGTGTTAGGGTGTTAGGGTGTTAGGGTGTTAGGGTGTTAGGGTGTTAGGGTGTTAGGGTGTTAGGGTGTTAGGGTGTTAGGGCTGTTAGGGTGTTAGGTGTTAGGGTGTTAGGGTGTTAGGAGTAGGTTAGGGTGTTAGGGTGTTAGGGTGTTAGGGTGTTAGGGTGTTAGGGTGTTAGGGTGTTAGGGTGTTAGGGTGTTAGGGTGTTAGGGTGTTAGGGTGTTAGGGTGTGTAGGTGTAGGGTGTTAGGGTGTTAGGGTGTTAGGGTGTTAGGGTGTTTGGGTGTTAGGGTTGTTAGGGTGTTAGGGTGTTAGGGTGTTAGGGTGTTAGGGTGTTAGGGTGTTAGGGTGTTAGGGTGTTAGGGTGTTAGGGTGTTAGGGTGTTAGGGTGTTAGGGTGTAGGGTTGGG